CAAAAAGAGGGGACAGGTGGTTGGGTGTGCGTGTCGTGGGCGGCGTGCGCGCGCCCGGCGCGGGCGGGGGGGGGGGGGGGGGGGGGGGGGGGGGGGGGGGGGGGGGGGGGGGGGGGGGGGGAAAGTGGGCGACATTGGCCCATTTCCCATGCAGGAACTGGACTGTAAAAGAAATAGCATGTTTCCTGTCAACAAAGAATATCAAAGCAAAATCAAAATGGCCCCTTTTCGCGTCATCATTGTGGGTGGAGGTATCGCTGGGTTCACTGCGGCCGTTGCGCTCCGGAGAACTGGCCGAGAAATCATTATCCTGGAGCAGTCCAGTCTCAACAAAGAGATTGGAGCATTAATCTCTCTCCAGCCAAATGCAACTAGAATTGCCGGATTGCAATGGGGACTGGAAAAGAATTTGCTGGAAGCCAGGCAGATGGTAGATGAAGGGTTCCGCATCTACAACACCGACGGAGATGTTGTCAGAACCATTCCACTCAACACGAAGGATAAGTATGGAGCTGAAAGACTATTGTTTCATCGGAGGGATCTTCATGAATCGTTGAAGCAAGCAGCGACTTCGTCTGAAAGGGCAGGTGATCCGGCCGTCGTGCGTGTATCTTGTCGGGTGATCGGATGTGATGCAGTCCGCGGCACAGTGACATTAGAGGGCGGAGAGGTGGTCAAGGGCGACCTCATTATTGGCGCAGATGGGATGTGAGAAATTTTCCTCTGTTTTCTCAAGCGTCGAGGCTGACAATCATCGCCTCTGCAGCCATAGTGTACTTCGGAAACATGTCGTCGAGGAGAACCCGAGTCCTATACCCACTGGTCACTCTGGTTAGCTTTTACCCATCATTCCAATTTCATATTGCCATGTGCTAATTTTCATCCAGCCTATCGTCTTATGGTGTGTTGATTGCTTCGCCGAGTCTTCTCCCAGGCTGACCGTCACAGGTGCCAACTGAGATTCTTGAACGAGAGGAGCCAGACTTCTGTGCTAGAATCAATCCTCGGGATCCATTCACATCTATGATTGTTGCTCACAATTGCCGTCTCATAATGGGTCCTGGGAGACAGGGTGAAGTATATGGCATTGTTGCTTTGGTTCCAGACGAGCAAATGACCGAGGATCCTGCTCTCAAACAGTCGTGGGTGTCTGAGGGAAGTATCGACAAGTTACTTGACACATTCCGTGAATTTCCATCCTGGGTCAGAAACATTTTCAGGTATGAATTCGGCCTGGGAAACGATGCGCATTGCTCAGTAATTGTTAATAGACATTCACCCGATCTCGGATTGTGGCAGCTCAGAGATATGGTATTTCCCCATTAGATGGTATCTTATGAAGCGTCGCTAATGGGGTATAGGACCCGTTGGCAACCTGGCACCGCGGTCGGGTTGTGCTCATCGGCGATGCTGCACACGCGATGCTACCCACTCAGGGTCAAGGGGCCAGCCAGGCGATTGAAGATTCTGAAGCATTAGGCTCGTTCTTGGAGGACGTAGACGAATCGCCAGCGTTCGAAGACCTTTCCAATATCCTCGAGGTGAGTCCTGTAAAAAAAGGTCAATTCTGGCACAGGAAGGGTTTGACAATGCACAGAATATCCTCCAGTCGCGTTACTCACGAGTGAGCGCCATCCAGGCATACAGCCGAGAGGCAGCTAAGCCCGGGACAGCGCAAGGCAACAACTTCGTCACGATGTATGTATGACCATGCGCTGTTGATGTTTCTAACAAGTCTTTCAGGAACCCAGAGGAATTTATGGATTTCAATTGTCAGTATCGCGGGGCGAAGGACTGGGTGAGTCGACAGGCCCATAGTTGTGAGTAGGGAATCATCTGTATGAAGTCATAATTTCCATAGTATAAATCAGAGGATTTGCCATCTGAAATACCCCACATATCATCTGCAGCTAGTACACTACCTACATAGGTAATCGAGAAATGGACATTCGTTGACTCCGGAAGTGGCCCGCAAAACTAACGCCCTCCCGACTCCGCTTCTTCACTTCTCCCCGCAACTTTGCTTCTGTCGATCTCTTCAATATGCCTGACAATGGAAACACCGACTCCACGACGCTCCTCGAGGGGTAAAACTGGCAACCATCACTGCCCTCACTGCAATAAAGCGTACGAGCGCCCCGATCATCTGGCCCGTCATCTAGATTCGCGTGAGTTTTCCCAATATTCAACGTGAAGTTAGCTGAAACATTTTCAGATCGCAACGAGCGAACTTACCAGTGTCCCGTTTGCTCGCGCGGGTTCAATCGTCGGTGGGTCCAAGCGTGTTCCTCCATTCCCAACAGGAGACTCACAAAACAGAGACGTTTTGCAACGGCACCTAGCTGTCCACGAAAAAGAGGGACCAGATGGGGCACATCCGACCAGTCGCCCACGGGAGCGAGCTATCGAGGCCTGTGAAGCTTGTGCCTCTGCCAAGTTGAGTTGTGACAACGAAAGGCCGTGTCAGGTACGCAGCCGGAGGCTCCACTCTCGGGCTCTCGCCGAACATGACTGATCAGTCGAACAGAGGTGCAGAAGGAAGCAGATTGATTGCGTTCCACGGCCGTCCCGCGGATCCCGCCAATCCGGCGATCGCATGCCATACCCTTCACCCATGCAACCCCAGCCCTCACCCAGGGAGCATGGGCCGGAACACCTGTCCAGCGTATCAATCATAGGAACAACACCGGACTCGGGTCTATCCGAGTTAGGTGCTCCCTCCGCACAGGATCAGTATTCTGTGAGTTGCCAGGAGCCGTACAGTTCAAATTTTGGCAATGAACTCGTTCTGGATCCTCTTCTGGCACAGGATACGGTCCCCTCGTACCCCACCCTGAGCAGCTTCCCGGTATTCTTCGAGCAAGTGATGCTCCCGGGCGTCGACGCGGTGACAGCCCCACATGAAACTCATCAGCCTCGTGGAGTCTTTGACTTCATGTTGGATACAGATTTTAGTTTTGCGGGTAATGATCTCTTCGGTACTGATTTCATCCCCGACCTAGATCGCATACTTGACAACTCGGCGCCTATTTTTGGTTTTGAAGATGCGTCAAGCAAGGAGTTGAATCATCAAGAAGCGGCTAGTCGGCGAGCTGCAGCATTTGAGCGCTCGTTCTGGTATGTTGATAGTCGATTGTACTCCGTATACTGGGCCGTTAAATACTGATATGTACAGGCAATGGGTACCAGCAAAAAACCAGCACGCCTTCAGCGAAGAGAAGAGAATCCCTTTACGAGACGGTGACAGTATCTCACCAACGCATAGAAATCGGCTCGATGCTCTCAAAATACCAGGGAAGCTTTCCATGCAGGCAAGGGATGATATCTTCAAGCTGGTTGTGCAAACTGCCGGCTCTCGACTTTCGGTCTCTTCTTTCCCATCATCCGAATATCTGGATACTCTGATCAAAATTGGAATCGGAAAGAGAACCGAGACAGATGCCTTTATTCACCCTTATAGCTTTTACGAGCAACAATTGCGACCGGAGCTATTGACTGGACTTGTTGCAGCTGGATGCGTCTGCTGCGGCTTGTCTTCGATCAATAAAACCGGGATCATCTTGCAAGAAATTACTCGAGCATCCCTCGCACAGCTGGTAGGGCTTTTCTTATGAGTCCAGGCCATTCAACTGACTTTCTGTGTCTTTTTCTTTTAGGTTGAAAATGACAACAGTGTTTTAAGGGATCTACAGTGGCTACAAGCGTCCATGTTATGGTTGGATATTGGCATATTTTGCGGCTATAAACGCAAGATGCAAATTGCCGAGAGTTATTTACAGCCTCTATGCACCGTAGGTCCCCCTTGGATAGCATTCGGTCACTCTTACTGAGATAGACAGGCATTTCGACGCGCTGTCGCATTTGACCGATCAACATATTCGCTCCTAGTGCCACCGATCGGGGATGACGAGAGTTTGCTTCGGAAAGTATGGCACGATTGGATAAAGCAAGAGTCCTTGAAAAGGTATGGGTTTACATCCTACGCGCTTCGTCATATGCTAATCTTGGTAAGACTGGCATATCATTTATTCGGCCATGATGTGGAAGTCGCCATGGCAATGAACCGACCTGCTCTCATCTCCTATACTGAGCTGACTCTCCCTTTTCCTGCCGCGCGAGATCTCTGGCTCGCACCAACGGCAAGCGCATGGAGAGATATATGGTTGGAGAAGTATCAATCTGTTGGGGTATCCGATTTGAGCCTTCGAGATTTGCTATCGGACCCGTCATTGGTAACGACCATTCCCATTGACAAAGATTTCGATATTGCGAGATCAGCATTACTATATGGTCTGGCCAGTCAGACATGGGAATTTCGCCAACATATGATTTTGTCAAAAGGGTCGCCATTTGGCTCACGTGCTATGGCTCAGCTGTGGCTACAGAGCAGACAAGATGATATGTGAGTTCAATCCCTCTCTGTGGCCTGAATGCATGCTGACCTCTCTTCCAGGTATTCAACATTGAAGTCGCTACAAGAGGAGGTAACAAAAACTCCACCGGTCATCACTTTACTCAACGAGTTCGTCATGATGTATCTTCATATCGACGTAGATGCAATCCAACGGTTTGTGGGGAAGTTTGGAGAGCTCGATGCCCGTCGGGCGTACCCTGGCCTTCGGGAGTGGAGTCGAACCAAAGACGCTCGAGCCGGGATCTGGCACGCTGGTCAGGTCTTACGCGCCGCCCGTGCGGTCGCAGCCCACCAGCTACGCGGATTTGATGCAATGGCTATCTACCACGCTGCATTGGTTCTGTGGGTCTTTGGTCTTCTTCAGTGCGGCGAGTCTACGCGACACGATGCTCATACACCTCTGAGCGAGAAAGAGTCCCCTCCGAGCATTCCACTTGATGGGCCACATGGTCCACTGGTCAGGGCATTCTTGGCGCATGGGCATGGTCGGCCTGGGCTGACGGTTTTCCAGCCCCGAAGTGGCCCTAGTGGTGACTCCTCGGTTTTCTGTGAGCTTAACAAGCCTCGGTCTGTTATGGCCATTGCCCGGCAAGTTTTGGAAGGGAATTGTCCTCGTGTCTTTCCGGAAGATACCCTACCGCCCATGATCCAGAATCTCTGTGAGCTTATTGAGGATTTGGGCAGTCTTCCCTAATATTGTATGTTTAACTTAATTAACGTGTACATCTAAATCTTATGTTAACAACATCTGCCAGCAACGCTGATTTCACAATAACCAATCGGGGGACCCACAATGTCATCGGGATGTGGAGGTCCCCCACGGGGAAGCGTCTCGGCAGCTGTGGGCGCTTAGTCTAGACTTCTCCTCTATACTAGTACTCCCGAGGTTGTTTCCCCCACTGACTAGGCGAAATAGAGCCGTTGGGGGTGGCTAAAAGACAGATATGGGATTGCTTCCCTCTTGCTCGCGGCTTGATTCTGTATTCTTTCTGACGGCCTTGCCTCACTTACTACATTATGTCCACCAATGACCCGAAAGCCCAGGTCGAATATCTGGAAGAAGTGGGCAAGATAGGAGCAAAACCAGATGTACTGGTCAGCGAGAATGGAGAGGTGCAGCGTCTACCTGTTCCAAGTGAAGACCCTAATGACCCTCTGAATTTTTCGACATGGGAGAAGTTCGGGGTCATCTTTAGCTGTTGTTGGTTTTGTGAGTTCCGTGCCCCGGTTACCATACCATACATACCTAATCTCCTCAAGCTATCATGTCTCTTTCAGTGGTCGGAGGGCTGGGTTCTATTCTCGGCATCTTTTTCGAGCTCTATGGTCGCCAAGGTGTTACTTCGACCCAGGTGGTTTGGTTAGGGACATTCCCTTCCTTGTTTGTGGGAGTTGGTTAGTCGACTCGAACTCTCCATCGATCCATTTCGTCTTTCTGATTGGCCTCACTGACACTTGTAAGGGAACTACCTACTCCTCCCCTTGGGTCTAGTATATGGCCGCCGTGCAGCAACAATCATATCTATCGTTGTCTTGCTCGGTTCCACGATCGGCTGTGCACTCTCTCAGACATTCGAACAACATCTTGGTCTGCGCATCTTGCAAGGACTGGCAACTGGTGCCACCGAATCTGTATGTCTGATGAGATCTCAACCCTTTCAACGGGTTTGTTCTGTGCTAACTCACTCACTCTAGCTGCTTCCTTTGATGTTATCGGAGGTCACATTTGTGCATCAACGCGGATTGATCTTCGGTGTATACTGGGCCACTCAAAATGTCGTCACTAGTTGCTTGAACCTGGCTAGTTCTTATGAGGCTGCTTCGTTAGGCTGGCGCTGGTTCTATTGGGTGTATGTCATTGCCATCGGGGTAGGTTTGGTCATCGTCATATTTGGGTGCTTTGAGACCCGATATCAAAGACGCGCGCAATGTCTCAACGACCAAGTCATCGTTACAGATGATTTTGGTGTCACTCATGTCCTCACCGGTGCAGAGGCGCAATCCTACTTGCAAGTACAAGGACTTGCAGATGAACCCGCTGTTCCGGAGGCGGAAATATCGAAAAAGACTTACATCCAGATGCTTAAGCCAGTCGGAAAATCCGTGGAGCACCCAATGCGAACAGTGTTGATGGCATGGTTTCATATGTTCGAGGCATTTTCGTCACCAGGAATCCTTTACGCAACTCTTTTATCGTCGGTTGTTCTAGGCTCCTCGGTTGGAATGTCCTTGACCTATGATGCTGTGCTTCAAAGCTATGGCTGGCCAGCAAAGAACGTTGGACTGATCAACCTCGGCGGTGTGTTCGGTGGATTTGGCGGCATGCTATATGCTGGCGTGTTCGGTGATTGGTTCATCCTTCGAATGGCAAAGCGCTCTGGTGGCTTGCATGTTCCTGAACACCGTCTCATTCTCTTGATATTCCCAGGAATACTTGCTGTGGTATCTTTATTGCTTTATGGATTCACCGCCGACGCTAACACAAGCTGGGGTGGGCCTTACATGGGGTGGACTCTTCTTCAGGTTGCATTTGTTTCTGTGTTGATTTTGTCGACATCTTTCGCAGCAGAGGCTTGGGAGAAAAACCCCGGGCCTGCCTTGGTGGCTGTTGTTGGGACCAAAAATATCATTGCATTTGGTGTCAGCTACGGGCTTACTCCGATGGTGAGCCGGTATAGCTATCCCGCTGCGATGGGGATTCTGGCAGGCGTCACAGGAGCTATCTTCCTCCTCGGCGTTCCAGTGTACTTCTTGAATCCTGCTGTGAGTATCCTTCTACCCCAGTTTTCTGACTGTGTTGACTAACTCGGCCTAGTGGCGTCGCTATATGCAGCGTCCACAAACATCATAGGTATACGTAGATGATTGGAGTCGTTCTTACAGCTTGAAACATTGCGATGCGGTCGTGAGCAGACAATCTTCAAATCTGTGCATCTACAAGCATATTCGGAACAATCATTCCTTTAGTGAAATTTTATCATTCTCGTATCTCAAGACCATACAAAGCTAGCACTTCGAGATGACTCTGCGCCTGAGGTAGCAGGTCGCGGTTGCAGAGTCTGATATCTGCAATGTATTCAAGGTTTGATGGGTTGCCCATTTCCAACTTGGGTGGTAATATTATAATCACCGAAGCATGCCTTCTGGTACATCGCTTCCTCGTTCAACTTTGGAACAGCACTGAGGAAATCCTTGACTTTGCAGAATCCATTCACCGATCCGTCACATGCACCCAGTCCATCAAGAGGCAGTGGAGCGTTGTTCAAGACAAAGCGGATATAGTCCGTCGTGTTGGACTCGGACGACAGGTCCGGGTTGCTGTACTTCTGTGGCCGGAGATCCTTCAGCGATGCCCCTTGGGGACAGGTCCAAATCTCAGAGAAAAGACGAGCTCCAAACGGCGTCATGTGGTTGAGGTTAAAGTTGCGGCGTGGAGCATGCGCAACTGAATCAGGGAGGCCGCGAGGGCTATATTTGAAGTGGTCCAATCCCAGAGCCGTCAAGGTGGAAACGATGATATCGTCATGGGACATATCCATGTACAATGGCTGGTCCAAGGGGAAGGTTTTGGTGTTGTTATCGTAGGTGTAATTGATACTGCTCTGGCTGCTCATGATAAGCTTAGATTCCAAGCGAGCAGCAAGCTCTTGAACGTAGCCAATGCCCTGTGCACGGCCACTGGGAGAGCCGAAGCCATATCTGCCATAGAACTGTAGATCGATGAAGTACTCAAAGTCGCGCCACTCTTGTTCGGTGAAAAGGGCACAGAAGGACGAGGCACCAAGAGTAGCATACTCGTAGGGACAGATGTTGAACATTGCGACAATGTCAAGTGTGTTCAATTTCAGATCTTCAGGCAAATGCGCGGCGAAGCGCTTAGCAACATTCTTCACTAGAGAGGATGAGGCAAACGCTTCACCAGAGGTATCACCCGGCTCCAGCCCTTCGGTGCAGGTACTGGTTGATGATAAAGTATTGTTGAAGTCGTCAAGCTCGGGGATGATGGTCAGATCATAATCAGCATACGAGCTGTTGGCTCCAGTGTTTCCAAAGAAACCACTGAGCCACCACCGAGCGCTCTCCAAGATACGTGGGTATGAAGTTGTGCGGAACGTTGGCTTCGGGCGGGCTGTACCATTGGGATACACGTTCAAAGAGTTGTCCCAGTTGGCCTGGCTGGTATTGGCCCGATAGAGCAATCGACCGTATTGGCTCCAGAACAGCGCACCCGCAATGGCTTCGGTAGCGGCGCCAGTGGGAAGAAGGGTGTTTAGACCCAGGACATATTCCCAATCGTTCAAGAAGTCCAGGGGGCCCGATGCCACTTTCTTGTCGGGATGTTTCTTGGAATAATTTGCGAGCTTCTGGGCAAAGCGCTCCATTCCCTCGCCATCCAAGGGGTAGTAGGTGGGATATCGCTGGGCATGGCGGTGTAGCACATGGACCTGGGATAGCTCACATTTCGCAGGAAATCCTTTCAAAACATTGAAACCGGGAGCATCGACGTAAGGACTCAAATGGGCCCAGCTCGTTTTCATATCAAACCCAGATGGATATGAAAGGCCAGTTGGCTCGGGCGAAGCCGAGCTGGGCAAGGCAACGGCGCCAAGGGCAAGTAGAGCGACGGTGAAGACTGAGGTCATTTTGAAATGTGCACGCGACCAGTTTCCTCCCCAGGTCAGGGATGGTGGAGGTTATACCTCTGGAGAGGGGGGAGGGATCGACAGCATCTCTTCCTATTTTCGAACCCCGGAGGCTCCGTTCACCACTTCCACCGTTCTCCTCACCATGTTACATCAAATGACGTATGGTGGAGTCGGCTGAAGTGCTTAGCCTGTACATCGCCTGTGCATAGCCTGTGCAGTGAAAGAAAGCAAGGGTCAGAAGCGGAGAAGAATGGGGACCTCGGGATTCTGAGTTCGAATGTCACCTCATTCGTCTGGCCTTGGAGCAATATCAGGTCAAAACCACCTTCCATACCCCTCTATCAAATGCTTCATGGTTCAAATATATGACCTTGGAAGCCAGGAAGAAAGCCTTCGGGGCTGGAGGGGCTCCCGCTCGTTGTCAAACGGCGATAAATCACTATTGGAATATGGATATGCGTGGGGACCATTTCGCATATATAATGCCCTGGCAGAACCAAGGGCTTACACAGCCAAAGATGAGAACCTTGAAACTCCGGTCTACATCGAAAGCTTGATTGATCAGGGCCCCATAAGCAGAGCCTCGTATCGCCTGGGCAGGATTGGGCCAACGCGAAATAAGTCCTGTTTGGGACAAGCAGCATCCCGAGAAAGGCATGCACAATGCCGATCATCTTAAGGCTAAGAGCCCAGGGCTGATCCCGGTCTCCATAACTAACTTCAGGACCAGATTTACGTGCGTAAAGGCACCTGCGCACAAAGAAAATGAAAGAAAAAAAAGGAAGACTGCTAACCGTTCAAATCAACCTCAGAAGGCTATTTCTCCATGTCGGGCAGTCAAAGCCCCCTGGGAGTTGGTCTTCTGCAGCTATTGGCGCCCAAATATCAAACAAGAGACCCTGAACCAAGCTCGTACAGCTCTAATCTTCAGCTACTGCCAAATCCACCGATCCGAAACACCCACTCGCTAAACTTGGTACTAATTAGGGACAGCGCGGCGCCTCGTCGATGTAGGTCTTCGTATCCAACACGAATGACTGGGGTATACACTTTTTGAAGGCGCCAAGCTCATTCATGACTGGCCCAGGAGCTCTAATAAAGACCGATCCTGCACGTCCGTCGATTACGAGCTTCCTTAACATGAGCCGCATGAGCAAGTCATGATAAAGCGCATGGGAGCCCAGCAGATGCTGTGCTCTTTGTCTCGTCCTCGCATCTCCCAAGATTAACCCTCTTCCATTCCTAGATACCTAGGTATAAACTTCAACATGGTGTTGAACATTATTCTATACACCCTCCTTGGGACATCTTTCGTCTTCGCGATCGTCGAGTTGGGCCTCTCGGCCTTTGTGGTATCCGCTACCACACAGCAATATGATGCCTGGGGCTATTCGGTCAAGGTGAAAGCTCCAGCTATCGTCGCCTTCATGGTATTCGCCTCGCTCTGGACTATGATCATCACCGTCGCCGCTCTAGTTTTGCCTTGGTACTACACCCGCAAAGGCTCGGTGACGCCCAAGCTCAATACGGTGCTCGCTGCGTCCTTCGTCGCTGGGTACTTTGTGACAATGGTCTTTTGGCTTGCTGCCTTCGCTGACCTCGCTACCTACTTGGACTACATATCGAATGAATATTATGATGCCATGGTCGCCTTTGCTGTGCTTCTCTGGTTCGTCCTTGGGTATCAATATGGGGACTCTATTGTTTTCTAACCTCATACATAGGCTCCTATTCCTGGCTCTTCTTGTTTTTACCATCCTAGCCATGTGTGGTGTCATGGCCTCTGACTGGGCTGGTTATCAACCAGTCAAGAAGAACAAGACGAATGCACCTGCTGAGCCTGCCCATGATCTCCCGATGAGTACGTATTCTGCTACCCCTGTGGCTCCATTTGTCGTCTCATCGAGTGATGCTGAGCGTTGACATTACCAGCCGAACAACCGATCGCTTAGTCTGCAACTGCCTCTACCTAGTGGCCACTGGCAGGTCGAGCTAAGAACGCGATGATTCACAAAGGATCAAGAGGTGTCGCATTACGCAGGTCCAGCCTGAGCGTAGAATCTGAGAGCAGAGTCAGCCGACGTTCAACCTGCGAGGCCTTTCGCGCTTCGAACTTATCATGCCTTTTGGTTGCCTGAGAACATGTCGTGCACAATCATTAATGAACTAGTAATAATTTTTGTCTATACTTGATTCTATAATGCATAGGAACTTCTTCGTCTATGTCCATACACATTCCATTATGCCGATATTGTGCTGATACAGCTAATCGAAGAGGGCATGAGGTATAAAGGGCAATCTATCGCTCGAACAAACTGCGCACGCAGAGTCCACAACCACCCAGTCGCTGCAAAAAAATGGAATCTTCAGGCCCGAAAAAAAGTGAATAGAGGGAAAAGGAAACCAAAGATGAATGTCCGGGATATACAAAGGCTGCAGAATGAAGACAATAGAACAATGTACCGAGGAGAGACGTGAAGGCCACTTAAGCCGTGGCCTCCTCTGCGGTCTCCTTTCCATCATGGCTCTCACTATGCTCATCATGTTTGGACTTCTTCTTCTTCTTGTCCTTTTCATCCTTGCCCTTCTTGCTCATGGCTTCAGCCATGAGTTGCTCGAAGGCCATATAGTCACCCTCCTCTTCGGGATCGCGTGCGGCCTGTGTATTTGCGTTAGTCAAATGCCACCCGTGTGAGCTAGATTACGTAGCACATACCTTCGCGTAGATGTTACCCGCAATCACCAGGGCATGCGCGCGCTCAACGCGCTTCTCAAGTCGAGTCCGCTTGTCGTTGAGGATTTGATCACAGACCTCACGCAAAACACTCTGGATCTCGAACTTGCTGCCGCGCCATGCTGCGGCAAGAATCTTTCCGGTGACTCGCTTCTCATACTCGGCCTTCTTCTCGTCTGTCCAATCCTCACCACCGCGCTCCTCCATCTTGGCCATCTCTTCCATAGTCATTTGCGCATCAATAGCGGTGGAAATGGTAGTCCAGGTCTCCTTGGCCAGGGTGCCCTTATCCTTCAAGCGGGAGAAGAAGCCAGAAATACCCAGGAACTTTTGAGACTTGAGGAACGAGGTTCCCTTTTGCACGTAAGTTTGACCAACTGCGTGGAGAATCTCGAGGCCGAAAGATTCCATCTTAAGGTTCTCAACCTCTAGGCGGATCTTCTCCTCGAAAGCGTGGGAGACATCCTTGCCCTTATCGGTTTCAGTCCACACACTCAGGCGATCGATCAGCTTGTTGCTCAGTGTGTTCACGCGATCCTCGCGGGCTTTCTTGCGCTCCTCCTCGAAGGCGGTCAATCGTTCTTGCTGCTCCTTGGAAAGACCCTTCTTCTTCTCTTTCTTGCGGAGATCCTTCTCTTCTTGGGACAGTCCAGCTGCCTCCATTCGAGCTTCTTCTTCGGATTTGTCCATAAGGGCCTGTTGGCCGAAGTTTCGTCGAGGGGTACTAGAGCCAGAGCTCTGGTCGGAAGTTGGCTTTTCGGACGGAGCGGCGGCGGCGGCAGCTGCAGGCGCAGCCCCGGCGGTAGATTCGTGGGCTTCAGAGGTGGCAGGTGCATCACCTCCAGCCGCCTTCACCTCTTCGTCGTGGATGTTGAGTTTCTCCTCTGCGGACTGTGCCAGTTCTTCCTCCTCCATTTCCTGCATTGTGATGTCCATAGTCGCGGTCAGGTCCTTCATAAGGGAAATCTCGCCGATAAGATCAACGAAGGCCTCTCCTCCGAAGATCATGCTAAAGAATTCAGAGGGGTCCTCTGCATGATATGTTAGAGAACCATGATGATTGGCACCTGCATGAGTGTGATAAACCCACCAAAGCCACCACCTGGCACGGATTCCTCTTTTCCGAACTTATCATAACGCTTTCGTAGATCTTCATTGCTCAGAACCTGGTAGGCCTCGCCGATCTAGGTAGTAGGAAAGTCTTAGCTTCACGTCATTCAAGGGTTTCGGGCGTTGCTCAGCATACAGCTTGGAATCGTTCGTGAGCGGTTTCGTCTCCGGGGTTCTTATCTGTAGCAACGGGTTAGCGAACGTGTTCGAGTCGCGCAAGAGCAAGTGGGACGTACCCGGATGAGTGACAATGGCCAACTTTCTGTAGGCCTTCTTGATCTCTAGTTCAGTAGCTGTCGGTGGCACACCGAGCGCATCGTAGTAGGCAGTATCGGCAACCATTTTGCAAAATGTAGCAGAATGATCAAAGATCCAAAGCCAAGTAGTTAGGCAGAAGATTAATATTTTCGGGAGTTGGCGCTGATATCATGTGGGGGTGTTATGGTCACGTGCCTGGGCTAACTCTGCATTTAATCTCCTCGCTGTTCCCCTTTTCCTTTGCGCTCGCCCCCGGATTTTCACTGTATCTCCTTCTCCGGCCTTCATTGCCTCTTTTTGTCCCGAGTTAAATCGACTTGATTTGACTTCTTCCTTGGTGTTTGAGATTCAGACGTGTGAACGTCTCCTTCGCCCATCATGGGTCTCGTCGGCAATGCCCTCTATTATTCCTTCCACCCCATGCAGTTGAGGGCAATCATCCAATGGTAGGTCTCCAAATGCGCATCTCTTCCGAGCTTGTCCTGATCTAACCTTCCCTCCTCGCGCAGGAAAGTTTGGCACAATCCGCCCCATGAGCGCAACGAAAAGAACGAAACCGAAAACCAAAAGCTTTGCTTCAAATTCCTCGAAAAGACCAGTCGGAGTTTCAGTGCTGTCATCAAGGAGCTCCACCCGGAACTTCTGATCCCTATTTGCATCTTCTATCTGGTCCTCCGTGGACTGGACACCGTCGAGGATGACACCTCCATTCCTCTGGCCACCAAAGAGCCCCTTCTGAGGGACTTCAAGAACATCCTCACAAAAGAGGGCTGGAACTTCACCGGCAACCGGCCCGAGGAGAAGGATCGTGAACTGCTGGTTCAGTTCAACCACGTCATCACTGAGTTCATTAACATGAAGCCTCAATACCAGACCATCATTCAGGACATCACCGAACGGATGGGCAATGGTATGGCCGACTATGCGGTCAAGGCCGAGACTGATGATGCCAGCGTGAAGACCAAGGAGGAGTACGACTTGTACTGCTACTATGTTGCCGGTTTGGTCGGCGAAGGTCTCACCCGGCTGTTTGTGGAGGCTGAGTTCGGTAACCCCGCTCTTCTGAAGCGGCCAAGACTCCACAAGTCCATGGGACTTTTCCTCCAGAAGACCAACATCATCCGAGACATCCGCGAGGATTTCGACGACAACCGTCGATTCTGGCCTCAGGAGATTTGGTCCAAGCACGTCGACAACTTCGAGGATCTTTTCAAGCCCGAACATCTCGATGCCGCTCTCAACTGCAGCTCCGAGATGGTTCTGAATGCCTTGGAGCACGGTGAGGAGTGTCTCTTCTACCTCGCTGGTCTCCGCGAGCAGAGTGTCTTCAACTTCTGCGCCATCCCGCAGTCCATGGCTATCGCGACCATGGAATTGTGTTTCCGCAACCCCGACATTTTTAAGAAGAACATCAAGATCACCAAGGGAGAGGCATGTGAGCTTATGCACAAGTCTACCCAGAACCTTAGCGTTCTTTGCGACAGTTTCCGGGAGTACACCCGCAAAATCCACAAGAAGAACACCCCCAAGGACCCCAACTTCCTCAAGATCAGCATCGTCTGTGGCCAGATCGAGAAGTTCATCGAAACGATCTTCCCCACTCAAACCGCCGAGGCCGCTCAACGCAAGGTCACTGGTGAGCTGACCGCGGCCGAGGCCAAGCGCAAGGAGGAAGACGCGCAGAACAAGGATGACATTTGGTTCATGATGGCGCTCATGGGTGTCATTGTTGTTATCGTCGCTGGCCTGATGATTTTCGCGGCCTGGATGATGGGTGCTCGGTTCGACCTTGCCTACAAGGAGCTTACCCAAGGCAACTTCCGTCCTCCCCAATCGATCGAGCACGGCGAGCTCTGATCCGCCTTCCCATCCACGGCGTTACGAACTTTTAACTGTTTAATCTTCGATTCCATTTTCGATTCCCCCTCCGGCGGCCAATGTCTTACTATCTTCCCACTCTGCGCCCCGATGTGTATTGATAATAACATACGATTCTTTTCTCTTCGCCTGCGCCTCTTGTTCGATCTGGTTGAAGTACCGTACGGGTGTCAACCTGCGATTCTTCGCGGCTGGGGTCGCCGCCCAAGTGGTCATATGGGAATTGAGATTTAGATTGCCCTAGTGTACTACGTACCAAATGTCTCGAATGATGGGCCCGAAATGGCAAATGTCCCTGAAACATCTGAACAATCTGTAAAACCACACTTGTGTAAATCTACGTGCGAAGTCGAGGGTGTCAAATCGGCCAATTGCCGAATCGGTCTTGGCGCCGTCGAATGAGAAATTTCTGCTTTCTCAGCATCTGTCATCGCCAGGGCTCCAAACTACCTAGGTAGATTCAATAGAGTCATTAATATCAACTCCTGCGGATCTTTCTGGCTTCGGCACTAACACTAACTCAACTGCCGTCTCATGCGTGGCTTTCGTTTCCCTGTGCGCCCAACATTCGCTCGCGCACACTTCATCTCTCCCTTCTCCTCGTATCTTTCTACTCCCTCAAGACTATCATCCAATTATCTAATGGGTGCTAAGAAAATGTCCACCTCGGACTCGGGCGAGGCTCCGCCCTTGTCCGCGAGTGATTTCCGCACTTATAACCGCATGTCCGAGCAAATGGAAGCATTTGTGAGCCTCATACCTGCCCGCAGTGGGCGCGTCCTCTAGCAGGTCGATCTCTGATGAAGGTAGCTAATTATTCTGTAGCATAGCCATTTCCGCTTGACATGGAATCAGCTCTGGGAGGCCTGTGAGAACAGTAACAAACGGGCGCTCTCGGCCCGCCAAATGATCATGATGGGCCTTCAATTTTGCTCGCAGTTGGACTTCCACCACTCCATCGAGGAGCAGCACATATTCCCAGTCTTGGCCAAAAAGATGCCCGAATTCCGAAAAGAGCTCGAGCTATTGAGTCAGCACCGACAGATTCATGCTGGGCTTGAGAAACTCGAGAAATATCTCGAGAAATGCCGCTCTGGCGAGGAGGACATGCGCCGTGACGAGGTCAAACGACTGATGGATGGATTTGGAAAAGTCTTGTGGACTCACTTGGATCAAGAAGTCAAGACGCTCGAGGCGGCCAACATGCGGAAATTCTGGACGCTTGATGAGATGCGGCGCCTCCCAATGTAATGATCAATATGGAAGAGCAGGATCTACTGTGTTTGAAGAAGCAAGTGATACCATGTTAGGAAATTCGAATGTTTGCATGTTTGGTTTCTGTCTTCTTGAGACCACTGGGCACTTTGATCCAAGGTCTCTGCTGTCCTGTTTTCTCTGCAAGCCTCCCCGTGTCCCACCGTCATGTTGGTACAAGATCCTGGCCCTAAGAACTCAAACGGAACCCCCGCGAGAGGCCATGGCCACTGAGTCTGAGCATGATGAAACGCATTCATTGACGGACGACACACGACACACATCAAACGAAATATGCGCGAATCAAGGGATCGGTCTTCCTGTCAGGTAGCCTGACAACTCTGGATACTGGTCAGCAGTTGCAGGACTAGCTTTGAGAGACCAAGCTCGCCATCCCAAACATGCCGTGCATGTTGTGAATGCCCGGTTTCCTTGAATCGTGTGTGCGCAAATCGTCAATTCAAACACAAAACGCTGTTCACGGATGTCATTGTGGAAGATCAGCCATTCACGGGAGATGTGAAACACCGAGGAATGTTGACTGTCCATACGGTATCCCTTGGCTGGCGAGTCGAACTGCGTCCCCCCGATGACGCCCTGAGTACCCATTAGCCTAGCCTTAAAGGCGTGTTTCGTTTCTATCCAACTTAATTTCCGTTTCGTGGGATTCTTGCCAAATTCTAAATATAATAGAATTCGAATATCCCCGGCTGAGTTCAGCAACACATCGGCCAGCTGGTCTGGGCGTGGGAATCGTTGTAAGCACACCGCAATATGGAAGATGAATTGAAAAACAACTTCAATCAGACAGCTACCGATATCGGACGCATTGAAAGTCTGCAGAATGTTGTTTTCCGGGCAATCTGTTGAGTCTCGTGGCTGAAAGAGATGCCGGAATATGGGGCCGATCGTCGTCGGATCCGTCGCTATCAGATGTTTCTGTCGTCGGGAATGCTTCTTTCCCCATGACACGCAAGCCGGGGTGAACTGCTTCGGTTAATCTCCATCTTTCTTGATGACGATAGCGGAAAGATAAACACGGGGTTAGAATATGCGCAGGCAACTCAGAAGAAAACTGACAAGATCAGCATGGCTCGTCACTCAGAAAGGCAAGGGTCTTGATTCTCCCAAAGCATCAGCCGAATGCCTGTGAAAACATGATTTTTTCTCCATTCGTTCGATGTCCTTGCGTGTTCACTGTGGCGGATTCATAGCTATGTCTCACCTGGTGCAGAGGGTCACCCACTACTCGGTACTATACTGGGATCTTCGTTTCCTCATGCGGATTTAACATGATGGCGTGCCGCTTGCGATTTGTATCAAACCTAGCATATAAGACTCTTGCAGGTCATTCTCACAACAAACCAGCTCTCTATCGTCCAATTCTATCTCCGTCCTTTCGCCCTCCAGCACCCAACGCACTCTCAACTCTAAATCTCCAAAATGAAGGTTTCTACTACGATCTTGGCCACCGCGATGCTGGCGGGTAGCGCCTTTGCCGCTCCGCGCAGCGGCCTGCTCGATCGCTTGTATGCGCGCGGTGCTCTGACACGCCGGTCCATTCCAGCCGAGAAAGACAGCACTCTGCTCAGGGAGGAGTCCCAGCGAGCCAATGTTGCATACAGCAAGAACTGGGCGGGCGTTGTCCGTGAAGATCCTCCTCCAAGTGCTACCTATACCGCTGTTTCGGCAACTTTCACTGTCCCAACGCCAACAGCAACCGACAACTCCAATGAAATGCAAGCCGTGTCCGCTTGGGTCGGTATCGATGGAGATACATACACGGAGGCAATTCTGCAGACTGGAATCGACGCATACGTCCAGAACGGCGAGCAATCTTTCGATGCCTGGTATGAATGGTACCCCAACAACGCGGAGAACTTCGACATTGGTTTGACAGCCGGAGATGTCATCGTCGCGATTGTCGAATCCTCCTCGCCAAGCGAGGGAGTTGCCATCATTGAGAACAAATCCAGCGGAAAGAGCGTCACCAAAACTCTCAAGGCGCCCTCCAGCACCGCCACTTTGGCCGGTCAAAACGCTGAGTGGATTGTGGAGGACTTCAACTCCGGCAGCACCATGGTTCCATTGGCCAACTTCGACCGAGTTGACTTCACCGGGGCTGAGGCCAGGGCTGACAATGGTCAGACCTTTGGTGTCAAGAACTCTGCTATCTTGGACATCCAACAAGATGGCGATGTGAAGGCTCACGTTGAAGTGACTGGTGACCACGAATTCTCCGTCACATACCAATAGAGCTAGGTTCGATTCATGGGGCATTCATTGATTCTTGGAGTTGGGGCATTGGCGTTCTGTGTGTGCGATTCAAACTTTGGAATCTTCTTTCTTAATGACAGACAATATTGCATAAACCTTCGGGTTCAGTTTTTAATTCTCTAATGAACGTGCATCACTTGATCACAATTGCACTAAAGCATGCTTGAACACATTGTCGGGGTCGTGCTGATTTTTCATGAGTTTCAAGAATTCGTACTTTTCCCCAAAGATGCCTTTCATATTCACTTTGCCTGGCTCAGTAAGGGGAAGGTAGGTTGAAGTCATTATGTTCGAAGGATCCGTCTTCATAAGATCTTCGTAAAATGCATGGGCCCAGACCAGTGCGGCATCAAGCAAATCAGCGTCACGCACTGTAGGTAACAACTCCATGACAAAATGCGGATGGCGATGCGCGACGAGGGTATTCACCGGAGAGATTGAAGCACAATCACGCAACTCATGCATACCGAATATGGTAGCTGGACTGTTGGGCTGTATAGCGGCATGTTTGCATATGACGTTGACCACTTCAGGGGTCAGTTCACGGAGACTCAACGTATATGATTTTCCATATACGGCCTGAGGGGCAATTGTCTTTGTGGATTCATTGAATACAGACATTGTCGTAGGCGCAACAGTGTTCATGGCTACAGGTGACCATGAGCTCACTTTCGACAGCCACGCATGTCCCGCCTCAAGGTCGGACGACGCCCAGACAAATATGATGCCAAAGGCTTTCCCAGTCGGGCCGTTCAAGACTGATTGGAAAAGATTCAGCTCTTTTGGAAGTTCTAATTCCTTCTGTTGACGATAGGCATCGTTGTATCTCTTAATTGTGAGAGGCAAATCTTCGGAGTCGTATACAACGAATCCAGCAAGCAGCTGTCACAACGATTAGCACTCCGATTAATCCAAGACAGAGATAGGCTGATACCTGGTTCAAAGGATAGACTTGAATGGTCAACTCGACAATGACACCCAGCGCTCCTCCTCCGCCTCGAATTACAGTCAACATGTCCTCATCCGCATTACGAACAGCTCCATCAGCACCGACCACTTTGGCCTGGAGAATCTGCTCAGCTCCCATGCCATATCCAGCACTCAGAAGACCATATCCCCCATGGGTTGCCCAACCAACGAATCCCACACTTGAAATGATGGGGTGCGGCACAACCATGCCATGCCGGTCAAGCTCCTTGAGTAGATCGAAGATGATGACCCCTCCTCCGATTCGGGCAGTCTGGTTTTCTCGGTTCACCTGGATGTTGGCGATCTCCCGCAGATCTATGGTTACAGTGTCTTTGATGTGAAACCGTCCAAACATATCACTTCCGCCAACTCGAACGGAAAAGTCAAGGCAATTTGCTTTGAGAACGGTGATCAGGCCAGCAACATCATCAGCCGAGCGAGGTCTCACTATTATTGCCGGTGCTGTAGAGTCAATCACATAGCCCGAGCGAAGATAGTTGAATCCCGGGGAGGAAGGGGTGACATAGTGAATGTGATGATTTTGATCGAGAAAGTTGATCAGATTTTCCATGGTGTACAGGTAGGGTAAAATGATTTGGGGCTTTGGATTTCCCTTCGTTTTCAATTCTTGTTGATTCTCTCTTTTTCAAGCCTGCGACCGAGGATGATCGGACGACGCCATGCGGACGGTTTTATGCCCGCTGCGATCGCGGAATAAGCGCAGCCTGCGCAGGTTCCCACCCCGCGCCTAGGACCATACAGATTTGCGGAGTCTCGATCCATATCCTGTTAACCTTGAGATTCTAGCTTCCCGCCAAAGTGACCGGCTGAGACGGTGCATTTGGGGGCCAATTTGTTGGCAGGCTTGGGTCCAATCATTTGCGCTCCACGGGGGCAAGTAATCTGTGCGTGCGACACATCATTTTTCTGATTACAGATACGTTCCGTATCCCGTTCATGCCTCTCTGTTGCTTGGCGTGGAGTGATCAGTAATCGAGGTCACACCCCGGTGGCCCCGGCCTGGGCATACTTGGGCGGTTGGATTGGAATGCTGGCAGGTGACCACATCGCCATAGCAACGCAGTCCGAGGAATTGAAAGACGTAAAGACGACCTTATTCGTGCATGCCAACTCGAATCTGTGCCAAAGCACGCCCTTGTACATTGCAGAGGTCTCGAAATGAACCGAGGGGAATGAATGACCTGAACTAGGGTAGCAGGGCAAAAGTCAGATGCGACAATGTGAAATGGTTGGTATTTTGGAGCTAACGAGCGACGAAGTAAACCCCGCTAGGGGGCTTGAGACTGAAATCCGGGATTTCGTTTATGTACATGAAGTGAAGATGTGGGTAAGTCACAGTAGGAAATTCGCAATCAGCTAAAGTGCGTGACACTGGGGAGGCACACTAAACAGGGGACGAAGGCTTGCGGTGCGGCTCAGGTTGGGAAAACATCGAGTAGAAGCGAGAGGTCAATGCACTAAGTGGCTGTTGGACCAAGGAGTTCCGCTGGGATGGGGCGAGCTCATCGCTGCAAGCGATGGGCTTGTCATCGGGGACAGCAGAGATGTGAGAGCGCGGAACAAGACCGGCTTCAGGAGAGTCGAGGCGGACTGCAACGGCCTAGAAGTAATGATTTGTTAGCAGGATGTTCACTTGGAAAAGGAGATGATGATTTCGGATACGTACCCAACCGTGGTCGTAGACCTGCAAGATAGTCAGACGTTGACCGGCGCGAAGATCGAGCTGACCTGGCTTTCCAGACTTATAGTCCATCTCTACAGTGTAGATCTTGTTCATCAATGGATTGACAGCGACAATGTTACCCATGCTAAGATTTTCGGCTGAGCCTTGGCCATAGAATTGGCCGAGGTTCGAGGTGGGAGACATGGGTCTTTCCTCGCTCGGGTGGTTCAGAGAGCTGTTACAACTCGACTTAGATCTGGTTGTCGACCACGAGGTGAACGACGACGCAGGTGGCGAGTAGTGCAAGGCTGGGTGAAGAGCCAGCTCTGGGGACTGAATAGGAATGATCGTGGGATGGATTTTCTCGCTGGTTGAAGCCTGGCGACTGGTTTGGCTAACGTGGGGGGAGTGGTGGCGCTTGGGTCTGAGGAATCCTGTTGCGGAACGCGCCATTCTGTGAGTCTGGGTGTAGCCTCTTGCCACGAAGTCGTTAACCTGGTGCATGTGTCTTTTCAGTCGCTCGTCCATGTCGGCTTCTCTTTGGTGGTGACCAAGGAGCTTGCGCAGACGCTTGCGCTTCTTGTGTAGAGGAACAAGAATGAGGACTGCAATCAGTCCCAGTGTGGCGATGACTGCCAGGGCAATACCCGCGCTTGCTGCGGCGGAGGTTGCTGTTGTACCCGATCCTTGGGACGAGGGTATGGCAGGGGGGCTAGTGGCAGACTGCGTGGTGGTGGTGGCCTGCTGGGCTTGTGTCTCCGTTGGTGAGGGCGATGTCGCAGACTCAACTGCCGGGCTCCACTGGGTGTTTGTGGGTGCCTGGCTCCAGCCAGACTGATCGATGTGGTCTGCTTGCATGCTGGGTCCGTGTTGTGCTGGTGCAGATTGTTGGTTTGATTGGGTTCCTGCCTGCTCCTGTCCTGACTGGGATTGGCCGCTACCGTAGGAGGACGAGCCGCTTTGCTGGCTTCCGCTTGACGGGCCGGACCATTGGCCATTGTTTTGGCTGTTGGAGCTCGTCTGGCCTTGCGAAGAGGAAGACTGGCTTTGGGAATCTTGTACTTGCTGTCCCAGTTGTGGGGAAGGATGTTGTCCCGAAGACGCTTGCTGTGTCGGTGAGTCTGCGCTACTTCCAGCTTGGGTAGACTGTGTGTTGGAGGTACTCGCTTGGCCGCCGGATGATGTGTTGGGATTATATTGGCCATTGTTTCCAGCACCAGACGAACTTTGCTGATTAGTCGATGGCTGCTGTCCGTTCGACGATTGCTGGCTGGATGACTGCGATCCTGCTTGGGACTGTTGGCTGGATGGTGATTGCTGGTTGGCCGTCGATTGTTGGTTGGCTGTTGATTGCTGGTTTGTTGGCGACTGCTGGTTGGTTTGCGATTGTTGGTCTGAGGTCGCTTGTTGGTTCGAGGATGGCCTTCCATTGGGATGCCAATAGCCATCATCCGGGGTGTCGGTGCTTTTCTTGCTTGGTGTTTGCTGATCCGATGACTGGCTCGAACCCTGCGGTCCATTTGGAGACTGCCGTCCTCCTGATGTCCCCAAGTTTTGCGTTCCGGGGCTTTCTGGGACTGGCGATGCCCAGCTCCGTTCCGCATTCAGGTTCGGGTATGCATTGTAGAAGCCTCGTGCCACACTTGGAGACATGATTACGTTGGGGTTAGATAAAAGAGAGACTAAAAGAAAATATTAAGCGGGGATGCAATAGCAGTCACCCGTGGTTGGCGGCGTTGAAAGATTGGCGATAGTTGGGCGACATGAACGATGAAGAGAAAATCCGAGGGTGGCGGTAGCTTCTCATAAATAACAAGCTTGTGGGACCTGCATTCTGTCGATCACTTTGGGGAATCGACGCTTGTCGCTGCTTGTTTGTTTGTTGTAGCATCGGTGCGCTGGGACATACCTACAATCTATGTCTTCCCGCTTGAGGTGGTATCTCCAGTCAGGATGATCACCGTATAAGAATTTCCGTGGAATGTAGGGCTATATCCACCACACCATGATATTCACACCTAACAATGCATTCTGCGTACATGCCGTGCTGAATCTTTGTCCTAAGGCACAGTCTACTTCAATTCAGCACCTATATAATTCTTAGCGTTGAGTTGCCATGGCTGGGAACTATCAGGCCTCAATCCTCTACCATTCCATGCTACCCAGCTCAGTATTCTCACACCTGGACTTTCACTTGTCGGTCACCTTTGCAGCAGCTTGCCAGCACCTATTAACAATGGACCAAATCAGCAGTTTTTCTCGCCAATCAAAAAGGGGAAGCATTCCAACTGGGGCACTGAACGAAAAGGATTGGTTGGCCCCCGAGGTGCCATTGCCGAAGAATGTACGTTCCAAATTCCTCTACATACTCTCGATACATAGAGTGTCTCCACTCGTGTGGTGACTCGAACCAATCAAGGGGCCGTAGTTTACCCCTTCCTTCCCGATGTCCAGTCGTATGCAAGAAAGACCTCCACCCCAGATCTCTGGGATCTCAGATAATCCAGGGATTTACAGCCTCGCCAATTGCAACAAAGGCTTCCTAGTGCTTGGTTCCGCCTGGGTGGGTACGATGCTCTTCAAATTCACCAAGCACAGTACAACACACCTGGGCAGTATGTTTGTACGGCTTGGTCCGGACAAACCAAATCAAACAGGCGGATACTTCTTCCTTCGTCTAGTTAAATTAACTCCCAAACAAATCACGAAATTTCGAAATTCCTGGGGACACTAAGTCCCGGTAATTCTGGAGGCGTAACGGTAGCTTCCTGTCGCTTGAGGTTGGCCAAGGAGTGCTATGCCGCTGTGTGCTTTGTTCTCAAATCATCTCCCTAGGTACACCCCCAACGTTCACAGCACGTATGTCAACCTTGGAACTCACCTATTCCGGAGCCTGCTCAAGTAGACCGAATGATAGGATAGATCGATGATATACATCTGCGCTTACTATCTCACGCTTCTCCTTACCTAAAACTACACTCAGACCACGCCGACACCTGGGCATACGGTCACAGGTCCACGGGTCCTTTTGTTGAAACCACGTGATTATTGACTCGGTGCCTGTATCTAGGTAGATCTTAGACGTACTACGTAATTCCTGCCAGTACTAGTATCCTTGTAACTAACTCATGATCATCTTTTGGCTAAATTTTGTACAAATATATTAGTAGTAGTTCTTCTAGCCACGCCCAAGATACAGCAAAGCTGGGATCCCCGGCTTCCAAGTTTGTTCCGAGGTCAGATGCTACTAGGTACCCGTGACCTAGGTAGACAGTGGGGATGTCGATGGTCCCAGCATAAATATATATGTCCATGATGGACCATCCAATTTCAAAATTTCAACCTTGGAAGTTTTTCATAAGCATCCTTCTTTACCTGAAACTTTTTGAAGTTTACCTACCTACTAGGTATGTATGAATAAAAAGCTTTCAATTTATCTCCAACGATCATCAATATCCACATAAGTTTATAGATGTCTGCTTTGTGCTTCCAAGGCTCACGCTGCGCAAAACCCGAAAGCTTGGACCACATGATCATGTGACCATAACAATCACAGCCCTGGAACCCTGGAGCAAGTGGCTGGAATGCTCTATTTACCTACCTAGTCAATCAGAAGTTTGATCGGACCGCGGACCTCGGGAATAGTACATTCAGATCACTGACGTCTCCGGGGTTCAGAATGAGCCACGCCCGGCCGGTAGTCAGGACCACATAGGTCTCTGTGAGCATGGCTGGGTAGAAGCCCTCTGCAACATTCCAGTGTCTCAAGGTCCCAAGGTTGGACCCAGGAAGATAAATGCAACCAAACTTAAATGCAAGGTTAGGTGGTGAATGTTACAGTTAAAATTTGCGTCTATCATGTCTATCTTCTCTATACTTATATCTATACAAAACCATGCAGGGCTAAGAAAAACTAGGACTTGCATGAAAACACTCCTCCGACGGTACCTTCGGCATAGGAGTTAATCTGTTGAAAGAAGGGTTAGTGCTTGTACAGACAAGAAATAAGGAGACACCACTTACGATGTCAACAATACTCGAGTAGGTTCCAGCGCCGAGGACGATCAGGCCAATGATCAGAATGAAGACGTTGACCACGCCAAGAACCCACTTCCAGCCCTTGGAGGTGCTATCACCGCGGATGAACATGAACCACATGATAGCCGGGAAATAGAAAGTGAAGCCGGAAATGAAGAGTGACGAGATCAAAGACAGGAGATCATCGAAGAAGGGAATGACCTCTGCCACAACGAACTCGAGAATAGTCAGGACTGTGACAACGGCGAGCCAGGTACCCCATCCAAGCTTTGTGTTGATGAAGCGGATGTTGGAGTCCTTGAACATACGGCCGTGGACAAGTCGACCCAGCACCACCGTGTTGATGGAGCCACTGATAAAGATGACTGGAAGCGCAATTCCGAAGGCAATTCGGCTCAGAAGGTTGCCAGCAGAAAGCAGAGCAGGGCTTGCAACATCCTGGCCAACGAAGGCGTACACCAAGGCACCGGTGATGGTGTAGATACCGATTTCCGCGAGACCGAGAGCCCACACAGACTTCGGGAAGTCAGTTGGCGTGTGCATCTCATCCATGAAGGAGAATTGGCACAGCGCGAAACTGTACGCGAAGATGATGTTGGAGAGAGCGATGAATGCCTCGGAGAAGGTAAGGTTGTCCTTGGGCCAAGCTGACCAGTTCACAGCTGCAAGGCCAGTCGATTGGCTGGACTCCACGCCGGTTCCGATGATCGTGATTCCGACGGCGATGATGATGGAAACAAAGTCGATGTATCCGAGAATAGCCATGTCGGAAAAGCTTGGGGGGATCGCAAGGAGCAACAAGATGATGGCTGAGATAAAGGCCCAAATGACGGAGCACATGATGTGGCCTCCAACAATGTTCTCGAATGCGATTTTGCCAGTGAGACAGTGAGATCCGGCGGACAACAACAGCTCCAGGCACAGCATGGCAAAGACGATTTCATATCCCCAACGACCAAACATCATCCTGCCTGCCTCCGGGTAGTTCGAGATCTGGGGGAATTTGACCTTGACCTGACCGATGATGTAACTGGTATAGACCGCGATGAGACCGATACCAACACAGCAGATGACACCGGCCACCATGCCGAGTTTCGCGAAGGTCGAAGGGATCGAGAGAGTTCCGAGTGCCACAGCCTCCACGATCAGAACGATAGTGAGGCGCTTCCATCCTAGCTGATTGAACTTCTCAACACCACTTTCATAAATTTGCTGCTCCCGGTCGTAAGTCAGATCGACCGGACCATTGTCCGGGAAGATCTTGCCCCCATCCTTCTTGATTGTTGACATTGGATGACCGTCGAACGTGGCGGGAGGACAGGCAGAGATGGAGGAGTGAAGATGGTCAGTTCCAAAATCGAAAATGGCAACCACCACCGCAAGCCCCAGCAGAAAAAAATTATGCGGGCGCGGCAAGAACCAATAGTCCGAATCTGCACCGGATCTTACCTTATCGGCGTTAAGGACCACAGTCGGCGCCTTCCTGAAACAGTGATCCAAATTTCGGTGAATCCTCTGGTCACGCCATCCGGTAGCCCTAGCTACCTCCCTAGGTGGGTATGGTTTTGGCTGTGGATACCGATGGTCAGTATACGAGCAGGCTACTACGTATAATATGCAATTCTATATTACAATCTGCAACAAGTTCCCGCAGTTCAATGTTTAACACCCCGTACGGAGTACTCCATGCAATTTTTGGAGATCAGCGCGATGTCGGGGTTTCACCTGGCATGTAGCACAAACGTCGGTACCCTAGCCAATTTGGCTTAGAAGCTTAACTCTTGAATATTTATAGAGTACGTTGTTCAGAAATGGAAGGTGACTAAGTACATGCTACGTTACTCTATCCTACTATTAGTACCTAGCAGAATTTTTTCCATTGAGCACCGACATCGCTCTTTTACACCTTCTGCCTGGATATAAACGGCACCGTTGAGCCGATGTGGCACTCGGCATTCCGTATTACGGAGAACGTCCGCGTGCTTTACTTCCATGGAGTTGGGGTTTTTTCTTCTTTTTTTTCTTCTCCCGAGTCTTTTTTCGCCACAAATGGGGATTCTGTGGCAAATAAATACATATGATTGGTCGTATTACAAATAAGCTCCACCTACACAACCATGGGCTGATCAGGGGCAAGTCACGTGTACATATTCTTATATCACGTGGTACCGCTCTCGTTCCAAGGATCACTGGGCATGGCGCTTCCGCGGACATCCATGTAGTATGTAGAATGCCTCATCCTGCGTACTAAAAGGCTGAAGACGTGAAAATGATAGCAGGCAAAATAAAAGTGCATCGGCGACTACCCCTTCGTACCGATCTAGGAAATTGAGAGGTCGTTCAAATGGAACCATGAGTCATAGTTTCATTTGACTTCACTAACGGATTTCATACACAACTTGAGGATGATCCCGTTTGACTTGGATATACAGCCTGGCTGTCTATGACTACATTCTCATATTCATAGTTTACTCTTATCCCTCCACCTTCCGCCCCATCCTAATCATGGTGATCCACATAGTGCGCGCACAATTTCCCGAAGATGCCGAACCAATTCGATCTCTGTTCTCCGGCTATGCCTCATCGCTTGGCATTGACTTGACATTTCAGTCCTTCCAAGAGGAGCTGGACTCCCTTCCCGGAAAATATGCAGCGTCACAAGGGGGTGCTCTGTTGATCGCAAGGCAGACTGTTGACCCGAGTTCCACACAACGCGACTCAACGCTTTCCGCCCCACCGCTCCCGCGCGCGTCTCAGGTCTTAGGCTGTGTAGCCCTACGCCGCAGTGCCGAGGGCTGGGGTGAAATGAAGCGGCTGTACGTCCTCCAAGAAGCGCGAGGCCAGCGCCTAGGCGATAAATTGATCGACGCGATTCTGGCACAGGCCAAGGTGCTGGGCTACAAGGGGGTTCGATTAGACACGCTACCCCAGATGTCTGCAGCGCAGGCCTTATATCGCAAGCATGGATTCGTGGACATTGTGCCGTATTATGAAACTCCGATCCAGGGCACTGTCTTCATGGGTCATGACTTCTAAATTCATGAGCGATGGAAATAAAATCTACGCGTATGGCCATTCTTTCTTGGTCATGTTGAATATTCTTCCTGTTAATCGAGCTCTGCTCAAGTATATATTTCAACCATGCACGGGAAGCACAACAACCCTCCAAGTTTCAAGGTCGGAACTTCAAGGTTAGGAAATGGAGACCAAGTCTCTAGCGGCGATCGTCCGACCTCCAGTCGACACAAGAATTTATTTCACACTTTACTGTTTCAATTCATTTGTTGCCTTTCCTTTCTCGTTCCCACCTGGGCACTGGGCATAGCCCAACCTTGAAACCTTGGAAACTGGTCCGCGGGTGCTGCGTGCTCAAATGAAACAACTTACACCCGTGGACCTTAAGGTTTCCGATTTTACTCAGACATCCCACCTGGAATTGAAAATCAACACTAGCCTTGAAGTGCATATAGGTATCTAGGTCCGGAAAAAGTAGGTTGGCCGTACAGGGGAACACGCGAACAACAGGGATGCATTGCCCAGACCCTTGATGCCTGAGGCCATAAATGCCCAGGTGCGCTCGGGCCAATATCAGTCGCGACCCCGGACTATCCGATTGAACCCCTGGGGCCCCTTTCTTTCTGTCGAGGGGGTTTGGGAGATCAAAGATGTCGACGGGATATTTGAAGCCGGAATATTCGGACCCGGCGCTGAGAAGAAAGCCGGTATCCAACCCAAACTTGCGGGCTACGGCGCGTGCCGATCATCGGGTGACAGCTGCTGCCAGTACCCCGACCCTAGCACCCTTACAGCCCCCATCTTATGAAGACCTATATGGCCCACCTCCCAGGACCCCAAGAATCCCAAGGACTCCAAGTCCAGGCTTGCCACCGAGGCCTCGGACAGCTGGACCAACAGCATCGCCAGCCCCTCAGGCTCCAACACCAGTGCAAAAGGCATACACCGAAGCTCGGCATTTTCTCGGTGGCCTCATCAATCATCCCACGGAGTCAAACAAGCATGTCACTATTTTACGGCATTCTCATGGCTTAGTCTTTTATCGTGGAAATACAACATCAGTTGCGATTTCAACCTTCTCTGATACCCCTTTACCACCCGACCGTACCTTATGGCTACAAAACAGGGGATGGTCCGGCAACACGGGGATGCAAATCAAATCATTTCTTCGTCTCAGGGACAGCTGGCTGGATGTGACGCCTGGAATGCCGTTAAGGGCAGACCAAGTTTCCCCAAATGACGAGCGAGCCTGGCAACGTGACGTGAAGAAATTCCGGAAAAAGGCAACCACTCGGCCACGCAACACACATGAGTTACGGGAAACCTGTGTGGTACGTATACCTGCCGAAGCAGGGGACGGCTATTTCCAGCTGGTACTCTGTCAAGGACAGAAGAAAAAGGTGCTCGGCAACAGTCCAGTATTCCGCGTGCTGTCCACGTCCACTGCCCCGAGCTCTATCCGTGGCGCTAGTTTGACCACTCTACCAGTGGAGGTTGGAGCCATGGTGCTGAGTGTCTATGCCCAAACCGCAGCTCGTACTGCGGCTGCCCCAGCAGCCGTGGCGATTCAAGCCAGGGTAGATCGTCTGGCCCCTTCTAAAGTGACAAAGGCCGTGGCCCAAAAGGTGTATACAACCAGTGGGGCCCAGAACCGTGTTGGTGGTATAATCAACGGGCCTCATGGTCCCATTGGCCAGTTTCGGCCAAACCCGACAGCCCCGGAGCTCACAAGGAATGAACCAGTCTCTATCGATGTTGGGCCTCAGCCACCATTCCCAATGTCTCTCAAAGCTCGTTGCCAGCCTGCTCAATTGTCATCCCTGGAGGGAGAGGAAGAACCGCCAAGATTGAACTTGACAAGGATCCCGGAATGGGTAACAGACCAGCTGAGAGGTTACTATTTCGGATGGGCTCGTTTTGACATTGCATCCGGCAAAGGTTCTTCGACGAGCCCATGGTGTCCGGCCATCCTGTCCGTCAGGGCGATGGATCCTCTCCAGGCAGCCAGAGTGAACCTGGCACAGATTGCCAAACGCACGGTCGCACTTCGCCTCCTCCACAATGTGTCTCCACAGGCCGAAAAAGTCGAGGTCCGTATCTTAGGATACCTCCGAGCTGAGATTCCTCCGCCGACCGGAAACACAAGTCAGCAATTGGCCGAGGCCCAAGCTGCAGCCATGGAGGCTGCGATGCTTGCCGACGTGTACGATGCATCAGTTGTGCAAGACACACTCGCCCACCCGGCATGGGCTGCGGAACACCACACTTTGGACCTTCAACAGAATACGAACTGGATTGACCGCACCCAAGAGGGATTCGCCAACATCATCACACGTGGGCAAAAGTTGGTCGAGCAGGTTCCATTGCACAAAATCGGAGTTCGATCGGTAACCGATGAAATCAGAGAGAGTCAGATCGCTGTGAATGGATTCTTCATTGTCCGGTGAGCGAAAAGCTCGACACAATGCATGTCTCTAACTGCATGGCAAATTTGAATATGTACAGTACCACCTATATAATCTAACCATCCACCAAGTGATTGGGGACCACAATCCACATCATACGATGACATATAAAACGCAAAAATCACGAAGTCCCACAAAACCACAAAATCCCCGCGCGATGAACGCCATGTCATTATGCATATGATGAATCAAGGGCCGACTGGAGGCTCAGAAGCCGCCAAATTGCACTGACGGAACAATCGTACCTCGTCTGGCTTGAATGCACCTACGACCGAGTGCAGCACACCACGATTGTTGAACAAAACCAGATCATCCTCCACCCAGTCGTGAGGGTACACATATTGCGGACTGATAGCCGGCCGCTGTAAATTATAAACAATATCACGGACCCGGGCCAAGTCATCGATCGTCGTTCCATCCGCACAGTGAATCCGAAGAATGGCAGACGGATGAATCTGCAGAGCCAACTTGCCCGTCACAGGATTCTTCCAAGTCATGGGGAACACCATGATCTTGCTGGGGTCAATAGGTGGCAAATCCGAGTCTGGCAGCTCGAGTCCTTCTGAGTGCAGACCTAGTCCTGTGGAACGAGAGCGAGCCGCACTCATCCAGATGTATCTGCAACGAGTGTCAATAACAACGGAACTGAAAAGAGATATCTGAGTCTGATCTTACGGGTGAGGTGCATATTCGATCTTGCTCGTTCGGACGAATTCTTTGTCTTCGGGGGAGAGAAGCTCGTACATCCGCTCGCCGCTCACGAATGCGGTTGTGCCCAGGGGCACGTCTAAGGTTTCTCCAGTTCCATCGTCATACAGAAGTGTTTGACGGCGACCCTTTGGTACCTTGACAGCTAAGAGTGTCGTCACTTGAGGCGGGTATAGGTCATACAGAGCGGCATCAATATGCCAGCGATAGAAGCGAGTGAAGTCATAATCCTTGTCATCGGGGATATGATCATGGTGAAATGTTCGATGGTGAGGGTGGCGCAACTGGATGTCCTTCAAGCCTTCATATGACTGAACTTGTCCATTACCAATCACTTGGACCTGCGGCCGATGAGGCACGGTCTTGAGATCCGGATGCAAAATGCTTCTCTTTGTATCGATGGTCTTACCGTGCCCATAGTTCTCGGAGGCTGGGTCAAAGCGCTTCGTCAATTCATACTGGGCCTTGGGCGAGAGTCCTTTCTGGTCCTTGAACACCACTACATGATGCTCATAGAGAGCCTTTCGAATCATTTGGAATTGCTCATCTGCTGTGGATTAGCCGAATGCACTTCCAAGGGTTGTCTTGTACCAACCATTCAAGTTTTCTAAGTCAACGCCTCGAATCTCAGCCCCGAAATCAATGTCCGACCCAGATGGACATGGCAAAGGTGTGACAGTGAGTGGTAGTACAGCCATCGTGTCAAGCTGTTGATGCAATGCAACGATCTCTGGGTGTAACAGGCGAGAGAATGTTTCTCTTGAAACAGCGAAGTGTTGGGAGTTGATGTGTTTCTAAAATCCAGACAGAGAAGGAAAATGCCTCAGAAGCAGGATTTGCCACTGCTCAAATACTCAACAATGTGGGTATCGAATATGCAAATGTATGGAGTTATTGGATGTCCAAATATGATAAGGCGGGTGAGTGCGGGTAACACGCCCGCTGTTGTTCTCATTTTCATATGCTTCTACCTACAGCCATCTAGTCACGCATCATCAAGGTGCCCCTTGCGCAAATATTCATTACAATTTGTCAAGTTCTACGTATGGTGGATCGCTGACAGTATGTAATTGTCTCCACCTGGGCAAGTTTGCAAACTGGCACTTCAATATGATGTTCCGTGATTTTATACAAAAGGCAGTGCTGTTTCGGCTATGAATCATCATTCCGTAGCCAAAGTGTATCGTTCCCAAGTCAATGCTTATGTGGCTTTATACTGCTCGGATTAGATGATGCTGTCCGAGCATGAGTTTCTCTAGATGTAGATCATTGGGAGTGGACCCCGTCCAGAGTATGGGGTTCGGCAAGGAACCTGTGCATGCGGCAATGAAGTCATACATAGCGAGGGAACAGACATGCTTGAGTGATATTTAGACACGCAAGGTATGAAATCAGTTGAGACTTTGACCACCGGTAGACCTACATTAGAAGAGTCCGGATGAGTTTGCTGCATGGGAAGCCCTGGAAAGCTCGGAGGCTTGTATCATCGGGATTTCCCTTAGTGATGTCACCAGGAGACTGACAACAGAGCAAAGAAATACCTTTTGCAGTTCTCAAGTGATGGCTCACTAGCATAATGGCCGATTGAGTGTCGGGATACTAGACACAACCACAAAGACTTGGCTTGGATCTTCTGGCAAGCCACAGGGTGCCATTTTTTAGAAAATGCTTTCTGCGAGCTTGATTCCTGAGCGATACTCTGGAGTGAGATCTGCAGACCACGGAACGAGTGTGACGCGAAGCTGGTCGCGATACTTGCCTTCGAGGCGAAGGCTCTCATAACAGGCAATCGTCATGGCAAGATTCTGAGGGAAACCCGACCAAGTCAGGCCATTTTGCGTAGAGACCTCAAGCGCTCTGATCCAGGATGGAATACTCCATGGTCTCAATTCGGGTGAGCCAAGAATTTATTGTCAGTTACGTTTGAGAGCTCAAGGCTCTTATACCGGAGTCGAGATGCTCGTGTTTACGGAAACTGCCAAGTCCGAGGATTCGATGCTCAAAACTGCACCTCGTCACATCGAGGATGGAAAAGAGCGATGCTGCTGTGATCTCCCTTCGCCCGGAATTATGAAGACCCCCACTTTGACCTTGTATGTACTCCTGCTTCAAGACCTGATCGTCATGGCCTGAGTATCGGATGACCTCCGACATGTTCGCTGATGCCGCCGAGCTACACAGCCCTGGAGATCACCTCACGTACTTTATGCCAACAAGTATGCTATATAAGTTCCGGCTTTTCTTCTCCTTCGTCTACAGTACGACACAGTTCGATAATTGTCGCCGAATATTCACATCAATATGAGCATGAAAGCATTAGTCTACACAAGGCCCGGGACCGTGGAGCTTTTGGACCGCCCGATGCCCACCGTGCAGGCCCCTACCGATGCCGTTGTCCGTTTACTACATGCCTCCATCTGCGGCACAGACTTACACATCATCAAAGGTGATGTTCCCAGTATCCAGCCAGGCCTAGTCCTCGGACACGAAGGTGTCGGTGTCATTGAGGCTCTTGGCTCTGCAGTCAATGCCTTCGCCATCGGAGATCGCGTCATAATATCTTGCATGACCTCCTGCGGAGCGTGTTCCCTTTGCCGACGCGGTCTCCCCGCGCACTGCACGAACGGCGGATGGACGCTGGGAAACACCATCGACGGCACCCAGGCCGAGTACGTCCGCGTGCCGCATGCAACCCTTTCACTACACCGGCTGCCACCGTCCATTGACCCCCGCGCCGCGGTCGCCGTATCAGATGCCTTCCCCACCGGCCTCGAATGCGGTGTGTTGAGTGCGGATGTCCAGCCCGGGGGCTCGGTCGTCATCGTCGGCGCAGGGCCCGTGGGAACAGCGGCCCTCCTCACAGCTCAACTGTATTCCCCCGCGTTGATTGTGGTGGTGGATCTGGACGAGAAGCGGCTCGCCACGGCCCGCAGGCTGGGCGCTCACGCGACGGTGAATTCGGGATCGGCGGACGCGGAACAACAGCTCATGGATCTCACTGGGGGTCAGGGATTCGATTCTGTCATTGAGGCGGTCGGGATCCCGACTACGTTCGCCTTGTGTCAAAAGCTGGTTAGCATCGGGGGCCGCATTGCCAATGTGGGTGTGCACGGAACCAAAGTGGATCTTCACCTGGAGACATTGTGGGAGCGCAACATCAGTGAGTCCACCCCCGTTGTTTCGGGTTGTACTGACACCTCAGGCATCCATATGTCACTGGTCAACGCTACGACGACACCTCGTCTCTTGCGACTAGTGGAATCGGGACAGTTGGACATTGGCTCCTTAGTGACCCATCGTATGTCCTTACGTACTCTACCAGTTTCGCTTCCAAGGTTGGATGGAGCTGACCCTCTAGACTTCCCCTGCACCCAGGCAGCCCAGGCCTACGATACATTCCAAGCAGCCTCTCAGCATCAGGCGCTCAAAGTGGCGATTGATTTTGGACTCGAGTCCAGTAGCTCGGAGTCGACGAGCATCTAGACGTACTGGTAGACGAGTGGTTTTCTGGAAGTCGAAAACAAGGACTGTACTTGCGGGATGGCCAACTTGCCGTGAATCGGCGCGTAAGGGCACTTTCGGCCCAGTTCTGCGCTGACTCCGTTAGCGTTTGGCTAGTCTCTGCAACCCCTAGGCCTGTTATCGGAGTCTGATTTGCTCGGTGGTCTTTTCCAGACGTGAGCAAGGTTGACGCCCGTCAGATAAACTTCGCATGAAATGGCCCGTTGACCAGATATAGATTGAGATCCGGGAATGGTAGCTCTGGTAGGGGAAACAATACCACAATAGGCATATCAGATACGGACGATTTGAAACCTCCGTGAGATTAAATCCAGTAGTCCCTCGCCCCCACTACTGCATCGGTGGCTTCTCGAAGGCTTTGAGAGGCTGAGCCCAGCGAGCCAGTGTGAGCCAGTTCCAAGGAGCCAGTCACAGGCAGTGCCACTCGTGGGAAAAGTAGTATGATTGGCCTCTCCATCCCTGTCTCGGCCCCGTACACGTTGGCCCAAACCCTATATCGGTGTGGCTCTCACTTGGCCTATGGGCGTTTTTTCTTTTTTCTTTTTTCTTCTTCCAAGGTTAGTCTGTTTTATCTGTATCTTTTATCGCTTTTATCGTGTTTTTTTTTCCTGGAGGGAAGTTAGTATTAAAGCTGGGCATTCCTCCTTCTTCTGTTCCTGTTTAATTCCACTCATTTCGGCCCCCTTGAAAACCTCCTCTGCGCCATATGCAGATTAATCACACGATCTAATCTTTTGTTACTGTTGCCATGGCCGGTGATAACGGGCTCCGTCGCCCCTCGCGGGTGTCGGTCGAGCAGGGCGTGGCCACCACGAACGCTGATCGAACCCTCGAGGATATGGGATACAAGCCTGAGTTATCCCGCAATCGATCCGTCTGGCAGGTCACCTTCATGTGCTTCATTCTCTCCTCCGTGCCCTACGGTCTCTCTACTACCTTATACTACCCACTCGTCGCCGGAGGCCCCGCCAATGTCATCTGGGGCTGGGTGATTATCTCGTTCCTCATTCTCTGCGTCGCCATCTCCCTTGCTGAAATCACCTCGGTGTATCCGACCGCCGGCGGAGTATACTACCAAACCTTTGTGCTCTCTCCGTTGTGGTGTCGTCGCGTTGCATCGTGGATTTGCGGGTGGGCGTATGTGGCAGGAAACATCACCATCACCCTGGCGGTGAACTTCGGAACCGCCCTGCTATTTGTCGCCTGTCTGAACGTGTTTGAGACCTCGACCGGTGCAGGGATCACCGATGATTTCACGACCTATCAGACGTTCCTTATCTTCTTGGCCATTACCCTGCTGACCCACGCGATCTCGGCATTTGGCAACAAATGGCTGCCCTGGTTGGAGGTACATTCCCTGGTGACCCGGATGCGAAAGTATACTGACGATCGGTAGACATTTGCGATCTTCTGGACGATGGCCGGATTGCTCGCTATCATTGTCTGCTTGCTCGCGATCGCCAAACAAGGACGCCACAACGCCGCCTGGGTCTTCGGACACTTCGAACCCCAGGCTGGGTGGCCGGCAGGATGGTCATTTTTCATCGGTCTGCTGCAGGCGGCGTACGCCACCTCGGCGACTGGCATGATTATCTCGTGAGTTTCGAATTCCGCGAATGGCGATTGGCCCGACACTAACCGCGTTAGTCTCTGTGAGGAGGTCCGAGAGCCGGCCGTTATGGTCCCCAAGGCCATGGTCGGAACCATTGTCATCAACTTCATCGCCGGTCTGCTCTTTTTGATCCCCGTCTGTTTCGTGCTGCCCGATTTGACCTACTTGGTCAATTTGGCCTCGGGTCAACCCACCCCGGCCATCTTCAAGGCTGCCATCGGAAACAACACGGGCGCATTCTGCCTCTTGATCCCCCTGCTGGTCCTAGGTATCATCTGTGGCGTGGGCTGTGTGACGGCTACATCGCGCTGCACCTGGGCCTTTGCGCGTGATGGAGGTATCCCCGGGTCTGGCTGGTGGAGCCAGGTTCACTCGAAACTGGACATTCCCTTCAATGCTCTGGTTCTGGGAATGGTGGTAGAAATCATTCTCGGTGTGATTTACTTCGGTTCCACCGCGGCGTACAATGCATTCTCTGGTGTTGGTGTCATCTTCCTGACTACCAGTTATGCTTGTCCGATTGCCGTTTCGCTCATCTTCCGCGGTCGCGAAGATATCAAGAATGGCAGCTTCAACTTCGGTGTCTTCGGCTTGATTGCTAACGTCCTTGCCTTGGCTTGGAGTCTTCTTGCGATCCCTCTGTTCTGCATGCCCACTCTCAAGGTCGTTACCAAGGAAAGCATGAATTATGCTTCGGTCGTGTTCGCTGGATTCATCGCCATTGCTGCGATCTGGTACGGTGTGTGGGGATACCACAACTACCGTGGACCTCCAACTGAAGCCGTCGAGCATGAGGGGTCGTCGTCCCCTGTACCCACGACCTACGATGAAGTTGTGCCCAAGGTTACCCCTAAGAAGCTTTGAGGACCAGCTATAGCGAAAACGTTCACAACACCTGCCATTGGTATGGATTATCTTAGCTCTCACAAGGCGTTTGAATGGTTTGGAGGATCACATTCTAATGTACATCAAAATATACCCACCAAAAATATAATACTCCAAAGACAACGGTTTCATCCGCATCTGGCTCTCAGCCTAATCACAAGTCTTCCAAGGTTGGAAGCCATAAATTTGACCTCGGGAATCTCATTCAGCCGAAGAGTAGCCAGGTCACCTGGGCAGTTCACAAATGGTCCCAAACCTAAGAGTTGATATCCGCGACGTGATCGGTCACCAAGCAAGTGAATTCACTGGTGCCATAGTAGAATGTGTTGCCATCGTCGGGCGACAGTCCGTAGCTCAGCGTGTCGCCATACTGCCAGTAAAGATCACCCGCGACCCCGACGGTGTCCAGGGCCGTCTTCTGCCACGGCTTCTCAATCGCGCAATGATTGGACGTGACTCCATACTCTTCAAACAAGCATGGCTTTCCGGCCGCGGCACAAGCAGCACCGTGGGACTTGGCCCACCCATTGCCCCAGTCATTCGAGGTTCCCCCTGACATAGACACGTTAGCAAGATTCGGTTTCCGTCACGGTATAGGAGACATACAGCTTGAGGGGTAGAGATGGAATGTTCCGAAGTCAATATCTTCAATCTCAAGGTTCTTCGCAAAGTCGAGGCCCTCCCCATAGCTGTATGGATAAGAGCCGTCAGATCCAGTGTCAAGTCCGAAGCCCTCTAGGAAACATTGTCAGCCAACAATCGAACCAAAAACCACCTCAAGATGGGTGGAGCCTTCGTACCATCACCAATAGCCAGCATATGCTTAGAGTCCAATGACTTGATGTAGGCACTTGTCGTCTTAATCCAGTTGTAAAGAACAGAGGTGTCACACCCGTTGCAGCGAGGCTCATTAGCCAACTCCCAAGCAAAGACCGCAGGAGAGTCCTTGTACCGAGACACAACCTCCTTGATGTAAGCCTGGTAAGCCTTTTGAGCAGCGGTGTTCGTGTACCAAGTGGTTTGGCTACCGCCGAAGGCGCTGACATAGGCAGCCATACCACCGTAGTCAGACCAGTTGTTCACAAAGTTGATGATGAGCTTGACGTTGTGGGCTTCGGCAGAGGCGACCACGTAATCCAGACGTTGCAGACCATCTGCTCCGGTGTTGATGGTGGCGGTTCCATCCTTGAGGAGCTGGTAGTAGACGGTACCAGCGGATGGGACGGTGTTCACATCGTTGAATCCCCAGACACGTAGGATTCGGAGTCCGGCTTCATCCATGTGATCGAACACTGTATCCACATCATCGTTGTTGGTCAGGAAGCCAATCCAGTATGAGTTTGAGCCTGCGAAGTAGCTTGTTTTGCCGTCGATCTCGAATTGGATTCCGTTGGTTGTGGGAAAGCTTGTTCCACCGGGGTTGGCGGCGGTTGTGGTTGCCTTGGTCGTCGTAGCAGCGGCAGTTGTGGTCGTTGACGTTGATGCCTTTGTCGTCAAAGTGGTACCTCCATCGGCAGCTGGAGTGAAAAGTTAGCAAATTGAGATCGGTCAAGGTGGTTCTGGGTACAAACCTTTCACACATTGACTGTACCACTCATTCTGGTACTGACAAGTCCAGCCTGAAGCACATGTAGTTGAGCCGGAGTAGCCGCTTCCACCACACTGGCTATACCCGGCAGCTTGGGCTGAAGCCAAACTAGCCAGTCCCAAGAATGAGAGGTTCTTCATGATCTCAACACGAAAGCTATGCAATGCCCGGGGTGTTGGTACCTAGGAATGGGGACATCAGAATAAATATACTCCGGCGCAGTACACAGATCTTGATCCCAGAACGGCAGCGGTCCGCCTTGAATTAGGAAGTCAAATTATTCCATCGAGTTATAGACATCAGACCACTGTATACCCTGGACAGCCACATGGGCAGGACTGTGTGTCCGTGATGCATGGGGAATGATTGAGGAGGTGGCCCTCATCCCGGGCACCCCACGATTCGGGAGGAAAGGAGCCGGCGAGAGTTAACATCAAACCCCTGCAATTGTGCGGAGATCAGAGGAGCTAGAGAGCTAGAGATGCGTGAATAGATTGCGGTCGCGGGGAAGTCTCCCGCTGGGGATGCAGGGGAATGAAGAGCCACGCTTGTCTCAATCCGTCAAGGCGTTGCACCCGCGGGGTTGAAGAATACCCCAGTTTATGATTAGATGAACGTCATTTTCAAGATTGGGAATTGACTGTCTCCCAAGAATTGGTGTATGCATTGAGGTATGACGGATGAAAGTGTGTGCTTCAGACAAATCGTAATTCTCACAAAGATCACAGACGGACACCTTCATCCATGGATGGGAGCTTCGGATGACAAGGGCATGGAACAATGCATTGCATGACATCTGGCTAGGACATCTACTGTACATTTTTAATCAGCCCATCGCCACATGGCCACTCGATTAACTATATTCCGTTTGTCTCACAAACCCCGAAACCCCGTCAACCGCCTTGACCGTTATTCTCCAGAGTGGGTCAGAATCTGAGATATGAACGCCGGCCAGTTGTGTACGGCTAGACGGCGTCAACAGGACACATCGCTTAGCGAACAAGCTTTCCGAAGATATCCCAGTCGGTATCCCGCGGATTCCACTTTTCCAAGACCTTCGGGTGCGGAGGGTCTAGATGGAGGCGAATGAGCTCGGAGTACGGGCAGCGCAGCTCGCTACCCGACTCTGTTCTGACGGGGCATGTCCGATCCAATTTCTCATTTTCGCTGCTAGTTTTCGTGGTTCAATCAATCATTTGAGCGGGTTCCCTAGCCGAGACTTGACCCCGACTTGGCGTCGGGATTCTCTTACAGAAGCCCAATGGTGGAGAAGCCGGAGTAGTGCTATTCCGTGAGAGCCCTGGAGGTATGAAGTGCTGACGAGTTCAGAACTTGAATCCAGGACTTACATGGAGGTAAAGACTGGTACCTCAACCCCATTGTCCTGACCGCTGATGGAAATTGAAGTGCAAATGGGGGCGGGATGGAAACTACGGGGACTTGAGTTCTGGTGGAGTGAGAGGCAGGGCAGCCGTGTACAGTATGTACTCCGCTCAGCGCCATTACCTAAGGAATATTGACTATTCCCGAGGTGCCTATTGGATATTATCTCAATAGTAAACCATTTCGGACCTGCCTAGGTGGGCTACTTCGAAGTACATGGTACTGTACATCGCCCCCTTACAAGTACTGCAGCATGAGATCACCAGTTTCACCATAAAACAATCAACATCCATAGTAGTACATATAAATATGAAGATAAAAAAGAGGCAGGATTTCTGCAATGACGTATGGGCGCCGGGTGTGGCGCGGGAGGAAAAACTCGGCATCGGCATCATTTCATCGGAATACAACTACACGTACGGAGTGCACGCCGAAGTGCGGGATTATATTGAAACCCTGGGGCTGAATTGGCTGCATTAGTGCGCGCTTCTTCCAATGCAACCAGCATGTGGGATTAGAAATCCCAAGGGGGTCACCCCCAGACTCCGCATTTCCCCTCCCGGCTCTGGAGATGACATGGCCTCTGGGGATATTTTCACCGGGACACCGATCGGGTATGAGCTGAGTTGAGTCCGGAGAGAAACCGGAGAAGGGGGCCTGGGGTCGGAATCCTCGGGATTTCGCTGACACACGGCCCACCGCGATTTCTCCAGACTTCCAGAAGGATTTATCCGACCTGCGCACTCGAGGGAATGCAACTGCGTGCTCGCCACGCAGGGGAATCCCAATAGATTTCTCGGCTCCGAAAACGTTTGGGCGTTCATGAACCTTATCATCTCCAGGCGATCAGCGTGCTCTGTCCTGGGGTGCAACGCGGGTCGGATTTGCCACTGCCCGACCTGGACCTGTCCGGGCAATCGGCTATCCGCTTGAATGGCGAACCACAGCCGATGACCACATGGAACTCACCCTGTATGGTCGTTTCGGCTGCGTGTGGAGTGGCCCCGGGCCGTGCGAGTGTCGGCTTCGGCCGGCTTGTTGCCTGTTGGTTGGCCGTCATCCTCGTTGAAGCGCACAGCATACGGCGGACATCGTCATCTCGCACGACTCGTCTCTCCACAATCCCCTCTCCACTTCGTCCCCAGTGGATTGGTTGGGCCTTTTTCATTATTTTTTATTTCCGAATTTTACAGAAATTTCAGGATTCTTTGCGACTCGGTGTTCCAGTGGCCAATCTACAAAAGGGCCCCTATTCCCCCATGTTCCCCGATATTTGTTCCCCATGGGCTTGTTTCCCTCTTATCTTTCTATTCTATTCTTCAGTCATATCATTTGAGCTGGTCCTCAAGTCCCCCTTTTTGTCTATATGAACCTTGAACAAGACAATCTGTTATAACTTTCACATACACCATGGGCGTCGAATCCTCTGCCCATCATGGGGAGTCTATCACCCCGGCTCAACAGCCAGGCTATGACTCCTCTTACCAACCCACCCAGGAGCAGAAGCCAATGCGGCCTGCGGGTGTTGACACCCCCATTCCTCGCATCACCCTGCGGTCCCTCGTCATGGCCCTCTTCGTCTCCATGGGAGGTCTTCTTTTCGGATATGATACCGGTCAGATTTCTGGATTCCAAGAGATGAGCAACTATCTCGAGCGGTACGGTGAGATGGACTCCAACGGTGACTACAAATTCAGCACCGTGCGTTCTGGTCTCATCGTCGGTTTGCTTTCCATCGGTACATTGATCGGTGCCCTGGCCGGTGCCCCCATCGCGGATAAGCTGGGCCGCAAGTGGTCCATCACCCTCTGGTGCATGATCCTCAACGTTGGCTTGATTGTGCAGATCTCTTCCCCAGATGGCCACTGGTACCAGATGGTCGTTGGCCGTTGGGTCACTGGTCTCGGTGTTGGTGGTTGCTCGCTCCTCGTCCCCATGTACCAGGGTGAAAGTGCCCCCCGTCACATCCGTGGTGCCATGATCAGTTGCTACCAACTGTTCGTGACCCTCGGTATCTTCCTGGCTTACTGTATCAACCTGGGTACCCACAACATGGATGGCACTGGCCAGTGGCGCATTACCCTTGGAATCACCTTCCTCTTCGCTCTGGTCCTTGGTGGCGGTATGGTTTTCTTCCCCGAGAGTCCTCGTTACGAGTTCCGCCACGGCAAGGCTGAGAGTGCCCAGCGCACCTTGGCCAAGCTCTATGGTATCCCCGAAAACCACAACCGCATCTTGGAGGAAATGGATGAGATCCGCGAGCAGTTCGAGGCCGAGTCTGATGACCAGAAGTGGCACGAATTCATCACTGCTCCTCGCATGTTCTACCGTATTGCCCTGGGCATGGTCCTGCAATCCCTCCAGCAGCTCTCTGGCGCCAACTACTTCTTCTACTATGTAAGTTCCGACAGTCTGCCACTTCCATGTGGAATACTTTGACATGAATCGATTGCTAATCATACTTTTTCCAATAGGGAACCACCATCTTCGAAGGCGCCGGTATCTCCGACAGCTTCATCACACAGGTTATTCTCGGTGCCGTGAACTTCGGTACCACATTCGGTGGATTGTACGTTGTTGAGAACTTCGGTCGTCGCAAGTCCTTGATCTTCGGAGCCATTTGGATGTTCGTCATGTTCATGATCTTCTCCTCAATTGGACACTTCGTCCTCGATGTCGCGGAACCCACCAACACCCCCAAGGCCGGAAAGGGCATGATTGTCGTCGCATGCCTGTTCATTGCCGCCTACGCCATGACATGGGGTCCCATGGTCTGGGCCATCGTCGCAGAGCTCTTCCCCTCCAAGTACCGTGCCAAGGGTATGGCTCTTGCGACCGCCACCAACTGGCTCTGGAACTTCCTGATCAGTTTCTTCACCACTTTCATCACCAAGGAAATCGACTTTGCCTACGGATACGTCTTCGCCGGCTGTCTCTTCGTCGCTGTTGGCATTGTCTACTTCTTCGTCATTGAAGGAAAGGGTCGCACTCTCGAGGAACTTGACTGGATGTACGTCAACAAGGTCGTTCCCTGGAAGAGCAGCGACTATGAAATCCCCGAGCGCCACCAAGACTGGATCGCCGATGAGAACCCCTACGGTCGCAAGGGGGAGCGCGCATCTCACAACGAGAACGTTTAAGCTTGCTTTGTTGATGTTCCAAATCATCTTTCTCTTTTCATGATCGGAGTCGCGGCCTTATTGCATGTCCACACTATGTGAGACTACTTTGGCCTGGTGCACTGGGTGGCATTTTTTATGCGGATCATTTTTATTTGTATATTTTCTAAACTTCCATATACCTCTTTGCCTTCATAGAATATAGACCAATGTCTGCTATTATTATCACACTTTCATGAGCATTGTTCGTAGAACAGGACTTCCGTACCAGCCCGGAAAGCCCGGGCCCAGTAGTCGAGCCCAGGCTCGGGCTCAGGGCCCAGTGGGCTCTTCCGGGGGCTCATTGGGACCCAAAGATTAGAAGCATGCCGATTTTTAGTGTTTTGCCTGTTCGCCATCTTCGTCGTAAGTTGAAACCGTTTGGTCAGTCGCTTAGATAGACGTCCGAAATTTCGCTGTTCTTTCGTATCCAACCCGGACGCTCAATCGTCCGCAACTCCTGTCAAGCCAGTACGTTTGGTGGTCGGCTGAGCTCCGAGGACTTCAGATGATACTGTTTTTGTCTCAGGATTACTCACGCTTGATGGTCCTGCTTCATCTGTGTCGTGGAGGGTCGCCAGCTGGGCACATGCTTGACCTCAAAGTGGCCCGCAGAGGGTGACCGTCACGGCCGGGGGTGCCGACACCGTCGAGTCAGCGCAGGCTTCCTCGTCGATCATCGGGTTTCCGTCGAACTCCTCCGCATCGGTCATCATGTCTTCATCAAAAGCCTCCTCAGCCTCGGGGATGGTCCGAGTCTGCCGTTGTTGTGGTTGCCTCAGGCAGCAGGATGTATTGCTATCCTCATGTCCATGCACAGCCGGATATGCCCCCGGAATAATGGGTCAGAGGTGATATGTGTGAGGGATGTCTTCTGATAGTGCATACACCCGATCAAGCTTCAAGGTTGGGAACCCATATCCCAAGGCAAGACTACCTGAGCTTGATCCCATTGTGGAAGCAACCGTGCTTTGTACACTTCTTTTCCAGCCCTTGCCTTCATTCCCGTTGCAGCTGGTAGAATGTCATCCATGGATTTGGGGCCCAAAGAGTAAAAGGCACTCGTGCAATCATAACCGTCAGATCTGACTGAACAGCTACGAAAAAGCTCTCCATGACGGTTAATAAATCGGCCTAAGCTGGGCGCGCCCCACAGTCATCAAGGTGTACCTGTAAACCAGGCAACAATGCAGCCACTTGATCCCATGAGCTCTGATCAAACAGCTCGTCCCACGGAGAACTTGAGAACGGCGAAAGCGTCCTCTTTTGTTGAAGTCATATGCAAAGTTCTCCGCTCGCCAGTGGGGTTTCGTTGTCAGCAGCCCAAATAACATGCCTAGGTCTGTAAGGCGTCTGCCCGCCACGTAAATCCCGAACTTGGTTTTGTTTTAGTCTTCAAATGTTGCGATCAAAGTCATTTGAAGATAACTCACTTCGAGCTCAATTGGAACTGACTCTTGAGACAGCTGTGAAGTAGAATAGCCAGCACATTCCGAATGGATGACGATGGAGCGCCTCAAGATGAGACGAGGTTGAAATTTCGGCGCCTGGTGATGTTGCGACTGATTCGAAAGTGAAGTGCGAGTAAGACTCCCCAACGTCTTCTCCAGTCTGATCGGATCCTTCATCCTATTTAATTAACATCTCTTCAACCGTCATATTGGCGAGGCCCGCCATGAACTGGTGGAAAGCTTCCAAAGCTCCATGAATCCAGTTGTACTTTCTGGCCATCTTTAGTTCATCGGCTGCTGCAACCTTAGTGCCAATGACATTCGGATCCGTGGCCGCCTTGAGGATGACCCGGTCTGCTCCGTTGTGATCAGAGAGTCGCTTGTTGCTCGTGTCCCAAGCATGACAGATACCAAAGGTACAATAGCCTTGCACGTTGGTATCTGTCGTTGTATCAAAAATCCGCCATGTATTCATTGGCACAAGTAATGTTTCCGTGATGAAACGAGTTTGTGATCTGATCTGACTGCTGCTGGAGCAAGAACCCGCAGAAGAAATCGGTTGTCAATCTCTGACAGACAGAGAAAAGGTTGGAATCTCGTGGTTTTCTTGACTCAAACGCTGCTCTCGTGCAGCAATCTCTGCTCGCTGTTGTGACCGATTGATGAGCGTATCCGCAGACGGCCAATTAGTCGCCCAATCTGGATGCCAGCGGTTGTTTGCTTGTCTGAGCCATCTCAGATTCTTTTCCTTGAGATCTGGTCCACTGTGAAGGAGGGAAAAACGAAGACAGGAGAGAGCGAGCTATTTAGCCAGCAGCCAGGGTCACCTGACTGTATGCTTCCGCATTGGGCTGGGTCGCGCCTGAGTTCAATTTCAATCTCGCTCTCTCTCTCTCTTCATTATCACCATCGCCACTATCCATAAGCAGGCTTCTCTTAGAGTAATTCAAGGATAGTTTCCTAAAAATATAGTACTATGCATCAATACTTAAATATCTCGCCAAGATTTGCAGTATTTATGAAAATGAAAATATTTGGCATGTTTGTAATGTTTGGGGCCAAATGGGCCCCCGGAAGAGCCCCTGACTCTGAGTCCGTAGCCCACTACTGGGCCCGAGGGCCGGCCCAAAACCCAGCCCATTTTCGGATTAGGCCCGGGTTGGGGCCGGGCTTTCCCGGCTGGTGCAGAAGTCTATTCAGGCTCTTCTCCATCGCCCAAGTGAAACATCGATGCTTTTAAACCGTGTAGAAAGGCATGAAAATGATGATATATGAAGGATGTCTCTCCGAGCCCATTTTGCTCACTCACAAATGGTATATAGACCCCAAGCTTCCTGAACCTTGAATTCTGTAACGCCGGTTATGACTGCGAAAGAGCATGATCTGTAGCGCCACGAGTAGTTGTCCCACAAATACCAAAGCGATCATTATGATCAATCCCCGAGGATATCTAGAGGATTATTCGTTAGCATTTCGCAACATCTAGGATGGGAGAAGTGATGTACAGCGAGCTGGATTCGTTACCACGGAAGATTTGGGTTCCTGCCATCAAACCAGCCGTAGCAGCCATGACAACTGTTCTGGTTCAGCAAATGAACGAGAGACATGAAAATAGTACTAACACATGCTATTTATCATTCAAAGCGTCAGTATGGGTTTTAGATTGAGTAGATCTGGACACTCACGCAACACTTATACTTCTCTCTTCGGGTGACTTGCAATTGATTTGAATCCAGGCATTGTGAATCGGGTGATATCCAACAGCAAAGGCATTGACGAAAGTCCATAGTGCTACCTTACCGCCCACGCTTGCATGGGCTTGGACAGCCCTAAGGATCACCAAAGCAACCAGATACACCGAGATGGCAATTAAGACAACAAGGCCTCTCTTCTGGGACACATCGCTCATCCAAGCAAAGCAGAAGATTACGGGAAGGGTGAGCAGACTTCCTATTGCAGCCAGGGCATTTGCTTTGATTGGCGTGAAACCGAGATCCATCATGATACTGGGCGTGTATGTGGTAAGTGGGCTCCATGTGGAGAAGACACATCCGGTGGCGATGAAATGAGGCCATTTTTGGAAGTTGGTCAACGTCTCCCATACCAGTTGGGGAGATATGCGAGGGCGGCGGTGGCTTGCCGAAGGTATACTTGCTTGTCCGGACTCTTGGTCTTTCAAAATTGCACACTCTTCTTCTTTTTCGGGTAGACCATAGAATAAAGCAATAGAAACCACAATCGCAAAGAGACCTTCCACTGAATGAAGTCAGAATTGCGTATGCCTGCAAATACGAGAGAGGAAGAAGAGAGGGACGTAAAGCAGAGAGAGGGTAGAGAGGGCAGAGAGGGCAGAGAGGGTAGAGAGGGCAGAGCAGAGCGGAGCGGAGAGAGCAGAAATAGCGGAGAGAGCAGAAATAGCAGAAAGAGCAGAAAGAGCAGAAAGAGCAGAAAGAGCAGAAAGAGCAGAAAGAGCAGAAAGAGCAGAAAGAGCAGAGAGGGCAGAGAGGGCAGAGAGGGCAGAGAGGGAGACGGAGAGAGGGAGAAATGGAGAGAGGAGAGAAAAGAAGAAGGGTGCCTCACCCAGAAATATCCATTGCCAACCGAAAAGGCCCCCCTTCCCCTCGAGTTTCAGCAGAGCAGCGCCGAGTAATGGGGAGATAGCAGTTCCGCCAAACATCCCGAAGAAGAAGACAGCAATTCTCTTTGTCAATTCAGTGGTGCTATACCACGTCGAAAGTGTATACATTGCACCTGGAATGTATCCGGCTTCTGCAAGGCCCAATATAGATCTCGTAACGAGAAAACCCGCTTTATTGCGCACAAAAACCTGCAAACAGGCAACAAGCCCAAAAATGAAGACTTGCACGCTTATCCATCGGCGGGGACCTATCTTGTTTGATCAGCGAGGCCAGTGGCGTAGAGTGGTTGCAGAGAAGTACTTTGTGTAAGACCATATTTGATGGAATCTCCAATAAGATAACACCCAAGAACATCAATTGGTTTCCCAAGTTGATGGTATTCTTATTTACTGAGATAATATCAGCGAATCCTCCCGTGAGAACACTCGCAATATTAGTGCGATCGAGCTGATAGACGGCGAACCCGACTAATAGCAGAGGCAGAACTCTGCGATCAGCTCTAGATGTCGGTCAGCCATGTTCGGCGATCGGAACCTCGATCAGACTTGCAAAAATGGGAGCTGTACATTTTTTTGTCGAGGGTGGGATCTCTATCGCCGAAATCATCGTCTTTTGTATAGCCGTGTACCTCAGCTTTGGTGCAGTCATTCATTGTGTCGCCCCGATTGACACCTAACGCTTCGTCTGACACAAGTGTTTTAGGCATGATTGTTTTTTTTGAAAGATGAGCGAGGTATTCTGACGGGCATTTTGACTTTCTTTTGACTTCCAAGGGACCTTGGGGACTAATGCAAAGATTGGAGACCTTGGTGGTGATAAGATTCCATTGACACCGGGAGCCGATCTACCCCGGTCGATCCACGGGGTTTATCTCGCACGTTTAAACCCAATCTTGTACTCTACGGTTCGAGGAAAGTTTTCAAATGGCATCAAATTATCAACATTAAAATCCTAGAGCGACCCCTATTCATCCATCACATTATATTCTCACTGCACACCGAGACCTCATTCATCCATTTCCTCCATCCATTATTCGGGGTCGCAGTTGATGCGAATTACCATTAGGAGCCCCTAGCCTTCCTAGAGCATAGAAAAGCCCAAAGACGGACATGGTGCATCTAGACGTGGCACTGAATTGTGGCACCGCTGAGGTCGACTGGGGTGGCCTGGCCCGCATTTCCATCCAGGTCTGCGAAGCTCTTGTTGTTTGTCAAGGTGGCAATGGTGGCACCGTTGTTGACAATCACGCAGTTAATGTTCGTCGGGGCAATGTTGAGGAAAGCAGAGCTCGCCTTCACTACACCACCAGCTCCAACAGAGGTGCTGCCATAAAGAGCGGGGATGCTCCGGACGGCATTGTCAGCCGGGAAAGATACCGGGGCAGAAGCTCCAGATTGATCGTTGGAGAGAGTCACTGCGACCGTGGGGACCTGGCGGGCTTCAAGAGGAGCGGCAGAGACGGCGACTGCCAGGAGAGAGGCGATAGCGGAGAAAGTGAACTTCATTGTGAAACTTTAGATTCAAGTTTCTTGAGTGAGATGGAATTGTTGAGAGTGAGACTTTAGAGTCTTTGTGTTTGGATTGAATGCTTTGAGCTGAGTGAATTGTAGACTTGATCAGTCGGGGCAGATGCTCTTTTATATCTATCTTGTCCGAACCCTTACCTGCATCGTCGCTCGTAGGTGTTCACCCTGCCCACTACCTATTCTTAGATTTTCAGGCTGTACATAGCCCAAGGCAGTTTCTAAAACTATCTGACTAGAGCTTCTGGATGCAACCCCAGGGAAATGTAGGTGTTGTTCGTATAGAGGTCAGGTGAGCTGTTCACCTAGGGCCCCCTCTCTCAACATATCAAGTCTACCCCAAGCTATGGGTGGTCGTACATTAATTGTTTTTCTATTTTCCTTTCTTTTTTCTTGCTTTCTTCGTTTTGTTTTTCTACTAGTCTTATGCAATAAAGCCCAAAGGTAGTGCGTGTGGAAGATTCTGTTAAGAAGGCTCAATACAGCGACGAAGCGATCACGAATGACCCCCGGTTGATGATCACCGTCTCTCCGGCTACCTACATCCTATTTAGGAATCACTAGAATCAGCCTCAGGGAATTGCTGCAGCCCTCGTAAATTGGAAGATGTCAGGCATCCCATGCTTTTCAAAAATCAGAGTCTCATAGATTGGAGGTAACACACAACCTATCCCGAGGCTGTCCATTTTACGTAGGCTTATGCAGTACATGATTTTTGTCTCTCAAACCTCTGGTAGCTTTGCATTCATCTGCGAATCAGTTTACAGCGTCACATCTTATGAGCATGTTCCCCACAGCCGGGAATTTTCTACGCGTCAACCCCGCAATATCGATAACTAGAACGGAAGCGCTGCATTCGCCGAGTATCAGCCTTGGAATAAACACATCAGAAAACTTACAAGGTTAGCGGAATAAGTGGAAGACCGCAAAACTCGAAAATTTTGTATCACTCGATCCTGTGGCTCGCGACGGGTCCCTGGTTAGAGCTGGCTTCAAGGCTGAACGTACGAACACGAACGACGACAAATTTGGAAAACGCCAGTAAGGCTAACGTCATTCCCACGAATACGAAGAGGCTATTTAGGGACACGGGTGCAGTCAATATATGCGGGGCAAACTATTGCGCCCGTATTTCATCGCCCGGTGTCTCACCGTACCGTACTGAGTACCTTCATGTTGTTTTGGGATAACTGGAACAACGTAAAGCCCTGGATTCAGCCTCGCACATCTATTGAAATTTAACTTGATCGAACTCGTCATCTATGGTCTATCCTTTCGTTCGGTCTCATTCTCTCTTATTCCATATCGCGTTCCGTGATTGTGCTGCTGGTGATTTGCGCATTGTGCAAGTTCGTCTAGTACAACAAATGCGAACGCGACCTTATCAAGTCAGAAATACTCCGTACTCAAATAATCTTTCTCGAGATCTGTTTATGGCCTCGTATTTTATTGATCGGCGCTTGTACCGATTTGACGGCCCAAGCGATACATGGGGCACAGCCGCGCCAACCCATCTCACATGCACGGTATACACTGAAAGTCGCCGGAGTCACCCACAATGGGAATAGATATGTGCCTAAGGACATGGTATGGAGGTTGCTACTGAGTCAGGAGCCCAGGTGAACATGATTCAGCCCTTGGCCAACCATTGAACCTTGAAACCCGGGGCTCGTATCACACTCAAGCGAGAATCCATCTAAAGAAGTGATTTGCGATCCTAATTGATTGAAGCTAGGTTGATTCGATAATAGTATTGATGCAAACGGGGCTTGCAGTAATTTTTGAGAATGCCCGGGCTAATTTCGGATCTTGCTATCGAGGTTGAGAGTAACTTCGTGACTTTCCATGCGCCCACATGGGGATCGATCACTGGAATCCGAAGTTGGGCTATTGAGGGCGAAACTTAACGCCGGAATAAAGTCTGGGGATTCTAAATGTGCATTGAAATTATCCGACTGACTATAAACTTCTTGTGGTCCTAAACGGGATGAGATAGGGATTATCAATGCCATTCCTAGAGCACTGCGAAGGCGAACAAAACAATTTCTACCGACTAAATTTCTTCTTTAACCCTATGTGACAGAAAAAAATACTCATGACAGAGATGGAAAGAAATACAGATACAAAGAGCCTGTGAGAGAAAGAGAAAGAGAGAGAAAGAGAGAGAAAGAGAGAGAAAGAGAGAGAAAGAGAGAGAAAGAGAGAGAAAGAGAGAGAAAGAAAGAGAGAAAGAGAGATGGCTGTCCTGGTATCTTGGGCAACCTTGGAACATAGGTCACCTAGATCCCCCAAGCATCCTTTTCCGTTGACATCACCTCGCCTTCCATTCTCCAGCTCTGTCATTTGACTCTGGCACCTGGGCAATATGTCTCAGATGAAGTTTCCACTGCCCGAGCACCGAGAAAGAGGGAACTCCTTCTTCGAGCACATGGTGATCGCACCAGATACCCACTTCACCCCCGCATATGATCCATCCTCAAATGAATCAGCGGAGAATGTGCCAGTCTGTGTCTGTGAGCCAATGCACCCCTTCATGGTTCGACCACTCTTTCGTGTCTTGATAGGCTTGGTGATCATGACACCAGAGTATCCGTTAGGCACGGTTGCCTTCACGGTAACTGCAGTTTGAGTGGTCCAGGTTCGGGTGTAGTCGATTCCAGCAGAGACGCCCAACTTGTCCTTGATCCAGGTGAAATCCCCTCCGACGCTAGCAGAGATGGAATTGCTGACAGTGTATCCGGACATGACGGACACATCAATGCCGTTTCCAGTGCCAATCACAACGGGGGACATTTGGACATCCCAGTCGACAAAGGTTTGGGTCTTGTCAACAATGACCGCCGTGGTCAAATCACATGAGTCACGTTGGTGAATATCGGAAGTATTACGGCCAACGGTCTGGCTTTCAATGGCCGACTCATCGATCTCGGGTGCCGAGTCAGACAATCCTTCAGCGGCTAGCATGTCATGATAAACGCTTTCATGGACAACCTCCACTAAAAGGCGGAGTTAGCTCATCTTTGCTCCCCTGGATCAAATGAAATGGGTATCACTTACTGCGACCCTCTCCATAAAGAATAACCTCGTCCGGTTGAAGAACATGGTCGGGTGTCCACTTCGTACTGGCGCGAACTTGCTTCGCCAGAGGGGTGGCACTGACAGCTGTGGTCATCAACAGACCCAGGATACTAATTGGACGCATGTTTGAGAGAAGAAAAATGAATTGGACAAGCCAGTGGGGTGAGGTTGTTGCAGAAAGCGAAAGGCTAGAGGACATTACTCTATCTAAATAGGCCGCCAGGAACCGAATACGACCTCAAAATAAATCGCAGGATGCAAACCATTGGCATGACCCATGAAGCTGCATGATCCCTCAGGGAAAATTGTGGATATCGTCAACGAGTCCTGGTCGATCCTCCGTACCTTGCGGGCAAGGTTTGAATAAACGCCGTTCCGACTTTGGTCAAGATAAGACTTACCCTCAATGCGTTCGTAGATCTGCTCCTGAATTTAGATAGCCAGCGAATAGGAATCCAGCACGGGGATCTAGCGTTTGGGTGTGTGATACCCGTTCGGCCCATGGATGCTTCGCTCTACATGGCCCAAGGTAACGCGTCGTTCCTAACGCTCTGTTGATCCAATGGCTTCAGCACGATCGTTGAATTAGACCTGATGATCCTCGCATTGGTCAAAGCTAATTAAATAAGGCTAATTTCCGCGGTTTGCGGACAGTGAAAATGTATGGATGTGGTTGAGGTGCCCCATCAGGATTGCATCTCACGAGGATCTAGTTTGACACAATGTCTCAACTTCGCCCCTCAAGTCCCAGTAGAAAGTACCGGATAGATTGACCACCTGATCATCATTTCCATGGTTGGGATGGTTGGTTTGATGGAATGTTCAGCTCCCTTCTTGGATTCCCCGAGGTTTCCCCTGATCTACCGCGTTGGACCCCTGATGCGGCAGCCGTTAGCCCCAATGTTAAAGTTTGAGACATTCAGGATCAAACGAAACCCATAGTGACATGCAAGATGTGCATTTGAAAACTATTGGTTTCAAATGTATGAGAGTGTTCTTGTTGGGTCAACCTTGGTCCTCGAGTACTTTATCTATCTGATATCAGATTGACCGAATCCATCAACTTGGAAACTATCTGGACTTCCAACGTTTAGTACAAGTACTTCAACACCTGACCTCTCTCGCAGCCAGGCTCACTCATTCTATCCAAGTCATCTCTTCATTTGAACTCATATCTACTCCGCAGACGTCTCGATCATGTTGTTCTCTACTGTTTCTGTCGCTCTCCTACTGGCCGGGGGGTAATCACACTCCAATTCCCAATCTATGGGCTGATCAACGGCTGACATTGCCCTCTCTTTGTTTTACAGTGCCGTAGCCAAGCTGCACAATGCCGCGGTCTGCGTCACTGGAAGAAAGTACTCGCAGATTGGCGGCACGCCATTCAGCCCAAGTAACACTTGGTCCAAGGATTACGAGATCCTACCAGACGAGACCAAGTGCGCGTGTGACCTTTACAAACAGCGCAACACGGGCGACAAGCAGTGGGACCAGTGCCCTGACTGTACCTTTGTAAGTGATCATCCTTGCAAGGGCTTCATCGATGTAGAGCTGACATGACCCAGGATGGTAGCCAGTGCAATTCCGCGGGTTGGCACATTGGCGGCGACGAGGTAAGTTGCTATGCGGAGGTAGATGCTGTGATTGGTTATTGATCCATGCTGCAGATGACATACTACTGCGAAAAGATGTGTCATGCTCAAGGAGCGGAGGCCAACTAGTCTGCACCCGGCAGAGCGTTATCTTGAGTCTTTGAAGGTGTCATGAGAGGTATGTTCGGAATGCTCTCTTGAGAGAAAAACTAAGACATAGACCACGATGGCGTATTTGACCGATACTAATCTTTCCCAGACAGCCAAACTGACGGGTGATGTATGATGTCTGGTGCCTGGGTTTGCACATGGGCTGGAGGATAGTAACAAGCCAGCTTAATCGAATATGCGGCGGAAACCTTTTCCCGATACTGTTAAGGTCAATTGGATCGCAACAAGTCAATTTTCATAATGACCAAGCTCAATCTGTAAGATATCGTCCAAATTTGGCAATGTATCACATCGTAGGCAACGAGGAATGCGGTTTTTGTAACTTGCGTGAGAAAGTGACGGGAGTTGCGGAACGAGCCGGAATCCCGAAGGAAGTTCATGAGATTTCGCAGGTGAAATTCCCCGAAGAGGGAAATATGTGGATATGAGAATGAAATGGGGTCGTATTTGCTGTAGCCCCCGTCGACCACACTGACAATAGTTGGTCTGCGGAAGTCCCAAAAGATGGGGGAGAGGCGATCCACCTACCCCATTGCTCGGTTCATTTGCGCTCATAGCCTGACGTCGATGCCACTTTTAGCGTCTTGGCACAAGGAAAAAGACAAGTGTTCGGTTGGGCTTCAAACCTCAAGTCAAGAGACACGTACCAGTATTACTACACGCACACGCTATTGCTTCGACGGCCCAATCTGCCATAATGCCCGAAAGAAAGAACAATGCCAACATTGGCTTGCAGGTTGAACTGATTGATGAAGCCCACGATATCACAGAGGCATTTCACTGCGTGTGTGAGGCATTTGGTCGCCAGGCAGAGGATGGGGTCTGGATTGCCATGAACCCAGGCTGGGATACCCCCGAAGGGAAAAGCCGCGGAGCTTCTCGCATAGTTGAACGCTGGTCCCGCACAAGCAAAGATATCGCGGGTAACCCCAACACGATGTTTTTAAAAGCCACCCTACCGAGCTCAGAAGACCCAGAAAAGCGAATCACTGCTGGGTTTGCGATTTGGGTCCAAGCTTCAAATGTTGAAGGCCATGGCGATCCCCAAATAAAGGAATCCGAAGCCTCGGCAGATCTTACAGACGTCTATCCAGAAGATCAGTCAGAACGCCGCTATCTTGCTCAGGTCATGGCATCATTGCATGGTCGCCGCAGGGAACTCGTGGAGCAAGCGAGAACTGCGGAGCCCCCGGCGCTATTTGTTTTGGACTTGTGCGCCGTGGATCCTGCGCACCAGCGGAAGGGAATCGCCAAACAGCTGGTGCAGTGGGGTCTTGATGAAGCTTTGCGACGCGGAATTCCTGAGGCTATCACGGAGGCATCCAGCATGGGACGTCATGTCTACGAAAACATGGGGTTCAAGCCCGAAGGTGTGGACATTGAGTATTCTGTAGACAAGGAGTTCGCTTCGCGGAAGAGACCAGCCAACATCTTCATGCGGACCGGCGGAAATGCTTAGAAAGTCGCAAGCGCCAGTGTCGTGGAAAGCATAGAAGACCTGAATTGAAAGACCAGATCCCACCTTGCTGCCGTCTGGATCTATGATAAGAGCACTCTTTCGTAGCCAATGCCCCGAAAAGACAGGCGCATGATAGCAGAGCTACCCGGAACAAGGAAAAGCCTTGTGGGCACCCTCATTGTGCTAGTGCTCACACGTTCGGGACACACGGATGAAAGAGTTATCGATGATGCGCCGCATCACTTAACGGCTGGAGTGAACTTCAACATCAGCTTCCTCCCACGCGGCAGCGAAATAAAGGCATAATCCTGCTCGATCCCCTCATCGTCGATTATCGTTGTCGCGTAATTCGAGTAGACTGCCGCAACGACCAGTTTGATTTCTACTCCATTAGCCTTGGACTCAGTATCCATCAAGGGGGATCGATACCTTGCAATGCAAAATTACTTCCCAGGCACATGCGCCCACCGCTACCAAAAGGCCAGAACAGGCGTCTCATGTCATGGATCCTCTCACCGGCATCAAGCCACCGTTGAGGAAGCCACTCAAGCGGGTTTGGGAACACCTCGCTGATGCGGTGCAGAGAATACGCGGTCGAACTGATCTTCACGCCCCCTGGAATTTGATTGTGGCCATGCAAGGAAATGCCGTTTTTCGTTTCCGGTGTCACTCGGGGAAGTTGGGCCGGGGCTGGGGAGTGCAGACGAAGCGTTTCACGGACCACGGCGTCCAACAGCGGAAGGGCATCGATGGCGGAAGAGGATGGGAGGGATTTGGCTCCATCTGTACCGAAATTCTCCAGAGAATGGGAGAGGTGTAGTAACTCTCTTCGAAGCTCTGCCTGAAGCTCTGAATTCCTTGACAGCTCCCACATCATATATGTCACGGTGATACCCGTGGTTTCGTGGCCTGCAACGAGGTGGTCGAGTAGTTCGGACGCAATTGCCAAGTTGGAAGGGCGGTCATCGTCACATTTCTGGGCGGCGAGACTCTGGCGTAATTGTTCATAGACGACTGCATTTGTGGAAGGAGATCCCTCTGATGGGGTGTCATCTTCTCTAGAGACCTCCGCCCGCTCACAGAGCTCAAGGCACCACCGTTCGATGAATCCCATGTATCGGTCATGGCGACTCATATATTTGAAACGCTCATACTCCTCCAGCCACACCATCCATTCCGGAATCTTCAACGAATACTCCGTCCCGCGCCCCAGGCCGAAAAGAAAGGAGGAAGTGAAGTCCATCCCAATGGCCTGGAATAGCGGGAGTACATTCACGACTTCTTGGCTGTCACTCGATTTCTTAAGGATTGGCATGAGACGCTCAGACAGGATGTGTCTAGAAATCGAGTCCAGATCAGCAGATTGTTGTAGGAACGACTTCGAGTAAATCTTGCTCAGCATGCGCTTCTGGTGCGCATGTGGGGCATTGTGCAACATCCCGACCATGTTTTCGATGTTGAAATTGACAAAAACATCGTTGTAGAACGCATCCTTTTCAAACGCGCCCGTGTATATGATTCTCAAGCCTTGGAGCGAATTTACACTCAGCTCACGGGGACCAAGGCGAACGATAGGGCCGTGCTTTTGGTGCTGGGCGTATATGGCGAGAACTTCGGTGCCTTTGCTGCGTTTGCGGTCGATCCAACGGCTGGAGAGGGGCGCTGTTGGATGCGCATTGGGGATTGAGGATAGTGGGGAAAGGAAGAATGGAGATATGATGTGGCGGTATACCAGGTAGATGAAGGAAAAAGTGAGAGCTAAAAGAAGATGATCAAAGGAAATCATGGTGGATGAGGGAAGAGGCCCCAATCAGATATTGGGCATTGCAATTGTCTTGGAAGTCACCCCTGGCGTGGCAATTACACTGTGGGGTAGAGCCGCAATCAACACGGAGCTTGTGCGCTAAACTTCATGGCCCTCGAAGACCGCAGAGAACGCAGTGATTGCAGAGTTTCATGTGTCTATCCATGGCATTGCTCTGATGGATATGATCTTGAATCGATCGAGCTGCGATTCCTTTGATGAGATGATGCATCGCCATTACCTCGGCCTAAGATAGACCTGTTGAGAGGTCAACTTTTGCGATGCCACTTGACACAACTTTTCCTTTCTCAAAAAAGCGTCAACGCCATTTCTGATGCACCTGGCTCCGGGGGCAAAATCCAAAGCTGACGAAGAGATTTGACACAGGCAAGATATAAATATGTGTATGTCATATAATCTTGTACGGTTTTATAAACTTTTGGTTGTGGGATTGCATACCTGGCCGTTTGCCCGTTTTCCTGTCACGTCGCATCCTCTCCCTCTTCCTTTTACAGTTTACTCATATATGAACCCTCCTCCCTCCCCCTGTTTTCTTCTTCTCCCAACCCTCTTGGAGCAGTTGAATTGTCTTGATACATCTGAGCTATCGTCCACTGTTCAGACGGCCCTCTTCATTAGTTTCACCTTCGCTGATACTCTTCTTTTCAAAGAAGATACCCAGAAAATGAAGACTCCATGGGTACTCACCACTATTATCCTGTTTTGTCTCGATGCGGTATCTGCCAGACCACTCGCCTATGGGATCTGCCAAGCAGGATGTGCCGGAATTGTCATGGCTTGTTACTCGGCAGCAGGTTTCACCTGGGGAGCTACTATGGGTGCTACTGCACCTGCCACTATTCTTGCATGTAACGCCACTTTCGGAAAATGCCAAATGGCCTCTGCTATTGTTGCACCACCTATCATGCCCTGATAGTTGACTTCATCTTGCAGAAGTCTTGATATCAACTGTGGGAAACAGTTTTGAAAGGTGGTTGTAAGAAGTGTGTAAGACACGAGATTGGCTAAAGGAAGAAAGGTTTTGAATTTTCCTAGTAGTCAAACAATCAATGGGCTACCAAAATGAAAACTTGGCTTTTCAAATGCCTTCCAAAATATCTCTTGCTACTTAGATAGTGTGTTGACTTAAGCTTATTGTGGTAAATGACCTACTCATGCTTGATGCGTCTAGGCACGAACACTCACATTTTTCAAGGAGATCACGAAGACGAGTGGAAGTAAAAAAAGCTGCGTCAGTCAACGCTGGGGAAAGGAATTTTGTGCCCAAAAGAGAACAAAGAGAAAGAAAGAAAGAAAGAACGAAAACATGTTAGCTCTTTCCTTTGCTGCAGTGCTCTTTACCTGTGTAGGTATTAACTGGTACTTAAATTTTGTTTGGATCTAGATCACTTCCAAGTTCTTTAAGTTGAACAATTTTTATTTGCTCCTATAAGAGAGGCTAGGAGAGAATTACAGGATTCCTAGCTTAGAGACCCCAGACAACCTTTCTTTAACTATAGATTGTCGTTCTTGGCGCGGTTGGCTCTGATGCTCGAGTCAGCATCCTGGCAGGAAATTGAAGCCATAGGCTAACTACCTGAATCAGAATACTCCATTAACGGGGGTTTCCGGAACAGACATAAGCTAGAATTATCGTTACCTTATTGATGAATTTTTGTTCTTTTTTTGTGTTTTCGTTTAGCCGTTTGGCAGATGGATGTTGAGTGGCGCAATCCCACGGCGGATGGCAACATCCTGCCCAAGACCGACCCTGACATTTGACGATGAACAACAGCATCTTGGCATTCACAATGAAGATAAACCCCACAATCAAATAGAAGATTTTCAATCGTGGATCTATCGTGTGGTTATTGACGCGTTGTAGCGACGAGTATTTGCGGCTCAACCTAGTACATATTCCTCCTCCCTCTTCCGTCGGCCATGGGGCTTAAACCCACATGCGAAGAACTAAAATATGCACAACAGACAAGTTTTTGCCCGCTACTTGCCAAGCATTATCTACGCCTGCCAATTTCTCCGCGGCATGACCTCCAGACGGCTTATCATCTTGGCTTAACGCTGGCTGGCCACATTGCGCAATTCTGGGCGTGAGGCACGTTGTGAAAAGATGGGAGATTATAAGCTCGAAGAAGGCGCCGTGTAATGCGGTTTGCAGGCTTGACTGAACTCTGAAGATGTCCGAGAAATTTTCGCCGTCGCTTGACTCAAAAGAGGCATCCGTCTCTATCGTCCAGGAGTCGCCCAAAAATCAGAAGATCAATGGAACTTCTGGAGTCCTAGCCGGGGGTGGCTCGGTCGAGCTTTACGCCCCAATCGACGAATATGAAGGGAAGCATCGATATGATCCCACCGCAGAGTGGACAGAGAAGGAAGAGCAAGTCCTCGTCAGAAGAGTAAGTCCCCCATCATTTGATTTTCTCCAAAATCAAGTCTGACAACAACACAGCTCGACTACAGAATTTGCTCTTGGGTGTGTCTGATGTTTTTTGCGCTGCAGCTTGACCGTGGAAATATCTCACAGGCGCTCTCTGATGGCATGCTCGATGACCTCGGCTTGTCGACCAACCAGTACAACTATGGCATGACGATATTCTACCTCTGTTTCTTGTGTGCCGAAGTACCATCACAGATGATCTCGAAGAAGCTCGGTCCCGACAGGTGGATCCCTATACAGATGGTTCTTTGGAGTGTTATCGGTATTTGCCAGGGCTTTGTCAGTGGTGAGCAAAGCTTCTATGCTACCAGAGCGCTGCTGGGCCTGGTAGAGGGTGGCTTCATTCCTGATGCGCTTCTCTACCTGTCATACTTTTACACCAACGCCGAGCTTCCCATGCGAGTCGCCTTCTTCTACTGCGCGTCTAACGGAACTGCCATCGTCGCCGCATTCTTGGCTTTCGGTATTCTTCATATGCGCACAGTGGGCGGCTGGGCCGGCTGGAGATGGCTGTTCGTGCTGGAGGGTGCTTTGACTTGCATCATCGGTATCATATCCTGGTTCTATCTTCCTCCGAGCCCCACTGAGACCAAGAGCTGGTTCCGGGGTAAAGATGGCTGGTTCACAGAGAGGGAGGAAGTGATCATGGTCAATCGAGTGCTCCGAGATGATCCCGCCAAGGTAAGAGAGATCAAGAAATTTAATTTCACGTATCGCACGCACTAACGAGTTCTAGGGAGGTATGCACAACCGACAAGGCTTGACCTTGAAGCTTCTTTGGGATGCTCTGATGGACTATGATCTATGGCCGATGTACCTGATCAGTTGGACAATGCTGATTCCCACCAATCCCCCAACAGCCTACTTGACTCTCTTTTTGAAATCACTTGGATTCGATACATTCCAAGTCAATCTCTTGACCATTCCTGGATATGTGCTGTTTTTGATTCAATTGGTCTTCTGGTCTTGGGTGTCTGAAAAGATCAACAATCGCATGGCGATTGTCCTGTTCTACTCATTGTGGTGTTTCCCTCTTTTGTTGGCCTTGGAACTTTTACCTTCCAGCGCAAGTGCATGGATCTGGTATGCTCTCACTGTGCTAATTATCGGTTTCCCTTATATTCATTCCATCAACGGTCAGTGCCTTCATGCTTTACCAATGTTTACCATCTCTAACATCGCTCCTCCTTATAGTCAGCTTGATTTCACGGAATGCAGGCTCTGTGCGTACACGCACTGTGGGCAGTGCTGTATACAACATGATCTGTCAAGCAGGATCCATTATCGCGTCCAATGTGAGCACCAAGTTCTTCCCTTTGCTTTCACATTCCGGGGCCGTGACTGACGCACCGACAGATCTACCGAGAAGACGATAAGCCATACTACCGACGGGGTAACAAAATCCTTCTTGCGCTTGTCGCATGGAATGTTGTTATGACGGTCTTCATAAAATGCTACTACATCCGCAGAAACAAGACCCGTGAACAGACTTGGGATAGCATGACCTCCGAACAAAAAGACGAATACTTGACGTCGACCAAGGATGAAGGCAACAAGAGGTTGGACTTCCGGTTTGCCCATTGATGATGAAGCTCATATTATCCGTCGACGCGACCAATCCGGACGGGTGGTTTGAGCCTTGAAATGTGAACAATGTATATACCGAGAAAATGATGATAGACTAGCACACTATGTTTTCAAAGTGCCCAGGTGGTTTCAAATCAAATCGTAATTTGATTCTGGTCTCAAATACAAGCGTAGCTAAATACCGAAGCTGTCCCGAGGTCTTTTCATATTCCAGACCGATCCGTCACAGCGATCAGTGCATAATGGTAGGTTGACCAATGTCACATATAATCCCTAAAGATTTCTCTTAGGACGACTCTTGTAAGCGCTGCCACTCTCCCTGCAGAATGATAGGCAACTCGTCTTCGATACTAGGGCGCGATGGCTTCCATCCTAGAATATTGCGTGCTCGTCGCGCTTGGCCCCGTGAATTCATGCCCCAGCTGAGAGACTCAAAGCCTGCGTACTTCTTGGCGCTTTCCAGATCAATAGGCTCAGCCTTGGCCTCCGGGATATATCCCAGCTTCGCGGCTGCCTCTGCAGTGGCGACGGCCAGCTCGCCCCAGTAATGTTCTCCGTTCTCTGTGAGGTAGTAGGCATCTGCACCCCACAGCCCTTGGTCGTTCCGGCGGGAAATGGCAGCCTCGACAAGTAGCAGGTAGACATCACTTAGATCGTGCACATGCACATTATTCCAGATTGACTTGCCGGCACCGATGATCGGTCCTTTCTTCAGACGGAGGGTCACGCTTGCTAGCTCATAGACTTGTCTTCCGCGCTGAGAAACAGGTCCCCGACCTTGGCCTGTTGGGTGTCAGTATGTGAACCTTTATGCAAAAAGACTGGGGGCCTTACCGTAAACTGTAGGAGGACAAACTAGCGCTGTCTTGAGCACATCGGCGTATTTTGCTCCAGCCTCCAACACGAGCTGATCAACATTACGGTGGAATGCGTGGTCAGGCAGATTGAGCAATTCATCTACCCCCTCCCAATCGTTGTAGACATGCTCACTCTTGTTGCCGTACTCGTTGCTGTCGCTGTCTCTCCATGTAAGGATTCCGGTTCCTCCAGTGTGCAACAAATAGCCTGGGTTTTCTTTGCTGTGACCAGACACCAGACCTGAAATGATTGCCTTTGCAGCACCTACATGGTCGGATGCATCTGCAGTGTCTGTTCGGATAAGGTTAGCGTCATTCAGCAATGGATACTCCCGAGGTCGCGAAGTTGACTCACGTAGCACGATATCTGCAGCCGCACTCTCCTTCTCTAGCAATTTCGAGTCGTCAAGGTCTCCGATGACTATGCGAATTGAAGGGTACTGGGCTTTGACCTGTTCGCCCTTTTGCGGACTGCGGACAAGAGCCGAGTAGGAGAAGTCGGGGTATTTGGAAAAGAGTGTGGCCAGGGAGTCCCCGCCAATGTATCCCGTCGCACCAGTTCTGTTTCAATGTTAGACGTCGGGTTTCCATACTCTGGTTCATCGGGGGACTAACATAAATATCTTGCTCATATTGATGATGTCGTTGTATGGTGGTATGAGGTGCGATGTCCGCGGACCTGGTTTCGACACTAACTTCGATTTCGTCAAACAAGATCAATCAAGTTCGTTTCACACAATTCGCCTAGGATGCTGGGAAGAAAAGCTCACACCAGCTCATCTTGAGCTCCCTTTTTAACCCCGCAGTGCCGGACCCATAGCATTTATAAGCAGCTGTTTTATGTCCGTTTATAAGCATTCGTTATGACCTCATGGACTGATCAGCCAGGTTTATCCTGTCGCTGCAGCGGACCGGAGGTCTTTTTCCGAAGTCGATATTCGAAGATTATCTAGGGAGTTATTACCACGAGATTCGACACTCCGATCGGACGGATGGTGATCCTTGCGATGTTCGTGATCGGACCGGTTTCAAGCCGAGTCCACGGGTTCCATGCTTTGTTTGTCACGATGGACGCTTCAGGCAAACCCAGCGCTCAGATTCAATAGTAGTGCTAATGTCACTGATATTTTTGGTGGGGATGTAGGCAATAGTGATTGTACAAGCTAGAAAAACGGTCAAAGATCGAAGGAAATCTCTCCAACATTCAATGAGTAGTCGCTGGTCGCATCATTGCTTCTTGCACGTAGCCAGCGAAGGGCGAGAATGATTCAAGGGTTTTGAATCCGTATTTCTCATACATGGGTTTTCCCTCTGGTGATGCAGACAGGTATGCCTCCACACCCTCTTCGTCGGCACGAGTGAGACCCCATTTGAGGAGCTTCGATGCAAGGCCCCGGCCTTGCTGGGAAGGGTGGACTCCCAGCATATCCAAGTCTATCATAAATCAGCTTCTCTGCAGTCATAGGATGTTTTGTGGAGACACGAGAGACCGGCGGAAAACATATCCCGACTGTCAAACTTACAATAGTGAGGCCTATCCTCCATCCACTTTTGGTGCTGTGCGTCCATGCCAGAGAAGAATCGCTCACATAGGTCCTTGTCGCAACTCGGCGCCCAAGCCACTGGTTCGTCTTCGTGCAGATCCCGATCTGCACCCACAGGTCGCTTCCATTTTGCGAATCCGGCAATCGCACCCGTTTCGTCTGTTACTTTGAGTAAAACTTCATCTCCCTCTTTTGCCAGCGTGCGACGAGCGAGGTCTTTGAAGTTTTGTTCCCACCATGTGGTCACATCGGGTGTCTGCGGGAACATGGTGCGATTGAAGTCTCCGCCGAATGTGGCGAAGAAAGTTTGTGTGAGTTCCGCTGCGTCCGCAGGGACCGCATCTTGAATTTCAAAAGCCATGAGAGCGACAGTCCTATGATGGGGAAGGATTGTTTGTCGCTGTTGGGTACAGATGTTGCTCAGGTGGTTTGGGATGGAAATTCGGATTTGCGGGATTCAAGTGGAGCTCTGTCATTTGTTTTTAAGACATGCCAGGTTTCTCCTCGCGTTTGCGACGCCGAATTCTCCATCGGAGAAACATCATATTCGCGACAGAAGAGGAATCAGTATGAGGAATACTGGAGAAAATTTGTATAAGAAAAGAAAAAAAATATATCCACATCGTCAAGACATAATAACTAGGGGATTCGACCCCTCAAAGGACTAGTAATGAAATTTTAAACATTAAATAATTGCGTAAATGTGAGGAAAGACAATCAGCACCATAAATGGTCGTTCCGATGGCCGTCATGGGTGGTCGATGGGATCATTTAACTGTCCAAGCAGCATGGGGGGCTGTCGCGCAGATCGTCGTGGAGAACGGTCATGCCCGACGGGTATCATTTCAGTGCTTCTCTTTATTCAACGCACTCTCCGGGAGAGTGATTGGGCTGACCGGCTCAGACACTCGTCCCGGCTGTGCAGCCATGGAAGGCATGTCTGCGCGCCCGGGGCCGACGGGCCCTTTGTATGCGGAATCGTGCGAGGGGGGAAGAACAGAACGGCGAATACGGGGATCATCCGGTTGTTGGGCCTTGCTGTCGGTACTCTTTGTTGTTTCCATCTCGGCTTTCACGCTCTGGTACATGCTCTCGACGATGAGCACCTCTTCTTGTACGTCGAGGTCGCATCCGACTAAGCAGAATTCACGTTCGCGCTGCTCAATGTATTCTCGGATGTTTTTCCACTGATTCTGGTAGTGTTTTAAACGATCGGGGAGGCCTGACCCGCGAAGGTAGGTCAAGACACCAGCCATGATGGTGTTGATAGCGCCGAAGGCTGTGACTGCAGAGTGAGGCCCGCTGGCTGCGCCTAGGGCTGTCACGGCCGCGGCAACGACGACCTGAATTCCGAGACAGGTGTTGATGAGGAAGTTGAAGATCTTGTAGGCACGCTGGGCTTTGGTCTCATTGTCGATGACCCGCGTGTAGATTCCGACATTGGGTGCACTGCGAGCCAGATGGCCCGCTTGGGTGAGTGCAGGTACACTGTCGATGCCGGTCAAGGCGCGAAACACGAGAAGTTTGTCGTTGATTGGGATCAGAGATTCCATTTGTGTGGTAGTCACTCGTTTTGGGCCTGACGGCATGTCCGGTGCATATCCATTATTGTGCATACCTCCAGCTGCTGCGGCGGCATGTGCGGCCATTGGTGGGTAGCCCTGCTCTTCGCGATCCAGCGCGGCCTCGATGATTCGATGCAAGAGTCTTCGGTTAGGCTTTCTCTGCGACATGGTTCCTCTTGGATGACTTGAACGACAGGAAGGGATATAGGAAATTCGCGCAGCCAGGAGGGAAATCTTCTAGATTTGTAGGAAACATTCATGTGGGACCGGCATATGCATCCGAGTGCTTTCTTTTTCGCGTGAATTATTTTTTTTTTTTTGTTTTTCGCATAAATCCGCGTTGCAGGTGAGCTCGAGATTGAATTGTGGTCTTGTCCATGCACTAAAGCAGGGCTAAATTAGCACTCAGCTCACATCGCCGTGTGATATGCACGGCAATGTTCCTCTTCAGGAAAGGCTTTGATGCCAAATCTGCAGGGTTTGGTGGATGGTGGGCTATCTGAGGCGAGTTCCAGTTATGACAGGTTGAGAGACAGCGGCGGGTATTGGCCCGCGCACGCGGCGCAAAGTTAAGACCAATGTGAGCCGACAACAATTCCATGAACGTGTGTTTGGCTAAGTCTTGGGCTTGCTGTGGCTTGAATTTGGTGGAGATCAACACGGCGCGATCACAGGGAGTGGTCAAGAACGGTGGAGTCGTCTCCAAGATCCTAGGAATCATAGATCCTGATCAAGATCAAATTCCACGTCCGACGATCCCTCGGAGGCCAGTGGAAGTTTTCTCCATGCTCCGTACGGAGTACACGCAAAAGGGAGCGAAATTCTCCGAGTGTCACTCAGAGCGGGTTATCTATGGAGAATCTGCACGCTGAAATCGTAGCGTATGGGTCTGGGAGCCCGATCGTTTGTCACTCTTGCATGACAGGCGAAGAACCCTGGATCCAGTGAGCAATACTACTCCGTATTGAGAAATAAATCGCAGATCAATCATTCTTTGAGCCAACTTGGTGGACCCCGTTGGACGGGTGGGAGACTCCACCAGCACCCTGTGCCAATGCCAGAAATCATGCGAACTGCCGATTATCCCGTAGGAGCTCAGCTGCAAGCATTCGGGACACCCTGGACTCGTACGGAATACGGAGTGGATAATCATACTCCGTACTGTACGGAGTACTGGACGGCGAACGAAATATGTACCCTGTGTTTGGACGTATCGAGTTTGTCCCTCAAGTCGCGAACTAGTCAGTGTGGCGTACTCCGTACTCCGATACGATTTCTGTTAGTGTTACCATTGGTGGGTCGAGCCCCTGAAGCTCTGTGATGAATTAGGCCCAAGCCTAGCGGACACAGCAAGAGGCTTGGCTTTGATTGGCTTCCTCGGCGCGCTTCACCCTTCGAGTCGCGTGGCGAGCTGAAAGTTGAGAAAAGAGACCGACAACGATTGGTAGGATGGTAGCAGCTTAACTCCATCTCGATAAAGCGTCATTTTTGATTAATGTTGCCGGTTCAATCTCGGTAGTTCCGCACGGATACAACCGCACGGCTCCAGATTTCCACAGCTTGTTCTCCCTTTCACGCGTATTGCTGTCTGGCATGCGCTATGACGGGGTCATGCTCTGAGATCCATATTGCAGCATTGACGATTGGAGGCATGCGGAATCTGCGTCCAGTTGTTTGCCGAATCAACAAACGGATGGGGTTCGGGCTACAAGGCACCAAGGCACCAAGGCAACAAGTTTGGGATAAGGCGGTAAGGCACCAAGGCAGAAAGATCAACAAGCCAACGGCGTCTCTGCCCAGGTGCGGCCCTGCAAGTCACCTGGACAAACTTGGATGAAGATTCTCGCGTTTCGACTGAAAATCGCCCGAGATGCCACAATCCTGACGCTGATGTGCACCTGAAAGCAAACAGCAACCCAGTCCGATCACGGTCGCTTTGCTGAGATCATTTTCGAGCAAAGTGTCGCAATACCACGCCATTATCTCCAAAACACATGTTATCCCCCAAGGAGATGTGTTCCAATGAGAGGCTTCCAATCGACTCCGATCATTGAGCTCTCCGGCTGCTTGTTAAGCCAAAGTGGGGAAGCTGGAAAATAGGCGGATTGATAAGAAAAGCCGTTGCCCGCGCGCTCTTGGAGTCCCTCTCAAGTACCTGTTTCTCGACTTCGACCATTCCTACTTTCCACATCGGCACAAAATGGGCGGCGAAAGATCTCCAGAGCGGGTGCTCATTGTTCTACACCGGCCAATTCCTGATCCTGTGCAGGCGGATATCCGGCACAAGTTCTCCGATGCCGAGGTCACCTTCTACAAGTCCGAACAGGGTGTCCCGGTGCCTCCTGGTGCGTGGGCTAGATCCTAGGAAGGGTCGCATTTGGTCACCGGAACTTTATCGCAGACTAACATTGGGAGTAGAGCTATATCACAGAGCGACCGTTCTTGTGACCTTTGCAAGTCTTCCGGATCTCAAGGATGCCCACAAGTACGGCGCAATGCCCCCCACAATCCGAGGATGGTAAAGCTGACCATATGTTTACAGTATAAAACTTATTCACACCTTCTCTGCGGGCTTAGATCATCTCTCACAGCACCCAATCTTGCGTGAAAGCGATATCCACATCACCACAAGTTCCGGAATCCACGGCCCTCCTATTGCGGAATGGACCGTGATGAACTGGTTAGTCTCCTCGCGCAAATATGTACAGACATATGAAGCCCAGAAGGCGCATGATTGGCAGGACAAGACAGGGAAGATTGGCGAGATGCATGACCAAGTGGGGAAGAAAGTGGGCATTTTGGGATATGGAAGTATCGGACGTCAAAGTATGTGTTGATATGCGCATCGCAGGCCACTCGGGCTTTTCCACACAAAGAAGATCAATCTGACAATTAACAGTCGGCCGTGTCTCGCAGGCCCTGGGTATGACGGTGCACGCGCACACGGCCTCCCCACGCCCTACCCCCGAGTCGCGCCATGACAACGGCTACATTGTTCCTGGGACCGGTGATCCCGATGGGTCGATCCCGGCATCTTGGCACCATGGAACCGATCGTGAATCCATTCGCGAATTTTTGGCTATTGGCCTGGATCATCTTGTTATTTCACTTCCGCTGACCCCGCAAACCACCCATCTTCTTTCGGCAGAAGAGATCGCCATTCTTTCCGACAATTGCCACCACTATGCTAGCAAGCCCTACGTGACCAACATCTCACGAGGAAAGGTTATCAACCAGAAGGATCTCATTGATGCGCTCCGCTCCGGTGCGTTGGGTGGTGCCGCACTTGACGTGACTGATCCCGAGCCTCTCCCTAAAGAGGATCCTCTGTGGGACGCACCAAATGTGCAGATTAGCCCGCACGTCAGTTCTCACGGGAAAGAGTATTTCCCGAGGTCCCTTGATATCCTCCGGGTCAACCTGGGCCGGCTTGCAAAGGGTGAACCGTTGATCAATGACTATAAGAGAGACAAAGGCTATTAGATTGGCAAATTTAGAAACGGACAACCCATCTTTGAAGTCAAACCTGTAGTTTCAAGGTTGAAATCAAAGGCAAGCAAAATAAATGGGTGGCACCCACAGCCGTTACATCTCAAAAGCGCCTCTCAGTCCTTCCTCAATCACTACGCCAATGAAACCACAGCCAATCACGGTAAATGTCCAGGGGTTCGCGAGGTCTCGCAACGCAGGCCAAAAGCTGTTGTTCTCCTTTTTCCACTGCTGCAGCTGGTCGTACTTGAGAGGGTCGTCGGACTTATACCGCTCTAGCTGGCTAGCCTCAGTCTGCTTATCCCCACCGACGTGTCGAAGGAACATGTAGTTCATAATGGGCCCAAGAACAACAACTGGGTTCCAGGATCCAGCCATGTTAAGCAATGTGAAAGAGATATGAACCAAGGTATCTCCCAAATAGCTGCCAATTGGTTAGCATGTGCTCCATGTAAAATGTCGAACTCGACAGTATCGCCGTCCACAATGCCGAAACATACTTTGGATGCCGCACCAAATTCCAAACACCATGTCGACACAAATCAGTTCGCTCTCGGCGATGAAGCTCAAGCTGCGTATCTGCTAAGACTTCCAACCCAAATCCAATGCCGAACAGACCGACCCCAAAGGTCCGAACGACATTCAGTGCATCTTTGCCAAGCGCAAGAGTCGCATTGCCCATCGTGAGAGGTGCGGTGAATGGCAAGGAAATCATGCTCAGCACAAGCGCCTCGGGGAGAAAGATCTTCGCGAAAGCACTTTTCCAGAACCCCGGTTCCTTCTTGGCATCGTCATATCGTGAATCGTCTCTTCCACGGCTCAAAGATCGCGACGCGATTCGGACGAAGAGCCTAGTACCCCAGATAGTGACACAGCTCAGGAGCACTTTTTCAGTCCATGATTGAGCACTCCATGCGGTGCTGAAGGGCAAATTATGCGTATACATCGGTCGACCGATGGCAGTCCACCACGCATTGAGTACTTGGGCGGATGGCCAGAGCCAATCCTTAAGCTCAACCCGGTCAGTGACCTCGGCCGCGAAGTACGTCCCAAGTGACAGTGATGTATACAGTCCAAATGAAGGGAGTAGCGTCGATTTCAAGATTCCAACGTCCCCGGGTGTCATGTTATTCTGGAGGGGTGGGGAGTGCAGTGGGCTGGAGGCTTGGTTTTCCAGAGCTGTTGGGGGAATTAGGAATGCCATACTGTATCAGTCACAGAGATAATTTGATCTTATGATGGTTTTCCATGAATTCGTCTATGGCCTTGATATAATATAAGGGGTTTCTTCGCTAGGGTTGATGTCAATATGATGTCAGGTGGGAATCGGCAGTGCCAAGTTTGGGGGCTCAAAGGGTCTTCACATTAAAACAAGCAGATTATAAATGCTTTTTAACTTGTGTGCGGGTATATTATGCAAATTGTTGGAAAGATGAAAAGGAGGTGCGAACATGCCCGAAGTATCAAATCCCCATGGAAATTGGGATGTCAAACTTGTTCGGTATCGAAAGCGTTCAAATGTTGAGTGATCGCGGAAGATATATCGACTTTATCGCAGAATAGTTGCAGGTCATCTTTCGATTCATATTTGTCTTTCATGATCTGCTGCAGGCGTGCATTCCAGAGCGGCAAGCAATCTTTCACCGCTGCTGGTGAGAAGGCAATGGCCTGGTCACCAGTTCGAGTGTACTCGTCTTCACGCGCGCACATATTGAAAGCGTCAGGACCAAGATTCTGATCAACCGAGCATTTAATACCCATATTGTACAATGCGAGACAATCGGGTATTCGCTCAAAGGGTAGTCGGCTGGTCAGTAACCTTCGGCCCTTCACTTCGGCCTCCGAGGTGTCTCTCCCGACAGAGATATCCTGATTACGGATGAGATACGCTCGCGGGTCATTGGGAGCAAGCTTTGTGGCAGAGAATGATTCTCCGATAGAAGCACCGGTCGATGTCAACGCCGCTTTAGCAGCAAGATATCGACTGTTTTGGGAGGACTGCGGTATCGGCTCTTGCTGTGAACTTGGTACTGTTCCGCCACTTTTTTGCTTTAAGCGTCTGCTTTGGATTGCCTCTCTCTTGCGTTTTTCGAAATCCAGTGCTTTCTCCAGATCAGTTGGTTCAGCCTGAGCGCCGTCTTGATGGAGTTGTGCAGCCCATCGTTCGAGAACTGGGAATCCTCGTCCACTGTCCATCGACGTATGATCTTGATCATCTTGTTGATCTGGGGGAGATATGGTGTTGTGGGCTAAAAGAGGTGAAGCGTCTTGAGAAGAACCTTCCAAACAAGCACCATGTTGTTCATCCCCATTTCTTCCATCTCCCGAGGGTTCGGATCCGAATCTTTTTTCGGCGAGTGAAGAGAGTGGTAGCTCAGTGGGTTCCTGCAAGGGCGCTGCCTCTTCCGTCAAGGGTTCCTCCAAGGACACTTGGGTGGTTCTCAGAAACCAAGTGTCAAGAGCCCCATTGCCGTATCGCTCGCGATCACGCTCGCGGTCTGCGCGTCGGAAACTCGACATGCGATCAATTTCTGGAGAACTCTCCGGGGACGCTTGGGGCTGTGGTCGACGACTCCTGACTGGTGACCCGAGGTGAATTCGAGAAATTGGAGGGCTTGGTAGATCTGAGTTGGTTGGCGAGCACTGGACACCTTCCTGGTCATTATGCCCTCCTTCTGGCCTTCGGGTGTTGTAGCTTGGCTGGTTACGAGACCTTGGGCTGATTTGAGATACAGAGCCGCGCAGGGGCGTTTGAAAGGAGGCGTTGATTCTTGAAATGGATTCCGGGTTGAAACTCCCCAGTCTCTTTGCTGCTTTTTCAACTGAGCCATTGGATTCATTGCCAACGTTCTTTGTCGGGCCGGTAATATCCTTGATGGGAGTCTTTTGTTGTGAAAGCCTTGCATTCGTTGTGCTAGCACTTGAATGATCGTCTGAAAACAGAGGGCCAGTATGAGATTCTGGGACCGGCTTCCTCGCCATCAAAACATCGAAACCACTGGGTATTCGAGGACGCTTGGGAGAATTCTCCTTTCGCTGCTTAGTGCCAGTAGTCTCCTCACTTTCTGTTTCCCCGTATTGTTCTCGAAACAGACGCGTAACCAAGGCCAAGACCAAGTCTCGGTCCTCGAACATGACATCGTCCTTGGCCGGTTCGATGTTCACGTCGTAAATTCCACGTGAACACAAGATTTGCAGCCCGAGAAATGGATCGGTCATTTGCTTGGGAGACTCGCTTTTGGATATGGCAGAACGGATATAAGTCTTGAAAATTTTGGTAATCTCTTGTCCAATGCCCCTGCTATTGGAAAGAGGGCGACCATCAACGCTGATGTATTGGCCCATGTTGTTGATTTTGGGGGTTTCTGGAAGTTTTAGCAACTAAAGAGCCAGTCTCTGACAGATTTGCTTACCGGGCTGTATATCTGGAAGAAAGGCTACCACTTCACATCTAATCTGGTCTGGCGATGATGCTACATCAGCCGCATCAGCAGATTGGGAGGAAAGCCTTTTCAAGACACAAGAAGATGCTGTTTCTGCGCCAACTACCTTAAGCGCCGCATCCTGGAGGGACGCATCCGCACTTGGTGCATATGACCAATTGTTGTTTTCGTTCTTGGCTTTGAGGACTTTGAGTGACAGCCTCTTGGATGGCTGGGACATGGCATATGACTGTAGAAGCTTTTTTATCCTCGTCAATGTCTTTGTAGCGCTCTTCAGTGCGGTCTGCCTGCGCACAGGGATGTGTTTGAGAAAGTCTGTAATGCGGACAGTGGTTCCCACAGGGTGTGATATCCGCTGTGTTCTACACGAAAGGATTAGATGAATGATGAAAAGGTCGAGCTCTCTTGCTCACCCGGTCATTTCCCCGTCCCTTCCGTATTTCGCGCACAGCCCCACGATTTCTGATTCAACTCGCGTGGTGACGTTGATGGCCCCAGACATCTCGGCAACACTCGCCAGGGCTTCACCCCGAAAGCCCAGAGACGATCCGCCGATATTTCTCAGGTCATCCAGTGTTTGGATTTTACTGGTGAAGGCACGCTTGCAAACCAGTTTTTGGTCTTCGGGGGTGATCCCATCACCGTTGTCCTTGAGCTGTATGACATCCACGGTGTTTTGTGAGATCTCTACCTGCAAAGATGAGGCTGATGCATCTAGAGCATTGTCGATCAGCTCTTTGACCACCGAGTATGCATCTGCAATGACAGAGGTAGAGCCAATTGCCCTGGTGGTGTTCTGGGGGAGTGCCTCAATCGGCATCCTGCGCGCCCGGTATCAGGAGCTCATAGTTGTAGGTGCCGAGAGAGTTCCAGTTTGTCCTTCAATCATAGACCTCAGGTTGACTGCTGTTGAATTGATGAAGATCGGATGCGAGTGTTGATGGAAAGTGACCTTGACCTCGACTAATTTCCACGCACTGGCGGAGGGGCCGAGCTCGAGATCTATTAGTCAGCAGCGCCACGACAAACATCGCGTCCAACTTGACACCTCTCAGTCCATCAGCATCGCCCTTTCACGCAGCTGGAGATACTGGGATGCTGAGTGAAGACTTCTCAATAACACAACTGGCAGTCCCAGCTGTCAGTGTGCTGATTGCGTTCCTGGCTTATACGTCCCAGTACTTCTTTCTGCACTTCGAATCTGTGCCTCTTACATCAGAGGAGACTTGGAAAATCAACATATTCGCCGTATGCATCTGGATATGTTATTATCGAACTTGCTTTGTAGATCCGGGGCGACTCCCGAAGTCGGAACAACGTCCAAAGCCCAAGGAGCAAGATAGTGACGAAGTCACTGGCCGCCAACGATGGTGTCGTAAATGCGAAGCTTACAAACCGCCACGCGCTCATCATTGCAAAACTTGCAAGAGGTTAGATGAGAAATTCTCTGGGGCGGAACCTTTGTGCTAATGATGTTCAGGTGCATTCCAAAAATGGATCATCACTGCCCCTGGACCTCGAACTGTGTTTCTCATTTTACACTTCCTCACTTCATGCGCTTTTTGTTTTATGCATCTGTCGGCATGTTGTATCTCGAAACTCTTCTTTGGCAGCGAGCCTCATATGTATGGAAGAATAGCCATCTGCCAAGCGTGAGTAAACCAACGTCTCCACCATTTCAAGTTGCTAATATCGCACAGTACATGGGACCTACGATAAGTCAGCTTATTCACCTTTTCGTCTTGCTCGTTGTCAACGGCTTCACGGCATTTGCTCTGAGCATCCTTCTCCTTCGGAGTCTTTGGACGATCGGGTCTAATACCACCACCATCGAAACCTGGGAAATCGAGAGGCATGCAACTCTTGTGCGGCGTGCCCGTGTGCTTGGCGGGTATCTTGAAGGCCCTGGCGGAATCCGGGTCTATATCAAGAAGCAGGAATATCCTTACGACATCGGAATCTGGGCCAATATCAAGCAGGCCATGGGTGGAAGTGCAAATGTAAGTCAGGGCATTCAGTGCTTCAGTCATCTAGCCAGACAGGCCATTGATGGATATCCAGGTGATAGGTTGGTTCTGGCCACTTGCTGCAAGCCCCGATCGTCGCACCGGTTGGGAGTTTGAGACAAATGACTTTGAAGGTAAAGCTATTTGCTCTTAGTGCCTACGTGCCTACTGACGATCCACTCAGATCCCGGTCTTTCGTGGCCCCCTCCCGACCCAGACAGAATCCCGATACCGGCCAGTGCCAAGCCACCATACAACTATCGCATGCCTCAGTATGATACTATACAAGATGAGATCGATGCCTTCAATCGTCGCAAAGAAGAAGACATGAAACGGTTCCAGCAAGCTTCGGGGCTACAGCGTCGCAAGCCATTCCACGACAGACATCACAGAATTGAATATTCCGGCAGTGAAAGCGACGACTCCGAAGCTAGCTCTCGCAATTACTCAGACGAAGGCGAGGAGTCGTGGCGCAACGCAGAGGGAGAGCGCTTACGCGACTTTGGGGTTGATGAAGAAGTCGAGTTCTACGACGAGGAAGACATCCCTCTTGCTGTTCTCATTGAACAACGCAAGCAGCAAAAATCTCGGAATTGACCACTGCGCCATTCGGCTCTCTTCAAAGTCATTAAATCTTCTTCGCGATTCCTCTCAACCGTACGTATCCCAACCACTGGCTCCCATCCTCAACGCGGGTCACCACAGTTTGGAGAATATCGCCGATCTGCTTCACTGCAGCATCTCGCTTCTCTTCGGGGAGGGCCTCCAGGAACTGCGCGCCCATCAGTCTCACCCAACCCTCCAATCCACCCTTCGCATCGCTGGTGAGCTTTGTTGGACGATACTCTAGCTCAACATTCTCGACTTGGAACCCGACTTCTTCCAAAGCGCTGCGCATCCAGTCGTCGGATGGGAAGAACCAGGGACTTGTCTCTCTAGCCTGTTCCACGGTGATGCCTTGCTGGACGAGGGCGTACAGCAGCGCGGTTTTGACCTCTGCGACATTCCCATGGCCACCCATCTCAAACACATACGTTCCGCCGGGCTTTAAGCAGCCATAGATTGCGCGGAGTGTGGACATGCGTGTGGACTCATCGCGCAAAATCCAATGCAAGGCCGCGTTCGAGATTCTGTGGGGTTGTCAGGGAATTTGGGATAGGTTCAAAAAATGGAGCAAATTACACTTTATCCCATGATCCATCAACGATAGAGGTTTCTTGTTCCAAAAATCGGCAGTCCACGACGCGGAAGCTGGCCTTTTCGCTTGCGTAGTCTTTGTTGGCGGACTCGATCATCGACTCCGACGCGTCAATGCCCAGCACGGAGCCGATGGCCGGAAGGAAGTTTGCTGTGAATTTTCCATCCCCGCAGCCGATGTCCAAAACCTTGTCTGTTGGCTCGGGCTTCAGAGAGTTTAGAAGTTTTCCCACGATCTTTGCGGAGTATACGAAAGATGCAGAAGCAGCGTATGCCTAGATGTGTCAGTTGTCGAAGTCTTGGAGGTATTGCTGGCCACGGACTTCTTCAGACCAGTTGTCTTTTTTCACTTGGGCGTTGGTTGACATGTTGCTTGTAGGAACCTCGACCTATGGATCGGGAAGTATAAGGCAACCAAGAGGGGGCAAATGAGATCGAGGTGTATGATAAAAGAATATATTGGCAAGTATCCTCGGGTCTGATCAGGCTGCCACTTTGAACCTTGAATACTTGAGGGAATTCGAAACCACCGAGGGGGCGAGTGATCTCTTTTATATGATGTTTGATGGTAGAGCGGCGAGGGCGTTGGAGATGTGGGAGGGGCCGATATCGGACCGGTCCTGCCAGGCGCCATTGTACAGTTGACAGTTGATAGCACTTGTGAACTGAGATTGATTGCCATAATTTATTCTTCCCTACTCAAACAGCGGTTTCAAAACAGAACACTGTGTTTCCGATGACGTTTCAACTTTGATATCTCCAAGTTCAAGTGATATCCAGACTGCCAGGTGGGTTGCGGAAGGCAGGTATCGCGAAGTGGTCGCAATCATTATTGAGACTTCGAGAATCAATAACAGTCTTGGTTAGTATCGAATACACCTCGGTACTAGGTAGAGTGCTGTTCTATTTTGCGACCCCAAAATAATCGAAATATTCACGTTTTTCTCGTTCACCTCAAGGTCGGTGTGGCACAAATATCAACGGCTACCGATATATACATGCACCTGAGGTATATTCAGCAATGCCACCACACTGTCAGCAATAAGCCCAACTGGAAATTGCAGCACAGTAATTCGATAATGTTCAGTCAAAGCAGAAATATGAGAATCTTACTTGACGTCACCCGGCGGGGCAGTGCGGAACACAAGTCCATTGATTTCCGCGCAATTTTCACTTGTCTTTCGCACCGAAAATCAGATATTAATCGACGTTGATTCCCACAAGGTTCTCCTAACATCTCCTACAGCAACACTATGTCGTACCAAGGCCACTGCAATTGCGAAAGCATTCGCATCACTCTTCCGCAGCAACCGGAAAACACAATTGTTTGCCATTGGTATGTAGGCAGCGTGATAAACACTAGAATAAAGGCTTATGGCATCTGTAGTGACTGTTGCAAACGGGCTGGAGGAAGCGGTTAGATTCCCTGGTCAAATTACTTTATATTGCGCTAATCTTACCTCGAGCCTTTTCCTTGAACTATTTTATCGATGCGGATACAATGATTGTCGAGGATAAGAGTTCCACACTCAAGATATATGAGGACAAAAAGTCTGTTAGTGGAAATGTTGTGAAGGTAAGTATATCCTCACCAGCGTTCCAAGGTCGGGGTGGGTTGCATGGGTTCTTGTGAACTTCAAACTAATTGCTTTCGGGGAAAACAGCGTCATTTCTGCTCAGGCTGTGGGAGGTATGGTGCTAGAGATATTCATGTTAAGACGAGAGCTGACGCTTCACTGCAGCCCGGTTTTCACAACGACTCCCAAGGCCGCAGGAAAGGCTTTCTTGAAAGCCAGCTTGTTCGATCAGGTCTCAGCTCCTTCGACCGAAGTATTTTGCAACAAGCAACATGGGTGGGTCAATCTGGGGGCGACTGAGAAGAATGCTTAAGTGGACATCGACGGCGATGGTGTCATTGACGCTAATGCGCTGCACGTTGCGATTGGTTAGAATCAGATATATTTTTCCAGAACATACAAAACCAACTGAAATCCGATATACTAGTATAGTAGTAGATGGATATTCACACGATTGTTGACGGAACTGACATCGAATTGCGGGGGACGCAAATACTGTCGATCCGCGGAGAGCTCGGCAACAAACCTGCTTTGGCTTCCCCAGACAAGATGTTGCATGCCGCGAGTTGACATCCCACAATAATGACAACATCCGGTGAAATCCAAGACACAGTAGAACCCTCAGGCCCTGTGCTGAGGAATGTCCGATCGCGCGATCGCGACGTGGCCGAAGATCCCCGCGAGGCTCTGGAGCTTCAAGAAATCCAGACGCGGGAAGACAACGAACTCAACGAGTCTACTGCTTCCGCCTCGTCTGGCGATGAGTATCGCGTCGTGACGCGTCGGACCACATCACGGGCTGCCAGCGCGCGTGCGGATGCCCGCAGACAGGCGCGGAAAGGTGCTTGGGGCAAACTCGCTCGCTTTTGGACGCATCATGTCACCTTAACGGTTCCGCATAAGAGCAATCGGGACTACTTTGGTGGGTTTCCTTGAGATGTGGTCTCGGATAGCTTCGTCCACCGAAATACTGACTGCCTACAAGCTTTGGAGAGGACCTTTCTCGCGTATATCCGCACATCGCTTGTTATCACACAACAAGGGGTGCTCATCGCACAGCTGTTCCGCCTGCAGACAGCGGAAGCCTTGGCTGATAAATTGGGATTTCATCAGGTGGGGGTTCCGCTGTCGGTGACCTGTCACAGTGTGGCCATTCTCGTGGCCTTGGTCGGCGCTTTTCGATTCTGGCGACAACAGGGTGCGATCGCTAGGAACAAGATACACGCTGGAGGGTGGGAATTGAACTCGGTGGGAATTCTTTTGGGCTGTGTAAGCTGTGTGCAACTCGCAGGTGTCACATTGGTGCTAACGGTGTTTAGATCATTTTGACGACGCTTGTCGTATCCATTGCGATCATTGTCGAGATCGATACAGATCCATCCATTGTCTTGAATCGAATACTGGGTCGATGAGGGATATTCTCAAGCAACGGTGACTGAGTGGGCATAGTTTGCTCCTGGGTAATTCGAGCTCTGAGATCACCCTCAGATCAGAGATCGCAGAAAAACTATATAACAATGACTGATGACTACGATATTGTGTTTCCATCTTTGTATCCTCATTCGTCTTCTAGGCCAACCTATCAAGACCCCAATGGCGACTGTGCCGACACCCGACCGAGAGCCCACTGAGCGACATGGCCCCCACCGTGGCAGGGATGGAACTTCTGGTTAATCAGACTCACTGATCTCTAAGCCAATGAGCGAATAAATTACGGTGAGGCTCTCCACCATACCCCCAGGGCCTGCGCCCGATTAAACACCAAAACAAGGCAGCCCCACTGGGGCCAAATCTATCGCGCTTTTGCCCGACTTCCTTTGGATCAAATAATAAACCCATCGGTATATCAGAAATCAACTTGAAGAGACCAAGACAGTCTCGCGACACGCGGCCTGGAATCCTCTCACCGAACCTCGGGACACCACAAGATCACCAGCGGGCTCTGAACCAGACAAAATCTCGAGGAAAATGTCAAACCTTGACGAAGCGCTGTCGCAAAGACACAGGCTTTCTATATGGCATGTCTACCACAGTGGCCTCGAACATGTCTCCATCACACCATTCCCTGTGCCGGAGAAAGAATATTGGAGCAGTAGTAGCAGCGACAGCCATCGCCGACCACATGAAGACCGCTCTTCGCAATCGAAGGGCTACTTCTTGCATCAACCCTCTCTCTTATTTCACAACACGCCTCGAACTCTTCGGCACGGGAGCGAAAAAGGGGGCGATCCGATATGCATCATCAAAATTGGAGCCTTTTGGAAAAATTGGCTGATCCAGTTCAGTGACGATCTCAAAAATGTCATTGACCCAAGAGGCTTGGTTAAATGGGAATGTCGCAGTAATCCAGACAATTCCATCTCCAGTCCACGGGAGTGGAAAGGGTATAAAGTTCGCTCTTGGAGGGTATGGGGGGAATCAGGTGGTGAATACCATCGGAGGGTGAATGCCAGACGAAAAGCCTTGAAAGAAGAGGCAGAGGCCGAAGATCTCATGATGAGCAGCAAGGGGAAGATCAAGACACACGACTTAGAGATGGGCGCGGTTGGCGAGAGTACCTCTTCAAGTGCATCACAAGGGATGGAGGATTCGGAAGAAGAGCCGCAGCCATCTTCGTCCACGCCGTCGTTACCAGCCCAAACATCTCAAACCAGACTTGCTGATGAAGCATTCCTTCTCCGATGGCAGTCACCATTCTCAATCAGCGCCCGCACATACTGCTTTGAATATGCCGGCATTCGGTTTTCGTGGGAAGGCACTCGTGATATACACTATAACCACACTTGGAACCGGAGACTCATGCCCTTCAACCATTTGAAGCTTGTAGCCGAGATCTCTGGTCCCCTCGAAGAAAAAGTTCTCTTGGCTCAACACATCTCAAGCTTTTCAAATGACAAACTTGGCCAATTGTGGATTTTTGACTCTGCAGTCACGAAATTGCTTGAAAAGACCGGGCATCCTTCCAAGTGGATGAAAACAACCGAGAACAATGAACGGTTCTCGCTTGATCTTGATTGGGATGTTCAACAGACTCGATTGTACGAACTGATCATGGCGACATCGATGTGTATGATCTTGGGCGAGTGGCAGAAGCGGATAATTATCCGGATGATCGTTTCATTATGCTATTTGGGGCTCGTGCTTAGTCGCTAGGTGCTATGAGCAACGAGCGATCGGCGGAATGACCTTGGGACCTCAGGAATACGAGACGCTTCGGCAGCTGGGATCATCTCGGGCTAATTGCCAGCGAGACTACAGTTTAGGATAAGATACATTCAAGCTTACGCCGACAAACCAGCCACCACTTTCCAAGGTTTCCAGATGTCTGACCTTCAATACAAGATTTGTATAGCCCAAGCAGATGTTATATCGCGGGCTTTTTGGAGCCAAGGCCAGGCACTTGACATCCTACATAGGTGCAGCCGTCTGCTTTCAGGGATGTGAGGCATTCTGAGTGTCCGGAACACCCCGAGGGCAGGTATGCGGGGGTAAGATGCTTGGCGCGAATATGCTGGATCTGATCGGACAAGCCAGTAGAAGTTAGTTAGCAGGAAAGTTTGCAACGAGCGCACCGTGTGAGCATCGTCAGTGTCCAACGCATGATGAAGCGGGGTACAGACATCGGGAACGATGTAAGCATAGCTCGATGCCAACTACTGGCTGATCGGGAAAATGATTTTCAGCCAATTGGGCGCTATTCCTGAAGGTTGGGGGTGACAAGGGGTCTGGGGTCAGAGTAAATGCAGATGTGAGGGGAAGAACAATGAAGTTTCGACGGACTCTACTGCAACCTACAAATAAATTTGTACACCCTGAGGTAGTAACCTTCGCGAAAACGCTTGGGAGCGACTCCGCTACCTTTTTAGAATCCCCTTGAATCTCTTTCTTTCACTGGATTCTGGAGCGCAGTCTTGCCGATAAACACCACCCGACCCAACACGCACCTGAAAGACAGCGAATCGACCGAGTTACTCGTCAGTATGAGTGCTCCGACACCCACGAAGAAGCGCTATGCCCTCATAGGAACTGGCGGGAGAGCCGGTCTCTTCTACACGAGCATTGCCCGAGACTACAGTGAGACTAGCATCTTGGTCGCGATATGTGATACAAACCAGACCCGATTGAATTACGCCAAATCAAAGATTGATCCATTGACGGGTGGCCAAATCCCAACTTATCTCGCCAAGGACTTCGACAAGATGATCGAAGAAACCAAACCAGATGAAGTCATTGTCACCACCATTGATCGAACCCACCACACCTACATTGTGCGCGCTTTAGAACTTGGCTGCAATGTCATCACCGAGAAACCAATGACCATCGACGTACCACAGTGTAACGAGATCTTCTCCGCGGTCGATCGAACCAACAAGCGAGTCAGAGTGACTTTCAACTACCGATACGCGCCCCACAATACGAAAATCTTCGAACTCATCCGCTCGGGCGCCATCGGCAAGGTGACAAGTATTCATTTTGAGTGGATGCTCAATACTTCCCACGGGGCGGACTACTTCCGACGCTGGCATCGAGATGCGCGAAACAGTGGTGGACTTTTGGTCCACAAATCAACCCACCACTTCGACTTAATCAACTTCTGGCTTCAGTCCAGACCGAAGACTGTATATGCACAGGGAGACCTCAAGTTCTACGGCAAGAAGAATGCGGAAGAGCGCGGCGTCACCAGTTTCTACTCGAGGGCCTTTGGCAGTGAAGCTGCCAAAGATGATCTCTTTGCACTCCACATGGACCAGAATCCACAGCTCAAATCTCTTTACCTTGATGCCGAACATGAAGACGGTTACTATCGTGACCAGAGTGTCTTCGGCGACGGAATCAGCATCGAAGACACGATGAATGTGCTCGTCAGATATGAAAACGATACTGTTTTGACATATTCCCTTACCGCGTACGCGCCGTGGGAGGGCTTCCGCGTCAGCTTCAATGGAACAGGCGGAAGACTGGAAGCCGAAATCGTAGAGAGCAGCTATGTCAACTCCGGTGGGGAGCAGTCTCTTGAAGGCGCCGCCGAGGACATTACATTGCTACTGCGGCCCTTGTTCCAGGAGCCACGGAAGGTCGAGGTTGTGCAAGGGAATGGAGGCCACGGAGGAGGCGATGAGGTGATGCTTCGAGATCTGTTTGGAGAGGTGGAGCCAGATGAACACATGAGAGCTGCCAGTCATGTTGATGGGGCAGCGTCCATTCTCACAGGTGTCGCTGCCAACCGATCTATCCGTACTGGGCAGGTTGTGAAGGTCAGCGACATCTTGACTCTTCCGTAGATATTATAGCAGACTTTGAAGATATTCCAACTTCAGTTATGAGCATTCTAGAGGCTGCACTGTGTTTATGCGTTAAAAATACAAGATCATTCAGTGATGTCTGCTCTTACAGCCCAATTATGAATGTGGCAAACAGACGTTGATACTGATAGCCGTGGAAAATGAGGTTATTTGATAGGCGTATAGCCCCTGTACTGATCTGAATACATGCCAGGATTTTTAGCAGGCTTGACTAGGGTTGATTGGATACGATAAGCATCGTCCGACCTCGGAAGTACTAGAGACATTGGCTGAAGTCATTGGCGTTTTGGACTACTTGGGAGTCGAAGCCAAATAGAGCACTATCCAAGCGTCTAGCGTGGGGGCTTCGCAAATCTGGGGGATTCCAGTCTCGATGTACCAGGGCATCAAAGAAGCTAGCGCTCTACTCGGGAGATCTTTACCCCAGAGTACTTGCTACCGAGGCAAGGACTTGGCTTCTTTCTCTCTTGAGACCAATCATTACTCCTCTTTCTTTGCGCCACCATCTTTATCCCCGCATTCCAGTTCAACTCGTCGGCAGAGTGGGCTCATATGACCAGCGATTTGGTTTTGAGCTACACTCGATCCTAGCTTTATTGGTGCAAAAATTGGCCTGGGGCTTGGTATTCTGTACTGGGAGCTTCATCATGGTGTCCATATCCATTTCAAGGTTGCGGCATGCTGATCAAAGAATAACTTGTTCAGCCTAATCTCACCCATGCTCTCATAGCGGGTGAGAGGACACTAAGAGCTTTTGAAATTTGTTAAAAGGAGCACATTTCCCAGAGATAATTGTGAGCTCGCGGCTTTTCTTCTCGAAATCACTCAAATTGCTTCCTCCGCTCATCATGAAACCCCACAAAACCGATGATATCCAAGTCGCTCATGACGAAAACCCCGAGCAAGATCATAGCAGTGCGCAGGCGACGCGTTCGAAGGCTGCTGAATTCTTAGCCGATAATTCGAGTGAGCAACCCAGCTTCACATATGAAGAAGAGAAGGCCGTTCTTCGTCGAATTGACTCACGGGTACTCGTCCTTGTACTGTGGGCTTATTTCTTCCAGCAACTGGACAAAAGTACACTAAGGTACTAATTTTCAAGCTTTGTATACTCGAGCATATGGACTAACCTGCTTCACGAATAGTTATGTTTCCATCTTTGGAATTTCAGAAGATGCCAACCTGGTTGGTCTTCAGTACTCCTGGCTTGGGTCAATACTCTACCTCGCACAACTGGTAATGCAACCATTGGCAGCCTTGATCCTCGTGAAGCTTCCAACTGGCAAGGTCTTGGCTTCGGCCATATTTCTCTGGGGCTCTTCCCTTACCATCATGACAGCCTGTACCGACTTTCCATCGCTCCTCGGCTTACGCTTTGTTCTCGGGTCCTTTGAATCTCTGATTGCTCCGTGCTGCGTGGCTATCACCCAGATGTGGTGGCGCCGGAGTGAACAGACTCTACGAGTCAGCTACTGGAGTGCGATGAATGGCGTCACGGCTATAATTGGTAGTCTACTCACATATGGCCTCGGTCATATTCATAGCACTGTACTATTTCGCTATCAGACCATCTTCTTGTTCTGCGGGCTGCTGACTGTGGCTTACTCGCTCGTGGTCTTCTGGCTCATGCCAGATTCACCAATGGACGCTCGATATCTGAACCAGCGGGAGAAGTTCATTGCTACAGAGAGACTCCGAGCAAACCAAATGGGCATCGTTACCCAGAAGTGGCGATGGGACCATGTCCTAGAGGTGGCACTTGATCTCAAGACTTATTGCTGGTTCTTCACCATCGTTGCGATTTCGTGAGTATCTTGAATACTTGATCACAGCCAACAACCTTGGAAACACTGACGGAGTACGTTGGTAGTATTGCAAGCGGCGGGATTTCGTCATTCGGGTCTTTGATTGTCAAGTCCTTTGGCTTCAACAGCTTCCAGACAATTCTATTCAATATCCCATTCGGCGTCGTTCAAGTCATCGCTATAGTAGGCGCCGGTTGGATCGCCACTCGCACCCAACGCAAGGGCCTTGTCATCTCGGGGATGAGCATAATGCCCGCAGTTGGCGCCATCTTAATGCTAACAGTCCCTCGAAAGCAAAAGGGAGTCCTTCTTTTTGGTTACTATCTGGTAGGACTCTTACCAATCTTCCAAAGTTTCTGTTAACGAAAATTGCGCTGACTTTTCTGCTCCAGGTTTCAACATTGGCAGGAATAACTCCTATGCTTTATGCATGGCAAGCTCAAAACACCGCAGGTGATACCAAAAAGAAGTGCACGTCTGGCATTGTTTTTGTTGGCATGTGTGCTGGCAATGTCATTGGTCCACTTCTCTTTTCTACCGATGATGCGCCTTTATATCGAACAGGTTTAATAGCCGATCTTGCTATGTTTGTCGCGGTTGGAGTTATGGCTGGGTAAGTCAGACCACATTTTTCCACCACACTCATTAGGCTAACACATTCAGTCTCATCCCAATTTATCTTGCATACCTGAATAAGAAGCACGAGAAAATGCGAGTCGAGCTAGGGAAGTCCGGTCATGTGGCTGACATGTCTATGCTTCGGAAGGACCAGATCAAAGCAAACGAAGCTGCTGGTCTTGAGAATGACAAGAATCAGAAGAACTCTGTTGATCAAGACAAAGGTCTGTTGGATGTGACCGACTTGAAGAACGAGGATTTCATCTATGTCTATTGAACGTTAGGTTTGACAGAATAGCACAGAGGGATTCATGCAGAGATGGGTATGTTCTTCGTATAATTATGTACTTCGTAGCCTGTAATTAATATAGTCTTTGGAAGCTTCCAAAATATCCAGATTAGAGCTCACGCTGGAGAATGGTGATACTTTCATGGCCTTCCCCGGAAGAGCATTGAGAAAGTTGTGAGAGGATGAGACTACCTTCAGTAGGAAACACGGATGTCTTCCTCCAAGAGACGCCATTTCTGCGCTACTTCTGCCCTCTCTTCAGGGGTAGAATCATGCATTTCTTCAAGGCCTTGGGCTATTCGAGATGCCACGATCCCATTGTCCTGTTTCTTGCCCAAAGATATTTGCAATCTTCGGCGCAGTCCAACCAAGGGGTACCCGGCAAGTCCCCATAGACCTATTTTTGAAATTCATTAGTTTCTGCACCACAACTTGGAACGGCTTATTTGGATGGCTGCATACCTGCAGGTGGCTTGAAGAAGACGCCACCGAGACCTTTCCCGATCCCCTTGGCCATTCCTTTCGCCCCTTGATGCTTGAGTCCGTATCTTGGTTGAGTGATTATTCCTGTTATTCCATAATAGAAACCATCGTAGAGTTCCTAAATATAAATCAGACCGGATTCTTGCTTGTGGAGAATATCACTGGTTGCAATTTGCCCCATACCTTGCCAGCAGCCCGCACCCCACTTCGGAAGCCGATAACTTTGGGCGTAGATTTAACCATGCGATCATGGTACAACTTCGGCGCATTGTGGAATCCCTTAGACAGACTAAGAGTGAGGTCTGTCGGAAGCCAAATTATCGTTTTCAATAGCTTCATCGACATCCGACTTCCATGACTGCGCATTTCGGTGAACGCACTGTTGCGTTTCGGAGACTCTACGCAGTTCATTGTCCGCGATTTCTCCAGCTGAAGGCTCTGTCTTCTTTCATGACTTGTTGCGGGTAATGTTTCGCTCAAATAATCGGAGTCTTCGAGTCTCGTTTCGCCCTCATCGCTTGAATCGACAGATCGGCGATATTCATTGGTATCGTGGTAGTCCTCTTCTTCGCTTTCTCCGCTTGAATCTTGGCTTCTTCTCTGACTTTTCCATGCACATGCGACTTCCATAGGGTCGGATTGGTTCCCTGGATGTCCAATGGCTCGACCAGCGGAGATGAGATCAGTCGCCATTTCGTAAGGTAGCTCGCCAATTCCGGTTATGAAATTTGCGATAGCGCCGACAAGTACTTGTGCACCTGCGCTCAGCGGACCTACGGGATCTCTCCAAGTGTCATATTCAGATGCCCGATTGCTGCAGAATTAGTAAATTTGAAGAACAGTAACATGGTGAGGGACGCTTACAGCACAAGATCCCGGGGTTTAAGCCTTTCCATCTCAACCAACACAGTGGCAGCAAAGGCGCTCAAGCCAATTTCTGTATGTTTAACGTGCCAAACAGCAGGACGGGCTGGGCATATGGCGCACCGAATCGATCTCAGGTCGAGGTGTCGATGGAAACTCCGTACACCATCCCGCACCCCGGACTCTTTCTGCATCTTTTCGGCAATCGCCTGGGCCTTCTCTTTGGTCGATGATTCCAGTGCCATCGCGATCGCACTGCTCAGTTTCTTGACCGTTAATTGTTTGTGTGGAATTGGTCCCGGGCCTGCTCCAGCGGCAGCCACTATTCCTCCCCAAAATTGCTGATCGCCGAAGAAGGGGACGATGATTGTCGGGCGGCCGAGAGACAGTCCCGCGGCAGTTGTGCCAGCACCTCCATGATGAATGACGCATGAGACTTGACGGAAAAGCCAATCATGCGGGACGCTTCCAACAATGAAGACATTATCAGGAACCTCTACCTCGTCAACTCCGAGATTCCCCCATCCCTTAGAGACAATGGCTCGCTGCCCAGCATCTGCCAGTGCCTCAAACACAATCCTCGTTAACTTTATCGGATCATCTACAACAATAGATCCAAATCCGACGTAAATGGGAGTTGGTCCTGCTTTCAAGAATTCTTCGATTTCCTTTGGAGGTTTGTAGTCAGATTTGGATGGGAGGACGCTGAATCCGCATATATCGACGTCATCACTCCAATCTCGAGGTTTTGGTAGCAATGCCGGTGACCTTGAATGAACTTGGTTATTGGCTGCGACTCAAGAAGGTGCCCATTCAAACTCACCACAGATAGGAATATGGGACTTGGAGGCGATGTATCAGACTTGGTGCTGTGATTGAGTCCAACGGATCTAGTGCGAGGACTTTTTTGCGCCACGAATTGACGAGATCGCCCAAGCCCTCCCATATCATCATATCCACGACAGCGTAAGAAACAAAATTAGCAACCGTTGGTTTGCAGTCTTGTTGGTGGAGCACAGCCAAAGGATGTGGAAAGGATTGTGTGGGAGACCAGGGCATACTAGCAGATTTGCATTAGCGCCTCAAATTAAAACTTCGTCTTAAATGCACCCACGTAAACATCATATGTAAAGGTATGCCGAGTCGTTGGGCACAATGAATATGGGCCAAACTTGGAGGATTGGCGATGATCGCGTCCGCGACGAATGGACGCCTTCGATAATCCACGCTATCATTCCAAAGGTCTTCTTTGATTTGATGAAGATTTGTTCCGTCGCCCATCTCAATGCATGATCTCCAGCATCCATGTATGATCTCTTTCATCTCTCGACGGCGTTTCTGGATCGCTCCGCTTCGTATCGTACTAAAAGCCGGCATAAGGGAAGGATTTTTCACCATGAAGGCCATGAGCTCGGCAGGATCTCCTCCAATACAGAAGAACTCCAATCCAGCCTCCAGCACAACGTCCCGAAAAGCCAAATGGGTTGCTAATCGTACCCGATGCCCGTGTGCCTTGAGCTCTTTGCCTAATGCGATGAATGGTTGTATATCACCGCGCGATCCAATGACTTGTACCACGAGATTCATTTTCAATGGGAAGTTCGTCCCCGCAGTCTCCGGCATTCCTGCCTGTGTTTCCTTCCCTTCGACATCCTCCCAATCCGACTGCAAAGGCGTTTGCTGGATGCGGTTGAGCAAGCCTGCTATGCTAGGCTTCCGTTCGTCGATATTTATGTCGAGTCGCCCGTCGCCTGTACGCGATTAGGTGTTAGTGTCAACTCCAGTGTGGATCACGCTGATCATCATGTACACACTCAAGATTCGGACTCCTGTGCTCAGTCCATCCCCACTAAATTGCATTCCTTCCTCGCCTCGCGAATGCGGATTATCTACCTCCTCATGCCAATCTTCTGGCTTTATTGTCCCATTCTGGTGAGAGCTTGCGCGCCTCGCAGTCGGTGCTGCGGAGGCCATTCTTCTCGGGAGATCGACTGTTGGGGACTTTCGCGATCGGCAATGATCACCCTGCGCGACCGGGGAAGCACTTGTATACGAAATTTTCAGAAAGGAACTTGAGATGTGAACGACAAACAGAATATTCCTAGTCGATGATGTCAGAGTCCCGAGCTTCCGGCTTCCCGGTTCTGTGCTTGTTCGGCGGGTCTCGGCAGCCCTATGCAGATCAGACCCTTTCTCACTCGGAATCCGGCTGTGCCATGCCTCGGTTCTTGTCGCATAGTGAGTAAGTGAACATCCTCGGTTGCCTTGGGGGTATGATGTCTCTGTTTATCTGCATTCTGGGCTATCAGCTCACGTCCTCAACATGGACATCCCTCTCCACTCTTCATTCGGTCTCATGTGGCTTTTTTTAGCGACTCAATCACAATGGTCACCTGAGTGCGTCGAAAACTGAAACTGCATGTCAGGCAGTCAGTACAACATGGTACCTAGGTAGCTCGGGACATGGAGACGTTTGATAACCATCGGTGGTGGCCTTGCTCTGCTCATTCCCGTTGGTTTAACATCGTCCAGAATCATACCAATGGGGCACTGATGCATGAACGAAGACTTTGACCAAAGTTCATGCACTCTCAGTCCAGTCGACCTGTGCGATGACTTCAAGATGGTGAAGAAAGCAAGGGGCAAAGGTTCAATGTTCCAAGGCTGTCAGCTGAGAGGAGAGGAAAGGAAGAGACCTGATTGTGTTGGCCTGAGGTGTCTATTTTGGATTCCCAGAAGGGAAGGACTGCAACATTACTAGATTGGGAAACTCGGCCACGCACCAGAACTCGCTTTTGGCGAGACGCATTAATTTTCCCATCTTTGGGGCCTTCAGGGCTATTGACTTTTACTCAGACAGGCTAGCAGCGCCGAAGAACTCGGCTTCTGACGAGTGATTGATACCCACCAGCGAGAATCGCGACGTGCAACAAGCTTACGATGCAATGCGGCCTCTGACGGGGCACAGTTTCCGAGGAGTGGATTACTCTTGGAGATCTCGGGAGGGGCGCTCGAAACGATGCCAGTTCTCACCACTGCCTCCTCCATGCCGAATACTCCACACGTTGTGGGGCGATGTCGGCCAGATTTGTTTATCGCAGCGACAGCGGCCAGCCCAAGTTTGTACGCGAGTTTAGACATTTTCATTCTTACGCAGTCTGTGATTACGAACTTGAATGCACTCCTCGCAGACGGTGCCCATCTTGTTCAAATCCGAAACAAAAGGACCGGAAGCTCGCCGAAATGGTATGCCGCGACATTATGCGACAGAATACCCCGATATGCATGACGCACTTTTACATGCAGGCTCGAGGGGTACGGAGATGCAGATCTTTTTTTGTCCGGGACATGGTTCAGCCGACGACTACCCGACTGAGCGTTGTTGAAAACATCCGGTGTTGGGGTGTTTCAATTCGATTCATGTCGGCTGAAGATCTCGGGCTGGGCAGCAAGTGCGGGCTGTTACGCAGCTTCTCGTGCCGTGGTGCCGAAATGCTTCTCGTCCCGAGTGGTTTCATCGCCTAAATCTAGCCCAGGCGTTGATCTCGAGGTAGGCGGATCCAGTCAGCGTTTACCCTTTGATAACATCCGTTGGATAGGGAGTCCTAATTTTGAAGAGGCACGCGGTGGATATGGGGGTTTGACGTCTGGAACATGGTATCCGAGGCGGGAAATGGTGTCCGAATCGTGACATTCCGGGGCCCCGCGGTCAATTGGCGCTTTGATCCCCGCATTATCCCACGCCCGTGGGGCCTGATGGCGTCAAGCCCGAAAATCATCCTCTGCCACCCAGTAGAGGGGACAAACCGGTTACGAATTAGTCGCATCGGGATTGGTGCAACGCAACACTAGGCCAATATGTCTATTTGCCGATTTATATTGGAAAGATATCCAGCGCATAGACTGGCTTATAGTCTGCCCGTTGGATGACCTTACTCTTTTTGACAATATTCCATTGCTTCTATCCATTGCACTTCTCGATTATCATCGCCACTCTCTCTATTTCCAAGAGTCATGGGAGAAACGAAATCAACCCCAGAAAGCGAACACTTGGAGTCCAATGTGAAAGAAGATCCTTCCACCGTCATTCCAGATCCAGGAGAAGACCGTCAACCATACGGTGCACCCGGTACGCGAGTCAGATAGCTGAACCCAAGCAGCAATCAGAATCTATACTTACAACTGAAATGATGTAACAGGTTTAAGCGGCGTCCTCGCAAACAAATATGTGGCAACATGTGCTGCCTTCGCAACGTTGGGAGGAGCCATGTTCGGATACGACCAGGGCGTCGTATCTGTAACTCTCACCATGGACCATTTTCTTGAAACCTTTCCCGAAGTTGGGGCAGATGCGGCCGGGGGCGGGTTTCAAAAGGGCATTCTCACAGCAATGATTGAGCTGGGGGCATTCATTGGCGCCATGAATCAGGGATGGATCGCAGATAAGATTTCACGAAAATGGTCGATCTTCGTTGCGGTATGGATCTTTGTCTTTGGTTCCGCGCTGCAGACTGGTGCAATGAACTTTCAGATGCTCGTTGGTGCTCGGTTTGTGGGTGGCATCGGTGTGGGCATGCTGGCCATGGTTGCGCCGTTGTACATCTCGGAGATTGCTCCTCCTGAAATACGTGGTACTCTGCTCGTAATGCAGGAGCTTTCGATTGTCGCAGCTATTGTGGTTGCTTTTTACATCACGTATGCAACCCGTTTCATTCCAAATGAGTGGTCATGGCGGCTCCCATTCCTCATTCAGGTACAAATCCCTCATCAAATGCAATATTACATATTGCTGAACATTCTCACAGATCATACCTGCCCTGGTTCTCGGTGCCGGCATACCTTTTCTCCCATACTCACCACGTTGGCTGGCTAGCCGAGGACGTGATGAAGAAGCGCTCCAGGTTCTTTGCAAGCTGCGAAAAGTAGAAGCCACTGACCCACGCGTATTACAAGAATGGGTCGATATTCGATCCGAAGCCGTCTACTGCACGGAAGTGGGCATTTTGCGTCATCCCAATTGTCAGGATGGAAGCTACTCAAGTCGAGCTATGCTTCATGTGTGGAGTTACTTGGACTGTTTCCGCAAGGGATGCTGGAAGCGCACTCATGTTGGTATTGGACTGCTATTTTTCCAACGTGAGTAAACCCAATACCCGAGGTTCCCAGATGGTATCACCTGCGTTAATCCTGTTCCTTTCTATCCCCATGAAATTCGAAGCTTACTGATGTTCTATACAGAATTCGGTGGCGTCAACGCTCTGATTTATTACTCACCCAGCTTGTTCGAAGGAATGGGCCTCGACTACGAAATGCAGCTCAACATGTCCGGTGTTGTGAACATATGCCAGCTAGTCGCTTGTCTATGGGCATTATGGGGAATGGACAAGTTTGGTCGCCGCCCTTTGCTCTTCGGAGGTGCGACATGCATGGCGATTGCCCACCTCATCATCGCCGTCCTCATGAGTCAATACCAATCAGACTGGCCTTCTTACCCAGTCCAAGCCTGGGTTTGCGTCGCATTCTTATTGGTCTTTATGCTCACTTACGGAGCCACCTGGGGTCCAATTCCTTGGGCAATGCCGGCCGAGATTTTCCCTTCTGCTCTACGTGCCAAAGGAATGGCCTACTCGACAATGTCTGCATGGCTTAACAACTTCATTATCGGGCTCATTACGCCGCCGCTTATACAGAACACCGGCTACGGCACCTATGTTTTCTTTTGCCTTTTCTGTGCTTTATCATTCGTGTGGTGCTGGTTCTTTGTTCCAGAGACGAAGGGACGTACATTGGAGGAGATGGACGTGGTCTTCAAGGACAACAGCTCGAGCGAAGAAAAAAGACAACGGGCCCGTATTGAGGCGACGATCTGGGCGCTCGCGGACAATAGGCCTAATGGTGGATTTGCAGATGTACACAAGATGATCTAGTCAGAACTTTTAGAATATAGACTTGTACAGTTCCCAAGTTTGCCCCTCTTAGATTGTGCCCACCCGGGCACCCGGGCAATCAACGTACCTAGTACAGTGAAGCTTGGTCCCAGCTTGGAAGATTTCCAAGGTTACCTTCTCCGGAGTTAGCTATTTTCAAGGATCCACCCCCTGAACAATTGGACATTAAAATGATTTCGATACGATCTGGAGCAGAATTGTTTGAAGATAATATGATGTATGATATTGAAATCCTCGAGATTCAAAGAGATATATAACCATGAAGAAAGAATTATACAGTAAACAAATAGTCCCAAGCCACGCTCAAACAAACAAGACATGCAAATATAGCGGATATAAGATCATTAAGCGTTCCGTGATATCAAACCACATTTAGACATCAGCCTTAGCACCAACACTCTCGTGGTGGGTAGCGCCCTCAGCGCGCTTCTCGCCGGCATCAATCTCAAGCTGAGCGAGATCACCAGACTTTCCGTTCGAGACATCCCGAACATCAGCGTAGTTGACAGAAGGAACCCAGCCAACAGACTTCCAGGCACAAGAAACCTTGGAGTAAAGCTCATCAACCTGCTCAAGGGAGAGACCCTTAGTCTCGTAGATGCAAGTGTAGACGAAGATAGCGCAGATGAGACAGAAACCACCCCAGATGAAGAAGACCTTGGACTGGAGGTTGGCGTTGCCAGGACCGCTGTTCACCATGTAGGGGGTGGCGTAGGCGATGGCCCAGTTCAGGAGCCAGTTGGTGGCAGTGGTGATGGAGAGACACTTGGCGCGGGCCTTGAGAGGGAACAGCTCACCAGTGACGACCCAGGCGACGGGACCCCAGGAGCAAGCGAAGAAGAAGATGTAGATGCAGACGAAGGCGATGAGAACCTTGTTTGACACGTCTGAGTCGACGGCTGTTCCGACGATGGCGACGATCAGCTGAGAGACACACATGCCGACGGCACCGAACAACAGGAGAGGGCGACGACCCCACTTCTCGACCATGTAGAGACCGGGGAAGGTGGAGACGACGTTAATGATGTTGGTGATGAGGGTGATGACAAAGGAGTTCTGGATTCCAGAGTTCTGGAAGAAGGTGGTGCCGTAGTAGAAGATGAAGTTGACACCGGCGAGCTGCTGCAGACCCTGGACGGCGCATCCAGTAGCAAGACGCTTACCGAGAGTGCCGCGGAAGATCTCAAGGTAGCTAGCAGCTCCAAGGCGCATCTCGAACTCGTGGTTAGCCTGGATCTCGGCAAGTTCAGCAACAACAGCAGGGTCGTTGACGTCCATGCGGCGAAGACGAGCGAGGGCCTTGGTGGCCTCCTCGTAGCGGTCCTGCTTGATCAGGAAGCGAGGGGTCTCGGGGAGAACGATCATGCCGACAACAAGGATGATGGCCCAGGCGAACTGGATGGCGACGGGGATACGGTAGGAACCGGTATCGTTGCGATCCTTGGTGGCGTTGTTGACGATGGCAGCGAGGAGCAGACCGAAGGTAATAGCCAGCTGGTAAGCACCAACAATGGTACCACGGATCCACTTGGGGGAGGTCTCAGACTGGTAGAGGGGGATGGTTGCGGAGAGCAGACCGACACCCAGACCAGCGAAGAAACGACCAGCAACAAACAGGGGGATGGAGGTAGCAATGGTCTGAAGGATGACACCGACGACAAAGACACCAGTATCCATGATCATGCCCAGGCGACGACCAAACTTATCCGCGATGGGGGCAGCGAAGAGAGCACCGAAGAAGGTACCGGCAGAGAGGAGAGACACGATCATGGAGGACTGGGAGGAGGTGACATCCTTCATGCCGTCTGTCTTGTTGATGTAACCAGTTGAGAAAGTCTCACGCCAGTACTTCATGGCGAGAATACCGCTGATGGTACCGGTGTCGTAACTGATATATGGTTAGAGCTGCAGCTAGGCCGGGTCTAAGGCTGGCACTTACCCAAAGAGAACACCACCGAATGCAACAAACAGGCCGATCAAGATGGCCGGGGCAGCAGAGCCCACGGCATCATCGGGCCTTCTCAAAGCGAAACCCATTGGAGTAGGAGTAACTGGTTTGATCGATATGGGTGTAGGTGTAGGTGTAGTAGGTGTCAATTGATGATAGAAGAGTAGATCCGCTTAGCAGAGAGGAGCAAGTAGGTCGATGTAGTGATGTGAAGATTGAGTGTGTAGAGAAGATGTAGATGCAGAGCAAAAACGTCGAGGACGATCCTCCTATTTGTAGTTTTTTCCCCCAGAAAAACTCTACCACATGGCCACCCACACAAGCCGGGCCGGGGTAGACAAGACAGAACCCGAAAGCAGCGAGACCGCGGGGGCCAAGGCCGAAGTGTGCATCGTGTCCAATCCCAGGAAGGTATCCAGGGACTAGCGTGGTTGTCGAAGAATCCTGTAGTAATTATTTTGGTAATTTGGTATGGTTCCATTGTTTCGAGCCTGGGGATAGGGTTTGGGCCGACCGTGGGGGAGCCAATGCGGTCTGGATGCGCTGTGGGGCCACTCAGCCCCCGGCGAAATCCGAAATAGCCATTGGTCACACGCGCAAATTGGCTCAGCGCTGAGCCGAGGATTCGAGAAAAGTTTGCCCTGGGCCTTGCTTGTTGCGTCTTGGCTGGGCTCTCTCATTGGTAATATTACAGCTCCCTATTGAATCGGTGCATGGCCGTGGAATGCTGCATACCACGAGAGATGGATATGTCGATGGAAGCCGACAGGGTTTGAGATCGGATTCTAGTGCGATCGGGACGGAAATAGCCATGTGTCTGCACATGACAGGAAAATCGGGGGATGCCGAAAACGGATCCGATCGGCATCGGCCTGCCGCTTCGGGAACTGGTCAACGGCCTGGATTTTCCTCTAGCCGTCCAAGGTGTCTCGGGATTTCTGGCATATTCTCTACACAGTAATTGGAAGGGACAGATCTTCAGAAGGCACACAGGAAATGAGGAATTAATTGTCTCTTTCTTTTTTCTCTGCTTCTTGCATAGAGTATACTCCGTAGTCTTCTAGTTTGTAATGTGTACCGTAAACACTGGGGGCGAGGAATGTTTGGGAGATTGCATCGAACCTCACCCCCAACTAATGGCTCATCTCCAGATTTTCCCCTCACTTCAGTGCGTATTTCCCCAGGTTCGTAGGGGCTCGAGTCATCTGGGGAGACCAATGACCAGCCCTCACAAGCCATGATCCGCAGTAGATGTCGTCAATCCCTGACGGCTCACTCCAAACCCCGGGTTAGAGTTGCTCACCGGAGGCCAAAGGAGCAACAATACGGCCAGATCAAACCAGGCCCCGCATTCTCGCGTGTCATGGACAAGTTGGGAATGGAAGTTTTGCACCTATTAATATTACCCGTTGAGTTTTTTACATCCGTACGGAGTACATACAGTACAGTACTCACAGGCTCCACCGCCATGCGACTTCTTGATTTTCTCCTTGCTTCGAGGATCTCCAGGATTTTCGGCCATACTTGTACAGTACAGTATAGTATAGTGCTTGTAACTCTCTTCCCAAAACATTCCCATGCAATCCACCCTCAACAGCAGGAAGGAATCTGTGGACAGTGCAGCAGGATCTCACGGCCCGCGCCAGAATCTTGGCGAAACACAAAACAGGGTGCGGTATTTTCCCGTCGATCGGATTGGGCCATCAACCCGAGGCTTTCCCGATAATTGTCCTGCCGGGATATCATCGGAGACAATGTCAAATCCGGGGGGTCACGACCGGGGTCGGGATCTCGGGGAATAAAAATATCCCGGTCAGCTGGCAGAGAAAAAAAAAGTGGCGCAGCTCGGGAGCTAGCAACAAGTCTTGTTTTTTGAGGCTGAGAATAGATCCGTGGACATCAGATGATCAATGCGATTCTTTGTAATTAGGCCGACTCGGCTCGGTCCGATGAATTGTTTGTTTATCGTCTATCCTCGCTGGAGAAAAAAAAAGCAAAAAGGGAAAAACCGAGACATGACCAGACCCACTCGGACTAGCTACCAGCGCCAGATGAGGATGAAGTACACGACCAGCACCACTTTGGCCACGTATAGAATGGACGAGTACAAGTCTCCCGTGATGAGTGAAAATCGAGATCGCGATTGCGCCGATGCCGGACGCCATTCCCTTTTGCCTTTGGGGAATGAGTCCATCTCATCGTCTACGCGATATGGGTCCTGGGGATAGTTTGTGCCGGGGTAGCGAGTGGACGCTGGGATGCCACCACGGCTAGCCAAGCCACCCGAGGGCATGGTAGAACTAGACGCACCCGAGGTATGGGATTGGTGGGAGGGGCGTCCGTATTCAGCGAGGGGAAGAATACTATCTGTGGAAGGCTCAGGCGAGTAAATGGCGTGGTAGATGGAGCGGAGGGCAAGGATGAGAACGCTGAGACCGAGGATAGTGAGGTAATGTATGAAGATTCCCAGCTGGTCTGGGAGAAGACAGAGGTGGTTTTGGATGGTAGGGGTCCCTTCGTGAAGCGCGCGGCCCGTCTTGGGGTCGATTGGATGCCATAGACTTGTAAGAACAAATCCGGGGCGGCGGACTCCCATCGCCCAGGATATACTCTTCACGGTGATTTCATTTGGTGAGCCGTTGAACTCCCGGTGTGAGACTTCGCAATAATCATGGTCATCGCCGGAGTAGACCTGCACAACATTGGGTCCGGCTTTGGAAATAACTTCGGTCGAGACGGTTTGCGTCAAGACATTCTGATATTGATACCCAGCGGATATACTGATGGCATTTCGCTCATCCTCTTGTAAATCCTCTTCGGGCGAGGAAGGCGGGTAGTGCTCACGTAGAGGGCCGCAGGGAGTTCCTGCCTTCCGGTAGAGAGGAACGTGGGTGAGCAGGATAGTCGGGAAGCCGGCGCTCACTTGCTCCTGCCTATGGTGAAGTGTCGCCTCAACGGCATCGACAACACGATAATTAAAGAGATGCCCCTCGCTCTGATTTCTGAGCATCCGCAGCTCATCGGTCTCCGCCTTAGCCTTGTGGATAGCCATCTTGTCCAGAAAATCATCTGCTTCTTTCCAGATCGGGCGAATCGCATGGTTTGCGTCACTCGATGTTGGTGAACTGCCTGTCAGCGGATCAGGCTGATCCATCGCGCTTAAGGAAACGGAGTCGACTGAGACGAAAGTGTGATTGCCTATCACATTGACCTGGTTCGTCTTTCCAAAGAAGCTCTCGAATCGGTCCCGGACAGGCTCCTGGACTCCATTTCCGAACCCGAGGTCGTGATTCCCAGGTAAGTTGGCAAGCAATCTCCGGCCCCGTCCATCGACGCTAGGTCTATTGGCTTTTTCCCATGGGTCGAGAAAAATTTTGACGAACCGTCCGAATTCCTTTTTCCAGTACCGGTCTTTGTATCCCTTCCAGCGAGCTTCGGGACTGCTACTTGTCGCGGTTGCCCATTCTCTCCCACCATCGAAAAGGTCGCCAAGAAACAGCACCGAGTCTGGCTCAAGGTGGTCCTGGATCAAGGAGAAGGATCGGCGCATATATTGGTCGGTATATCGCATTGTTAATGTCGACAGAGGCCATGGTCGGCCGGGGTAGGTGTGGGGATCAACGAGCTGGGGGTCGGCAATAAAGGCAATGTGGTGCGGAGTTGCATCTTTGGGCTAGTATGCGGGTCAATCGTCAGTATATTTTTACCAGAATCGGATCGGTTGTGACAACGCGCCACTGAATGCTCACCCAGTCTTCCCAACTATCCCATAGGCACCGGTTTATGTGATCCTCAAAAACCGTGCGCTCTCCCCACCGAATTGAAAACATCCAAAGTAGAATAATTGCATTTGGAATTGTGAAGACATTCTTGACAACATCCTTGGCCGTGACCTTAAACCCCGCCCCGTTGGCTCTCCACCTCCGATAGGCGGTGCTCGGAGAAAGCCATTGCTTGGCCACTGGAGGTATATATTCGGCGACCCGATTCAGAATGGTCGGGGACTGTGGGCGCTTCGGGTTGTATAAAGGGAGCGAGGATGGCAAGGATGCGCCTGTGTTGCGCGGGTAGGCGAATGTCATGTTTAGCTCAACTTGACCGAGGGTCAAGATGACAGGGTGGCTTGACCCCAAACAAAAGGGGAGAATTCAGCAAAAGGAGTGGCAGGTCATGCTACGTGGAGGTAGCCAACTGAGATCAAAGGAATGAGGGGATTGGAGCTGTGAAAGGTGACATCTTGGGAACAGGGGGATCACTGTTTAAGCTTCGGGTCGAGATGTGTCGGTGGGTCGGGTCACGTGGAGTTTAAAGATAGCATCCACGCAGAACTACAGCACGAAACATCTATACTGGATAAATCTTAGCACTCAAGACCTTTCCTTTTCCATTTGAGCATTCTCCTCTTGCAGCTTTTTTGAAGCAAATAGGCATCCTCCAAACACAGTATCTCGATATTAAGATCGGAAGAGAGAACGAATCAAAGTTATCAGGACTGTAGATCACGAGGAGAGTCGTATACACGAGGTCGAGTATGGTCATCGAACAAAGGTAGGGGATCTCTTCCATGCAAATTGTGCATTTCTGCAAGTTTGACGGCCAGCTTTTGATCCTGCGGCTGGTATCTGAAAATTTTGGGTGCTCTGGATAATCGAAGAACATAAACAGGGATTTTGGCAAGACACATATGAGCAGACTCATAATCGTACTCAACATTGTTGATGTCCAGTACGAAGAAGGAGTGGCGTCCTTCAAACTTGCTCACAGCAACCCAGCGAGTTTCAGCGTCCGGAAGACATGTTGAAATGGAATTTTGAACCTCCTGGACAATCGTATGGATTGATTTCAAGAAGTCGGAATGATCAAGAATGCTATTAGGCGTGTCGCCAGTGATTCGTAGTGGAGTAGTTGGTGTCGAAGAGTCACGTTTATTTAGGAAGTTTCTCACGGTTTCGTGAATCTTCCCGATGATCAAGGCACGATCCCCCATGGCCGAAAAGACGCTTTGTATTGGCGTTATCCTGCCCAGTATAGACATGAAGGTAGGCGAGGTGATATAGTATGGGATATGTTGTTTCCAAATATACTTGATGTGAACAAATGGGAAGAGAAACAGAGTGACATACCAAAAGGTTCTTACATTTAAAATAACTCTAGAAATGGTGCCAAGGATGGGATGACATGGATAACCCCTGGTCAACTGGTGCCTAGTTAATGCATTCCCTATACAACCTTAGAGCCGCCAACCTTTGAAATATCTCCAGGGCTCTCATCAAAGTGGCCGTATCCCAAATAGGACATCCCTCCCACCCGCTAGGGAATATCTGGTACATGCGGCCATTTGTGAACTTCATCTTTGGAACTCGATCAATGTATTCCGTACAGTATTTTGATATATGGAAAATCCGCAAATTGCATTTATTAGGAATAAGTAGGGATGCATGCAGAATGCCACGCGACACAATCCAACGCGTATCAAGCCTAGGGCAGAAAATTATGGCATGTCACGCTGTGTATCATTCTGTGTTCGAAGAACATGATATCACCAAGGGAACTCTAGGGTAGCAGGTAATATGGACGGGCAGTCAAGGATGGAGAGTGAGCCTCTCGGGGGTAATGAGAGAGGGATGAAGGGGTATCTGAGTAGGGAAAACCAATTGGGGTAATGATATTTTAGGGGACATGAGTAAGGACCGAATGAAGATAAATTCGTGGCCAGTTACCGCATGAAAGAATCAAATTCACTTTTTGGGGCAACACTGGCCTCCGCGAGCGCAGTTTTCGTCACACTCAAGGAGGCAGGCTTGAGAGTCACCGTCCCGGACACTGGGAGCACGACTGGGGAGATCCTCAGTGCCACGGGAAGAGCCGGCCTGGGCATTGTCTTCGACGTCACTCTCAGGCGCAAATTCGGGTTGAATGGTGGAGGAATGGATGCCATAGGCATGGAGACAACGTCGCACCTGTCTGGCGAGACGCATGTATCGCTCCGAGCCTTCGCCCTTGATCTCGGTGTCGACCTGGAGGTGAATTGATGCCACGATCTTGGTGTCACTCAATTGCCAAACATGCAGATGGTGAGATCCGATAACACCGGGAAGTCGCTCGATATCTTCCTTGATGTGGTCGATGCTCATTCCGGGGGGCACGGCCTGGAGCAGGATGCGCGATGCGGCCTTGCACAAGGGAATAGCGGAAGCAAGAATAATCAAGGTGATCACGAGGGAGATACCGGGGTCAACATAGTAGCGCCATTCGTAGTCGGTCAACCAGATGATGAGAGCTGAAACGATGACACCAATGTTTCCAAGCGCATCGCCCATGACGTGGAGGAAGACACCACGCATGTTGAGGTCGTGGCTGTGGCCCTTCTTCTGATCCTTTGACTTAGGTTGCGCGTGATTGTGCGATTTGTGAACGTCCTCGTCCCGGTGGTCGTGAACTCTGGCCGGCACGCCCTCGTCGGTGTAATTTGTAGCATGGTCCCGGTGGCGAAGCAGGCCCGATCGTTCAGACGGGATATCGTCATCCTCGCGACCCTCCGAATCCGATGATTGCTCGCTGCGATATTGACTGGCCGCAATAATTCCTTGTCTGAGTCGCTCTGGAAGCACTGGAATGTCCTCGGCACTGACGAAGCCACGTCCGTTGGGAGCGCTGTAGCCCCTGGAGCTACGGGTTTGGGTGTCGCGGCGTTTGCGCGACATGGGAGAGCCAGGCTCTGTGGTAGATTGGACGAGTGTAGCCTCGGATTCCGGTACCGCGACGGGGCTGTGGCTGTGGTCGTGGTCGTGGTCATGATCGTGGTCGTGATCACTGTATCCTCCCTCGATGGCGTGCTCCTCGTCGTGATCGTGGTCGTGGCCGTGGTCATGGCCCCCGCCATGTCCGTGGGAGTGGTCGTGGAAGAGAACCAGGCCAATTAGGTTGGAGGCCAGTCCGAAGCAGCCAACAATGCAGACGAAACGGGGGTTTTGCACTTCCTGCGGCTCCACCAATCGCTGAGTCGCCTCTAGGAAAATCGACATGCACAAGGCGACGAGGAAGACGCCATTGACCAAGGCTCCAAGAGTTTCGGCTCGTTGCCACTATGATAGAGGATCCCACGGTCAGACAATTCTTCGCCCTTTGTTTCAAATGCACTTACGCCATATGTGTATGTGTTGGACGTGGTTTCGCGGTTTGCGACCTTGACGGCCCACAATCCTACACAGAGAGATAGAACATCGTTCAACTGTTGATTATGGGTTAGGTTTTGATTCTTTCGCGTTGGCTGGGTGGGCGTACCATGTGGAAGGAGTCGGCAACAAGGGCGAGGGAGTGAACGGCGTAACCTGGATAGCAACAGTCAGGAATTGGTCGCATGCAATGGAGTAGATGCGCACGAACCAGTGATCAGTTCGAGAAGGAAGAACGCGGTGTCAATGACCAGCAGGATCAAGATCCTGTTCGTCTTTGAGAGACCCATGATTGCGTCGGGATCGCGCTCGATGGCGCAGAGGCTCTAGGAAAGTCAGGGATTGAGCTGCAGGTATGAAGCCTGGAGCTGGTGCGAATGAGAGTGCGCAAGTTTTGACAGGAAGGAGGGGTTTATGTAGAGGACAAAAAATGGGATCGATAGCGCCGGAGAGAGGTGAACCCGCTGACGCAGTGGACCTCGAAACGGCCAGGCGGAAGCCCCTCCGATATGGTCCGCAGTGGCGAGACTTTCTTTTTACTCGTCTTATTTCTTTCTCACGAGTCGCTTGTTTTTATTCTTTTATTTGCTTCAGTCTCACAGGAAATTCAAGGGAAATCGCCAACGAAATTCCAAAGGAAGTACCAGTACTTCGCATTAGTACTACAGTGGCAGAGTTTTCGAAAGGCCGACATCGTACCTCACGGATGATCTCCACTCTGGGGCATCGGTCCACTAAGGGGAATCCTCCCATTGGGACTTCCATGGGCTTGGGCCTTCGGTTTATACTCCAGCTGATGTCCAGGTCTTGTTTTGAATCTGAAATATAAATTGAGCACGTCCCATTCCGATCTGCTAAATATACACAGGCCTATAAACCACGAAATACTAGTACAATGCTTAATCTTACATTCACTTCACGAATTTGTCAACCTTGGAAGTCGACATGCGTCGCATGCACCAATGACAACCCAAGGCAACTGCAAACCCTGTCTAGCTCTGTGGAACAAGCTACAAGTACTGCAGCTACACTACTGTAGGTGCTATGTGAGTAGTATCATTTATTTCCCGACGCCATATCCACTTATACTCCTAACTCCTAAGGTCCTCACTTTACTAACCGCTTCTCGCCAACCGCTTAAATAACCTCGCTGTTAGAGCCCTCGAGGACCGCACAAAACCTGAAATCCTCAATTCTACCGCCACTCCTCTCGGCAATTCCAGCGCCACGCCAGGGATGACCCTTTCCTCACACCCTGGTAAAGCTACAGTCCTGGGAACATGTACACACCCCTGCTAGATAACGTTAGTCCGAAAGTTAATAGACGCTGGTCTCAATTGTCGCGTAGACTCAGGCTGGCCCCCAAATCCATGCCCCACGACTAGCTCACTGAGCAATCGGACATTTGCCGACGTGTCACCGAAGTCTCCGATTGATGCCTCTATTCCCACGTTGCTTATAATAAGAAGCTTGCTCATTGGATCTTGGGAGAGCCTGCCCCATCTCCTTTCCATCTACTTTAAGTTCTGGCCTCGCTTGCAGGCAATATGGGGTCCTTGTGGATCGGCTTTGGGCGTACTCGTACAAAACTCGCCAGATATATATATGAGGTTTGGTTGCAGTGGACGTCTCCATCCATGGATAGTCCCTCGGTGTACAAACATTTCCTAGAGTTTTGGCGATTTGTGGATCTCATCAAGGTTTTAATGTTCCACGCCCTTCTTGACTCTTACGGGCTTTCGCAGGGCCTGAGCAGATACTGCAGTCTGTATGTCTGTCAAGTTGTGCAGAATGCGTGGATAGCATGTGACACCGAGTCAAACGAGCTCTTGCGTTGGAGATGCCTGAATATGAAATTTGATGATATGAGAATATACGGCAGTAAAACCAGATATGGAAATCCCTTGTGTGGCAAGTTATGTGACTTGTATTGGGAACTAGTCGTTCAACTAGACTGATTCGGCGAAGAGTGCGATGCCTCGAAGCCACTTCTTTGTTGCTGGAACATGTAGGCAAAAAAGGCCGGTTCTTTCATCAGAAGCTCATGTGGCCTAACGGCCTCATGCTTCCGAGCCGAGTGGTTTCAGAAATGATCCACTTATCAGGCCGGCTGGCCCAATGGCAAGGCGCTTGACTACGAATCAAGAGATTGCAGGTTCGATCCCTGCGTCGGTCATCATTTTTTGCTTCTCTTGCCTTTTTATCTGTGAAAGGCATCCAAGTTGGAAGGAAAATCGTCTTGTCGGTAACAATCCATGATGTACTTAGTAGATGCACTTTACCCGCGGTGGTCTCTAGGGCTGTTACCGCCTGTAAGCCGGGATATTGAATGCATTAGGAGCATTGCTGGTAACACCCCGGTGGGTGTCAACCTTGGAAGAGCCTACTAGGTAGGAACTGACATGGCCTGTTTATATATTAAAAGACCTCGGAAAATACTACATGTACTTCAGGTGGACTCAATGGATCCTTCCAAGGTTCAAGGTTGGAAATAACCAGAGCATTGAGATAAGGTATCAAACACTGAGCACCACTGGGCACTTGCAAGAATCCATGTTCTATCTACCTACTAGGTAGTAAGGTTGCCAAAGCAGCAGTGGACTACTCCGTACAAACAAGCCCCCGGGGCCCGGAGTGGGCCCGCCTTCTCGGTTGCCCAGGTGCACTCCGTGCCTCAGGCATTTTTAGCCACTACTACCTACCTAGTAAGGTAGTATAAACCACGCCGTACGTTGAGATGGGCCCTCGTACTGTTAGGGCCACGCTGGGGCGAAAATCAGACAGTGAATGGATTGATTGAGCTCAACCGAAGGGGACAAGCCGAGATGACAAAGACAGACAGATACCGGTGTCGGTGCCTCGATATATAACACCCGTGGACACCTAGACATGAATTTTCCAGCCGAAGACCGATATAATACTAGGTAGTAGTATTCTACAGTATTTGCATACCTAGTACTGGTATATTTCTTATGCCAGCTTGATGTTTTGGTTGCTATTCTAAGAGCTTGTTTAGATTAAGCAAGGCTTATGACGGGATGAGTGGAGACTGAGCGGAGTCGAAAATCCATGCAGGACCGATAGCCTTCGTCCGTGGGCAGGTTATCTCAATATGTCATAAACTGTATGAACTTGCAAAAAGTGCATGGAGATTTGACTTGGAATCAAACATTGCGCATGCGAAACTGAAGCCGTTGGCATTGCATCGTATATGCGGTAAGACCTTGGCACCGGGCAGCCACGGCCCCTGGTTCTTTTTTAAGCGATTCGGGCACCGTCTAAGCCCCAGAGTAGCTCGCACGGTGCCCACAGTGATCTCATCGATAACCCAAGGCTGAAAAGCTATACCAAAAACAAGTTATTGTCCATAAGCCCGGAATTTTCAACAGTTTTGATTTGCTTGATACTTTAGCGGATTCTCGCATCTGCTTCACGCTGAGATTTATACTTCTTTTGATGCAGCACTGCCTGACCAGTACAGTATTTGAATCGAAATTCCAACTCGATTCCATCTATAATCTGACTTTGGGAATATTGGATTTTGATCTCTGGCAAGATGACCGGCCCATTTTCTTCTCAAGTTGGAGGCGAGAGACTGCTTCTTCGCATAACATGTTTTGCAATTGGCACCATCGCAATGATTTGCTCTTACTTCGCGAGTGACTATCTCGGATTAGGACTGGTGCGAGATCCCCGCAAATCTCCATAGAGCCCCCATTTCTGATTTTTTCTTTAGACCATGGCTGCAGTGGGCTGGTCATTGGTCCATATAATCTTCCTCGAGATAAGGATGGAGGTTCATCCTGTTCTGTCGATCATTTTTGACTTAGCCTTATCGGCTATGACAGCTATTTATGCGATCATCAGTCTCCTGGCAACAATTGGGCTCAACAACGTCTTCTACATGACCCCCACCGCTATTTCCACGATCCTGGGCCTAAAAGACTCTACCAAAAACGAGTCATTTGGCCTCAATGATACCCACATGGATGCTCTGGGAATCGGAAGTGCAGCAGTGATGGGTCTCACAGGGTTTGTTTGTTGGAACTGCGTAATCACCAAATCCGCTAACTATTTTCCCTAGCGCATTTCATCTTGCGTTCTTTGTTATCGCCTGCCGTGATCTTCAGAATCGAAACCGCCACCAATGGGATCTCACAGAGAAATAGATTGCGCTTGACCTGGAGGCCCGTCGCATGTCTAGCGTGAATTAGAAAAAGACCACTGAGGGCGTCAAGGACCGACGCAATGTAATGCCATTATATGAGAATAATGAATTTGACGGTGATCACGAAGCATGAAAGCAGTAAATCAGTCAAATTGATAGATCAGCAAAAAGGCTGTATGTAGATGGGGCGACATGACCGCGAGCGAGAAAATGAAATCAAGAAAGAAGGAAATGTCGGAAAGCAAATGCAAAAGCAAAGCAGAGGGAGAGGTCTTCGGAGCTCCAGGGCTACCAAGTCGACCCTGGAGGCCCTGATCCCTGATGAATCTTCGCAACAAGCATCCACCTTATCCAAATCTGGCCCATTATGCAATCCTGGTGATACCCTTCGTGATGGTGGTTTAATGCCACCAACTGTCTCCAATCTTTTTATGAACCTTGGAAGAGAATAGGAAGATGCAAGCGTATCATGTCTGCATCAGTTGACTCGCGCAACATTCATGAGATAGAACGCTCTGATATAAGCTCATGGAGGTCTTGGAAATTCCAACCTACCCCGAGCATGTACACCGTACAAACTTGGAAGTGGTGGCTAATGCAGGATAATCAGTCCACGGAGAGGTTGAGAGTGTTGGTACTTCATTATATCGTTTCTGGAAGCCTCTAGGTGGACCTTAGATTGTGTGCTCCGTTCTCGACTGGCCATCTCGAATGAAAGATGTCCGGATATCCACGAGGCCGAACTTTGAGGGCCCCACTCCCGACAACTTCCGAAAATGGAAGTTCAAAGTCGAAGCCTTGGCATTGGACTTTTTTTTTTCGGGAGAAAGGTGCCATATCCAGTTCTTCAACAAATCACGGCCGTTTTCTCCATAATATCCCGTATGTCTTGTCCGAAAATGGGCACTATTCTTCAACTAATGCTACAACGGGGCTTCACTGGGTCCTTGCCCCTCTGGCTACGGGGGCGTCATAGCTTAGAAATGTGGCTACTACTGCATCCTTTGAATATAAATCATCTTCTAGTTCTCTCAAGAAATCGAAATCTACTGTGAAGCTTATATTCGTCGATATTGAAAAATATCTGATACAGCCCAATGGGCGCACCAGAGACGCTCGCTCCCAAAGATGGGGGTTTGCCACACGACTTGGAGCAAGCCAGAATAGACCAGGAGCTTGCCGACCTAGAACGACTGGGACGAGAGAGACCAAAATGCTTCAAGGGAGCATGGTCAGAGATTTCCTTTTGCCTATCAATCTTCATGTCTCAGATTCTGGCTGTAAGTCATCCTCACTTGCAACGAATAGCTTCAGTGGCGGGGAGTCTAACTTTTCTACAGGAATACTACATCTCAGGCTCGAATGTGCTACTTCCGACTCTTGTGAAAGAGCTCAATCTTCCCGAAGCCTCGGCAATTTGGCCATCAACCGCACTGTCGTTGGTAGTCACGTCGACACTCCTCATCTTCGGCCGGTTGACGGATATGTTTGGGGGTTATGCAATCTACAACGCAGGAGCTATATGGCTGACAATATCGTCAATCCTGTGTGGCATCTCTCAGACATGGTTGATGTTGGTCATTTTTCGAGCGCTGCAAGGCTTTGCTCTGGCCGCCTTTCTTCCCTCCGGAATCATGATTCTCGGCAGCACTTACAGACCAGGCCCCCGAAAGAACATCGTGTTCAGTATTTACGGTGCCTGCGCCGCACTGGGGTTCTTTGTTGGCATTTTCTTTTCTGGTCTGGCCGGTGAATATCTCACTTGGAGATGGTATTTCTTCTTCGGCGCAATCTTCTCGGCCATCACTGCAGCTCTCGCGCTGTTTTCCATCCCGCGAGACTATGCAGAGAAACGGAAATCTGGTGTCACAATGGACTGGCCAGGTGCATGCCTCTCTGTTCCGGCGGCGGTACTTATCGTCTTTGCCATTGCCGACAGCGCCCACGCGCCACAAGGTTGGAAAACGCCGTACATTCCTCTTTTCCTTGTCCTTGGATTGATCATCCTTGGCTTCATGGTTTATGTCGAAGGATGGGTTGTCAAGAATCCACTCCTTCCTGGCGATATCTTCAAAGTGAGATATATGCTGCCGTTGGTCATATCGTTGCTCCTTTTGTACGGAACGCTGGGTATATTTTTGTTGTACGCTGTGTTATAGTAAGTGAATGGCTTTCTGCTCCCTCTTTGATGTTCCATGGCTAACGACTTCTTCCAGCATGTCTGACATCATGGGAGCTTCTCCAATGCAAATCGTGGCATGGACTGCACCCATGGGAGTAGGCGGCCTGATTCTTTCGGTTGGGGGTGGCATGATATTCCACAAAGTGCCCGGAACTATCTTGATGATGATATCATGTTTGGGATATGTGGGATCGGGGCTTCTGTTTGCTGTGATCCCCGTCGGGGGGAATTACTGGGCGTACGTCTTCCCATCGATGATCTGCGGCACAATTGGCATCGACATCAGTTTCAACCTTGCCAATGTTTTCATCACCACCAATCTTCCAAAAGCAAGACAAGGTCTTGCAGGCGCCTTGATCAACTGTACGCTGCATATGGGAATCGCAGTTATGCTCGGGTTCGCAGATATCGTCCAAACTCAGACCGTGGACTTGGGGACTCGCCGGAGTTATAAAGCGGTCTTTTGGTACGAAACTGGACTGGCGATTCTGGGTCTCATCATTGTTGCATTATTTGTGAGAATTCGCGAGGCGAAAAGTGAACTGACTCTCGACGAAAGAGAGGTAATGGCGGCCGCTGGGAGTGAAAGGACTGAAGTTTAGCATATTTGATACCCCACACCGCGCCAAGATCCAAAACACATGGGATCTGGGAAAAATAGATTTAGAAAATTCTTTCTCCCCACGAGCGACTGTTGGTTTTGAAACGATTGAGTAAATGCTGTAGTTGCAAGACCTGTCTTCAACTTGCAACGAAGATGTAATAGGTTGACTACCATAATCGCAGACATACCCCACAGAATAAGGTTGTTTAGAGTTACGGAAACAAAGAAATTATGCCAATGCCTCGCTAATCGTGATCAGCCCTGAAATCTGGAGCAAGGACAGGAGAGCATCGAGCCGACTTGAGTGATATTTATAGTTCTGGAAAGAGACCCTCTCCTATTGGTCCAGTTGACCCACTGTGTCCCTGACTCACGTGATCGAAACTCCGATCGGGCTTGGCGTGCACCGGGGTAACACAGCAGTTGCTTGATTAATCCGATCATCCCTGGTCTTCATACACCATTGCTTGATCCTCGGCAAAAGGCTTCAAAATGACCCATTTGGACTCCGGTTGACGATTGAGATTCACGACCATGTCAATCACCACCATACCTCTCCGACCCCTCGTGTCGAAGGCACGTGCGGAGAAAAATGACCGTTCCCCCCATGCCGGCAAAGTCGGACACTTTGAGTCTTCCACAGTACACCCCGAGGGAAAGGGCTGCACAGACATGGAGATAGGCGACTGCGACACTCTCCATGACCGAAACTATGCCGGAGGGGGTCGGGCGTCAGTCGCGGAGAAGGAATACACGCCTGATCTGAGCTTCTTGACGGCCGAACACCCGCTCTTCCCACCCATGCCTTCCTACGGCCCTCCCTCTGCCACCCGCCGGATACAAGACTACATGTTTATCGGTGTGTCTTTCGTCCTGTCGCTGTGCTTTTTGACGGCCATATTTGTCGGGGCCCTCGTGCGCACGGCCGCAGTCGCAATCACGGACGCTCGGCTACGGATGACCGGTCACAACCCAGATACACAGCGCGCGTTCTACGAAGAAGAGCTTGTAAGAAGGAAAGCGCGCGCCGAAGCCGATCGCAGGTGGCATCTACGTCAGCAGAAAAGGGACACCGACGAGGAACAGGGTTTGGAGGAGTGTCCGTCGTTGGAAGGCGGCAAAGATCCCATTGTTTGTGATGTCGCATACTATGCCCGTCGGGTTGGCCTTGACGTCGAGACATTCCGCGTGCAAACAGAGGATGGCTTCATCATTACCCTGTGGCACGTGTTCAATCCTCAAGAGTACACTGCGCTTTCGCCTGAAGCAAGGCGTGAACGTGGACCCCAGGTATTCACCAGGCCGAAAATGCAAAATCCGAGGAGCCAAGAGGCTCCGAGGCGGTATCCCGTCCTCCTAGTCCACGGGTTGCTTCAAAGCGCTGGCGCATTCTGCACCAACGACGAAGACAGTCTGGCATTCTACCTTTGCAAGGCTGGCTATGATGTTTGGCTAGGTAACAACCGCTGTGGCTCAAATCCCGAGCATACCACTTTGTCGCCAGATGACCCACGTATGTGGTCTTGGGACATTCGTCATTTAGGGACGCTGGACCTTGCGGCCCTCACTTCGCGTGTTCTCTATGAGACTGGGTTTGAGAAGCTGGGTCTTGTATGCCATTCCCAGGGCACCACACAGACCTTTGTCGCTCTAGCCAAAGAACAGCGCCCCGAACTGGCTGAGCACATTTCAGTTTTCTGCGCCCTTGCACCTGCTGTATATGCCGGGCCCCTTGTACATCGGCCGTACTTCCGATTCATGAGCATTCTATCGCCGGCTGTGTTCCGACTCGTCTTTGGCATTCACTCTTTCATCCCTGTCATGATGACCGCCCGTCGTCTACTTCCACCCAGGATATATGGAACCCTAGCGTATTGGGTATTCTCATTTTTATTTGACTGGTCTGATACTCGGTGGGAACGTGATCTGCGCCACCGCATGTTTCAATTCGCCCCGGTATACGTCAGCGCCGAAGCCATGCGCTGGTGGCTCGGCAGCGATAGCTTCGCTAAACACAAATGCATCTTGTCAACGGAAGACGAGTTGCGGCGCGAGCTTACCCCGAATGACAATTTGCCCGATGACACTGTCACCGAACACGGGGATGACCCAGGCGACGCTTTTTTGGGTAGCTCGGCTCCTAGTCCCTGGTATGGTCCAGGAACACCCCCATTCGCATTCTGGATCGGTGGGTCCGATGCCCTTGTCGATGGTCGCAGGCTGGTAGATCGCTTCCATAGCGGTCGTGAACCCCATGCACGTCTGGTTCATTCAAAGATCATCGAGGAATATGAACATCTTGATGTTCTTTGGGCCATGGATGCCATTGATCAAGTTGGCCAGGAGGTCAAAGATGTCATTTGGAAGACCATGCCAGACCATGCACGTCATATCTGTCGTGCCCCTCGAGGTGTCGATTTTGAAGAGATATAACACCCTCGCATATTCTGGTGCTATGTCTTGATGTGTTACTATTTTCTGTTTCCATGTATATACCAGCTGTTCGAGATTCATGTCCATAGAATAATGCCTCCTGTCAGGATTCCACCCGTGTATGATTTCTAATGAGTTATGATATGGGTTTCGGTCGTTCGGACTAAATTCGTGGTCACCTTTTTAAGGTTGATGCCCGTTTGATTTGGGGTCCCAAATACGCCACGGGGGGCTGTGCCAATCGCCCCCACGTCAGCACCCCTGAGCACTCAGCCCTCAACGCTGCTGCCTCATCCCTTCACCCTTGCATTGCAACTTTATCTGATCAAATTTCTGGCACGATTATCATGAACAACACCGGGGCCTCATCTAGCTCCGTTGCCATTGACGGAGTCGGGAATACCATCTCCCGATGCTCATTGGAAAAGTGTACCACAAACAACTCTAACTTGAGACGTTGCAGACTCACCAACTGTGTTGTGTCGAACGTGGGTAATGCCTCCCGAACCAGGGCCAAGAATTCTCAGTTGCATAATGTCATCCTTGCTGAGCGCAGCGATATCAAGGAAAGCACCATTCAAAGTGCAAGCTCTGTCCACCGATCTGACCTGAAGCAAAGTGTGCTTCAAGAGAAGAGCTCGCTCGAGCGAAGCGCTATAACCAAGACAGTTGTGTCACAGAGTCAAATTCAGAGAAGTTGCCTCGTCGATTGCGACGTGGCAGAGTGCGTTATTTCACGATGCAGCTTCACTGGCATGGTTCTCAAGTACGGCATTTGGAAGAAAGGTGTATTGGTAGGGAAGACTGGGGACATGGAACCCATCCAGATTAAGAAAAATATTTGTTCAAAAGAAATTGTGAGTCACTGAGTTCTGACGATATGGTATATCTGCTGACCATGGCAATTAGTCGAAAAAGGATGTATCCTACACTCAAGATACATCTACCCCTGCTGCTGTCCCCGAACTAGATTCGGCGCCGGTTGTTCCATTTCAGAATGCGGTTGAATTGGACAGCAAGGCCCGGCCACGAGCCTTTGATGATGATTCGGATATCACCGTCGACAGCGAAGACTCGGGCGATGACTTGCCGCCACCTTACGAGATTGCGATTAAAGATGAGCCACGGGGAACCGACATTGAGTTGCCTCAATTATGATTCTCATTGATCCAAATGACACGATGATCGAAATGATAGCTTATGATATATGTCCATTTATGTCGCTCTATTATCAACATCGCGCAGAAGCCCACAGGAAATTATTATTTGGCACTTGTACGTTTAAGTACTTTTACCAGCAACCACATACTGCTTCTCTGGCTTCAGCTTGCTGAGAGTATCGTTACTCAGGTTCAATGTGTCTGCGATAATTTGCTTGGGAGTAGACCCGATCCATTGACCAAGAGACATATCTGCAGCGTGTCAGTAAGATGCTTGGTATCTCAGGAGAAAAGAACCTACCTGTGAATGAGGGAGCTTGGAGCACCTCGACAAAGACCAAATCTTCATCGCCAGTGTTCTCAATATAGTGGCTGTTTGACTTCGGGAAATAGCCTACATCACCTCCGCGGTAATCGAAGGTGGTTGCGGCATTTGGTGCGGTGAACAAGGTCGCGCGGCCCTGACCCGAAATGAAAAATGTCCACTCGTCACTCGTGGGATGCCAGTGAACCTCACGCATACCACCTGGGTGAACAGTCACGACAGCTGCAGAGAAGTTGGAGGCAATGGGGAAAGTGAGCGGGTCGACGATTTTGACTGAGCCACCCGCCACTTCGTGGGCGGGTTGCTCGGAGAAGTGGTAGGAGTAGCTCTCAGTCCGTGGCACAAGTCCAGCTGAGGTCTTCACGTTTTGCTTCTCGATGTCCGCGGGTGCCGGTGTACCCTTGAAGATATACAGCTCGTCTTCAGGGATTTTATCAAAGGCTGACACATCTAACCCGAAATTCTTTGACAGGACCTCCTTCTACTCAGGATGTTAGCTGAAGATACCAGATGATGCCTGTATAGCTCATAATACTCACGGGAGTGTGAAGGAAGACTTCGCTGGCCAGGAATGTGTTGTCCTCGCTGAAGTCACCATCATCGAACACAAGCAGGAACTCAACTCCATCATCGAGAGCTTGAATGGAATGAGGAATGCCACTAGCAACGATCAGTTTTCTCTCAGATAGCCAAAGGCCACAACACTCACGGTGGGAAAAACCACACATCTCCCGCAACCACGTCATCGATGAATGTCTCTCCATTCTCATTCACGGCCTTGGATTGTCAGTATGTTTCAGCTAGATCATCGCACACGGACATACCTGAATTCTACAAGATCCATTCAGCACAAGAGACCACTCGGCCGCAACATGCCAATGAAGCTCGCGATACCCGGCTGGCTCCAGGCGCATATCCACGCCCGCCATCAGCGTCGCATCCGGCATCACATTCACGTTTTCTTGGCGAGCCCAACCAGCTCCATCCTGCCCAAGCCTTCAATCACATCAGCCTCGTCATCGATCTGACCTGTGGAAAATAATTACCTATTATGACTCAACCCTGCGACAACGTTAATACTGTGATTCACCTACGAGATAATCGAACTTACCCATCGGCCATTGCGCATTAATCGTCTGACCATGATCAGTCCCCGGTGGCGCAAGCTTATCACTGTTGATCCTATCATAGTTATAGTTCCCTGCATCGTCAGCACAGAGGCAACACCCGAGGGCAATGATGCAAACGTACTCGGGCCGGGGTCATCGGAACCTGTGGAACCACGGATCGGCTGGGGATTGTCGGCTTTCTCAAAATCGAGATATGACCCGATTTTGGGATCTTCCTTCTGCCCTGGAAGCAGTGTATATTTGATATCGGGTGGAGAGCTGCCACCGCCCTTGTTGGATGACGAATATCCGAGGAGTGATTCGCTGCCTCGAAGTCCTGGGTTCTCTGTGTCCCTACGAGCAGGCGCAGCATGGATCAAAGGCACCAAGGCCGGAATGAGGGTCGTGAGTATTTGGAGCTTCATGCTGAAAAGCTCGAAGAGTGAAATCAAGAAATTGTTATGAGCTTGATGCGATCTGGGTTTGCAGTGCTGTGCCGGTGCCCTATTTATATGTGTCCACGAGCCTTGACCCACTGGGACCTCTTGATTTGAATCCGGAAATATGTCATTCATTTCCCCTCATCCGATATCACTTCCCCGAGGAGTTTGCCGAGTAGATTCTATGCTTCCCCTCATGGCGAAGCCAAAAGAGGCAAGGGTAGTGGAATCAGCCCTGTAACGCCACAATAAAGACCTACGCCCTGCCGAGAAGCTCACAAAAAGTGGAGAGAAGAGCAAAGGGGAGTCTACCGGAGCAAATGATGAATGAGGATTAGGGAGGCTTTGTTCTCCTGACACCCCTCACCGGCACAAGCGGAGTTGCACTACCGTTTGGCATTGTCCGAAATGAACTCATTGCCCATTTCGGTCTCTACAGTGAGTTTAGGCTTCAACAATATCTTCTGTTCTATTGCATGTTTCTACTGTACGCATGCTGCGGTGTGACAAACTAGACTGACGGATCAGATTCATGTTGAAGCAAGGTACACAGTTCGTCAGGTCCGCGGATGCTTTGAAGCAGAAGCTCATCCTGGGCACGGGCTAACACCCCCGGGGCCGCAGCCCCAGTGACAGCCTGTTTATAACGCAACTTTTGTCCTATGCATTCATTATAGGTCAAGGATGCGCATAGCGATCAAACATACAAGACCCACTCTGGACAAGCAAGGAAAACGCCCCGCAGGGGTGAATTTCTCAGCAGCAAACTGTACGTAAGATTTCGACTAACTACTTTGGGCAACTCAGATGCAGCTGATTCAGTGAGATTGGAAGGGGAACATACGAGGACTCTTCAAAATGAGCATGCATCGTGAACAGGTTGCTCAGTTCTAAATGACAGCCCTATGATGGGAAACAACCTTGGAAGTTGGTCAGAAATATCGCGGAAGTGCTAAGAATAAGCTAAGCTTCTTTAGCCAAGAGATCCGAAACGCATCAATCAAGAGCTAGCAATACGATTTCTCCTATTTGTTCGGCTAAGTGGATGACGTGTGGACATACTACAACGGTCCCCAATATGTGGGCCTGGATTCCCCACTTGGTATCTAGCAGCATGACGCTAGATGAGCTAGAGTATGGCCTCCTTCAAGGACTTAGGATACAAGGAACTTGGAAGAAAGCCTACATTCGAACAAGATGTGTCGTTTGGTGGAGTTGACACAGCAAGAATACATGAATATGATGTTAAACCTTTCAAGATGAAAGTCTTCAGTGATCAGATGATGAATTTCGCCCGATTTCTGCTGTTTCAAGCAAGGTAAGCCTTACAGGGATGCAAGGGGCAATATAGAGGAATGGAAAACAATGTAAGCTCGGGCGGGGAGCGTGCGCGGTGGCCTAAATTAGAAACGAAGACGGTAGGGCTGCGTGACTCGGTGACCCCGCACGATGCATTTCTAGAGCCGAGAAGACCTATGGCATAGTGTGAGAGATTGATGAAACCATTGATTTACAATGAACTTATTCGTGGATGTCACATTATATTAACAGAGACACGCAGAATATGAACTATCAAATTCGGAAATTCCATGACCTTGGCCCTTCACCTCAAGAGCCGAGACACTAGTGGTACATGATTTTCCCCACTACAATACAATCGAAATCAAAAAGGCGAGGACTTCTGGAAAGCTTGTTTCGAGGAAAAGATGGAGCTTGGCACGGTCAGATCGTGTATTTGCTTCCAAGGTTCCTTAGATATTCGCACTTGATGAGATCCATAACACACTGATATGGATACTTCAAAATATTGAAAAGATCAATTGCCCTCGGAAAAAGCTGCTATCATTTATATACGGACTGCATAAGCACATGTTTTGAACTCCCATCTGGATCCCCGGGGGTTCCGGCCTGTGGCCCCCTACGGCCCCGGGACAAGCGGGTGATCCCGTGCCGCCTAGCCAGGGCGAGTCTTAAACATGAATGCCAACTGAGCCTAGCTACGTGACCAAACTATACTGAGGGTGAATCAGTATTTCAAATTGAGCTGCTGACAACAGTTTGCCACATACACTGTAATACGTGGTCCCTGCATGGCGATGTAGGGGGAAAAAAAGAAAAAAAAAGGGGGGGGGGGGTGTCTACCCCGGAAGGCTACTGCATAAAAAGTGTCAGGTGACGAAGTAGAAGTAGACCTTACACCCCTTCGATAGCTCTGCAAGGAAATGTTACACGTTGGAACGCTGCTTACATTTGACAAGAGCGTTTGGTAGCAAGATTGAGTCGAGATACCATTGTTGTGACTTTGTGATGGTCTGGCGAAATTCCAGAAGCCTCCGCGCTGAATTGTGTGTTTTATGCAGTTTATGCAGAGTATCAGAAAGTACTTATTGGATATCCGACTTCCTAAAAGCCCAGTGTACCGTTTCCCCTGCACGATGCAGACAGCTCTGTGTGCGAACCTGCGAGCCTCACGCTGTTTCATGTCCATTCCTTAAATCAAGAATGGAATAAGAAGCCTCAGGGTTTCCTATCTGATCCACAATTGCGAGAAACTCGGCCGAAGAGATTCCGATGTCATCAAGCAGCTCATTACTCGGCATTGGAGAATCTGTGGTGAATGCTGATTGCGAATAATCAGTGCCGGAATTATCACCCGACAGCAAACCATCAACGGACGTTGGACTCATGTGCTTTTCTGTTCCCATGCCTGATCTCATGTGGTGAGTAGGTCTGTCCGTCTCATGAGCGGCAGTAGATAAGGAAAGAGGTTCAAGGCCATTTGACTCTGCTCGAGCTGCGACCTCCAAGAATAAATTCTCGACATAAAGCAGTTCGTCTTTCCGAACCTTGGCTATCTTGTTACCATTATCAATCATATGGTTCAAGATGGGATGGGCTTCGTTCACAGAAGATTGGCCATCAAGAGCCTCTGGAAACAAAGCATTTGCCATTGCAAGATGAATGGCCGCTGCATAAGTAAATTCGAGATTGTAAAGCAGAAAGACTTCTGTATTGCTGTCTCATTAGGTGCCCCCCGTCAAGATCGAAGAATTTCCACATACCAAGAAGGCTGTCACTCTGGGATAAAATCTGGAGGGTTTTCGAGGCGGACTTGATTCCCGTGGTTATCAAAGTTTTTGTGAGATCCAGAGTACCACCAACACCCCAACTGTTGCCGTTGAGTTTGAGGAGACGCTCTATGAGAGCCGAAAGGAGGAGAGGGCGTGTAGCAACAATGACACACTGTGACAAGATGTCTTTTGAGGAATGATTAAGTACAAACGGGACTATGAGCACGAACCTGATGGTATAGTAAAGTGATGTGGCGCGTGCCCCGAGGCATAGAGTCTACTGAGTTGAAGAATGTTGCATGTATGATTCCTTCAATCTCTTGGGCGTGTCCAGCCAGTCTTTGCAGGATCAATCTCGTTGTATCCAGGAAGACATCAACCTGAGTTCTCTCTGTCTTATAAACGGCTAGATAGAGAATCAAAAGGTTACCTCTAGGTAATCAATATGCGAAGGAAGAGCTCACTTGTAAGGATGGATGACAACAGGTGTGATAACTTGACCTGAAGACTGAGAGCTACATCACGATGCGAGGTGGTGCAAGGCTCAATAGGGGTGGTGATGTCTCTGTCTTGTATAGACATAGGAAGCCCCACAGAGTAGGAAAATTGGCGGTCCATAATATAAAGAGTCCACCAGAGATTGCGACACCGGGAAACGACCGCAGTGCCAAGTTGCTCTTCTGAAAGCTGTGTATGGAGTCCTTCATACTGCGCTATCCGCATCGCTTGACCAAGCTACAAAAAAGGCATGAGTAAGAAGAGTGGACTCGTGAGAAATGGTGGAATACCCACATAAATATATGCTGATTCTCTTTGATCAATAGAGTAGAGATACAATGCAACCATGGCAAGTACTTCGATGGCCATCAGGCTGTCTTTCCATAAGGAAGAATGATCAGGCATTAGAGACATGGCCCGAACAAAGAAGTACGAGCCCGGTGGATCTTCGCTTTTTGTCCGAGCAAGAAATGCGGAGCCAAATGAGAGGACTAGCAGGTACTGTATAAACCAGAGTCGCTGCTCGCTCGCCATGCTCAGTGGATCCCCATGATAGAACTCATGGACATTTTGGAGAAATATTTCTTCCTCGAAGAACCGAAAAGATTGACCGAGGTGAAATTTTACTGTATCGAAAAGATAGAGTGCGTAGTCGAGAGATGGCAGCCCACTTATATCGGGACGGTCTTTGGTCCCACAACAGTCCCACCTGAGTGGGTATATTTCCTTTTCCACTAGAGTCGGGGCAGTATCTGGATATTTCGAGTGGAGAGTCTCAGACATCAGAATCGATAACCTTGTCGTGAAGGACCACATGGACGAGGGCGCAAGCCAAACTAAAAGTGTTCTCAGCCTCGAAGACTCAAAAGACAGGCTCAAAACTCACTCCAGCTTCGGCTGTTTTGTTGTGTATTTTTGATTGTTGTCGAGGGTAAACTGAAGGGGCTTGTCCAAATACTAGCCGTGTCATTCATCGATGCCGCAGGCTCGGGTCCTGCGCTGGGTATATTCGGGAATTCGGGAATTTTGACAGCCGCTGCCACGAATGCTCCGGTGTTGGCATATTGCTCGCCTGAGTGAATCTGAGGTAAAGGACTAGGCGAGCTTTCGAATCGAGAGTGGGATCGCCGGACTCGCGCCTGCGCCTCCAACTGTCTGAGGTACCTGCAGCGTGACTTCAGCCCTGGAACACTTCTGGGAGTTGCTCAGCAAAAAAATCATAATGACCAACCTTTCCGATACTACCACCCGATTGATCCCCTCCGTGAACTCGCATATTATCTCTCTTCGCTGGCAATTGTTACAGGGGTCTTTGCCCGAGCATTTTATTTTGCTATGGCGACAGGCGATGCAACTGAATTGTCAGTGCTACTTCCAACCCAGGGTAGCTCCACTCTTACGCATTTGCCGTTCTTCTTGTCTTGCGAGTGTTGCTCTGCATCTCTGAAACCCGGACAAAAGCTTCACAGGGAAAAGATGCGAATGGCACAGGAACTGAAAGTAGGTTCCCCCGCACCCCGCAGTGGGTAGAGAACCCATACGCGTCGGCAATGCGCACCGTTGGGTTCGCTTTTGAAATCACATTGGACCCTTTTTGGAAGACGATTGAGAATGTGGAAGAAAAGAGAATTAGGCGAAGGCTTTCAGATCAAGCAAAAACCAGCCTGTTTGTTGCATGTCACGTCCGTTTGTTCTTGCGCCCTCGGAAGCGGCACCCGAGATGGCCATCCGGCGACGACAACCTGAAGACCATTGCGTGGAAGCTTACTATGTGTCAAGAAACAATCCTTTGGACTACCTGTATCGGGAATTTTTTTCTCAATAGAGACAGGGAGCCTTCGCCCCTACACCGAAGCCAATACCAACCCGCAGGGAAGTTGGACCGAGAACCCGAGGAACCCGAAGAAGCTCAATGTCGAGGCCGGCCATATTGAACAGGCACAATTATCGAAAAACAAAGCACCAGACTCCTCAATAACCGACCGGTCGGGAGCTCAGTCCGAGGTGCCTGTTCCGCCCCCGAGGATTGTGGATGATTTCACTCGAGCGTGGTCTTGTACCTGTACAGGTCTCAATCAACCCGTGGACTTGGAATGCCCATGCTCGGCCATTGGAGAAACTTATATAAACAACACACAGACCTTGAATTTGAGATTCAAACCAGCTCATAACAGCCCGACAACCTCATCTATAACCTCATTATTTTCACAACAGAATGTCAGCCACCCAAGTTATGAGCCCTCGGGCAGCGCCAAAGGTGCATCACACCGGTCTTACTGCGCAGCGAGCAACTCGTCCAACCGAACCAGTCCCTCAATTTCTCATTGATGGTGCAAAGGTCGAAACCAAGCAAACCTTTGATGCTGCAAGACACATGAGCTACCAACCCCCGAGCAAGATTTACACCATGAAGGAAATTGGCCTTGAAGGTCAAGGAATTTCGGCCAATGCAGTGACTGCGCCATTCCAGCTCTTCACGGAGGAGGCCATCAAGCAGATGAGAGCCGAAATCTTCAGTAAGGATGTGCTGGAAAACTGCCAGTACATGTCTGCGTTCGTGAAAAGTACCATCCGGGGAATGGGATCAGCGTAAGTTTTACAAGGCCTTTGTCAATGAGTTTTAGGACACTGACTGTCAGAGATAGGCGTGCTCCGTTTACCTGTGATGCGTGGAAAAGTTCTGCAGTGCTTGCTAAAGTTTCTGAGGTGGCCGGGATCGAGTTGATACCCGCTATGGACTATGAGATAGCGGCGATCAACATATCGGTGAACGACCAAAGTGTGCCGATCTTCAATGCCCCCAAGCCAGACGAGGATAAGCTTCCTGCATTTGCATGGCACCGAGACAGCTACCCCTTTGTATGCGTAACAATGCTCTCTGATTGTGTCGGCATGACAGGGGGCGAGACTGCACTGAAAACCGCGTCTGGAGAAATCATGAAAGTGCGCGGACCTGCAATGGTATCTTCTTATCCTTACTCTCTCTTCTTCGTGAATTTTTGCTGAGTCGTTTTCCTAGGGGACTGCCGTCGTGATGCAGGGAAGGTACATCGAGCACCAAGCTCTCAAGGCCTATGGAGGTCGCGAACGAATTAGCATGGTCACTTCCTTCCGAGCCAAGTGTCCACACGTCAGAGACGAGAGCGTTCTTACTGGCGTTCGCCCTATCAGCAATTTGTCGGAGCTGTACACACAGTACACCAGATACAGGCTCGAGGTCCTCGAGGACAGAGTTCGCGATCGTCTCAGGAAGGAGCAATATCGGGACATCGCCAAGCGTGAATTTGATCTTGAAGGCATGAGAACATTTTTGGCTGAACAGAAAGACTTCATTGAGTCTATGCTAGAAGAGTTGATTGAGTAAATAAGGGCGACTTTTCTCCTATAATATAGTGAGGGATCTTTTCACGATTGCTTATTGAAGAATCTTTTGTCAACAGTAGCGTCCTATGGTGAAATATTCATTCTGTGACAGGACATCCCAATTCTTTCAGAATTTGACAAATGCGGTCCACCTGCTTCCAATATTGCCACCCGGGCTTCGAATTCATTGTAGCAATCAACACGATGTTGAAAAAGGTGGCATTGAAGGAGAATGGGACTGGAGATTCAGGGCTAGGTTCAGTCAATCAACAACTGCAATAGGTCATTCATAAGGGGGAACAACGGAAGTAAAATAACTCAGGGCTCTAGTTGGGTTGTTCAAAAGCAATGCAAAACTAGAAGAGATATCATTGAAGACATGTGGTTGTTCATTTTGAGATGGAAGATTATGTCAAATTTCCGCATTGATGGACTGGCTGGAAAACTAGGAAGAACTCCCTGTACATGGCCATAGCGTTTGTAGACTCAAATGCACGATCGATCAGAGTGCAGCGGTAGGGTTCCTCCAATGATGCGAGAAACAACGTCCGTTCCATGTCGAAATCAACGAGTTCGCCCTTTGCTTCTTCATATTCCATCTTGCGAGCTGTGAATTGACGATGATACTCGTATACATCGGAGCCGGCGTAAGATAGACTTGTCAAAGCCCTCAGTTTCTTGACGATTTCAAAACGCGAAGGAGTCCCATACGTATTCTCTAGTGCCTCATAAGCATCGTATGGATGCCGCTTGAAATCGATCAAGTAAGCGCAGTTGGAATCGACACAGGCATACAGGAAGCACAACACACGACATGCCATTTGGGAGTAGTAGTCGAGTGCTTTGTCAGCGACTTCTTTTGCCGCCTGCTGTTTATTTCCCAATTCCTGTTTGAAATTCTTGACTTCCGAGAGTGTTGGCTCCTTCACCATGGAAATCGAATCCGGAAAGCGACGATGTTGACGTTTGTAATATTCTTCCCGTGCATACTCATCTGTAACTAGCTGCTTTTTGTAGGAAGGTGGGGTCTGGATGCTGTTATTCAGAATTTCGACGTAGACGATGCCGCATGAAGACAGGGCATTGGAGAAACGATTCTTCCATTGAAACCAGTTGGCTGGACCGCGTAGCTTCGGGATATCCTTAAAGTATTCAATATCCGGGGTGTTACCGGACAGGATAATCTCGCACCGAGCGATAAATTGTTTGTAGTTGAAAGTCTCTGCCATGTTGATTGATGTGTACTGACTTGGTGGACTCGGAGGTTGCGCTGTGGGAACTAGGACGTGGGAGAACTCGGTGTACAGAATAGGTGGAGATAGAGATCTTTTGGGCACATTGATTGACAAAATGCACTTTGGGCTCGAATACTCAGATTTGAATGAAGACGGGGACCAAGCTGTTGAGGATGTCTCGGATGGCCAAGGTGGTGGGTACGGGGCCCAGTGATGGAGGTGGCACCAAAGCAACACTCTATGGTGTAGGCTAGAGCGGCGAGGATGTTCAATATTGAGATCAGGTTGTTGACAATACTCCGTCGGAATTGCCCTCGACGTGAGACTGGAAGTGAGGCTCTGCGGGTAGCTTCTCGGGATGTGGGGCTTAATGGGAGTCACCTGCCCAGGTGCGGAGCCAGAGAGGCAACCTTCCAAGGTTGGGACCTTGAAAATGTGCCAATTCAATGAGGCAGCTCCTAATGGAAGGAAGAAGTCACAGAGAATTGATGGATTCCCACCCAGTTAGATTATGAAGGGAAAAGCAGAGAGAGAGAGAGAGAGAGAAAGAGAGAGAGAGAGAGAGAAAGAGAGAGAGAGAGAGAGCGAGCTATGGATCTGGCTCCGGGGCCCCCGGGGGGGGGGAACATGGTCACCTGACCGGGTGTTCACTTCCTAGGTAGGTTCCAAGGTTGGAACAAGGTTGGAACCTGTGAAGACAATGACCTGACATGAAACTACATAAATTCAAGCGCACAACAGCCCGAATTATCCGAGATACAGCGGATAAAGGTTTATATGCAAGCCGAGGCAGCTTTACAGCAACTGAGCCGATGCATGCCAAGTCGGCTTCCTCGGGTGTTAAGGAGATGCATGACCCCGGACCAGATATGCTGACGGTATTTGTACTTAGATGACTTAAATGTCGAGAAAAGCACGGAGGAAGGTTTCCTGAAAAGCAAGAACGGGTTTCGATTCATATCTACTTCACAACATCGTCCAATTTGATTCATACCAACCTGACACCCCCGAGACCTATCCCCCTGCTTCTTCAGGAAAGCCTGTACTTGAAGATGCAAGCAGCCAATCGTCTTCAAAAATCCCTCAAAGCGAGCTCCCCTGCCTATGGGGGATGGCAGATGCTTCCGGGAACAAATCTCACCCGAGTGATCTGTCGTGCATCAACCAACATGGATTGGTTGCTCGTCGACCTGGAGCATGGAAACATATCAGATGACTCCATGCACGAGATTGTGGCAGCAGCAGCGGCATGCGGAGTCTCACCCGTTGTTCGTGTTGTTGATGGGCAAGACTGGATGATCAAGCGTGCACTAGACTCTGGTGCGCATGGCATTCTAGTACCTGTCTTGGAAACTGTGCAAGATGCGAGAAATGTGGTAAGAGCTTCCAAGTTTCCACCCATGGGAACGAGAGGGTTTGAGCCTCTACTCGCGGTGGAAAAGTTCGTTGAGCAACACGCTCATAGTGGTTATGTGAAGGAGCTCTCTGGAAGAGAATACCTGGAACAAGCAAACGACTCGCTTGTTATTGCTGTCCAAATTGAAACGCAACTCGCTCTTGAAAATGTGAAGGAGATTGCAATGGTGCCGGGCATTGACGTCTTATTCGTGGGCCCTTTCGACCTTGGCGTGAGCATCGGTCACCCAATCGTTGGGGGGGAAATGGATGAAACACTTGAGCTCGCGATTCAGTCAGTCCAAGAAGCGGCAAGTGATGCAGGAATAACGGCGGGTATCTACTGTGACAGTGGCAGAGATGCAAAGGGGTGGGCCGCTAAGGGATTCCTCATGAACAGCGTGATGACAGACATGATTGGACTTCGAGAGGCGGTTAGCCAGTCATTCAACTCCGCCAAGTAATTGAAAACCATGGGGCCTCGAGGTGCCCCCAGTACTCTGCCTTTGAGAAGTCATGTATGTAAACATTCACTTTCATAGATTGATGTCATCTAGAGACAATGTCACGAGTGTGAGCGTGGGAACCCAGGATTTTACCGGGTATCGACCGTATAAGGACTTCAAATTATTCAGTGATTCCATAGAGCTTTGCACCATGTCATCCTCATTGACCTGGTTGATTCCAGCCTGGCTCCAGGGCTGTTGCCCAGGTGTGAGATGGATGGACGAGCCTCTCCACCTGGGCGGGGCCTGACCCACTCCAAGGCCCCAAGGCACCAAGGCACCCAGGCAACAATTTACACAGCGCTTCTCCACTTCTGACCCCTTGCATCTTCAGCATCTCCCTATCCCCAGGTTTGTTTCCTTTGCACCATGCCACGCTATGAGCTCTGATGCTTATTGAGAGATATTTGAGCTAGACTCTGAAGGACCATGATTGTCATTTCTATGCGTTTGGAATGGCATCCGATGTCATTTCGGGGACCCCCAGCTCTCAAACAACATCGAATTCAATAGCACCCCAGCCTTCAAACTCGCAAGACCACCGCCCACTCCGCTCCATCGGGACGGCTTCCAAACAACTACCTGGCAAGATGATTTGACCAGGCTGAAATTCAATACCATACTCAGCCAATCGATTAGCCAACCAGGCTACTCCAGCAAGCGGGTTCCCAAGAACATTCCGAGTATTTCCAGTCATAACCTCCTCGCCATTGAAGCGCAAGACACCTCTAGTGTTGCTGAGATTGAGATCATAAACCCTCTTTGGCGTTCCACCTAGAATCACACCGCCGTTCGAACCATTGTCGGCCAATGTGTCAGGCAGATCTATGGCCCAATTCTTCACACGGGAGTCAATTATCTCAATAGCAGGTACGACATAATCGACAGCACTAATGACGTCTGCAACGGTTACATTGGGCCCTTTGAGAGGGCTCCGCAGAACGAAAGCCGGTTCGAGCTCCACATATGGCTTGATGAACTGATCGAGGTGAAGCGGAGAACCTTCATAGGAGAAAGTGCTTGCATGAAGAAAGCCGTAGTCTGGATGGTCGAGTCCAAAGGCAACTTGCATGACTTTGGCAATGTTACCAAGCTTGTAACCAACAAGGCGATCCCCGTTTTTGACAGCGAAGTCGGAGTTGAGTTTTTGAACTTGAAACCCTCCCTCGGCGTCAAGAGAGGCCCAAGTCTTTGTTGGCGCGTCGATGGGTTTCCGCTCATCGCGTGCCGTGCGAAGGGTAGTCGCAATCTTGTTCAAGTCAAGGGCTGCCATGTTCGCTTTTCCAAATTCGCGTGCTCAGATCAAGTCGGCTGTGATAAAAGTTGTGATCGGTGCAGGTCGAAATCTCGAATGAAATGAGTGGCCAGATCTGGTCTCTTCGACCTATTTATCCTCAACTTACAGCAAATGTCACTGGATACCCAAGAATACATCGGATTTGTTCACCGGGGAGTTCGCGTATAGATCCCGTCGATTGGAGCGCTTCACTGTCAACCCGAGTATGCCGACGCGGCTATTCTTTGTGACCTCGGAAGGGGAAACCGGCCGGTCCACCCTTAATGTCGCTTTCTTCGGGAAGTGCGATGCATTTATCTCTGATCAGTCAAGCGGGGCACCTGGGCATTCATGGCCTATGACATCTTGCGCATACGATGTAGTTCATGGAGAATAATAACACGGCGTTTACTGGAGGAATGGTCTCCTAGACCCACAACCAAAGATCGCGGGGAAGCCAAGAGATGTGAATAAATACCGAGTTTCTTCCTCGTTGCCAGGGTGGTTGACTGAGTTCAACTATCCGGTCAAGCTTGCGTCCACATTCTGACCCATCATTGAAGCTGCATGACCACCCCTAGTCTCAAAGCTTTCAAAATGCCCGCCCTTGCTCAATTCTCCAAAGAAAAAGGCACCACATCAGAACAGCCCGAGAAAAATGAGAACGACAATTTTTCTCCCAAGAACGATGAGTTCTACGTGGGCCATTCCTCGGAGAGAATTGGAGGGTTGCGCCGTCGGCTTGGAAATCGCCATATCCAGCTTGTTGCCATTGGCGGCTCTATTGGCACCGGCCTATTCATTGCCATTGGTACCGGGCTCCACAAAGGGGGACCAGCTAGTCTATTGATTGCCTTCGCTATTCAAGCCGTCATGGTAGGCATGCTCAACAACTGCCTGGCTGAGATGACTACGTACATGCCAGTGAGCGGTGGCTTTATCAGACTGGCTGGTCAGTGGGTGGATGAAGCTTGGGGCTTTATGACTGGGTGGAACTTCTTCATCTACATGGCCCTCACTGTACCTTTCGAGATCTGCGCCGTCAACCTTCTCCTGGAATTTTGGCAAAACGACATTCCCGTTATCGCTGTGATCCTGGCATGCATGGTGGTCTACTCGTGAGGTCCCTTTACAGAGCTAGAAACAAATTACTTGGATATCAGCTAACATGCGTTTCCATTTCACAGACTCATCAATTTGCTTGCCGTTGGTACATATGGCGAAGCTGAGTTTTGGCTCAGTGGAGGAAAGGTCATCTTGATTTTGATCTTGTTTGTCTTCACATTCATTACAATGGTTGGTGGCAATCCAAGTGGTGACGCATATGGATTCAGGCATTGGAGAACCCCGGGTCCTTTTGCTGAATTTTCCACCGAAGGAGCTCTCGGTCGCTTTGAAGGGTTCCTGGGTGCTTTATGGATTGCAGTTTTCACGGTGGTTGGCCCCGAATACATATCCATGGTTGCTGCGGAGGCAAAGCACCCTCGCATTTACATCAAGAACGCCTTCAAAACCGTCTACTGGCGATTTGGTGTGTTCTTCGTCGGCGGTGCACTCTGTGTCGGTGTGATTGTCGCTCACAACGATATCACCCTTGCGAACGCGATCGCGAATGGGCAGTCTTCTGCTGCATCATCTCCATATGTGATTGCTATGCAGAATCTTGGAATCGATGTTCTGCCTCACATCGTCACTGCTCTTATGATTACTTCTGTCTTCTCTGCTGGAAACACCTACACTTATGCCGCTACTCGTGCATTGCATGGCCTGGCAGTTGGGGGTCATGCTCCAAAGATATTCGCTAAGACCACCCGCAAGGGCGTGCCTATCTATAGCTTTATCGTTGTGATGGCCTTCGCATGTTTGTCGTTCCTCCAACTGTCCGGCAGCTCGATGAAAGTACTCGAATGGTTGATTAGCTTGACGACTGCTAATATCCTCATCGACTATATCGTCATCACCACTACATACCTCAAGTTCTATCATGCATGCAAGGCCCAGGGCTTCGATCGTTCGAGGCTGCCATATGTGGGGTGGTTCCAGCCTTATTGTGGCTATATTTCACTCGCCTGGATGGTGGTCATGGCTGGCTGCTTTGGGTACGAAAGCTTTGCGCCTTGGAGCACTTCAACCTTTTTCCTCAATTATACCATGATAATCCTAGCACCGATTGTGTTCACTGCTTGGAAGGTACTCAAGGGGACCAAGTGGTTGCAACCCAATGAGTTGGATTTAACATGGGAGGCAGAGTTGGTTGCAGCATACGAAGAAGCCGAGGAAGAGCAACCGGTTGGGTTCTGGAGAGAAATGGGACGGATGGTTGATCTTCGAGGACTTCATCGGCGCAGCATAGAGTCCTGAATCGATCAACGATCAAACTGCTGTTCCCCATCAAGACTGGATCGAGTCAAACTAGTGAAATGGAGACTTCGACATTGGAAATTTCTGCTATTCAATAACCAAATGCATTCACGCGATCCGCCATCTCGTGATATATTTGCACATGAATTGCTACCAATGCCAATTCCAATGGGCATTTGATCCATTCCACCAAGGTCGATTGAGTGGTAATATTTTGTCACAGCCCTGGAGATCCTAGACCGACCTCGGACACCGCATACATGTTTATGGGACTAGTCAAACCTTTCCAGCTCGACGTGACATTCGGCTCTAGGGATTAATTAGAATAAATCCAAACTTGGAACCATGGATGTTACCACTCCGTTGTCAAAAAAGGGAAAAATCATCGGCGCCATCGCTCTATGGGCATTCGATGCGGGCTCGGGTTCGTCGGGTTCGTCGCCGCGGGCGGGGGTTGCTATTCCTGTTTGGGTGCAGATTGGGTCTGTCGCACCCCGCATCAAAGCCACCTCGGTCGTTTATCCTTGCTCAATACTAGGAAGGAGAGGCTGGAGTTGACTTTGGCATTGTTCGCAGCTCGGGAAACTTCTCGGGAGAGAACAACCTCTTTGGTTGAATCTGCAACTTGGAAGAGCCTTTTGATAAAGAAAGCTGCCTGGAAGAAAGCTGCGCTGATGCTCGAGTCTATTCTGCAAACAACATAAATGCAGCGACAGAACCGCACTTCAAAACGAACCGCGACAGCGTGAGATGATTTATCAGAGCTGGGGAATATACCAAGACTTACTGACTATGGACTCAGGTGTGTCGCATGTCGCCGGAGCAAAATTAAATGCAATGGCCAAAGCCCTTGCTGGAATTGTCACCGGCGCGGTACTGCCTGCTATCTCTCCGACCCAACCACAAAGATACTTGTTTCCGAAAGGTATGTGCGCCGTTGAAACTCTATATCATAGTACACCAGTATCTAAAACTCAATAGGTACCTCCGTGATCTTCAAAATCAGGCACGAGGAAAAGCATCAGAGGAGAGTGAGCAGACACCTCACACCCCATGTCATTCAGATGAGGCACCCGCCTTCGAGCCCGACCAGGCTACACCAAGAGGCACATCTACAGCACGGGAATCGATGCTCAGCATTTGGGCGAGCCCATTCACGCTACCTTCAGTCGTAATTAAAGATGCTGGAACAGCTAAAAGGAACTGGCGTAAGTATAGCACGTCCTGTTCTCCATTCCAAGCTGACTCGATATAGTTTGGTTGGCACCAACGTCTCCCTGGTCATTTGTTGCAAGACTTGCTGTTATGATGAGCCAAAAACTCGAGCTCGGAAGCCAAACAAGTCTACATTTCAACCTGGATGGCGACATTTATCCCTTGGACTGGGGCAACGACAAAGACGCCCCTGAATATCTGAGCAGTATTCCTCTGCCTTCAGTTGACCAGGCTCTCCATGCTTTGAATACTGTCCAGTTCTATCTAGGCCAGATCTACCGCCTTTTCAACGAGGACTTCAGTACTCAAATACAGCATTTCTATGAACGTCGTGCGATTGGCGAGATGGCGCATTCTCGAATGTGGCTGATTAGACTGCTCTTGATTCTTGCTTTTGGGAAGGCTTTCTCTTCGAGAACTAGAACGGATGACAGCCCGCCCGGATCTAAAATATTCGTACGCGCCATGTCTATTATGCCAGCTCAGACATTTACTGGGAAAGACAGTCTGGATGTCATCGAGACGTTGGCACTCATCTCCTTGTATCTTTATGCAATCGACCACAGAGAGGGGGCGCACTCACATGTAAGAGACTTAAGACCGATGCATTGACCAAAAGTAAATGGTGCTTTGACTGACTAGATCCAAACGAGCAGATAGGCCAGGCCATTCGACTGGCGCAGCTGGAGGGACTTCACACTCAGCTACCGGAGGATGAGCTAGGGATTGTGACGGTTACTCGATGTCGAAACATTTGGTGGACCCTGTACATCATAGACCGCCAGATTTCATCCGCACTTGGCCTCCCTATGACTGTTCAAGATTTCGATATATCTGCCCTGGTCGATGTAACAAGTGCAGAAACTCAGAATATTACTCTCAGTCTGCAGGTCAGATTATCACAAATGATGTCATCTATATTGAGCCGTGAGTACTGCTTTCTGTTCGGATGTACCCTACATAAACACCGGCGTAATGATTAACCCATATTGAAAGGGATATTCAAGACCGAGAAAACCCAACTCGGACGCTTCCTGGATCTGACCAGCGAGATCCTGCAAGCAATGGCCGCACTTGCCGAAGAGATTGAGAGTATATTCCCAGCGGGTTTCCAGGCTACTAACGACACTATGCCACATGTGATGAGGCATATAATTTTACTTTACCATCAGGTGCGTTTCTCACTGCATGGGTCGGGTATGATGGCTAGATGTCAACATCGTGGAACAACTTCAGGGCTGACCATTTTGATCACAGTGTGTCATTATCGCAACGAGGCCTCTTCTTCTTTCTGTATTAAAGGAAAGGATGGAGAATCTGGATAGACCAGAAGAAGAATGGGACAGCTTCCTTCTATTTCCGAAAAATCTTGTTTCCATCGGAATCAAATCTGCTCTCAAGTCCTTGGAGATCCTGTCTGATGAGAATATCATTCTTGGTATGAATATATCCCACTGAGCGGTACTTAGGTATTGATGTGGACTCACAAGCTGACCAAGACCTTAGAGACCTTTCTCCCTTTCGATCTCGAGTTTGCATTCTCCGCCGCCCTCCACCTCACGATAGCGTATGCTCTGTTTCATTCCGAGCCAGCAGAGCACCCCCACGCAAAAACAGCCCAGAAGATCTTCGAGCAGCTTGTCAGTGGAGGGAACAAAGTCGCGGAGGCGCGAAGAGCTGACTTGATGCACATACAATACCTGCTACAAGAATTCTCCAACAGAACCGAGAAGCAAGGAATGAAGGGTCTGAGGTCCTTGGACGGACCGTTTGAGCATGCTAGTCCAAATATCGATGACGACAGACAGGGGACATCATTGTCACGCATGGATTCGACGGCATTGAATTGGCCCTTAGGACCGGGGGATGATTCCAGTACATTTGAATTGACACAAGAGCCCCTATTACAAGGAATAGATTGCTTAGAAGCCATCGGGATATCATCAAATGAGTTTCTCTCTATTGTTGATCAAATAGGGGCTCAGGATGTTCCTCATGATATTTGGGACCCACCACCAACATGGATGACCAGGGGTCCTGCCCTCGGCGAAGAGGAGCTGAATCTGTGAAAGATGCTTCCAAGGTTGTAGTATCTAGTTTTCAACAATATAGCTCGGTAAAATGACAATGACAAATTTTGCAACTGGTCCATCGAGGTAACAATTCGGTCATGACTCCCGAGGTCATCTGCTCAACTTAATACTTTCCAAGATCTATTACAAGCAGCGACGTATACACGGACTAGGAGTAAACTTGTAGAGGTATCTATGAAGTTATTCAACAATCGGCGATAATATTCTGTTGTTTGGAAAAACCAACGAATCTAACCAGTCGCCACTCTTAGAAAAATTCACAGAGGAAACAGTGCAGAAGAATAGCCAGATATGAACAGTGACTAGACATATAGACGCTTTATTTTCACAAGGTTCAAACATTTTCAGCGTCCAGCGCATTAGCCGTTTGGGGGGGGGGGGGAGAAGCCCAGGGGCCGGGGCTTTGAAGGCTACCCGAGATCCCGAACCACCACCCTTGGAGACCCCACGATCGGAGATTCGGGATCTGGCTCAAGACATGATGTGGTCAACCCTACCTAGGTAGGAAGTGCTACCTCAACTCAGAAAAATTTTCATGAGCTATTTCCGCCTTATGCGCTAGTTTACGATGCGAAGGGATCTCACAGAGCTGTTGCTCCCCCGGAACTTCGGGTGATACCAGGATGATCTGGAAGACGAAAGCGGCCGCCAGATCATGACATAAAAGCGACCAAGACCTTCAATCTGAGGCATCATCACCCTCCCGAGCACCTCAAACTAGGCTGCGAGTCCAGGTCATCTCTTTACCCACTGCCACTTTCCCAAAAGACGTGAGAAATGCCTTCAATCGCTGAATTGCGCCCTATGCCACCCACAGTGGTAGGCCCAACAACAAAGAAGGCTACTCGTCCGAGTCATAAACTGCCTCAGTCTCTCATCGATGGTGCTAGAGTGCCTGAGAAGGAGCTCTTCGATCCCAAGAAGCACTTGAACTTTCACCCGCCGACTGGTATCACCACGATGAGAGATATCGGTCTTGAGGGTCATGGTATCTCGCCAGTCGCGGCCTCGGAACCATTCTCATTGTTCACACCTGCCGCCATCCAGCAGATTCGAGCCGAGATTTTCAGTGAGCCGGTCTTGTGCGATTGCCAATACTCCTCGAGCTTTGCCAAAAACATGGTGAGAGGAATGGGGCGAGAGTACGTATTCCTCTGGTTCATCACTTGCTCTATTCTCCCATACTGACAGCCTGAAATAGACGCGCCCCATTCACCTGTGACGCATGGAGCTCACCGGAGCTTCTTGCCCGAGTGTCTGAAGTAGCTGGTATCGATCTGGTGGTAGCGTGGGATTATGAGATTGCCAACATCAATATCTCAGTGAGCGAGGAGTCTTCGGGAAGTGTGTCTACCGAAGGCAAGCTTGATACGTCGGCCTTTGCATGGCACTACGACAGCTTTCCGTTCGTCTGCGTCACTATGCTCTCTGATTGCACCAACATGATAGGGGGAGAGACCGCGATCAGGACCCCTTCTGGTGAGATCAAGAAGATCAGGGGGCCTGCAATGGTAGGTGTTGGATCGAAAGGCTGGATTCAAGATACTAATTTCGTCAACAGGGCACTGGTGTGATCATGCAAGGACGTTACATCGAGCACCAGGCTTTGAAGGCTCTTGGGGGCTCTGAACGAATTAGTATGGTGACTCCTTTCCGACCACGGGATCCATCCATCCGCGATGAGATTGTGTTGACCGGATCCAGAGCAATCAGTAACTGGTCTGAGCTCTATCATGGATTCACGGAATATCGACTGGAGCTGTTGGAGGAGCGCATTCGCTTGAAGTTGAAGGAGGAGCAGAAGAGAGTTGATACCAAGCGTCCGTTTAATATCCGCAATATGAAAAAGTTCCTGGCGGAGCAGAGAGAATTTTTGGATGCCACGATGAACGAACTTATTGAAGTTGAGGACATGGACTAGACCAGCACAAGGGTTGTCTAAATTGAAACATTTGAATCTTACCTTTTTCTGTTTCATAAAGTTTCTGCCCTGGATTCATGTCAAAGATGCGATTTCTCCCAGTAAGCTTAGTATCTTCATGCATTAAGCAGGCCCGGTCGGGGGACCCTGTACAGGAAAGCTTGTTTGAGATGCGGGATCTGTGTGCTCCTAGGGGTTACCAAGGGCTCACAAGGGTTCCCCTGGGCATTCCCTAACGGGTCCGGGGATTTGAATGCACCCGCAACGGGACTCGCTATGTGAGACTTCCCTCTTATGATACATGTCATCTCGGGATGAGACAATCTACCAATTGCAAAAGTATGCCTTAGTATCCAGTACTGGGAATATGAGACCAGAAACATCGAGCCACTAGGTATCGAATTGATTTAGGTGTCGGCAAGAGCGCGAACTTCGATATTCAACTCCCCGAAGGGGACCGATCAATCGATGGATTGGATTGTTGAAATTCAGGTAGGCAACATTCATCAATCATAAATTGGCCGTCACAGGTACTGCAACCGACGCGCTTTCTTTTAATTGGATTTTCGCGAATCCAATCAGATCTAGCCATCGCATATGAGGCCCGAGCCACACAGGGGCGCATCAGGATATTTCCTTCAGAGTGAAGAGTAACTGTGGTCAGACAGTTGCATCAAAGATTCAAGAAAACGCCAAAGTGAGCAGATACTCGCCTTATGCCGCCGCCCTCCAGCACACAAAGATACACGATTGAGGCATTCATCAGGCCACCCGAAAGGGAAACCGCCCACACGAAACACAAATGCGGGGTTGCCAAGCCCTCTAACGGGCTAGTACATGCACCTTTGATCAATGAGACTTATGTTACAGGTCGCATAAAGTACAGTGACGACTACTGAGTAAGAAGGGAGGTATGATAGGCCAGTGTGGTTACTGGTCGGGGGGTATACAACGGGTACGGGGCTGATCTGGCTCCTTGTTTCTTTGGTGGAGAAGGAATTCTTCAGCCGAGCGGATCTGTCACTTCTGACATTTCTACTTTGGGTGCTTTGTTTATTTGTACCTGTACATTATTCTAGGGCTTGTGAGCTGGGGTCAGCATACTAAATTAAGTCCTCATACATCTCGTTTGAAATATACTTGTATCATGACACATGCTGTACCCTTTGCCCTTTATTACGCATCCTCTTTGGTCAATGGGCGTATCGCAGGATGATCTTTTCTGATTATATTTTCTGAATATGAGCTGCTGGTCTAGCATGGCCTCTCCTGCCTGATGTAGGGTTACAGCCCTAGGCGGCTGCCCAGCAGTCCAGACAATTGATCATGATGAGCGTGTTCACTCACATTTCACCCATGTACGGGTGTCCATGCGGCACAGCCGGCCCAACGATGTCATTCTGACCAACCCACAGGCAGCCCTCCATCGCTCTCAAGGACACATAGGCGAATTCACCAGAAATACACATCTTACTAGGTAAATATAGAGATATACAGGCATCAGGGATGGAGAGCATTTCTTGTAGTTGTATTGATGATATGGGTACAGTAGCCCTAATTGGAAAACAAAACTCCAACTCCAGCTTGCCACTTCCTGGCGATGAAATATAAAAGGCGATCGAACAAAAGAAAGAATGGCGCAGCCATAGGATAGCCAAGCATCATGCATAGCCCCTCAAATGTGCAAACCCAGCGCAGCCAGTATAAAAGGGACCAAGATGAGGTCCAAGTGAAAGAGTATCACAAGGATCGAGGCGTACGGACGATGAATAGAGTCGTTCTACCGCGCAACACGCTTCATGTATCGCAATGTAAGGTAGACAGCGGCCATGCTGGTGTACATGCCACCGCCAGCAGTCACCCACACTGGACGGTGAACATTGAGGGAGGTTCGAAGGAGGTTGGCTTCCTTGCCCTGTCTCTCTCCTTTGAGGGAGTTAGTGATACCACACCACTAAGTGGAGAGAAATGAGACGGTCGGGAGATATGAAAGAGCCACATACCTTGCTGGAAGAGTCGCTGACGCAAGTTACTCAGGCCCTGCCTTGAGCGGGCAGGGAGGGTTGAGATCTGCTGAAGGATAGGGCCCATAGGTGCCGACATCTTGAGTCTTGGTAAGATGAGAAGTTGATGGAAAGATTCAAGTTGATGAAGAATGAAGGTAGAGTCAAAGTTGGAGGGGAGAGTTTCTTGAGTTACACATCAGTATGAGCACTGAAGGAGTTATATAGGGAAACATCAGATGACAGAATGCGGGGTTGGGAGTCAGTGAAGACTGAGAAGTGACATGACAATCCCTGTACGGTGGCAAGCCAGTGGTTGCGATGTGGCATTACCAGAGGTTTCAGGGGGGACCTTATGGCCTTGGTCTGGACTAAACCCATCATGTCACAGTGATGAGCGAGGAAGATTCTCTGTTCCATGGATCAAGAACTATATCCTTTCGAGCCCCTGAGCCCACACGAACCTACTACAAGAGTGCAAGAAACTGCTATATTGACATGATATGTCCTGGGACTGATAGTGGAGGTAGTCCAGTCGATCATGGGCGCACTAGTACAGGCTGATTCTTAACGAGGTGGTCTGGGTTGACCTTGTGTCTGCCATTGGTTGGGTTTGGCGTCACAGATGGGCCAAAAGTACGTGGCACACGAGTAGACTCTGGTATTAGAACTTGGGTATGAAGGTGTGTACACAGGTACATGCTACCCGCGTCCGTGTACCTTGTAGCACACAGAGGTGGGATGATCGCTACTGGATGGTTCCCCTGAGAGCTCGCTAGGAAGACCCATATAGTCTGCCTGATATGACCCTCTTCTTCATTTATCAAGAGTACTAGTACTAGTACAAGGCTGTGTTAGTTGATGTCAAAGGAAACACAATGGTGGAGTCGACGGGACCCGCAAAATCCGGGGATTGCGGGGGAGTGGAGCCGATCCACTTTCGAATGGCATTTTGGCGGGCGCTACTCCGTCTATCTCTCTTCTCTCGACGTTGAGGTTCATATTGAGTGAAAGCAGAAAGCTTTCAAGCTTTGGCACACCCAGACAGGATTCATCGGTCGTACGAAGAAATAAGACCCAAGCGAGTCCCAAATCCAGCACAATCACGAAATGCGCTCTCACCTCGTGGTCGCAACCCAGCCCTATCGACCCGAAAAACAGTGACACAGCACACAAAGACATATTCAATCGAATGATTACCTGCCACAATTTCCTCGAATCCTTGCTTAGTCCAATTCCGTTCGACGTCAATACCTGCGGTCTGCTGTCGAAAACGCCTGAATCACGCGAAGAATGAAGTGCTACACGGCCTTGGGAGAGTGTGAATGATTGCCCAGATGATATAGGTGATATGTGATTTGGCTTTCAAGCACAATGAAGGTGTCTCGGGTGGAGCTTTGTCCAAGTTCCTTCTCCGGGTACTCTCTTTCTCAAACTCTGCCTCATCCCTTATTAGATTAAGCGATGCTGTATTTCACTCTCACACTAACATACGGATTATCCTCTGCAGACTATCGTCAAGGGAGGATGGTTGACACAACCAACCCCAGCTCTCTTTCGGGCCTACATTCCTCCTCTTTTCTTCTTCAACAAAACAACTTCGAATGGAATCCATCGAGTTTTGGCTCTGAAATAATGCATCAAGCCACCGCTTCTACGAGTTATCGGGCGCGTGATCAAGCTTGTTCCTTCATAACGGTGCTACCTTTCTCGAAATCTTCAAATCAGAACCAGAGCTCAACCATAAAGGTCAACCTTCTGAGGTGACTCTCAAAGCCAAATTCTCTTGGCCATACCATCAACACGGAGCCTCAGGCCTCAAAGGTAACAATATATTTACGGAGAGCGGTTCTACTTGTCTAAGCGATTCCCTCTGGGCCAGATTATCAAGACTCTGCAATATTTTGAGCCGAGGGAGTCCAAGGCTCTAGCTCGAACTATCTTATAGCTAAGCGTTTCGTACTGGTTTAGATTTCCCAAACTTGGAATCTTCCAAGACTGTTTCTCAATGTAGGAGCACATCCGTCTACTAGGAGATTTGAGTATATGCCCATGCAACCTTGGAAGATTTAGACATTGTGATTTCAGACTTCACGGTTGGAGAGACCTCGGAACCGAGGCCCAGCCTTCCAAGTTGGAGCCGGCAGCTGGCTTGATCAAAATTATTACATTGCTATTATATAAATTAAGAAAGAACGTCACTTGATAGACAGATCAACTTTGGCGCACAACCTTGGGCCAAATGGACAGATCCAGTCTGGTCACCCAAGCATACCACTGAAAGGCTCTGATGAACCTGACTCATTTCTTGAGAGCTGCGCAACCAAGAGCCACGGTGCCACCCTAGATATCGGTCAGTATTTTGCATAAAAGGTAGGTAAGATACGCCACTTACCAAGAGGTTGGCCTCTGTGCAGCACTGGGGCTCAGAGTCACACTTGGAATCGTATCCGTGGCCTGTCAAAGAGTTAGCGATCTTCTAATCCCCACAGGTAAAACATGGAAGTGAACATACAGAGAAGACCGACGGATCCAACGATGCTGGCGGCATCAACGCCGAGGGCCAACAGGAGAGGATCGACGACAGGGTCGAGAGGGGTGGTCAGAGAGCCACAGCACAGCAGAGGGCCAACACACTTCGAGGTCTCGGATTCATGCTCGAGCTTCTTGCCGGCCAGAGCGGCAGCGGCAGCGTTGACCTTGTCTTCGGTAGACTCTCCGCGCTTGACGGAGAAGTTCTCGCTTGGTAGAGCAGAGACCATGCCGGCACCGACGAGGGAAAGAACAGAGAGAGCAAAGAATCTCATCTTGTCGATTTTGTATGGATAGTGGTGAAGATGGGAATGGATTGATGGATTGATGAGGATTGTTCTAATGGATGAAGCTCAAGTCCTGGGATATCATTGCATTTAAATAGCTTTCATTATGAGATACCTGGGGCACCGATGCCTTCTGGGCAATACGCAAAACCGCTGTATCCTCTTATCGTCAATATCGAATGTCAGTGAAACCCGTTTGTGAGCTATCACCCATGGAGCTGCTGAGTACATTGCTTTCCATGGCATTGGACCATATGATCTACAAAACTCTAGATAGCATTATGTCTCCCAGGAGGGTTTCGACTCTGGCCAAGGAACAGCCATGCAGGAACAGTGGTTCTCGATGCTGGGGGCATCAAGTGGATCGCCAGGTTGATCATACCGAAAATTCCTGTTGGATGAAGGTCCAGCTGGGCTCCAGGCGAGCTGTCTTGGCTGTCGATCTGGTTTGGTCCACAATTTTCCAATATCATCCACGGGGCTACAGGGGCCGGTTCGCTCAGCTTGCTCATTTGAGTCAATTAGCGCCTGGGGCGGTTCCCAGTCCAGCTTCTTCTATTCCCTAATGAGAGGCATCTTCGCTGTGGAGCTGATATCCGGATGATCCATTCAATGGCTTTTGACCGAGTACTGTTGAAAGGCAGGTCGGCCGCAAGGTACGGGGTAATGCGCCCCAGTGATCAAGCCAAACTCAATTGAGTATGCGCCAACAGTAAAGCGCACCTCTTATCAGGTCTCGGGTGCTGGTAATGCAAAGATTTGTCACTGGTCACATTATTGTGCACTGCAGGAGTGGAACCGATGTCTTTCCCGAGAATCGAGATAAGCCTCGCACCGATGATTGCACAGCGCCGAACCGACAGACAAGAATAGCCTCCTCCGTACCGTCCCACGGTCTTGGTAGCCTTCGATCTAGGCGTTAGTTAATCGGGATCGACTGCATCTGTTCCATGTAATCAAGGGATGGGCCTTGGCTTCCCCTGATTCTCATCCACGGGCTTCTGATCTTGATAACGTTGGATGTTGGAATTATGTGATTGAATTGGAAGGCCCTGGGGATCTGCTCGATAGCAGCATAGAGCCACTTGCATCTCCAGTTGCTGATAATCACATGTATTTTCCTAAACTTCAATAGCTCACAATAATTCCCAGCCGAATGCAGTGCTGAGAAACCTGGTGGAGATAAGACATTTTGTTGGAGAATGAAGATGAGCGTCGGTCATGGCAGCCTGTGTGTTTCTGCCGTCTGCAGCAGTTAGCTTCTGCCAAAAGAATAAATGGTTAGGTGTTTGACAGCAATGGAGCAAGACGAAGAGCAGTTTTGATGGCGCCTGGTCTGGCTGTGGCGGTGTGGCGGTGCGCTTTGTTACGCACCGCCACAGGCTCGCGACACAAAAAACTTCCCTCAATTAATCCACACCACATTCCACGGGGTTATCGATCAACCAACCCCTCTACATTTTTGATTTTTGAGCAGTTGCCCAGCGCAAATTGCCCTTAGATCATCATAATGCCTTCCACTTCTCTCGCAGACCTGGTGGCCGCCCTCCCAGCGGAGGACACCTGGGGCCCCTCCACCACCGCTGACAGCATGCTGTCTGGTGTGCCTTACGCTCCCTTCTCCAAGGGCGATAAGTTGGGCCGCATGGCCGACTGGACTGCCGAGTCCAAGGAGCGCCAGAACCAGCGTCCTCAGTACAACCGTGGCTTCAGAGGTATGTGTTGGGCTTTTTTTTTCTTCCCTGCCCCTCCACCGCTTTTCAAGCATCGTCGCTAACATTGCCAATTAGACCAGCAGGTGTACGGCGCCGGCTCCTCCAACCTGTTCACTGTCGCAACCGCCGAGGACGAATCCTCTTTCTCCGTCGTCGACAACACCCGCACCCAAAAGCGCGCCTTCGGCCGTGGCGGTGGCACCGTTTTCCGTGGCCGTGGTGGCCAGCGCGGTGCTGTCAACCAGCGTGGTGGTCGCGGTGGCTTCCAGCGTGCCGGCCCTGGTGGCCGTGATCAGAACAAGTCTGGCTACAACTACGACACCCGCGGTGGACGTGGTGGCCAGCGTGGTGGCCGTCGTTTCGGCTGGAGAGACTACGACAAGCCCCAGCGCATCCGTGAGCCCTCTGTCAACATCCGTCCTGACTGGACCATGCTTGAGGAGGTTGACTTCAGCCGTCTGTCTAAGCTGAACCTCGATGCCCCCGAGGGTGAGGACCTCGAGACCTACGGTTTCCTCCACTACTACGACAAGTCCTACGACAAGGCTCCCGTCAAGAACGCCGAGCGCAGAATCCAGGCCCTCGACCGCGCCGCGTACAACGTCACCACCTCCCAGGACCCCGTTATCAACGAGCTCTCCGAGAAGAACGCCGCCACCGTTTTCGCTACTTCCGATATCCTCTCCATGCTGATGTGCGCCACCCGCAGCGTCTACTCCTGGGACATTGTCATTGTCCACCAGGGCGACAAGATCTACTTCGACAAGCGCGACGGTGCCTCCTTCGACATGGTCTCCGTCAACGAGAACGCCATTGACGCTCCCCTCGAGGCCACCGAGACCACCGGCAAGCAGGACCAGCTCAACACCCCCAACGCCCTCGCCATGGAGGCCACCATCATCAACCACAACTTCGCTCTGCAGACCCTGACCGAGTCCGACAAGTCCAAGGTCTCCTTCTCCAAGCCCAACCCCTTCTACGACGAGACCGAGGAGACCGAGCCCCTCGCCTCCAAGGGTTACAAGTACCGCCGCTTCGACATCTCCCTCGAGCGCGACGAGGAGCCCGTCTCCATGGTCGTCCGTACCGAGGTCGACGCCGTCATGAAGGGTGGTCCCACCGGTGGTGAAGACCAGCAGCTGATCATCAAGGCCCTGAACGAGTTCGACCCCAAGGCCCAAGGCTCCGGCGGTGCCCTCGACTGGCGCAGCAAGCTCAACTCCCAGCGTGGTGCCGTCCTCGCCACCGAGATGAAGAACAACTCTGCCAAGCTCGCCCGCTGGACCACCCAGGCCATCCTCGCCAAGGCCGACGGCATGAAGCTCGGATTCGTCTCCCGTGTCAACCCCCGCTCTGCTGCTGGCCACGTCGTTCTCGGCGTTGCGGGCTACAAGCCCCGCGAGTTCGCTAGCCAGATGAACTTGAACCTCGGCAACGGTTGGGGTATCGTCCGTACTATCGTTGACCGCATTCGCACTCTCGACTCCGAGGAGCCTGCTGACAAGGTCAAGAAGTACGTTCTCATTAAGGACCCCAACAAGTCCGTTCTCCGTCTGTACAGCGTTCCTGCTACTACTTTCGAGGAGGATGAGGAGGCTGAGATTGAGGAGCCTTCCGATGAGAAGTCCGACGCTGAGGAGTAAACTGATGACTTATGTCCCAAATGTGCATACGTACTCTACCTAAAATTTGATGCTTTATACTCTTTATAGATTTGATCATAATCTTTTTTATTTCATTCAATCTACTATACATTGGTATGTCTTGACTGATCATGGTCTGCCTCTATCAGATATCCATGGACAACCCCTGAAACCTTGGAAGTACCTAGTAGTTCCAATATTCCAAGGTTTTCATGGCCTCTTCAGGGTGACACCATAGAACTTGGAAGCTTTCACGTATCCCAGGGTCCTTCCATGGGTGGCTGGTACCTACCTATGTACGTATGTAGGTAGCAGACACCTTGACCAGGTGGAATGTATATATCCAAAGGTCTGGAAATTGTCAGCGCTCGGAACTAAATTCCATGGATGTCTTCCGAGGTTGCTAGACCAAAATTCAATGTCGACCTCGGGGCATTACTGAAAAGCCCACGTAGACAGATATATAGAGTAGTGACCAATTGTGAACTCCAAGCCAGTTCTCATGCTCCCGAGGTCTATGGAAACAACGGACGGGTGAATTCCAAGGTTCAGATAGCAAAGTTGATAAAATTGATAGTCTTCGATCCAAGAGAGCAAAGGGAGAGAAGAAAGCAAAGATAAGTTGAGCCAAAAGCCACCTGGAGCAACCAGCTACACGTATATACAACCAGACTAAACGCTAGAAAAGAACAAACGACGCACCCGGGGATCAGATCATAATGATCCCCCGTTGCATTTCAGCTAGCCGTACATCGAGTCGTCGGCTGTGCCTGACATGCCAAGTTCCACCCTGGTACCAAGCACGCTGCTCAAGCAATCCATCAACTCGAAGTCCTCTACCACAGCGCCGAAGCCGTAGCAGCGAACCTTTGTGTTGAGGGTGTCGATGATAACCTTGATGTCCTCGCGACGGAGACTCGCGTATTGCTTCTGGTTCTTGAGGTGCTGCAGTGCCATAATGGGGGTGATTTGGCCCTCTGTCACCAGCTGTCGACTGAGATTGAGGAGCGTGCTCAGGTTGGCGTGGGGCAGGTCTGGGGCCTGGTGTGGATATGGTTGTTCGTGGGTCGTTTTCTCGATATAGCTGGGTGGCGGGCAAGTTGCCATCAGGGCATGGCCGGAGAATGGCATGTCTTCGTCGTCGGCTTCGGTGACGGATCGTCGACACAGGTAATCTGTGTGTTCGCGACAAGGTCCTTCTAGTCTAGAGGCGTGTCAGTATGGTGGAGGCGTGATACACTGGTCGAAATAGAACTCACGTCAAAATGAAGTCGACTTGCAGCTGTGGATCTGTCTCGAACACGCCGCGCGGACCGGGCATGGGCATGGGCGGCATGGGAGGCATGGCATCTACCGGCGTGCATGATGAATGATCCATGCTCATCGAGTGCTCGCCCGGACTGGTTTGGTAGACTTGTTGGCCCCCATATCCCATCGAAGGGGAGATCTCCGAGTGATCCATTCCGTTCGCACGCGGGCTCAGGTCGGAGATGGTGGTCGCCGGGGTTGTGTCATGATTGCTGATCGAGGTTGTACGAGGCACTGATTGTGATGCTGTGCTGCTGGGTGCGACGGGGCTGGCATCGAAGTGTACGGGCGGGCGCTCCGCCCGTCGTCGCTCCAATTCGGCTTCGTATTGTACCCCGTGCGCTGCCAGAATTTCCTTGAGGATCTCGTTCTCCTCCCGAGCTGCGTGAATAATACCCTTTTGTTGCTGAATCGTCATATTGGCGTCTGTGATTTCCGTCGTGTATGCTTCTCGTAACCGTGAGACCTCGGTTTCCATCGATCGGATGTATTGTTCCTTGCGCTCGCGATGCGTTCTACCGGAGTCAGCCCCGCCCATACCATCGGAGTGGTCATCCTACCGCTGTGCCTGGCGATTCAGTTCTTGTCGCCTGGTCAAGGCAGGCTTGCTGTCCGGTTTAGGACCTCGGCGTTTGGGTTGCTGGCCATCTGGAGAGGTCAGTCGTGGTCGATCTGCGACGGAAAAGCACTCACCTCGGGTCACTTTTTTCTGTGCATTTTGGGCACTGCCACTGCCTCCAAAGATTTTGAAGATTTCGGAGCCAAAGCCCCTGGATGAAGGGGTTTGGGGTTCCTCTGCGATGGCTTGCACCGTGCACTCCGGGGCCGTGGGCCGAGCCGGAGAGACATCGGCGCGATAAAGTCAGCGATCGAGATCTCGAGATTGCGATCGAAATTGCGGTTGGTATGTGACGGTTCCAGTTCTGCCTTGGAGATAACGCCTAGGGGAAACTCGTTGGGCGCTTCCGATCCGGAGCTTCGCGATTCGCACACTGGCCATGGGCAGAACCGACCGCAAGATGCCAGTCGCGAGTCGCGCCATAAGAGAAAGGTGTAACTCACCATATTGTACATGATCCATCGGATACACTCCACCGCTCATGATGAGAGAAGCAAGGGAGAGAATGTGAGTATAGAGAGGAGGAAGAGAGAAGGTGGAAAGTGGAGGTGATAACGTGCCCCTAAACAACCTCGTTTTTTTCCCTCGTTTTTTCCTTTTTCCTTTTTTTCTTTTTCTCTCCGTTCCTTTTGGGTATTTCGTGCAGCTTCAATAGCTCTGCTCCTTAACGTCCTCGCAGGTGGATTCTTGGTCGCCTTTGTTTTTGTGTGAGTCGTGGATTTAATTTGCAGTCGATAGATCAGACATGACAGTTTCGATCTTCACGTTTCAGACGATGTCCTATACAACCAGTCCGTACTGCTACCTCACCACAACGGAGTCAATCCTGCAAAGTCCCGGCCCGAAGAATATGACCTGTCCAAAAAGGTACAGCCAATCAATCCAGTCTTCAATGGCCACACACTATTCACTTCCTTGACAAATCCTCGCCGATCCGTAGTGACCCGCAGGATGTGCAATTTCGGGGTCTGGCCCGCTATTGTCGAACTATTGCCTTGGATCACATACAATGTGCAATGTGCTTGCAAGATGGACTCTTTCCGATCGGCCTGATTGGCTCATCGCAGGATCTGCGGCATGTATCGAAGAGATCGTTCTGACATCACCAGAACCGTGACATCAAGACATTCCAAGGAACGCCCAGGGCTATTTGCTGCTATATACACCTTCGTCGAACTAGTACTCAACCGTAAATGCGATTTCACAATGGCCAAGAAGATCGCCATCATAGGCGCGGGTGCCGCAGGCATGTCATGCGCCTCCACGCTGGCTAAGCAGCGAGACTTCGCCGTCACCCTAATCGACACGCAGAGTTACACAGGGGGCCAAGCCACCTCCATCAACTTGGACGCGGAGAAACACGGCGCAGACTGGCTGAATGATGGTGTCCAAGGTGGCTCGCAGATTTTCCGCCATACATTCCAATTCTTCCGTCACTACGGGTATGAACCTCAACAGGTCAAACTGCAAGTCGCGTTCGGCAAGGGGAAGGATTTTTGGACCAACGTCTTCCCCAGTCAATTGGTCGACGAGCACTCGGCGGAGATCAAGAAGCTATCGCGAGTTCTATCATGCATCAAATATCTAATGCCCATCCTGGGCATCATGCCTGTCAAAATCATTCTACGGCTATTCCGCTTTAGTAGCGATTTCAGCAACAAAATGGTGCTGCCACTGTTGGCATTGTTCCTGGGCACCGGGAATCAAACCCCTAATGTGTCCAGTGTTCTGCTGGAACGATTGTTTGATGACCCACAGATGAAGCTGTGGGAGTATGACCCGGACACACTTCTGCCAAATCTTCCTACCATGTATACCTTCCCGAACTTGAGTAACTTCTATCGGGACTGGACGGAAGATCTGCGGGCAAAAGGTGTGGAAATCCGACTGAACTGTCATCCATCCATTGTCAAGCGCGACAAGAAAGGGGTTGTGTTACAGTTGCAAGATTATGATGGAGAACAAGCCAAGGGGGACCCCTCGATCGAAGAGTTCGACGACCTGGTGATGTGCTGTCCAGCCGATGAGGCCAAACGGCTTCTCGATCGTCACGCTACCTGGCGCGAGAAATATGTGCTAGGAGGCGTCAAGTTCTACAACGACATCACAATCACTCACTCCGATTCCGCGTACTTCAAGAAAATATTTGAAATGCAGTACGAACCGGAGCTGGCAGCGAAACCCACCTCTCAGACCCGGAAAGACCAAATCTCATTTGCCGAGCAGCAGCCTCGGAGTCAAGAAGATGGATGGCAGGGATTCCGACCGATGTACTTTACGCGCTCTTACCAGTCGGATCCCGGGAAGATTGAAATGGGATTCAACTGCACCCATTACCAACATCAATTCCGTGAAAACTTGGGCAAAGACCAGCCCCCACTGCCGGAGGACCAGCATGTGTTCCAAACAATCTTCCTGGTATGGTTGCTCAGTACTGGGGGAGATTCTTGCGCTGACAATGGAATTCCAGAACGACCAGGAAAAGGATTTATGGACATGGAATGATATTGATCCTTCCAAGATCATAGCGTAAGTCATGAACCGAAGTTGCTCCTTTTCAACTGGGCATTGTTTATTAACTTGTATTGCAGCCGAAAATGGTGGCACCAATTTGGACATCGCTGGCAGCATTATCTCCGGGTTGTTCCGGGAATGATGTTCATCAATGGTACTAATCGAACCCTTTATGCCGGAAGCTGGACTATGGTGGTGAGTTTATCCGCTCTGAATCTGATATACCATACTCACATTTGCTTCAGAACATGCACGAAATTGCCTGCATCTCCGGTATTGCAGCGGCATATCAACTTGGCGCTACTTACGAGCCATTTGATGACTTTGCCGAAGATTTCTTCGCCAAATACTTGTTGGTATGCCATGGAACGAGATACAAGAAATATCGGACAAAGAGCACATGAAAGAAAGCTTGTTCGGACGTCACTATATAATGAAACTAATTCATCCTAAACCATGTATCGGAAGCTTTCGATCTCATGGTCAGTCTTGTTGGATATCTCGTCCTGTAGCTCCTCGGTCACAGTCATTTCTCTTGGAGATCCATAGAGCCGATCGCGGCGACGATTCTCATACAGATAAAAGACAAGAAGGCAGATCAAAAAGAAAATGCCAAAAGCCAAGCCCGACATGGAGGCTTTGATTCCGGTCTGTCGACTGTTATTAGCCGGCCAGCGCTGATGAGTTCAAGGTTGGACAGAACACGTACCTGATATGAAGGTTCCTCGGAGGGAATAAAGAATTGGGGACCAACAATGTTGCCAACACAGTATGCAGCAAACATCACGGCACTGACTGTACTCTTCTTTGTAAACCCAGCAACATTCGAACTAATCAGACTGAGTGACAACGGAATGTTGGCGGCGAAGACACCCCCAAGACAAAGCCCAGCCATCTTGCCGGCCCGATTATCGTCATCAAGCTTCCAAATCAAGAGCATGCCCACCATAGAAACTGCAGTATTGAATATCATCATGAGAATCCGTGTCTTGGGAACGAACGAGGCGACACCAGAGGTGAGCAGGAGAAAGACAAGCTGAGCACCACCCATGGGCATCTGAATCAGAAGAGCTTCCAGATGGGGGAATCCAAAGCCTGCAATAATGATAGCAGAGAAGCTGGTCAGACCACCATTGCAGAAGTTCACGCAAAGTGTATATAGAACCAAAAACCACATCTGAGGATCCTTGACGGCCATCCAAACCTGGTTCCATTTGAACTTTCCTTGATCCATGACTCCGGTCTTGTTTTTCAAAGTTCGTTGCACAGCCACGGCTCGCTCGGTGGGCTTGAGGAAGATGGCTTTCGCAGGCGAATCAGGGAGAGTGAGGAATAGGAGAATCCCATACGCGGATGTGATGGCCCCGAGGATGAGGAAGAGCAGTTGCCATTGAGAAATGGCTGCTACGTGAATGTTTCCGATGCCGTATGCGATCAGTCCCTATTTGCATTTGTCAGAAGACCAGAACAATTGTGTTGATGGTCTGAGACTATACTAACACCAAGAAGAACGGCGATTGAGTTGCCGCAGAACCAAGCCGCCTGTCGAGCAGGCTGTTCCTCTCTCGTGTAAAACATGCCAGTGATCAACGCAAAGCCGGGTGCTATAGATGCTTCTGTTTAATGAATTAGATCAGCTTTCTTATACACGATGTGATCTTCGGGGGATATATTACCTCCAACTCCAAGGAAGAATCTAGCTGCCATAAGACCTCCCCAGTTGATGCACGCAGCATGGACCATCAGGCAGCCTCCCCATACGAAAGCTGCCACACCAAGGTATTTCCCCAGGGGAAGCTTCACTGGAAACGAAGTTAGAAGAGATAAAGTAATGCTTGAATCTTGGGCGAAAGAATACCGACTAGATAGGAGCTAGGCCTTGATAGAGGATTTTTGTCAGTGGAAGACTTCGGTTCAGAGGGAATATCTGCATACCAACTCCACGCAAAATATCCGAAGTAAAAGATCGCCGACGCCCAGTTATATTCATTTCCCTTGAGGTTCTAGCAGATGTCAGTTCATACCCAATGCAATGTGAGAGAGAAGAGAAAACGAACTAGGTCTTGTCGCAGGTTGAAAAGAGTCGCTTGGCTAATTGCCAACTTGTCGATATATTGCAGCATGTAGCAACCTCCCATGAGAGGGATGAGAAACAAGTCCAATTTCTTTAGGACTTTCTTATCCATCTCCGGTGTGGTTTCCACCTGAAGCACTTCACCGAAATCAACATCACGCATGATGGTATCGTCGACCTTCAGTTTGTCAAGGTCGGGCTGGGCCTCCCCTGAGATTCGTTGCTTTTCCATGTTGACGACAACCGAAATGAGCAATGAAAGGGATATTAGGACAGGTGTAATCAAAAGGTGATTGCTCAATGTTCCAAAAAGATTGGAATTAATAGATGTCTATCACACTATGGGAACGCCAGGGGTCTATATGTCTTTCCAGACGTTGAGGCCAAGGCATAACACCAGGGCGCAGTGGCGCTGATGAGTACAAGTGAGCATCTGATAGGGTAATAGACTTGATAGTCTTTGTGTCTGAAAAGTCATTATTACGTTGTTTAGATGGGGTTTCTACTAACAACAAAGGCGGGGAGTTCGAGCGATGGCCACTGCCCAGGACACGGGCGATATCAGCGGCAATGAAAGGCGACGGTGCTCACTTCTAGATGCCGAAATATTTACCATACGCTCGAGTTATCGCCTGCTGTTGGTGTTTGCTTAGACTTTGCGAGGATCAAAAGATTGGCATCTATACATCGGCTGTTTGGCGAATCAACTGACAGGTATAATGCGTCGGCAATCACCCTCGTCGGCAACCCACTTTCCCTATCATACCCCGCAGAATCTGCGACATCTGATAGCAAGAGTAATCATTGATAGAATGAAAAGAAAGATATTCAAGAAGGTTCGAGTTAAGAGTTCCCAAGGTTGAAGAGAGGACACAGTGGAGTTGCCAACGTTCTCGGATCTACTAGTAGCTTTGCGGTGCTTTCTACGGATATGAATTTCAAACAGATTCTTAGCTCCGGAGCAGTTTCCGAAATTATGGATCAGCGCAATGCCCCTTACCCCAGATTCCACATGTCTGTGCAGATTGCCGAGGGGTCCAGCACGATAGGCCAACTCAGTATCGCGGGATTGCAACCGCTATTTCCGTCCTGTTGTCTCCAATGTATCTACATGGTACGTATTACACGAGATGCGACAATCTTTGCGACTGAGGCCAATGTCCTACTTGAATCTGAACTTACGACCGAGATTTTGTTGCAGTGGTGATGAAGCTCGATTGAGATCGCAAAAACAAATATCTTAGTTATCTAAAAGACGTATGAGATAAAGGAAATGAATCAAACTTGGAAGTAAACTTTTGCAAAGTTGCAGGCTTGAAAAATATGTGTTTTGTCATACTGTAGAGCGGAGTTGTATCTCGCCTCCAAATCGTGACAGCAACCATAGGTCAAAGATACAGAGTTCACCATATCGTCGGCAAACGCCACCCCGATGCTACTTGGTCATATTTCTGCCCCGACTTGGCATGATATCAGGATTTAAATACAACTCGGGTGGCTTCCAAGTTCTTGCAATTACGACTCCCCTGCAGCAGACGAAGTCAACGAAGAACGAAACCCTAAGACTAATTCTGTGCCAATATGACCGTCACAAAAGTCCATCCTACGGAAGTTAAAGCTTATATAGATGCTACCTTAGAAGCATTGCATAAGGAGCTACGAGAGTTAAATCACCAGGTATGCTCAGTTCCAGTCTGGAAGATCTTGAAGACCAACACGGTGACTGACATCTTAGATCTGGTCAAACCCCGAACTGGCGTACCAGGAGCACCGTGCTCACGACACAATCTGCAACTTCATCGAGAAACAGGGTTTCACGGTCACGCGTCATGCCTACGGCCTCGATACATCGTTTGAGGTGTTGAGTGGATCCGGCGGCCGGTTGATCAACTTCAACGCGGAATATGATGCTTTGCCTGATATTGGACATGCCTGTGGCCATAACCTGATATCAACTAGCAGTGTTGCTGCATTTGTTGCTCTATCACTTGCCTTGAAGAAATTCGGCATCCAAGGGCGAACACAGTTGTTGGGTACGCCGGCGGAAGAGAATGGAGGTGGCAAAGCGAAACTTATTGAAGCCGGGGCCTACAAGGGTGTTGATATCTCACTTATGGCGTAAGTTCACATACTTTCATTTCTCTGACCGAGGTGACTGACCATATACCAGTCACCCCGGACCCGAAAAACTGTATCCTGGGCAGGAGTGCTGCGGAATTGCTGGAACGCTTATGAACGCCAGAAAGAACATTCACTGTAAGAGCTTCGACCTCAAGATTGATATTCCCCAGGTTTACATTTACTAATAAAATTCCGGCACAGGCGAATTTACGGGTCGCAATGCCCATGCAGGCGGTAACCCGTGGGAGGGAATAAACGCCTTGGACGCGTTGATCTCCTCCTATAATAATGTGGCAGTGCTGAGGCAACAATTGCTTCCGGATCAGAGGATTCATTGTGCTTTCTTGGACACACCGAAGGTGGCCAACGTGATCCCTGCATACACGAAAGCTTTTTGGCAAGTTCGGAGTCCTACCCTCAAGGGACTTAACACTTTAGTTGGAAAGGTACGCAACTGCATTGAGGCAGGCGCATTGGCAACTGGCTGTCAGGTCAAGATTGAGGAGTATGGTTCCCATGCCGCTAGTGCATTGGTTTTTCGCTGACGGATTTCGTTTAAGGGATGAGCTTTACACAGACGTTCGACTGAACGACACCCTGTGTGAGCGGTATCAAACTCATATGGGAGGATACAAGCGTGATGTGCTGAAGCGCCATGACAAGGTCTTGACGGGGTCATCTGATATAGGTATGTGGTAGCTTCCCGTCTTCCATCCCTTCGCCCAATACACCACACCCTGTGGGACCATGGGTGTATATATTAGATAAAGCTAACTTGAGCGACAGGAAACGTCAGTTACGAGACTCCTACGCTTCACACAATGTTCGGCATACCCGCACCGGAGACATCCTTCCCTCACCATCCCACATTCGCCGCTGCAGCTGGAACGGACGAGGCTCATACGGAGGCAGTGATTGTTGGCAAATCGTTGGCTTTGATTGGATGGGATATGGTCACAGAAGACAGCTTGTACGACACGGCACGGGCTCAATGGCACGACGAGATCGCGCGGGTTGACTAGTTGCTCGGTCAAGTATTGCATGCCCAGGTGGCTAGTGTGACTAGACTCCGACAGACGTGCCAACAAGGGGCACGGGAATAAACCCAACGAAATGTCATATTGAAGTGATCTTCATTGTACCGAATTCCAGTCTCTAGTCCCACATCTCAATAAAGGATCAAGAAGCTTAGGTGCTATAAGGTTTAGCGTTGTCTGCTCCGAGTATAGCCCGAGATGCAGTGTAGAATGCATTATGGAGACGGCTGTCAATGATGTATTTATTCCTCTTGTCAGAACCGACTGAATTCGAATCCACGACCTGAAGATCAAGTGAAGCAGAAGTGTAGAGAACGTGGACGTCATGAAGATTTAGTCAGCGCTCTTCCCCGCGTTATCGGCTTATCGGCTTCGGCAGTTGCGCAGGTGACCTTTTCCACGACCCGCACATCTTCCAATTCTCCTATGCCTGATCTTTCCTAGTTCCTGCGGTGGGGGAATTGGTGATGTCCATGCAATCCGGACGCAATGGCCCCCGGTCCAAGAGCGGTATTGCAGCCCTCTCCGTTCTTTCCCACAACTGCCGGCTAATCGTTTCTCAGGCTGTAGTACATGCCGCCGCCGGAAGGTCAAATGCGGCGAAGAAAAACCAGTCTGCAGACGCTGCTCCGCGTTGCGCCTCAACTGTGAATGGGGTGTTCCCGTCAAAAGAGGGCGCAGTACTCAAATTCGCAATCTAGAGCCCGCTCCAATCGCTTCCGAGTATCCGATCTGCCCACTGCCAAAAGTCGAGGACCTCGTCGATTTTCAGCCAGATGTCTTTCTTCCAAGCCTGTCGCCAATTTCATGGGCGGGGGATGTCATGCCGTTGGATTCGGCACATATACCAACCTTCTACCCTCCAGCGCCCATTCCCTCTCTATACCCGTCGTTAAACATGGACAGCCTCGCTTGCGCCAACTCAATGACGCTCAATTCCCTTGATCGCCAATACTTTCAGTACTTCCCTTCTTCATCTCTTGTTCATTACTATATGAAGGGCTGGAAATGGAGTAGCTTTTGGTGAGTTTGTTGTCGGTGGCAGCGATAGCTTTGGTTCCCTCTTGGAAGATGTCACCCGCTGACCAATTGACTCGAATCACCAGTCACCTTTACGAAGGCCCCGCCGCGTCCAATAAGGTAATCATGCGAATGATATTAGCCATCGCAGCCTGCGACATGCACCGCAATGGACTGGTAACGCGCTCCCCGGGACGACCAACAGCAGACGATCATGGTCGATACCACTACGGCTTGGCGGTTAAGGAATTCAGGCAACTACTAGAGACTCCGCGCCAAGTGTCACTAGATGAGGTAGAGACAGTCTTCGCGACAGTGTTTTTGATGATCGCCTGGGAATGGCAATTTGGACACTCAGTGCGTCATGTAAGACGATGATATTCTATGCTTTGGATTCATGAGCTGACTTGACAAACATTAGCTTCAACTTCATCTTCAGGGAGTGCGATCACTTTTGGAAACACATCCCCGACTTTTTCGAATCAAGGATATGAACGAAATGTTCTTGGCTCCAGAAATACAAACTCCGTCCAACGAGAATTCCACCGTGGCCAGAGTCTCATTCATACCTGAACAATTCTTACTATGGATTCTGTGAGTCATTCCTCCGATCTCTAGGGTCGAAAATACTCATTGGATTCAGATATATCGATGCCAGCTGCCGACCTACGGGGCTCACAGAGTCACTCAACGACTGGGTCGTACAATCGGGAAACCCTGCATTACACCCGGACCATCTTTATCGCTGTGCTCGCCTTTGGGGCCGCTGCTTCTGGGGGGAGCAGTACCCCGACGAAGAGGTTTTGGATGACATCGAGAACTACCGCGCCTTAGAACTGTTACATGCTGGGTTCTGCTTGCGTCACAAAACTTGGAAAGTCCTTGTGGAATCAGCGGCTGGTACCGCTGCGCCCAAGGAGTCCCTTTTGCGGGAGATTATGGCCATTCGGGAGGTTAGTGCTCACAAATACGATCAAGAGGATCAAACTAATTTGACCAGAAATTTTCCGATCTCTTTATTACGGCGAGATTCGCGGGAAGTGTCTCTGCTAGACGCACGTTAAATACGATCTACATGGGCGTTTGCACATTCTATGCGCAAGTTCTACTTTATCGCCGACTTCTCTGCGTCAACGCCCCTCCCGCCGCTCTTGACAAACAAGCCACTGCGGCAATCATTGACATATCACAAAAGCAATTCATATCCGACCCAAAGCTTCTCAGGAGGTTACATTGGCCCTTGCTCATGGCGGTCATTGAAACCGGAGATATCACGCATCAAGCATGGCTCCGACAAAGACTGTGGGAGCTTCGTGATTTCCACTCCGAGTTTGTCTGGGCGCATGATCTCGCTGAAGAGATCCTGGCTCAGCAAGACGTGAGCCAGGGTCGATATGTGAATCTGGCGGATTTACTCCTTCAGCGTATCAATGCCTTCTGAATTAAGCCTTGGGCTTCTGTATATCTACTTCAATTCTTATAGAACACTTTAATGTATTATGTCTTTCATATGTTGTCTTGCGTGTTGGCTTCCTAACTGTTCTAGCTATGGCTATGGGCTATTTTCTAGAAAGTATGCGTCGTAGGCCACCTCGCCTTTCGCTCTAGTAGCTCGCCCGACGATGACTCGATTGTTCATCCACTTATACTTCTCGTGTCCTGTTTCAATCTTCACGTGGAGGTGAAACCAATACTGACTGGGATCAACAGGGCCTCCCTCCATCAATGCCTGCAGAACTTCCGGGGGGCCTGCCCGTGTCCCTTCGGTGCTGGAATTCATTTAGCATAGACTCCCTGCTTTTGTTCGATCCATAGTCACCGTATATAAAGAAAAGCACCATCATCGCTCTTTATCATATAGTTGGTGTTCACATGCGTTGTCTGGTCTTCCTCAACAAGCCTACTTCGTTAGAGCCTTGCCCGCAAGTCCTTCAATATGCCACTTACATGAAGTCTGCACCCCCTGGCACTACCTCGCCGTTGATAAATTTCCCTTCCACAGATCCAGACTTGATTGGAACACAGCGCCGTCGACCATACGGACCATGGCCAACTTCCATCGGCGCGTCTACCGCACAACGCAAGGTGAAGAGATGAGTGAGCGTCGGTGGCGACGATAGAGTCTCCATGTCTGTGACGAAGAGAGAATAAATGCGAGGGGAACTTGGCAGCATAGAGGGGCTGCAGTGGGGGATACGCTTTCTCCGGAATATCCGATCCGGCTAAGTCTCGGGCCTTTTGCTTCACTGCATTTGATGGATGACTTCATGTTCGTATTGATCCCTTGGTTTGCATCTATACACAACTCTCCATAGGTCTTTTCTATTTCATGCAAATGCAAGGCACACTTAGGCATACGTATAATCATTTCAAATATCCGAGACCTTTTGACTGTTCCTTGCCCTTTCACAGTCTGCTAACTACAGGGCTAGATACTTCATACTCAAAACTTGCGCCACTGAGAATCTTCAGTTAATAGGACATTTTTCGGTGTATGCTATTCCAAACCTACGCTTGGTGCTTGAGGAAGCCGGCAAAGAACTTGCCGATTTCCTGATATTCTGTTAAGCCCACCACAGCCGAGACATCTAACATTCCCGATAGGTTAGTGGAGAACATCTTGGAGGCCTGGGATTCTCTTACATTGATCTGGTCGAGCAATGACTATCGCGCCTTGCGCTGGGTCGATTCCCAGATGCTCATAGGCATGGCCATGGCCCATGTTATAACTGTCATCATCGTAGTATAGTTTGTGGAGATCTGAGTCAAAAGTCAGAGACAAAGCTTCAGTATTCTGGTCATGGGGCCTTACCTCTGGTTTGATTCTTGTCGGACATTGGATAGAAGCATTTGGGGATATCCTCTAACTCCACATCATGGCGGTTTCCGTGGCCGATCACGATTGTCTCGATCAGACTGTCAGAATTTTGATTGGGAGGTGTGAAGCTGTGGATAGGGCCATTGGCGGCGTCCAAATATTCACCAAGCTAAAGGATGTGTGAGAAATGGCCTCTCTCACGTCAGGGTTTAGCTTACCTTGACCAATTTTGAATGGGCTTCTGGTGTGGCAAGATTACCGACAAATGCCATAACCCGCCATCTGCCATCGGATTTGAGGGCTTTCATAAGTTGTACTGGTTTCGAATCGCAGAATCGCACAACCTGTGCACTGGGCAAACGCATACCAACATCAACATTGGAGGCAATTTGCGTGGATTCCAGCGCGGAAGTGATAGATGATGGATCATACTTCGCTGTCAACCCAGCAGTATATTTGCCGGCTTGGATGAAGCCCTGCTGGAATTCAGCAGGAGAAGTCTGGGCTCCGGATGAGAATAGCTTCGAGAAGTACCGGTCGAAGTTGATCAAATCAATGGCAACCTTCTGGCGTTCTAGTACATAGGTCTCAAGAAGTGAGGGAGTTGCCAACCCTGTCAATACCTCGCCAAGCTTCCATCCGATATTATATCCATCTTGCAAGCTGACATTCATACCCTGACCAGCTTTAGGGGAGTGGGTGTGGCAAGCATCACCAGCGAGGAATACACGGTGGTCCTTGTGGAAGAAATCGGCATGGCGCTGGCCGATTGCGTATGCAGACCACCAGACAGTTTCCACAAAGTCGATCTTGTAGGGACTCAGGATTCTTTTTGCTTGGGCCTGGAGATTCTCAAGCGTGACTTCCTTCGGGTTGGTTCCGGCAGGAAGTTCAATATAGAAACGAGTGAGATTGTCGCTGTCGCCTTCGCGAGGGATGATCAGAATATTTCCTGCTTTTGAACGAATTGTGGACTTCTTGCGAATATCCGGGAAATCAGTTCGAGGTACCATGTCCATGACACCCCAAACTGCATCACTGCTGTCTCCAATCATGCGGTAGCCGAGCACTTTGCGAACGATACTGTGCGCACCATCACAAGCCTGCACCTTAAGTCAGATCAGTGTCGGTGGGGGGAATGGGAGTCACATACCAAAGCATACTTGGCCGCAAAAACTTCGGTCTTGCCATCTTTCTCGGCTGTGACCTTGACGGGGTATGCGTTGGGGTCACTGGCAGAGGTGCTATCAACCTCGACGTTGGTTACATTGTATCCATAGTCGATTTGCTGATCGTTAATCTTTTTCATCAAATCAAGCAAAAGTCCATTGATGCGAGCTTGGTTGAGAATAACGTGAGGCTGGTGTGATAGACCAGGCTGGGTATCTGCCGTTCGCCCAGTGCGTTTGATGCCAGTGCTGTCCTCAGCCCAAAAGTTGACTTCTAGAACATGATAAGCCTCCCGAAGAAGCTCCTCTCCCACACCGAAACTCTCGAAGATCTCCACGGTGCGACATTGCACACCGTCAGCCTGGCCCATCTTCATCGGGCCATCCCTTCGCTCCAGCACCTTGCATCGCACACCGTATTTGGCGAGCCAGGTAGCTGCACATAGACCAGCTGATCCGCTGCCACAAATCAAGACGTCGACTTGCTCCATTTTTTCGAAGTTGATCCCAATGTGGTTGCTTATCCCCGGATTTTTAAGGCGAATCCGGGGTGAATCCCGAAGCCTCCGGGATGAGTTCCGGAATCAGTCCCGACAGCGGCAGCGCCTCGGTATATCTGCCATTTTGCACTCCGGACAAGACCATAAAATATGGGGTTGGGGGATACGAGAAATAAAGTCGGGGTAAATTGTCCTCCGCAGCGTGACTGCCCAGGTGCAAATCATGATGAGCTTAATGCGGCATATCGTTACTTGTATCAAACCATTTTTGAAGAGGTCACCCTTGAGGCTTTCTTGGTATCATCTCACTGTTTATAGTCTAGATTTTCAAAACACCAGTTGCAGGATTGTGGTGCACTTTCATGCCCATATACGAGGCGTATGCATCATTAATTCCGGTCTAAATCATTATAAAATGTCCATCCTACCACCCCAAATCCCAACCGAACGCCAGCGCCGGTGCAAAACTCGTAACACATCTTACAAGAAGTATTCGCTCCGGCCTGGTCGCGAGGTTGGAACGTGTCGTTGGTCATCGCTGACTGCGCTGAACAGCTTAAAGGTAGGCTTTAGGTCGTCGCCAATCTCACACACGGAGGCCAGGTTACCGCAGCGGTAGCAGTAGTTTGGCGCACTCCAAACGGTGACGACATTTTGGTTGTTGAAATGGTATTTGTAGCCCTCGTTGACCAGTTGGTGGGCGCGGGCAATCAAGGAAAGGTCGTTGACATGGCAGAACTCATCAGCCACCCGGTCTCCGAATAGCCATCCTGTGTCGTTCGTGTTAGCATGGTACATGTTATACGATTTTGGACTTCTCTTACCTGCGCCACGAGGGCTGACGGCCCATGTCTCGACATCATCAGGATCGGACCAAACAAGATCACAGAAGGCTCCCTCGTGAGGGATCTCCTGTGCACGGGCGACCACGCGGACTTGGTCCAGTGTGCGGATCTCGGGGCTCAGACCACCATGAACACAGAGCACCTTGCCATCAATAATCGCCCCCAATGTCATGAAATCGAAGACCTGGCAGCATGCCTTCCACACCGACGCGCTTCCATACTTTTGGAAGCATTCCTCGTAGAACCCATAGACTTGAGTAATTTGACGTGACTCGTGGTTACCACGTACCAAGGTGACGCGATCGGGGTATCTGCACAGAATAGAATTAGATATGTCCAGCCAGTGACTTCTGCTTCCTTTGACTCACTTGGCCTTGAGACAGAGCAAGAGTGTTAATGTCTCCAAACTGAAGTATCCACGGTCCACATAATCGCCAAGGAAGACAAAATTGCGGTTGATCTGGAGATCCTCGGAGGTACCGCTACCTGACCGGCTCCGGGCGGCTGACTCTGCGTCCTCATCCTCATCGTTGGGGTTCGTGCTGGGGCCGCGAAGCTTCTTGCGAATTTTGGGGTCTGAGATGCTGGAGGGGGGTTCGATATCGGTGGAGGTAATCACAGAGGGGGAGGTCTTTGGGGAGTCGAGCTCGGTTCCATCCGGCATGCCACCTGAAACACGAAACAGCTCCAAGAGATCGTAAAATTGACCGTGAATATCACCACAGACGGTGACGGGAGTGGAGACGGGTTGAATATTCGACTCTGCAGGGACAGTAAGCACACGCCAGACTGATGAGAGACTTCCGAGTCTCAGCCACTCGGTGATCGCTCACCTTCCATCATATATTCCTTGACGATCTCACACAGCTGCTTCATGTGTGGCTCTGAGAGATACTTGCAGTCCTTCGCTGCCTCCAGCCATTCGTCAGGACCTGCATTGCGCTTGAGTTTGGCAGGACCCGGCTGGGGGATCTTGCTCTCAGGCATATTGAAGATAAGAAGCAAGAAGAATTTGTGAAAAAGATGGGAATGAAGTGAGGGAGAAGTGTGCAATGTGTTTCCCCGCAAGTGGGACTGCGTCTTTGGTCTTTTTGGCCCACCCAACCCCTTCAGCTCTCATATGCGACCCTCTATAACTCGTCTTCGATACAACTGATACATACTGCTGAACATTTCATAAATACGATTTGTCGCAGCTTTTGCTATGCTGACCACTCATGTCTCGTTCTTATAGGGCTCATATGGCCACTGGCCAGCGTCTGCCCACATGACATCCTCACGGCCTCCCCTCACGACTCCGATCCTCATGCCTCGAACTCGTTCACCAAGTCCTTCCTCCTAAATCACATCGCAATTTAAAAATGGACAGAATCAATCGCATTCACTGCTTCATTCACATGCACGGAATCACGAGCTTGCGACTCTGACCTATGCCCAGGTGGACAATCGAGGAGGACACCGTTGGATATCACGAATCGTGGCGCTACTGGTAATACTTCAAGAATAGTCACAGCTGAGCACGGTGAGAGCGGGTACATATTCATCATTCATTTCCCTATATTTTCATGAGGATATCAAGCATCTACACATAAGCCGTAGGAATGCAATCAAGCATCGATCTTGCCCAAGAACTCAGTCACAACTTCCGCAAATGCCACTGGCTGCTCAACCATGGGAAGATGGCCAGCACGATCAATGATCTTGAGCTCAGCTCCACCGCGCAGGTCCGCAGCCATCTTCTGCATAGTCTGTGGCAGAACACCATCGTTGGCACCGGCAACGAACAGTCCAGGCACGGTGGCGTTGGCCATACGCTCGCGGATATCGTAAGCACAGAGCGCCTGCACGCTGTGGGCGAAACCCTTCAAGCTGTTGGTGCGCACTGCCTCCTTGACAGGCGCAAGGACCTCGGGCTGGGTCTCGTACGACTCCGGCACGAACCAGCGGCGGGTGGTCACCTCGGCCAGCTCCTCTCCAACGATGGGCTCGTTGGTTTCGGGATCAGTCGAGCCTTCCTTTTCGCAAATGGCCACACGGTCGCCCCACGCTTTGCGGTTGGATTCGGGTGCGGAGGAGTTGGTGTCACATGCGATGAAGGCACCCACGCGCTCGGGGTGGAGCAGAGAGGTGTTCAGGACGGTGACACCACCCAGGCTGACTCCGATCAGACGGGCGGCCTTGGGTGGGACGCGCAGAGCCTCGAGCAGCGTGGCAAGGTCGGAGGCCAGCACATCGATGTTGACCGGCTGCTCGCCACTCGCAGAGCGGCGTCCGCGAGTCAGGTAGCGCACGACGCGGTAGCGCTGGTTCTGCTTGTGGGCGAAAAAGGCGTCAACGAAACGATCCCAGATGTTCCAGTTGACTAGGATGGAGTTGCTCAGCACAACAACAGGCGCGTGGGGGTCGGTGCTACCCTCCAATCTGTAAGGAATTTCCACGCCATCCTTGGTGGTAATAAAAGATTCGACTGCAGGGCGAGAGGCTGAGGGGAAGGTGCGAGTGCGGCCGTCGTTGGAGCTCCAAGGGCCGGCAACATCCGGGGCAGCGAGGGAGGTGAGCTCGCGGGGAGCAGGACCGAAGGTGTAGTACCACTCATACACACGGCGGTTCTTTGATGTAACAACCTCACTCATGAGACGAGCTCCCCAAGGGGTGTTCATAGCGGCCTTGTGGGCCTCGCCTCCGAGGCCATTGACGGGGGCATATTCGTGCAGCGCCAGGGACTCCTGCGGGGCAGCGGAATCAATGGCAGCAGTGACGAAACGACGGCTGCGACGCCAGCCGGGCACACGAGAAAGCATCTCAAAGTGTTCTTCGCGGTACCATTTATCCAAGTCAGCCTGCTTGGCGGGGTCGGGGTGGGTAGCCACTCGAACGGCGATGAGAACGCTACCCTGAGTCTCGGCATCTGTGTCGGCTTGGTCCTCCAGCGGGCGGAAGTCGGGGCTGCTGCGCTCATCAACCAAATCGTACAACAGACGACCCACGTCAATCTGCGCCATGGTTTTCTTCTCCCGCTCGGTCTTGATCAGGTCGGTGCGCAAGTCGAGGTAGGTCTTGCGGGTCAACTCGTCCATGTCTGTAATATCGTACAAGGCCACATATTCAGGCTTCTCGCCGTCGGTCGCGCGGAAACGGAAGCCATTGGTGATGAATGGCAAACGCAGACGCAGCGGTCCATGTTCTGTGTTGTACCAGTCGTGGAATTGAGTGTCCGGCAGCGAGCCCTTAGGCTGCATAGTGACGTAGAGGAGGCCGGGGGTAGGCATGGCGAATAGTGAGGATCAACTCGTGAGACTCAATTGAATTCTTCTTAGACAGGTCTGAGGGTCCAACATCCTATATGTCATTTCTCCGGAATTGCGGCGGGTGAAAGCAAAACGCTGCCGAACTCGACTGCCGATGTTCCCCAGTTTTTGCCGCTCATCTGCCTTCCGACTTGCGGCGAGTAGCGTGGAGTTACGAAGTACAGTCTTGATGTACTAGTATGTGCATTGATTTCTAATCTGGCATTTTAAGGTCGTATACTGCTTCTGAGGCTCATTAATCGTACCAAATGGCGTTCATTCCGAATCCTTGCTCCGGAATATCGCAACGCGCCACGCGGGCCAACTTCTCGTCGCGCCAGCGATACATCTCGACAAAGCCGAGCTGGTCATCGCAAATTGCCACCCACTCGTCAGTGAAATCACAGGGGCTCACAGCGTTCGAGTGACCACCGCTGGTGGAGGTGGGGTTAATGAAGAGCTGGCGCTCGATCTCGCCGTGGGGGCCCAGCTTGAAGGCAGTAATGTAGCCGGTCACGTCAAAGTGGTTCGACCGAGTAGTAGCGAACAGGTACTCGCCGCTCTGAGTGCAGAAAGTAACGTCGCCGCGGTACTTGTTGCGGGGAGGAAGGCCTAGGAAACGTCAGCTTGGATCATGCTAGTCACTGGAAACTGGGAAACTCACCGGACGGCAGCAGAGGGTAGGTAATGTGCGTGAACACGGGCTTGTGAGTGCGCTCGTCGATGACGTAGACTGCCAGGCGGTTGCCAGCCTCCATCAGCGCGTAGAGGTACTTGCCGCTGGGGTGCATCTCCACCCAGCGAGGGTGGTCGCCGGCGTCGGGAGCCTCGAGGCAGTCCACCAGGGACAATTCGCCCGTCTTGGGGTCCTTGAGGTGAGTCCAAATCTTGTTGGCCGTGAGATCGGCGGAGTAGAGGTATGTCTCGGTCGGGTCGAACACCATGCCGTGGATACCCGTGTTGGGGACATATTCGTAGTTTTGGATGTTGCTATCCAAAGCTCCGTCGGACTTCACGGAGAACACGTTGCCGTAGCCGGCGTGGTTGTAGAAAGGATTGCCATAGACGTTGTACGGCGGCTTGTGGGCGGCCAGCACAAAGATGGCGCGAGTGTTAGTCTCGCTGCTAGGAGCCAATGCTAGTGTCTGATCAGCACACATTGATCTCTTCGAGATTGAACGTATCCAAACATACGGTGGCCGGCCACAGGGTGTGACACTTGGTGAACAATCTCAGTTGGGCTGTTCACGGCGAAGCTGTTCCACTTCTTCATAGCGGCTCCATAAATGGCCTTCTTATCGTGGGAGAAGGTCATCCATGAGATTGGCTCCGCCTCCGGAATATCGGTCTTCTTGACCAGCTCGAGAGTGAGAGCTTCATCGTCGAATTGGACTGTATAGATGCGACCGGGCGCAGTCCAGGTACCGATCATCAAATGGTGCTTCATATTTGCAATTGGGGATTGGGAGAATGATCGAGATTGAGGTCTAAAGGCCGATGCCCGCGAGAAAGCAGAACGGAGCATATGTAGCAGTTGGATCTCGAGAAATTATTGCGGGGGACTGTCGGCATCGGGTGGCGGCACCGGCTGTGCTTTACTCCTGCGGCCGTTTCGCCCTATACAATTGCCCGGGCACTGTGTTTTCGGCTTCATTTCCCCAGATGAAGCTCAATGCATAAGGAATATTACAAGGTTGATATTTTCTATGAACCTGCGTCCAACAAGTAGAAAACTTGAAGCTTCAAAGTGTCATATATTTTCCTATAAAATCAATCACATATATTTACTTCGTCTCCAGACCTCCAAATCTGACATGAACTATCGGCAGATGCTCAGAAAGCTGTTTATTGAAACCGCTTGATGGCACTACAGACCTTTGCTAATATTACTACATGAAAGCATATCATTCGTGATACTATACGGCTACAGTATATCACAGCTGTGCGAACAGTCAGTTGCCGGAGAAACCCTCTTCCCGGGTAAGTCCTTTCCCGTCTATGTCGGACTCGGTTGCGAACCTGCCGAAACGTGGGGTATTCTTCAATTGGAGATGTACTTGATGCGACGAGTCTCTTGGAAACCAATTCAATCATTCCCTGTCATTCAATCCCGCACCATGCGTCTGCCATACGCCCCTTCCACTCCACCCGCCGATGCGCCCGCCGACACGGCCGACATCTATGCCCGCATCGCCGAGCGCAGGAATCCCCGTCCCTTGATTCCTCTGGACCTTTCCCTGCTCCACAGCCCACCTGTGGCAGATGGCTGGAACAGCTTCATCGGCGCCATTCGCTCGCGCACTTTGGTTGACTCCGGGGTCATGGAGTTGGCCGTTTGCCGAGTCGCCGTCCTCAATAATGCGATCTACGAGTGGAATGCTCATGCGCCATTGGCACTGAAGGGGGGTGTCAAGCCTGAGCAATTACATGCCGCTCGCGTCTTGCCATCAACTGCGGAGGGCGATGTCGCGGAATTGGAAAAGAGCCCACTCACTCCGCAGCAGCGGGCTGTCCTTCGCTACACCGACCAGATGACTCGCACCATCACTGTGCAAGATGATGTTTTCGCCGAGCTGAAGACGGTTGGATACGATGACCGTGAGATTGTCGAGCTCACAACTGGTATTGCCGGATACAACTGCGTGAGCCGATTCTTGGTTGCGCTGGACGTCGGCGAGAACAACGCCCGTGAAATGAAGAGTGTGGAGGAGATTGCTGCTGCTTTATAGTGGAAGCCCAAATTCTCTACGAGTGTTCAAAAAGAGCTATGGAATTGTGGAACAGCCATCCCTGGCTCTGCATTTCACAATATGCGACATCTACTTTCCAAGGTTACGATCATGATCATGTACATGGTGCGGTGTCCTGACTTTGAATAATGAGTGACGATGAATTTCAGATCGCGTCAATAAATATCATATATTTCTCAACAGAGCGTCTTCGAATCCCCCGACCAATTGCCCTTCCAAGATCTTACAGACATTGGGAATAGAAGTCATTTTGCTTCTGGCAGGTATACGGGCTGGCGCATGTGGTGGAACCAGTCCAGCTAGACCCACCGCACTGTGCGTAATGAGCAGCTCCTGTAGTGCTTGCGGCTGTCGTGGTTGTCGTGGCCTTGGTGGTTGTAGCAGTGGCTGTGGCCCCGGTGGTAGTGGGTATGCTTGTCGGGGTAGAGCCACCGGAACCGGGGACGTATGACTGAAGAAGACTCATGTAGTATGTATAGCCGGTGCCCGATGGCGACTCAAGGCTGTACATGTAGTCTCCCCACCATGGTCCAGCAGACCACCAAGCTGCGCCTAGCCAGACATCGCTGTTGGCGGACAGGTAATCAAGCATGCCAGTCACAGCAGTTTTGCAGACAGAGTTGGCGCCGCCAGCGAATTCGCCCAGGAATGCCTTTTTGCCATTATCCTTGAGCCATTTCGTGGCAGCCACCACACGCTCCTGACCAATTGTCGAGCTGACACAAGTCTCGGATGTACCAGAGCCATCGGAGTCCAGGTATTGATGCATTTCGTAGACGATCAAGTCTTCTGGGTCGGTCAATGCCTTCATGTTGTCATTGACAGTGGTCCAGGTCCACGCTCCGCTCCATGAGTTTCCTTCAACGAAGATATACTGGGACTTGGCACCGGCAGCCCTAATTGCGTCGATGGCAGCTTGGTTGAGGTCAAGAACCAAGGTTTGGTCCATGGTGTGGTACTCGTTGTCTGTACAGTCAGTGAATGATCATCTAAATCTGAAAGGAGAAAGGCTCACTCGTATCGAAGATGACCTTGTCGTTCGAAGCAAACTCTGTAGCCAAAGTCTTCCAAAATGCTGCAAAGTCACTGGTAGACGTGATGACGTTCCCGTAGCTGGATCGAGTCAGCTAGATGCAGACATATCGCTATTGCTGTTGGGACTTACTATCGTCCGAAATTGTGAGGGTCGATGACAGCATATGCACCAGTGGAGGTGATAAAGTCGACCGTCTAACACTCATCAATGTAAGTTTCCGGGTTTAGTAGGCCCAAGGGCCTCTTTGCAGAAGTTGATCTCACGTACGCTTTTCAAATCTGCCAGATACGTCGCATCTGGTTTGGAAGTCATGGTGTCAGGAATCAAACGTTCCATTGAGAAGGCAACACGGAACAAATTCATTCCACCATCGCGCAGAGTCTGAATTGCTGAAGTTGATGGCCAGATGTAATCCTTATTCAACAGCCCAGGAATGTTTCCACTCCCGAACTCTGCGCCGGCCTCATTTGCTCCAAACCCTATCCGATGGGTGTTAGATGATTGGTCAAATATCAAGTAAGGGTTCACGCACAGAGGAAAGGTGTTGCTCGTTTGGAGATGGACTGCCCTGGCGCCGCGAGCGCAAGTCCCGTGATACTAGTCACGGCAAACAAACAAGGGAATCGCATTGTGAGTGAAGAGGAGGAATCTGTCTTCGGCAGGCTGCTAGAGAAAGAAAGATTCAGCAGCGAGAAGGTGCACTTGTATAGGATGGTGCTTGGCACTCAAGACCTCTTCCTTTCCACTTCAGATTACCAATTCTCGTATGCCCTTTTTGGATCAGGACACACTCCTTTAGATCAGGACGAACTTGGGGTTTACAAAATTCCGCTACGTGTAGTTGCATGTGCATGTGTATGGAGTACGATGGTCTACAGCTACGAGTAAGGTTCATGCTTCTGGCCATCAAGATCACTTGAGATTAAATTGCTGTCTGGGATGGGTCTAAAGGCCGCAAAAAGCACCACAGTCGTAGTTCTTGGGATGTCAAGGTCATCATTCAGCTCCGATCCGGCCTTTTCGGACCGTCGTCCGCACTTGGATAGCCCTCTTGGATTGGAGTGAGCATATAGCCATGATGAACTAGGGGTGCGAGTTAGTGACATGGCCCCATTCGACACGGCATTTTTGATCGATGGTGGCGGCTATACCCGAGATGAGTATTTCTGCAAGAAGACCTTATTCAGGCACTGCGGACCTTGGGGTGCATTGCCGGCGAGCTAACAATCGGGGGAAATTGTGATGCGGAGGTGAACAGGTTCCAAGAGTCATATTATTCAAGATCACTGCGGGATATCAATCACCGAAACAATTAGATTGAAACTACTAAACCGAAAGTAGCCGTACATCCCCTGTGGCTTTCGACCATCCTCAATTTCACTCATAGTCCGAAGGGACATTTTGGTAAGAATGAAGGCCAAGAAAAAATATCAAGGACTGTATTGGCAATGCCAGGCACCCATTTTTGACTGTAATTGACAAATGAGGTAGCAGAGAACACGGACCTCTGCCAGGTGGTAAGTAAGATACCTATGTAGGCAACAGACCCGAGTAGAAGAACTATAGGCAGTGCACAGAGTACCTAACACACCCATCCTCAGAGACTCTGTGTAGAGCTCTGGAGCCCTAGAATGACTCTTCCTTGTCACAAGCTCTCTACATGAAAGTAGATTATAGTACTCTTGACTTGGAATGATGTTTCCGATGTCCCGTGGTTAATTAGACGTGGTTGAAATGTATACTCTGTACCAGAATAGAGTCCTCGGAACTAGCAGAATCATGGCACTGCCCTCTGGGAACCAATACTCCGTCTACGTCAGTGTGCATATAATATTCCATAGGAGATGACAAGCGCTTAAGGTACACATGACCCAAGTAGTGTGGCTTGGCTAGTCGGAGGATTCTCCGCACGGCAGTTTCTGCTTAATTTCTTCAGTCCAAGCCCACCTGGGCAATTACCGGTCATTTCCAGGGTTGACATGCAGGAGGCGTTCGCCTGCACGGCTCCACGTTAGCGCTGACCCTGCTGCAGGGGTTAGGGGGCGATGGCGGCTATTGGTGGAATTCTGATAAGGGTTCTCTTTTTACCCCTGTAAGCATATGCTGGATGTCATGCGATCTGAATATACGGAGTACTGTCGCATGGCTTGGGAGGAATAAAGTACGTCCAAAAAAGCTGTTTATTGGTGCCTACCTAGGTAGGACTGATGTGCTTATCCGAGGGGAGAATGTAGAGAATGTACCTAGTATCATTCATGGATGGCGACTAGACGTTTAATAACAGGATAGCACTCTATTAACTAGAAAGCCAGCTCTGCCGTGATATAGAACATCCATCTGGGCAGCAAAGGACAAGTAGGTAGTAGTAGAAGATAGTAAAAACCAAGCAATTTATTCAAGAATTTCAAACTAAAGGAGCCAATTTGCATTTCCAGGATCTTGGAACCTTGGAAGAACTGAACTATGCTAGCAAAGAGCGTGCAAATCTCTCCAATCGCAAGATCTCATTTCATCTCCCCCTGGGCACCTGGGCACCCCTCTCGAATGCCACAATCATGCCACTAGTTTCGTCCGCGGCCTATCTCTTACAGGCACTGGGAGTAGAAGTCGTTCTGCTTCTGGCAAGTGTATGGGCTGACACACGTGGTAGGACCGGTCCAGCTAGATCCACCACACTGGGCGAATTGAGCCGCGCCAGTGGTGGACCCGGAACCAGCGGTGGTGGTGGTTGTGGCCTTGGTGGTCGTAGCCGCAGTAGTGGTAGTTCCGGAGCCAGAGCCAGAGCCAGAGCCAGCAGAGTTGTAAGTGGAGCCGAGTGGGCCAACCTTGATGTTGGAGTAAACGACATATGCGTCGGGGTGGTTAGCCTCGACTTCGATGGGGTCGCCGGAGGAGATGTCACAGCTACCACGGGCAGCACCGGGGGTAGTGGAGCTGGCAGTGGTGGGGTAGGTGCTGTCCAGCCAGAGCATGTTGGCAGCGTGGTCATCCCAGAGACTCATCACGAGAACCATGCCTTCGGCCATACCGGCGCCCATACCGGCCATACCACCGTGCTTGCTGAACACATCGGGGTCGTTGAAGGCGACCTTCTGGGCGTCGCAGAACTTGTCGGTCACGGAGTTACCGGGCACATTAGTGATGGTGGAGACCGAGTTGGGGATGACGTTGCCATTCTGGACGTAGAAGCGCTTGATCTCGGAGAGAGTGCCAGTGGCGGTACCGTCGTTGGTGATGAATTGAGTGACGACAGTGAATGGACTCTTGGTGTCGACAATCTTGCCCTCGCCGTAGAAGGACTGGTTACCCTGGCGGTACGGGTTGAAGTCACATCCATCAGGATCACAAGTACCGCCATAGCGGTCATCGCTGTAAGTGCCGCCACATGAGTCTCCCGTGCACATGGTCTGGGCTGGGTCATCACAGGGGTGTGGAGTGAACGCAGTGGAAATGGAATTGGCCTCCCAGATATCCATCTCCGCGCAGCAAGAGCCGTGGTTGCCAGTTCCGGCGTTGACGTCGTTGGAAGATGGGACCCATCCTTCAACGTTAGCTTGGCCGTTGATGAATTTCAAATCACGCGGGCATTGTGCGTCGCAGTAACCAGTACCGTACTTGGCACCGGCCTTGTTGGCGGGGTATTTGGCCATGCCACCGTCGGCGTCCATGTTGACGAAGTAGAGAGCACCGTTCAAACCACAGGGTAGCTTCGAGACATCGACGTCAAAGGTGAACTCCTGGTTGAGCAGCTTGAACATTTCGTACTTGCTATCATCCTGCATCAAGTAGAGACGTGAACCGATGTTCTTCTGGTATGCATGGGTGACAAAGTTCAGACGCAGCGAGCCACCACTGGCTGTGACACCGTAGGTGCCCGGGTAGTCAGCGCCTTCAAGAGCGCAGTTGCTGGCACATGTCACGTCGTCAGGACACAGAGAAGCATCCCAGGTGTTACCGGTATAGCAATTGGTGCTGCTTTTGGTGGAGTGGACCCAACGCCAGTTGGAGTCAATGACAACCTTGCCGGATTGCGAGGTGCAACTGCCCCCGCTGGTGCACTTTTGCCATGTCAAGGACGGATGCACCTCAGCAGTGTTCGTGCCAACTTGCTGGGCCTGAGTCACCCCAAGGAAGGCGGCGAGGAGCAGCGCGCTCTTGTAGATATTGAAAGAAGCAATTGATGCCATGGTGTCCAGCGTTGCCTTTGGATTGAAACTTGGATTGCTTGGGAGATGAGTGAAGATTCATTCATGGTGGGGGAGAGGTCCTTTATATCAATCCAAAGTAGCTCTACAGATGGTTGCGATCATCTTCACAACCGAATCACGGCGTTGCGGTCCGTTTGGCCGTTATGGAATGGATGCTTTGGTTTCCTAATGGAGGTCAGTAAGCCAACACTCCGAGGTCACGGAGGACGTGAGCCCAGCGCCGTAAAGGGGCGAAAAGATAGATTCGATGGCCTCCTCGTGAGACGCTTTCGGGTTCAGTGGTACCGAGATGACCTGGTGTGGTGTGGCTTAGAAAATTTGCCTCGTCCTGCGAGACCAAATTTCCGAGCAGCGTGGCGGATGCACCTCTCAAGAACTAGCGGCTAAATGACCCAGCCTCTGGTCTCACTAGCAAGGTCGGAGACAGTATCCTGCCTAGTCCCATCACCCTTCCGCATTGGGACAGCTCGATTCGGTCAATGCTTCATTGCCGTGACGAAGTGGTCACTGCCCGGGTTCTGCAGGCAGATGGAATCCATGCTCAGTCGCAGCGCCTTGGCTGCGCATTGGCGCGTATGGTGCACAGGGGTTGCATTAGCGTAGCACAGGCAGGAAGACTAGTTGGTCAAATTGCGGGGATAGAGGCCCCGGGGCCTAGTGCCGAGGTCAGAAGAAGATTAACTGGCATTCTCATGTCAACCGGGCTCGAAGCGCCCGTGATCAGACTTGAGCCTTGGGTGCTCCATTTCCACACTTCTGATGCGCTCAGGATTGCAATGTTCAGGCGAAGGGCCTCGAAGGGCATCCAAAAGGGTGTCAGATCAAAGATCGCAAAGTCTATAGGCAATAAAGGCGCGGGATCTGCGCGAAGATCGCGATGACTCATCACCCAAAGCGGTAAGTGGGACACACATTTTGTCTCGAAGCGAAAGAGCGCAATTGCGCCTTGCTCATCATACGGATTCAACACCGATAGAAATGGCCAGCTTCATCCTCACCCTCTCGGGCCCCGATCGCCCCGGCATTGTCCACGCCGTCACTGCATTCCTCGTCCAGAACGACCTCAACATCATCGATTCGTCGCAATATGGCGATGCCACCTCCAAGCGCTTTTTCATGCGCACTCACTTTGCGCAAGCCAATGGAAGCGATGAGACTCCTGAGCTCGAGAAGCTGCGCACTGCTTTCGCCCCCACCGCTGAGTCCTTCAACCTCGACTTCGAGATCCACCCCAGCGTGAAGAAGCCCCGCGTGATGATCATGGTCTCAAAGATCGGCCACTGCCTCAACGACCTTCTGTTCCGCCAATCGACCGGTCAGCTCAGCATTGAGATCCCCCTGATTGTCTCCAACCACCCCGACTTCGCTACCCTCGCGGCCACCTACAACATTCCCTTCCACCACCTTCCCGTCACCGCGGATACCAAGGCGCAGCAGGAAGCCCAGATCCTGGAATTGGTCAGCCAGCACAACATCGATCTGATCGTTCTGGCTCGGTACATGCAGGTTCTATCCCCAACCCTGTGCTCCGCCATGTCCGGTCGCATCATCAACATCCACCACAGCTTCCTGCCCTCCTTCAAGGGCGCCAAGCCTTACCACCAGGCCTATGACCGTGGTGTGAAGATCATCGGTGCCACCGCTCACTTCGTCACCAGCGATCTGGACGAAGGCCCCATCATTGAGCAGAACGTGGTTCGCGTTAACCACGGTATGAGCCCCAAGGAGCTGACTCACGCCGGCAGCAACGTTGAGAGCAACGTTCTGGCCACCGCCGTGAAGTACGTGACTGAGCGTCGTGTCATCCTGAACGGCCACAAGACTGTTGTCTTCAACTAAGGCACATGACTCCATCGCACCTGCAATCGTATTGCACGTCTTGGTTATGACATCCTTTTCGGCGACTCTTCTGTGATACCTTGATGGTTAAGAGTATAGACCAGAAGACTGTTGGAGGCAAAAGGAAAAAGAAATCCCGTCATATAGAGAGCTCGGCTTTTCACATACACCATTCCTCAGCCTCCTGTCTGAGGCGGACGACTGGGATTTTGCCCTGTGAAATATACCATATGGAATGCCAAAATACTAGACAAATGAAAGTTCATGACCCACTCATGTTTATGAAAATTTTCCAGGTTGTGTTGAAGTAAACGGCAGAAGTGCAGCGTTGAGTGATCCTCGTATTTGTCCCTCGGCGGGGAACAGCTCTAGATTTCTGACATCCTACGCCTTCGTACCCAGGCCATCCTCGCCCAAAATCATGGAGTACACAAGCTCGCCGCATCTTAATTACTTCGCCATCCCTCTCGTCGAATTCATGGCTGCCAGGCCAGAGATCGAAGGGTTTGGGGTAGGCGCGTACATTTTCTCCCACGCCGATCCCACCCCACGTATCCTTCTCTTGCAGCGTGCAGAATCAGACTCTATGCCAGGATGCTGGGAGGGCCCCGGCGGTGCATGTGAGCCCGAAACAGACAAATCCATATTGGACTCACTGGTGCGCGAAACGCTAGAAGAGACTGGCTTGCATGTCTCGCACGTTGCTGGGCTAGTTGCGGTCGACTGCTGGGAGCATCGACGTCGCAGTGGGGGTAGGATGAGAATTGCGAAATACTCCTTCATTGTTGAGGTTCATGAGAGCTCAGATGAGCTCAGAATGGGAGATCCTGTGGGAAATGCTCATGTTCCTGTCGAACTCGACGCAACTGAGCATCAAGCATTTGATTGGGCAACAGAGGAGAATGTTCAACTCTCTGTGAAGTCTTCTGGGGGTCCATACAAGTTCCCATTACATCCGATGGGACACCAGGCGCCTAATATTCTACGGGCTTTTGAACTGGCTAAGGAGCGATCGGATATAGCATGATACTGTCGATGAACACGGTGCATGATACACTACGCCATCTTTGTTTACTATTCACAGCAACATAAAAGATCCCGCTTCTTCCACTCTTGTTACCAATTCAGAGGATCGGTTTGGATTACGCTTTCAAATGGGTAATGCTTTAACGATGTCTGGAGTCAAATTTGAGCGGACAGGGCCCTTTTCTGCCTTCGTGGATTACTTTGTCCCACCGCAATGGCACCTTGGATGTTTGTATCTCCTGATGGAATAAGTACAAGCCCTTTTGTCGCGATGCCAGGGCATAAGAGCTGGATTGAAGATATGGGTATGTGTGTTGATGTTGACTGGTCGCTTGAATTTCGCAAAAGAATACACATAACGGGAAGAAACCACGATAGACGAATCAAGGGTCATTAAAGGCATCATATGTACATGATACAGGGATCATTCAAGGTCAAATGCAGATGCTCAATCACTGAGAGCTGGACTTCGATGACCGTGGGGGAGTCTCCCCAGGCATTGGCTTGCGAGCCCACACCCTGCGTCTGTAAACGAGATTAGCGTGCGAACATCTCATGAAAGCGTTGAACTTACGAGGTATGATAGGCGTGGATGTAAGGATTCTTCAGCTCGCTGCGAAGCTTCGCGCAGTAAACATGGACTTGTTCCTTCGTCCAAGGCTCGGGCTCACCAAATTTGGTCAGTAGCCACATGCACCATCCTTCCATTCCGGACATCCAATGTTGCACGTTGACAACACCGGCCTCCTTCAGTTTCTGGTTCTTGGGCCATGGCCCCAGAGGCCATTTGTACGTTCTCTCGCGTACGTCGACAAATCCGGCCTTCCGAATGCTATCTGACATGGTGAGGATGATGTCGCATGAGCGACCTGATTGATCACCACAGGACTGCATCATCGGACCCCACTGGGACATGGCAGAGTCCGCAGGAAGGGATCCGTCATCACTCCTGATGAAGGGGCCAACTTCAAGCTGTTCAATCCAGCCCCCGGGCGCCATTTTACTATTTGGTCAGAGATTGGTTCGGAGAATGGTTCGGAGAATGGATAGGGCCACTTACTCAAAGCATTGCTGGTAGAGACGATCCCATTCACTGGGGTCAAACGATCCGAGCATGTTGCGCATGTGGATCAGGTCAAACTGCTCGCGCCAAGTCCAATCTTCAAGCACGTTGTCGACTTCAATGACACAATTGGGGGGCATCCAAGTGACCGGGGGTGGGAACAGGTCCACACCCCGTACGGTGGAATTTGGAAACATATCGGCCACATCGCTAGGGATTATTAGAGGCTGGCTCGGGTTGGATAGGGGATTGGACTTGCATGGCCCAGGTGCCCTGTCCGGTGCCGATGTCGAGCACCTGCAGGTCTCTTTCCCGATCGGCACCGATCGGAGAGCGAAACAGTGGGTTTTCTCGATCCGATTCTAAGATCAGATCTACGAGATGTCTGCACGGGTTCCCAGTTAGCACTGGTTCGGGTGGGATCTGGCTGCTCGTACCCAGCTTCATATGTTTCAAATTGCAGCTCATCGGAGGGAATACTATTTGAGTTAGTTCTCTGTGCTAGATGCAGACCAATCAACGCACCAGTATTCTTTGTTTGACAGAGACTGATAGCTGTATACAGATTAGCCGGTGGTTCCGGGAAGGGATAGACTGTTCCTACCGTCTCCCATTTTCCATCAACCCACGATATAACGATGAGCCGATCGAGGTGGTTTCACTGGCACCGGGTCAGTTCATGCATGTGACAATGATAGGTCACTTACGACTGCCAATCCTCGGGAGAGGCATGACACCCAGGGGCGTACAAATCCGGATCCACCGCGATAGGGTCCATCATTGAGACAAAGAAAAGGTGAGAAAGAAGGGTAAAGAATGGAGCTAAAGCGCTGCAGAAATAGCTTAATGGGTTTTAACGGGCAACGGGCCCCTCGCGACATTTTCTTCTCCTTTTCCACCTTGCCCACCAGGACCCCATTGTCGCGACCCTGATTGGCTCCGGAGACACGAATCCGTTTGCCAATCTGCTCTCGACTCCACGCGGAAGAAGTGTCAGTTTCCCCCTCGCGTCTTGATTGGTAGAGGGTCAACGGTTTACGTTCGCAAGTTGGTTTGGCGGGCTTAGTACGAAGCACAAAGTACGCTCTTTACGCTTTTGTCCGTGCATCCCGTCTACTAGTAGCCTTCCAAGGTTCGAAACGTGCGAACACCCTCGGGGCCCTCTGTAAGGAGGACTCGACTCTGCACCCCGTTGCTGCATCTGACGACTTCCCGCAGGTGGGGCAATCTGACCGCAAGATGAGGCGAACTGCAGGTTCCTCTGCAATCGTGCAGTGAAGGTCTGGGCCCCGTAATCGACACTAAAGTACGGAGTACACCGTATCCACTCCGTGCTCAGGGGATTTCTAGCCTCGTGTTGGCATTGAGAACCCCTCCATTCAAGAGACCAGTCATTCGCACACATCCAAGGATGAGAAGATACCATGCTGGATCTGTTGAGTTCCAGTACTCCGTACTAACATCCAAGTCAATCTATATGTGTTTACGGGTCGAGGACTGAACACTAAAGTATTCTCGAAATGGATCAGTGCTTGCCACAGGTTCAATCACTCATAACACCAGGTTTACTCTCATAAACAAGTTCTACGATCTGAAATAACCTGAAACTGAAAGCCCTGGAGATGCCGAAGAATCGCCACTAACGATGTTTTAGATAGAGCTCGAGCACCGGGCGTGAGGCAACATTTGTACTGTACCTTCTCACCTCAGGTCGTAAGTTTTAAGATCAACACATTAGTGCAAATAGTCTCGATGCTCGTGGTGGAAAATCCGGGAACAAAGCGGGAGATCAGATGTGGTCCCGCCCTTCCCTTTGGGCCAACCCTGGGAAGCACGGTCCATAAATCACTCCGTAGTGTAGTATATTTGAAATCGGAGAAGTAACATTAGAGCGCCAATCGCTTAAGGCTGCAATTGTCTCAAACTTCTGCGCGGAACATGTCCGACTGGAGGCTGATGCGAAGCGCGATTCAAGTCCTGAGGTCGGTTTCGGTAAACTTTTCAGTGCGGAGCTGTCGAAAGGTTTCATTACAGGGGTCGTTGTTCATAAAGGCACAGAACAAAGGATTGTGTTAGAACGTATCCGGAAGACATTATCCTCACGGAGAAGCTTGCATGCCCGGTAATACAGCAGTCAAGTACATCCTTTGAAACAGACCATGTTTGGTACCTAGGTACTTCCCGTAAGTCGATGTCTGAAGCTTCGACTGAAATGGTCTGAAGCTCTCCCAAGCCGCGTTTTGAATGAGCGTAGCTGCGGACTAGAGTATGAGCTTCGTTGACGCAACTTTAGACCTGCTTGTAACTATACTTCTTGTGTCACGGGTGTAGATCTTGGGGGTAACATGACAATGACCATTGTTTCAACCCGTATTCAGTCAAAGCCTATAGGCCTCAGTACCTAGGTATTTGCCTTGGCGCACGCAAAATCACCGGCAACATGTAAAGCCGTACGGCCCGTACCTGAGCATAAGATAGCCGCAAAATCAACTTTACCGGCAACATGGTATCCGTAAGCACGTTACCTCTTCAGGGCTTCTTGTAGGATACTATCATCCCAGCTCAAAATGTTCAAGCCGCTCTTCATTAAGTTCTTCGAGCGACAAATACCCTCGAGGCCACTGGTGGTAAGCCATGTGGGAGGCAAGAGAGGCTATCAACGCGCGTCCAAGGCCCATGCCATGACTCTGATCATGTCGCGCGCGTATGAAAGGATGGTTTCTCCAAGGGAATACAGAAGCAATAGAGTAAGGGGTTGCGAATTCAACCATATCATTGTTTGAGTTGTCGCTCTGGGTCAATGGTAGTGGGACAGCAAGTAGAAAACAAGCAGAATATTCCGAGGTCCATCTTTGGTTATATCGAACGCCAGAAACAATCAACGATTTATATCGTATTTGCAACTAATAGAGCGAACACCAGTCATAAAATTCGGAATGACCAGATGCACGTGCCAGATACTCGCGTCAAGGAATTCCCGAAATGTAGCTGAACACAAACATTCCGTATTAAAAGATATCAAGGCTCGCAGAGCGCAGATCCAAATTCACAAAACAATCGACTCCGGACATGCCATATCGCTCGATGAAACGCGGGACGGGGAATAGGTATCAGTATCAGGACTCGACAAAAAACACGAAAACACCAGACTAGAAGATTTCCAGATCCTCAAACTCCACCACCAGCCCATCCGAACCAGTCGGCAGCGAGCTATCAAGCGTCATACCATGCATCGCATCCCACATTGTTCCCCCACGCGACAGACTCGTCGGCCGGCTCGCATACACACCCACATGCACGAACTTGTCCTCCACCCCATAAAAGAACCACGTCACCTCCCGCAGCTTCTTCCATGTACTCCCCACCGCGCCGGGCGTGGAGGTATAGGGCAGAGCCGATGGGACCTGGTACCAGATCCACAGGGCGTGGCCGACCCGCTCGAGTTTAATGCGCAGCGATTGGATGGCCACATTCGTCGATCCCAGTGGTGATAGACACCAGTCGGCGCCGTCGGCGGTGGCGCTGACGGACGAGGCGTTCACCGTGCCGGACGAGAACTCCATGCCGGCTTTGACCCATTTGCAGGGGAACCGAGGCGCGCCGCGGAAGCGGGCTGGCTCATCGAGGTCGGAGAAGGACTGCGGTGCTGCACCGGCGAAGATGACTAGTCCGCCTTGGTCCCATTCCATCTCCCAGTCTGCACTGACGGTTACCTCGGCTACGACAAATGGTTGCCGGAGTGACGTGAAGACAATTGGTGCTGTGGAGGTGTCTCCATTTGGTGGTTTGCGCCACAGGTCTGTGTTTGGGCCGGCCCGGAGGGTGAAATATTCCATACATTGAGGTAGCTCGAATGTCGGTGGAAGATTTAAGGTCTCAAATGATGATCCATTCGGAGGCATATTTCGTAGTGAGCTCCACGTTTATCGAGAGGAAACAGGGGATCACAGAACAGAGGAAAGTAAAGGAAAAGAAAAGAAACAGAAAAAGAAAAGAAAATTGAATCCACAGAGCAGCGGTGGGTTATGGACTCCCAGCAATTAATACTCTCTGCAATGAAGGGTTCACAGCATTCGTGCTAAAGTTTAAGCAAATTCAGCAGCTCGAATGGGCCTGCAGCGTGAAGTAGCATAAAAAAAAGAATTGTTGGGATATGATGCAGTCGATAAACGGGATATGCGGATGCGCCGAATGCGGGCTCCAGACCTGGAAATGGGGATTCACCGGAAACAAAAAAAATGAAATCGAATGTGGAAATATGAGATTGAATCTGTCTTTATATATTTCCATGTTGTCGCCCTAATCGATTTCAGGAGACGATCATCTCAGGTCCCGCTGGGCACATCTTCGAAACCACAGCCTTGGGGACCAGTACCAACGTGCTGGAGCGAGTGAGGCGCTAGAGCTGCATTCTTTGTGGTTGATTCCTTTGATCGCCCCTCAGCGTGCTTGCATTGCTTCGGCGACAGCCCAGTTCGCAAGCAGTGGGTCATGCATATGGGGATCACGATGTGACGAACGTGAGTAGGAGGTCACTAGTGCCAACCCAGCCAACATTTGGAAGACTGGAGCAGTGTCTGGGTCAACACTTGTCAACAGCTGAACATGGCCATGCCGAAGCTGAAGCGGGTTAATATTTCCAACCTTGAAGATTGCCACGAGGAAGTCGAGGGAACAATGCATGAATTGGGAAGTCAGAATCGGGCTGAAGGGCTCTGGGATCTTCCCTGGTCGGCTTAGAGTCGAGTCCACAGTGGCGCCGGCTGAGCCACAATGGATCTGGCAGATCGGAGCTGCCGAGATGTAAGTTAAAACTGCTTAAATCCATCGTCCCCCACAGTTGGAGATTCAATTTCATCTTTGAGATCCTGGTACTCAAGGACTACCACCTGCAGTACTAACTACAGTAGTATGGAGTGGCTGTTTCTTGCCAAGACCCTTAGCCTCTCTGCTCCATTCCCCTTAGCTTCTGAGTTGGCACTTTCGGGCACTCTGCACTCTGCCTAACTCCATTTCCTGGATTTATGACCTGCCTTTGACTAAGTTGCATCTTCATTCGATTCCCAAAATCCTATTTTGCGCCCCGCTTTAGCGTCTACGTATAGGCGAAGTGCAGGAAAAAAAGGGGGCCAAAACCATGAGAAGCCCAGTGACTCGTAATTTGCCTTCCTTGTCCCTAAATAGCTCCGCCCGCCAATCATCGCGTCGACTAAACATCTTGGCCTCGTATCACAGGGTCCTAGAACCTCAATCAAATTTGGTGATGGCCCTAGGCTCCAAAGATAAAGTCTTGAACACCCGCTCAGCAGATGGCGATACTTTTCGCCATTTCGTCTCACGCACCCGCTGAAGTGGAATCGTAAAAATGGCGCCCCGTCGTGGCTCAGGCTACTCCTCTTCCTACTATTCCAGCGCATGGACTTCGACAACCCTCCTTTCACTGGAGTATGGCTACTACGGCTATGGCAGCAATCGCAACCACTACAAAGACCTGTATTATGCCATGTTTGCCTTTGATATCCTCACTCTCATCGCCTTCATCGTATTCCTCGTCTGGGCATGCACTATCCGGAATCGCGGTCTGCCGCTGAAAGGAATCATTTCTGCGCTGATTTGCTTCACCCTGTAAGGATTTCCCCGCCTAGTATCCACTAGGAGTGAGGAAGGCATCTCGAGCTTTGCTGATCCGAATGATGTGCTAGATCCCAGATATGTGTGGTTGTCATAGAAGCCCTATACGTGGCCACCACTGAAGTAATGATGTACTTTCTCATCACCTACATGTTGAGCCAATTTTTCTCTTTCCTGGGGAACTGCCTGCTCTTTTACATCTTCTGGGGCTTGATCCACCGCCTACTGGGCCGCCTCACAGACTCAGGCAAGCCATATGCTGCGGTGACCATTGTCCACTGGGTCCTGTTCAGCTTGACCCTGCTTTTCTCACTCGCCGCCTGGGCCGTATATGTTGTCTATACCGTAGGATCTGTGACGTATAGCACATTCATCACAGCGATGGACTGGATTAATATCGGTTCTGCGATCCATATCCTATACTGGATTCTCTCTCTGGAGATCCTGGCCTGGTCAATCTTCGTGTTTGTCAAGGCTGGAAGCCACCGCTTCGTGTCGAAGGTAAGAGCTCAACGCAACCTCAGAATGATAACGCTCATCTCAGTCCAGATGCCTGTGCTTGCATTGATCAGCGCTACCGTTGGATGGTTCGCCTTGAACCTCGCATGGATGGTGGTATGGATCCGCTATAACCTCGAAAGACGCAACACAGTCCCCGAGTGGCACAACACCGCTCAAGCTGTTGTCAACTTTATCTTCTGGGTCGTCACCTTCGTGGGAATCCTCCTTTGCTGCTCCAAATGGCGCAGGCTCGGCGAGGACCCGGAGAAGAGCGATGCTCCTATTCGGTACCCTTACACCCAATATGCCTCTGGCCAGTACCCACCCGTCCATTATCCTCCGGCTGGTCAATATCCTCCAAACGGCAATTATCCTTCGCCTGGCCAATATCCCCCGGGTCAGTATCAGACCCCGTATCCCAACCAGCCGAACGGAACTGCTCCATACCACGACTACGCGGCGAACCCTGCGACGAGCCCTCCGCCGGCCCAGCGCGCTGCTTCGCCACAGTAGACTCTCAAGTCAAGTCTGATTCTGGTCGAGATATGTTGGGTCGAATGAAGTTTAAGCACCTTCCATGTGAGGGCCAACGCAACTTTGTTCTCTAATATGCCGCTACACGCACCTTTAATGTGATACCCACGAACTATGCAAGTGAATTTCATAATCTAATTTTCACGTCGATAAAGATACATAAGAAAGTAAAGAATCCAGCCGCGTAGAAAAGGGTATTTGTCTTGGCGGGCGGTGGCGCAGATCAGCATCTCCATTTTCCAACCAAGCCTCATCTCCAACTCCCAAGCAAACATGGTCTGCTCAAAATGCCAGAAGAAGCTCAAATCCACAGAGCTTGCTACTCCCGCCGTCAAGCGCAAGAATGAACTCTACTACGGTTCGCCAGCTGGTACCGCCGGCGACAAAGCGAAGAAGGCGACTCTCGGCGCTACTGGAATCGGCAAGGTATTATCCCGTCAATATCGATATTGATTCCCGAGGTCGCGATCGCTAACTTTGTGCCAGAGTAAACTTCTCAGCGCTAAGGCTAAGAACCCTTATGCGGCTTATGCTTCTTCCTGTGACAACTGTAAGGTGAAGACTGAACAGGGCAAGAAGTTCTGTCAGCGGTGCGCTTATCAGAGGAATGGTGAGTTGTTCTCTCCACTCTGGAATTGTTAGAGGGAATGCTAATAGAAGACAGCCTGCGCAATGTGTGGCAAGAATCTGGCCGGCAAGGCAGTCAAGGACCAACCTATTGTGCAAGGACAGAAGTTCAACATGGCATAAAAGGCTATGAAAGCAAAATGTATATGGGTACGGCGAGGCGTTGGGCGCATTTATTTAATCGAACATTGAATGATATTTGAACCGCAGAAATTCTAGTTATACATGGCATGCGCAAAAAGTATATGCAGTGCGTCAAATAGTACGCTTTATATCAGGACAAGGATGCCTCTCCTTCATCCGACTTCCGCCCCTCACCCAGCTCGACCTCGCTGCTCCTTTACCGGTCGGCCAGCATGTTCTTGATGTTGCTGTAGTATTGTGTGTTCAAGTACTGCGGGAGCTCCTCCTTGGCCAGCCACTTGAAGTCCTTCAAGTTTTGCGTGTTGATGGAGAGATCGGCCTGGCCGGCCATGATGCGAGACTTAAGGAAGAAGACCTTGCTGCCACTGGCGTCGGGCTTGGCGGTTTCTCCCTTCTTCGCGCGAGGCGCGTTGAATTTGTGCCACCCAACGGGGTGGTAGCCGACCATCCAGGTGTTCATGTTGACACCGGCGGATTCGGAGAGGGTACGCTCGGCAGCCTGATAGATATAAACGTTAGTAACAAGGCATCGATCATGCGCTTGAAGGCCCTAGACTCACCAAGCGGAGGGTCTCTCCAGTCTCCACGGGGGAGGTGGGGAACTTCCAGTTTCCTTCCTTGGATTGCACAAGGAGATAGAGGGTTCGGGATAGGAGACGGTTGAGGCTCTTCTGGTCGTTCTTCTGGTCGGCCTCGGTGATTCGGGGATAGGGGCGGGGGATATCCTCCTTTTTGCTGGTATCTTGGGAAGTCGCACTGGCGGTCGATTCAGCATCTTGAACAAGAGCCTCGACCTGGTTGGCGGGCTCGGATTGCTCGGCACCGAGCAGAAGCTCATCGTTCCATGCATCGCTATCATACGCGTTGTACTTTCCGATATCACGGGCGGCAGTCCGGCGCTCCTGGATCTTCTTCTTCCAATCCTCGTCCGCTGGCGTTCCGCGCTTGAAGTAGAAATATTTTGTGAAAGGGAGGGCGAGACGTTCATTCAGACGCTTCTGGTAGAAGAAGAAGGCTTTCTCGAACGGCTCGAGTTCACGGGTGATCTGGGGAGGGCGGGAGAGAACGACACCGGCGTTGATGGTGTATGCGGGCGTCACGACAGGAGGGGTCGTTGTCGATTCGGTTGCTGCTGGGGTGGCTGTGGCATAGCTGCGGCGGCCAATGGTCTCTTGACAGCTTCTGCACACGCCGGAGTCGATTATTGATGGCCCTGCGCGCAAGTCAGCATTGAAACGGGAATCATCGGGGAAAAGTGGCAATTGGACGTACTCAGCAATGAGGCAACGCGCCTTGCACTGTTTGAACCTGACGACATCTTGAGTGGATGGCAGTGGAGTGTACGGGCATCGCTATGTCTCCCCGAGAAAAAGATCCAACACAGGTCACGTTGTCACCAGGCCCGATCGGGTTAGTGTCTGCCCACACGGTTTAAATTTCGCGGAAGTCCAAATCCTCCTTCTCTTCTCCAAGCATCTCTTATCATCAATGTGTCCACTGTTCTACGACCACTTGATCATTTTAAGGTGCTCAGATTGAGCTCGCGGCCTTTTTTCGCTAGCGGTACCTTCTTCAAATCAAGGTGTACTGTTAGATAGTCGCCGCGAACATCCATAGCCTTAACATACAATATCTTTCAATGAACAGAAAATTCCAACTTGATTTGCAGTCTACCTTGTCTTCCTCCCAGATCAATCAATATCAATCAATATCCCGACCTTGATCTCCTTGGCTTCCTCTTCCTTGACCTGGCGATCAACCACTCGGATGATCCCTTCTTGCGTGCCGAACACTCGCAGTTTGTTTCCGTAGTTGGCCCAAAAGATAGTGCCCAGGCGCGGCACCAATCTTCCTCGGTTGGCCAAGCTTGTGATTTGCCTGTCCCCGTTGTCTTCCCAGGATCTGCCGGGTACCGCAATTTGACCTTCATCAATGGTTGGGATGACATCGCGCCCCTGCTCAAGGAAATCGTGGGACTCACTCTTGGCTGACAATATCTGGCGATCCAATTGCTGCATGGCAATGGCAAAGACGCTTCGAGATTTCTCCGAGTGCATTTCCTCCACGGAGGAGCAGATTGCTGGATTCCGCTGAAGATTCCCTGCCAATTTGATGAAGGCTAGGGCCGTCAGTAGGCTATCGTAACCTGCTTCGTGGGCGCATCTGCGGGTTCTATACTTCGTGAAGCGGGTATCGATCTCTTGAATATGGTTAGTTATACTCACTCATCGTCACAGATGTTCGACATCAAGTACCTATCTTGGGATATTCCAGATGTGCCAGATTTCTGTTCAGATCCTCCAAAGCAGACTGTTGTGCCATGACGCCGCAATCGTGGGTGGCCATATACTTGGTGTCGGCTAACACGGGAAACAACTCATGGATGGCGCCATTGAATTCCTCGAGGGTGTCTGGCAATGAGCCTATGAAACACCTGTAGAAGAAGAGCAGGTCGAAGAACATGTTGTGCCCTACCAGAACAGGTCTGTTCCGTTTGAGCTGGGTTTTTATTCTCTCCGATATTTGCTGTACGTCTAGCGTCGGATTTTCGATTCTTTTCAGCAAGGGATTGAAGGCTTCCGGGTCAAGCTCATCGAAGTTGCCCCCAACGAGTGCTTCTGCAATCCATCGGAACCCGATGTTGTCTCGAATACGTTGCTTTCTGGTTTTCAACTTCGTTTCAAAGACTCGTCGCTCGGATTCAGGGTCTCGATCCTGGATCTGGACAAAGTCCGGTGCTCCCCGAGACGTCAGACCTGGGTATTCGATGCTGATGAGTTGATGCACAAGCCGCTTCTGTGTGTTGCTCAGCCCCAGAGGAATTTCGCAGGGAGGAGATGGGAGGCTGGCCGGTGGTGGAATATTCAGCCACTCTTGGCGGTTCTGCGAGTGTCAGTGATATTGCCTGGTCCAGGTTGATTCAAATGTTAGACGAGATGCTTACCTCGCCCTCTGCTAACCACTCATTGATCGTCAGCCGTGATGATTGTAAGAATTCCAAACACTCTATGTCGTCCTCTTGGATCTTGATATCAGGAATGGCTGTCCGAGAACGAGATTTTTCCACGGCAATTCGGATGGCCGATGCCTCTTCTTCCCGGGAAAGGTACCGGATACCAGTTTTGCACATTGTGTCAATGCTGAAGCCCTGTGCGAGAAGGAACTCCATTGCTGTACTTTTATTAGTATGCTGTGACCCCAAAGCCTTATAATTGAAGTGCATACATCGGCTTCCAAACACCCAATCTCGGTTCACGTTCGTTCCAGGATCAGTGATCGGACTGATATTGAAGTTGTAGGGCTTGAGGGTGTAAGTGGCTGCGGATTGTTAGCTTGCTTGAGAGTCCCCTCCAAGACGGCGGGCCAGGTGCATACCAGTCGTGCTGTTCTCATGGCAAATGGCCAATCCCACTTGCAAGATTTGGTAGCGCTCAGCAGCTACCTTGGCTTCGAGGTATCGCTCCTGCACGGTTGGTGTCTCGAGCCGTTCACTTGGCGGGAATGCAAGGCCGGACAGTTCAAAATCCATGGCTATGAAACAGCTCGAAGAGATATCATTGAGAATGAAGGGGAGGTAGGCTGGGAACTTTGCTGTCCCAATATCCATTTTGTCCACGAGATGATTGAGATGTCAGATGGAAACAAGTGGAAGGAAGGTATCGGCGGGTTTGTCCTAGGGATCAACCCTCACATGCCCGATTGCTTGTTGGTCCTTTCTCTCGTGATAGGATCAAATCCGTGGATATTGCTCTCTCTTGCGCTTGTGAGAGAAGAACTCAAGTAGATGTGAGGGGAGGAAGTCGGGATGAGGTTGTTTGGCGCGGTCAGGAAGTCGGTTGTAAGAGAGAGACTCAGGTCATTAGACTAGCAGAGTAAGTGAAGTGATGTTGAGAATTGAGTGTATCTGGATCAATTGCTTCTGTGTTGCTGCTTTGAAGACTCGGCTCGTCACATTACATCAAAGATGTCCAGTTGGCAGTCCCGAGGCCGAGATCTGATGCTGCTCTCTTGGGCTCTCGAGTGAAAAGGCGAAAGCCTTTACCACCTGGGCACTTACAACCAATCCGATGGTACCGAGGATGCTGCAGTTCGGACTATCTAGTAGACCTGCAGAATTTCAGCTTGATGGAGCTCAGCTTCGGCCTCTACCTGTCCAAGAAACAACCATACTGTAAATCTACCCTCTCGAGTCAGCTCATAGGTACAGCATATAGGCACGATCATTAGAGTTGCCAAAATGCTACCTCTATGGTCTGGGTGGGGACCGAGTATCTGATAGCATCTCGACGGAAGATGAGACAAGATCTAGTGAGACAAACAAACCCAGCAAATACACAGGCAGTGATACTACGTACTTATTTCCCTTTGTAGTCTTGAACAGCTTCAACAATCGTTCCAAACATGCCCTGTTGACCCTGAGTATAGATCTCACAGGCCAAGTCCCGTGACCGACCCCGGACTTGGAGAATGAGCCGAGGGAAAACGACAGCCGATCGCAATCGGCCCCGAAGCGTTTCAGACTGTGCCTTACTTTCTTCCACAATTCCCCCTCAAACTGCCATTACGCCTATACATTCTGATCTATTGACTCCAATGGCCAACGGATCAATGTCGTCCCAGTCGCAAGCCCGCTCTCCGTCCTCCCCCACAAAGCTGTGCTCCAAGACCTACAAGAAAGCCTCACAGCTCTACCTCACAAGGCGACTTCCGGAGGCCCTTGAGGCCCTCCAACCGATTATCACACCCTCTGTTAGCAAAGACGACACAAATAATGCCGATAATACAACCCCGGTCGCGCCGATCGCCACTGCCGCGAGCACGTGGAGGATCAAGGTGTGGAACCTCTACATTACTCTCCTCAGCGCGATAGTTGATCTTGGCGCAGAGGAGGGGAAGAATCAATTCGGCCTGAAGGAATGGAAGTCAATTGCTTCACAGGTCCGAGACGGTGTAATCTGGGAGACCGTGGTCGGCGTCGGGTATCAGGGCCGCGAGGGTTCGGTGGATGCCGAAGTCGTCTACAACCTGTGGGTAACCCACGCAATCTCTCTTGCCCAAGTCGGTAAACTAACAAAATCATTGCAGTGCTACACTACTCCTTACCCACACTTCCTCACAATCCCTGAATCAACAGCGCCTCGAGACTTATCTCTCCTCATACGGCCAGCCCAACCTCGACCTCACAGACCGCCTACAAGATGCATCCGATGAATATCAGCCCATACGCGCGACAAACGGGGCAGACACGCCCAAGGATCTAACTGCTCGAGTCAAGATCATTGAGCTCTTTACCCTGCACGTCCTCCCCCGCAATGACGAGTGGGAATATGCGACCGAGTTCATCAATCTGAGCGAAGTCCTAGATGAAGAACGCAAAGAGCTCTTCCTACAAACCCTCGAAGGACTAAAGGAAGAAAAAGAGCGGGGCGAGATGCGCGCGGTTGAAATCCAGCGCGCAAAAGACGCAGAGCTGGAGCGGCAACGAGACGAGGAACGTCGCGAAGCCGAAGAAGCCGCCGCGGCTGCAAAGGCACAGTCTAATGGTCACAAACGGAATACCAGCGAGACCGACTTTGGGATTGAAAAGAGTCGCGCGCAAGGTTCACCCAAGAGCAGAGGCAAGGGGTCTGACAGGTCACTGAACGGGAAGTCGAAAACATCGCTCTCGTCTGGCGCCAAAAACGTCAAGAAACAGGACAAGGCCGAACCCCGTGGACGCCAAACCCAGGCGGTGGCCACTGCTTTGCGCAATCTCTTCCGTCACATTGTCCAGACTGTGTCTGGTAACCCAATGTCATTAGTGCGCACACTGCTCTTTTTGATTGGTATATTGATGGCAATGAGCCGACAAGATGTCCGCGATCGGGTCCGACGTGTGACTGATGGTGCTTGGCAGAAAGTCAAGGCCACGGTCGGCATGGGCGTCAAAGTGAGCTATATCTGAGATATAGGCTACGACGTCTACGTATATTACATGGTTGTCATGTAAACTCTTCTTCATGTTCATTTCATGGCTCCCAAGGCCTTTCTTGCATACAAATTTCTTTTGTGAATTGCTCATGTATTCTATGCATACATACCAGATTTCCACCAGGCGTGGTTGACCCTACTCCTCTATTCCGATTATGTTACTAGACAACAATGAACACATCCCCTTACCGGCACATCTCAGTTTCCATTTCGCTCGTTCCACTTGCGATCGAATGCAGTAAGAGATCGTTGGGCTACTTCAGTCAGCATTTCCAATGAGTCTGGTTAAAAATCAGGAGACCTACCCGATGGAACAACATCCAGGGCTTTGACAGAGATATTCAGAGGCTGATTGAGCATATAGACAGCAGCTTGGGCAACATCGTCCGCGAGAAGTGGTCTGCAGGGTGGTTAGAGGATTATTTCGCCTGCCACCTGGACAAAGGCAGCCATGGTCAAGGAAAATGAAACTTACATATACCCATTCAAAAACTCATCGTACTGCGCTTGGTCGTTTCCGACACGCTGGGCGTGGAAATGACCCGCAACAACACCAGGTCTCAGCGCCAGCACTCTGATGTTGGTGCCACACAACTCATTCCGCAATGAATTTGTGAACCCCTCCTGGGCAGCCTTGTTGGAGTGATAGACTGCCTCGCCCGTAAACGGTGGCACCTCTAACCCGGTGACAGATGTCACATTGACGATGGTGCCGGACTTGCGAGAAAGCATGGACCTGTTTAAGACGGAGTGAGTTACGAACATTGGGCCGTTGATGTTCGTGGAATTCATCGTCAGAATCTCCGAAATCTTGAGTTCATGGAATGCCTTCGGGGCGCCAATCGCAAGACCCGCCTAGAAACATTAGCTTGGTGCCGAGATGAGCGCTTGGGTAGTATTGCTGTACGTTGTTGATGAGGATGTCAATGCCGCCTATCTCCTCGACAGACGATTCGACCGCGGCATCGACTTCTTCATAGTTCCCAACATCGGCAGTGCGGTAGATGGCTTTGCTTTGCGGGTATTGGCTGTTCAGCTCGGCTGTGAGTTTGGCGAGTTTGTCCTGTTTTGGTGTTAGGGCGCTCCAGATCAGAGAAGTGTCGGTCAATGTGGGGTGTACCTCTGAGCGGGAGAGTAAGATCAGATTGGCACCTGCTTTGGCGAGCGCTCTTGCTGTTGCCTCGCCAATGCCCATCGAGGCTCCAGTCTGTATCGGTTAGATCTCTACCCGTGGCCATATGCAGGGTGATGAACATACAACCAGTGCAGTTTGTCCGTTGATAGTCATTTTGGGGGTGGATCTAAGATGTTTCCAGGTTTAATATTGCAGGAGAATCCGGGGAACGTCCAAATTTAGGTAGAAGCCTGGAGGTATTTATCAGCGCAACGCAGGTGGAGCTCCAGGGCTGTAGCTTGCGATTATCAATGAGCGCGGGGACTCGAAGAGTTGGACAGGACATCAACACGTCATTTCAAAGTACATGCTGTTCGACCCACTTCAGATATATACTTCGGGAGAGAGGAACGCCCAAACACCACGTCCAACGGTAACATATGTATCGGGTACAAGGGATTCCTATCCAATCCAAAGCTTTGAAGCCTCCAAGTTTGCTAAAACTCATACGGCATTGAAGATGGCTACAATATTTGTCGAAGAAACGGCCCACAAAACAAACATAGTGACACCTGGGCAGAAACCTTGGAATCTGTACCCCTGTCCAATTATCGGAACAGCACAAATACAGAATAGCAAAGCACAGTCACGTCGGTACCCCTCTCACTTTGTCAAGAGAGCTGCAAAAAAATAATGTTGTCAATAACGACGATCCAAAAAAAGACCGACACCTGTGTGATTCGAACACACGCTCCCGAGGGAATTGCCTTAGCAGGGCAACGCGTTAACCACTCCGCCAAAGTGCCTTGGTTGACTGGTTGATCATATCTTGGGTAAATTATATACCAAAAACAATGCCCCGGATTCATGAGTTCGTACCAAGGTTCAGAAACGGGACCAGTTTTGCTCCAGAGGTCGGTAGACACCTGGGTAGCGACCCCCAGAGGCCCCACGCATCGATCCTGGAATTTCTTCTTGCTGTTGTACTCTGGACCATGCCCGCGGGACTCTTGAGTCACTCTTCCGCCCGGCACTGATAGCCACACTACACCCTCTCAGGCACCCTGGCACCCAACTTTGGAACCCGGCTGTCAATCTGCCCGCATCCGCAAGTGTGTCCATCTGGACAAGGCCGATATCTCACAAGCTCACTGTAGCCTGGAGCGATTCTTCCTGTGCTACCATTGTGTCACTGAGGCCTATATGTACCTCACTGTCTATATGAGGGTTTCTATCTGAGGGAAACGCGTTGATACCATTGATGGAGATTCGAGGTAGGAAAATACGAGCTGAAGCATGACAATGTTCCAGGCCCAGTGATATGTCAAGTCAGCTTGCACAGACCAGAGACCCTTAGGAGCCTATAGCCTATCCATCGTAGAGCATAACCAGTGAATGAAGATATGCTCACAAGATTCGATACTATTTGTATGTACGATAGTCTGCTGCCTCCCCTCAAGGCCGATAGCAAATGAATTCCGGTGGCACCTGGGCTGCGTCCTTCATCGTATGCGCACGCAGACAACCCATGAACCACTCCAGCAGAGCCCGACAGTCTCAGAGATCGATGCGAATTGGTTCTCACCAGGTGCTGACTTGTAGTCTCGTTCGAGGGTCATGTCGCTCGGCACTCGCGTGATTTTGGCGACTTCGGTCCGCAATCCGTAGTCCTGAGAGAGGCTATCGCAGTTAGCACCAGAGTCAAGGGAGAAACACTGCCCGAGTGGTTATTAGCAAAAGTTGGATAGGGCCACGCAATGAGACAAAGAAGTGGGCTCTAGCTGTCTGGGTGTGCTGCAGCGTGTTGACCAGGGGAGTTACACAACACTCAGTGCAAATCACGCACTGAGGATGAGCATCACATATGTGTGGAAGCCCCTTAAAAATATCAAGAATGAATGAATGAGACAGTGATGGCTCGCTTGATGCTGGGATTTAGGATGGCATCAGTGTCAATGTGCTTTCATCGCTGGTGGGTGTCATCCACATGGACAAAATTATGCTACAGCAGGAACATGATAACTTGTCGACAAAGATCATCTTTCCTGACTTGGACTTAAACGTATACCATTGAGAAGATATTGACTACTACCTAGACTATATGACATGGTTGTGCTACCCAGGTGTCCCCAAGTATGTTTCCTTTTCACGATTAAGGTTGGGAGCCGCAGTGGAGAGCCGACGCTTATTTTTGTGGTCGCCAATCACCGAGTCCTGTGCCACAGAATGTGGATTTGTGTGGATTTGTGTCCGGCCAATCATAACGTGTAAAATATTCTGCCAAGAATTTCCGCATTTGGTCTATATATCCCCCCCAAATTTTTTTCCTCCCTCACTTTCTTTCTTCCTTTCTCATCTCTCTACCTTCTACTGCTATGGTCTCTCTATTTGGCCCGACACTTGTTGAGTCCCTGACTCCCTGATTGTCCCACTACTCTTGATGGTCCCGTGTCCCATCACATCAACTCTTGACACTTCCATCTCTTCATTGTGTCTTTGCATCATGACATCCCACTTTGGCCTCCCACCTCGATGGTCTCCTACATCGGTGCCCTTCCACCTTGACCCACCTTGACGGCCTTCCACCTCGATGACCTTCCACCTTGACCTACCTCACCCACCTCGATGGTCCTACACCTCGGTGGCCTCCCACCTTCATGACCTTCCACCTTGATGGTCTCACACCTTGACGATCTTCCATCTGGCCTTCATCTGCCATCTGAAATGACTTTGGGTCTTTTACATCTATCATGTCATACAATGGTCTTCGGTCGGCAACATTCCACACAACTTGTGCCACTGTACCGTGGCGGGCTTCGGCTTCAGGTCAATCGGTACAGTGTGCATCGAACCTTGTTCATCAATTGTTCCATTCCTTCAACAATCAGCAGCTGTGTTGTGGCGGGCTACGGCTTCAGGACAATCAACACAGCTTGCATCGAATCTCGCACATCGGTCATCTCAACAATCGGCAGCTGTGTTGTGGCGGGCTTCGGCTTCAGGACAATCAACACAGTTTGCATCGATTTTCTCGCTTCTACTATTCTCAAATGGCTGCTGTGTTGGGGTGGGTCCAGGTTTCAAATGTCAGGTCAATATTTACAATGTGCCGCACCCACCACCATCGTACGTCTACGGACAATGAGAGAAAGGCTAAAAATGCCGATACCTGGAATACATGTCAATGAGATCGTTTTATGTCTAATAGCTGTGTCCAGGCAGCTCCAATTTTATCGTTGGTCAATGATCATCCAAAGGCTTTTGTGGTTTCAGACGTTATGTATTGACCTTGGAATGTATTCAAACCAACCACAACCAAATCCATCTTATTGCTCATCCAACATCATATTCTCCCAGTAGACACTCTTTAAGTAGATGCTCATGGTAATAAGTGCCTAGGTACCCCGGGTTGCTCATCATGCCGCTTTGAATTCCTCCTCTGACAGCAAGATGCTACTTCTCATTTCCCTCACCTACTTCCCAATGCTCTATCCTTCGCCACTGTCCCTCAATCTGAATAGCCCTTGTCTTCCAGCGTTCTCCACGATTATGATCTTTCCTCGTCACCCTACTCACAAAGCATCAAGGAACCGAAATCCTTTCTTCGTCACACCTGAGAGCAACTCGGGAAAATATCCGTTGAGGTCGAACCAGGCTGGTCCGAAACAAACAACGAACATTCGAAATTGAAGATCATGCCATCAATCCCATGCCGTGCAGACCATTAGTGAGTTCAAGGAGACCAAATTCCTAAAGCGGAAGCTCGCTGAACATCCGTGGACCCGTGGACACTAGACTCTTGGCAAGGACTGTTGTTGATCACCGAAAAGCTTCGACCATCTGGGTATCTTTCAGCGTTCAAACCATAGTTATTCCAAAAGGGGCATTCTGCACTTAAATCGCGACTACAAATGGATGAATATCTCACAGGAGTGTACTAGAATTCCGTACAAACGTGCGCAAGGCTGTCGGGCATAGTCCAAAGTTTCTTGGTACCCTAAGTGATGTCGGCTCCGCTCCACTATACTCGACTTGGCAGTTGACTGCGAGCATCTCCAATCAGAGTGAAAATCTTCCAACTCGTCTGTCTTGCCCAAAGCGTGAGCTAGATTGATTAGATTAGATGCACCCGATTCGCTGGCCCTGCGCTGCATATGTGGGACATGTCTCGCTCACGGATATAAAAGGTCCTCGAGCCATATTTTACTGATCAATTCGGTACATATGGCGGACAAGGACGAGATCACCAGCGTGGCCGAGCCGGCCATGGCTGCCAAACATGTTCCTGAATCCAAGGTCGGAGATGTCCTGCAATCCCAGGGAGTCACTCGCATGGAAGCCGTCTACCGCGAGGCCAAGTCGAACCGCACCACCCTGTGGTTAGTCGGAATATCGGTTTTGGTATGCGCTTGGGCATACTCACTCGATTCTTCTACTACTTACAACTACTCCATCGATGCGTCCTCGTATTTCAAGCAGCACTCATCGGTCCTGTCAACCCTGTCGATTGCAACGAGCATTATCAGCGCCGTCAGCAAACCTTTCATCGCCAAGATCTCCGATATCACCTCCCGTCCCTATACATACCTCCTGACACTATTCTTCTATGTCATCGGCTACATCATTGTGGCAAGCTGCAAGAGCATCTCCGCCTATGTCATCGGCGAGGTGTTTGTTTCGATCGGCAGCTCGGGTCTGGACTTGACAAACGATATCATCGTTGCGGATCTGACACCTCTCGAATGGCGCGGCTTTGCGAGCTCCATGCTGTCCACCCCCTTCATCATAAACACTTGGTTTGCGGGAAAGATTGTCGATGCTATCGATAGTAAGGACCAGTGGCGGTGGGGATATGGAATGTTTGCCATAATCATGCCTGCTGCACTGGGCCCGGCTATCGCCACGCTAATCTGGCTGGATCGCAAAGCGAAGAAAGCTGGTATCGTCAACCTTGCCTCATCCAACGCAGCTCGGCGAGCAGCGCGGGAACTGGCCGAGAAAGAAGGCACGGAGGCACCTCGCGGTGCTGTCGTTGCAGCTGCCGCTGACTCTTCCGAGTCATGGCTTCAAAAGCTTCATCGCAACTTGGAAGAGATTGACGCCTTCGGCCTTATACTACTGGGCTTTGGGTGGTCTTTGCTTCTGCTACCTTTCTCATTAAAGACGTACGCTGACAACGGTTGGCGAAACCAGTCACTCATCGCCATGATGATTGTTGGTGGTCTTCTTCTGATAGCTTATGTTGTCTATGAGATCAAGTGGGCTCGTGTTCCCAGTGCTCCTCGTCGGTTGGTGTTCAACAAGACATTCATCATGGCTATCATCATCGATAGTATTTACATGCGTTAGTCTTACCATCTCACTGTTGAACTATCCCACTGACCTTGACTCTAGTTGCCGGACGAATGCGCGGCCTGTATTGGGATTCATACGTCTACGTCGCTAAGCCATGGAGCTACCAAGACTGGGTTTACTATAATAACACTCTGACTCTTGCTCTCTGCATTGCAGGTCCAATGGTCGGACTTCTCCAACGCTGGACACACCGGTACAAAGCCATCCAGATCGCAGGTCTGGCTATCAAGCTCATCGGAATGGGAATCATGCTTGACGGCAATATGGCAACATCCAACACAGCCGCAATGGTAATTTCAATGATCTTGATCGGATTCGGCGGTTCAATGTCCGTCGTTGGCTCCCGGGTTGCATCTCAGGCTTCTGTACCTCACCAGGACGTCGCCCTCGTCATCTCATTATTATCGCTATGGTCGAAAATCGGCAGCGCCATTGGAGCTGCTATCGTTGCCGTCATTTGGGCTGATCAGATGCCCAAACAACTGCGTGAACATCTACCTTCCACGGCTACTAACGCTGATGTGAAGAAGCTTTTCGGTTCTCTCACATCCATTCGAAAGAATTACGCCTTTGATGATCCCATGCGCGTTGGTGCTATTGTCGCTTTCCGTCGTGCACTATACTACTGCGTTGCGCCTGCATTGGGTATCGCTTTCATTCCACTGATTGCCGCCTTTTTCCAGAGTAACTACTTCCTGGGCAAATCACAGAACGCGGTCACAAATGTTGGTAATGATGGGTTACCATTGGAAGAGAAGGATCTGAACCCCGAATTGCCGCCCCCAAAGAACAAAGGGGAAGCTTTCCTGCGCTTCTGGGCTGGACGGTAAGGCGGACTCCGTCATTATAGGTCTTTCAGACCCCGGGGAGCTCGGATGCATTTGGGCGAGCACTCCTTAGCATGGCTTGCTCTACATCAAAACTGGCGAGGCACAGAAGCCAGCAAAAAGTATCTGTATCTTAAGTATTGTTTCATAATTTAATAGTTAGGACTTTGTTTTGGCGGGAGAACTATGCAAATCCAACGGTATCGAGAATGTAAGAAGGCTGTGACCAATACCAGAAAGAATGAGGACCAGAAGATGTTGAGACGCAAATTCCACCCGGCTTCTGAAGATTTCAAACAGTAATGAGCCGATGTCGATGTCCAGGTTGATTTTCGTGGATATCGCCGGTCACCCCAGTCGTCTCCATCTCCACACTACCGGTAAGGTTTTCATCGGTATGCTCCTTTTCCAGAATCTTTGCGTGCCATCTTTTGAAGAGTTGCACAAAGAAGTGCGCCACGCAGATCTGCTCCGTGGTATATAACAGCACCGGCACAGAGGTCTTCGCTTTCGTGAACAAATCCACGGGCTGCCACATTGCGTATAACAGCGGAATGCCGAGGGCTGTGCTCTTCGCCGGGCCACAGAAACAGACGGCGATTGTTTCCTCGGGAGACATGCGTTTGAAGATGGGTTTGGACCAAGGCCGAGAACCGAAGACTTGGGGTGGTCTTGAGCCAAAGAAGCAGACTGCCGTCAAGGTGATGTACAATGCAATGTTGAACAGGACTACGAATACCACACTCTGAGTGGAAAGAGATTGCAAGGCCCCTGTTGCGAAGCACGAAGAGAATGTGCACCTGGCGGCGACGTTAAAACCCGAACTCCCTAGTACCGATCGAATGCACTCACCATATCAACAACAGCATACACACAGTAGCCAGCTTGGGGAGCTTGGTCTTCAGAAGCACGGCCGCAGTACGGTCAGGCCAAGTCCATCTGACCAGCTGTCCCACAAACAGCGGCAGCAAGACACTGAGCCCCAGCTGCTGAAACACTTCTTTATACATGATCCCCAGACTACCGCCCCCATACCGCCACGGGTCGAACGCGGCATCTTTGGGAATCAACGCAACAGTCCAAGCAGCCGTCACAAAAGGCCCAAGAACATTTGCCAGCAGCACCTCCACCAAAGCCGCCGCATCGTCTCCGCCCGCCGCTCTCGTCATGACAACATTGGACGCGATCGTCGTCGGGATACACGCCGTGAAGATATACCCCGCCAGCACCGCGCGATCAATATGTCCCTGCGGATCACCAGCGAGGATAATGTGCACAACAGCCAGCACCAAGGCGGGAATGAACAGGAACGAAATGACCTGGACGACGAGGTGGAGCCGCCAATTCAAAAACTGCGAAAACAGCTTCTGACGCGGGATGCTCAAGCCGGAGATCAGAAAAATGATCGCAATCACCCCGTACATGATACTGTACTCCGAGCGGATCACGCCCCCGTGCTTGGCGACGTTCGGGAAGCAGTACGCCAGGGCGCAGACGATCCCGATCCCGATGAGCAGCCATTGATGCAGGATCAGCGATCCGATACGCTTCAGCAGTGGAGTCAGCTCCATTTTATGTTGGGCGCGGGCATGGGTATTTGGATACCCTCTTGAGTCTGGGGATGAAAGGTCGCGATTGCGCGATCGGCGTTTCTCCGAGGCGGAGATGATAGCGGCTGAAAGATCGTGCGCTTGCACTTCTCACCATGCTTTTTGGCAGACATCTTTAGGCTCTACATTGTTATGTGGATTGTTTGTCAGTTTGTAGAATTCGATTCTTCAATTGTGTCTGCATTTGAAAATCGCCGAAACCGGATACCCCATACTGAGTGCCACCCCGGGGGATGCATGTGAAGGTATCGCAGCTTGCATCTGGCATTTCTGGCATATGATGCCATGGAAATCTTTGGATCATTTCACGAAAACAAAAATATCACGATGAATGACCATGGGCAATGTATGTTGAAGTCGAGATCTAAGATGTGATTGGGTAAAACGTTCAACCGGCACTCCATGGGGTCAAGTGTTCGAGAGTCGAGAACTACAGCCCCGGATTCAAGAGATTCAAGGCGACTTCTGCAGCCCTGGGCTCATCTGACTCAGAGCCAAGTCCCATGACCCAGCTATCCTTTGAACCTCGGCTGAGAGGAACGTTGGCGGTGGCCCGAGAACACCCGCAGCAGGTAGCGGTATTCGCTACTTTCCTCCGATGCTGGAACTACCGAACCTGGGGAGAGCATTAGGGGGAAGAGTCTCCGGAGTAATTTAGCTCCCCGGAAAATAGGAGAAAGGACGGGTTTTAAGCGGTTATGCTATACAATTGACCGTAGGGATGTAGAGTAGTCACTATTCTTAATTCTTAATTCTTAATTCTATATCTGAGCCTAATAGAGAATCACAAGCCTAACAAGGAACCTATGACGACAAAACATGTGAAGTCAGATCGTTGGAGATCTGTGAATCATATACCGTAGATGGCGGTGCCGCCCTTGTTCCCGAAGGCCTCGGGATGTTCTGGAGAGGTACCCGGAATAGAGTATTCATGAGATGGAAAAGGATATATAGAAGAGACATCCCTCGGCATTCATCTCTACTTCTTTCAGTCCTTTTCGTCTCGGTTGAATACAGCCCTGGAGTATATACGCTTCCGCTCGTCCAGCTTCCGCTACCCCGTCATAGCTCCCCCACAAACTTTGGCTTTTGCCGCCACCTCGATCCGACATTCATATTCCCCGTCTGCTCGTGTTGAAATTCGAATATATTTCTCCGTCTCTCTGTCCAAGAACCTAAGACTTCCGGGAGTTCAAGAGCCCAAATACATCCAATTGCGCTGGTGATCCCCGGGATTGTATACTTCCGCTTCTCCGCAATTTCGGTTTTCCCTCGCGACTATCGGAACGATCTACGCAATTCGAGTTCCGATATTTCTGGCCATTCGAAGAGTCCCGATTGGAAATCTTGATCCTCTTTCACTCCATATACACACATAGTGAAAATGTCCGCAAAAAATGCCAATGGGAAGCGCACATCGCCCGCGGTCAACCTGATCGGTAGAATAGACCCTGTCTCGGAGATCAGTACAATGGCTAACGATTGAGCAGCTGGTGGTGGTGCCGGAATGATGGAGGCCTTGGTGTGCCATCCTCTGGACACAATCAAAGTCCGCATGCAGCTGTCAAGGAGGGCCACAGCGCCAGGAGTGAGTTCAATGCCAGCCCCGAGAACCGGACACTGTGCTAACCAGCTCGAATAGGCCAAGCCACGCGGGTTCGTGGCCACCGGTGCGCAAATCGTGAAGAAGGAGACCGCTCTAGGTCTGTACAAGGGTCTGGGTGCTGTGCTCGGTGGTATCATCCCCAAGATGGCCATCCGATTCACCTCATACGAGGCATACAAGAGTGCGCTGGCGGATCCAACAACAGGGCAGGTCACTAGCAAAGCCACCTTCCTGGCTGGTCTGGCGGCCGGTGTGACCGAGGCCGTGGCCGTGGTCAACCCCATGGAAGTCGTCAAGATTCGTCTGCAGGCCCAGCACCACAGTCTGGCTGACCCTCTCGACGCCCCCAAGTACCGCAGCGCACCGCACGCGCTCTTCACCGTGATCAAGGAGGAAGGCTTCCGTGTGCTCTACCGCGGTGTCTCCCTCACAGCCCTTCGACAGGGTACCAACCAAGCCGCCAACTTCACCGCATACACGGAATTGAAGGCTGCCCTGCAGCGCTGGCAACCAGAGTACAGCAACAGCCAGTTGCCTTCGTACCAGACCACCTTCATCGGTCTGATCTCCGGTGCCGTGGGTCCCTTCTCCAACGCTCCCATCGATACCATCAAGACTCGCCTGCAGAAGACCCGCGCTGAGCCTGGGCAATCTGCCGTCTCTCGCATCATGGTCATTGCCAAGGATATGTTCAAGACCGAGGGTACCCGCGCTTTCTACAAGGGTATCACTCCTCGTGTGATGCGTGTCGCTCCTGGCCAGGCGGTGACTTTCACCGTGTATGAGTACCTCAAGGGCAAGCTGGAGGCATCAAACTGGGCCTTTGTGGGTGGTAAATTTGAGGAGTGAAGCTGTCAAAACAAGTCGATCTTTTGGAAAACATTGTGATACCTGTCCCAGCATGGTGGGCGTTGCGATTTGTCTTCTTGCGTTGGACTGGGTTTCTTGGTTCAACGTGCTTTCTTTTGTATATATTCTGTGCTTTGCGTTAATCCGTTTGTATACCACTCTGTTGGGCCCTTGGCCTGAAATAGAACTTCAATGGCCGTTTGACTTTGACTCGTGAGTTCTGGTTTTCGAGTGCCAGGGCGCTTGATGCCTGGCTCATTCTTGTAAATCTTCCAACCATATTTTCACGGCTCGTTTGATATTTTTGACCACAGAGTCTGTGGAGGCACCCGGTCGTATTTGGAATCAACAAAAACCAATGTCCTTGATGCCCGGTGTCGGTGGTGTGGTTCCTCTAGGACCTTGTGTGTTGAGGGACAGACCGGGCCCCGACGCTGACACGCCTTCAGCCCCTCATTCACCGCTCCCCCTCACACTGTAAACAACCAACTACCCTGCATCTCACAGTGCGGCATCATGCAGTCCGGTATCACAGGTAAGAGCGTCAGATTCAATTTCAAAAGTGATTGGAGTTAACAAACGTAGTCTCCTCGGAGCTGCAAGATGCTTTCGCCCGCTTCAACTCCGACACCTCCACCTTCTGCTTGCCCGTAACCATCACAGCAGAGACCCTCACACCCTTGACCCCTATCTCCTTCCAAGGCACTCCGTCCGCGGACTCCTTCTTCTCGGCCCTCCCCCAGCTGTCCTCTGTCCTGCAGCCTAAAACACCCATCTACCTGCTTATCCGACGCACCAAGTCCTCCTCGACCTCGCTCATTGCTCTGACTTACATCCCCTCCAATGCCCCCGTGCGAGCGAAGACTCTCTTCGCCTCCACTCGCTCGACTTTGACCCGTGAACTCGGCACGGAGAAGTTCGCTTCCACCGTCTTTGCTACCGAGGAAGACGAGGTTCTGGGCCAAGACGCATGGCGCGAGCGTGATGGCGAGGGTCCTAACGCAATCAGCCGCGAGGACATGATGGGTGAGAAGGAGCGGGAACTCGAGGCTGTGAGGAAGGCCGAGGCCGAGGCGCGCAGCGGTACACCTGGTCGAGACATTGGAATCGGTGGAACTTTTGGTCCTGGTTCCGGCTCCGGAATGCGGGTTTCTATGTCTGTTGATGAGGCTGCTAAGACTGCTCTTAGGGATCTACAGGATGGTGGACTTGTTCAGTTGGTGAGTATCATGGGCGTGCTACATGCACAATATCACATTGAGGTTTGAGGCTAACTTCGCATAGACAATTGACATTCCAACGGAGAAGATCATCTTGGCAGACTCCAAGACCAGTGTCGAACCGAGCGCCGTTGCTTCTCACATCTCGTCCTCCTCCCCACGGTACACCTTCTACCACTACCCCGGATCTGATGTTGTTGTTTTCGTGTACACCTGTCCCAGCGGATCGTCGATCAAGGAGCGCATGCTGCATGCCAGCTCGCGGAGGAACGCCATCACGGTGGCCGAACAGGAGGGCCACAAGATCTTGAAGAAGGTATGTATCGATGTGTGATTGTTGTAATTTTCGGATGCTCACGAACAGCAGATCGAGGCCTCGGGCCCTGACGAGATCACCGATGAGCGTTTGCAAGAGGAAGTCAACCCGCCGCGAGACCAAGGGCCTGCGCGAGGATTCGCCAGACCTCGTCGCCCCGGTCGGTAAATCGCCAAACCAGCAGCCCAGTGAAACCCATGGGCTTCTAGCCCATTTTTGATCTGTAGAAGCTCTCCATTTCTTGTACCGTTTGTAGACCCATAATCATTGCTAGGCGTAGAGCACCGGGCACCCCCCTCCCAGACAAGCCAATCCACCAAGGGAGCCCAGAGTATGATCATTGATTCCTGAAACTTTTCTTCTGGTAGAATAAGTCTGTCCTTGAACTTCCCAGATTGATAATCTTTGGGCATCCATCGCGGTCCTTCTCCAGTCGCGTGCATTCAAAGCAGTAGAAAGCATCACTGATTCCTTCACCACCGCAGACGACACACTTGTTCTGGTAGTTTCCGAAGGAGCACTCATCGCAGATGCGGACGAGGGTGGTAGGGCGCACGTAAGAATCGCACACGGGGCATTTGCCGTCGCATTTGTCACACAGGCGGCCGATGGAAATGCCGGGCTGCTTGCGGCACATGACGAGATCGGGGTGATGGCGAGACATGTTGACTGGGAGTCAGATCTGAGTGGATGGAGATCGAGCTGTGGGAACGAGAAGCTTGGTTTGAAATCGCAGGTGAAGTGAAGAGCTCAGAGATGAAAAGCCGGAGGGAAAGGCGAGAGGTGGTCTGTGCGCTCCCGGTATCTGTTCCTTTCGCGCTCAACCACCCGGGCAAGAACCAAGTCTGACCGGTGTGTTCTGTTGAATTTACATCTTGCTGCTTTCTGGGGTGTGCGGCTACTTGCCATTCCAATCGTTATGGCTGAAGAGTATGTTATCTCCCCGCGTTGAACCATGCAATCAGCAAGTCGAGACAGTGTAGCTAACATTAGTGGTCTGCTCACAGAACACTTGCCTCGGCAGTCACAGTGCCTGAGCAAGAGACTGCGCGCCAATCACCGGAAGTTGCCACAAAGCGACGACAGTCGTCAGTATCAGAATACGATAGCAAACGCCGGCGACTTAGCTCCCAAGGCAACATCTCCCCACAGTCAGAGAGACGGCGCCGATCTTCCCCACCAGCTGCGGGAGGTGACTCGTCTGAACAAAAAGCTGAAAGGCCACGAGGAGGCCGGGAGGAAGATCGCAAGCGTGGTCAACGACTGTTTGGTGGGTTGTTGGGTACTCTTTCCCAGAAGCCGAGCATTGCGGCACAGCGACGCCGCGCCGACATTGAGAAGAAACAACAAGAGAAACTGAAGACACAAGATGTGGAATACGACGAATTGAGGAAGCGAAGGAAAGAAGAACGTGAAGAGCTCCGCAGGAGGCAAGCGCCGCTGTATGAGCGGGAAGCGGTACGTTCGGCTCATGATATTTACATTGTTCACAGCAAGATCGGCATCTGACATTATTCTCAGATGCAAACACGACACTCGAACATGATTGCCATGGCGCATTTCTTCAAAACCCGGGCAGAGCCCGTCTTGGTGAGCCCAGCTTGAGCCCCACGTTCATTGATTACTGCTAACTATTATTAGTATTATAAACCATGGCAACCAAGGCCTGGGGATGATTCTATTATCAGAGAGCAGATTGAAAATGCAGAGGCTGTAGTGGCTCGTGAGGTTGCTGAATTCGAAGCCAAGTACCCACCAGAAGCCTTGGCTCCCAAGATGCCAACACCCGAATCGAAATCAGAACAAGAAGAACCAATTGGAAAGCAACAACCAGATATCCAATCAGACCAACCATCGGCTCCGCAGGAAAACCCTACAGATTCAGAGTCCAAGGTCCAGGCTCAGAGTGCTCTGGACACAGCACGTGTGGAATCTGATCATGGACCTGATCCTCAAAACGATCAAAATCCTGCTGCAAAGGATCGAAACATTCATGAACACCATGAATCCCACAACGATGACGGAGGAGAAGTTGTCGAGGACAACGAGGATACTGTGATTTATTAGCTTGATGATTGTTGACTCTGCGTCAATGTATCGACTTGGGTTCGATTTTTCTCCCCACGGCCCACGACCAATACCCCATTGTTTCTGCTTTCTCTTTTGTGTTTGGAGCTCTATGCCCAGGTGTCCATGTTGGAATCCTATTGATGTGGAACAGCCTGTCTATTGGAATACGGGAATTGTTCATATACTCACTAGTCTGATGTGAGACCTCTTGGTAGGCCACCTGAAGCCAATTTTTTTCTGATTTCGAGCGTGACGCCAGGTGACTCAAGGTCTTTTCTGCTATCCAAGCCATAGCTTCAGTCTATTCTTACTAGGTAAGTAAAAGTAGCCACATTAACTCAAGGACGGTGGAATCAGAGAGATGTGTCTCAACTTCATACTGCCAAGTAGCTAGGGCTCAGATCTGCATACATATGGAGATTTAATGTAGTCCCCAAGAGTGCAATCCATGGATATATCCATGGATCCACTGATATTCGATCGTCGAGAACGAGGCTTTTGGAAGCTGGGCCACGCAAATAAGGTGGATAACTGGCCGAATTGTGTGGAAGGTCTGAATCCGGATTTCATAGTTTCAACGTTTACCAACGTGGGAGAACTCCCAAGTGTTGGTTACTGCGTCCACGTGCAAGGTACGGGGCACGAATGTGCTGAGCTCGGTATTGAAGCCGGTCGATAGCGTCTCCTGTGGAGAAGGTGGGGGTTGCGTGTGGGCTTGATACGTATATACTACCTCGCAGCCCTTGAGCAGCTTCTTGAAGCGGCTCCACAGGCGCTCGCCGCTTTCCAGGAAATCTTCCACGACTTCCTGAGCCCCGACACCCGGGGACGTTGTGTGGCCATGCAACCTTATCTCAAAGGCCAACTCAAGGCTAAACTCAACGTAGGTCAACTTCTGTCGTCGACCAGCGTAGGTCAGCCTTATAACCTTGGAAGGGGCCATGACCAGGCCTGACCTGAGCCAGTAACTAGGATCTATCGTTTCGTTCCGCATGGCTTTCTGGAGGCCCTAGGCCCCCGAGATCACTAGTATGAGTATTGCAGGTTATAGTTTTATATTACATATCATTATATAGATCATTCTAAATCCTCTTCCTAAGGTTTGAAATCACTCCCCCGAAGGGTTACTTTAACAATATCTTACCTTACTTCCTTCTCCTTCATATGAAGCATTCGGTCTCATCTTAATTCAATTTTATCTCTCCACTCCTTTTAAGTCTTCTTCACAATTTGAATCTCTTTTTTATTCTCTATCCCTCTAGATCCATTAAGTTGCCTTCACATCAGAAGAAGCATTTTTCCTCTTCATACATTCCTAAGCCAACATTCACACGTGGGCCTCTTTCATGTTGTGATCCCACTCCAATCAGCTTGGAGTGGTCGTCCGTTTTGCATAGAGCAATCACGGTCCTCAACGAAGAGCACCGCCGGGTGTTTACAACTAGGGCAAGACTAGTTGCTGCATCTCTCAAAGACTTGCCGGCAGCCTTCGACTATGTCATCATTGATCCGCTCGAGTCCTCGCTCGACATCTTTTCAATCATCGAATTATTTCGTTTCACACGTCTTGAGTGGAGCCCACATTGATTTCATCCCAGCCAAACTATCCCCTCATATTCACGATCGATACCCAAAATGGAGGCTGACCACCAATACAACGCGCCTAAACCACGTTCTACGCCATCATCTCCGGTGCTGGGGGCCAACGACAATGGAAATGGTCAGCCAGGCCCAAACGACCAGCTAAACCCCGGACCTTCAGAGCCTCAGTCCAGAAAAAGAATTCGAGTCCAGTGGTGCCCATTCTACAAGAGGCTGGTAGCCCATAAATTGGAGGATTGCTTCCTGAGGAACAACAGACACCGGAAAAATACAAAAAGCTCGCCCGGCCCTGCAGCCAAACACACATCATTGCCTACCGTGCCATCCGTCTATGGTCCCATAAATCGCTACAATGCGCTTTGGGCAGACCAGGAGCCTCCACTTGCTCCTGGAGAGGCAATGCATGCTTTACTCCCAAGTTTCAATGACTGGATGGTCGCACCTAATTCGCCCGCACACATGACTCCCTATCGTTCTGTTTTTACAACCTTCCGCGAACATCATCGACCTATCTCTACGGCAGACGGCAGAGATACCATATGGACTGAAGGGTAGGGTGATGTCGTTCTCAACGTTGGGAACGCCGATAATTCCCAGCTTCATGGTGTCATGACCCTGCGTGAGGTTTGGCTTGTTCCCGATCTCAGCCACAACTTACTTTCCGTCAATGCATTAACATCGGATGGGCTTTCTATTCGATTCGGAAGGGAAAATCTTACAATCTTAGAGCGTGACCCCTCTATTCCTCATGGGGCGGGCAAGGATGTCGCCTATGGACTGGAGGTCGCATATGACTTCGATGGTACATATGCAATCTGGGATATCCAAAGCAAGAGAATTGTTCACTCAAGGAAGATCGTTTTCAAGGAGGTTTCTACCCCAACGATTCTTCCAGAGCCGTCTCGGCATCCGGAAGCCCAGCCATGGCCTGAGGCTGCGAGCCTTCAGCAGCGGATGCAGGTGGTCAACAACTTCGGCTCTATTGAGTTCTTGACAATGGCGCTTTCGACCCATTACCATTGGGAATTCCGGTTCCCTCTCGAAGAGTTAATAAAACATGGATAACACTGCCTCTTCTCTTAGAGAAAATATTCGTGTCACATAGCAACCAACGGGGTCTCATTATCTCCGTGCTAGTATATGAACTCCGTAAGTAGCCCGCTCTAGATTTCTCGCACATAAAATTCATAATGCGATGTGCGTGAAGCTAATGTCTTGGCGCCCCACCGATCAACGTACCGAGGCAAAGACGTGAGGGGGGAATATCTGCACGTTTCAATGCACATCACTATTTTCTGGCGAGAAGACTCTATCGTCTACAGGTGCAGCTGTCATTCTTGACCTCACGTGATATCACTGGCGGTTTCACAGATAACCTCAACGATCAACATCTCAATTCCAACGTTGCACTATATATATTGCGGAGCTAGTTCTTCAGACCCATCAGCCCCTGTCAGGGACCTCGGAACCTCCAATCCCCAATTTTGAACATCCAAGCAACTCAACATGGCGGTCGACAAGATCCAAGTCTCCGGTGATTCCCGTATCGAATACAAGAAAGCCAACCTCAATGGCCGGACTTACTGTATGGGACAAACCCACGACTCCCGAGGTCGAGATCGAGCTAACGGTATCCAGCGTACCTCCTCAGCCAACCTAGTTCAGGACAGTACAAGGCTACAATCTTCCTAGTAAGATCCTAAAACCAAGACGTGAGTCAAGTGCTAAAATTTTCACCAGATCCATGGCTTCCCCGACATCTCCATGGGATGGCGGTATCAAATCCCCATGCTCGTCAATATGGGCCTACGCGTAGTAGCCCCAGATTGTCTCGGATACGGACGAACAGTACAGCCCCCTCCGCAACATCCCAAACCCAGCTCACAAGACCAGGACGCACCGGACGACTTCACGCCCTACTCGCACAAAAGCTGCGCGGCAGATATCAAAGCCCTGGCTACACACCTCGGCGAGCGGACCATCATCCTAGGTGGACATGACTGGTAATTTCGACCCTGCGCATCGAGAACCATACTGACATAGAGTAGGGGTGCTGCTTTCGCCTACCGTATCGCCATGTGGTACCCGGATCTGGTGAGCCATCTGTTCACCGTTTGTGTGCCGTACGCGCGCCCCATGAAAGAAAGCATCTCCCTCGAAAGCTTGGTGCAAAATGCTGCGCCGCATTTCGCGTACCAGATTCAGTTTAAGAATGGGGAGTTGGAGAAGGTGATTAAGTCTAAGGATGAGATTCGCCAATTCCTGCTTGCGCTGTACGGAGGACGTACTGAGGCTGGGGAGGTTGGGTTTGATGCGCACAAGGGTGTGTTGGTGGACAAGATTGGTGGGCTGAAGCCCTCGAAGCTCTTGAGTGAAGAGGTGAGTTAAACGTTTGGGCTTCGGACTGAAGGGCTGCTGTGCTAACTTGATACAGGAGCTGGAGTATTATACGAATGAGTTTGCTAGGAGCGGTGTCCATGGTCCACGTATGTTGGTTTCTTGGTGTTAATGTTCGGTTCTGACTTGTTGCAGTTAATTGGTATCGCACTCGCGAGGTGAATCACAAAGAAGAGCTTGAGATTCTTGATCGACAGATTCAGATTCCGACACTCTTCATCCAGGCTTTGAGAGACCAGGCCCTGCCGCCGCACCTGGGGAAGTCGATGGCTAAGCATATTCCGAATCTTACCCTGAAGCAGATCAATACCTCGCATTGGGCGCTGTGGGAGAAGCCCGAGGAAGTTAATGATATCATCTCGGGCTGGTTGAAGGAGAAAGCCTTTGCTGGAAGAAATGGCAAGCTCTAAATTGAGCTTGAACGAAAGCCGACAGTAAACTTGATTGATTATTGCAGAGTAAATAAAACACAATCAAAATACCGACCTTTGCTTCACAAGAGATACCAAACATAAAAATCCAGCGCCATCACCTGGACATGGTCATTTAATGCTGGAAGACCTTAGTCTCAACACTGCAGCCGACCTTCTCCAAGCGGTCCACATAGTCCTGACCCAAAGTAGCAGGGGTGACGATACCGCCCCGGGAGATCTTCTTGATCTTCTCCTCCTCGTTAAGAATCACCATCGCAGCCTCAGCCATCAAAAGCCCAGTGAAGACGTACATGCTGCCCGCGAAAGAAATCTTACCAAAGACACGCTGCTTCTCAGCATTATCCGCAGTAGCAATAGCATTATACTCGAGACGATCGTTAGTTGATTCCTCGCGACTCGGGCCCGCGCCAGGTGCGAAGACAAACTTCCGCAACAACCACCGCACAGGCGAGAATAGGAGTAGCGTGAGTCCAGCAGCGAAACCAAGGTGCAGTGCAATTCCAACGAGTGCATTACGCACCGACAGGAATTGACGGAAGACGAATTTCTGGCCGTATAGCTCGGGCATGAGACTGCTGCTGCGGTGAACGATGGTGATGTCGGCGATGGCAGATGGGGAAGTAGTGACTGTTCCCAGGTCGCGGATTGCGCGCACACCGAAGACTTTCTCGAGGATGGTCTCGCTAGGCATTTTGTTTGGTGAGGGTGACGCAGACAGCGCGAAGGGGGTCATTGATCTGGATAGCTCGGATACGGGAAGCCAATCAAACATGGTAAGGATGGTGTTCAGAGTACCACCGCTAGGCCCGGAGGATCTGGTGGGTATAGGTTAGATGTGATCAGTTCCGTGGAAGAGTGACATACTTCATCTCCTTGATCGTTCCATCAATCTGGCGGGTTGGGGATGAGAGGTCCTCGCGGACTCGCTTGGCCAGAGACCATGCTAGAACATCGGCTGGGGCACTCTCAACACCAGTGGAGGGGATCATCTGTTGAAATTAGGCGCGAACTAAGAGGATGTTTGGCAATGAAACGAACAATTGCACCGTTTGCCTTGGCAGTCTCGTGGTACTTCTCAATGATCAATTTGATCCATGGGGTCTCTCCAGTCCTGCAAGAATCAAAATTAGCGATGATGCCGAGAGAAAGCATGCACATACATACGCATCGACATAGTGAGTTCCATTCACAGCACATGCCTCGACAACCGGGGTCGAGTACAAGTGGTAAGGGCCCACGCAGTTAATAATGAGCCGCGTCTTCTGGGCTAGTTCGTTGAGTTCACCGGAATTCAGCTGAACTACCAGGACATCTATGTTTCCAATTCAATGAGCACTGCACCATGGAGCTGAAGTATCACAGAATCCGGAGTAGCTACCTGGATCAGCGCGGTCTGGGTTGAGGACCTTGAGCTCCTTAGCAATGGGCTCCATCTTCTGCGCAGACCGACCTGCGATGGCCCATTTCAGATCGGTAGGGAGGTTCTGCACAATGTGCTCCGAGCAGAAACGACCGGTGTAGCCGGTTGGACCGAGCAGCACCAGGTCATATTGGCGGTTAGAAGCCATTGAGTAGTAGTTCCGGATGAGACAGCTTTCGAGATATCGCAAAGGATATGGGTGGTTTCCAGTGGAGAGAGGCGGACTGGGCAGTTCCCAGGCAACTTGAAGCTTTCGAAATTAAGGTGGTACAAGTTGACTTTACAATGCTACTTTTGGCCTCGAGAACATTTATATTCCCTGGTTTGCAGGTTTCATCCATGTAATCACGTGACCGGGTAGATGAGTTTGCCCGACTTCATCTTTGCGTCTACGGGTTTCAGACTCCCCGACGGGCATGTGAGAGATGAAGATGGAGGATCAAAGGGACTTGACAGCAACCTGAATCACAAGGCAGCGACTAGATGGCCCACAATGGGAAATCACAGAAAAAATAAAACATCCACCTTCTCTGCGTCATTTGCGGAGCGAAGTGGATTCAAACGGAAGCCCTTGGCAAACCGTCGAAACCTGAGGCCTCCAGATTTCGCTGCATTAAGGTGCATGACGTAAGCCCACTAGGACCAAAAGGGGTCAGGTGATCGCACTGCGCCAAGAGCCCTAAGCGAGAATCCACAGCACACAGCGCCCTCATTCAAAGCGTCTTTTTTGAACTCCTGTCCAGTACCCATCTTCATCCTCGACACCAGCCAAGATGACGAAGCGCACCAAGAGTATGTTGGACCACGCCTACACTCAATTTACCATTGCTAATTAATTCCTACAGAGGTCGGCATCGCCGGTAAATACGGAACGAGGTATGACAATGCGCCCGCGCGATTTCGTCGAGATCCGAACCATCATTCCGCACGAACAATCGATCTCTAACCCCTCAACAGATACGGTGCTTCTCTGCGTAAGCAGATCAAGAAGATCGAGACTCAGCAGCACGCCCGGTACGTTCATACCACGACGCAAACCCGACAATCGCGAGACTAATAATTCTTCAGTTACACCTGCACCTTCTGCGGTAAGAACACCGTGAAGCGCAAGGCTACCGGTATCTGGGAGTGCCACGGCTGCAACAAGGTCGTTGCCGGCGGTGCCTACGCCGTTTCGTAAGTTCACACCGGAGTGTGACTCGTGATCTGGGAACTCCTCGGACGAGCACCCACCATTAAGGACTCTACTAACCACCACTCGATATAGCACCCCCGCTGCCGCTGCCACCCGTTCCACCATCCGTCGTCTCCGTGAGATTGCTGAGGTTTAAATGGGAGGATGTGGGTTCATTTCTCTTTACGGTTACGTCTGAATACCAAAAATGAATGAAAAAATTCGGGATTACGAATTCTTGTGCACACGCTCTCGCCTCTCCCGTACTTCTCGAACTGGTCTCCAACCTCGCTCTGGTCGCAACCTCTCAACCCTTTCGCCAACTTCCAACTCTCGCCTCTTGTTTGGGTCTGCGACTGGGAAGGTTTTGGACGGATCTTGATCGACAGCCAATGGGATCATGCGCGCGAGTCACGTAGATTGAACACCCGCGCGGGCCACGAATTGGTCATCTGCCCACGAGGTCCTCGCGCTTGGGATTTTCGAAGACTGGACCCGCCAGGATATCATCTCCCAGTCTGAGTCACCTATCTCTATAATCTGTACTTTGGACCTTTCCGCATGGTCCACTTCGCCTGACATCATGGACATCCCGCGATGTTCGTGACTGATTCCAGACCCCTGCCCAGGTGCCTAGATACCCATCTGCAGATTGGTCCAGGTGTCTAGATTCCAGACGCCCACGGGTGATTCGATTCGGAACTGGATCTGGGCGCCTAATGAGGGGTCGCCTATTGGCCTCTTATATCGTAGTAATTATGAGCTGATCGTAGGATGAGCCCTGGAGATAGTCTACTATTATAAATCGGGGGCTGGCATGGACACAGCGGGCCATGCATGTCGGCGCAGTCGTAGGAAAGTCGCTCCAATCCAGGGCATCATTCGCCTCCGTCACGTTCCTGTTTTGCGTTAGTCCGACAATCCGGCCCACCTTCAAAAAGGCCGCTCCACCTTCTTCGCTTCTACACCTTCATGGACTTCGCTTTTGATTATATCCATGTCGGACACCTGTATCGTTTGTTTGGGAGACTTGGGCGAAGGCACGGGCGATCCTCTGGAGCCTCTAGGTGACCTCAACCTCAAGGATGAGGACTCCCAGATCGCTCAGCTACTGCCCTGTGGTCATATCCTACACAATAATTGTTTGAAGCCATGGGTAGAGCGAGCAAACAGTTGCCCCATCTGTCGCCAAAGTTTTAATATGGTGGAGTTGAGTGACCGGCCTGGAGGTAGACGCCCCCTTGGAATTATGACATATCTCGGCCTATAGCGGATGACTGACGATGATCTGATATAGGAGCTGTTGTATCATCTTATGCTGTTCAAGACCGAACACAAACGGCCGACATCGACCCTTCTATGATCATCGAGTACGTGGAGGATGACTTGGCCGACTACCAACCTTGTACGATTTGCGGGCAAGCCGATAACGAAGATGTCCTCCTACTATGTGACGGATGCGACATACCATCCCACCTCTATTGCATCGGACTAGACGAAATCCCACCGGGGGCATGGTATTGCCAACAATGCGAATCACAACGTGCACTGGGGCCTGCGCCCGAGGCACCGCCGGCGCGACCACCTCGATCTGAGCAGCGGACCCAACGAAGCCAGCGGAGCCAGCGGACCCGAGCACAGCAACGACGTCTACAGAATCGCAACCAGACAAACTCGCTCCATTGGGCACGAGTCTGGCAGTCTGTTTGGGACAATCTCAACCTGGATCTGGATTTCCCGTTCGACGACGATCGATCTGCGGAACGGGTGATCCAGCAGCGGCGTCGCGAAGAGGCGAACCAGCGCGAGTTTCAAGCCTGGCAACGTCGCTTCGAAGTTGCCGAAAGACAGGGCGGCGGGAATCGTTTTCGCGATGCAGCACCGCTGTTCGATGTTGAGGCTGCCCGGCCCTCGCGCCCCAGGGTCCCCAGAGTTCCATCGCCAGAGCCTGAATCTCTAGAGGAGATGCGTGCATGGAATGCATTTGAAAGAGCACGAGAAATCGAAAACAACCCTAATGCAGCCCGGAAGCGCAAAGAGCCTACTATGTCGCCATCCCCCGAACCTACCGAGCCTCAGCGCAAGTTGAAACGCCCACGAACTAGAAGGCCGCAAGAGCTCGCTGCCCTGGCACAGCAGAATCAAAATGGTGAATCATCGCGCGCCGGTGCCGCAAGTTCCAGCGCACGGCCAAACGGCGAGAACCCGGCTGGACCGAGCTTCCTCTCATCACTCTTGAAGGAAGTTGAAGACGCTCCTAGTCGGACGAATTCATACGGGCCTTCTGCCTCGACATCTGTCGCACCCACCGACCATCCTTCGCCAGGACCTTCATCTCCATCTATCTCGCCAACCTCCTCCAGCTACTCATCGCCTCTTCTCTCATCGGCCACACCCCCGCCTTTCCCGCGCAGCCGCCCCATCTCCCCTCTCCAACTCTCATCGCCGGCCGAACCACCCTCTCCACCATTCTCCCCCGAACTTCCATTCTCAGTCAGTCCACCGCGCAACCAAGAATCCACCCGCCAATCCGCTCGACCTCGCTCCCGCATCCCTCAACGCTTAAACACCGCCACCTCCCACCCTCACTCCCACTCTCGCTCCCCGGACTCATCTCCAACCCGCGCCGGTCCATCTCTGGCCCTGAAAGCAGACATCCAGAAGATGGTCGGCACAGCACTCAAGCCCCACTACAAGAAGAAGACCATATCGAAAGAGCAATACACCAATATCAACCGCTGCATCTCTCGCATGCTCTACGACCGAGTCGGTGATCGCGAAACCCTCGAGCCGGACGAACGCACCAATCTCGATACCGAGGCTCGACATGAAGTTCAGAATACAATTGACGCGCTGAAGCGGCAGAGCAAAGAGAAACAGAAACAGCGGGCTGCAGATGATAATTAATGACTGTAATCTCGGCATTTGATGGCGTTCCTCTTAGCGATTCGGAATCGGAAACATCGCATTCGATCATTTGTATTGGCGTTTAGCAGATTGCTTTTTTTTTAGCGCAAGAATCTGGGGATTTGTGGCTGGCCTGCTTCTCTTTTGGGATATTGTACCTGAATACTTATAGTGTGAGGCTGTTCTGCTGATCTCTATACACGCTCAACAGTCATCAATCTAGGACAATGGATATAATGACATGTTTGGCAAGTACACCGGGTGCATAAGCATTGGATTGAAATTCCGTAGAGACTTGAAAGAACCAACGAAGCACAAGACGCCAGTGTCCCCGGGTTAGGACTTTGAAAGGTGAAGCTCAGGCCTCAGATATCCGAGCCGTCCAAACAAACTGCCAGAACCCTTAGCCGACTTCCATTTCACATACGAACCCCCGAGAATGAAATTTAAGAGAGGGAATGTTCCATTGGCATGTCTTTCCTCCATATGTCAAGACTCAATATCCTGAAGGCTACTCGTGTTCGCAACTACGTGACAATGACCCCGACAAAACCACTTGTTCTGTTCTTCAGTCCGGTGCGACATGCCATATCAACATACGAGCAGCTGCAGCAAGTAGCCCAAACAGAGGTTGTGACGAGTGAAAGTCGCGAAGAGTTCTTCCATGATCTTGCGACCAAGTACCAGAATGCTTTTGCGATCTACCGGACATCTGCCAGCGGCTCTGTATGTGCTCTTTCGTTTTTAATATCAACGACCTAGAGTGGCGAGAGAGCTGCCAACACACCTTTCAGAATATACTAATGAATTGAATGCAGGTCGCTGGGAAATTTGATTCCGACTTCATCAATCATCTTCCCGCTAGTTGCCAGTATATATGCCACAATGGCGCCGGTAAATGCTTTCCCGCAAAAGATAATCACACCAGAGCTAAAGCCTCACGATTCAGGATATGACCCCATCGACACCGCCGCCTGTACCAAAAGAGGCATCGTTGTTACTAACGCACCCGACCCTGTGACGGATGCCACTGCCGATTTGGCCATCTTCCTCCTCCTAGGGGCCCTCCGCCAACTGAATCCAGCCATTTCCTCACTCCGTGCTGGCAAGTTCAAGCAGGGGGTTAGCTTTGGCCATGATCCCCAGAACAAGACATTGGGGATTCTTGGCATGGGTCGAATTGGCCGAGCAATCAAAGCCCGTTGCGACCCATTCGGTCTCAAGACTATTTACCACAATCGCAACCCACTGCCATCGGACCAAGCTGCAGGGGCTGAATATGTCTCGTTTGAGCAGCTCCTCACCACGAGTGACATTATCAGTGTCAATGTGCCGTTGACCCCGGAGACAAGGCATCTTATTGGCGCGAAGGAGATTGCCATGATGAAACCCGGTGTCGTGATCATCAACACGGCGAGAGGTGCTATTATTGATGAGGCTGCTATGGCTGATGGCCTGGAAAGCGATCACATTGGTGCCGTTGGCCTAGATGTATATGAGGAGGAACCCAAGATTAATGAGAAGCTCTTGAAACAGGCGCGGGCCCTCTTGGTGCCCCATGTGGGAACTCATACCACTGAGACATTGGCCAAGATGGAGTCTTGGGCAATGGAGAATGTGCGGCGCGCAATAACTGGGGAGGAATTGCTATCCCCTGTCCCGGAACACCGACATCTTGTCCAATAGATTGTTTAGAGGTTGAGCATCATCCAGAGGATACTACGAATATGACTCTATATACAGGCTTAAAGGAGCATGGTGAACTTAGTTTCGAATCATTCTTTCCAAAACATGTTGAATGAACTTTCCGGATTTTCTCCTAATATGTCAAAATTGGGAGTTATTTCCACCCGCAGTAATTCGGCTGAGCCCGTAGGCTGAACTTATAGCCGAACCATTTTGCGGGGAACTTATATCAAAGACCATTTGTTCTCGATTATGAGCATGATTCAAACTAAGAATTCTTCTCTTCATCATGGGTAAAATTGCACTTATCGGCGCAGCAGGCCAGATTGGCACCCCTCTCAGCCTCCTCTGCAAATCTGTAGGGATTGACTCAAACCCGAGAGCTTCATAGAAGGAGCCATTTCTAACACAACTTTATGCAGAGTGATCTTTTCGACGAAATATCGCTTTACGACATTGTTCATGTTCCAGGCATTGCGACTGATCTTATGCACATCGATACCAGAGCCAAGGTCAACGGCTATCTCCCTGATGATGGCGGTCTGAAGAAAGCTCTTACCGGCGCGGATATTGTTGTTGTAACTGCTGGCATTGCTCGAAAGCCTGGTATGACAAGAGATGGTGAGTTATGGACATCAGTTGCTATATGATCAGTCTCGGGGCGATATCTAACTACAAAACAATAGATCTATTCAAGGTATCGTTCTCAAAAGCAGCACTTTGTTTGTGCATATCGCATCCATGACAACAATTTATTAATGAAAACTAGACCAATGCCGGGATTATTCGTGACATCTTCGTTGAAGTCGCCGAAACTTGCCCTAATGCGATTTCCTGCGTGGTTACCAATCCGGTGAATTCGACAGTTCCTGTTGCGGCTGAAACTCTGAGAAAGGCGGGTGTTTTTGAACCAACTCGTCTCTTTGGTGTCACAACCCTTGATGTTGTACGAGCTTCGACATTTACTGCACATGCTCTTGGGGGAAATGCCGATCCAAAGCATTATAAGGTACCGGTCATTGGCGGCCACAGCGGCGCAACCATTCTCCCTCTTTATAGCCAGGCCGAACCTGCCGTTGATCTTAGTGATGAGGAACTTGCGCAAGTTATAAACCGTGAGATTCCTGATGGTATATGTGATATTTACATACTGACAGCCTGGGCAGGTGTGCAGTTTGGTGGTGATGAGATCGTGAAGAGTAAGCAGGGAGCTGGGAGTGCCACGACTTGCATGGCATACGCCGGATTCCGTTTTGTCAAGGCTCTTGTGACTGCCCAAGGTGGCCTTCCTGTATCCGAAGAAGCATATATCTATCTTCCAGGTGTCCCCGGAGGGAAGGAAATTGCTACACAGCTCGGCGTGGACTACTTCGCTGTCAAAGTTGAGATTGGTCAAAACGGCGCTTCTAAAGCTCTTCCTCTTGGAAGTCTGTCCGGGGCGGAGCAGAAACTACTTGGGATTGCTTTGAGTGATTTGAAGGCGAATATCGCCACAGGTGTTTCTTTCATGGGCGCATGAAATGCTGTCGGGAGACTCGAGGGTTGGTTACACATGAGAACTTGGTGGAGACTGATGGTAGAAACAAGATCAATCTGAACCCCGTTGTTCGACCTTTGCTCGTTAGTATCTATCTTGATATTTACATATTGGCGCTGTTTGTTCTTGTTTTCTTATCTCCTTTCTGATCTCTTCCCTTCTTCTCCTCTCCCTCCCTCTCTCTCTATGTCGGCCTTGCCTCGAGAGTCTCAGCTCCCAGCTACCAAGAACCCCCTTTTAGTTGTGTGATAGAAGGAAAATATACTTGACTGTCGAATAGAGTACTCTGTTAACAAGAAAAATGGAACCGAAGAGTGTTTGTACTCGGACCAGATGAAAAAATGCGGATGGAATGCCGTAAACTAAAGCTATCCGAATTATATGAAGGTGGATACCCTTAGCGATGAGGGTCTGGTGTTTTGGTTGCTACATAGACAGCTTCGGCAATATTCTGATATGGTATTGATCCCCGGCCGTTCGTTTATTTTTGGAATAGACTTATTTAGTGTTTATGCTCAAGCCACCCCTAAAGCAGCAACTCAGTATCTCGTGGGCCTCTTCATATTCCATGTAAATGGGCCGCTTTTCGAGTGTATCTAATTGACCGTTACTTGGCAAGAGCATTGCCTCTGAATTCTTGGTTCGAGTAGAATCAAAGCCACTTGAGTGTTTCAGGTTTTGGGCCAAGCTCCCGAGCAGGGAATGCCAAGACCTCGCATGAGCTATGTGAAACACTAGACTGATATGACAGCGAGGGTCGGGACCCCACTATAGTAGATCGTTACAGGTTGAATGGGTTCTGAAATGTTGAAACAAACCGCGTTGACGCTTGTGGCTAACTGTGGCTATCATGAGCTTATGGTTCGATGGAATTCAAGTCTTATGGGTCTTGAGAAGGATGCTTAGACCCTCGTTCCTGGTATAGTGAATGGGACCCTCGCAGGTACTTAAACAGGGCTATAGCTTGCGATTTCATTTCTGAATTATCTCATTCTCTATTTTATATCACTTTCTCTCTTTTAATATTTCTTTTTCACTGCCATGCGCAATTTCGTTCTTTTATCTGCCCTGGCGGCAGGCCTTTCTGATGCCTATACTGTCACCGTATCAGACTTCATGATGTTCAAGAACATCGACCCGCTTGTGCTTCCTGGCCAATATACCAGCCACATGCACAGCTTCTTTGGCTCAGATGCCATTACCGTGAACACGACCACTTCAGCTGAGCTGCAAAAGGGCTGTTCCACCACCGAGAACCCAAATGACTTCTCAACATACTGTATCTCTCCCTGATTCCTCACGCCAGAGGCCTTGACTGACAAGTATCAATAGGGGTCCCAACTTTGTATCTGGTTGAAGATGATGGCAAAACCTACACACCTATCAAGCCCATGCGTTTCAGCGCCTACTACGAGCAGCCGGAATCCGCAGAGATTGCCATTCCGCAGAACTTCAAGGACCTCGCAGGAAATGCCTCAGCAACCTCTCAAGCTGACGTCGAGGAAAATGCTGGAATCAGTTGGTTCTGCGAAGGAGATGATTCCGAAGACAAGGACGCAGCAGCTTTCCCAACAAAGACATGCTCCACCCATCTCCAAACTCTTCTTCTGTTCCACGACTGTGTGAACACAGAAACCCTCGAGTCAGCTTACACCGGCAACCCTCGCGTGAACCCAGGATATGGTAGCAACTGGTGCCCCTCGGACATGAAGCGCATTCCTCAACTGCGCTTCTCCATTCGTTACGATCTGCGCAAGCTGCTTCCTGATGGTTGGTCTGGAGCTCCCCCTCTGGCTCTGGCTTGCGGCTCATCCTACTGCTCGCATGGTGACTTCATCAACGGTTGGCTCCCTGAGGCTGCGCAGAAGATGGTTGACGATGCCGGCGCTAAGTACGAGTACTTTGCTGTCGATGGTCCCCTTGGTGATGCGAGTGCTGGGTCTGTCTGCGGCGCTGAGAACGTCCAGGACAGTGATCCCACTCATGGCACTTCTGATTACTTCGAGAGCTTGAAGATGATGGGTAAGACGACCATGAAGGCTCGCAGACATCACAAGCGTCGTCACTAGTCACTTAATAGTGAACTATATTGGCTGCTTTACTCTAGATAGCCAGAGAGAGGTCCACAATAATTCTTGTTGAAAGTTTTAGAAAGCAAGTCTTGGACTGATATATGCCTCAATAAAACAAAATACAATAATGCAAGCTGTGCCCAAATTGTAACAGAGCAAAGAGTTGATTGATGCTCCGAGAAAGGAGAGAGATAATTAAGAGCTAGCAGAGAGCTACAGCACACTAGGTAAGAGATCTATGACACATGGCCATCTCGTCACACCCCCGTAGCTCAGAAGTAGCCTTTGTACCATGAGGAACCCCTCCCTTCAATTGGGTCGATCTCACCCAACCATTTGAGCATAAATCTACCATATTCAAATGATGCCATTGTGCTGATAAGATCCTCGCGGGAGTTTTCTCCCAGACGGGTCTTGGGCAATTCCATCGTGCTCGGAAGACGGGGAATTTGGTAGAGTTGCAAGATGGCCATGGCCACCAGCATGTATGGGCGAATTTCCCATCCATATCATTCGGCCTGTTCGTAACATCCACTAACCCGGAAGATGTAGGATCTGATTGAGTCGTAATCAACCCGTTGAGGTCCCATCAAAGTTCGCCACGACGTAACCCGCGCGGTTAATCCTTCACCACAGAAATGCTTCCTGAGGTTGTCTTTGAAAACATCCGCGAAGTAAGAGTCATTAGCCCCTTAGGTCAGCCTCCAGAAAAGCCCTGGAGACTTAGTTTCATTGGTTTTCCTAACCAGGAATATATCAAACACGAAAAGTAGAACCAATCAGATTCACTGTTGATATCTGTTGTTGGACGGGGACACCTGACGTCGACCAGTCGATGAAGTCCGTTCAGTTCGAGTGCCGCCATAATAGCGTGATGCCAGTCCTCGAAATTCTCGTCTCCCAGCTAAAGAAGCGGCTTGATGGGGTAAAGTTCGATTGAGTCCCTTGCGGGCAGAAAAAAGTCTTGGGCAATTCCTGGCAATTCCGACATGGATGATTCCATAAAACCGTCCCAGATGTCAGCTGCGTTACGCTTAGGCCGGGCGGGAAGATGGTTAGCAGGACTACCCAAACGAGGAAAGCAGCTTCACTTTCTAAAGATAGCGTTGAGAAGGGAAGCAGGAAGGGATATCATAACCTATTGAGAGCGCAGTGGGCTGATTGATGATTCAAGAAAGGAGACAGAGAGAACTGAGAACTAGGAGAGAGCTACACTACACTCGGGACGAGATCCATCGCATATGACCATCGCGTCAAACTTGCATGTTATGCGTTAATGCTGGCAGTTTTTGTCATGCCAATTCCCACTGCGGCTGTTGTTCCTGCATCCACCGGGAGAATCACACCAGTCATCCACCGAGCATGAGGCCCAGCAAGGAAGACTACAGCCCCTGCGCAGTCCCAACCATTTCCTTCGGTTCCCAGGAGACTTCGCTTCTGACGGGCTTCTCTGGCCTCTTCGCTCATGCCGTTCCCATACATCATGGGTGTATAAAGCATCTGCTTTATCGTCAGATGAGAACAATGCGCTCATGAGGACTCAACCTACCCCGGGGCACACACAATTCACCCGAATCCCATCTGGGGAGTGGTGTGCAGCCATGGCACGGGTCATGTTGACGATGGCACCTTTAGCAGTGGGATATAGCAGGTGAGGCGTTCCCCCCTTAAGCCCAGCAACGCTTCCCATGTTCACGATACTTCCTTTGATCTCGCCATCGTTTTTAATCATCTCTGGTATGGCATACTTCGCCATTTGCACCATGCTCGCAACGTTGGTCTCCATACTCTTTGCCCACTGTGCCATATCAACGTCCACCGCAGTGCCAGCTGCACCTCCAATGCCAACGTTGTTAATCAGGATATCCAACCGACCAAAAGTATCAATAGCATAGCGTACTGCTGCTTGACAATCTTCCTCTACCGTGACATCTGCGCGAAACGCAAGTGCTCGACCCCGATGTGGCCTTGAAGACACAAGCTCAACTGTTTTGGTCGCCCATTGCAAGTTCAGGTCGGCGCATATCACGTCGCAGCCATCGTCAGCAAGTAGAATCGAGATTGCTCGTCCGTTTCCAATACCATCACCCAGGCAGCCTGCGCCTGTGACAATAGCAACCTTCCCCGCCAAAGAGCGGGACGGGGGATCGGAGGGAATGCCGGGATCCATAGCTGCAGGATCGGTAATGAGTTTCCGCCATCTGCGGACACGGTGGCATATCTATAGTCTCCAATTTCAGATTGACAGTCTATTTATCACGTGGGGGGTTAACTGATGCTCTGCGTTACCCGGTCGGTAGCCGAGCCGAGGCCGGTGGGGTAGTGTTGATCCAACACGCAAGACTTGCGTCTATCAATGCACCCAACTTGTACAAAAATGGCCGATTTTTCTGAATACACTGGCCCCAGCGCTGAATGGCTGGCCCTGGAGGCTACGCTACCCGCAATGCCCACAGACCTGTCAGTGGCACAGATGAAGGAGATGCTGAACAAAAGCCGCGAGGAGTCTGCTGCACAAGATATGATTGACCAGGGACTCAGCTCTGTGGTTCAGATGCACGACCACACCATCACGGCGCGGGATGGCGCCGTGCTTGAAGCGCGTACCTATCGCCCCGCCGGCGTTCCCATCTCCGAGCATCTACCTGTTTTCTTTTATGGCCATGGTGGTGGTTTCGTGTTCGGGACATTGGCGTCAGAGGATGCGACATGTTCTCGTATTGTCTCGTCGCGCGCCAAGAATAACACACCTGTCGTGGTGTTCAACCTAAACTACCGACACACCCCTGAGCATAAGTACCCCGTTGCTTGGAACGATTTCGAAGATGCTTTTGTCTGGCTACATGAGCACATCGCTGAGATCGGGGGTATAAGCGATCAGGTGGTTGTGGGAGGCACTTCTGCCGGTGGGTGTCTCAGCGCATCGTTGACACTGATGCAATTGCGCGGAGAGAACGAGCGTTTAGCAGCCTGCCCAAAGATCGCAGGCCAAATCCTGATGATCCCTGTGCTGGTACAGTGGGATCACTATGCACCTCGACAGGAGTTGCTCAAGAGCCCCGAGCTCTCCAGCTATGTGCAGTGTGCCCAGGCGCCTGTCTTGCCTCTCGAGCGTATGCGGCTCTTTGACAGTCTGCTCGATGTTCCAAAGGCCGAGAAAGGAACCGGAGATCTTCGAATTAACCCTGGCAATGTGACTGCTGAGGATGTCAAGAACTTGCCTCCCACTACCCTCGGGATCGCTGGAAATGACCCACTGAGAGACGAGGGCCTGTTCTATGGAAAACATCTCGCTGAAAATGGGTAAGTTCGCCCCAGAACCTGATTTTGTCTACTTCTCTGATCCCTTCTAGGGTTCCTACCAACGTGCATGTCTTCCCCGGTGTGCCTCATAGTTTCCGGCGGTGGGGAGAAAAGCTCCCTGGCAGCAAAAGGTGGGACCAGCTTATGAGCGAGGGCACTTCATGGGCTCTTTCCAAGCCTGCAGCCGGCCCCTTTGAGATCCACTCAGAAGATATTTAGACGTCAGAGGCTTGGGACGAGGATAAAGCCGGGGTATCGAATATAGCAGCCCAGTAAAGAGCCTCCGATATTGCAGTAAAAGGTAGGAGTATCAGCCATAGAACTTTCAAGCACATAGGCCTGGGCCAGGAGACCCAGATAGTCAAGTTCAATAAGCCGTAACCTTAGAAGTCGAATGAAGTTGACCACATACTAAATCGAACGGCCCGAATCCCACAGGCAATTCACCGCTCGCGGACCCGCAACACCGATTGTCCGATCTGGCAGTCAGGACTGACGACAGACCTCATCAATTGTCTTTGTATTTCTCTATTGCCTCCATGCAATGTAATTCTTACTCGCCCTTGAAGATCCCGCATTGATACAACAAGGGCGGGCCCCTCTTCGCCTCAACCCACACCTGCGCATTGCACCTCACTTTGCGCCCAATCCCAAGTCGCCAGAACCCTGTCGCCAGGGCCGTCGATTCCCTTTCGCGATATCAAAGTGCTTCTGTGACCCCTAAAACTACACGCCTGTCAATATGCCTTCTTCAACCTCCGCAAACGGAGTCTCCTCTACTCCCGACGCCCTCGAGTCCGACCTCCTCGTCAAGCTGTCCGCCAGTTGTGCGCTCGAAGACCTACAAGAGAATCTCCTCGGATCGCTGCACCGCCTGGGCTGGACCGAGAAGGTGACCACCCTTGCAGCCGAACTCCTCCGCGCCGGCCGCTGTGAGACTTTCGATGAAGTACTAGCTGCAGTCCTTGCCTCCGCCGAGGGTCGACACCACCCCGCCCTAGGTTCAAAAGCAGCAAACGGCGAGTCAGCCTCAAACGGGTCGAAAGAAATCAACGGGACGAAAAAAATCAAAGATACTCCATACGATCCCCTCAAATACATCGAAGAGGTCAATGTGCGCATTCCAGAGCCAGTCGTTGAAGAGGGTGTTCGTGGATTAAAAGACATCTTGCGCGAAGTGGCTGACCTGGAGGGTGAAAGTACGCCGAATGGAGAAAAGAAATAATGACCTTGGGCGCCGAGTATCATTTGACGTGATCATGCATTTCTGGCTTTGGTTGCATGGAGCACAGCTTGATTCTGGCTCATTTTTCGCCCACAATCGGGGTTGGCACATAGGCCGACGGGCGTTTTGCATCGCATAGACAGTTTTAAAAAAATAAAATGGTGCTCCGTGAGCTCCTTATCGAACGTCCGTTCCTGCTGATCTCTACCCAGTTCTGGTTTGTATCGACTAATCTTTACTTGATGACGCAGTGGAGAGGGCCCTGCAGGACCTTGGAAAGTATCTTGTCCGGTATTATATTTGATTATATCCATCCATAGAGTCATAGCTACAAGGCGCTAGGCGAGGGGCACATTGATATCAAGACACAGTGATGTAAGTGTAGCTGATGTCCTCACCTCCAATACACAGATCTGAGAATTCCGAAGTACATTTGGTGTAAACCTTGGGATTCACTATCATTGGTGTTTCGAATCGGTGGCTGTATACTCCGGACATTGAGCCTCCCTTCCCGATCCAGCTTCCCAGATTATCTAGAACTATACACCTGGGCACCCCTGTTTGTCTGACATGATTCCTTTGCCATATTGAGCTTCTACCTAGATGTTGATATCATACTGTACTATACTAGTACTCATAGACATAGTCAAGGTGGTCAGGTTTCCACTATTCCGTGGATGTTGGACATTGCGTCCAGTACTGTATGCCCACACAGCTTGATGTGACAGCTCTAGCGGGGTCTGTCAAGTTCTGTGGAGCGACGAGATTTAAGATTACAGACTCCCGGCCCGGGAAACCTTCGAAGTCCAGGCCTCGTCACGTGTTGCCAGCGCTTTCGCCTATTCCAAGCGCTCTGCTGTTTTGTTTGCATTTCAGATTTCACGTTGATGATCTTCGTCTTTCTGCCACGTTCTGCCGTGACAGTGAAGAACCTCCCCGCTCGCCAGCCTTGTTGACTCCCGCCCCCTCATCGAAAAGGAGTCCCACCTCGCGCAACATCGATCCGATCCCAGGTTATCTCATTATAGACCCTTTGGGCCCATGGTTGTCGGACTGCAAAGACTCGGTTTTGTCTTGCTGCCCGCGTTTGAGAAGGGGGAGCAATCGGCGCATTACGGCCGATCCTCATTTTGTTTGCCTTGACTAGCCCCCTCAACCTGGTGGGCGGCGCCTGCGCATCTCGCATCCAAATTTCTCGGGGAATATTACATTGTCGCCGAGCATTTGGAACATGTCCCTTCACACTTCTTACCACGCCGACTCCGACGCGGACGATGAATACGAACGCAGCGTGATCACCTCGCCGCACCTTCAGATCGATTCGGAATCCTCCCCCACAGACTCCGATATTCATTCCTCGGAGCACACCCCCACCAAATTTGGACCGATGGACCCCCCGCGCTCTCCCCGAGCGCTGATAACGGAATGGGGAGTGGATGAATGCAAGGAGTTCCTGACGTCATTGGGGTTGTTACAGTATCATGGCACATTCCGAGGTAAGCGCAATCTTCGAGGACCACCCATGCGTGGCGCTGACTTGTCGCGATTTGACAGAAAACGGAATTGTTGGCGAGGCACTCATTGCCTTGAAGCATGACGAGTTAAAAGAAATGGGCATCAACAGCGTTGGCCACCGATTGACCATCCTCAAAAGCGTATATGAAATCAAAGTCAAGCAGGATGTCCCCTTGGACGCGGACCATTATATTCCTCTTTGTATGCCACCAGATCTCTGATTTCGAGCAGCACACTGACGTCATAATCGCAGCTGCGGATCAAAGCATGAATGAGACGGCAACCCAAGAGGATCTTGCCCGTCTGATCAAATCAATTCAGCTGCGAGATGAAAAGCTCATGCTGGTGGAAACGGAGCTGCGCCGGATCACAGACGATTATCGTCGGTTGCGGGAAGAAATTTTGCCAGTGATCAAGATAGCCAAAGATCGGTCACATCCGTTACCTCCGGCATCGTCAGGAGGACCTCCTTCAGAAAATTGGCACGACAGCACGGCAACACTTACATCGCCTTCTCAGCTTAATATCAGCAACAACGACACCTCTACATCGAAGATTGCGCGCGCTTTCTCCAAGCGCATGCATCCCAGCGGTGCTACCCCCAAGAACAATTCGCCAACCCATATTCCACCTATGATTCACGAAGGAAGATCCCACCATGACAACTTAAATCCCTCGTCGGGTTCATTCGCCGCGACGTCTCATCTGACATCCCTGAATGGAGGATCCCAATTATCTCCCGGGATTCCCTCGCCAACATCACCCCACACACATCATGCCCATCCTCAGACCCTCAACCCAAGATCCTATACCCAGCCAAGCTCCGGCGCAAATCGCAACACGGCATATGATTATGCCGAACAGACCCCGACAATTCATTCCAGGGACCGCCTGACTCCGAGCCAACTTCCATCGTCCCGCGCCGAGACTCCATCCACCGGATCACGCCTTGACCCACGGAATGACCCACGGTCCGAATCCAGGTCCGAATCTCGGGCGGGTGGAGGTGGCAGTGAGAATCCAAGTAGCGTGGAAATCTTTAAGTCTTTCCGAGTGTCCTGGGAAGATCCTTGTTACAAGGTCCTTCCCGCAGCGCTTAAGAAATACAACATCAATTCCGATTGGAAGAACTACGCCCTCTACATTGTTTATGGCGACCAAGAGCGGTGCTTGGAATTGCAAGAAAAGCCTCTCCTTCTATTCAAACAGCTCGAGAAGGAGGGACGAAAGCCCATGTTCATGTTGCGCAAGATCCACATGGATAACCCTGCGGGCACCCCGGGGCCTGTTGCCTCTGCCCCCAACAGCGCTGGCTTTGAGGGTGGTCGGCAAGGGCAAATCAATTTGCCCGGTGGTGTACTGTGATGAAGCACTGTCCACCACCCCTCTTTTAAACACTCGTGTCTGGCTTGAGATACCCGGTGACTTTGACTGCCTCTTGGCTCACCTTTTCCTTCTGTTGCATTTTGGCTTTGTGGGAGTGCATTTTTCTCTGGTGTTGCCAGCTTTGTCGGTGTTTTGTGTTCTTGGGAGTCCGGTATACCATCTCCAGGGAATGACTTTGTAAGAATGACTTTGGCGTTTCTGCTTCACTTGACGTGTTTCATGCTCCCCACACGTAAATCTTCCATGCTGCATCTGCATCAGCCTTTTCCTTTCCCCAGAAATTTTTTACCATCATTGGGCCGTGGACCAATGTGCTACTAGCATAGTACATACAAAACTTGAAATTTCAATGTCTTTGATTGACTCTTCTGATATTCTCATGAAAATGGGTAGAATCCGAGGACATTGCTTGCTTGAATTGTCCCGGGGTGTCCCGGGGGATGAGCAGTACAATGGATACCCCAAGCTGCTATGAGGCTACTGCGATATACTAAGATTGACTATGAAAGAGCCTCCCGGCTCAACAGAACGACCTCGGGAGCATTGGCCAAAAATCCCCATAGATGCTTATCATCACGTGCGATCGTGTCACGGACGCGTTTGATGGCCCTCACTTTTGAATTTCCAATCAACAGCACGCTCGGCACTGAACACTGACTATCAATGAGTTGGGATCGTGTCATTCAGGACTCCGATGAGGACGAGCCCATCGAGGGGGATACCGTCCCCTCGGTAGTCGCCCCAAACCAACATTTCGAGCCCGTTATGCAGCAACACCATGATCATGTCCCCGCCGAACCCACTACCTACAATGCAAACGAACATGGCTCTGCGCCTGGAGAAAACCAACTCCCACAATTCAATGTCAATTTCGATGACTTCCTGCAATCGCAAGAAAGACACAATGCAGCGCAGTCGTCATCTCAACAACGGCGCGAGGAGCGGTGGATTCCCAGCACCGAGGGCGCGAGTGGATCGGCTGGTACGTTGTGACAAGAGCGCATTGGCAACAAAGGGGACTGTTTGAACCTTGGCTTATACTGAATGCGCAGATCCCTCAGGCGCAATGATGCACGAAATTGAAGATGCGCAGAGAAGACTCCTCGACGACAACGCTTCCAGCGCAGGCCAACAACTTCCGTCGGTCGGGGCTTCATTTTCAGCCGAATCAATCCAATCTGCTCCTTTTCCTACGATACCAAGCTCTCACTCTTATCAGATGGGTCCACCAGATGGTGAACATTTCCCTTACTACCAAGCACCCTATTCTGCGTCTATCAACGGGTACCAGGCTTTGCCGCCAAAACAAGCAGGTGTATATGACCCGTATCAACCAAATACGACTAATCTCAATGCACCGCACCCAAATGACGTCCCTTACCAACCCACGGCACCATGGACGGAATATCAGCAAGCAGGGTTGAACCCACCCCAGGTAATCCTAAACCCTCGATCGCAGCAATCGTTCCCTCATTCCCCGCATGATACCGAACCCATGTCATCTGTTGCGTCCATGCAAGCCACGGGATCAAAACCCAGTACTATTGGCATCAATCTCATCTCGCCACAACAGTCGCAAACCAGCGCACAAGACGAACTCGCCTTGCCCGTTGCACAGCCAATCGCCCAGCCACCTACAACTACCGAGGCTCCCGCCCCAAAGAAAAAGCGAGGGCGACCCAAGAAACAAGCTGTACCAGTAAACGACGAGGACGACGAGCTAGCCAACTCTCGGGACCATGAGTTCAAAACCCTTGGCGTAAATGGTGCGATTGATCCATCCGATAGTGAATACTCTACGGAAAACGACACCCCAGCCTCGAGTGGCGTCTCCGATGAGACTGACGAAGAAGACACAGGAACAGCCAAGGCCGGCAAATCGGAATCCCAGGACTCGAAAAAGAAGAAACCAAAGAAGGCCAAATCGGCAGCTGCCCCTGCTCCTGGTTCGGGAGCGGACGACGTTATCTGGATTGATACACAACCCATCGATCCCCCGCCTGTTATTGAGAACAACCAGAACCAGAAACCAGAGCCCACCAAACATGACACGAGCTCTGCAATTCCAGCCACACACCCTTCCGAGCCCCTTCAGACTGTCCAGCCAGCAATCACCGCAGCACCCGAGCAAACGACTCAACCCACCGACGAAAAGCCAGCGCCGAAAAAGCGTGGACGCAAGAGAAAACAACCCATCGAGCAAGAAGCATCCAAGCCAGCGGATACACCGGAGCCCGTCAAAGCTGACACCCAACCACCCAACCCAAAGCCTGCTGCTGTCGTCGGTAAAAGTCCCACGCCAGTGCCAGTGACCAATGCCCAGCCCGACACGCCAGCTCAAGAGCTAAGCGTGGCCACTGTCACTGCTCCAGCCTCGGCTCCTCCGACTACTACCTCTGCAGCCGAACCTCAAACTCCATCAAAACCTGATGCCGGATCTGTCAATACACCCAAGAACACAGGCAACGGTCCTGCGAGACACAGCCCCATCTCGGCGCGGGGTGGAGTCCCTTACCGGGTGGGACTGAGCAAGCGGGCGAGGATCGCGCCGCTGTTGAAGATAGTTCGGAAGTAGGATGATTCACATCTATGCTTCGACTTTCTGGCGATCACGTTCATTCCTTGTCTTTGAATTACTCTTTTCTCTTCGACTTTGTATGGTTTATGGGTCACGGTCATTTTGCTTTTGTCGCTATCATTATACCCCTCGAGAGTGCTCTCGGCGCGCTGATTTCTTTGCTTTTGCTTCCAAGTTCTTGCATATTATTGATTTGCATTGGTGTCTGCACACTTGTTCCTGGCACTTCTTTATCCCGTGCTTCATTCTTAGGTCCAATTATACGATATGATGCTGTCACCTGGAAGAATTTGGTAAGAGATCTTGTCAGTTAACCTACATGTCAGAAACGATATTACCATGTTGAGCTTGAAATAAGTACCTAGGTATACCCAATTGTGTAGATTATACAAGCAAGTATTATCCATTACAGTAGAAGACCGCATGGGCTTTTAAGAAACGATTGCTATTGACTAACGATCTTCGATCAGCCTCCTACCTAACCATGTATACCTTTCTGTCACATTTGCCGTTGCATGCAACTTTTGAAACGAATGATTGTGCTCGTCACAAGTCACGGGATAAGTATAAACGTAATTCCAACAGCAATGGATCCCCATACAAAGGGCCAACATCCTTCATTACATGAGCATGGCAACGATGAAAGCAAGAAACAAGGACGTCATGGCTGCCATGGCTGCCGAGCCAAGCATTCGAATCTCAGCATCCGCCTCTGACTTGGAGCCCTTGACATCAACTCTTGGGTCCCAGGCATCGCCATTTCCGGGAACATCGACAGTGCAATACCCAGCGTCCTTCCGGCAGCCCTTGCCACAGTGATTGCTTGTGTTGCCACAGGCATTTTCACTACTGCAACAGAAACCAAAGGTGGATCCAAGACAGGTATAGTTGGAACCGCAGGATCCGTCCCAGGAGACTGCCTTGTTGGGATCCGCCGAAGCTGGCTTCTTTGGTTTCTCCTTCTGAGTGGGCATGCGGGTGTCTTTGCGGTACCAAAGGGGACGAGGGTCGCGGAGACAGTCTCCAACAGTGATGGCCCGGTACCCCAGTCTCTTGATGGCCTTGAGCATGTGCTCTGTGAGGTTGTGCACCGTCTGTTCATGAGCATCATGGGCAATGACAAGCCAGGACTTTGTGAGTGGGTCACTTTGGAGCACTTGGTGGTCAAAGATATCCTTGGATCGTTGGATCAAGTCGGGACTGTCGTTCTTGTAATCGTCTGTATCAATATCATACAGGATGATATGATACCCAAGTTCACCAAGCTGCTTTCCACACTCCGTGTCGGGGGTGCAACTAGAGTAAGGTGGCCGCATGTAGCTAGGGAAATGACCAAGAATGTTTCGGATAGCGGCTTCGTTCTTCTCCATCTGCTCACTGCGTTGGGAAGGAGTGACCTTGCTGAGGTCCTCGTGGGACCAAGTGTGGCTAGCAACCTGGTGACCACTAGAATGCATCCGCTCAATCACAGAAGCCCAGGGCAAGGTGAGGTCATCAATAGCACCCTTTCCGTTGTTGATGCCCGTGACAAAGAAGGTCGCCTTCGCGTCGTATTTGTCAAGCAGATCGAGCAGATCTCCCGTGTAACGAGTTGGACCGTCGTCAAAAGTCAGCGCCACAGTCCCAGGAATGGCACATGAGCGGATCTGGGTCGGACCGAATGGGACCTGGCCAAGGTGTGGTCGAGCAATCTCCTTGGTAGGAGGACCATAAGGCGATCGATGAGCATCACAGTGGCCGTAATCAATCTTGCAATCCGGAGAGCGGCAGTGTGCCTTGGAAGTGCCACAGAAACCTGAACTCATCAGCAAGTAGGTCATTTACCTACTTCTGAGACGTACCTGCACCAGAGCAGCAAGTGCCGACTGGGCATTTGCCAATCTTGGGACCACAACGGTAGTCAACATTGTTGGGGACATCGCGGGTGTTCAAGGACGTTTGGACAGGTTCGGAAGATTCAAGAGCAATGGTATACACAGGCAAAACGCCCTGGATTCTGGCCAACACACAGGTCGTCAGTGCTATAAGCAAGGCGAATGCAGGATGCAGACGCATGTTGAGAGGTATGAAAGGTATATAGACTGTATGTAATGTTCGATGGGTAAGAAGTGATGCGAAACAGTGAAGATGATTTGAAGAGAGAGGGGAGAGAAGATCAAAGGCAGCAAGTCAGTGGCAGGAGGGATGAGCTAAGTTTCTAGGAAAGCGCGAGATGAGGAAGCTTCGAGTGTATTTGCTTTCTACCCCAAAAAGGAAAGACCCTAGATCTATATGAACAGATCTAGTTTGCATACACCTACATGATGTTTTTCTCGGGAGCCATATGTGGAATTGGACGCGCTAGTAGATTCAGTATCGACGTGGGTATCGTGAGTGCTTTTGCCTTCTTGGGGGTTCGGAATTGACCCAAAAGCGGAATCTTTTCCAGGCAACCCCGGAGAAACCTTGAATTGAGTGTCATGGCGTCGTGGGTTTCATCCATACAGGCTGGGAATGCCATGGAGGGTCCAGTTAGGAAGCTTAGGCATACAGAACAAGCTCCTGGTCCGAGCAACTGTACCGGCAAGTTTTGTTTGCCAAAGCTGGCCAGGATTGGCGGGTGCTTCAGTTGGTCGACGCGATATCCTCCTCCCCGACCGCGGAGAAAACAAAAGGCACAAGGCTATCCAGATGGGGACCGAACTTTCCGGGAGCCGTTCGTGCGATAACGCCGATGGCAGCAATCAAGTGTCGACGCTGGACGAGAGAGATGTTGGAAGAGAGAGTTTTGGTCAAGGTGGCCACGAAGTTGTTGAGCTGGCTTTCGGAGAAGTGAAGCACGAGCGCCGAAATAGCCGTCAATGCGCGCTTCGTCACCACAGTACCAGCCGTGTCATTTCGGATAATGCCCATCACTGAGATTTGAAGCGCATCAAGCTCCCTTTCCTGAATAAGGGGCCCGAAGCAGGTCACGACCTTGATAAGCACATCAATGGCATCGCTGCTGAAGCCGCGAGAAGGGTCTTTTTCCATCATGCCCTTGACTAATGAGCCTCGTCTCCCCGAGGGGGAAGGTGTCGGGCCAGTCAGGCGGGGAATGAGAACATTCGAGACCGCCGAGTATGCTGTGATCACGTTTTGGGGAGCCGGCTGGCCTGCCTGGGGATGGGGGAGGGTGTCAACGATGACGCGAAGGGCCGTATTAGGCACAGAGGTGTCTATTGTCTGGGAAGCAGTCAAGCTAGCCAGCTGCTCGAGAAGGGGGGTGAGGGATTCGGATGGCAACCGCACGGCGAGTGGGCCAAGGCTATTCAATTGAAGAGTTAGACTTCATCGCCAGAGCGAGACAGAGCTAGGGGCGCACCATTTTAGTGCCATGTTCTGCACATCACCATGTTGATCATCCAAAGCCTTGAGCAGCCCATCCGCGAGCTTTGTTGATGTGCCACGATCATGGGCGAGGAAAGCGGAATTTTGATTGTCCAAGATTCCATAGAGATCGTTCAGCGACATGTATCTCAAGTCGGCGTCGGGGTCGTCGAGCTTCGACAACAGTGCCACAATAGCTGCCTGAGTAAGCTGTCGCTCTGCCATGGTGATGAAGCTGGGAATCTCGATTGCAGGGCGTTGAATAAAGCAAGTTTGAAACTATGCTACAGGTGAAGTGATAGCTTCTGATAGCTGAGCGCCGCAACGTGGGGTTGTTGCTGCCTGAGGTATAAGCTTGTTTGCCTGAGGCTGCAAGCTCCGCCCCAACCAATGGCCTTCCAAGTTGGTCACTACGGTTGTTGGACTCTACTTTGTTCTGGTGAACATTTGGAAAACAAAAAGACAACTTGAAAATCTAACGACTGAGTGATTGGGTAATCTCTTGGTCTGGGCATACGCCAAGCTCATTTGACAATTCCTAAGAGGAGTCACTCATTCCAAGTTCCACTGGACTCATGGGGCTGGCTAGCATATGTACCATTTCCTCACGGGAATATATCATCTCGCGAATACACAAGCCTACACGCCAAATAATCATTGTCAGGATCTCAGGTCCAACTCAGATGCAAAAATCGAGGGAACTCACCTAAGATATGCTCTAGGCAGAGCGAGAGCCATAGGCCGAAGCATCAAAATCCAGCGTGATACACGCGTTCTTCTTGAAGGTGTCACTCCCACCATCGGCCCAGAAGTCGGTCCATTGCTGGCCGCCGATACACTTGCCCTCGTTATAGAAGGCGGCTCGCTGACGATGAGCGCCATAGGACAGAACTCGGAAAGATCGAGTTGCAGGAACATTCGAGTCTCGGCAGGTGTTGTCCCATACATTGACTTCATGGGCACTACCAGAGCAGTCTTTGCCAGAGAAAGCACGGATCTTGAATGAAAGAGCCCCAGAGCTCAGACTCAGAAGAGCAAGTGTCTTTGCGAAATGCATGGTGGGCAGAGAGGTAGATGGTTTGAATTGAGGATCTTGGTTGTCTTTGAATGATGAATGATTTCTCTGGCCTCACTGGATGATTTATAGCTCAAGGAGTGGCCAAGCCAAGTACGAGAACTTGAGCGAGCAGGCTGAAATGCTCACACTTCGGGCCAAACTCCGAATACCGTTTCAAATCATCACCATCAGGTGCTCGGATCTGCAGGCCTGTGTCTGTGCTTGTGTTCTCGGCGGCTGCTAGTGGAGCTGCTGAATATGACCACTGAGCACAGCCTGGCCAAATCAGGTCGTATAAGACCCCCAATGACCGACTTAGGAGGATTTGTCATCTCGAAATGTGACCAGGAATACTACCTTGCTCATTCTATACGAGAAGCCAGGAGCCGATCATCCTTGGTTCCGAATGATATAGCGAATCATGCCAACATACTGTGGCCATCGCCGAGGTGCCCTGTCTTCACCGGCACTTTTTCAGGCGTGCTAGCTTCTAGGTATACTCGATTAACCAATTCAAGTCTTTGGCTCGTATGCGGATACATCAAGTGAGGGATTTTATGTTGCAATGTGACTGCTGATGAATCCGTCCCGCCCCCAGGGCTGCTTCTATGCTTAGATCACAGGTCCAAGCCAGGGTTTGATTGCAAATGCTTGCCACACTCCATTCCATCAGCCTTTGAAGGTGAAAAATGAAGTTAAATCTAGCTATGCATATTAGCCGGACCTTTTTCAATTTTCCAAGTATGAAGAGGATAGCCATCGAGAAGTGTATGCCCGGGCGAAAAGTACTGTAGCACGTATCGACAACTCCCGCGCCGCTCTAGTATATTCAACGAATAACAAAGGTCCTCTCATTCTGCCATATGAAAGCAAGGTACGCGCATGCAGGATCACCCGCTGAGCCAAGTCTCAGCCAAGCCCCAATCAAAGGCCGTGGAAAGGAGGATACAGTGATCCAAATTTGATTTCCAAAGTTGATCTGGCTTATTCCTGATCGGGACATATGATGCGCGTGCCGACTACTCTTCCCTAGGAGTTTATACCAAGGCTGGGTGATCGACGTAGTATTGATCGACAAAATACGAGGGCCATGCAAGTAAGCAAGACCCCTTGACAATCATTTCTTGGCGAGCGTTTCCTATACGCACATGCAGATTCAATTTTGCGACGACTAGATAGGTCGATGCTGACGTTTACGACGTCAGGTTTCATCCATGAATGCTGAGCGCTCCAGCGCTGTCGCAACGAATTGCCAAATCCATTCATCCAGAGCTTGGCAGGCCTCCAATGCCAACCTTGGAAGATAACTATATAAGTCGGTTCAGGTACAGGGACAGTTAACATCCATCTCGCATTACAAACTACTCTTGATTTCAAAGGTCCCATTGCTTTTGTGAAATCATGCATCTCGGAAAGACCCTCGCTCTCGCCTGCCTCAGTACCGGGGCTATGTCCTTCAAAGTCCGCGCATTCACGGACAAGGATTGCTCAGGCAATGCAAAGGAAGTCAACATCTGGGACAACACCTGCAGAGGCTCTGGTCTGCCAAAGACACAATCGTTCCGGGTCCTCTCTTACGGAGCTCATCGCCAGCGCGCTGCCTTTTACTCCGATGGTTCTTGCAATGCAGCTGGTAGGGAGTGGGTTGATTACTGGGCGGACGGTGGGAGCAACGTTTTCAAGAAGGGAGATTGTGTCAATCTCGGCTTTGGCGCGTACTCCATGGGCTCTCGATCAGCTTAAGGGTAGAAATGAAGTGAGTGTTCCATCGACTTCTATTCTGTCTATGGAATTATCCAGCCTGAAGCAGTTACTAACTGCATCACAGCAATGGTTCATGGGATCGCCATACTTTTTCACACTCGAGCTTTTCATGCGCGAGGTCCGGAACATTCTGATGGGGCGGATTGGACCTGAATCTATTGTGCCACGGGATCACAGAGATCTTCTAGCATAAACACAGTGCGAATTAAATGATTTGTTGAATTCCTGAAGCCGAAATACAGTATTTCTCGCTTCTAAAACTTGTCCCGATTCAATTACTCCTTGGAAGTATGAGGTGAAAGTAGTAACTTGAAACATACTTTTAGCCCACAACTAAGTGTAATGATAGACTAGTAGTATTGATGATAACCGTTCAAAGGACCCAGGAATAATTCAGACACAACTAGAACTCAATACTTTCTTACTAGTATTGACCGTTGCGCAGAAATCCATGTGGATCTCATTACAATCTTATCAAGATCTGATAAACGCCTGGGATTATTCCGACCTGGCGAGGTTAGTTGTCAGAGTGGATGCGAATGCCAATGCAATTGCAAAAAACCACCGAATAGCGATTGAAGTACAGCCAATTCCTCGCCTCTCCGTCTGTGTAGACAACTTCCAAGGTATAGATCACGGTGGAGCCCATTGCATCATATAGTGCACAGACCCGCGGAAGGAGCTAGGAATCGGTCTTACGACTAGGAACCGGCCACTTGCCAATTCCCCGACCTCACTCACCTATCACACCCTCCATATTCTCTATCCCCCTCTCGCAATTCGTAACATCATGGTTTTTGCCCGCCGTTCCGTCTTCCGCGCTGCGACTGCAGCTCAATCCATTCGCGCAGTTCCCGTTGCGCGCCGATCTGCCCAGCTCCTCGGCCGTCGGTTCAATTCCACCGGTAGCCATGAGACAATCCAAAACTCCAGCGACCTCCCATGGTGAGATATCTAATCCGAATGCAATTGACGATCATCTTCTCACTCTACTTCTTCTATAGGGCACTGGGCTCTGCTGTCCTTACCGGCTCATTGATCTTCTCTCTGTGGCCCTCGGGATCCGCCGGACACCATGATGCTCACGGAGATGCTCACGGAGATGCCCACGGGCACGACCAGGAGGCTGAGCATGGAGAGAAGGCCGAAGACAAGGGAGAGGCTGAGAGTGAGCCTGCCGAGAGCAAGGGCCAGGATTCCGCCGAGGCTGCGCCCAAGGAAGCCACCGAAGAGGAAAAGAAGGACGAGGGTGAAGCCAAGGAGGAGAAGAAGGATGATGAATCCAATGAGAAGAAGGACGAGAAGAAGGACGAGAAGAAGGACGAGAAGAAGGACGAGAAGAAGGACGAGCCCGAGGCGAAGGAAGAGCCTAAGGAGGAGAAGGACGACTCTAAGTCTACCAAGGATGAGTCTGCCGATGAATCCAAGGAGGAGCCCAAGAAGGACGATTCCAAGCAGGAAGAGTCCAAGGAAGAAGCCAAGGGCGAGAAGAGCGACGAGTCGAAGGAGTAATATCACACTACCTGAACCACGCGCCTTGAGTCAACCCTACTCGACCTGCTGCACATTCAGCGAAGACCCATGGATTGATGACCATATTGTTTGTGTATTTATACATCTAGAAGCGAGACGTGGAATACATAATTCATATCTATCAACGTCGCTACTGTTCCAAGCTTACATTTAGACTGGTCTCGTGAGCGAGGCCCTGTGTATGCTGTCCCCTTACATTGCCCGTCGCCCCGAATGGCAGAGGCTCAAGCACGCCATTCAAAAGTTTAACTCGGTAGCCATCCATGACGATATTGCCGGGCTCGGGGAGAGATGGTTTCGTTTTTAAGGGGAAAAAGTACATAGTTATTCAAGACCACTTGATTCATACGCTCGTTAAAAAAACAAGCGCCGGCGCCCGCTCTTCTAAAAGGGCATTCTAGCTGGCGCAGCCAATGCACCGGACCCAGACCCAGCTCAAAATTACATTAACAGCGTATCGACATATCCAAAACCACCATCTGGAAAACTCCTCCGAAATATAGTATGACAGGATGAATCCTCCTTTTTTAAAAACGATGAAAAGCACGTTGGTTTAAGCCTTTCGGCTGCGCGTGCGAGGCCCACGTTGCTCGGGGATGGGTTCTCCGTTGACCAACACCTGGGGAGCGTGGTTCTCCTTGCCCTGGTCAGCGCCAGTGGCAATGGCCTTAGTCTCAACGTTGGTTTCGACGGTTTCCTCTTTCTCTTCTTCTTCTTCTTCGTCATCGCTGCGCTCATCCTTCGCCACGCTGGTGAAGATGTAGTTGGTCAAGATGCGCAGGATCAGGAAGAGCCAAAACAGGTTGACAGCCTGAAGACTGGCAAGCAGGGAGAATGTGATGTACTGACTGATCCAGCACTTGTACTGCTGGGTCTCCCAGTTGAGTTCGAAAGGCCCAACGGTGCGGAATTCCGTCAGGACAGCCCAAAGGATCTTCAAGTTGAGATAATGGCGCAGATAAATCCACCACCCAACGAACATACCAAAGTACGGCGCAGTGATATACGCATCCAGGTAGTTGAGGGTCTTGGACGTCGCCAAGAAGAAATCGGAGATATCGTGAGTAATGTACACCGCGAGACCCATGTGCGTGAAGTGGAAGCGATAGCTCAGTCCGATAAGCGCCAATGTGATGATGTGGTGCCCGACCAGCTCCTTGAAGTCCTTGCGGGGTTTCTCCAGCTGCAGCATGAGAACAATGGCCTGCTGCGCCCAGTAACTCGCTTCGAGCAGATAGTAGGCCTTGAAGACGGCCTCGTGCTCGCGATGAGGGAATCCCTCAAACATCGCCGTCGTGTTGAAGTACCAGATTGTCGAGCGCTTCATCACATAGAGTCCAAGCGGTCCAAACACTCCAAAGTACACCGCAGTGTACATCTGCTCCATGAATCGCGCGGTCTTGCCCTTGCCCCGGATACCGCACCAGACCGCGAACGGGCGGATCATCTGCTGCATGATGAACTCGCGCGTGAACGAAAGTACGATCGTGTAGAAGGCCACAAACGCGATATCCTTTTTGCCTTTTCCGTACATGATTGGCCCGCCGGGGGTCTTGGGACCTTGCGGGTAGGACAGGAAGATGGCGCTGTGCATGGGATTCGAGGGCGTGGGGTTGATAAGGTACAGCCCGACCAGGAACAATGTGATCAGTAATGGCAGAAGCCATGTGTATCGCAGGCAGGTGTCGGCGAAGCGGTGGAGGAGTGATCGAGCACGGCGCCGTTTGGTGGTTTTCGGTTTCGGTATACCATTGAACTGGGGCTGTCAGTTGGGATGTGCGCGATCACGGTAGTTGGGGTGCGTACCTGAGGCTCAATCGGGCTGACTTCGTTCATCGTGGACATCGCCGGCGCACTGGTATCACCTCGGATGTCCACGCCCAAGGCTGAGCTTCCCCGAGGTCGTACCATGGTGAGTGCTCACTGTGTGCTCGTATTCGGGATGGGGATGCAATGAGCTCACGTGCTCCGAGATTTAAAAGTGGGAAAAAGAGAAAATGGAAAGAAGTGACGATGAGGCAAGAGGAAAGGAAAGACCACAACGCTAATCCGGAACGATCGGATGAGAGAAGGTGAAGACGATCTTTTTTTTTTGGCCCAGGGGTTGTCTTCGTTGGCTCCCCACTCCGAGCTATCGGAAAGTCTTGGCGCTCTTTGTGTCGACCTCGGAATACTACTGGTACTTCGTAATCTTTGACGAGTTCGCCCCTTAAATGTTGGGAACGCGGATTTCTTTGTCGTCCGAGAGTGAAACTGGAAATTGGAAGAGAAATGATGTACATCGACTTTGCCTTAACAGACGCGCCAAGAGTATGGGTCTTGCGAACTCCACCTCGGCAGTCCCAATTGCAATTGTTGAAATTGGACTGAACACGAACACGAGGGAGCAAGCAAAATACTATGTACTAGTACAGAGTAGAGCTGACCCAATTGATTGGGCTGATTCTGGTGATGTATTTTAGGGCTGTTCGGCCGGGTTCTACTGGGCGGAGATGATCAATCGATACTCAGGCTTGTCAAGCTTATAGCTTGTTCTATTGGTTGATGGGGAGACCGATACAAATGATGAATAGAATAATGACCTCAATATAACAGGACGAAGAATCAAGAGAGAGCAGAGATGAAAAGTAACAGTAGTACCTAATATACGTGAGTTTGATGTGAGCTGCTGTGTAGACGGCCGCAAACAGCTCCCGAGGTCCAACAAATATATCCAAAAAACATCCACGGGTGGACCCTCTTTCAAATATCCCTGACCGATAATGCAAGACGGAGAATCTCTGCGTTTCTACGCAGTGGGACCCTTTAATTCGAAGGCTGACTTGAAAAGGTGTACATATCCCAATAACCCTCCAGTGCTGGTAGCAAATTGGAGCTCCAGATCTTGAAATCCATGCTTTCTACAAACGCTAACGCACTAGGATCTGCACTAGGGGTTTTCCATGCTTGGAAGCCAGAATTTACACCACAACACTAATTGACGGTAAATTGGCTGCCGTAAATGGCCACCTTGGACGCCGGTTTAAGCTCCCTTTTTACTAAAATCTTAGACGGGCGCTCGGAAGCATTCTCCGCTCATGATCGTATAATACGAACAGCCTCACAACCTTACATATCTTCCCAGAAATCGGTCTGAGACCAGAGATCGATTTGCATGTTTTCCAAAAGAATGGTAATGGTCCTCTCAATCTAATGCCTCCGTTGACCAATGAATATGTCCCTTCCAATCAAGCACGAGAAAAGGGGGATGCATCAATGAAAGCCGAGGAGTGCAGAGACATTGTGAATGAACTCTCCCCGTTCCAATTTTTTATCATCCATGAGGGCTTCGTAGTGCTCAACCTTGTCCTTGACTTTATCATAGGCCACGAGATCGTCTAGCTTGGTACTTATGAATGTTTTCGCTTCCTCTGTGTCCCCATACTTGATATCTTGCTTGTCCCACCAATCAACACCTTTGTGTCTCCGTAAGAGCATGCAAGGGAAACTCGGAGAATCAAAAAAGCCAGCTGAGAGGAGCATATGAAGCCACATGGCACCGGACTCCTCGGACCACTTCATGAGCTCGAAAAGTTTGTCACTTCCTGGCATCTTCGATTCCTCCTCCTCTAACACACACTTGAAAATATCAAGACACTTGAAGTAGCGTTTTGTGACTTTTGGAGCCTCGCCCTCTTCAAAATCCCACTCGTCGTTGACCGGGCGGTCTAAAAGAAGCCACCAAGGAGCTGAGCCAAACAACTGAGCTGGCCCTGCATAACCCACTCAAGATCAACTACCCCGATGATTGTAAGGTCATCTTTACTTCGCACAATCACATTTGCCGGCCCAAAATCATCACAAATGAGTTTAAATGGGCCCTTGTCGTATGCCATATGCGTCAATTCCGGGATCAGAGACTCCAGTATCTTTAGCGAGGCGTATCTTGTTCTGGCACTCCTAGCGCCGGCGATTGAGTTAGGTTGAAATCGTAGTTGCTGCCAATATTGTCCGTTGACATATTGGAAGTACTTTTGGGTAGTGCAGAAGCTTTCTTCGTTGTCATCTATAGTGATGAGCGAAAGTCTTCAACCTAGAAATGGGACGAACCAAATGTATTGACACCTCCTACTCGCAAAATCTCGTGTGCCTTCCAGGTGAGTGGACAACGATGTGGGACATATTTGGTCCTTGGAGTTGGCAAATTACCAATTTCGTTGAAATTGATTTTGAAAAGCTGCAGCATGAATTGCGCCATTTGCTTATACTAGATGAACTCGATATCAGTATCGGAAATATCTTCTTTCAGCAATCTCGAATCCTTTCCTCCAAAAATGGTATTCAGGCAGACACCATCGATGAAATCCATGAAGATGAAAGGACCTAGACCTAAAGGGTTCTCTTGAGCAAGGCCCCAAGCGAAGACCTTTGGGACGGGTATTAAGGTTTCTTTCCGGACGAGGTGAAGAGCCTCAACTTCCATCGCCATTTTCTCGTCTGCATGTTCCGGTGAAATGCTGCTTGCGCGAGGCAAGCGGAGAAACCAAACTTTCCCGTCGTCAAAAATAAGTTTTTGGACAAGGTTATACGACCCATTGAGAAAGCCACCGTCAAGACGACAGGGGAGCTTTTCAGGGTGGAGGCTTGTAGCCCAGTCGCAAAGACGGCCGTCAACCCGAGCCATATTTACCTTATGAACCCATTCCGCTTCTTCTGCCCTGTGAAGCAGGTCGAGGGGTTTATTGTAGTCCATTGCCAAAGGATACTCTTGAAGGTGAAAGGTTAACCAAATAATGATTTCGTTGCTCACAGATAGGTGGGAGCGGTCGCGTTTCAAAGTGCTAACACGGTAACGTGATTTTCTTACAGACCGCTTTTTTTTCTTATTGTTCCTAGGATTGGATTAATGTAGTATATAGAGAAACGATGATAATGATGAATTTTGGTGGTTCATTTACTATGTGGAGTTAGTAGCGTTAGCGAGAGAACGTATAGGTGGGTGTAAAGGTAAGATGGCCCCGGGCTACTGAAGGGTCCCGGAGTTGAGTATCTCTCCTGCCTTTGTTCAAAGTCGATGAACGCACTCATGTCTATAGTTAAAATGACGCCCAGGTCTGAACAGTCTAAGGCGCCTCGGGAGCATAAACCTTCCAAGGTTGGAACCCTCTTCTGATGTCTGAGGACCCGCATGGAACTATACCTAGGTAGATAGTAGTGGCACAATTTGTTTTCGTTCTGGAACGTGTTTCATTAAATTTGCAATTAAGAACAGACCAGACTGTGGTTTTCCACTGTCTGTGATTTTGTTCGAATATATAATTTTTCATATATTAACAGCCAACCTGCCCTTCTCACACTCCACTAAAGCTCCTCGGTATGAGCAGCTGTGCGCTTCTCCGCACCAGCCAGCTTCTCACCAAGCGCCTCGACATCACCAGACTCAGCAGCCACGGTGCGCTTAGTATCGTGGGAGGTCTTCCAAGCAGGAGTACCAATGTAAGGAATACCGTTAGGATCTTCGAAGATCTGCTCAGTCTCTTCGAGGGTCTTGCCAGCGGTTTCGGGGAAGAGGAAGAACACGTGGAGAAGCATGACAGCGAGGAAGACACCGAAAATGATGTATGTCTGCCAACGGATAGTAGCGAAGGCAGTAGGCACGAACAGACCGAGGGCAGTGTTGAAAGCCCAGTTGGAGGAGGTGGCCAAGGCAACAGCCTTACCACGCACACGGAGAGGGTAAAGCTCGGGAGGGTAGACCCAGGAGACAGGACCCCAGGTGGGGGCGTAGGAGGCGACGAACAGGTAAGTACAGGCAATGAGACCCTTGGCGGGGGCACCGCTCAGGCGCATAGACTCCTCGGCCACTCCTCCAATACCACCGGGAACGACTTCACCGTAGCTGGCCATGATACCAGCGTTGGCAAACATCCAGATCATCATGAGGGTTGCACCGATAAGGAGAGTCGGACGACGACCCCATCGGTCAACCCAAATCAAAGCGGGGACAGTCATGACAACGTTGATAATGTATTGGATAGATGATGCAAGCAGAGTAGCGTCGCCCTCGTAGCCAGCCATGCCGAAGACGTAAGTGATGTAGTACATCATGACGTTCATACCTGTCAGTTGAGACCAAATTTGAGTCCAGATACCAGTCATGGTGCGGTGAATCATCTTGGGGTGGAAGAGTTCCATGTATGAGACATCCTTGTTGGCACGCTCAAACTCGCACATGTCACGAATCTCTTGCATCTCTGCGACAACGAATGGGCTGTTGGCATCGCCCTTGCCGTGAACCAGAGCCAGAACAGACTGGCACTCCTCCCATCGGTCGTGGCGGGCCAACCAACGGGGAGACTCGGGCAGAAACATCATTCCAATGAAGAGAAGAACAGCGGGGACCATCTGCACACCCCAGGGAATACGGAAGACAGACTCGCTGTAGTTGTGAGAGGTTGAGCTGTTGCCGTGACCGATGTAAGAGCAACCGAATGAGATGCTGTAGATGTAAATGTCAGTCTCTGCAACCATTCAAAGTCCAAATGAAGAGTGCACGTACTAGTACATGATGAGAATACCCCAGGTGATAGCCCACTGCTGGGAGCCGACGAGACGACCACGCTTGGAAGGTGGTGCAATCTCTGAGATATAGACGGGGACCTGGGCAGATTCGATACCGACGCTGAGACCGTTGATGATACGTCCGGCAATGAGCATACCCATGTTTTGGGAAGCACAAACGATAATGGAACCGATAACCCTGACGATAGGTTGTTAGCTCATGATCATTGAGTATGATTGAAGCCACACGATAACCTACCAAATAATACATCCAACCATAATAGCGTACTTGCGACCAAGACGGTCGGAAATGAATCCAGAAATTAAAGCACCCAGCCATGAACCACCAGGCATAGCAGCAGTGACACCACCCTGAGCCAGGGAACTGAGACCACTGCAGTTATCATCATCGTTGAAAGGAGGGCCATGAGGACCGTGATTAAAGTAACACTTGTATGCCGGCGTGCTGATAATGGCTGACATGGACGAGATATCGAATCCAAACAGCGCACCGCCAACGACGGACACAGCCGTGATGACATAGATGTTCCCCACGACAACCATGGTGAATGATATGGCTCCAAACCGGTGGAAGATGGAGGGGAAAGGAGATACAAAGGGCCCAGGTTAAAGGGAAACCAAGCGTGTTTAAATAAATCTCAACGGGAAAAAAATCTGGCTGCACCTCGGGGGCCGAATGGTAATGCACACACGGAACCCGTACGAGGTAGATTAGGCTCGTCACTTTGCAAACCCACTCCCATGCCGCGTCTGGGATCTCCGAGAAGCCAAATTACTGTATCATATGTAACTCGAGTACGGAGTACACGATAATCAAACCACCTAGGGCTGCGCCAAGACCCTGTTTGCAACCCCAGCTGTGATCGGATCCTATGATTGGTGGATATTGACTTAAGCATATCCACCTACTGGGTACTGATTGGTGGACTCCCCAGAATGGCTTTTGGGATCCGGGGAATCAACCACGAGGGTGACAGCCCTAGGCCGAAGGGGGTCAAGCGGCGTATTGCACCTGAGCTCGGCTTCAGACCGGGTTCGGGAGGAAGAAAAAGTCGGTGGTCTCCCCTGTAATCGGGACGGCAGTGGCGTTTCTGGGCATCTGAGAGTTTCTTCATATTGACCACCAAGCTTCAGAAAGTCGAGTGTATAGATAGAGATCAACGCCTGGAGAAAGAAATGTGGTCCCCCGCTCATCAAGGGGTCCATGTGAGGACTGGCCCTTTTTTTTTCCCGGCCCCCAGATTAACCCACATTTTAATTCCTGGAGACACTAATCATGTAAAAGATACGCTCGGTTCCAGCATTCCCGAACCCTGTTGCGAAACAGGTATTTCCTCTGTTCGCCGTGTCCCGTATTGTAGCCGACTGCTACTCCGGAACACCTGCCTACATGCAATTTACCCGGAGTGTCCACATCGCGTGAAATGAAACGAATGAGACTGCCGCTTTCTAAATGACGACCCGACCAAATTTGCTAGTCCGGGGCCCCGACGACGGCCATTTTCCCTGAACGGGACGGCATACGGCTTCTCGCGACTCCAGTGGCTGGAAGGACCCGAGGTGGACTCGGGTCGCACGATTCGGCCCTTGCCAGACGGTGTGGTTTCTGTGGAACGGAGCTGGCCGATGGAGTCTCTTTTTTCCTTTCCCACCTTTCTCTTTAGCCTGTAAATAAATGTGTTTCCCATTTTCATTCGCTACGCGTTACACTGAAAACCTAGATCAGGCGTGTTTCAGACTTCAAGACCTATTTTGACCCAGTTGTCGGTGTGGTACGGATATTACTTTACCAAACGTTATAATTGATCGCATATCTTCATTTTCCTGGTTGATGTGACATTCCCCGCGTCCGTGGGAAAGATGCGGAGGGCCTGGGGAAGACCAACCCCTTTGCGCTCACCGAAATACCCCAGAAACTTGGGTTTCGACGATGCGGTCTTTCTCCGAAACAACCCCGTATGCACTCCATACTCGAAAGCGATGATCTCTGTCTGTTTCCTATATTGTCTAATTATTATTTGTTCTTTGACTTCCTTGGACAACGCTCAAGCCACTGACATGGGTGGCCGTTGCCTTTTCCCCTTGCCGTTACACGGGCCACTCGACATGCGAGTACCGAGCAAGCATTCAATAAACCCGGCAATTGGCGGAGATGAATTTGGCCAAGAGCACAAGAATAAGGTGGTTGAGGCATTTATTGTCCATGTCTGTCTAAGCTATCGCTTGACGATGGCGCTTAGCCCTGAGCCACTGAGTGGATGTCAGCGTGGGGCCGCTCAGGTGCTGTTATGGTGCTACGAATTAGTAGTTGTGCATTTCCAAGGCTGCTTGAAACTTTTGTAAACATTCCTGATATGTGTCAAGTCTCCGGGGGTCGAAACCTCTCGGTGATTTGTTTACTGATAAATTCACAGTGGAAGTTGCGCGTGTAGCGCTGAAACACCCACGATCAGGTTAAAAAAAAACCATTGCAACTGCATATTCTTGATTGCTCTACGGAGTATTGCATACCTATTATTGCTTTGATCACCAGTTAGTATATGTATACAGTACCGTCGGGGATAAATATTAGATTTACATACAAGCCAAATTATGGTGCGATTCGTGCATACCGCGTGGCAATCGTCGGAAGGCATGTCAGCTTTTCTTTCCCCCCTGAGTGCTCACTCACCCCTTGCCGCTTTTCGCTTAATACAGTGTTTAGGCTGGGTCGAGAATTCTCAGGCGACGGAGTACCTACAGAAGGCATCCGAATCCTGATGATATGGATATACAGCGCTCATGAACGGTCTGTTGGGGGCGAAAACGAGGTACTAGTCGTTTCCAAGCTGTAATAGAGCAGGGACTTTCGGTGATTTCTATAGACAGACACCTGGAAACCTTCATGATCAATACCAAAAAAGCATGCTCCAGCAGCCTAAACTTGAGCATGAGCCCTCAGAACATAACAAGACAGCCTCAATAATATTTTGACTGTTTTGATAAGCACCGGAGGCACAAGCCTCGGTGTTCTAGTGGACGCATAACCTTCCTGTATTGGGTGTGCTCAGGTGGGGTCCACCTCCAGGGCTCTAAGGCGCCTCGAATCCACCGGCGAAAATTCTTCGAGTTTGAGATGCATCCATCGGGAAAGCCACCTAGGCAGGAGGCCTTCTGTTCGAAAATAACGAAAGAGCCTCACATTCTCAATGCAACGAACCTAGATCATTGTACCGTCCTTTTATTTTGTAGTAGAAGTTGTTGTATCGCCGACAAAAATAACAAAAACTGCCACAGTACAATCCATAGTATGTAGACACAGGGACTGTGTAGCAACTATGGATATCTTGTAACTAGGCTGAGACGCGGAGGTTCAAATTGCATTTCTGATTTCAAAGAGTCTCGAAGCTACTACCTAGGTGGGTAACAAGGCTTGCCTGTTCGTGCCCAGGTGGGTTCCCCAGTGCCAGGTTCACCGTGGACCTACCTACATAGGTACTTAGGTAGGTAGGACTCCACAATGCGGAAGATGAGATAAGTACCACGAGATCAAAGCGGTGTTGTCACTATTCAAGATCATCGACGATCCTTTGCAAGTGTCTCTGAGAATCTTACTCTAGCTCTGGTGGGAGATACTGTCGTTGACGACCCACCTACCGATGAATTTATAGAATAGGATCCAAGGTCCCCGACTTGGACAGAAGCTTCAAAAAGTCTAGCTGACCCGGGTCTTGATCCTAGCTTCTTCAATAGTGCCCGCGATCAACTTGATTCCAAGTTCTGAACCTTGACATTGTGTTGCTCGAGATCAATCCTGAAAGTTTGAAACAAGCAGAAAAGAAAATAAGAGAAGATCAAGCAAAATTGAAGTTTAAATCATGAGACATACGTTTTTCTTGGTGAGACTCGTATCCGGAGAGTGAATGAGTGTTTTATCCTCGTAATCTTGTTTGGGGCCGTGAGAGTGCTACTTTTAAACCTATGGCTCTAACCTACCCGTATCTTCTTATAGGCGTGATATCCTGCAAAGAATGAGCGTGAAATGTAGAAAGAGGCTCACTCGCCCCGTTGCCTACTTGCCCTGGTTATTACAGTTGATATGTCATGCTACGTGGTCATGACCCAAGCAAGGCCAGTCTCAATACCACCGCTAAACATCCGGATAAAAAGATCCGGAAGGCATGCAATTAGATCCTTTGAATTTCAGTCATTGTACCACTGGAAGATATCTACTCAGCCCGCAGGAACGATCATCGTGAAACCCCGATGTATGCGTTTGTGCCTGAGTGAAAGCAATCATTGGGGGATGATTGACGGAGGACACCAGCGCATCCACGAGGATTGATGCTCCCCATATCCACTGTAAGGCGGGAAATATTGAGCCAAGTTCAAGGTAAAGCGCATTGTGTCGTAGAATCCCCACCGGAGAAAGAATTCACGGGCTGTAGGTTCCGCACGCACGTACAAGGGGACTTGGGCCATCGCTGCCTGGCGGGTGCAGTTGTCCACGAATCGAGATCCGATTCCTCGGTATCGGTGCCCAGGCTTGACCCAGAGGTATTCGATCTCTAGAGGAGAAACCGTTAGAATTTCTGTAGACTAGAATACTTGCAGGGAATGGCCTTACCAATGTACTTGGATCCCTGCATCAAATCGTCGAGGATCTCCATGTGGTGGCGGGCAGCACTGTAGATAGCCCGCGAAGTGACATCTGTACCCGGGAGCTCACTCCAGTTGGAGTTGCGAGAGAATAGAGAAGGATTCTCGTTTTTCTTTGAATGTGAGCTTTTGCCTGCATCAGGGTCTACGGCTTGACCGGGTCTCTTTGAGCTTACCTGCATGTCGGGCACACGCCCTCTGGTTGGAAACGTGCCATGTTGAGTCCAAGTCTCATTGATAGCGTTGACCCTTGGTTGGACTGGCCTTTCGGCATAGTCGTTGGACGTGGTGCGTTGGGATTGCTTAGGATACTCGGGTGGCTCATATTCCTGGGCTCCTGCTGCAATCTTGGTTTGCTTCAACCCAGGAAACGCTTTGAATTCCTTCTTCAGCTCACCAAGGGAGACTGGAGACTTTGTATTCATTTTGCGAGACTCGTATTCCATCTGCCGGATGTTTGACTCGTTCTCTGCGCTAAGATGCCGCTTGGCGATGCAGAAGGCGACGATCTCTCCGTTTTCATCATTTTTCACGATGGTGCTTGTGGTTGAAAGGTTATTGAAGGCAGAAATCACAGCGCGCTCGCATTGATCCCTTTGTATCTCTTCGCCTGGTCGTTCTCGGAAGATGACATGGCTTACAGCCTGGGAGGCACGGGCTGCGTGGGCGAGTTCGACGACTGCGGGAATCTCGGCTTCCTGGAGATACCAGACGTGATAGGAATGAGACGCCATCTTGAAGGTGGCGGGAGTCTCGATGACCTTTTGAAATCGAGGGTAGTTGTTGATGAGAAAGAGATGAGCTTTTGATGGATCAAGCTGGAGTTTGTCTTGAGAGCTCCACGTCGGTGTGGTTGAAAGTTGGGTAACAGCAAGGACCTCCCGGGGTCTTCGATGTTAGAAAGATATGCTTCGATAGCTGAAGCAACCTTGGAAAAGATGATCAGGCCCGATGGAAGTGGAAAGAAAGAGGGTTGGAACTATGGAAGTGTGTATGAGATAATGGAGTGAAGGCGAAGAATCGAGAAGTGAGAAGTGAGAAGTGAAAAAGACATACCTTGTTATGACTCTACGTCTGCAGCTGCACAATAGAAACACCCGAAGGCCTCTCTTGCTTTGCTTCTCTTGTATTATGACTTGAACTTACCGATTGACGATGTGTGCTCGGCCACAAGGCTATTACCGGAACATGAAACGTGCTATCAAAAGCTCAAATGCTAGCAGAGCGTTATGGTACTTTTCCGATGTGATGTATTGACAGAAACCCAGGATATCTCGATTAGGCCCTCGCAGACAAGGACATGGGTAAGAACGCTATGCTCACACAAAACGCTGATATAAACAACTCTAGCCAGCAGAGTATCTACCGAACCAGTTCCCATTCCGCAACATAAGCCCACGCCATTCCGACGCGTCCAACCTTCTCCTGGAACTCTTGCGCAGTAACTCCACTGGCATCCTTTCGATCACCGAAGCTAGTCAAAACCGCCAACTGCAGCTTCTGACCAGGCGCACCAAGCATACGTGCATCCGGGATATCGACATACCAGAACTCGCCGCCACCAGAGGGGCCCGAGCCCGGCACATGTGTGAAGGGAAGCCTGTCATCCTTGCGACCATCCACACCATGGATCATGAGCAAGAATAGACCGGCATTTTGGATGTGGCTGTGTCGCGAGAGTGTCCAGTGCGGACAGAGGAGACCGAATTGAAAACGCATTGTTCCTGGTGTGCTGACGGACACATGAAGGCCTTGGGGGTAGAAGGTTTTGCGGCCGATGGTGCGCGTATCCGCATCGCTGTAGACCTTGAGACTTTCCACGCCGTTGGGTCGGTCTGGGTCTGTAAGTACGTATTCTTCCCAGGTGAGGTCTGGGCGGCCATCTTCGCGGTAGAAGTGGCGCCTGTTCTCGGGGAAGTGCTTGAGCCCGAACTCTTCGTTCGGGATCGAGAACATGGCTGGCTCAAAGCGTTGCTTGTAGGGTTGGCCTGCGCCTTCGATGGCTCCAGCTCCCCAGCACGAATCGATGAGCTTCCAGCGACCGCCGTCGATCTTGACGGCGTTCCAGGCGTGGTTACCTGCGTATGGAGGGACAGAGGCGCCAGGTCCCAGGGCGACATGCCCGAATCCCTTGCCGTGACCGCCGACTACCACAGCTTCCAGCCCGGCGCGGGTAGCCAATGCTGCAAATAGCCCAGCGTATCCTTCGCAGACCGCCAAACCGGTGGCTAATGTGCTGGCCGGCGTTGAAGGCTTGACACAGTTATTAAAGAAGGCATGAGTATCGTACATGACATTATGGTGGAGCCAGGTAAATATCGCACGTGCCTTGTCCGTGAGAGACGGGAATGGTGCAGTTAGCTCGTTCGCCAACCAACCCATATCTTGCGTGGGAAGTGATGCACGAGGATAGCGAGCCGCATGATTATCGGGTCCTGAGAAGTCTCGGCATACGAGACACTCATCGGACACAGGAGCTGGAGGAGCTGGAGGAGCTGGAGGAGCAGATGGAGCATCCGAGCCATCAAACCGCGGTTTGGTGGCCATGAGTTTGGACAGATCTGGCCGGGTGCCAAGCGGAATAGGCGGTGGTGTTCCATTAGGAGCGGTACTACTTGGTCGTGATGGAAGACTTGGGCTTTTGTTACCAAACCCAAGGCTTCGAGCGTCTTTTATAGTGGAGGCAGATGGCGGTGGTGGCAGTGTTCGCCGGATGGGCAGGCTAGGTGCTGGGGCATGAGTTGCGTCTGGCGTGTCTGCCTGTACGCCAGATGGGCGGCGTGGGGGCAGTTTCGGGCCTGGAGCCTCGTTCTCAGTATCTCGACGAAGAGGCTCGCTAGGTCGTGGTGAGGGCGTTGGCACAGGAGGTGGTTTGGAGCCCGGCAAGTTTAATTTGGAGGTGAATCGAGAAGACAAACCTCCCAAGCTCCTCTTGCTACTGAGCGTGGGTCGCGGGGACGCTTCCACGGGGGCTTCTTTGGGTCGTCGGGGAGGCAGAGAGGGCAATTCGGTCTCACCCCATGCAGGCGCCTTGATGCGATTGCTGCTGGCAGAATTCACCGAGGTCGTCGATCCACCGCGCCCCGCAGTCGCTATCGTCGATGTTGTCGAATGCGAAGCATCGGATGTGGTCGAGTCGAGGGAAGGCCTGTGATTTTGGTCTGTTGGCCTTCGCGGCGGTAGGCTTGGGCGAGCTGGTGGCGGAGGGGGAGGCAGACGGTCTGCCTTGCGCGTGGGCACTGGTGGAGGGGGTTTCTTCTTTGGCTTCACGTCGGGCCTGAGAGTCTCCATTGCAGGTGCCTGCAGGACAGGCCTTTGGGTCCTAACATCTGCAGGCTCATTTCCAATTTGCGATCTGTCCGTCACAGAGCCGATTGAATCGTACGAAGGAGGGTTGTTGGCCGACGCGCTCCGTTCAGGCGTTGGGCGGAGGAATGGCGGTTCAGGTCCTCCCGGTGGTCGGGCCAGCTGCGACTGGTTGAGAGCGGCGATCCGCTGCTGAATTGAATTTAGCTGCGGTTCTTCAGCCATGTCGCGCAACCTTGGTCGGACGTCGAAGATATGTGGCCAGGTGCAGTCGCAGTCACGAATTTTGGTTTCAAGTCCCTCCCTCAGTGGCTTGGCGGGGGCGAAACGTAGCCCCGACGTTTGATGAACGGCCCTAAATATAGATTGTGAGCCCAGGCCGTAATCTGGGACATGTCTGTCAACTATGCACATACAAGCCAGCAGTAAGACCCAGCTGGCGGCCAGGCTCTCAAAGAGTCCTTGAGTCCAATACGTGCCAAGGGAGGCTGGTCCTTCTCCGTGTTGACCATCGGATCTACTTGTTTACGGCCCCACGCCACGATTGAGGGTAAAAGATTGTATTTCCAGCATATCGCCCTCCAGGGTTTGGACTCCTTAACGCCTCAGGGCGGTTTGGAACATGGACAGAAAAGAGAAGACTAGGTACGTTTAGAGGTAAATGAAGGAGAACATGCACCGAAGAAAATGACAAGGAGAAGGGGAGGTAGAGAGACAAGTGTCCGGCCTCGAGACCTCAATCCGCGTGCAGCGCATTCAAAGAAGCTCAAGGCCGAAAGAGACAAAAGAAAGGTCAAGTACATCATCGGAGAAAGGAAAGAGAAATTCACAAAGTGGTAAAGCCGTGAGGTTAGAGGGCCAGCGTCGATCATCAACAGCGTCACTTCGTCCCAATGTACATAATCGTGGGGGCAAGCGGGCAGTGGTTAAACATTTTTGTAGAGGAGCAGGGGCTCTCCCACATTCTCGATCTCAGGGATGGTACACTTCAGGTCGAAGGCTTTGGCCAGAACAATCTTGAAGATCTACGGTGCATTAGCCAATGTGATCCATCTTTCGTTGAACATTCCAATAGCTTGGGAGGATGGCCCATACCTTTTGCACGTTGATGCTGTGGCTAGTGCTGCTGAAGATGAGACTAGCCTTCATCGCCTTGGCAAATCTCTTTGCCTGGATGGAGATCTCTTCTTGATCTTCGCGGGGGAAATTGACGAAATGATCATACTTGGTGCCAACCAGGAAGGGGATGGCGGTCTTATTAAAGCCACGACCTTGACGGTACCACTCCTTAATTGAGTTCAAGGTACTCTTGCGGGTGAGATCGAACATGAATAGGATTGCGACGGCGTCGTTGCAAACAAGGGGTAACATATTAACAAACTCGCGCTGACCACCAAGATCCCAAATAGAAAAGGTGATCTCGGTGTTGCGAATAGAGATGGTTTTCTCCATAAAGTTGACGCCTGCAGGGATCGTTAGTGACGAGCAACGCGGGTACTACGAAGGTATCAATCAAACTCACCCAGAGTTTGGATATAATCTTCATCCCAACTGCCCTCAACGTATTTCACCATCAAACTGGTCTTTCCGATCTGTGCATCTCCCACCATTCCCACCTTGATCACAACGCTGTTCTTGTTTGCCTGCGCCGCTTGTCGCTGGCCGAGATCTTGTTGTTGCTGCTGCTGTTGCTGCTGTTGCTGATGAGAGGGACCAGAGCGTTCGGCGCCACTGGAGAGCCCCGACCCGGGTCTGGAGTTGGGAACAGGTAGGGGGTGATGACTGAGTGATGGAGATGAGTTTTGGCGGGACTGGTCTGTATCTTGGGCAGCGTATTCGGGGGCAGATTGATGGAAGTCGGTCGACCGGGTGTGGTAATGCGCCTTGGAGTCGCTGTTATAGCCATTATTGAAGGCAGCACGGCTGGGTGCGTGATCAGAAGCCGGTTCCTCTATGTTCACCATGACGGGCGCTGACTGCTCAGGGTGTTCGCTTGGGATCTCCTGTTCCTGCTGCAACTCCGCCTGCGGCTCCTGTGCCTGGGGCGTCTGATCCCCCTGGACAACCTGTTCAGCCTCGGCGACAGCGGGGCCAGCAGTCACGTCGGTTTCAGGCGCAGACAGAGTCTCTGATGGCGATGGAGCGAATTCCATTATGTCCTCACGATCTGTATCGACTTAAGTAGTGCAGGCTGTCAGACACCCTGATGGTCAGCATATAACCGCCCAAGACTCGGGGCTGAGACCCACCAATAACCAGTGCTGATATTCCAGCCCACTCTAACGAGATTGCATATGATGCAGTATGTTTCAAGGGATTGGGAAAATTGAGGTCGAGGAGCTGTGTCTCGGGAGTTAAGCGGAGAGGGTTGGTCCCTGAGTAAACACAGGGAGAAACCAGAATTGGACGCGACAAGGGAGTGAGTTGGCAACCCAACAGACCGAATGCAGGTACCGGGCTAGAAATGAATGTCAACTAGAATAGAAAATAGGTCAGGCCCAGACACATCAGGAACCTCAGGTACATTCAGCTCAAGGCGGGCAACTGGGATCTAACACTAGTCCGCGATAGGCTTAGCGCCGCTCCCACGCTTTTGCCAAAATTTACGGGAAAAAAGTTCTTATCGCACACCCCTCTATATCTTCCACTTCACCAGTTTATATTCGCACATCGTCAGGATGTCCAAGAGAAGTGCCGAATCCGTGGAGCAGTCCGCCCTCAAGGCGGGCGAGCGCCCAATTGCTGAGGTCCCTATGGACGAAGCGGGGGAGTTTGAAGACGAGTTTGAGGATGAGTTCGAGAGCGAAGATGAGATTCTCGAGGCCGGTGTCGACGGTCGCCCAGATGCTGAGCGTGAAGAAGAGGAAAAGGGTGCGCACTTTCTGTGATATTTGTTAAATCTGCTGGAACAGCGTCGCTGACTCTTGTTTTACTATAGAAGCTATGGAGGTGGACAAGGAAACCTTCATTCCCGGACGCACAAAACTGGCCCCCGGAGAGACGCTATCGCCAGACCCTTCGACCTACGACATGCTTCACACACTGAGCACGCCGTGGCCCTGCCTTTCTTTCGACATTGTGCGCGACTCGCTCGGTGACAACCGCAAGACCTACCCCGGCACTGTCTACGCTGTCACCGGCACCCAGGCTGAGGGATCCAAGGCCAAGGACAACGAACTCATGGTTATCAAAATGAGCGGCCTCAGCAAAATGGAGAAGGAGGCCGAGTCAGACAGCGACTCGGATGACGACGACATGGGCGAGCCCATTCTCGAGCACAAGTCCATCCCGCTTGGATCAACGACAAACCGCATTCGCACCCACCAGACCCCCTCCCAGTCCGGCGATTACTCCAAGCCCCCTCAGACGCTTACTGCGACTTGGCTCGAGAACTCCCAAGTCGTTATCCACGATGTCACCGCCCACCTTTCCAGCTTCGATGTCCCCGGCACTATCCTCCCCCCCTCCGCATCCAAGCCTCTTTCAACTTTGCGCATGCACAAGAGCGAAGGTTATGCTCTGGACTGGTCCCCTCTTCAGCCCCTTGGAAAGCTCTTGACTGGTGACAACGACGGTCTGATCTATGCTACCACTCGTACCGAGGGCGGCGGCTGGGTCACCGATACCCGGCCTTTCCTTGGCCACGCTTCCTCGATCGAGGAATTGCAGTGGTCCCCCAACGAGCGCAACGTGTTTGCGTCTGCAAGCAGTGACGGAAGTGTTAAGGTGTGGGATGTGCGATCCAAGTCGCGCAAGCCCGCCGTGGACGTTCAAGTCTCCAACACTGATGTGAACGTCATGAGCTGGTCCAACCAGACCGCTCACCTTCTGGCAACAGGTGCCGATGATGGACAGTGGGCCGTCTGGGATCTGCGTCACTGGAAGCCCAATGCCGCTGCGCCCTCTGCTCAGATCACCTCTTCCCCCGTTGCTTCCTTCGATTTCCACAAGGAGCCTGTCACCAGTATTGAGTGGCACCCGACGGATGACAGTGTGGTCGCAGTTGGCTCTGCAGACAACACTGTGACTCTTTGGGATTTGGCCGTCGAGCTGGATGACGAAGAGAGCCGCGCCGCCAGCATGGCGGACATTCCTTCGCAACTGCTGTTCGTGCACTACATGGAGTCCGTCAAGGAACTCCACTGGCAGGCACAGATGCCCGGTACGCTCATGGCGACCGGTAGCAACGGATTCAGGTATGCAGTACCCCGACGGAGAACTATGAAACCAGCTAACGCCTTCTCCTTTGTAGTGTTTTCAAGACCATCAGTGTCTAGACGCAGATATGTATCTACGCTCCGACCGACTCGGAAATTGCATGTGCCATGTCTTGCTCATATACCATTCGAATTCTGTGAATATTTTTGCTCCTCAAAATCATTGTGCTTGGAGTTGGGCCCTCGTGTTGAGTCTCGGGTGGCGAATCAAAACTATGTGTTTAGGTCTGGAGTATATAGACATCATTCCACAAATTCTTCCACTCAAACTTGGAACATTTCAAAATCGAGCAACGAGCGCGTTCTTCGGTGCCGTCTGAGGCAACGGACAGGAGGAAATCCCACCGACTGCGCTCGTCCATATACGACGTCAATCGCGGAATTAGCTCCACGATTCCGCCAATGCCAGGCCGAGGCCAGTTTGATCAACGAGGGGGAGGGGCAATGCAATGCAGAACATAGAGAACCGCCCTACGTCTGTTACCTCAACGTCGCCCTGTACTCCGTATCTAGGTACATTCCAAGGTTTCACCTTACGGTCCCCTACTTCCACAGCGGTACTTCGCTTCGCTCACACACCCAAGACGTCAACGGTAACGTAAAGCCGCCGTAAAGCCGCCAAAAAGCGAAGTACATGGCGTTAGCCGGGCTATCCTGCATGCAAAGGTCACTTCGGCCGCAGGATGGACCGTGCCAGATCGCCAATGCGCCATTAATTACATTGCGACCTAGGCCTACATGCAATGTCTACGAGTCGGGTGCGACGTGTGGCTGGGCCAGTCGGTTCAATGATCCTGCACTGGTGGGTGGCGGCCGTTGGAGTATACGACCTTTTAAATTGGATTCCGCGCGAAATCAACCTTCGATTTGTGCAGAGATCATACCCAGGGGTGGATGTGGTAAAACGATCGACCTTGGCTACGTCTATGTGCGGACTTTGGCTGTGCATAGTGGCGATGTCGAAGACTTGGATGATTCGATGCTTGTGTCAGTGCGAGGCGATCCCAACGCTGCGCCCAGTGCAAGTACTGGATTGTGTAGCAAGATGATGGACTGTATGACATGCATAGATTTGGATACTGTCTGAGTGTGCTTTTTGCCTTTTTTCTTTTTTCCACATTGTCAGACCATTGTTGTTCTTGTGTTGCTCGGGAGACACTTGTGTATACTGCCGAGGGTCACTCTGGTAGCCAAAGAAGCTGACTGCATAACACCACGCAAGGTACAACTCGGACGCTAGAAAACCAATCGATCGCTTGATCTACGCCGGCGAAGTCTGCTCCTATCCAATCCGCGATGAAGATTGAATACACCCCGTCATCGCGCCTGCAATAATTACCACTAATGCACACCCTAGTCAGCCGGTCAATCACATCAGATCTAACCCGCGCACGTTTGATGCGAGAGAAACAGGCTAAACTAGCTCCATTTTTGCGACATCGGCCTTTCTCCGGTGAATTAAACCCGATATCAGCTTCGACCATTTCCAGACTACTGCATCGTGAGCTCTTATCCGATTGCTGTTCCGGTGAATGTTGTTTAGTGCGAAGTTATCCGAGTAAATGAACTGTAATGACCCCGATTGAGACCCATTTTATTACGATGGAGTGGAATGTTACATCGATCATTTGATTACAATGCGGACTCCAACGTATGAATCACTAAATATAACATCTTCAACGTTCTTAGCGCTGGGTAAATCATTACTCCCATTTTATTTCCACGAGAATTGTCAAGGAAGCACTTACTAACTACTAGTAGTATACTTCGTACTGTGAGTGCAAAAACGGCTGCAATTAGCATCGCTCTACTCCGAACTCCATACTCCGTGCATTGGACCGTTTGATTGGGCTTTCAACATTATTTCTTAACTCTGATCTTCCACGCAGGGACTCGACCGACTAGTGAAACAAGAAGTGGCCCCCAGAACCCGTTACAAATGCATTCGCTATCTTCAATGATCAAAAAATAATGGGGTATGGTATCAGCGCAGCTATCGCTAGCCCCATCGCTATCCGCCCAGGCACGGCTGGGAATAGTAATTCTACGAATCAACAAAGAACAAAATTCACCGGTTGAAATTTCCATGGAAGCTTGCACCGGCACTCCACCCATGTCATTATCTTCTTTCAGCTTGTCTTTTCGTTTCAAATTAATATGTGGTTGGCCACTTAACTTCTTTCTCGTACGACATTGGGACTGGCTTGTAGGCTTGTCGGGATATCCCGATGCCTGTGATTGCCGGGTCTTTCGACTTTCTTCGCATACAGTACCTAGTCGCTGATCTCGATCAGTCGGTGCTGCCATTGTGAGGCATTTGCCACTTGATTCGATATTAGTACGGTGCATGCAATATAGCCTGGCTCGAGCGGCTGGCCTTTATTTTTTATCTGATCACCGGTTAAACGCTAGGCGTGCGTGAATTACGATCACTTCAATTACCCCGTATAACGTACAACATTGAGGTCATTCTGCTGCGGACTGAACGGTATTGACGATGTCATGTAATGTGGACCTGCAATGACGCACAGGGCGCGATAGAGCCTCAGGAGATTTGGTTTTCACTGGAGGGAAAGTGACATACGAGTGGCATGCTGCGCTTTCTTATTGAGAATGACAGTGGTCAAACTCCGGGTTTTGAATTTGGTTGTTAACCCCTGTGCACAGCTAAGAGTATCCCATGGATTTCCAGATCGTCTATGAAGACAATAGTTACTCCGTACTCCGTAGGTACGGAGTACTTATCAGGGTGCAGCCAACTCGGCCAATGACAGTACCCACCGAGTGGATAGCATCAACAGTGATACGCAAATGAGCGGGTAGCAGTTCCGGAATGGACCTCGATATGAAATTAGAAATTAGGGCGGCTTGATGTCCGTCCCATCCCGCGTTGATGGCATCTTGCACAAGGGGCGTGATAAGACATACTTAAAATCGCGCTTCGGAGATACTATATACGGCGTATTGGGCCAAACAGCTTGAGTCGGCGTTTCGTCCATTTTCCGGAGATCGGACGATTTGAATAGCAAAAACTTATGTTTACACATACCATGTAATGTTGCACACATGGTACACGGGACAGCGATCATCCGCGAAGCGCAGTTACGCAATAGTGGTTTCGACTCGCTTTGACTAGCGCCCCGCGACGTTGTAGGGACTAAAGTATTTGCTTGGTTTTAGTGGCATCTGCCCCTGAGTTGGACGCCCCGAGCTCAGGGCAAATGGGTTTTTTCATGGACATGCTACGCGAGTAATGCCACTTCTTTTGGGGAGCATTCTGGAAGCATTCGCGAAGGACGCACTGCGTAACGACTGTGTTCGTGTTCGACAATAAATCCAGACTGTTGTGCTCCGTAAGGAGCACGATTCTTCCAAAATTCCAACCGAGACATTTCTTCCCCTGGAGGATGTCTTCAATACCGGGCATCTCGCGGGCATATCGGATACATCGCCCCGGGAATTGGCGCAGCATGGGGATTATCTTGGCTGACCATCATTTTCATCACTGCATGCATATATTGAAATCAGGCCGGAAGACCATGCCGATGCTTTTTTAAGACCCCTCAGACCCTTTAGTTGCAGCTTATTTCCCCAGCCTGGGGAATTTCCGGGTGTCAGTCGATCCATCCCCAGACAGTGATACAGCTCAGAGACAGCTCACTCCAGGGCTCGGAAGGTGGCTTACGGTCCTGAGGTTTCATTTGTCGCTCGCCCACCCTTGACTCATCTCGGGTCACCTGCAGCCTTCTTAGACTCGCTCTAGTGTCCTAGTTCGACTAGCGTCTTGTCAAGTCCGGGGATTCTGCAAACGAGATGTCCGTGCGAATAATTGCGATGAGCAGAGCCTTTGTCTACGATGCAGTGGTTGAGCCGGCAAACCCGCAATTGCAGCCCAATAGCCATCTCTGTCCTTGTGATGTGGTACACTCTCGGAATTACGCCGTGAGGCCACAAGCCCGGACCCAAGAGCAAGGGAGAACAAAAAGAGATACCTAGGGGATGGAAAGCCAATGACCCCAGATCCGGCCCCGATCCAAGGGCTGATCCAATGGAAGCTGAGATGTCCATCCTCGCCTCGTTCCGTGCGACCCAAACTCAAAACGGCGTGGCGCAACGTGCGAGTCCCGTCTTCTGGAAACGCTTGGATTCCGGGGAAAGCAGAAACAAACCAAAGGAAAAGAAAAAGCAATCTTGCCACGCTGGAACGTGTTGCGAGAACCGGAGGATATCCCTTGCTGGCTGCAGATTGTGATTTGTGACCACGAGCAGGCAAATCCCCCACACGAACCCTGTTTTGGCTGGATTTCCCCCACAAAATTGGCCCATGGCTCGGGATCCGCCAGGACTCAGCCCCCGATTTAGCTCTGCAAATTAATAAGACCATGACTGTTGGGATGACTTGACTATACTATGCTTGTTTCATTTTCTGGAGATTACCAGGAATCCCCTTTCTGGAATGAGAATAGTCCCAGTGCTGAAACCCAGTGAAGTTGTCACGAGGTCCTGATACCAAGGATACTACCTTACCGTACCGTATTGATGGTTTCGGGGCTTGTTCACCCCGGTAACTCTCGGGCCCACTCCGACTCAGGGCAGTATACATTGTACCGTATCGTTGTACACCGTACGCTTGGGATTAGAATACGATCTGGGATTGTCGCGGTTGACCTGGCTGTCAGAAGGTGCATCCGAAGGGATCTGCTCATTGATCTGAAGCCTCGAGTACCCAGATCATAAGTGAACTTCAGCAAATCGCTGAGATCAGGCAATCGCTGCATCTACCTGAAGCAGATAAGACGTAAGAGGTGACGGAGAACGTACGGGAATACTAGTAACGGAGCGCCTTCAGGCAACAGAAAGTCAGGAACTGGTGGGCGTGGCCGTGCGTGCGCATAGGATTTGACCTACGCCGGATTTGGTATCACCCTGGGTAATCGTCGGGGTCTCATTGGCCTAACCAGCGCCGCCCGTGTGTCGGGCCCCACTAGACCGGACGCTGTATCGGTACCGTCTGCTGCGTGGGCATCTGGGCCTGACATCGCCCTGGTGGGTGCGGTGGATGTACCCCCGGTGTACCTTTGCTCTCGGACCTCCTTATCGTGGGTACTTCCCCAATACTTGCTGTCCGCTACCCGCCACTACTGCCACGACTACCCGCTATGTAAGTAGAGGTACCTCGTCGCTCGCTCTCTCTCTCGACTCCAACTTCGGAGGCAATTTAGAACTTCCTTCTTCTTCCTCTGCCTCATCCTCACCACTTCGCTTCCATCCTTATCGCCTATCTGCACTTGCTCCCGTCGGTTATCTCCGCCCGATCCACTTCCGACCTAGTGAGATCAATTCCCTCAATGGATGCGCGAGTCCTGAAGACAAACCCCCCATAGCTTCGACCGAGCTGCTCATAGTTTTGATGTGAGTCGACCTCGCTGACCGGTCGCCAAAAACTGGCGGCCCTGGGGGAAAACAGCTCGCTGACGTTTCCGAAAGACGTGAACACTAGCCTTCCCGCGATACCGGCCGCAGGTCCTCATACCCTGTCAATCAAGCCCATTCCCCCTTTCAGATTCCTTCGATAGATCCACTGTAAATCTCTTTGTCATTGGTTGGTTCCCACTCCTGCGTCTCACGGCAAGGTTCACAGATAGTCTGTTTCGGTACCCTGGGTCGCCGAGATGGCTGTTATACGCATCATACGAGAGACATGCTGACTTGATGTCATCGCAGTCGTTCCGACTTTCTTCATTGTACAAATTTGACAGCCGGATATCTGGCAAACGCGACCATCCAATCGACTGATTGAGACCCTTCAGCGACCTCCCCGCACCCAACGAACCTCCCCCGAGACCAGTAGTCAGCACTCTGGTCCGTGGAGCTTCAAAACAATAGCATGCTACTGGATGGTATGGTCGGACAAAATCGAGACTACAGTTCCAACGTGGCGGATCTAGCCAGCATCAACGAAATTCCGGGAAACATGCCTGGTGAGTGTGGCTTATCATATCTCCCTCGGTGCAATTCTTACCCATCTATTCCCAGCTCCCAAAGACTCAAAGAAACAGGATCTGAATGGTCAAACGGGCGCCAGTGGCAATATCCCTCCCCCCAAGACAGACAAGCCTCGGCCCCATGTTTGCACCACTTGCACTCGCTCCTTCGCGCGATTGGAGCACCTTAAGCGCCATGAACGATCGCACACCAAGGAGAAGCCATTTGAATGTCCGGATTGCGCAAGATGCTTCGCTCGCCGTGATCTGCTTCTGAGACATCAGCAGAAGCTTCACATGACCACGACGCCGTCTTCTCGACCGAGAAACGGCCGCCGTGAGAGCACCGGTGCTGCCCCGGGAGTTAACCGCGTTCGCAAGAATTCTATTGCCAACAATTCATCGGCATCGGTGCGCCCAAGGGCGAATACCATTAGCCATATTGACGGGGCCGCCCTCGGTATCCCGGGTGCTGGTAACCCGTCCTCGGCCCCTCAATCAGGACACTCATATCACCCTAGCCTTAGTTCTTCAATCGGCTCAAGCTTGGATTACAGGGGATTTAGCTCTGGACACCCTCCCGTGAACGGACTATCGAAGTTGGAAACCTCCGGACTTCCCATGGACATGTCTGGGTCACTCCGGACTGCCCCGGTGTACGGGAGTTTCGATACGGGTATAGATGGTATGCTCATGGGCCATGGAAGCACCATCAACCCGGCACAATTACATTTCGCAGGCTCCCCACAAGGCTTCGGCGACTCCCCCTCGTCTCCATTTGGTCACTACCAAAATGGGTTACCCCCTTCCGTGGACCCCATGATGGATGAGGAGATGAACTTCGATTGGATGAATGGGTTTGATGCTGCGGTGGGGATGGGTAATGGCAATGACTCAGTCGTCGATGAGTCTTCACCATCAGCGATGAGTACGGGCAGCCAGAGCGGTATCAGCGAGGCCATGCTCGATGGTCCAAATCGCATTCCCATCTCCAATGGCTGGCACAACCCGTTCCCCGCCCACCACGCCGCAAACCAGTTCGCGATCGATTTCTCCCCGACGACATTGAATGATTTGGGCATTCCCCCTGAAACCGTGTCACCCAAGTCTTTAATGGCCCAGAATCCGTTTACCGAGACGTATGCCACCCCACCGTCTATGACCTCGGTCGGCCAACCCATCATGGAAGGGCATTCCCAGAGTATGTTTCCATCCTCTCTGGCAACCAACGGAGAATCTCCTAATCCTCTCAACGTTTCTTTCACGAATAGTGCCCTACGAACTCAACTATCTTCAGTCTCAACGGATACATTTACAGAATCCACACGACAGGCTCTACTAGCGAGCATGTCGATCCCCACTGGCTTCAATCATCGCAAGTATTCCCAGCCCGCAAGTGGACTTTCAAACAGCCGCGATCTGTTTGCCCGCTCGACTGGCTTCAACAGCTCCGGTCAACTGCCCAGCACTTCGGACTTGCAGCGATACATCTCGGCCTATATCACCTATTTCCACCCTCACGTCCCATTTCTTCATATCCCGACCCTTAACTTCCAAGCCCCCGAATACACGAACAACTTGCGCACCCCGAGCGGCCACCTCAATCTCAGTTCAACCGGTGTTTCTGGCGGTGGAGGCTGCCTGATTCTCTCCATGGCCGCCATCGGAGCCCTGTACGAATATGACACCGCAGCGTCCAAGGACCTCTTCGAAGCCGCGAAAAAGATGATACAATTGTATCTCGAAGAGCGACGAAAAGCCGACATGTCTGCTGCTCTCAACCGATCCCAATCCCCCCGCGATAACTCCGTACACAACACCCCACTCTGGCTCGTACAGGCGATGCTCTTGAATGTGATATATGGCCACACATGTGGTGACAAGACATCTGCAGATATTGCCAGCACCCACTGTGCGGCTTTGGTCAGCCTAGCCCGAGCAGCCGAATTAACTCAGCATCTGGATCCTAAGAATTTGCCCCAAGACCACCTCAGCAATGGTCTCAACGCAAGCAATTTCTCCGGTGATACCGACAATTGGATGTCTTCCTCTTTCAGCCAGCCCAAAGAACGGCGGGACTGGCTGAACTGGAAGGTTGTGGAAGAGCGAAAACGTACTCTCTATGCCATATTCGATCTTTCTAGCTTCCTTGTTTCAGCTTACAATCACGCGCCTGCACTTACGAACTCTGAAATCCGTCTCGATTTACCCTGCGAGGAGGATCTCTGGGCAGCAGAGTCGCCCCAAGCTTGGAAGCAGATGGGCGGCCAAACTGCCTCAGACAAGACATTGTCGTTCTCAGCTGCCTTGACGTCTCTCCTGACCGCCAGCCAACGCGAGCAAAGCCAATCATCGAACCTATTCTATAACTCAGATGACCTGTCCAACTCAGAAAACCGACCAAGTACCTTCGGCTGTCTGGTACTCATTTACTCGCTGCACAACTATATATGGGAAACACGACAGAGACATATGGGTCGCCAATGGACTGCCCAAGAAACCGACGCCATGCAAGCACATATTGAGCCTGCTCTTCGGGCTTGGCAAGCAGCGTGGGCAAGCAATCCAGTCCACAGCCTTGAACGGCCGAATCCGTTCGGTGCCGGACCATTGTCTGCAGATAGCATTCCTCTGCTCGATCTCGCTTATGTTCGTCTATTCGTCAACCTTGGACGCTGCAAAGAAGCGTTTTGGCAGCGAGATTGGAACGGCATGGCAGATGAGCTTGCACGTGGTACTGAGATTTTCCAACAACAGGACGCTACCATCGATGACGTAGTGGACCCTTCTCTCACCGGTGCGCTTGATTCCAGGCGCGACTCTATCGTCGACCTGGGAGTCTCTGATATCGCTATCTCCAAGACGCCTACGCAAGATGAACCCTTGCAGAACCTGTCTCAGATGCACAAAGCCGGCCAGACAAAACGAGAAAAGCACCTGCGGAAAGCGGCCTTCTACGCTGCCGATTCCATCTCCATGTCGGATCGGTTGGGAAATACCTTCGCCGAGTTCTCGTCGCGTGAATTGCCCATTCAATGTGCTATGTGCGCTTTCGATTGCGCGCAGGTTCTAGCGGAATGGATCACTACCGTCCAAGAGCGCGTCGGTCCGTACCTCGGTGTTCTAGGCCGTGATGATGCAGATTTGACCGGAGTCCCAGGGGTCATGCTACTTGAGGACGAAGACTGCAAGCTGGTGGACAAGATCAAGGAAATCTTGAACAGTATTGAGAGCAAGATGCAGCGCCAAGTGCAAAACAGCAACTCCATGTCTGCATTGAGTGTCATGCAACGATTACCCAGTGTTGTGGAAGGTGGATACGGATGTAAAATATTGATTGCGACAGCCAGTCTCCTGGATCGAGCTGCTGTCTGGCCAGGTAGGCTTTTCACCTGATATTTCCTTCCTAACATGATAACTAACCTGTTACAGTGACGAAACTGATGGCCCGTTCCCTCGAAGCCCAAGCCATGCGAATGAAGGAGCGTACCGAGCATTCCCTTCTTATGACCACTTAATGACTACCCCTTTCCACCTTGTTTCAATGTCTTTCGATTTAAATTACTTCATCTTCATTTTGATATTTTTCCATGTATCATGAATAAACCCAAGGCAATTCTCCGCATCGAAGAAAGTGTGACCTCCAATTCATGTTTGGATGCACTGGGCTTTGATATAGACGGATTGTCTCTCATCTTATACCTCGGTTAGCGTTCTGTTTGTCTCCATCTGGGGCTGTGGAAAAAATCATCTTGCTATGTGATGATCGATTTCGGTGGCTCTTCTCCCGCCCCCCTTCCCTCTTCGATCTCATGGAGTGCATTTCTTTTACCCGTGCAGTGTTTGATTACGCAGAGTCTTACTTCGTGTGAATATGATTGATTCATTATGCTTCATCATTCCAAGATAGTTGTAGAACATTAGCTGGATTATCTTCCGGTAGGTTACCGAAGGTTGATAGGATCACAACTACTACCATCATTCTTCGAAGTTTCAAAAATAATATAGTAAAGCGGCATTCAGTCAAGAGAGAGCGAGCTCATCATTTCCTCCAGAGAACATATCACATCCCCATAGATAGCAGTCTGCAGATCGGTTTCTCTCATGTCAGACCCCATACCAAAATCACACTGCAAAAACATTGCCGCACGATTTTCTGGTACTTGAGACCTAAAGGATGAGCCGATATTGCCTGTTTCCGGGCTGTCACAATTGGGTCTTGTCCGCCGCACATTTGTTCCAGAGGTCGGTGATAAGCCAGCTCGAGCAGAGCAATTCCAAGGCTGAATAGAACCGTGTTGTTGATTCCATATTGACAACGAGCAGTCTCTATGCTGGAATTTGTGGGGTCTGGTGACGCATTTCCTCCCCACCATGGACTGCTCAATTCTGGATCTTGGTTCGTTTGATTGAAAGATGATGTGAGGTGGAGAGTACGCAAGGACTCATCGGATACTCCTTGAAGGTTGCCAAAAGAGGCGAGATCCTTTAGCCGCCAATCATCCCGTAACCATGGTGTGGAGTGATATTGGAGAACGGCTGTTGCTATCGTGTGAGCAATCTTGAATTTAGAGCCCACGTCGACTAAAGCGGGTTCGCTATTGGTGGCGTAGAGCAAATATTCAAGGTTGATCACTTCCTCGGTAAGACGTCCTTTACCCGGGGACTTGTTATATTTTGCTCGATCGGTGGAATAAAAAACGTGCTTGAAAAGTCGAGGGGCTTCGAGGTAGCCAATGCATTTATCAGATGCGAAGGCTGAGGAATGAGCTGCTTTCTGGATGTGCTGGCACAGATCTTGAATGATCGTGACTTCTCCCGGTCCGTGACAAGATTCATCAGCAGTAGAGGCGTAGGAATCCGGTAATGTGCAATCATCCACAGGTTGTAACTTTTGTCTCTTGCATGACTGCGATTCAGCCACGGGTCCTAGTGCAAGAGAGATGTTTGTATCTCTCCGATTCATCTTACTCATACACAGAGATGCCGTAAGGCCACTCCAAGATGAGGCTGAGCTGACGTGCTTTTCCCGAGTCCGTTTCTTGGAGTTGATCTCGGTGTTGATTGATTGAACGTAGACCCACACATGATCACCGTCGTCTTCCTCACTGGGTAGCTTAATTAGTGAATAGCATATGACTGAGCTCACAAACTGCCTACCTTAAGTATGGGCTGTTCTCAATCTGGCAGGGTTTGTAAGACAGTGCCAGATCAAGTCGAATCATATCTTGTACCGGGGCTTCAACACAAAGCTTCCCGTAATGAGTTTTGTGACCCGAATATGGACAATGCCAAGCATTAGACAGAGCCTCGTGCAGTGTTCGCGATACTCTCTGAACCGAGGAGTAATGCGTTGGTAGCCGTTTGCTCCATTTTGCTGGACTGGTGGTATCTGATCTTCTTTTCAGGAGTTCCTCTAATTGCATTCTGAATGTATGCAGGTCCATATTACTCTCGCGTAGCTTCGTGAGTCGCTTTATATAGCGATCTTTATCAAATACCACTGTGATTGAGCTCCGTACTCGGTGTATGGTAGTCTTTAGCTTTTCATGCTAGTCAAAGGTGAGTGGAGGGGGCATTGGTATAGGTGACGACGATATTGACTTACTTTCTTCTTTGTATTCTTCAATACGCTGAAGGACTTGAGATCTTCCTCCATCTCATCAAGTTCCCCTTTGATATCATTCACAATTTCTTCACATGTTTGTTGGCTGTCATTGACCCGTTTATTCAAATGTTCTTCCAGAATGCCATTTATTCGGGACGCGCAATCTTTGCTTCCCCGCGTTGAACCTTCCTCTTCAGAAGCAATATACTGCAACAAGCTACACTCATTTTGAAAGTTTTGTTGCTGAATCCTAAACTGGACATCGATCCTCTTCACTTCGCGAGAGTAGTGCCGAAAGGTATGCAGAGTGTCGTGAATGTTCCGGTAGCTTTGTAGGACTTGCACAAAGACGGGGAGAACGCCAAAGACAAGGCCAGGGATTTCGAGGCCGCTCATTGTGAGAACGGATATACGCAAGAGGAAACGAGAGAAATGGCCCTGTCCTTTTCAAGGCTCTCACCAAAGTTAAATAGATCCTAACCATAGCATGTTAATATCGGTGAGACATATCAGGGCTGTGTGTGATCCCTGCCGCCTTAGTGCATGCATACTGTACTTCGCCTCACCCTCTACTTCGTACATTGGCACCCGGGTGAGCATCCTGACGTGGCAGAATATTGTGGCTATGCCCTAGCATAAACCATATCTCTTTATATTTCACTGAGTTTTCTCCCAAATATCAACCTCTTGTGACTTGTATGAATCGCTTTTGTTTTGCTTCCTCGTGATAGTGTGTCATGAAGCAAAAGGTCTCTACGCCCAGTGATACAATTCCAGTTTAGTCGGCCTAGAGCATCTACGATTGAGAGCTTCAGAGAGAAAGATGGGTCACATCAGAGACCCATTCTTGATGGAAGGGCCCTCATCTAAGAACAAGGCCTCTGCATGTGATCCCGGGCCAGCACCACTGCTGGATAATCGCCATGAACTCCAAAGGTCGAGCTCGGTTGACTTGAGAACGGATCTTTGTCATACTGGGAATATCACTGATCTGTTTAAGTGTTGTATCAATTCTTGCAGATCATTGGTGAAACATGCACGTAGGGGCAATGAGAGAACCAAAATTTGGCTAAACTCCTTGCGAAATGACTACCAGCTGCTTTGTCTTTGGGGAAATGATTTTGACGTCGGCAATGATGGTCTTGACAGACGATTAGAGCTATCCCAAGATCTCGCGCTTTTGGTATTTTCCATACTCACATCGCTCGCAAAAAGCATTTCTCGATGTGAGTTGACAGGTCTTGTTGGAATTCCACGTGAGAGATGCTAATAGAATCAGGCTACAAGTATACAGAGATGTTCGAGGATACCGAATCATCTCTGAGTGACTTGAAATTAAACATGTCCCGCCTAGGTGAGGCTCTGAAGGCATGCAAACGTCTGCGTCGTCACGGCAGCGCAAGCGACAATGAAGCCCAAGATGATATTGAGGATGCAATTGAGACCGACAGCGAGGATGAGAGCGATGGAGACGAAATTGAAGATCTTCAAGACGTGCTTGAAGATATCAAGAACTTCACGAGAGGGCTATTGGATTTAAGTCCGTCTATTGACTCTCCGGCGAAGGATCGAAACCGTGACTACCCATCTTCAAAATCTCCAAGGCCTACCATCCCTTTGATTTCGAAATCTTCGAATCCTCAGAAAGACGCCCCATCGCCTTCACCAACATTTCAATTTGACCCCCTAGTGGTCAGCGGTGCAAGCCCCGGCTTCTCCGTCGACTCTGGTTATTGTCAAAGTGGGTTTTACCTTCCACTCCTCACGATGGGCTCGCAATTGATTGAATATTTCTGAATTTAGGTGCAGTAGAGGATCAACCAAACAGTTTGGAAGGGTGCCAGTCTCAAGACCATCCGGAACTCCCAGATCGGGTTGCTGGACCATCATGTTCATGGAACGCCACGAACACGTCTTTGTCAGATCTCCGAAAAGCTCAGCATGGCCGCCCGCAGAAAGGCCAAAAAGGATCAAATTTTGCATCAGACCAGCTGTGTGGGGCCCTCGAGTGTCGCTGGGAAGGTTGCTCCTATGGTGGCGTGTTTCATGGTGTAGCTGCGTTGATGCGACACGTTCAAACGCAGCATATTTCTCCCCGGAAATTCATTTGCCCCTTGCCCTTGTGTCCAAAGACCTTTTCTCGAAAGGATGGTGTACTTTCACATATGAGAATAACTCATTTCGGAAAGGCACATAGAGACATTGGTGGTTCGATGCAAAATACGTCTCAGACGCAAGAAAACGCAAAGCAGGAATCTAGTCCAGTGGAACCAGCCCCTGTAGCAGATGGGAACTAGTGATGAGCTTTCACTGGAAGCACAAAGATCTTTGTTGTTTTAGAACTTTTTCGACTCCTATTTCCTCCACGACTGTACCTAGAATCCTGGAAGTGTTGGCATTTCCGAGAAGGTGGGTAGCTCGACAATAAGATGAAATTTTACAGTGGTACTTCGCAAATACATCATTTCAATTTGATGGGACATTAGGAGGGTTGGCGTAGTTCCAAGGCTGTAAACAAACCTTGGACTGTTGATGCAAACATAAAAATAACCTGGGATTGACCAGCTTCTGCATCCAGCGAAGCTAGGTACACATTGATACCCCCAGTGCTAGGCATTGATATTACTGGGGCTTCCTAAATCCGTTAACTCCAAGAATCCTACTTCGTCCACGCCATCTCCGAGAGCTCCATGTAGAACTTGGGAGTCCGTCTGCGTTCGTTCAGCGATGAGGATAGACGGCCGTACCGCCACGATGCTTCTCGATGTTTTGTAGAAGACATTATGGGGGCTCGATCTTTACTTTTCAAATAATTAGAGAGAAAGACAAATAATGTGTTCTCTCGGAGCGCTCGATCAGTCAGACAATCCATATCATCAAACGCGTATTTGGACCATGATTTGGCGAAGTCTGTTATTTCATGAGAGGGTACTGGAACTCCCACTGGGAGTGTTAGCCTCAGTGATTGGTTGTAGTATGTTGCGTACTAACTGGAAAGAGGGAACCCGTCGATATAAGCGTATATCACTGGGGAGAGAGCCTCGAAAAGCGTGGACGAGAGGAGACAGCCGTTTCGTGCGGACGGCGATAGTGTTAAATAGACCTGGAGGTATTCTGCGGTGTACGTATGGTAGATGGCTAGGTACTTCCGAAGCTGGCAATAATTTGCTGCTTGGAATGTGAGGCTTTGCAACACTTGCAGAGCCGAACGACGGATATGTAGCTGCAAGAGATGCTTGGATTCTGCATTCAAGGTATCGCATTCTGCTGAGGTAAAAGTATCATCGAGATCTTTCAGCAGTATTTGTGTGATTTGGGAGGCAACATCCACATGCTTTGCGCGACCGAACATTTGCGCGAGAAGCTGCGCTCTTAGCTCGGCAGATTGGTAAAGAACTCTCTGAAAGGTACAAATCGACTTGATGGCACCATCTTGCACGAGAGGGAGCTCTAGCAAGCCCGGATGTAGCTGATCATCATCTATATTGGAAGGTGGCTGCACTCGGTGGTTGATGCTTGCAGTCCAAGGCACGGCGTTTCCGTGGTCGAGAGAAACTTGAATATCAATCTCCAAGACAGTGGCCCACAGCCGCTTTCGAATCTCCGTGTCAAATACAGATATCCCTTTTAACTCGGACGGGTCAACGTGAAGCTCTGCCTGAACGGCGCGTTTGACAAGAATCTTTGCCCACTTCCGTGCTTCGTTTCGGTCGCAGTCGGTCGTCTTGTAAATCGAAAATAGAGATAGAATCTGTAGCTGCGGTAGTTCCAGGCGTTCATTGTCGACTAGGAGAATACAGAAGTTCTCGACGCACTGTGTCCACTCTGAAAATCGTTCAAGGTTTTGCTTCGTGGTTTGGAGATTTTCAATTAAATCTTGGTTTGTGACTTGCTGTCCCAGGATAAGGATCGCGAGTGTGAGAACTCTCGAATTAAGGCAGGATTTTCTTAATCCAATGCATGTATCATAATAATCTTTCCAAAATGATGGGATATGGACCACTCGGTAAAGCCGCTCCCATGTGTCGAAGTATGCCGTGAGTAATGTCTTGGATGCATCATGCGAGGGTAAAAGGGTTGCCGCGTCAAGCGCTCTAACGCAACTCTCTATTGCACTTCTGGGTCTCGAGGATTTGATGCTCGCTTCAACCCTTCCGCATGTGTCGTTTTGACTGCAGAATGTATCCGGAGAGTACACAATGCATTCCCGAATATAGGTTCTCAAGTTTATCCACTGTACCAAGTGAGCTTGATTCACGAAGATCTCACCGGGTGATACAAACCGACAGTTGAAGCGGACGACACCAGCCTTTGTGCTGAAAAGGATATGTCAACGACTGACCTGGGATAAGACTCTCTTCCTCTTCGCTGCCTGCGCTGCGGTCAGGAGACATGACTGTAAATAAAATGTCTGCTTCCTAGATTCCAGTGGGTTCGTTCAAGTTTTATACCACTTTTAAAAGGTAAAAAAAAATGAGACAGAGCACGATTGGGTTGGGAAAAAGGAATCGGGAGAGAAAGGAGCCAACAAACCCGGGATGAAAGGGCAGATGAAAGCAAATGGGATGGGGAAATTCATCGAATGGAATGCATGATGTATTTGTGCTGTCTCTGAGAGGATTTGAGGGAGATACTTGGGACAATAAGCAATTCTAATCACCTTTGGTATATGTAACATGGATGACATGCAAGGTGTATCCCGACCTTGAAGGGTCCATGACCACTGAGTGCATATGAGAAAAGTTCCATTCGAACTTCCCTAGCACCTGGAGAAGAATAATAACCTCCAATGGAGAAAAGCTATCTTAGAGACGAAAAGCTATTGTGGTAGGTTCTTCTGAAATTTAAATCATGCGATCCTAAAAATCAGGCCATGTCAGATTTTGAAGCGCCTGGCCAATGGGCTACCTAGCTAAAATACATAGAGTCTTTTTGATGGTCAATCAAACAATGTTGAATGTGTTACAGTCTCAGGTCGACCCCACGGGGCGATCGCTATGCGGGAATATGCGGGAAAATGCGCAGATTTAGGCGTCTTGTGCCAATCACCTGTAACACTTCAGATCATATTTTAGTACTCCGTACCCGCGGGAATCTCACTACTAAAGAACAGACTGGTGTAATGAGAGCCACGACCTAACAAGGATCTAAAGTCGATACTGGCCTTTCACCCGTAAGTCTACGGATTGAATAGTCTTTCGAGCCAACGAAGGCTGGTTTCGTCGGACCTCCAACCGTTTGGACTCCCTTCGAATCGCCAATCTTCAGCGAGGTCATCTAACCAAGATTCGGTAAAGACTTTGCCTTTAAAAATCACACATTAGTTTTCTAATATCATGGTTTTGAATGAGGACTGAAACTTCGTAGCGAAATCAACCGACAGCCCTGGAGTAACCCTTTGGACAAGTAACGGACCCAAGAAGACTCTACCTGCAGTCACATCTCTAGTTGGTGATCAGTTTGGCTTCTGAGGTCCACTCTGATGCCCGTTTTGTGCTCCTTTTGCTAGTCTAGCTTTTGCCCATCGGGTTGATTGCGTTCGTAGAACAATCAACATCGAACCTATTCCAACCAAGTTCAAAAGTCCCAAGCCAAGGAAGCAGTACCCCCAGCCCATTTTCTGCACAAGAGGTGTGATGATTGCTGCAGCTATAGCAGCAGCAGGGCTGCGTAACATGTTGCCCAAAGCAAAAGCGCCGGCAGCTTGCTGTGCAAGACACAAAGTCAAGAATGCGTTCGATGCAACAAACATCCACGACATTCCAAATCCGACTATGTAACTCAAAGTTCAGAAGAGTCATCCAGGTTGTCTCACGGGTTCTACTCACCGATGAATGTAGAGATCAAAGTAGCAGCCGGGTGAAGCGCATGCTCCACAAAGAACCCAAACATGATCAGTCCAGCAGAAGCGAGAAAAAGGCCCCAGATCTGATCATTCAATCGTGCTTCGGGGTGAACATTGCTCTCCCCATGGACCTGAACTAATCGCTTGCGTCTCCAATCAGAGAACCGGCCTCCACAGATAGATCCAATGACCATGGCTACTCCGACAACAACATAGCCAGCGCCGACCTCACTGCTGGACCAGTGGTAGACATCTCCAAGAGCAAATGGTAGTTGAATAGCAATGCAGAAGTATGATGAGTAGAGAATAGCAGTATTCATACACGTGATGCCGATGGGGGGATATTGGAAGAGCTTCCAGTATCCTTTCAAGGTGGGTTTGGGAGGAGGAGGTCCTCTTTCAGACTCTGGAACGAGATCAGAGGAGAGCTTGGGAGGAAGAAGAAGCCAGCTTTGGTCGGTGTATACACTCCCATTCCCCACACGTGCACGCAGGGTTTCTGGGAGCGCAAAGACGAGGACGAGCCACAGCGTGGCACCCGAGATCGCTAGACCACCAGGTCAAAAGTAAGTTCAAATGTGTGGTGGCTAGCTTTTGCTTACCCAGGAAACCAAATATCCATCTCCAGGACGTTTTATCGACCAAAGCACCACCTATCACTGGGCCTAGAATTGGACCGCATTGGGGCCCGAAAAGGAAGTATGACATTGCTCGAGCTCGTTTCTTTGGTTCAATAATCTACCGGTTAAGAAGCAGAAATTAGCACGTTGTGGGGGTTTAAAAAACCGAAATGGCTCTCTTACATCCGCTACTGTGCCCGCTCCCAGAGATACGACAGCAGATGATCCGAACGCTTGCACCACGCGAAGGACAATCAGTGCGCCATAGTTGGCTGGAACGGCTGCCAGAAGCACGTTTGCCAAAATATAGATCAGGATGGAGATAATATAGAGCGGTCTGCGTCCTTTCCAATCTGCGAAACTCGACCAAATCAAAGGCTGCGAGGAATTTGTTTAGAAACAGAGGTATCCATATATATTCAGAGAGGCCACGAGAAAGACTCACCCCAAAAGCAAACACCACCATGAAGACCGTTACCGTGACGTTTATCTCTGTCTCTGTTCTGTGGAACTGCCGGGCCATCACCGGCAAAGCAGGTAGGTAAATGTTTCCCGCAAGGGGACCGAATATTCCTGCGACTGTGATTATACCGAGAATAAAGCGTCGACGCGATAGCGAGATCGCTGTGTAAGCAGGTTTTGGTTGTGCAGGTTGCTCGCATACATTCTGCACCGGTGTCTTGGAAGAGAGGTCGGGAGATGAAGCAATACCCGGCTGTGTTTCGGGCAGCACCTTGCTGGAGGGTATTTCAGGCGTCGACATCTCGGAGAAATGGTAGCATTTGACTGATCAAAGGGAATTGGGAAATCTGTATATACTTATGGAACATACACTCACGGATTGTCCCGAACACCGATCTCCTATCCGGGAAAATAAGCTCAAGTGCCTGCCTGAGCAGATTTCGGAAAATTAATATAAATTCGTAAAATAAAAATGAAAAATGAAAAATGAAAAATGAAAAAAGCATGAAAAAAAGAATATTTTCGAATTCCAAAAGTAAAAGCGAAATGAAATGAATCAGCTCAACACAGAAAACTAAAAAAACGTACAAGCTCAACGCACTAGAAGTCTTAGTCCAATGGTAGTGCAATGGCAGTGCAATGGAGCTAAGGGACCGGGACGAAGTGCTAACATGAATGACTGCCAAGGATGGCCCCCATGCGCCCTCCACGAAATGGGCATAGTAAAAGCGCTCAAACTAGCTCACTGCAAATGGTAAGTAGGATCGAGAACATCGTAACTTGCCATTGACATGGGTAACCTATCTCTTTTGCGGTCTCAATGGCCGATGCAAACCCTGCCATACTGAAAGCGCTCGTCGCCAGAGATTGCAGTCACAAAGACGCTATATATGTCTGCCTGTTTTGATTTTGCCATTCCGTTTCCCTATCGTCTTTTCCTGTTTTCATTTCCAAGCTTGTACTCATTTGATGAGCATCTTTCGCAATCAAGAATATCTGCAAGTTCTGTTTGCCAGTGGTATCATTGCTGAGCGCAATATGAACGTTGACCGGGATTCTGTCGACGAGACCGTCAATAGAGACGACGATGGAGACAAACAAGGGCTTCGCGCCACTGAGCGCGATGTCCAAAGCAACTCAGATGATCTCGAGCAAGCCAACTCGAAGTCTGTCTTCAATTCGAAGAAAGCCCTGTGGGCATTTTTGGTCCTATGCTATTCGGTACGCAGGGACTCGTGAGATCACCATTGATATGACATCTGGCTTACCGTGATGAATTCACTCAATTGCAGACTGGCCCAACAGCTTCCATGGTCTCAAACTACGTGACGGCAGCAATCCTCTCGGCAGCCAATCTCTTGGGCCACCAGGCCGGATCGGACAAACCATGCTCACGCCGCGGAACAAACATCAGCTGTCTGGTGAAGTTTGGTGGAGGGGAGATCGATTACAACAGCTATACGTGAGTGATACAATCTTTTCATTGTGGCTCCCGATGATTGAGGCTCACCAAAGCCAGACTTTACCTCCGATCAATTAGTCGAGCTACAGAGGGCATTGTATCGATTCTCACGGCCGGCTTGGCAGACTATGCTAGTAGGTGTACTTGATCGACTTGTTCGGTATTCAAGACTGACAATCCTACCAGACTATCGCAAAACAATGATGATGACATCGATCTTTCTGTTCGGAACCTTGGCCCTGCCCTTTGCAGGGCTCACAGGTAAAACATACAGCCACCTAACCGCCCTATCCGTCCTTTATTGCCTCTTGACGACCATTGGAGGTGTCTATACAGTTATTGAAGGGTCCTACATCCCAATCTTCATGCGATCCACAGGCTGGTTCCGTGAGTCTCGAGTGGCAGCGACCACGGGAGAGAGAACGACGTGGAACAAAGGTGTCTCCATCAGTGTTCTAGCATTGGTGTCAAGCAACATCGGTGGCTTGACAGCCCTGATTATTGGGATCATTCTTGTCTACGGACGGGGATCCTATGTGAAAGTTGGATATTTCAATTACCTTCTCGCCATTACAATTGGTGGCTGTATCACAAGTGAGTTGCCCTTTTTTTGGGGGGAAGAGTCCATTCTTGCTAACACGATTAGTTCTGTTTGCTCTACTTGGACAATACCTCCTTCCATCCGTGCCCGGAAAAGAAGTCGATCGCACCAAAACCAGATTCCCATTGCTCGTTGCGTTCAGAAACTGGTTGAAATTGCTGAAAAGTGCCACCCGATATTCTGAAGCATTCAAGTTCTGCATCGGATGGGTTCTGTGGAATACTGGATACTCGAACCACTTGCAACTGATCGGCGCACTGTTTCTGCAAGTGACTGGTTTCTCCCGAAGCTCCGGAGTATACTCCGTGTGGTCTTTTACTAGCGTCATCTTTGCCTGCATGGGCAGTTTGAGCTTCATGTACCTCTACCCACGGCTAAACCTGCCCGTGAAATCGTATGCCTACGGTTTCCTCTTAGTCAATATTCTCTGTGTTTTGTGGGGCTGCATTGGAATCAGCAACCATGTCACTATCGGTTACAAGCACCAGGCAGAGTTTTGGGTTGAGCAGGTCCTTTTCATGTCCACCAGCAGTGCTCTTCGGGCATACAATCGTGCAATCTACTCTTCCATGATCCCAGAGAACTCCGAAGCCCAATTCTTCGGTCTGGAGATCACCTTGGATCTCGCTACTGGATGGATCAATCCCTTGGTAATGGGTATCATCCAAGATCGCACCCACAACCTACGATTCCCAATGATTCCAAATCTCCTGCTGATGCTCGTTGGACTGGGTCTCTACTCGCAGGTCGACATTTCCAAGGGTATTGAACAGGCAAAGGTTGCTTTGAGTCAATAGGCCAATCGGAAGAATTGAGAACTGGGTCTGATCATTGGCTCATCAAAAGGTGGATACAGGGGTGTGAGTTGAGATAACAGTCATTAGCAGTCTATATAAGTTGGTTTCAGATAGCATTCAACATAGACATTTTGCGGGTGGAGTTTGGTGCATCATTGGCGAACAATATCACTGACAACCTCAAAAGAGCATATCCTCAATTACCTAGTACCGCTTACACGAAGAGTCCAAGCTCGCCTATCATTTAGAATCTACGCAGGCATTTACCATTTTCAAGTTCAATGCAAAGATCACATGTAAATGTGGGTTGTAACGATATCCCTCATGGATGGACCGGGCACTGTCCTCGCTGATCTCGATTTTTGATCTCATAATCTGGCCAACTTCGCCTCGAAGGATTTACATTCTCTTAGATAGCCTATCTGACACAGTCTTTCAACAACATCTCATGATTTAAGTGAGCAAAATTCTCGAAGTCAACATGGAAACACTTCATTGGCCAACAACACACCCTAGTAACAAGGAAACACTACCAAATCGAGAATAAAGCATGACGAAAAATATGGCCGCTTGGACGCGAAGCCCAAGAGCAACCAAGCCAAGAGGCTAAAGCTTTGTAAAAACAAGACGTACGCCTCGTGGGTGCAAAGGACCGGCCTGCGAAGTAGATTAGGGCAAGCTTGGTGGGTCAGGGAGGACCGTGAACTTACAGGGGTCATTTGGTCTTTCCATTCCGGATCGAGCTCCCATCGGAATGCCCGAGTGAGAACAAATAGGGTAACTCTCATTTGCAAGAGAGCAAATTTCTCTCCAAGACATGCGCGGGACCCGCCATGGAAGGAAATGAACTCGGCCCTAGCCTTGGCACCCCGGTAGTTCTTGGAAATCTGCTCATCTGTGGAACCCCATCGCTCAGGTCGGAAATCATTTGCATCTGGCCCCCATGTGACTGGATCCCGGTTAGTGGCATAGCTGTTGTAACCAATGTATGTGCCTCTGGGAATGTGGATGCGGCCTCCGAGACATGCAGGCTCTGCTACCTGTCGGTTGATGAGCTGCGAGATGGGAGGTAATAGCCGAAGACATTCCAATATCGTTGCAGTAAGATACGGCAGGGATCGCCAGTCCATGCTGCATAGGTTGCTTATATTGAGATCCTTGACTTCGCCTCGGAGATTTTCTTGGATTTCCTGGTCTCTGCTGATTAGTCCATAAATCTGACAGCATGGTTTGCGGAGTGGGTCTCCTTGGAGTATGAGATGACTGTATACTCACCGGATATTTCCCTAGGAGATAAAGCGAGGAGACCATAAGCAGCTGTGGGTTCTCTTGGCCAGCCACATAGAGAACGTTTAGGTTATCCCGAAGCTGCTTCGTATTCAAGGTACCATCGCGCCATGCGGATCTGAGTCGGTCCCCGAGGCAATTTGAATTCTCGCCGTTCTGCAACCTTTTGCCTGAACTAGGAATAAGTTCGGCTTGAAGCAGCTCCGAGAATTGCCGTATCAACCTTCGAGCCTTGGCTCTAGACGGTATCACCGATGCGAGTCGGTCTAGTGCAGGAAAATTCATAAAGATGGGGCGAAATAAATATCGCTTCAAAGTTAATTGAGTGGTATGGAGTAGGACCTCGTGTTCCATGCTCATCATTTGAGACTAAGGATTCCATTTGAGATCAGCAATTTGGACAACAGGTAAAAGTTGAGATTCCAGTATTCACGTGGAAGATTCACGTACACCTAGCTCGGGACAGTGGAAGATGCAACATAGGAGATTCGCACTGGAATATCGCTGAAGAATCTCCTGTATGGGGATTTCTTTCCGCATAGATTTCCCCTGCATTTGCCGAAAGGTCTCGCATAACTTTTCTGCATTGTCGATAATAGGCTTGGTGTCAAAGACTTTCTGTAATCCAGGTTTGATTATAGTGCGGTAACAACGCCACTCTTCGTCTCGCGCGGAAATGATATTCGATCCTGCACCCAGAATATGGATCCCTGTCTCAGCTTCTATTATTCTAATATGAAAGGTGGAGCAGGTGGCTCACTCACCAAGAAAGTCAGCCAGAACGCTATGCGGGATCTTCTTTTGGTTGCCGCTTTTGTTGTATATCTGCTCTCTCTTCAACACTTCGGAGATGTATTCCGGCCGTTCAACGATGATATTCCATCGCCCACCAAAGAAGACTTTGATTGCTCCATGCTCGTACAGAGGAGCAGCAATATATTGCTCGAATATCTGCTGCTGATCAATATCAAAAAGGATTGGCAGCAAAGTAACCCAAAATGGGGCCGAGCGTATCTCGTGAGGGTGCCGCGGTGGCGTGAGAACAAACAAAAACAGTATGATCAGTGCAACAATAACCAAAAGAACCCAAGTGCTCATCATGATAATCTAATGGCTGGGTTATATCTCCGTAGAAGGGGTCGAAACTGACTCGGAACTATGAGGAGAATTCGATATGAGAGTCCGTCAGAAATATCTCTTTATTCAGTGGACTCTATTTATGCACCTAGAGAAGGATCCAGGAACGGAGCTCGATGAAATTACCCTCATTCGGCCTGATTGCGGGCTATGGCAAGTCATTTCCGGTTTTTTTTCCATTGTTCGTGTTAGTCTCCCACGGATGGCAACTGAGTCAATTTCGAACCAGCGAGGCTTCGTCCAAATCTGAATGTAGAATAGCTCGCTTACTCTTGCTTCAAGTGGGTCTATATCATTGTCGTTGAGATAATTATGAGTAGTGGTATTGACGGTCGAAGGGGCCAAAATGTAATATTACATGGCCAGCCGAGATTGAGGCTTACTCTGTTCCAAGGTTTCCTTCCTATATAGCCTGTTCAAAAACGGGATATCAATAACCTTTCGCGGAGTTCTTCACATCCAAAAGATGCAATCATTACCCAGCGGCCCGAAGGGCATTACGAGCATGAGTGATTGCGTCTATGACCGATTGGTTGCCATATACAGCCGAACACACCAGGGTGACCTGATCCAGTGTTTTGGGGGCGACGGACATACGGTACATTCAATCTGGTCGGCCATCAGAGCACAGCTCAACTTGCAAGAGTTCAAGTCATACCGACTGTTGCCCAACATTGCCCTCGATGAGCAGAATGCCTCCTCCCAGCTTATCAACATCCATGAGCTTCATCAAACCGATTCGTCCGTCATAGTCGGGGTTGCTCTACGTCTAGGAAGTGGACTTTCAAACTCATACTTTGATGAGTACTTTTGCAATTTACTGGTTCAGCAGATTGAACAGTTATCCAATGTTTTGGTGGCCGAACAGGCCATCACAAATGCCTCGGTTGCTGAACAGGTGGTTGATCTTTTGAATGATGAGCTGCTGGTCCACCCCTCGAACTCCCAATGGAATACCGTGGGCCGAGAATATCTCCTCCAAAGAGTCTCTTTCTTCACATCGCGTGGATTGACTATCGAAATGTGTTTGCCTGCTTTCCCTTGCAAATCCTCCAATCCAAACAAGGTTGCCGGAGCACTTCCAGACCGCGGCGAAGAGCTAGCGCTGCGGCGACTCTATGCGATTTCGCGGAAATTCAAGTCGATATACGAACCCGGTGTGAGGATATGCATTATCAGTGATGGACACGTTTTTAGTGACTGCAGTGAGTCAATCTCCTTGGCGAAATCTCGATGATCCTTTCTAAACATAATCGATCAAATAGTCGGAGTGGATGATGACCAGGTGGACGAGTATGGCCTCCGACTCCATGAGCTCAACGAAACCATCGCCACCAAAGAGAATCAGCCTGGGGAAGTCACATTTCAGTCTCTGAGAGACATCTTCCATTCCCCTCTGAAAGATGTTGTCGGGGAGACAAAAGCTTGCCAAATCGAGCTCCCCACTCTCGAACACTTCCTTGGCACAAGCATCTCAACTGAGACCGAATTTTGCCGACAAAGCTTAACGCTGGCGTGTCAGCCAGACAGGAACTCCTTGAGATCCCAGATCAAAGGCCAACACCCCACGATTGTTTCGCTATACCGTGGGTTCTCACGGTTCATGCTGGAGGATCTTGAATTACATCCTTACTCGCAAACAATTTCACGATCACAGAGGAAAAAGATCGCAGAGAAGATATCATTTGAAATGTTATTGCGCAATCAGGCCTACTCCAACCTCGTGGAATTGTTTTTCCCTGTGCATGTGCGACTTTCGATCCACGCTCATGTCAACTCCGGTCCCAAGTTTGGCATTTCGCTGTTCGATCGATCCAAAACGCGAGTGGTTGACAATCTAGACGACCTGTCGAGCATTGCAAAGCCGTCCCATGATCTCTTGCACATTCCAACCCCGTGGCACAACTGTGTTTTCCAAGTCTCGGGGAGCGACTTTACATATATTGCTAAATCGAAGGTGATCCACGAGGCTCGGCTGTCAAGCATTATTCAAGCAGACTGGGTGCCACATGATCGGGAGAGTGCCACAGGAGGTTATTTCCAGATCGATGCCCCTGCCCGTACCGAGACAACTCAAATTACCACTGTGAGCACTGAAAAAGCCCCAATCGTGTCATCTGTTCTTGAAGAGACTTCTCCTACGATTTCAGATGTCACCACCGATGAAGCAAAGACCAGCAAGTCTTCTCGGAACGCTCTCTTCCATGGGATCAAGAGGCTATTCCGATATAGGATTCGGGGTCTCCAATCGCGCACCCTCCATTCCCATACTCCAGGAGAAATGGGCCTCAAGTCCTAAGCCTTTCTACCTAGGCCAAGAGCGAATGCAGCCTCCATCTGTGCCCAGGTGCTGTCGAGGCCAGCAGGTGATGTTTGGCCTCGGGGGTGGCAGGATATGTACAAAATGTCCAGATCGAGGACCCTAGTCGTCTGAGGTCTGGCTCGACTGATCCAATATGTGTTGCTTATGGATTTTATTTCTCATGTTCTCATTGGTTCAACTAGTCGTGAATTTCAATTGCGTCCCACGTTCAAAACTTGATGGGTGTTGACTAGGTAGATACATTTGTCAGCCCGATTCTAATGCTGAGGCTTGGAGCTTCGAGTACGCAGGTGAGGCTTTGGGTCTACTATTTTGGTCTTGTAGACGAATTTCGAATTTGGGCAATTCCTGAGTGAAAATGAGCACATTTTGCTCCGGCTCGACAGCGGGGCTCTTGGCGTTCTTTTCTGTCGAGTTTTCATCGCGTCGGCGCAGAATGGGGTTCCCTGGCCTAGGCCTGCAATGCGTGACTACTATAAGAAAGGATATCCCTTCTCAACCGAAAATCTCAAAAGATGAGATGCGTGACGCAGATCTTCAATGAGATATGTGCTCTCCGAGGTCATGCTGCAGGTCGCATGTCCAGGCTCCAGTGGTCGCCTCCCAGTTCGGAAATGAAATGAAACGAGGCTCCCACAGAGATATGGTTCTCATTTCATTCATTTAGATTGCAAGAATCCGTGAATGTGCTGTTCGTGGACTCTGATGATCGAACGATTCGGTCTAGACGAGAACGGCACATCCAAGTCAATATAGTAAAATGAGCACATTTGCGTGCAAACTCACCGGTCCGCCTTTGCCGTGATTGAATAGACACGCACTACACGCACGTTCCGCTGCCTCACATATACATGTCTCGGACGCTTTGCAGATTGATATATTTGCGGGGGATTGCGCACGTTTTCCTCCTCCTTGCTTTTGATGCCAAGGGAAATGATGTGAGCGTCGGTCGCCAGATCTCATATGGGATTTGAGCCGAATGAAAAGATAAAAAGAGTGAGACGGGGCAAGTCCGTAGATTCTCTCTTCTTCACCTCTCTCTACAACATGGATCACAATATGAGCATGCATCACGGTGCACATGGGCAACATGGCCATTCTGACGGAGATGACATGCAAATGTCGATGTCGATGGTCTTTACCGCAAGCACCAAGATCACACTGCTCTTCAGCTGGTGGTCAACAACTTCAGTGACCTCATATATACTGACGTTACTTTTTCTCTTCCTACTTGTCTTGAGTAACCGATTTCTCGGCATTTTGAAGCTTCGCCTCGACCTCCGACGAACCAAGTCCACCTCCGATGCCCCTGATGTGCCCAAATTGAGCCTGCCATCTCAGTGGTCCCGAAGCCGACACTCCAAGGATCGCGTCAGCCCCCTTCCATCAGACATCGAGCACAATAATCACAATGAGATCGATCACTATGGCTCGTTACCTTCGGCTCCGCTTCTCGCGCCGATCTCGAGACTCCCGGGCTCTCGAGACGAAGGCCACATCACTACTTCACATGTCGAAACATTTAGGCCGCGCAGGAAGTGGGATTGGAAACAAGATGGTGTGAGATCATTGCTGGAGGGACTCCGGGCCCTTATTGGGTACGCATTGTAAGTCTTCGCTGCCTCAATCGATAGAGACGAAGTCTAAATGCTTGAACACAGGATGTTGGCCGTCATGACATACAATGTGGGTGTTCTGGCAGCTGTTATTGCGGGAATCGTGGTGGCTGAGCTATTCATGGGCCGCTATTCTCCAGTACCAGCTAGCTGGCAGGATGGTGCATGTCATGATAGCTAGATATTGCCCCGGGGGCGCTCAAATGAGCATTCTTCATATATTGCAATCGGTGGACGGGTAGATTCCCTCAATTCGATGAGCCTCTGGGCCTTTTATATGAATGGTTTGCCTTAAAAGACGTGACCGAGTACTGTGTAGCTGTAGGTGTAAGCTCCTGTTGAGGTCGGAGTGCCCAGAAATGGGTCCCACTACAATCACAACGGATGACTAAACATATTCACCACAAAAATCCAGAGATACTGTTTTCATACCCTATATTGGACTTTTCGTCTATAGACAGATCTCTATCTTAGGTATTTAACTAAGCTGCATCTTTTTTGTATACAAAAGAAAACGGATAGAGGAAAAATAAGACGAAGAAGACAACCTGAGAACAAAGGACTATTCACGTGATTATGTCACATGAGGTCACATGATATTTGTCTTCACAACCTTGGAATAAGTAGGAGAAGCCAGGATTTTAGTGGTAATGGATGCTCCCCCGCTCCCAGACAAATATAGAATCCAGATTTGGTCCTCAGAGTGTTTCCTACCTAGGTAATTTGGGCATAATCGTAGAAAATGCCCTATACTAAAGCCTTGAACAACTTTAGAAGCATGTATGTTCTAAGATCACATGACTAAATTATGGTGAATTTGTTGACTAAGCCGTTGTGATTGTAGTGGGACCCCCCAGAAATCGACATGATGACATAATATTTCCCCACCGTTGCTGGATCAACAAACTCCACACGCGTAAAGTGGTTTTCGCGTTGACCTTGACGTGTCTGCCTTCAGCTGTCCACAATTGAAGCAGATGCTTCAGAAATGAAGATAATCCCTGACCACCTGATCCAAGCCGCTTCATTGCAGTCGCCCGCTGCTCTGGCTTTACTTTATCCGATTACACCAAGCTCCCAACCTAGGCCCGATGCCCTACCCGCGCCCGGTCTCCCCACTCTCCCTCGAAACATGCGCCTCACCGCCACATGGCGATGACTTTGATGACTTCCTCGGCTCGGACGATGAGTTGGATACCACCTCGAGGGTCGCGAAGCGGCAACGCATCGAGAAATTGGCCGAGTCCTATCTGCAGGGAAAGCCGCTGTTTATTCTCTCTGCTTCCCTGAAGGGTCCGTTGGACGAAGAATGGAGAAATCCTTGGAAGAAGAACAGGAAAAATGGGGCTCGTACTTCAGAGTCGTCCAAATCCAAGATCAAGGGACCCGAGCGCGTGGCTAAGGAGACCGATTTACGCGCGCCGAAGTTGGTGGAACGTTTGCCCATTGGTAGTCGTGAGCCCGAGATACCTGCATCGTCTTTGAACTACATCGAAAGAGCCTCAGTGCAGCCTGGAATTCAGTCCTCATCCAGATCACAACGGAGGGACCCAGAACAATCCGCCTCAAGGTCAGGGCGTGGTGCGTCGAATGGGGTCTCACGTTCGCCTGCGAAATCTAGCGCCCAGCCATGTTCGCCAGCGAAAGATCAATCGCCAGTACCACCTCGGACGGCTGATTGGTTAAAGAAGGATCGACGGCTGATGAACTTCACCAACTTCGAACCGCCCAGCTCGCCGACAGCATCAATTTCATCTCGACATTCAGACAAGTCCCTGCGACCTCCGACTCGCAGTGTTCAGGTACAAGTTCCGCAAACACCAGCATCGCCAACAAAACCACGCGCCCTCAAAAAGGTACCACCGAAGACCGTCCAGAGTAGCACGAAAGGACATTCCTCACCTAAGTCAGCACACACTAGTGCATCCACCTCCCACCAAGTACAATCAGTGTCAAAGCAATCACCACTTAGGCGAACTGAGGCTACAGAAGATCCCCCTTCTCTGCGCATCGTTAATTCTTCTTCTCAGCTGCCAAGGTTTGAATACCGTCGTTGCCATGCTGAGAAGTCGAAGTCGCCAATGGATGACGAGAGTATCCTCCAAGAGGAAACCATCCTTCATGGCGAAAGCACCCAAGAAGAAGCTGCAGCTCCCTTGTCACCCAGTGGTAGCGTGAAGAATGACAGCATGGCCCCTACTCTACCGAATGGCACGGACAAGGCCGCCGCAAATCCGTCACCCACTGATTCCACCGATGTCCAAGCATCAAAGCCCGGTGTATCCGACTCCCCCAAAGCAGAATTTGACCCCACGGAGACATGCCCCCAACAAGCCGAAAGCCAAAAGACCTTATCCAAAGACCTTAGGTTCGCGGAAAACACGGATATCGTGAACGAGGACAACGACACAACGTTTCAAGGCACAGCGCCATCTACCGAGCTTGATCAAAATACCACTGAGCCAAACACATATGATGATCTTCCCTCCGCCCAGAGAGTACCAGCACCGTTGGGGGCCTCGGACCGAATCACGTCATTGCACTCGACGGCATTGCCCAAGGCAGATACTGATATCGACTCAAGCGTCAGTCCTGAGACTCAGCTTTCGACGCAAGCAGCACTATCCCACGCCCAGAAATCCTTCCAGGATGACCTGGATAGTCCCGCATATTATGCGACTACGCCCGGCCAGAATAAAGCCATTCATTCGCCTAGTGGGACATATTCCGCCAATGTCACTCCTTTCTATCGCATAGAAGAATCAATTCGTCGCGACCTAGAACAAGCCTCTTTATCTGCAGATAAGGACAGGATGCAAGCAATGAACACGCAGTTCATGCTCGACGCAGCTACTCCCTTCAACTTTAGCACAGAGCCAGCTGGACAAGACCGAAGCTGGAACCCGATCAACAAAAACGCGACACAGACCCTGAACACACAGTTCATGTTGGATGCTGCCTCCCCTTATGCATTCAGCACGGAGAAGAAGCCACGTGCAGCTCGTCCAGCCTCAGCCAAACGCATAATTACTGGATCCAAAAGGAAGCAACGTCATGATGCCAGCAGCTCCGCCTCTCCCAAGAGCGATTCTACAAATGTTGAATACGAATATCATTCTGCCCAATCTCATTCAAGCGGCAATGAGGCCAGCCCTTCGTCTGCCGCCCCAAAACCAGGCCATGAGTCCACCAACCTTCCATCCTTTTCACTTGACTTGGACGAAGCTACCCCAGTCGCAGGCCAAGACGGACAGGGCGTCAATCAAGCGGTGGAAACTTTCAATCTCAGCCAGGCCATTGCCGATGCCGGAAGTTGGCTAAAGCAAAGCTTTGACTTCATGAAGGATACTGGACAGCCGAGCCAAAGTTCTCAGAGACATTCTCTGAACATGGATCTATCCTAACAAACATCTCTAACGCTGCCATGACTTTGCATGTTATCATTTTCTTCTTCTCTGTTGAAACTTAAACAGCATATTAGCTACAGACAATGAGAGCATGCTAGTCACATTCTAGCTACTATTTTGTACATATTAATAGTTCATGTTCACATGGACCGTCGTACACTTCACCTCTCGGGGACTTTTTTCATTGATTTCAGACATCTTCATGTAAATAATCTCCCTGAGTTCGCACAGGCCTTCACAACCAATTGGATTCCCAACGCAAACCATCTGGAGTAGTAGCAGGTGGATGTGCAATGAGCCAGCCGATCGACGTCAGGCACCAGGTGGCCCGAGCGCCAGCGGGGAGAGCTCCGAACCGCATCGCCTCCCTCGCCGCATATCTCAGTCAATGGCAAGCCGAGATGGCCTTGACATCAGTAAGACAAACTCTTCATATTATTGGACTGCCAACTAACAAAAACAGTGGAAAGCGTTCAACTTCATCGACGTGTCGCCGGTGAAGCTTGAGGACAGCTCGGTCTTCAATGTGAGTCTCCAATCGTTGGTTCAAGCGCCGCATCCAGACCGCTGATTTCTTACCATATTCTTAGAGTGACCTATCGAGTATATGCACCGGCTCCGCGAATGTATTTGTCGGAACCACCGATGGCTTTGTCCACATCGTCTCCTCGGCCTTCCGCGTCGTGCGATCGTTCAAAGCCTACGACGACGGCTCCATAACGCACATGCGTCAAATAAGCGACACCGCTTTGCTGGTTACGGTTGCAGAAGATCTTTCCAGTGAACCGGTGCTGAAAGTCTGGGCGCTGGATACAGAGAAGAAAGATGGAGGTCCGCGATGTTTATCGACTGTCTCAGTGCAAAACGCCAGGAGACAGTTCCCGGTTCGTTCTGACCCGATCCCAGATGAGGCGAAGCTCTGCTTTACTAACTCTTGCCCAGATCTCTGCATTCGCTGCGACCGAAGATCTCTCCCAAGTAGCAATCGGGTTCGCGAACGGATCTGTGACGATCATCCGAGGCGATCTGATTCATGACCGCGGCGCCAGACAACGTATCGTATTCGAATCGGAAGAACCCATCACCGGACTCGAGGTGCAGAACGGCGCCATCACAACGCTGTACATTTCCACCACGAGTCGCATTCTTACACTGGTGATCGCCGGGCGAGGACAGGGCCAGCCGGCTCGTGTCCTGGAGGACACGGGCTGTGGATTGGGCTGTATGACCCTTGATAAGGAAGGTGGTGATATCCTGATTGCCCGCGAGGACGCCGTCTATACCTACGGTCCGCGCGGTCGTGGCGCAAGCTATGCGTTTGAAAGTCCGAAGACATCGATTGATGCCTTCCGTGACTATGTCGCTCTTGTCTGTCCGCCTAAGGCTGGTAGTGGAAAATCAGATCCGCTGAGGAAGTACACTGCCAATCCGGGCGAGGAAATATTTGGCACAACAACGTTCACGCTACTTGATACTGATCTGAAGTTCATCGCGCACAGTGAAGCATTGGTCTCACCCATGAAGCAGATCTTCATGGAATGGGGACAGCTGTTTCTTTTGACTACAGATGGAAAGGTGAGTCGACTTTCGAAGTGGTTTTAACAGCAACACTAACGCAAGTTGAAAGATTTTCCGTTATCGTGAAAAGACGCTGCAGCAGAAACTCGAGATCTTATATGAACGCAACCTCTACATCCTGGCGATCAACCTCGCTCAGAAGATTGGAATTGACCCGCTCCAGCAGAATGCCATATACCGCAAGTATGGCGATTTCCTGTACCAACGTGGGGACTACGACACAGCCATGCAACAGTACCTCCGTGCTATCGACAATACGGAGCCTTCGCAGGTTATTAGAAAGGTAAGCTGCTTTCCTTCCATTGATGGTCTGGCCTGCTTACCCGCAGTAGTACTTGGATACTCAGCGTATCCACAACCTGATCGAGTATCTCGAAGAACTGCATGATCATGGTCGGGCAACAGTTGACCATACAACCCTACTTCTTAATTGCTATGCAAAGCTCAAAGATACAAGCAAGCTTGATTCTTTCATCAAGGCTCCCGGCGAGCTGAAGTTCGATCTTGAGACGGCCATTGCGATGTGTCGACAAGGAGGTTATTCTGAACAAGCCGCCTACCTTGCAACGAAACACGGAGAAAATGACATGGTCGTCGATATCTTGATTGAAGACTCAAAGAAATATGCTGAAGCCGTGGAGTACATCTGGCGCTTAGACGCCGAAGTGGTACGTCGAGCCATCCGGGAGAAAGGCGAAGTACGCTAACATCTATCCCACAGGCCTACGCAAACTTGATGAAGTACGCAAGGGTGCTGCTCACTCACTGCCCTGATCGAACATCGGATCTGTTCAAGGTCTACTATTCAGGTCAATACCGGCCACGGACCGAGCCAGAAGAGCCCCAACAGCCCCAGCAGCAAGCCACCAGTACGGTCCAAAGTCTAGCTGCCCTCTTGCCTCTACGATATATGCAAGTTGGAAATGGCAGGCAGACAGAAACACTAGTGCCTGAAACAGAACCAACCGATGATAAGCCTGACGAGACACCGCAGTATGATATTCCCAAACCCCGGTCCGCGTTCTCTGCGTTCGTGGACCATCCAAAGGAATTTATCGATTTCTTGGAGACTTTGGCACAAAAGCCCGACCTGAAGAAAGATGCCAAGATAGACATCTTCACGACTTTGTTTGAGATGTACTTGGACACGGCAAAGAGGCAGAAAGACGCCACCGAAAAACAGGAATGGGAAAATAAGGCCAAAAATTTGATTGAAGTGCAAGATGTGAGTCACTGAAGCCCATCTGTACAGTTCAACATTCTAACCAGCATAGATTCCCATATCCACGTCCAACGTCCTCCTCCTGTCTGATCTATCAAACTTCCGCGAAGGTTCAACCCTTGTCCGAGAGCAAGAGGGCCTTCGTCTTGACATCTTCCGCTCATTCACTTCCGCAAAAGATACACAAGGTGCCATTAAGGCGCTGAGACGATACGGGCCCGACGAGCCCCAGCTCTATGTCGATGCATTAACATACTTCGCCTCGAGTCCTCAAATCCTCGATGAAGCTGGTGACGAGCTTGACGCTGTTCTGCAGCGAATCAATCAGGACGGTCTTCTCTCTCCACTCCAGGTCATTCAAGCCCTGAGCAACAACGCAGTCGTAACGATGGGTCGTGTCAAGAAGTATCTCAGTGATAATATCGACCGGGAGCGCAAAGAAATTACTACGGTAAGGACCCCTTTCCCCCTCTCCCATAATATCAGTCTAACCTCCCCAGAACCGTCGCTTGATCACAAGCTACAAATCCGAAACCACAGCGAAGCAGCAAGAACTCGACCATCTAACTAGCCAGCCCGTCGTCTTCCAATCCCGCCGCTGCCAATCCTGCGGTGGAAGCTTGGACCTTCCCACAGTGCACTTCCTCTGCAAACACTCCTTCCACGAGCGTTGTCTGAATCAGGTAGATGAGGATGCCCAATGTCCCGTCTGCGCACCGAGCAATGCAACAATGCGCGCTATCAGACAGCGCCAGGTCGACTCGGCTGATCAGCATGACTTGTTCAAGGGCGAGTTGACGCGCTCAAAGGATCGATTCGGTGTCGTGAGCGAGTTCTTCGGAAGAGGAATCATGAGGCCACAGGGTACGATGGAGTAAATGCGAATGCATTACACTGTCTAGATAGATGTCGATACTTTTGTTTTCGGGGTTCCGTACGCGAGGCTGGTTTTTCTTTGATACCTCGGTCTTTATTAGATCAAGTTGTTTTTTTAATCAATAGCAAGATATATACCAACTGTACACCCATACCTACCTATGTAGTCAATTGCCTTCCAAGTTGAGGGACCTATGTAGGTGGAAATAACCTTGAACATCGTCGTGGCCTCAGGGTCTATAGGTATGGAATCGATGGATATGAAGATATTTGAACAAGCAATGTATTGTATAGCTAACTCTGGCTTGTCTATAGTCACAAGGCAAGCGACAGGATCATATCAACACAGGAAGAAAAAAGACGATCATAACCATAGTGATCGAAGTCCTTATGCAGAAGCAATATGTGCACAGCGGAAATGAGAAAATACATGAAAATAATGCAAGCAGGTGTGCGACAGTATACCAAAATGGTAAACGTAACGTACAAGTCTCACGACATGCATGGGTCTACATAGGCAAGTCTTGCCTTAAGGAGGCAAATATTAAAATATGATGAACCGTAACAGGTTCATATTGATGCAAGAGAAACACGCTCAAAGCTCACGTCCTTTCTCGCCTCCCCAGGAAACACGGGGGATGTGGCGTGAGGCGGACTGTGAGTTAGACGCAGATCCAGATCCAGATCCAGAAGGCGAAGACTGGTCGGAGGATTTGGCTTCTTCAGGCTGGATCTTGCCAGCCTTGGAATCGACGTCCTCACTTTCCGAGTCTTCGGCGATGGCGTCATCGTCCTCTGAGTCTGATCCCTCATTGTCTGAGTCTTCACCGTCAACGCCCAACGCGGCGAGACGACGGCGACGCTCGGCGGGTGTTTCGCCGGTGTCGTCATCAATCTGGCGTGGGGGTGCAGTCAGACCGGCAGCCTGACGCAGACGGGATGGAGGGATACGCTCTGTGCCGTCGTCGTCGGAGTCACGGCGAGGGCGATCACGAGTGCGAGGGGGTGCGGGGCTCAGGTTGTTACGACGCTCCTGGGCGGCAGAGGTGCCGGCACGGGAGAACTTGGCGAGGGAGGAGGCAACGTTAGGGGAGCCATGGTGGCCAACATCATCGTCACTAGCGTCGCTGTCGGTGACAGACTCGGACTCTAGGGCCTCGGCATCTTCTTCGGGGATGGTACCGGTGGTAGCCCCGATAGCAGCGGCAGAGAGACGACGTTCTTGCTTCTCTTCAACCTTTTCTTCTTGCTTGGCTTCGGTTTGAGCCACTTCTTGGACCGGCGCTGGAGCATCGGTCTGCTGGACAACATCCCGTCGGGTCTTGGCATCCAGACCCTTGATCTGTTCGAAGAATTCCTGTTTGTTCATGCGTTTGCCCTTGTGTCCGATGCCGTGGGAGCTGACTTCGGGATCTTGGGCCAAGGTGAATCGCAGACCGTCGTCAGCCATCCAGCTGTCATTGTCCTTCTTCTTCTTCTTTTCTTGGGCGGCCTGGGAGGTTTCTCCCTCTTCTTCCATGCCGAACCAGGTTCCCATGCGAGTCAAACCGCGACGGACTGGAGCGTCGCCCGGAGCAGTAGGCTGGCCTTGAGGCTTCTCGGGCTTCTCGGTCTTCTTGCCACCGGGCAGAGTGTACTTCTTGATCACCTCACCATCCTCATCTTCAACAATGATGGTGTTACCGAATTGGTAAGCGTGAGCAGAACGAGGCTTGGGCTTCGCCGAGTCGGCCTTGGGCGGCTTTTCGGTCTTTTCGGGCTTCTGCGCCTTTGTCTCGGGTTGCTCATTGGCCTTCTCTTTTCCGAGTCCGGTCCAGTTGGTCCACTTCTTGATTGCTTTGCCGTAAGTTGTACCAGCCTTATCCTCCGCAGCGTGCTTGAGCTCCTCTCCCTCGTTCTTCTGGTGTGGCTGGCTTTCAGATTGAGCCAGCTCGCCTGTCTTATCATTTTCAAGACGCTTGCGTTGCTCTTCGATATGTGCCATCTTTTCTTCCGGTGATAGATGAGAAGTGTCCTCGGTCTTGAGCACATTGCCTTCTTCGTCCTCGATGATCATGTTGTGACCCTCTTGGTAGACCTCGAGTTGTGGCTCGCGGCCGAAGCGATCACGTTCGGCGTGAGGTGGAGAAGCTCCGCGCTCAACCTTATCACGCTCTTCCAGCTCTTTCTTTTCATCCTCGGTCTCAATCTCGGACTCCTTGCGAGGAGCGGGCATGATAGCAGACTGGCTGATGGGTCCGCCGGCACCAGAGTCACGCTTGCGGCGACGTCTCCGCAGGGGCTTGCGACGGGATGAGTCGAGACTCTGGGCTTCATTGTCATCCTCGTCACGTTGCCGGCGAAGGAAGTTGCCCGGCATTCCAATAGGTGGAAGGGTGCCAGGAGGATACTCAGGCAGCTTTTCATCGGAGGACGCATCGGTATCTTCCGCCTTGCGGAAGGACATAGAGCCCTTGGCAATGGATTGCACACGGGGGAGACGGTTCATCCAAGAAGGACCGTCCTCGTTGGCCTGGGTGTATGAGAGTGTGATGGTCAAAGTGTTGATGCGTTTGCCCAATGTGAAGACAGCGATAGAAGAGCCGTGTACCAAAATTGATGAAATGACCATGAAAGTGGTAATGGGCCAGATCAACCTCACGATGTAGTAATTGCTAGACCCTGGCACAGGAAGTTCGTTCTCAGGATCCGGTTGGGTATTGTCATTCTCCAGTTCGGCTCTGGCGAGAATGGCGGCGAAAATTGCGCCGACACCAATGGGACCGAAATGCCCAGCAAACAGTGCTTCTCGCCAGGTTTTGACGTCCGGTATAATGGGTTTGAGCATTAACATGATGGGGATGCGGCGGAAGAAGATGACCAATAATGCAATCACCACCAGTCTCCAGGGAGTGAGACCGAGAGCAGGGGAGTTGAAATCCTCCCAGGGAATAATGGAACCGAAGTAGACAAAGTATGCCAAGTTGAGCAGAAGATCAATAACGTTAGAAACGTGAGATTCTTCGGTTTTTTCGGTGAACCAACCATCATTACTGAATCCGACACCGCAGGAGAATCCGATGAGCAGGTCGTCCATACCCAGCAAACTTCCAGAACCAGCGCAGAAGACGGCCAGCACGAAGTAGAACACCAGGAAACTCTCACGATCAATCAGCCCTCTGCGCTCGGCCAACTTGATAGCGTGGCGGGCGATGTAACCGATCGCAAAGCCGAATATGGCACCCAACACACACTCGTACAGAACGGTGATACAGAACCAATTCAACCACACCTCGCCAACAGCGGGCCGGTAGTGATAGATGTAGAAGGACAGGTAGATGAATGGGAAAGCCATGCCATCGTTACACCCAGACTCAGCAGAGAGCAAGTCACGCAAATGCTTGGGAACACGCTTGGCAAACTTACCCTTACCAACGACGGACGAAGCCAGGACAGGGTCAGTGGCTGTAACGCAAGAAGCACAGATCAGACTTTCCAGCCAGTTCAGCGGGGGAACCATCCACCAGATGAACAGACTCGTGATCAGCCAGCCCCAGGTCATCACAGGGATAAGCAGCAGGGATACAGACTTCCAATGGCGCTCCATGTACGCCTTGGGCAATTCGACACCGACGGCAAAACATTGCACGACCAGAACGATTCGCGAGCACTCGAGTGTGATCTTGTCGATGTTTCCCCATTCGTGGGGGTTGAACAAATTGGCCGCATGGGGCCCGAAAATAATACCACAGAGTGTGGCGACTGTAGCTTCACCGATGTACAGCTTTTCCTTGACGAACAGGGAGCACAGCATGAACAGGCCCGTGAAACCGCCCAGGATCATGTACGCCAGATGCGGCTTATCAATGTCCAAGTGATCCCACGCCATTATGTGAAAGTGTCGGCCGAGGACCGGGTGGGATTATGAAGGGTTGTATTAATCTCCGGGTTGAAGATATGCGTCCGGCGCGTACAGCGACCAATTTACCGGGTGTATTCCCGCCTCGAACTGCGATGGACCGTGTAGCTCTGCATGCCTTGGTGAATCGGTGGTCGGAAAGCCGAAATGCCGAGCCTCGTAGGGCTGATCTTGGGGGGCTCGAGAAACCTGGGCGCACGTCCGACAACGGAGAGGTACCGGCAATTCAAAATCTGCGGGGTGCAGATACGAAAGCCAAGATGTGGAGGGATGCGACAAGAGTGCGAAGCCTTGAGGGAGGTGAGAAAAAAAAGACTCGTAAGGCTTGGCCTCAGGGTAGTCGGAATGGCACTGGGGAGGGAAAGAAGAAAAGAAGAAAAGGCCGGCCTCAGCAAAACTTGGTCAGAGTCTTGGGAACTCTTGGCCAAGCAGAGAGAGACGAGTGAACGCGTGCTTGGGGAGTTTTGCCCAGCACGCAGTCTTCTTGGAAGCGGCGGGATTCGTCAGCCGAGACTTTCTGACCCACGTCGGAAGCGGAATGGGTCTTGGCTAGCGGAGGCGGGCGTACGAGGACTGGGCTTTTTGCGGTTCGAGGGAAAGTGATTGGTGAGAATGTAGTGGCAGTTGGAGTGGCTGGGGTTTAAAGTAGACTAGGTGTCATATGTAGGAAAGATGAAGCAAGGGATGAATCGCGATTCCCGAACCCGTATTCTCGTCACGTATGGTAAATCAGCCCTGCCAGCCGCCAAGAAATAGGGTCAGGGATCATCGTATGTGGTCAGTGGCGTCGCTTGGGCTGTGGGGAATATTGACTGTTGCGATAGTGTAACACTTTGGTATCTTTGAGATTATGAGATCTGATCGCCTTAGACCTAGATATACCTAGGTATCTCGTATACTCTTCGTATATTGACCTTTTCTGTTCTTCATTTCTCCATCTGGTCCATGGATGTCATGTATTGTAACCCGTATCCATGCAGTACTACCACGACTATATACGGCGAACTGCATACTGCCCTGTATAAAGCGAGATTCAAGACTGAAAGACTGAACGACTGAAACACTGAAAGATTGAAAGACCACAAATCAATTGGGGAATACAAACATACGTAGATAATCACCTGGACATGGAAAACTCCCTCAATCCAATGCCGAGAACGTGCGTATCCGCGGAGAAACAAGGAACAACAAACAAAAAAGCGCTGTCATGCAAGGCACGCGCATCCCGCGCCTCGGAGAAAATCAACCAGAGAGACGAACAATCACATCGATGAATTCATGTTGTTGATCGGGTTGAGGCCCAATCCTGCCCGCCTGCCCAGCTATACGCCCGTCGGCATCCCTTCGACCTCGTCGCTCAAGCCGCGCCAGTTGTCTGCCTGCAACTCAGCGTACTTGACCCGCTCCTGACTCCAGTCCTGGTGTAGACGGCTGATATGGTACTGGCTCTGCTGGAAGTGAATCAGTTCGTCTCGAATGCATTCCTTGATGAAGACGCCTCGAGCGTGCTGTTCAACGATGGTTGCTTTGTCCTAGAGGTAGAATAGTGTAAGCGAGATGGCAAGGGTCACAAGTCTCATGAACATTACCTTGTGGATAGAATCCCCGACCTTCTCGATCTCCCCGGGCTTGACAGTTCCTGCGGGTCGGGCGTGGAGATCCTGCAGTTTCTGCTCGTTCGTCTCGATTCGCCGCTCCAACTGCGGGATGTTGTTCCGTGCATACCGATCCCGTCGATCGAACATCTCAAGAACACTGAAGAGGCAATCACGTTGCCGCTTGAGATCTTCTAGAACTCCCTCGGTCCACCCTCGGGCCTCGTCCTCCAATAGGCTTTGGCTGGTAGAGAGGTGACGAGCAGTAGCGAAGATTCCTTCGTTCAGAGCCGGGATATCATTGGTATCCACAGCATACGTGTCTTTTGTCACTTCAGTAAGAGACTGCAGAGCAAGGGAGAACCGGAGATGGTCCGCGGCCAAGCCGTCGTTCCGCTTGGCCAGCCGTTCGAGCAAAGTACAAAGATTAAAATAAATATCTGCGGATCGCTTGACTCCACTGCGCACTGTTTCGAAAGTGTCGACGAGATCGTTGGGCAGTGACTCTTCGAGATCTGGCGGGAGTGTTCTGCCAACGAATTCATCCTGAACCGAGATTGTGGCCTGCTTTCGCCACACTGAGAGCTCCTGTCGAAACAATTAGCAACTGACGGGTGTTGGACCTCATCAGACTCACGGTTGGAACTGTCAGGAACATGACAACCAGTTGTTCCTGGCCGAGAACAGGGTGGCGGACGAGGGCGTTGGTGAAACGGACGAGACCATGCCGGCGCCGTTCGAGGAAAGACGATGAATCCGCTGAAAGGTGAGTGCCATTGACTTCATAGTTGTGAGCAAGTAAATAGGTGCGCCACTGCAGCGTTTACATACCTGAAACACGCTTGGGTGGGAGAAGAGGCAGTTGCCTAAAAGGGAATCGCTTTTGGAGACAGTCCAATAACCAGACGAAGTCACTGTAGCGGCGAATGACCGTGCTGCCTCTGCGCGCCGACTTCACCTCATAGTTGCGATGCTGGAACATGAACAGTCCTTCCTTTTCGGGAAGCATGGAAACGGTGACAATTTCCTCCACCTGCGGGTTTGTTGTGCTGCGGCCGAGGCCTAAAGATCGACGTCGCGGTGCGAGCGGGTTTGGGCCATCTCCTGGATGGCCAAACCCACCCAGGGCTGTGCGCTGTGTGCCTCCAAAGCTGCTCTCATCACTCTGGCTTGGGCCGCTAGTATTATTATTTCCCCATCCTGAACCAGCACTACTGGGCGGCGCAAGTGCCGCCTGGCCGTTAGCATGCCCATGCTGGGACGTACTGGCTCGAACAGACTCTTCGTTCATATGATTAGACCAAGCGTTCGCGGTAGAGCGCACGCTGCCAAAATTGTTCGGCATAGGTTGATCAGCGCCACCCGCTGCATGGTTGTGACCCCGATGTAGCTGCGGACTGCCCCACGGGTCGGCCTCCAGTCCACCCAAAGACTCTCGTCGGTATGTTTGCGATCGCGCCGAGCCCGGTGTTGGCAAGGGAAGGTCTTGGGGTGGAGGAGTTGCTGGTCGCTGGTCTGATTGCTCTTGCTCGGAGGGCGCGTCGCCGGTCGCTCGTAGCTTGTCGAGATAATCGGCTTTCGGCTGCGGTAATTCTGCGTGAAGCTCTAAATTAGGGATAATCTCGTCTTCACCGCGAAGACAACTCACTTTTGCGTCGGTCGTCCACTGCATCGAAAGAGAGGTCTTCGCCTTCCTGTGCTAGACCGACCAGAGCTAACAGCACATTGAACTCCCCGCGACCTAGCCCACCGAAACTTTCGTGGTCCCCGGACGAGACAAGATTCAAAATTTTGCTTTGGTCCGTTGCAGAAAGCCTGCTACTCGAAAGAATCTCTCGGACAGAGGTCAGTCCAATCCCAGAGCCAACCCTGTCCCCGCTATTCAAGATTGAGTCGTATGCATCAATGTAGCTCTCCGGTACGTCGGAATTTGGAAGTAACGTCCGGGCGAGATCGCGTCGAGCTGCTCGTTTCGCGGTGTTGCTTTGGATGTTCCAAGGAGAGGAGCTGTCATCGCCGTCGTCATCGGCGAACAGCGAGGAGCCGCCCGTAGCCGGCTCGTCCGCGAACAAGGAGGACTTGGAGTTCTGGGCGAAGCCTCCGGTCGAGCGATCTGGGGATTCGCCGAATAAGGACATCTGGGCGTGGGTTTGGCGCCGCTGTCGGGGTCAGGTGTGGAGGTGATGACAATGACGATGTTGACGATCAAGCGGAGCTCGGGGTCGCACGGGTCGACAATGCTCTCTCCACCAACGCACCGCAATCGCCAAGAGAAACCAGTCAACACAACTGAAAAGGAAAAAAAAAAAAGAATGCGAGTTCAATCACGGAAGTGCAATGACTAGGGCGAGATAACGCAATGTCGCTGGTACCACGCCCAACTGGGTTAGCCGACCATGTCCGTCGTACCGAGTACTTCCAAGGTGAAGACTTCGTACTTGTGTCACCAAGCTTCCCTCGGTCCTGCATGCTATTAGGATCGCCATTTGATCTCCAATCTCTGCTATCTTCCTGATTTTGGATAAACAGAAGTGGACAATGATCTCTAGGATCACTGATACGCAAGGACATGGGACGATTCGGAATATATATCAGCTGAACGAGCACGATCTATCAGGCCTACCTAGGTACTATAACCTTGGAAACTTGCTTGAAGGTTGGTTAAAGTCGGATTCAGCCATGTATGAAGAGAGGTCTAGCGTCTAGCTGTGAATCGATGTCCAGTCCAGCCCTGGAAGCAGTGCTGATGCTGCTTTGCTGCCATGGCTATCTGAACGGAACATCTATGTCCAATCTCCACAGAAAGATCTGATTGCCATTGGCGGCGATTTCCCACTATTCTACTCCAGGGCTCTCTTGGCTCATCTCAGATGCAAGTGCCCCACTGGCTCTTATCAAGTGTCCAATGTCGGCTGGCTGCCCCGACATGTCACTTTTGGTAGGATCCGCCTTCTCCACAGCTACCGACTTGAGAACCTCCACATCGGAGAGGAGCCCCGACAGTACGGAGTACGAAGTATGCATAGACCATGCAGTTGTTCGGATGGTGAATGTGAATGGCTCACCTATCGCGGGGTGTCGGCAAATGGAATTATATAAAACCAACGCAAGCCTTCGCGTTGTTCTGTTCTATTCTCTATCCCCAACTTTCATCATATAACCGGGCACAAGATGAGAATTACTACGCTACCACGAGCTGCTAGGCTGAGCTCTCTCAAGTCTTGTACGCTCAATGGTACACCGAGGAGATACTTGACTATGCTGAGTCCTCCCAAATTTGAGAATGAAAAGATGGTGAGCTTTATCGAATAACAAGCTAGCTAGCCCTGGGGCTTTCACTAATATCTTCAGCTCAACTATGCCAAAGGCTCCCCAGAAAGAGCCGAGTTGACACACGCCATCCGAAAGCTCAAGGATCAATTCCCCTTGACCATCCCTATCACTATCAATGGCGCGAAGGTACGGAACTGGAATAATAACAATGAAAAAGGATTAACGACATGATATTAACATTCTACAGATTGAGACGAAAGAGTCCCGCTCTCAGCCAAATCCCTCGAAGCATCGCGAGATTGTCGCCAACTACGCCTCCGCAACCCCAGACCAAGTGAATGCCTCCATTGACGCCGCCCTCAATGCAAAGCCTGCCTGGGAAGCAACGCCCTTTGAAGACCGAGCTGCTATCTTTCTTCGAGCGTCTGAATTGATCACCGGAAAATATCGATCTGATATTGTTGCTGCTACAATGCTCGGCCAAGGCAAGAATATCTGGCAAGCGGAGATTGATGCTCCCGCCGAGACAGCAGACTTCTTCCGTCACTATATTCAAGAGGCCTGGGCTTTGTACTCCCAGCAGCCCCGAGTTCATCTCGATGGTAACTGGAATAAGATGGAGTATCGCCCACTGGAAGGCTTCACATACGCCATTGCTCCGTTCAATTTCACCGCACTTGGCGCGACGCTCATTGGACCGGCCGCATTGCTTGGGAATGTCGTGATCTGGAAGCCATCAGACTCGGCCCTCCATGCCAGCTGGCTGCTATACCAGATCTTGGTTGAAGCTGGTCTACCGAAGGACGTTATCCAGTTCTTACCTGGCGATGCCGAACAAGTCACCAACACCGTTTTGAAGAGACCCGAGTTTGGAGCTCTGACTTTCATCGGTGCCACGTCTACCTTCAAGGGTATCCAGAAGAAGATTGGCGATGGCATCGGTGCCGGTGTATATAACTCTTACCCCCGAGTGGTCGGCGAGACCGGAGGAAAAAACTGGGGCGTTGTCCATCCATCCGCGGATGTGCGAAGCGCTGCGCTCAACACCATCCGAGCAGCCTTTGAATACCAAGGCCAGAAATGCTCTGCCAACTCGCGTGTCTATGTCGCCGAGTCTGTCTGGCCTGAGTTCCAGAAGGTCCTGTCCGAAGAGACTGCGGCACTGAAGGTTGGCGACGTCGAAGATTATGCCAACTTTATTAATCCCGTGATCCATGAGCGCTCATTTGACAAACTGAACAAGTTCATTGAAAGTGCAAAGAACGACTCCGAACTTGAACTAATTGTCGGTGGTAAGGCCTCCAAAGAGGAGGGCTACTATGTACACCCTACCGTGTATCGGACAACCAATCCTCGCCATGAGATCATGTCCGAAGAGCTCTTTGGGCCCGTGTTGGGTATATATGTCTACCCAGATGCTGAATGGGAACAAACTCTGAAGCTAGTTGACTCGACCTCTCGCTACGCCTTGACGGGAAGTATCTTCGCCAAGGACCCGTATGTCAGCCGTCAGGCGCAGACTGTTCTCAAACATGCGGCCGGTATGCTGTACTTGAATACCAAGTGCACTGGCTCTACCGTGGCTCAACAACCCTTCGGTGGTAGTCGCGACTCAGGCACAAATGACAAGACCGGTACTATGGCGCATTTGCAGCGTTTTGTTAGTACTCGGACTATCAAAGAGGAGTTTGTTCCACTAGAGAAGGTCACATACCCTTCGAATGAGGTTTAAGATTAGGAGGCAATGGAAATCTGGAATATATGGTCAGATTTGCAACTTATAAAATACACAAAGCTCTAAGTTTTCTATACTGTGACAATGTGACAAAAAGATAGGCGGTACAGGTAAAGACAGTGGTTTGAATGACCAAGAAGAGCCGTCTTTAAGAGAGTCTCCGATGCGTGAGAATAATCAAGCGACAGATGTGCTTCTAATCACTCGAAGCGGATGTAAACCTTGAGCTCTTCTGTGCGATTGAAGCGCTGGTAATAGGCGGGCACATCCTCAATATCAATGGTAGCAGACTCGATAAAGCTCGGGCGCGCCTGACCAGTATGGATGAGATTGACAAGGTGTGGGGCAAGGCCCTTGGGATCGACCGGGCCAGCCTGGAATCTCAGTCTCTTGGAGAAGAAGTCTGACAATGGGAAGTCCAAGCTAGGGGACATAAGATGGCCAAGAGGAGCACCCGGAGAATCTTGCTGGGCCATCCAGACTCCGACCTGGCCAATGCCTCCTCCAATGTGAGTTAGAGCAACCATTTGCTGAACAATTATGTCCTGCTGATGCTGCAATTCAGGGTTCAATGCCTCCATTCCTACGCAGTCAACCGAGCGAAGAACACCGTTAGGCTCAAGAGCAAGAATTTGCTCGACTGGATCAGATTCAGCAAAGTTGATAGGGATAGCGCCAATGGAGGCTGCACGCTCGAGGCGCATTGCAACGTGGTCGACTGAGTATACTTTTGATGCACCGCGCAAAAGTGCCGAGTAAGCAGCGAGTAGCCCGACAGGGCCGGCACCAAACACGGCAACAGTATCACCTGGCTCAAAGCCAGAGAAGTCAAGGGCTGACCAGGCAGTACCGAAGATGTCGGATACAGTGAGATAATCTTGCTCGAGGGTGACGTTGGTGGTGTTGGCAGTGATAGGTATGGGAATGAGATTCGAATCGGCAAATGGGACTCGGGCGTATTCAGCTGTTGGACACTATGTTAGGTTCTTCTCTTATGAATTCCGTCTATGGAACAAATTCCCCTCTGTAGAGTATGGCTGAAGACCACATACCTTGAAGACCGTCTATCAGCCCGGCGGCGCCGTTTCCGAAGTATTCGAGCGCTTCGGGCTCCATTTGAATTTGTCCGTGGTTCGCGGTGTCTGGAATGATGACATAGTCACCAACCTCAAAGGCAGACACGGCACTACCGATCTCCTGGATATATCCAACTGCCTCATGACCCATGGTCCAAGGGGGTGTGGCACCTGCTACTCCGTGGTAGGTGTGAAGATCAGACCCACAGAGTGCTGACATGGTAATGCGAACAACAGCATCTGTTGCGTTTTGAATCACTGGCATTGGAAGGTCCTGCACAGCCATCTCAAACGGATGGCCGTTGAAGACTACTCCGCGCATGGTGGCATTGAGTGTCGTATTGAGAATCCCGGCCAACGCCATTATGAAAAAGTACAGTTGAGATGAGGAAAGAGTGACAGTATGAAGATGAGATCGTGATATGGGATGAGTTTGTGCTTTATACCTCGCATGTACACACGCGTAATCCGTCTCAGTGTTACTATTGCTTACAGTGGACATATGCTATTTCCGTTCGAATATTCCGAATGACCAGTGCTTCCAAAAGACCCGTAGCCAAAAAAGGGACCCAGCGATAAAAGGCACCATCAGCCCCTCGGACATAAGACTTGGCAAGGAAACGGAAAGGGACAGCCGGGAAAAAGTCCCTGGTGGTACGCAACCTCTTCCGAAAAAGATTCTTGGCTCTGTAAATTAGAGTTCAGATACCCCTTCACATCCGTGGATAGATACCATGGACCCGTAGACCTTATTTATGCTTATCATACGTCAGACGTGGCCCCCCCCAGGCCCTGGGCCTCTTCGCGAAGTCCGCTAGTACAGGTTACAGCACCGGCCAAGCAGCCAGGGAAACAGTGATCAAATTCTTGAACATTTAAAGACCATGATTGCTCAGGGACTTTAGTTGACTAACATTTGTTTTTCTCACAGAACCACCTCTTTCTCAACAACTCTTACCTCACTTCTCATTAACGAAAATGTCTCTTCCCGTACACCCATCTGCTCGTTTGCCCTTGGACCGCCACCGTCAATTGGCGCCGTCCGCATCGGTTAAAGTATCTCCGCTCTGTCTTGGCGCCATGAACTTCGGGGACGCGTGGAAGGAGAAGCTAGGCGAATGCGGCAAGGAAACAACGTTTGCAATTCTCGATTACTTCGTGAGCCAAGGCGGCAACTTCATTGAAACCGCCAACAACTACCAGAATGAGGAATCCGAAAAATGGATTGGTGAATGGATCTCCCAAAAACAGAATCGAGATGAGATCGTTCTCGCCACCAAGTTCTCGAGCAGCTAGAAGAATCACGAAAACAAACTACAATCCAACTACGGTGACAACGGTGCCAAGTCGATGCGAGTCTCTTTGGATCTTTCACTCCAGAAGTTGCGGACAAATTACATCGACATCTTCTATCTCCACTGGTGGGACTATACCGTTTCAATCTCCGAGTTGATGCACAGCCTCAACAACCTAGTGGTGGCTGGCAAGGTGCTATATCTTGGCATCTCCGATAGTCCCGCCTGGGTGGTAGCCAAGACCAACCAATACGCTCGCGATAACGGCCTGGCCCAATTTTCTGTGTACCAAGGCCTTTGGAACGCGTCGATCCGGGACTTTGAGCGCGAGATCATCCCAATGTGCCGCCATGAGGGCATGGGCTTGGTCTCATGGGGCACACTCGGTCAAGGTCGATTTCAAACGGAGGCAGGACACAAGGAGCGGGAGAAAAATAGCCCTGGTCGGAAGGTTGCGCCTACCGAGGATGAGAAACGTGTCTCCAAGGCCCTTGAAGCAATTGCCAATTCGAAGGAAACAAATATCACCAGCGTTGCTCTCGCCTATGTCCGCCACAAAGCTCCTTACGTCTTTCCAATTGTCGGTGGAAGGAAAGTGGAGCATTTGCCTGGTAACATCGCTGCCTTGGATCTTTCGCTCAGTGCCGAGGAGATAGCGCAGATCGAGGCCGCCTACAGCTTTGACCATGGCTTCCCGCACACGTTCCTCAGCGGCACTAGCTTTGAACGTAGCTCTTCCCGTGCTCCTGATGACCCTGGTGATGTCTGGCTGACGAGGCTGATGGGGAACTTTGATTGGATCAAGTCTGAAGAGGCCATTGAGGTGACTAACCGGGGTTGAAGTGGTGGCTTGCCTGGCTCCAGCGTCACATTTTATCGTATCAATACTTATGGATAAGTCTCCATGCCCCAGAGTCAATTTGGGCTTTCATTCTGAGCCACTGTGGCACAAGAGACTTTTTTAGTGCTCAGAATTATGGTTTTATATGAAGAGTTTGTTGCTTTTGCCTCCGGATTGTGACTACCACGATCTATGTTTCGATTGCCATTATACGTAGCCTTCGGGGATGGGTGCAGCGTGATCAGACACTAAGCATTAGAGGGTCTTCTCCACGCATTGAACGCCAGTAATTAGTCGATTGAACCAACTGATGGCATCCCTTAACAACCCAACTCCACTTATGCAAGAAGTCCTCGCTGACCTCCCATCCGCATGGCTGCCATGGGCTTGTCCAGACGATCAGACCGGTCTTCTCGTGTGAAACGTCGTAGAAGTCAACGAGATCGTTGCAAAGGGCCATTTCGTCAAAGTTCTCGTAACACGACAGAAGGTTATCTCTTAGCTGGGGGATCGGGAAGAGGTCTATCCACGGATGGTGAGATACTTCGCGTTGCAATGAGGTGGGACGCAGGTTTGTGGGACAAAGCGCCATTTGAGATTCAGGTATGCGGGAGCACCAAGGTGAGATAGCATCCTCGTCAAGCCAGTCCATATCAAATCCTACCATGGACGTGTTTTGAACGAGTGCTCTGAAGACATTGAACTGAATCAAAGTCAGGAGTTGATCTACCCTTGGAGACCCCAATGCATAGTTTTGACGGGCCGACATCTCGTAACGCTCCATGATCTTTTCGATTTCTGCCCATTTCATATCATGTATTGATTTCGCAGGCTCAGAGACCGGTATCAAGGTTAATGATCTGGCTTGGACCCCATTGCCGGGGCCAGTCAACTCGATATTCGTTTGTTGGCTTTCGCCCCCTTGTTGTTCGGCCGCCAAAGGGATCGACTCCCGCACAGGCAGGGTGGTGTCTAGGTCCGATTCTGGAGTCTCTGATGAGGGTTTCGCTCTTCTTCGTCGGCCTAAGCCCCACTAATTTAGGTCAAGGTCATGTTTATTGGGTGGACATTGACTTACGGTAAAGCCTCTGGTTTAGACGATTTTGTAACTTTCGCCGAGATGCCGGGTCAGTAATACCAGTCCAGTCCTCTTCTGGCCGACGAGTCTCGTCGGGTACTCGCGCTCGAAGCTTTTGCGACATGCAGACACGAATGGCTAACCTGTTTAAAGTGGACGCGTCAATGTTCGTGACACATATTGAGAGTGCGCTGGCACTGACAGCGGAGGTTAATCACCGCTGCCTTTGCCACATTCTACCGCTTCTCTTGCTTGGCATTGGGACTCAATTCACCGTTGCCTCAAATTTCTGAGCATAATCGACTTTGCGATGAGCTCTGGTCCCGGACAAGATCTGTCGTATTAGTGGTGTGCTCATGTATGTTACAAGAAATAACACTGTATGGTACACAGAGTAGGTGAAGAAGAGATAGAATACTGGAAATACCATAGAAACGGTCAGAGCGATACAACATAGCGTAAAGAACGTTCAAAGTTACCAATCTCGACATTTCCGCACCAGGACTAGTGCGGCAATAATGACGTATGATAAGCACAGGATCCACCGGAAATAAACAGAAGCTCCAATTTAGCAGTACAGTACTACAGGAGTAGGATTTTCGATAGAAATAGATGGGTTCTAGAGAATGATCAGGTTGTGATGCAAATTTGTCGAGTTGCGACCTAGTTAGGCTGAGTGTTCGAATCATTGCAACATTGTCTAGAGGAATTCTGCAATGCCGAGAAAGAAAGGCTATAAAGTTCATTTGATCATCTTTCATGTTTTGAAGACCATGCTTCCAACCGTGTTGCTCCTCCAACTAGAAAAGTACAGTACGCCAATAAACAAAATACAAAGAGCAGTCCAGATAAAGAGATAATGCTCCCGAAGTTATCTTGCAACATATTGACCTGGGTGCCTGATGGGGAGTGCTGGCAATGTCTTTCAATGGCTTCCTCGATCATCTCAGTATGTCCGATCTGAAGACCGAGGCAATGTAGGACTTCCTCTTTCAATGTGGAGTCTTCACCGGCCCCCGAGCATAGCATGCTTAGCCTTTCGGCCGTAATGTAAGGAGGATCATAGGTCTGAATCCAGCCATCACAGTCATTACTGAGGCGGCGGGTACCGGCCTGGGTATCTTGGTGTTTATGGTTGGCAGTCTGTCGATTATTCTTGTGTGGATGGGCCTTTTGGACAGTTTGTTGCTCAAATTTGCCATGTTCTGGTCTGGCAAGATCTCCAACGGACGAATTTGACAGAAAGTTCACTGATAGAGTAGGTGCAGCTTCGGCTTCGGGGATCTTGAAGAGAAAGGACACCAGCAAAAAGAATAGGCACAGCATGTGCACCACCTTTCGGAACTGGTAGCAAGACATTTGGCTCAAGTTCATGCCTCAATGGCCGGTGGAATATTCAGCAAAATATCATACAGAAATATCTTTCAAAGTGTATAAACTTTTTGAAATAGTGTGCCTACTTGGTTTCTCCACCCAGAACCACGGCATATCGAGTCAGCATCACCGTGATGACATCTTAACTCCGGCCCCGAAAATAAGCTTAATTACCGAACCAAAAATACAGCATAACATCAGCCAAGAGCTCTTTTTTGCATAAATTGCTCTCCAAGCCTGCTATGAATAGATATTATTTACCATTTTTGGAAGTACAAAAACTAGTATGGCAAAGAAGACAAGAAAAAGGAAACAATGACATACGATAAGCAACAAGAAAACATTGAGTCTAGGTGCCGTTCGGTAAACAAATCGCATGTGGTATTTCAGTACATACTTTGCAGTATGTGCTACCCTCCAGAGCCCACTGTCTTTATTTCAAGGTCACAGATTTGTACGACTCAAACCTAGTCGTTCTACACACAGGTTGAGCCCCTACCCGAAAGCAAATTACATATTGAGGCGAAACTGTAGCCAGTATAAGTAAAGGTCCGACCTCTAAGCCAGAAGAGAGACTCTCAGAGGAAGTAGGATTATCTCAAGACGGATGCTTATTATTTGGCAGGATACTTAAAGGGTTCGCACTTTCTCTCTCTCTTCTCTCGCTTTTCTCATAGATCAATCCACTAATTGATCAACAACTTAACTCAGTTTCAGGGCTGGGAATGATAAAAATACTTCTTCTTTGAATTTATCAATATGTTCTTTATCGTGAACAAAGGATTGATCGCCCCTGCCTTTGCCGGTATGAAATTCTTAGCTCAAACGCATCATTGTGCGCATAGAATTTGAGGTTCTTATATTCATTTTTAAACAAGTTCCCAGCCAGATCACAGAGAACTATATCTAGCGTGGAAATTTCTGTCCCAGAATCATTTGTTTCAGCACTCTTTTAAAACCCCCAAACCGATCAACATCCCAAGGATGCCACCGAGTCCTCCGAAACCGCCGACAATGCTCCCGATTCTGAGTAAAATGAACCGTGTTAACGAAAGGTAGGCATAAGAGGTAGCAGCCCAAATTTTGGATAGATGGGTAGCTGATGGATTCATGCCAGAGCGTATGCTATCACCACTGCCTTACTTGGCAAAAGGAGGAGCACTCCATTCTGGCGCAAATGTAGCCATGCCCGTCCATCTATGGATACTTCTGGCATGAGTCAAAGACAGATAAGATAATCCTTGGATCAAGATCATCAGCCAGATAATAGTGAGACAAAATGAATGGCAGACAATTTTGACGAAAATCTTGAAAGGTGTATGGCTGCTCCACATGGATGGCTGGAATGGACCGCAGTAGGAATTAGTGATGTAACATCAATCCCGGCGCTGACGGACAGCGATGGAAGAGACCCGGATTGAGCTTGCTCAATATTCGATAGTCGGATACCCCGCAAAGGTAGCTGTGAGTTGGCATCGCGGGACAGGGTTTCCTGGTTCCTAGACCCCCACCGTCGGAGGGCGACTCCGATGAAGTGTCGGCTGACTATCGGTGAGTAGATCGCGATGCGACTGTTGGTGATCTGGAGGTACTGGAGTGCGATTGTGAGGTGAATATAAAATACTCCATGGAGGTGACTGGATAACCTGACTGCGACCTCCAAAACTTTCCATACCAAACATTTATACCTCAGGCCAAAATGCTTCCTCGATCTACCCTGGGAAGACCAGCGCAACGTTTTCTCAGACAAAGTCCTCAATATGTGATTCACCGTCGTTCTCGCTCAACCAAGTCTCACTACCACGATGCCGCCCTTGAGCCGGCAATCAGGCCCCCCGTTCAGATCTCGCCTATGGCTCGACTGCCAACGAGATTCTTGCTACGATCATTGCTTCTCACTTCGTTGATGACCTCGAAGATATTCTTACGACCGGCTCTAGCTCTTATCAGCGTTCTTTCTACCTCCAAATCTGCACTGCTCAACCCGGATCGCAATATTGCATTGAACAAGCTACTTCGCTGGACAGTCTACAACCACTTTTGTGCCGGCGCCAATAAGAAGGAAGTGTCACGGACCGTGGCTGATGTTAAGAAGATCGGCTACCAAGGTGTCATCCTGGGATACTCGAAGGAAATTGTGCTGGACCACAATGAGCAGGCGGCTAGCACCGAATCCAGTACAACCCAGTACCAGGAAAGGTGTTATGAGATGGTTGAGGAATGGAAGAATGGCACATTGGAGACATTGCGGATGGTTGGCCCAGGCGATTTTCTCGCAGTGAAGTACGCAAATTCCCCGTCTGCGAATGCCCATGACTTACGCTTCCCACAGATTGACGGGTGCCGGACCTATCTCGGTAGATGCGATGAGAGCCCGCCAGCCCATGCCAGAAGCCATGGCTAAAGCTGTGGACGAAATATGCATTGCAACAGAAAAGCAAGGCTCGCGCCTCTGGCTGGATGCAGAACAGCAGGTTCTGCAGAAGGGACTCGATGACTGGGCCATTGAGATCATGCGCAAGCATAACAAGGACGAGACACCGATCGTATATAACACCATTCAAGGGTACCTCAAGGCATCCAAAGCAAACCTGGATCACCATCTGACCTTGGCTTCGCAAGAGGGCTGGGCCCTCGGCATCAAATTGGTTCGGGGGGCCTATATTGAACACGAAACGCGCTCCCTCATCCACGATACCCAACAAGATACCGATCGGTCGTACGATCTCATCGCCGACACTATGCTGTGTCAAAGAATGCCTGCTGATAAACAAGACCTTCAGTTCCCCAAAGCGGCTCTCTTCCTTGCAACTCATAACGCAGCTAGTGCCACCAAGGCAATTGCCACTCATCAGAACCGCCTCCTCGCCAACAAGCCTACGATCATGTTCGAATGTGGTCAAATTCAAGGCATGGCTGATGAGCTCAGCTGCGAATTGGTGTCCAACTATGAGCGTGCTCTGGCAGAATCCTCCGCGGCTAAATTGAATGTCCCCAAAGCTTTCAAGTGTATGACGTGGGGCTCGGTATCCGAGTGCATGGGTTATCTGCACCGTCGGGCAGTCGAGAATCGCGGGGCAGTGGAACGGACCCAACATATGGTCAGTGCATTGCGGCATGAACTGTGGCGGAGGATCGTCGGATAAACGGTATAGAAAGTGTCCACAACAATGCAGAACTAGTTCATCTCCGCAGTTGCCTTCCAAACCTGGAGAGTTGATACATCGAGTAGCCCCTGTAGCCAATCAGGAGGGCGAATTATTTATCGATAACGCATATCGATAAGAAAATGTCGGAACGGCATCCCGACATCGGGACTGCCTGCTCTTTCCTGAAACCCCGCACTCTCGCAGGTCGCTGAGCTCTCAGTAGATATCGGAGACACGCCCCGGAAGCACAGACACTCTTGTCAATCTATACAATCCGAGATGCCTACCGCGAAACCAAAAAAGTGCCAAAGGGCGTAAGTCATGACATATCGAAAGCTGGAATACGGACTGTCTGACATTGCTTCAATTCGAATAGCTGCGAGCGATGTCGGTCCATGAAAGTGAAATGCTCGGGCTCCAGTCCTTGTACAAGATGTGCTCGGAGGAAGAAGCCTTGTCATTTTCCAGTCGAAGAGAATCGGGTGTCGGTGTCGGAACGGTGAGAGTGACACCCGACTGAAAGTTCCCGACTAATCGGATTCCAGATACCTACGGGAATTAGAACAGCACATTGCCAGAAGTGGAAGCTCGGGGCAGAACACCGTCCTCCCACCTTCGGATCAAAGTCCTCTCGAGGGTACCCTATTCATGGGTGATGAGGAAACTGAAGTCCCTCCGACTCCTCACACCTCCGATTCACTGCTCGAAAATCAAGCAAATATTGGATGGCACTCAATTCGTCATGGTACGAAACTCTTTACTTCGAGTTCGGGTTTTCGCTAATCAATATGCACTATAGGAATGGGTCCGCCCTTGCACACCCCGGAAACTCACAGAGGATATGAGCATCGTGGCACTACACAGAATTCTCATCAATCGAGATTCGCTAAGAATCCCTTGGTTGACAGAGATCCGTCTTTTGCCCAAACCCCAGATGGCCGATTCTGTAAGTCATTTCCATCTCTGCTGTTCTACGATAGCTAACGCTCTCATCAAAGGGTACATGGGACCAACGTCGTCATGGTCATTCTGTCGCCGTGTCCTAGCATTGATAGGCAGAAAGGTACCTGAGTCGAACTGTCCCCCTGATCCATTCCATATTGATGGAACAGCGTTCAAGTTGCACTGGCGGCCTTTCCCGCCGGATGAAGTGCCCGATGTTACTAATCTGCCACCATTGGACTACGCGCTGTTCTTGTTCAATACCGTCAAGTTCTATTTCGGCTTTCTTTCATTCATGATTGACGAGACTGCTTATCTCCGTGACCTGCACGAGTTCTACAGAGACCCAGCCGCGAAAGCAGCGGCGGCAAGGCCATGGTATTGCCAGTATCTCCTTGTTTTGGCATTTGGAAAGGCATTCTTGACACAAAAGAACCACTCGGGAAGTCCTCCCGGCCATCAATATGCATCCCGAGCAATGGCTCTCTTGCCAGATTTGTCGGGCATTGACGAAGACCCCCTGGCTTGCATTCAGGCCTTGAGCTTAGGGGCTGTGTATCTTCAGTCAATAGACATGAGAAGGGCGGCGTTTCAGCATGTAAGTTGCTGTGACCTCACGCTTTCAAGTAATCATTTTTCCAAGGTCTGGGGCCTGGCTGACGTTACGCACAGATTGGTCATGCCCTACGTGGCTGCATCATTGAAGGCATCCATCGACATGTGCCCGAAGAAATTTGCGGACCCGAACTGTCTCAAAAGTGTCGAACAATATTCTGGGTGGTGTACATGTTGGACCGCGAGTTCTCCGCTTTGATCGGTGCACCAAGTTCAATTCGCGATGAAGATATCACCGTCAAACTGCCTGCAGAGATGGATGATTCAGTGGAGCACATAAACTTGACATTGCATGTCCGACTTTCTCGGCTCATGGCAACCATTCTCACGAGTTAGTGCCTTCTTCCAATCTGTTCCGATCAGTGCTAACGGGGATTTAGCCGTCTACGGAGTAGATAATGACTTTGATGACACGCTTGTTCGAAGCACACAGTCCATCCTTCACAGCATGGCTGAGCTTTCTCATGATCTTACGGAATTTCTCAACACTCACTTTCACGGGTTAATTAGCCGAGCCTCAAAAATGGCTATTAGATTGATGCTGGCTCATCATCATGTGAGTCCATTTCGAGTTGACATGCCGGATACCGATCTGACTGTAGCAGTGTGTGGTCTTGACAACTAGACCGCTGGTAATGTGTGCACTTCACATGCATATTGAACGAACAGAGAGACAAACCTCCCAAACAATCGCCCTATCCGCCCCTGTCTCTTCACTTCTACAATGTTGCGCTGAGTCCGCACAAACGATCCTTCAAACTCTTCGTGTCCTCGCCGACGATGATTTGATGGGTGTGTACTGCCCAATCTCGCCTTAGGAGAAAAGCTTTTCACTAACTCTTACTCAAAAGATGCCTTCCTCCCCTTTCAAATCGAAGATGCATCGTCATCTGCATTCGTCCTTTACCTTATTCGTGCGATTGCACCATCCGTCATTTCAAACGACTCTTGGTGTGAAAACCTGGAGTGTGTGCTAGATAAACTAATTTCAAAGGGAAACCTGGCTGCGCCCCTTCGAAGACTTGAGTTGAGGCAGTTGGAGCATGTATTGGCACCTTTGACGCCGAAACAATCCTACCGCCTGCCTCCAGTGAGTTCCCAAGAAGGGAATGAAGTTCACGAAGAGTCATATCTCTTCGATCAAGAGGAGTTCGAATGGGATATGCTGGGCCTGAACTCTTCTGTTAGCCTTCCGCCGCGAGAGTTGCTAGACCTCGCAGATCAGCTAGATATGGAGGGTATCATGCAGTCTGTTGGGGCCTGATACTTCATTCCTATACTCAAGAATAGTCCCAAAGATGAAAATATAGATGCAGGAATAAAGCTTATCTGCTCGGGAGAGCCTCAGATCCGTAACTGATAAAACCATAAGAAGAAGGTAGACGGATAGACTTGGCTCATATATGAGCAAGAAGAATGGAAGAGATGAGGAAGATTGAGGAAGAGGAATGACGAGATACTGTCTGGAGATCAGGAAGAGTGGTGAAATCCGGGGAGCGCACCTGGGCATGAAAATTCACGGGAACTTCAAGGCCCCCTCGCCCTCTATTTGCTACTCTATCAATGCCGCATATCTTAGTTTCAAAATGATAATCACTGACACGTTCGTCGATGTAGAGACATCACTTCTCGTTCTAGTCATTAAATCCCTGATCTTGTGTGTCGGAACCTCGTTCCGACAAAACGTCGGCTACTTGGGCGGTTATATGGCAAAAGTGAATTTCACCGAACTTTCCAAGAGTCCATTCAGAGGATGAATGAGTAAGGAATAATTTAAGCTGGGGCTTATTGTAACTTGATTTTCAGGTCAATTTCAAATTCACTGTTGTGGTTTCCAGTGTACCGCACGCTCTACTTTGTGGCATATTTTCCGGCGCTCGGTGTATGGGGAAACACGACAACTGAGTCTTGACCCAAACACATATCCCAAGGCCATGTTTTCATCTATAGCTTCTTTCCATCGGGTTCCTGTCCATCTGCACCGCTGCCTAAGGCATACGCGCGGAAGTCGCAGTGTGAAGCCATGCTTGTCAGTTCCCGCGAGAAAGTGCCAACGCAATGTAGGATCTTTCACTTTCTTTCCTCTCTGTATCCAACACGTCAACAATTCTTTGCTTCACCTTCCTTGCTATCCATATCGCCGGCTCAACATGACCATGTGCAAGGGAAGCTGACCTTCTTCGACACAGCTTCAGACAGACAATTTTCTACACGGTACTACTGCAGACTACCTAGAGGACATTTACAGCAGGTGGCAGAAAGATCCATCTTCGGTTGATAATTCCTGGAAGACGTATTTCGATGCCATAGAGAGTGGCAAAACCCCGCCGCCGCATTTGTTCCAACCGTCAGAAGACTCCCTTACCCGGGGACACAGATCCTCCTCGCTTCTTCCGGGCCTCAATAAACCCCAATTCACCAGACTCCCATCGCTAAACGATGACCAAGCAAAGGTGCAGCGTCTAGTGCGAGCATTCCAAGATCATGGACACAAAGCCGCAAAAACGAATCCGCTGGAATCCAAGAGCCGAAGAGTGTCAATACCGGAACTCGAACTCGATTTCTATGGCTTTACGGAGGCCGATTTGGACCGAACGTTTGTGTTGGGGGCGGAAGTGCTCCCCGGGTATCGAGCTTCTTCTGGGAATCAAATGAAGCTTCGTGACATTGTTGATGCTTGCAAAGCCCAGTACTGTGGGTCTATTGGGGCGGAATACTTGCATGCTGCAACGCTCGAAGAGCGCGATTGGATTCGCGAGCGAATCGAGCGGCCCTCTCAATGGGTATTCACTGCCGAAGAGAAGAAGAGAATTCTGGATCGATTAGTGTGTTCAACCGGCTTTGAAAAATTTCTTGCTTCAAAGTTCCCCAACGCCAAGCGTTTTGGACTGGAAGGTGTCGAGAGTCAACTCCCAGCAGTGGAAGCAGTCATTGATTCTAGTGCCGAGAATGGGGTACGCAATATCATCTTTCCTTGCTGCCATCGAGGAAAGCTGAACATTTTGAGCAATGTGACGCAAAAGCCGAATGAATTGATCTTCAATGAGTTTTTGGGCGAAATAAAATCTCGGCCTGACATTCCGGGGGATGTCAAGTATCATCTCGGAATGAACCACGAGCGCGAAACTCATTCTGGGAAGAAGGTGAACATCTCAATTTTGCCCAATCCATCTCATTTGGAAGCTCAGGACCCTGTTGCCCAAGGTATGGCACGAGCCATCCAGCAACAAAATGGAGAAGACAGGACATCTACCATGGTATTCAACAGCCACACTGATGCATCCTTTGCTGGACAAGGTGTGATTTACGAGACCCTGGGACTTTCTGGTCTGAGTTCGTACGAAACCGGCGGAACGGTTCACCTAATTGTGAACAACCAAGTCGGCTTTACGACAGATCCTGAATCTGCTAGGACATCTTCTTATGCATCCGACGTCGCGAAAGTGATTGATGCGCCTGTTTTTCATGTTAATGCAGACGACGTCGAGGCAGTTGTCTTTGTGTCAAAGCTAGCAGCAGATTACCGCGCGGTATTTGCAAAAGACGTTTTGATCGACTTGATCTGCTATCGGAAGAACGGACACAATGAGATGGATCAGCCCTCATTCACCCAGCCGTTGATGTATGAGGAGGTTGCAAACAAAGTTCCCCAGTTACAGCTTTATGCGAATAAGCTGATGCGCGAAGGAGTCACCTCGCGGGAAGAAGTCTCAGCGATGGAGGCTGCTGTGTGGAACAAATTGACTGAGTGTCTTGAAAATACCAAAGAAATCACACCCGTCGATCGCGAGTATCTGACTGAGCCCTGGAAGAGTCTGAAAAAGCCAGAAGATGTTGTCCGAGATGTCTTCCCGCCAAGGCCGACGTCGATCACCCAGGAGGTGATGAACACAGTGGCGAGCAAAGTAGGTGTACCGGAAAAGCCATTCACTGTGCACAAGAGTTTGAACCGAATTCTTCAAAAGCGACAAGAGAGCTTCCATGATGAGCAAGGCATTGACTGGGCTACAGCTGAAGCTCTAGCAATGGGAAGCCTCTGCCTGGAAGGCTACCATGTAAGAGTCTCAGGCCAAGATGTTGAGCGAGGTACCTTCTCGCAACGCCATGCAGTCCTTCACGACCAAAATGATGCCTCAAAGCTTATCCCCCTTGACTCACTGAGCCCCGATCAAGCTCGATTCACAGTCGGCAATTCCTCTCTGAGTGAGTTTGGCGTCATGGGATTCGATTATGGGTATTCTTGTATGCACCCAAATGCATTGGTCATGTGGGAAGCTCAGTTTGGAGACTTTGCAAACAATGCTCAGTGTATCATTGATCAATTCATTTCATCTGGGGAAGACAAGTGGTTGCTGCGATCTGGCCTTGTGCTTTCTTTGCCTCACGGTTTTGATGGTCAAGGATCCGAGCACTCTTCCGCTCGTATGGAAAGATTCCTACAACTCTGTAATGAAGATGCTCGCTTCTATCCATCGCGAGAGAAGTTGGAGAGACAACACCAGGATGCTAATATACAGATTGTTTACATGACAACCCCTGCAAACCTTTTCCATGTTCTGAGGCGACAGCTGCACAGAGAATTTAGAAAACGCAAGTTAATGCTGGTCCTTTCTGTGAACTAAATCACTGACAAGCTCGATAGCGTTGGTCATTTTCTTCTCAAAGTCCCTCCTTCGTCATCCCATGGTCAAGTCCAGCATGGGAGATTTTATTGGAGACTCAAGCTTCCAGCCTCTGATCTCCGACCCGGGCCACGGAGTCTCAATTGCCGAGCCATCTGAAATTAAGCGCGTGATCTACTGTACGGGGCAGGTATACATGGCACTGGCAAACTATCGCGAAACGCACAAAATAACCGACACGGCAATTACTCGCATTGAGCAACTTCATCCGTTCCCTTGGCATCAGGTCAAAGAGAATCTCAGTTGTTACACCGGTGCGTCCGATATTGTCTGGTGTCAAGAAGAGTCTCTGAATGATGGGCCATGGGCATTTGCCCGGACCCGACTGGAGACCATCTTTGACATCACAGAGCAACACAAGGGTCGTCGTGTGCGTTTTGCAGGACGCGGAGCTACGTCCAGTGTCGCAACTGGCTTTGTGAAGGAGCATCATGCCCAGGAGCGCACTTTGATTAGAGAAGCATTTGATTGCGACGAAGCGAGGGATGATATTTCGGCTTAGCTCAAGCGTTTGTTTGTTACATTCATATCTTGTTGTCTTTGCATGTGATTCTGAGGTTTTGTTTGCACTATGAAGAGTGGCTTGGTTGAAAAAAACTGATTGAACTAAATTCAGCATCTCAAGGCAACCTGCGGTGGCCCTGGTGGCTGGTTTCGGTGACTGGCATTCCAGAGAGGGTTTCGCAATCAACCCCTTGATTCATATCATCCAATATATTTCTTTACTAATCCTCCAATATTCAAAACGAAATATCTCACTTGGCTTAAAGTATTCTTTCAATATCGATACAGCACCATGGGCAAAGCAGAAACACCAGAGTGGGAGTCCGTCGATGCGGAGGCTGCCGCCAGCGACACTGGCCTTCAGGACCAGCGTAAAGACGACCCACATGGCGATGTCAACAACGACCCATTCGGAAACGAAGAAAATGTCGAAGTCAAGTACCGTACTATGAAATGGTGGTGAGTTGCTGCAAGGCGATAGCTCGAAGTTGGTAGCGATACTGACCACAATGGGCAGGCATTGTGGAATGCGTGAGTTCAAGCGCTATATGGCACCCCACAGCATCAAATCGAACTGATCATCCTCTAGTGATGATTGCTGTCAATATATCGCTGGGGATTCTTTCGCTTCCCTCCGCAGTTGCAACTCTGGGCATAGCACCGTGAGTGATTCCGGTCGGCTTGGGAATTAAAGCTGACATGGACTCCCCGCAGCACTGCGATTTTAATTGTTTTCCTCTCGGGTTTATCCTGGTACACAGGATACGTGATCGGCCAGTTCAAACTTCGTCATCCACACGTTCATAGCATGGGCGATGCAGGTGAAATTCTGATGGGTCGAGTTGGCCGCGAGATTCTTGGAATCGGACAACTGCTGCTCCTAATTTTCCTCATGTCGAGCCATTTGCTGACTTTCACCATTCTTATGAACACCCTCACTATGCATGGTACATGCACGACAGTCTTTGGTGTTGTTGGACTTGTTGTTTGTTTCCTTGGTGCCCTTCCGCGGACTATGGGAAAAGTGTACTGGATGTCTGTCGCATGTAAGTTGTCCCTTATCTGCATTTTTGTTACAATGCTAACACTACTTAGCCTTTTTGAGTATTCTCATAGCGACTATAGTCACTATGGTTTCGATCGGCGTGGAGTCGAATGGACCCGTTCAGAATGAGGTCGTAAGAGAGACCAGCTTCTACAAGGGTTTTCTGGCTGTGACAAATATCATATTTGCATACAGTAAGTTGGTCATTATTCACCAATCTCTGGCTGATGGTGATACTGACCGGCATCCCAGTTGCCCACGCCACATTTTTCGGGTTTGTCTCGGAAACTGAGGATCCACGAACTTTCCCGAAATCCCTTGCAATGCTTCAAGTAGTTGATACCGTGATGTATCTTGTCACCGCAATGGTCATATATCACTATGCTGGCCCTGATGTCAAATCACCCGCTCTTTCATCTGCAGGCCCCCTGATGAAGAAGATTTGCTATGGCTTGGCTATTCCAACGGTAGATCTCCACACTTCGACAACGTCCAGAATTGACTGAACATGAATCTAGGTGATTGTCTCGGGTGTGGTCGAAGGCCATGTGGCCTCCAAGTACATCTACGTGCGTGTCTTTCGGGGGTCGGACACTATGCACCAACGCAGCTTCAAGGCAATTGGGTCTTGGGTTGGAATTGGACTCGGCGTTTGGACCGTGGCATGGATTATCGCAGAGTCTATTCCGGTCTTCAATGATCTACTCAGCCTCATTGTAGGTTGCGCAACCCATACTGTTCGCGTTTTGAGATACTGACAACTTTCGACAGAGTTCCCTATTTGGGAGCATGCTTTGCTGTGAGTATTCCTTTTTTTCCCGACTCAAGTTTGACCCTCCTTCTAACCATGCATCGAAGATGCATTCCCCACGCTTTTCTGGCTTCACATGAACCGAGGCCAGTACTTTTCAACTCTTTCAAAGGGCTTCTTGACAATCTGCAATTTGAGCATTCTGGCTATAGCCTTCGCAATGGTAATATTGCAATCAAACGCTGCAGATGATGGTCTTTACTTACGTTTTTTATAGTGCGGCATTGGTTTATACGTGTCTGGTAGAGCTATTCATGAAAGTTCTGGGAGCAGCAGTTGGTCCTGCGCCAACAACAGCTAAAGATGATGATATCTCAACTTGTAAGAGACAGGTTTTTCGTTGTTGGGACTATGGTTTAATTGGGACTTTCATCCTAAGGAATCAATGCATTGGGCTCCAGGTTATCTCGAAAAAATACAACATCTACAGGCTTGATCTTACTGGTCGAAGCAAACTGAGTGAGAAGATCTCGAGATAAGAGACAAAAGCACACAGAGACAGAGAGATAGAGAAACAGAGAGTAGTCCCGAGGTCTTTCAAGGAAACCTCGAGGCCCCCGTGGCCTCGGGGCAGGAGACCGAGATTCTAGTGCAGTAGGTCTGGAAATCTTCAAGTCATCACCTGGACACCAAACCAATTTTAGAATTCCCCGAAATCATAAATCTAGTATACTCAATCGTAACCTCACATTTTGTAAAAAATGTACTGAATGTTTGAATGATACCACCAACCCATCATCACGGTCTTGAAATCAGACCCACTCCTTGTGGACCTTCAAACGATGCTCAGTCATGTTATCCTTTCGGTTGAAAAGCCTACTGCAAGAAGGGCACTGGAAGGATTTCGGTGCGACATGTTGGGTATCGATGTGTCGCATGAGTGTCGACTTGACGGCGAAGGTGCCAGTGTATCTGCAGTCTTCCAGATTGCATCGGAACACTTTCGGGGTGCCGCTTTAACAAAAAGAAAATCGTTTTAGCACGCTATGTTTAGGCTTAGCGTTGAATGATAGAAAAAAGCGACTAACCTTGGCTTCTGTTGTACTTCCTGGTCATGCCTGTGTATGTTTGCTCTTGTGGCACGGGCCTTGCCAGTGGTCGTTCTTTTTGGTGCTGCTTGATTTCGAGAGGAAAAGGCTAGAGTACAAGCATTGTTTGTGGGATTATAATGCGTCGTATCCTTGTTATGCGATGGGCGAGTCTCGCAAACTGGATAGGCACTTATAAGACCGTGACCGGGGCTGAGTGTTTGTGTACGGCGAAGGTGGATAGCAGAATCCTCATAAAACACAGTAGAAGGTTGGGCATATGGCTCCGCTGGGCCAAAGCCCGCTGGTCCAAAATGCGGCGGCACATCCTCAGATGAGGACATGGAATGATGAAAAGGCGTCGTGGGGCAATCATATTCTTCAAGCCCAGTATAATCAAAGAATGTGCCAAAGGGAAACGATTCCATATTAGCAGACCTCCAAACGAATATGGTCTGGGATTTGCTCACAGTAACTTTAGAAGAAGCATGAAAAGTGTGAAGAGATGTCGGATTTTATACATCATTCGTTAAACAGGTACCCTCAAGAGGAACGTGAACCCGATTCCAGAAAAGCCAGTGGCCAGCATTAGCTGGAACGATCTTGGCATATTTGCTCATCTGCGACTGCGCAGCACTCGTCAAGGCCGGTCTTTCTGACAACTCAGTATGCACAACACTGGAACCTAACCTCGGGGTATTGGCCGTTGTGCCTCAGATCTTCAGGCCAATGCAGGAGCCAAAATTTCTGGTCAAGTTGCAGTCCGAACACGACAAACTATTTCTTTCCTTTTGAGGTTTTTTTTTTTTTTACTTTCTTTATTTCTCTATTATTTGGCGGCAAATACACTACTTAATTCGGGATTTTTGATAGATCAGTCCTTTTCTTTTTAAACACAAAAAAAAAAAAGAACAAATAAGTAAAGACGTATGTGAAGATAAATCAGATAGAGTACCTAGTTGAGGAGCAGGTTAGATGGGAACACGGTGAGCGAGTCATGTAGCGGCACCTCCAGCACTTGAGCCCGGGCCTTGAAACAGGGTCGAACAGCGAGACAAGATTCATCAAGCGTGCGAAATCTCCACGCCAACGAAGAGGCCGATTGTACGAGGCCCCTGAGTTCTAGTATCTATTATTCCACGGAAGTGGAGCTCTTGAGTTGGCGTCCCGGGGCACACGGAACCTGAGATCCACGAGTCTGGATCCCCGATCTTCTGCAGATCTCTGAACGACCTCGAGAGTACTCCGTATATGTAGGCGAGATCTCGAACAGCGGAACGTTTCTCGGACAGATCGTCAGCATCCGATTGGCCAGGCCATGTTAATTTCCCCGGGGAAGACCTCAAATGTTCCGGTACTTTTGTAACACGATTTCCTATACATACATGAACAAAGTACGGTGTGCGCAAAAGTCCCTTGCATTTGCTGTGTACCCGGGTGTCAGGCCTAGGGTTAGATTCCAAGGATTGGTGCAAGGTACCATTCGGAGTACAGCGTAATGATCATTCTCATGGAACCTGTCAATCAGGACGGAAAAATGAATCCAACCTGTCTTTATTCCGCTGCCTTGATGCCCTGGTGTAAATGTACCTGAAAAATGTGGGTTTGTTCCCGTGCTCCAGAGTTCCCTCCCTTAGATGCATAGAGCCATTGAAAGTGGTAGATCAATTGAGGGTTTCAAAGATATCCTAGAGATCTAACAACATAGTTTCGGGGGTTTCAAGATAATTCTTGATGAGAACCAAGAACTTTACAGCCTCGCGCCCGTCGATGATCCGGTGATCATACGTCAGCGCAACATACATCATCTGCTTTGGGTTAGACTCCAAGCAATACTTCTCAAGCTAGGGGACTTACCGGGCGGATCTCAACCTGACCATTGACTGCAATCGGTCGGTCTTGGATACCATAAGTACCCAATACTGCAGTTTGTGGCAGATTAATGATTGGTGTACCAAACAACGAGCCCCAAATCCCACTGTTGCTGATTGTAAAGCTTCCACCATTCAGATCATCCATAGTCAGCTTTCCATCTCGAGCCTGCGTTGCGATATATGTGAGCTTTTATCTTCTTAGTCTAAAACAAAGTACAAAACTGACCTTTTTGACCAGCTCGGCGATGCCTTGTTCGATTTGCAAGATGCTCATCGACTCAATGTTGCGCAACACGGGGGTTACAAGCCCCTTCGGGATCGAGGCTGCAACACTCAGGTCGATATAGTCGCGGTAAACGATGTCATCATTCTCAATTGATGCATTGGCTGCGGGAATTTCCTTCAGGGCGAGGACTGAGGCCCGAGCCATGGACCCCATCATACCAAGCTTTACTCCGTGCTTTTCTAGCACTGCTTCCTTGTTCTTCTTCCTGAAATCCAGGAGGCGGGACATGTCAACTTCGTTGAATGTTGTCAAGAAGGCGGCAGTGTTTTGGGACTCCTTGAGACGCTGTGCCGTGCGCTTTCTGATTCGAGTCATTTTGACCTGTGTTTGAGCAGTACCGTTAGTATGCATATATTTTAACGGGAGTTTCTGTTCTTACCTTTTCTTCTGCTCGGCTAGGCATATATCCTTGGAATGCATGAGATACCTCGCTGGTTTGAGAAGGCGCGCTGTTTTTCGCACTAGCCGCATGCTTTGATGCCTCTCGCTCCGGTGTATCTTTAGGTAACTCAGATGCTACATGCTCTGTTGGTGACGACGGGATGGAGGGTTGAGTAGTTTGCGTCGAGCTGTGCTGTTCCTCTCCCTTAGTAGGACTTGGCTTTGGGCTATCTTCCTTGGGCAGATTTTTGACATGTTTGTCCCCCGGCTGAATTTCTGCGATCGCTTGATCAACAGTCACCACATCGCCCTCGGCGACGAGCAGCTGTTGAATGATACCAGACTGTGTCGCATTCACGGAAACATCAATTTTATCTGTCTCGATGGTTGCAAACTCTTCGTCCATCTCAATGAAATCTCCGATGCTTTTGCTGAATTGGCTCAAGGTTCCCTCGGTGATGGACTCTGCCATCGGTGGAACGCGCACCACGATATTTGACTCATGTCTGCGCAAAGAAGTTGTAAAGCAGCGAAAAGGAAGTCCGGGGTTTGCGAGACGACTTTGGTGAGTGAAAGGTGTGTGGAGTCCTTTCGGTTGTGGTCCGATGTACCGTCTCGGGGCGCGTGGGAGCCTCATAGGAAGCCTCGAGAGCGGACGAGAAGTCCAGCGCGACGCCATCTTAGTATGGAAATAACTTGAGTCAGCAGTTGTTGACTTCAGGCTGGATGGTTTTGAATGTTCTATTTCTCTCGCGGTGCGAAGAGAAAACCTCGGGCACTTTTGCCGCGTTTCGGCATTTTGTCACTTTGCCGCGAGGACGATATAGGCGACTCCAAAGCTGCCAAATGGGTAACTACGACATTAAGTTTCATTCCAATGTTGATTCATGAAACTTATGATATTATGGAGGGGCCTGAATGGACGATTTTCTTTCTAATCCGTGAAGGCCCCCAAACCCTCCAGGCTGGGAAGAACCTTGGAAGTGTCTTCCATATTCAACCCAGACATTGAGGAAATTGTCACTCTACTCACTGTTATTTTTAATCTCTTTTAGAATTTGTCTTCTATATAAATGCTAATCTTCAGATGACAGCTATGAAATCAACTTGGATGTCCACACCGGCGGGAAGTTTCGACACCTCTACCATAGACCGCGCAGGGCGATGAGGAAAGGCGGAATCATAAACAGACGCAAACTCGGGCATGACACTAGCATCTTTGACATAGACCTTATCAGGAATTAGAAAACAGTACGATGCCATTACTGGGAATCTTGGAAGTAGTTACTTACCACCACCTTGACGACTCTATCAAGTCCGGTACCAGAGGCTTTGAGGATTGCTTCGGTATTCTTTAGTATTGCCTGAGTCTGCTCGGTCATGGATCCCTTATTCAAATTGCCGTGGGCATCAGCCGGAATTTGGCCAGACAGCCATACCTGACCGGCGGCTTTGATTGCTTGTGACTTGGTTGCTTGTTAGGTAGACATTTGGTATTTGTGAGCCGTTTTCACATACATAATGGGCAAAAGCTAGTTAATTAGTCAGTACTCCGTATATGTGGGACTTATATGTCGTAAATTGACTTACGGGCATATGCTTCGTTTGTTTGTATACTGGTCACCAAGCCGTAGTTCGGCGCACTGGAAGACATGGGCTGGCGACGAACAGCAGGCTTCCGAGGCACAAACGCAGATAGCCGACTCAGCCGACCTGATGCGAGAGCATTCCGTGAGCTTCGGCTGAACATGATTATGAAGATTCTATGACTTCAATGTTGTGGTTGATGACCCCTCTTAACCACAGATCTTATCAAGATGTCGGAGCCCCGTCCCGAGTGTCGGAGGCACATCCGACCTTTCGCCTTTTTTTTTACCGATACGGCCAGCCGAAGCATCACATCATTTTAAAGGCTTGCGATCTCGTCAATTTGTTTGCAGCAATTTTGCAGTTACTGTCAATTGAAATGTCCCGCACAAGAACAATTGGGCGTTTCTTGTCCTCCCCGTATGTCCTTTTCTCAGCACGTTGCTGGCCCATCTAACCAGAGCAGATCCTGGAATTGTACATCAATTTCTACATCACGCATTGGGTATCAATCACTCAATCAGCAACGTATGAGCTCTTCGGCAGCGCCTGTGGCTTCGGAGGCTGAGGCCGCCGCTGTGCAGGCAAACTACAAGATCGTCCAAGACACAGGCAACTTTGACGAGGTTCAAGCCAAACGTCCAGATTTTGATCAATTCAAACCAATTGAAGTCACAAAATCCCCAAATCCCAATTGGGAATATGGCCAAGGAGTCCCCGGTGCCGATCTCACGGCAAAGCACCATGAGATTGACCCATATGCCTCGGATCGACCGATGATCAACAACTACCGTCTGCTTGTTTCAGGAATCGCCCCACGGCCAGTTGGTTTCCTAAGCACTGTCAACTCCAAGGGAGAGAAAAACTTGTCACCCTTCAGTTATTTCCAAGTCATCGACCATGATCCCCCAATGTTCATAGTGGGCTTTTCATCCCGGCCGGCCCGCGTGAAAGACAGTTATCGCAACCTCAAAGAGACGGGGGAATGCGTCATCAATACTGTGTCTGAGAACATGATCGAAGCTGTCAACGCGACTTCAATTGATGCGCCGTATGGCGTGTCGGAATGGGATGTTTCGGGTCTTCACGAGGCGCCGTCAACGACGGTGAAGCCCAGCCGGGTTGCAGAGTCTGTATTCAATATTGAAGGCAAAGTCATTGATATCAAGGAGTTCACGGACCATCAAAAACCGGGGATGAGTCTTGCTGCAACGGTTCTTATCAAGGCGACTCGATTCTGGGTAAAGGAAGGAACTGCGAATGAGGATAACAGCCATATTGATCTAGAGAAGTTGCGTCCGCTTGGTCAACTCGGTGGAATTTCCTATGGTCGGGTTGTGTCGACTTTTGAGCAGCCGCGCAAAAAGTGGAGCGATGAGGTACCGAAGAGTGAGATCTTGTCAAAGCTTGATGCTGGGAAACCTGTCGAGCAATAATTTCCTGTATCATAGATGATGAATTAGACGTAAATATCTCAATGGATATTTTATATGTATGATTGTCCATTCTCCGTGGATTTTGCTGAAATTTTGTGATTGATTCGTTGAAACTGCATGAATATCGACCATGGCTGAAATTTTGACATAAAAGACGCTAGCAAGAGTCCGCATAGCTGTGACAATCATTTGAAAGGGGGAATATTGTTGAGATGAAGGTAAAAAAGGAGCGCCAGTCACCGAAAAGAGAAGCCCAGAACGTAAACGCCGACCCGACCTGCAGGGACTTGGAAACGAATCAATACAAGTGGGCTGCCCTGCATGCAAATCTTACATACAGAAGACCCCCAACTTGGAGTCCCCTATGAAACAACCCGTGCAGCAGGTGGTTTCGCAACCTCGGGACTCTGGAACTGGGCAAGATGGTACGGCCCGTGGTCTTGTTTGTAGTCGAAGAAGGACTCTCCCGAACTGCGCGGCGATTCAGTAGCCTGTGCCTTGCGTGGTGCCTGTGCGCCAGTGCCGAACCGCTGTGTCGCATAGTTGGCGTAGAAACCGGAGCCGCGTTGGCGGTCTTCTAGGTCTTCGAGGTCATCGCGGCGCTTCCGCTTGAAGTAGAGTACTACCAAAACAATTATGGCAGTGAGGAGAAGGCTAGAAAGGATTTAGTGGGCGCTCTTGGGATCCCCATGAAGGATATTTGATTGTTTTCTCTCGGGTTCAGGGCTGGAGAATCCTTACGCTCCAGTGATAGCGGCTGGCACGCCGACGGTGAGTGCTCGACTGGTGGGCTTGGCTCCGCAGCTGGAGTCCTCGCTGTTGCAGTCTCTCCGGAAGAGGGTAACGAGTGTATTCGGAATCATGGTTCCCAGGTTCTGATTTAAAGGAGTGTGAAGGAAAGGCTTGAAAGGCTTGGGGTCTCAGGGGGGAGAGTTTGTGGGGGAAACCATCTGCAAACGGTCTCTAAGACAATGTTTCAGCGAAAAGATCGGGATTGGAGTACGGAGTAAGAACTAGGGGAAAAGGGGGTGGCTTTTGTTTGGGATATTGCGGGTTACATTCCTCAACGCCCAAGGGCTTGGCGGTTCTGAATGGCATCTTCGATGTGCGGAGAGTGCGGAGTACGAATATCATTTGGTTCGTTTTTGTTTTTGTTTTTTGGCGTTTTTCCTTTTTTCTGCTTTCCTCAGGGAGATCCGTGGAGCGTCCTTAATTTCAGACGTTTATTAGGCCGTGCCCACTTTACCCGCATTTTACCGGATCCGATTTAGCATGGAATAGCCTCTTGCCGAGTTGGATATGATGGATCTACTAGAATATATTGATCGGAGGTGTGACAAACACCTGTTTTCTTGTCATGTTCATAATTACATTGGAATCACGCCGTCATTTCGTGGCCGGAAGTTGAATCACCTCGCAGTGATGCCTCAATGGTAGGCCCGATATGGAAGTGGCCCATGTTAAAGAGAGCCTCCTGCCATGCGGGCCCGGCCGTCGCTTGGATTTTATAGTAGGGTGCGTCCACGCTGAACCATCGCTCCTTGCGAACTGAGGCTTTGTCGCCGCCTTCAAGAGCAGCGCGACTGGCCCGCGTATTGCGCGATCGCCTCTCGCCTCCTCCATGCTCCTGCATCGACAACTGGAACAGCGTGTTACGGTATTGGTGCAGGCGCCCGTCGAAGACCATAATAGCACGGATGTATGGAGCCAAGTCCTCGGTGATGGGGGCAAGCCCATTCTCAAATGAGGGGGCATGTCGGGCGGTAGGCGTGGGGAAAGAGTAATTGGCGCGCATGATGCTCTCAAAGATGCGCTGGAACTGTGGCAAGGTGGACGGGGGCGCAGGTGGTGGCTGAGCGGTTGTGATCGACTTGCTCAAGGCTCGGTTGGCGTATACGCTCTCAACATCTCCTTCAGCTTTAGAGCGGAATGTCCGATTGAGGAGTGCTGCAAATGTTGTGCCGAGGGTTTCGCTGAGGCCCGGGTACTCTGTCTTGAGTCCGGTCTCTAAAACTGGGTAGTTATCCAGATAGTTTGATCGATATCCTTCGGGCAAGGGCGGTGCAGATATGTCAAGAAGGTCCTGTGGAAACATTAGCACTGGGCTCTGTCTTGGGAAAACTATCACTCACATTGTCGGTTTCCGTTGCGAAGTTGGAGCAAAGAATATCAAGCGAGCTTTTCATGTCATAGTAGTCCGCTTCGCGGCACATCATGTTCAATCGATCCAAATTGGAGCTTGACCGGACCGTTTCAGCTGGGAGAAGCTCGTCATTGCTCTTCCCGGCCATGTCTTCAGACTCTCGCAAGCCAAGGCCCCACCAGTGGAAGCTGTTGCGAGTGGCTTCTATCTCTGCATCCAAGGGACTGTGGGAGAGGAATAAGTCCCGATTGAACCATCCCATAAATCGTTCATATGTGTTGAGACTCAGAACCCGTAGACGTTCCCCATTCTGATCAACATTAGACTCGGGTGGCCACGCAGGGAGAAGCCAATCCAGGCCCGACTTTTCGCTGCCAACGCCCATTTGGCACCAAAAGTTGAGATCCATGAGGGACTTGCGAAGGTCCAGTCCTGATCCTTGATAGAGTCTTGTCACGGCTTCTCTCTTTAAGATGTGGCCCTCGTTGGCGGCAACGAGAAGCAGATAGTCGATGCAGAATTCCGGAGAAGGTTTTTGGTAGCGTAGTATAGCATGGAGTGACATGTCCTGCGTGGGGATCAGGCTTTCGTCGTTGCAGGTGATGATTATTGGTCGTTTCGATTGGCTGATGAGAGTAAAAACACCCGTCCAAAACTGCCGATCTTCCTCGAACAGGATGTCGGCTTCTTCGAGGAGTATTAATGATTGCTTCTGCTCCCGGGGCCGTTTTGGCTCGGCTTCACCCTGAGAGGGCTGCGGGCTATTATTATTCCCTGACTTATCAGTACTGGCAGATGAACCTATGAAAAAGTTCATCAGCTTATTTGGTTTACTGGCAGCTTTGCTGCTCGGAAGACCATCTGAATCATTGAGGAGGTGAACCAGGTGATTTTGGGTCATGTCACCAACTCGCTCCAACATGTCTCGTGCATTTCGGCGGGTTCCTGCGTTGATCTCGAAGACCTCAAAATCGAGTTCTTTTGCAATCGCATGGACTGATGCTGTTTTACCACAGCCGGAAGGGCCACTGATCAAAATTGCATTGGAGATCGGGGGCTTTGTTCCACCGTGTGAGTTTGAGGACATGTCCCCTGATCTAACGACAGTCCGAGATATTGAGGTCGTAACATCTCCTGCCAGCTCATCGTCAGAGCCGGAAATATTGTCCATCTCCGAAGCCTCGTCCTCGCTTGATACAATGAAGCCGTCGAGTTTGTCGGCCTTCTGTCGCTTCATTCGTTTCTTCTCGCGTTTTGATTTGCTTTTGGGGCCGTCCTTAGATGGTTTTCCAGTATCAACTGCTGTGACTCTGAGGTGACGTAGCCAGTCACGAAGCATCTGAGGCTCCCGTCCTAATTGAAGCACATCGTCGGCTGATTTCGGTGCGTGCTTTTGTGTCCAAAGCTGAGTCTCGTATTTTCCAAGATCAATCGCAGAAGCTGAGGAAAGCAGGGCTGATCGGAGTCTCGCCAACGGTGGGCTGTTAGGGCCCCAGTGAAATTGGCGATTGGGTGAGGACCACGACATCTGTCTTTCCATTGCTGTCTGTAGAACGGTGTTGCTAGCAACGTGACGCATAGGAAGTCGCAGGATATTGACGCCATTCTGACCTTGATGCCTGGGCCGTTGAGCAATTTTCATGGCCTCGGCCGTTTCACGGAGTATCACATTCTCATGATCTCTGATCGACATCGAAGCAACCTTCGATTTTTTCCTGTCCTGGGAGACATGGAAAACGCAGCCGCTGTTTGTTGCGGGGCCGCATGTGTCTCTGACGTGTACCAAGTCTCGTGGAGGCCACAATGGATGGACAAGCTCTGGGAATTTGGAAACACGGCGAGGAGGCCTGATAAAGGAGCTCTGTAAAGCAGGTACCACGCGGCTTTTGTCGGGAGCTCCATCTGTGCTGGAGGTTGACTTCTGAGAGTCAGGTTGGCCATCGACCGGTTTTGAATCGCCCGGATCTTGCGTTGAGGTTTTGTTGAAGAAAGGATGGGTGGGTTTTCGGGGCTGAGGTCGCGGTTTGCGAGGCTGAGAGACGGGAGTAGACACGGGCTTGGTTGGAACGGCAGGCCCTTTCAGGATATCGTCGATCAATTTTCCCATTTTTTTCTCCGATTCAAGGTTGTACTTCAATATAACCAACTTTCTGTTGCTTTTTGGTGGCCTGCCCTGCTTCCTCTTCCCCCTCGTTTGCGTGTCGGGTGGTGGACTCGAGCCGGGCGAAGAAAGGAACTTGCCCTTCGAGTTCAACTTGAGAATTTTCTGGCGTGCCGAATATCTACCAGTTGGGACTTTGGGCGGCTCGTCGTTTGTTGTCGGCAATGTTTGTACAACATCAGGGGAGGGGGCTTCCGCCGGCGGAGCCTCCGACTGGGGAGCTGACTGGGTACTTTCTGCGTCATTTGAAGAATCGACGGTCGATGGGGTGGGAGCGTGGGAGTTTACACCGAGCCATGCTGAAAGACCGGCGTTTGCAGAGCTACTTGGTTCCGAGCCTTGAGCTTTGTTCGTTCGTCGCCTCTTCCTCCGACTCTCGTTTTGATCCTCGTCTCCAGTCATGAGCTCTCCATCAGTGTTCCTCGAGAGTGTGTCAACATCATTTCTTTGCTGCGGGCCAAGCTCATCTGCGGCGCTATTGGGAGTAATAGGTCGTGGATCTTTCGTGTTGATGTCTGCAGTTGAGAGTTCTTCCAAGGGTGTAGGTTTCACTGTAGCCCCAAATTTTACAAAGCGTGAGATACGATTCATGCGTAGGGTGGACAATTGATCTGACCTTGTCGAAAGAAAGGATGTATAACCTGCTGGTCGTCTGTTCCCATGGCCATCGGTAGATTGGATGCGATGTCCATGTGAACAATCAGAAGCTCCCTCGGGGGAAATTGGAAAGATAGCAATCTTCTGGTTACAGCATCGAAATGTGAGGATTGAGAAAGAGGCTGTGGGGCGATTGCTTGGGCTCAAGAGAGGAGACAAGTCCTGATCCCTCTATACTGGACCCAAGACACGTTCGGACGCGCCGGCGCGTTAATTGAGAAATGGCTTATGTCAGGGCGGCCCTGAACTATATTATGCACTAGCCTCATTAGGACTAGGCGATAGCTCTCCGGCCCGACGTAATCCCGAAAATTTTTCAGATTTCCAAATTGGATGGGCTCGGATCGAAGAGAACACACGCTGTGAAAGGTTAGGAATATCGAGCAGTTTGTGACACTCACTACTTGGCTTCGTCATGGATTTGCAGTCTCCGTCTGTCCTGGCGCAATTGCCTCGCCCCCTTCACGCCTCCACCGGCCAGACACGTATCGGCGATGTCTTCAGTCTTGCCGATGCGAAAAAACGCAAGCGCTATGAAGTCGCAGTCGCCGTTGATGGAGAGGCTGTGAACATCTATAACGTATGACTCTCGGTTTTCCTGCTTTTGGCTCGGTCATAACTGACTCGAATGTTTTTAGGTGCAAACCCCAAAGCTTGTGACATCGTACGCTGTCCCGCCGCAATCTACTTTCTCATGCCGCCCATGCTCAATCCGCCAAAAAGTTACAAAGAAGTCTGCAGTTCGAAGGCAAACTTATACGGCGGTTACCAAGCCTGAACATCAGATCAAATGTTTCGTGGAGGAAATTGGCAGCTCCAGCTCCAGCGCTCCGATTATCTCTTCGTCGACTACCACCGTCACCGACTCATCCAGCCCTACCACGTTTGTTGGAATAGTTCCTTCAAGCACCGATGGAGAAGGAGAGGCGGACCCGTTTGATATCTTGGCTGTCCACGAGGATGGTCGTGTGCGCAGATTGTCCTCGGATCTGAAAACTCAACGATGGAGCATCCAGCACAGCGAGATCGCCAAAGTGTGTGCTACGCACAATGTTCAATCTAGCTTCTTGGTCGAGTTCGAAGATGCCAAGAAGGCTTTGTTCAAAAGACGACAGGACCTTGCCTCATTGGCACTAGGCGATATCACCAGCGCTGGTGTCGATGAGCCATCCATCTTGCTTATTGTGTCGCACCCCAAGAGTGCCGGCCGAGTCTCCTTGAAGGACATCATCGTTCAAATGTTCTCTGTTCCCGCCGACTCGAAATCAGAGTCTCGATTGGACGAAAGTCAACGCCTGCGCCATTTGCAAACTTTCCACATCCCGGATGTGAACGGCCTGGAGACTACAAATGGCAGCGCAATGCAGTGGAACTTCCATTCAGGCTCAGCAGGATTGAACCTCTCTTTTGAGAAGGGATTCATTAACGTTGATCTCTCCCAATACTCTCCCTCGGTGACATCGCAGTTCGTTCTCGAGGACGAAAGATTTACTTCGGTCATGCGCATTTCTCCACAATCCATCATTGGTGCGCAAAAATCACTCGTGGCTGTTTATGATACCCAATACCATTCTGTGCAGCGCAGTATTCCAGTTGGCGATCTTTCGTCAAGCACTGGATCAAGTCCGGAAACACCCACCAACTTTATCAGCTACTTTGCCAAACTTGGAATCGCAGTTGCGACCAAGGGCAACACGCTCATTGCTTTTGACTTGAGCTCTCTACCCAGCGCGCCCAGCTCTTCGCTGAAGCGCACTAGAGATAGCCTACTTATCGATGCCATTGGAAGAGGTATCGGGTCATCCGCTGCTCAGTGGGACGTCGCATCCAAGAAACACCGATCTGACAATATGGCCTCCCTCCGACTCGGCTCGCCGGAGCAAGTCGCTAAATGGACACAGCTCACATCCACCGTCGAGAAGGCCACCGCTGCCAAGAACGTCGACCTCTTCGACAATGCCGTTCTGACCTACTTTAGCACCGCCGATTCCTCGAATGTTCTACCAGTGCGCGGGCAATACGTCAACCCTGAAGCAACGCTGTACCTGCTGTCGAAGATTTTCGCTGTCGAAGAGAATGTGTCTAATGATACAGTGTCGGCTTCCTCATCCTCTCAGCTTCGCGTTGCCATGTGGCCTCCAACTACCTGCGACTGGCTCATTCGCTTGGGCCACTTCTCTCTCGATAATGTCGAGATTGCTCTGCGTCGAGCCTGCAAGCCCCGTATCTTGCAATCATTCCCAACTGGCTCATTCATCCAGGCTCTTCTGGACTCCGATCCATCTCTCAAGCAGGTGAATCAAGTGCTGGATGGCCCCACCTTGATTTCCTCTGACGAGCTAGCCTACGCTCTCAAGTCTTTCTTGAATCAGGCTCGCTCTCACTCTGGGACTCTCGAGGAGACCGCTCGTGCGATCACAAATGGCGACCTTGCCACACCTACGCAAGAGCTCTCAAAACAGCTCGGCGCTGAGACTGCAACCCTTCAGAGCATCTTCGCTGGGCTGAACACTTCCTTACAAAAAATTCACTCCCAACCCGTGTCAGTCGTGGTCGGCTCTCTTCGCTCTAACCTAGCGCGCACAGAACTTATCTCCATGGTTCACCATCTCCGTCTCGCTCTCGCCACCGGTGGCTACACCTCGCGGTTCACTGAAAATCCCCCCACTCCTATTACACTCGACCAAATCACCCCTACCCTCTCTCTCAACGTCATTGTTGACCTCCTCACTGCCTCCGTGGATGCCGTCGGTCCCTCTGGTTGGATCTCTGCCATCCCGGCAGCAGGTGAATACGACGACTCGGATTCTGCTGCGGCTGCCGCCAGTCGTGAAATGGAGCTGATCGCGGATATGAAGTCCGAGGTCTCTGCAGCACTCGCCGGAGTCGAGGAGGCCACATATCTCAAGGGTGTCTTGTGCGAGTACCTTCGTTTCGCTGACCAAGTCGACACCTCCGACGCCACTTCCGAGGATGCTTTGGCCAAGATGGATGCCGAAGCCGCCGGCCCATCCCACCTGGTCCGCCACGAGAAGCTCAATGGTGCCGACTTGATGGTCTTTACCCGTCCTGGCGAGGGCGAGGATGGCTTCGAGGGCGACCACGGTGGCAAGATGCTGCCGCTGTCCCTCAAGGCTGCTTCCAACGATGTCTCTCGCACCAAGACTAAGAAGTCCACTGGTGAGGTCAAGAACCGCAGCAGCCGTGAGATTGGATACTTGCGCCGCAAGGCGGTTGGCAAGTACTCATTCGAGAGACTGATCATTTAAAAGCCTTGTTCATTTCCTGTTCTATACTGTAACATGCTTTCTCATCAGGGAGACAATATCGGAGTTCCCAGGTTAGATATGACCAAGACATACCTAGGTGCTTGTTCCAACGTTTCTCAAGATTACATTACATCATTCCAACCTTGGAAGGTTTTACCTAGTAGACTGTACTGTATCCAGTTTGGGAGTAGCAGAAGAATAAAAAAATCAAGACCCTTGCGCATCGAATATATTTGTGGCCCAATGGTCTCCATGTATATGCGGGACCTCGAAGGGGGGACACCGCGGGACTCAATGGGGCACCCGGAGCCTTGCAGATATATATAAGTGGGACGAAGAATTTTAATATTGATCTCGCACTTGACGCAACCTGCTCGGTGCCCACGGTGTGAATTCAAGAAACAAAGCTACAAGGCTAGACTCGATGAATTATCCATATTAATTAATCTGAACACGAGAAGCTGATACCAGGTAGTCATGGCGAAACGTAAGACTAAGTGGGACCGTTCTAATTCAATAGTCCAAACCTGGGGATAGAGCAGAGTAGCTCCAAATGAAACAAGGGCAGTAGAAAGGGTGACTGTAAGTTGATAGATCGCAAAAGACGTTGTAGATTTCAATATGGACGAAAAAGGTAAACAATAGAATAATAAACAAGGGAGCTTAGGTGGAGCGACACCGCATCTCCGCACTGTTCTCTACCCACCGTTCTCTTCTCGAATCTCCCTTAGTCCCGATCTATGCCTCCATGTGTGTGATTGTCGAGTGTACGACGCGATTATAACAAAAAAGGGTACGGTTGTGAAGATGAGCAACCAACCATGGCTCGACAGTCTGTCCGATGACTGGCCGTCAATGCCAGCGTCGCCCACCAGCCCAACTACCCAACCGGTCTCGCCCAAAGCTCCCAGTCAGCAGGGGACACCTAGTCGCATTCCTGTGCCTGCACGGCGTCCCGAACAATCCCCGGGGGACAAGTCGAAGGACAAGAAGGTTACCCGCCCATGCCATTTTCACCGGAAAACACCTCCAACACCGAAGACTCCTCGAACACCCAAGACCCGGAAGCCTCGATCACCGCATCCCTCTCACTCGCATTCACACTCACATTCACACTCGCACACCCCCAGAACGAATTCGAAGACCAGCCCGAAGCCCAGCCCCGGCGCGGGACGTAAACAGCCCGCGATGGACACGCGCTCGCCGCTACGATCGGTGTCAAACGTCTCCAACACGTCAAATCAGTCAGAATTACAGGGAACAGTGCAGATCAACACCAAGAAAGGAGGGCAACCGAAGGATGGCACTCCAGAATGGCGGCGGCGACTAGTGCGCGGGGAAGTTGCTCCTGGTGAGCACCGGGACCTGTTTGCGCCGATGGGCTTGGAAAGCGTGTTCAAGCCGCCTACACCGGGCGCGGCGCGGGAGGAATCTACGCCGTTCCAAAAACAAGACGATCAACTATGGGACTTCACCGACACATCCTCGCGACACGAAAAAGACGGCCACAGCACGCGCGACGATGATACCAACCGCGTCAACGATGTGATTGACGGAGTAACATACGAGGAAAATCCGCAAGGGACAGTGAACCACGCGCCGTGGGGACAGAATGGACACCAAGAGGGGGATTGGGACCCCGAGGGACTCACACAGCCGGACGACACCCAGCAACGAACGGCGAGTGGGTTGGAAGACCTGCGCAACGAAGGAATCACACCCATCACCTTCAGTCGTAACAACACCTTCAATGGCAATGGAACCTCCGAAGTGATCAAGTCCGCATTGAAACAGGTCACCAACAAGCTAGAGGGCTTGTCCATTGGAAACGAGGGCCGCCCTGAAACATCAGCAAGCGACAGTTTTCTCTTTGGAAACCACAGCGAACCCCTCGATGACTCTCGAAATGACAGTCTGCTAGACGCAACCAGTCACTCTTTACCCCAAGATCTGTCGATGGGGACGGTGGACTTCCACAGTCGCCGGGGAAATCGCTCCTTCCCTCGCAGGTTTTCCCCTTCGCCCTTTCCCTCGCATCGCCTGTCCCCCACAACTCTCGCCAACTCGAAGATCCGCAGCTCTCCCTTGTTCAACCCCCCTCCCAAGCCTGGCTCGCCTGGCCTACCGCGCCCCTCTTCGTCTCATGTTCGTCCATCGACTGCTGGAACGGAGGGTACTGATTCCAAGATGCCCTCATCTGGTAGCCCTTTGAAGTTGTTTGGGAACCATGATACTTTCACCAACAATAGGCTTCTTCGGCGTATGAGTCAGTTTGAAGACAATTACAGCGATGGGTCCGAGGGAGAGGAGCCACCTTCCCCCTCTGAAGAGGCGCGGAGGAAGGGCGAAAGTCGCAGCTTTTTGAACTCGAGACATGAGCCATTGCGGGAGATCTCACCCAGGCGAAACGAACGCGTCGAATCGCGTAGTGATGGCCACCGAATAAGTCAGTTTGGGGGCGGAGAGTTGGATAAATTCGATTTCTCGGACACCAGCCCATACGAACGCAAACTTGTTTATGATGAGGCCGCAGGATTTGGATCTCGGCCAACATCGCGCAAACGATCGTCGACGCGACAACAATATCTCCGTGGTCCTTCCCAGCAATTGTATCATTACAGCAGGTCGGCAAGCTCGGGTTTCACTCGGAAGCCATCTGCATGGATGCGTCAAGATTTCTTTGATGATGTGCGACCAGGATCCCGCCCAAGCAATAAGGAGAACATGGCCCCTGACGTCAAGCGAGTTCCCCGAGCCCCGGGGATGGACCCCACACCCAAACGCCGCCGAACAATCATGAGGAAGAATAGCGCGGAGCCTAATCACAATGCGAACGGTGATTCGCCCCCGAAATATGGCGAAAGCATGTCCCTTTTGCAAAGAAGTCTCATGCAACACGGCGTCCAGCTCGACAACACCGACTATCTTGCTCCGCCTAGCGTATCTCATTCTATGCAGCGGCCGCGGACACCGACACCCAGCCAAATACGGGCGGCCGCAGAAAGTCGCATTTCGTCTTACAGAGATTTCTCGGAGCCAAACTTCCACGACAACGATTATTCCGATTCGTTCTCATTTGATGGCGAAGGCATTGTTCCCCTTGTGAAGATTACCGGCACAAGCGATACGTCGCGGAAAGGATCCATCACCACGCAGGATTACCTGAACGAAGCGACCAAAATTATGGATCTAATTAGATCAAAAGGAAGAGGTGCAACGGGATTGTCGAGCTTGCATGAATCTGATGTGGAAAGCGAAGGCGACGATCTCAGTTATGACGACGAATCTACGCGAGAAGCCTTTTCTCGGCCACCTAGTCGAGACGGTACAGATCTGCGCAAGCTCAGGGAAGTCAAAGAGCTGAACCCCCAAATATTGAATCACCTTAAAAAGTATCAAGAGCAAGATGACCCTGATGACCGAGAGATGTCCCTGCACGCTCGTCATGGCCACACCGAAGGCCTGTCTGAGCTTGATGATTACAACTCGCAAAACATCAGGATTCAAGGGCCAAGAAAGCGCAAGACCAGTGGCATGGCTGATGACACGGCCGAGAACATTGCCCAGGATTTGATGACCATCAACACTCAAATGTCCGGCTTCAGCGTCAACTCAGTGCCAACAGGTTCATCACAAAGTTCCGGAGTGAAGGGAATGCTGGCTTCTGATCTGGTTTCACACTTGATACCCAACGAGGTCAATGGCTTCATATATGATCGGGCCAAGAACCAGTGGGTAAAGGATGGAATGGAAGAGCCCGAAGCTCCAATCTCAGAGTCCTCCGAGGAGAACGAAGACCCCTTCCGAGACATTCCTGACCTGAGTGTCGATGAGTTACAGGAGATGATGAGAGTGCAAAGTCTCAACTCTGCTTCTAACACCAATGATTGGACCAACTCAGAAAATCCCGCACGCATTCCCTCAGCATTTGCCTCATCGCCAAGGAAACTCGACGTTCGACCCCACACGAGGGATGGGGTTCCTTCTATCAACACTAGCTCTATTCATTCAAGACTCACCCGTTTCACATCGAGTGTCCCTAATACCGGAACAAGAGCTTCCTCGTGGGACACCGATGAGCATGCACAGAGAAAACGCTCCGCAGATGAGGATGTTCCAGTCCAGAGCCAGGAGGCCGACGAGCCCAAACCGCTTCGAATCCAAAGGAAGCAAGCACGCGTTTCCACTGTCAATCTCTCGTCATCGCGCGGCTCCCGCCAATCTCCAACTTCTGAACATGAAGCCCCCCCAGCTAAGCTAAATGCGGATCACGTCTACCACGGAATTGTGCCTAGCGAAGATTCGGCCGAGGCAAATCACGAAAATGGCACAGTTCGCTCTTCTCTCCATCCTCCCACAGGACGCCAAAGCTCGGTTGCCGGTCAACCCTTCGTTGGACGTCCTATCTCGAGGATAGAGGAACGCAACGAGGAGACCCTTGACGAACAAAGTATTGTTCGCAGAAATAACTCACTGCATGTGGAGCAAACCCCGGCCAGAGCTGAAGGGCACCGTCATTTGATGACCGTGAACAGCGCTGGGGCCGATACCAGCTATAGCTTCCATCTTAGTCCACTCGCCGACTTCACTGTCAACCAAGGTGATCGGCCGTCAAACCTTGAGATGAGCCATGTCGCCCAGCGTACAAATCCCTCTTCTTTACGGCAAGTGCACGGGACTTTCGCTCTGGCGACTGAAGATTTGATCAAGCATATCACAGACGTAGAGCCATATGAGCCTTATTGGGAACATGTGCGTCGTCTAGTTCTGCGTGGCAAGGGGTTGATCACATTGCATAAGCTCGACCAGTTCTGTCCCAGACTCGAGGAGTTGGATGTTTCTGACAACGATATTGGCCAACTAAGCGGGATTCCTTCGACTTTACGAACCCTCAAGATCTCCCGAAACTGCCTCTCCAACCTAACATCCTGGAGTCATTTGACGAACTTGCAGTATTTGGATGTTTCAGGAAACGAAATCGAAACATTGGATGGGTTCTCCAGCCTGATTCATCTCAGAGAGTTGAAAGCGAATGACAACCAGATTCGCAGTATTGATGGTGTTATGGATTTGAATGGCTTGCTCAGTTTGAAATTGAGTAATAATTCCTTGACAACGGTGGATTTCGAAGGGTCTGAGTTAACTCGACTACGTGACCTTGACTTGAGTCACAATTGCCTTACCTCTGTTCGCAATGTCGAATGGCTCCCTTCGCTCACCACTCTTGATATGAGCGCCAACCAAATTACCCGGTTCGATTCTACTGCTTCCCTGATCAGCCTGCGGGCCCTGAAACTTTCGGAAAACCGTCTCGACGTTTTCGATGCCCAGCCATTCTCTTCTGTCAGCCTTTTGTATCTTGATCAGAATCATCTTCCAACCATCATCGGACTGGAGCAATGTCAAAATCTCGAAGTTCTTTCCATCCGAGAACAGACACCACCAAAAGAGAACGATCATAACTTTGGGCTGGACATTGATCTGGGACTTGTGAAAGACGTCCGCAAAGTATTCATGTCATCCAACAGGCTGTCCCCACAGAGCGTCTGCCCATCTGCCCCACTTCTGCGACTTCAGCTTCTTGATGTCGCTGCATGCACCTTGAAAGGACTACCTAGCGACTTTTCGTTGAATTTCCCCAACCTCAAGGTCCTGAACCTAAACTTCAATTCTGTCGACGATGTCGAGCCCCTGCTGGGTATGAATTGTCTCGCGAGACTCATGGTTGTTGGCAACCGTCTCTCTCGGATGAGGCGAGTATGTCAAATCCTCAGTCGACTAGGCCGAGCGGGCAAAGGGACGGCATGTTCTTTGCGAAAGCTCGATCTACGCGGGAATCCTCTGACAGTTGGATTCTACCCCCCGGCTGTCACTGGAAATGGCAGTCTGGATCGAAAGAAGTTGAAGTCTCAAGAGCAACATGCGGTTGTGCGACTTCGAGATCATCGCGATCTGTCTGAAACACTAGCCGAACTTGGGAATGATGACCAGATTTCACATCGTGCCACAATAGGAGACGATACCCAGACCGACAGAGACGCTGAAATCAATGATCCTTTCACGGTCCCGCTTGCTGATGCCCAAGCGGACGCAAAATACTTGAGACACCTCGACCAGGCTACACGTCTACGCCGCAGAGTGCTTGAGCTTATGCTTTACGCTGGAACAAGTGGCTCCGTCCATACCCTTGACGGGTTGAACCTCCGCCCCTCGCTTGGCGAGGAGTCTTCGGATATGAACAAAGCATGGGACCGACTGGAGAAGCTGGGGGTTCTCCGGCGGAAAGCGATTAAAAATTAGGCGATATTATTTTTTTGTGCTGAGAAATTTTGTTAACAAGCGTGTTTGAGCATTGAAGGCATTGTGTTTGGAGTTTGACTGGACTTAACCCTCGGAGTTTTAGGTTCAATACCAGTACAGGTGCATAGTTGGAGTTTGACATTGAATCAAGTGGCATTTTCGAAATCCCCTGAACTTGGAAGAACAAAGAACCAATGAGATCTCTCGACAAGTCGATTGTTTTTGCTTTCAATTTAACTAATTTAACCTACCGGGCCCCGGGGGAAGCCGCGCCCCCGCACCATTGTGACTTATCGCCGTCTTGCCACCTGCAATGCTTCACTGTCCCAAACACTTGGCACTGTAACCTCAGCCCTTGCATTGCCAAGATCCGTCGGGGTCCCGCCTGTGGTCATCTTCTCCGGTCACTCGCCGGCCCTATGATAACGCTTCCTCTCCTGCGGCAGTGCAGCCCGCTCCTTGGCTTCCCCTCGCCTTCTTGCAGACTATGGCACCTTATCATCGCGTGATTATGCCGATATACATCGTGTGCTGGCAAACCAGGTATAAAACCAGTCCTTGCTGCCGGCTTTGGATGATCATCGATTCTCGGATTGCCTAAAATGAAGTGGCTCTTTTTGATCTGCAACCTATCTTTGGCTTTGGCCGGTAGCAAGCCTAAAGTCACACCGGTATGTACGCATCTACGCTGTTAACATGCGGTCAACTGACCTAGCAGGATAAACTCTCCTCCCTCATTCGGCTTGAAGATCTCCTCGAGGGCACTCAACAGCTCGAGGACTTCGCCTATGCATACCCAGAGCGCAACCGTGTCTTTGGTGGAGCGGCTCACAATGAAACGGTGGACTTCCTCTACCGTGAGCTGAAGAAAACCGGATACTACAATGTCTACAAGCAGCCGCAAGTGCACACATGGACTAAAGCAGATGCTTCTCTGAAATTCGATGGCAACTCCATTACTCTTACTTCCATGACATATAGTCCCAGCGTCGACATCACTGCAGACTTAGTGCTGGTTTCAAATGTTGGATGCACTGCATCGGACTACCCCAGTGAAGTGGCTGGCAAAATCGCCTTTGTGAAGCGTGGAGAGTGCACCTTTGCGGACAAGTCACTGCTTGCCGGTGCAGCGAAGGCATCTGCCGTGATTGTGTATAACAATGCTGCTGGGTCTCTCAGTGGAACTCTGGGTGGGGTTTCCGACGACTACGCCCCCATTGGAGGAGTATCGCAAGCAGACGGCCAAACTCTCCTCGACGCCGTTGCCAAAGGCGCTACAAGTGTGTCTCTTCTGATCGATAGCAAAGTCGAGAACCGCACTACATTCAATGTCATTGCTGAGACAAAAGGTGGTGACCACAAGAACGTCGTCTCACTGGGAGGGCACACCGACTCCGTCGAGGCTGGCCCCGGAATCAACGACGACGGATCTGGCATTATCAGCAACCTTGTTGTGGCCAAGGCTTTGACCCGCTTCACTGTCAAGAATGCCGTCAGGTTCTGCTTCTGGACCGGCGAGGAATTCGGTCTGCTAGGCAGCGAGTACTACACATCGCACCTCAGCGCTGAGGAACTAGCCAAGATCAAAGTTTATCTCAACTTTGACATGATCGCCTCCCCCAACTACGCTATCATGATCTACGATGGCGATGGAAATGCCTTCAACCAGACCGGACCCACTGGCTCTGCCGAAATTGAGGCTCTGTTCGAAAACTACTTCAAGTCCAAGAACCTGCCGTACATCCCAACTGCATTCGACGGCCGATCCGACTATGATGGCTTCATCTCTCGAGGCATTCCCGCAGGTGGAGTCTTCACTGGTGCCGAGGGTGTCAAGACCGAGGCCGAGGCCAAATTGTTCGGCGGCCAAGCGGGCGTCTCTTACGATGCCAACTATCACGCTGTCGGAGATAATACCACCAACCTTAACCACGAGGCCTTCCTGACCAACTCCAAGGCTACCGCTTTCGCCGTTGCGACCTACGCTAACAGTCTCAAGTCCATTCCCAAGCGAAATGCAACTTTGGCTGGACCGTTGAAGAAGAGGGCTCCCAAGGCGCATGCTCACACTGAGAACACTGGTTGCTTCCACTCGTTGGTCGAGATTTAGTGGCTTTTATCACGTCGATGGGCTGTATTTCGGCACTATTCACTTGTGGAATTCCAAAAATATGACAGCGGATACGACCGCAGCAGGTTAAGACTCAATCATAACCCCTGAGAACCATTTCAAGCCGTGATAGAACAGTAACCTGTGAAAGTAACATTGAAATCCCATTCAAGAACCTGACCCATGATTGCTCTTACTGTAAATTAACATTACCCCCTCTTAAATGGAAGGGTTATTCTATCGACATTATTCCCCTTTCCTCATTATTACCTGTTGCCAACAGAGCAGCGGAATGATTATCAATCCTTCAACGCTTCAAAATCCGCTCGCACTGACCGCAGTATCTCATCAACCAGGGGCATCTCGTCCTCCACTGGAATATCCAAAGCCCCTGCCTGCCAGCTTACAATGCAAATCAGACTACCACCCTTCACACTTACCACATTGAACTCAAGAGGCGCACTGATAGGATTGGCAGGCCGAGTGAACAGCATCTTCTCAATCTTAATCCCATGGGATGCATCACCATCCCTGTCATCGAAAGCAAGCAAGTTACTCAGTTCATAAGAGCAATCGCGCTTTTTGCCTATTTTGCTTAAGGTCCAATTTCGAATACTAGGCGGATATCTCAACAATCCGACTGCCTGGTCCTGCAGTCTCGTACCGCACTCGGCAAGCTTCTCTGTCATGGAGCTTGCGGCGGCCCACGCTTGATCAGATAATGTTTGCCCGACCTCGCGGGAACGTGGGTGAGTCTCATAATGAGCATTGACGAACAGACCCCATGTTGCACTTGAAATGCCAATGGATTTGCGCATGTCGACTGCTGTCCCAGAGACAAAGTTCGTCACGTCTGTATCGGGGATGGCCTTGCTCAATGCCCGGACGATAAATTGATGCATTGTTGCGGTGAGTTTGGTGTTGTGAATTCTGGAAACCCGTAACGCCGTTTGTACCAAATCATGATCAATCTCGAGAATTCGCAATCGACTAGGCGGTGCCGGGGGTGGCTTGAAAAAGATTGACGAGCCAGTCCAAGTTCCGGCGTTCACGGGACTGGCGGTTGGTTTTAGGCCAAATAGATTGGCTACGAAATGAGGAAGATAGACCGCTACAAACGGAGCGAGAAGAAAGCTCCACGATATTGGAAGCCTGGCGGGTGTGTCGAATGGTTCTGAGAGCGCGTCGTTTGGAGAGGAAACCAAGTGTGATTCGTTCTGATCCACGCGGGGAGCTTGTCGCCACCCGTCTAAGAATGTTCGATGAAATTCAACTGCGCTCATACCGTCTCCCAGAGTATGGGAGAATGAAAAGATCATCAAGCAGCGCTGGCTTGTGCCTGGCGATGCCAGGGGAAGCACGATAATTCGCCAAGGCGGAGTGCCAGTCGGCCATGGCCGGTCCAGTATGGGCGGCAAGACTTTCTCAAAGAGATCCAGCTCTGCATCGTCGCTAGTTTCGTGGCCTTCGATGATGACAATGTGGTCACGAAGATCGATTTCCGAAACAGCTTCAAAGGCCGGTTGCTCTGTGTGCTTGTCCTTGACAATCACGCTCAAGAACGGGTGTTTCTCTACACAATGTTTCAACGGCTGAATGAATGTATGAGGTGAATTAAGATCGACATCTTGATCTTGAATCTCATACAGGCCTGCTATGATGAGTGCGTTGTAGAAACCGACATCTTCGCGACTGATTGTACGACGTTCATTGGGACCTGAGATGTCAGAAGATAGAGGGCTTATGCAAGGACGAGGACTGACTTGCGAATCTCATGAACTTCGTATCTGGCATGTTGGGCATGGACTTGGAGAAGTGCTGTTAAGGGGAAGCCGGGAGTACCGGGTCTCGCTAAGCGCCAGGCACCAGGCAGTTAGCGTTGGCCCCCACTTGACTGGCCCCCAGGGCCCCACTTGGGCGACTGCGAGCCTGTGTCACTGTGCTTATTTTTTTCACCTGCGGGGCGTATTCTTAGAACGGAAGAATAATGGGATTTCATGTCAAACGAGAACAGCTTGATTGTGCAGCTATAAGACCAACCGATTCATGTTGATTTTGGCCTGGTTTAGACCACAAGGCAACTTCCAAGTTTGGATGTCACTTCGGATATATATGTCGATATATTTTTGTTGGAGCAGCTCCTGGCTAGCACCAGAAAGAGAGAAGACAGAGAGTTGAGTCCAGAGAGAAGCAACCGAGAAACAGAAGCCGAGAAGAGAAGAGAGCTGCATTTGAACTGGGAGGGCACATGATCACCCGCGCCTCACAACGATTTTTCATCTTTGTCGTCTCCATCGACAACCGGACGCGACTCACCCGGAAGTGGTCCATAGACGATCACTGCAGCCAATCCGTCCACACCCTGCTGCCTCTCTCCCTCGAGATAGAATTGCACATGCACTCCCTTCTGGACATACAAAACGCTGAATCGGTCCCCATGCTCAATGTCCGCGGAATGAAAAGGCTCACTCTGATCCCGATCGACTCTCAGTGTTTCTAGGCGCAAAGAAATTCCCGGCGCCAAATAACCCGCAACAAGCAAGGTTTCCGCATCCCAGATCTTCGTCGCAATAGGAACTTTGCAACTATCGCCGTTCTCAGGGCTTGGAAACTCAAGCGCGAAAACCTCTGTGTTGGGTGGTTTGAAGGCTCTTGTGCCATACGCGCCTGACAACCATTTCCCAACATCGTAGAACACATGATTCCACGTATAATATATCTGATCCCGCCATGGAGTATGGCAAGTCTTGAGATCAGGGTTCTGTGGGAGTTGTTCGCGCTCTTCTCGGGTTAGCGAGTTGATCTCTTTTCCCCACGCGCTGACATCGCCGCAGGGTGGGTTGTTGCATTCCGATGGTCTTTGGATCGACCATCCGTGGATCAGAAGATGGGCGACGGTGACTTGAGCCGGGTCTTCCGCGAATCCAATCTTGCGAATTGCTGGAGTAGGAATTGGATTGCCATCTGCAGGGCCGAGGTTGGCAAGGGAATGCATATCGACGCCTGCACTCAATGAGGGACATAGACCGAGAAGAAGGGAGTTAACTGGAATGAAGATTCATGTGCGCTCTTACCCTTTTAAAATAATTTGCCACACTGAAAAAAAAACCTCGGAAATTCCAAGAAGCTAACAGAACGGTACTTTTGGCCCTGGGGCCAAGGCGAAGTAGGTAGAGTTGACTCACTGGCCATCGGACGACGGAAATCGTAAAGCGTACTCGGATTTGTCTCAGATATGACATACTGTGCTAATGGTCTAATCTATTTGATTGTCTTGTCTATTTGAGCTCAGGTCACCGATCTAGAAGGGTCGTATTATCAGAGTACACCTAGGCATTATGATACGCCGTTTGCAATCAAATTCCTGTGATTCCTGCCATGTTGAGTACTAGGCACCGAGCCTCAGAAGAAATTTAAGGCATCGGGAGAGCTTTGGAATGCAAGGATACATCCATGATGGACATTCCTTTCATAGAATTGGAAATGAACCTCAAATATCCATTATCCTACTCAATCCCAAAAATTCGTGCCACTTCCATCAAACCATTTCCAGTGTCCTCGACCCAGACGTCGACAAACCCGGACTTCTTGGCTTGAAGGGCCTCTGCACTGCTCCATGCCTCTTCCATTTCTCGCTCCACATAGATCGTTTGAAAGCCACAGCCCTTGGCTGCCTGTAGATCTTCAAGATGTGCGGCAACCAGATCACACTGGGAAGTTTCCAACCCAAATTTCTTCGCAGCTCCCCGATAAACCTCCGGCGAGGGTTTGTATGCACCGAAATGCTCGGCGCTCGTGATATGAGTAAAAGGCAGTGCTCCGTGTGCTTGAAGATCCTTGAGCAAGGAAATGTTGCCATTCGAAAGGGTTGAGGTGGTGAATAGACCGTTGAGAAGGTGGAGGCCTGCAACAGCATCAGGCCATGGATCAAGTCGATGCCATGTAAGAGCTAGCTTTGCCAGGGTGTCTTTGCTGAACAGAGTGTGCAGATCCCGCTTTGTAAGGATTGCTTCAAGCGAGGTATAATTGTGCTCATCGACTGAAATGAAAGACCCAGACGGATTGAAGTTGTTTCCGAATTCCATGTATGATCGATGCCATTCTTCTGCTAGACTCAACCAATCTGTCATGGTCAGAGATGATACATAGTCCCGTGTTTCAAAATTCACGTCTCTTTCTGTGTCTTGCATAACTGCTTGTGCAGCTTTGCTCAGTTCCTTTGCGATAGAATGTCTCCATTCCACCACCGTGCCAAGGACATCGAAAAAGAGGATCTGAGGTGGGTCTTTGGCTGACATTTTCGACCGCTCAAGGTTAGAAGATTGCTGGATTTGGTATGAGAGAAAGAAGAGTGAACAGTGGAACTATTCTAGCCACTTGCGAGGACGTTTTGTACTGCACTACTAGGTACCCAGTGACCTCGGGACTCTCTTTAGGCCCCTCAGGTTTAATTCGAAGCTGCGGCACCAAAAAAGTAAGCATCACATTCCATATCGACTTGCTTTACCCACCCAAGCTTACAAAATTATATATTGTCCAATGAGCTCGCCACACAGCCCTGGAGAGGACCTGGAGCCGAGGCTCAGATTTTCCATCTTCATCGTTGCATGTGAATGAAACCGAGAACGGGCATGTCCTAGTATAATTTCATACTGAGGATTTTCTCAGACCAGATCTACATATGCGAACATAAAGGGTTAACCACACTTAGATAAAGAAAAAAAAAATGGATTATCAAAATAAAGTACCGACAAAAGAAGAGTATTATGAAGACTTGTGTTTGGGCCCATGGGCCCTTCAGCTACGCCCAAGATCTTGGCCGAGAAGTGGACTATACCAACGCTTATTTCTTGCCCGGCAAGAGAATCTGCTTCTCTTTCTTGATTTGTTCAACGACACTGATGTCGATCTTTAGAACATTGGCAACCGTGTCGGCTGGAGTCAGAGCAAGCCACTGGGCGAGCGAGATATCCGCGACCCGATCACTCTTATAGAGCTCGATCCAAACGAGCTTCTCCGTCTCGGAGGTATTCTCGATGTAATGGCCTAAGTGTTTTCCATCAGTCTAAAAGTTCTATAATCAGGAAGGATTTCACTTACCGCTATTGTCGGGGAAAGCAGCTGTGTCACCTGGGTGGAAGTCGAAGGTGCGGGCCTTTGAGTCGCCAATGAATACGGTCGCGCGAGCGTGACCCTGGTGGAAATATAGCCATTCCTCGGCCTAGGATCTGTCAGTGCCAGAATATCTGTAAATTCCGACAAAACTTACATTGGGGTGCCAGTGAAGCTCCCGAAGACCCTTGGGCTCCAGCTCAACGATTGCGGCAGCGATGGTTTTGGAGATAGGGAAGTTTGTGGAATCAATCTTCCGGAAAGTACCGCCGTGGCCAGGCACAGGCTCGGGCTTGTGTTTGTATGTGTGGAAGACATAAGAATCATCACCTCTCAATGTACCCTCGGGGGCTTTGTCGAGGTCTTTGCTAACTGTACCATCGAGTATGTATGGGAACTTAGCAGGGACCGAGTCAAAGACCTTGGGGTCAACACCGAAATTCTTTGCAAGGACATCTCGAGGAGTGTGCGCAATCCAGTCATCGACCATGAAAGTAGTTCTGCCAGGTCAGCTTTTAGTCTAGAATGGAGGATGATAACATACCCGATCTTCTCGAAATCGCCATCGTCAAAGGCAAGAAGGTACTCGTTCTCGTCGTCCAGGCCTTGTACGTTGTGAGCGACACCCTTAGGGAAGTACCAGATATCTCCAGTTTCAAGAACTTCGGTAGTGAAGCCACCGTGCTCGTCGACACCGGAAAGTAGGAGCGATCCGTTGTAGACGAAGCCCCATTCAGCCTGTCTTCGATTAGTTTCGTTCCCAAGAAGGTACAGCTTCCACACAACTTACAGTTCTGTGCCAATGCAGCTCGCGGATAGCACCCTTCTTCAGGTGCTGCTGAGCGCCGGCAATGTCGTGACTTTGTGGCAGGTCCTGGATGACTTGCTCTCTAGACCAGCCACCTGGGAACAATCTGGTCTGAGACTCCGAAAAGCTCCACTTCACATTGGGCACGAAGCCATTGTCCGTGCTCGGGGTGCGGAATTGATCAGGGTTCTGAAGATCAAGAGCCTTGTTGGTACCACCTGGTTAAACAACCCGATCAATATTCAGTTGTTGATTGATATTGAGCGATTCTGAACATTGACTCACCTAAGATAGGTGCGCCTTTGCCACCGCTGATCGGCTGGTTACTCCCGTCTTCATGTCTTTTGGCCTTCGGAACCGCAAAAGCAGAAGAGACAAAAAGTCCGAGTAGCGCGAGGCTTTGCGACTTCATCGTGAGCCAATGAAACGAGCACAAAAATGGAATTGGACTTGTACGAGGTGAATCGAGGGTCTTGCAGTTGGGTTGTTTAAATATCAAGTTCGGGCACCTCCAGTCCCTCCATATCTATTTCGTGATCGGAACTCAGAATGTGACCGTGTCGGGGCATACCAGCCCTCGGCTTGTGCTGCCGCTGATCTCAATGAAAAGCAACCACCACAAAATCTGTTAGTCGAAAGTATAAAGGGAATTATTGAACGGCAGATATGACGCGATTCAGGAACAAATGTTTACTGGCGGGCAAGCTGAGCGAACAGGTCGTCGATCGTCAGGTTCCCATGCAAAAGGGTAGACAGGGGGGAAGGAAGATTGGGTATAACAACATTCTTGGCATCATGTCGAAATAGATGCAGGGTTCACCCGTGCACCAGCATCCCATGGGGAAATTTGATGTAGATCCCAGGGTCTGACAGATATCTGTTGACTCGGTACTAGCCGGCACTGGAGAAATGTCGGGACTGAAAAACGGGAAAACATCGAGTCTCGAGGATCTGGCACCTGGAGACCCCGGGGAGAGCCCTGAATCACCTCATCCGCTCCTTGGATGAGATGCCAGATGTCTTGGCTTCTTGGCATCCGTAGATCATGCCTGGATTTTGACTCCATCGCACCTCTTGTAGTTCGTCTTCGCCCAAAAGCACCAAAGAAGCTTCGCATTGACCTCTGGGCCTCGATCCTGGGCCTTGGATTTGGACGTGTGAGGTTCGTTTTTCGTGTTTGCACCTTTCCTATCCAGGTCAACCTTTTCTCTTTGTGTCTTGAGTTTCCTCCGCCGGTGGTCTTGGCGGTACACCTAGCCAGGTTTGATTCTTGGATATCAGCCGTCACTCCATGCTAGCAATGCACGTTTGGGTTCAAGCTATTGAACTCATAGACCTCGTGAGTCGACAGATGGCCGTCCACTACCCTTCCGCTGTCCTGGGTCAACTTCAATCACGACAGCTCATCAACATTGTGATCTGCTAGTCGACTCTTGGCTCCAATTGCCTTTGTATTCACGAGTGAGTGCCTGGCGTTATTCCCGAGTCGGCAAAGAAGATGGCTTGGGGCGTTCAGGAATGTATGCGCCATTTCGAAGATCGACCACGATCTGTGGAATTTGGAATCACACAGCTCATGAGTTTGCCGTCTTGCGTGCTCCAGAGACCTTGTTGTCGATGTTTTGGGGGAAACGCGAAGAGTGTCCTGAAATGGGGACTGGAGGCGCTCTGTTGTGTATTTAAGCCGTGAGGAATTCCCGCAAATCTGCTCATCACAACGCAAACCCGCTCATTTGCTCTCACGATGAAATACGTTGCTTTGCTTGCGTCTCTCGTCGCTCTCGGCGAGTGTCTGTCTTTGCCTCCGCTCATCCCCACCATTCCTGGTGTGACTGAGGCTCTGACTACCAATGCACCCCCTCTGCCTATCCTGCAGGTCCCAACTCCTCCTCTAGAGAGTCCCCCATTCACTCCGAGTGACATCAAGCCGAAGAAGATCGGGTACTTCTGGACTGGCTCGGCTGACAAGTTCCACAAGGGTAGGAGATTCATGCACAAATATCACAATGTGAAATTAACGATCATTGGCAGATTTCCTTGCAACTTACAGTCTCGACGATGTGAGTCTTCTCTAGTTCTCTCTTGGCTTTCATATACTGACCAGATTATAGGATACCTTTGGTACCCTTTTGTGGGTGACTGATGTCCCTTCGAGTGGAAACGACCCCCACCATCTTGGACCGTCTCTCGACGGAAAGACCATCTGGGGTGGAGGTCTCCTCTCCCTCTTGAAGACACAGGTATTTATTGTTCTCACAAACTTCAGTCTTTAGCCTAACAAAAGTCTAGGACACGGGGTTCTACTTTGACACATCTAACCCCTACCGTCCTAAGTTCCTCAAGAGTAACCGCGGAATCCTCGCCTCTATTGCAGATGAGGTCCGTGCTAAGCCCGATGGAGGATTCTTCATCACTTACATGGGCTCTGCCGTGGGAACCTCGCCCGGCCGTCTCGTTGAGACCGATGCCGACTTTAACATCATCCACGAGTGGCCCGAGGATGTGGAGGGTACCCTCAACATTCTGGGTCAGCAGTTCTCTCCTCACGGACTGAGCATAGACTGGGAGAAGAAGCTGATTCTCACATCTGACTTTGTCGAACCTATCAGTATCTTGAAGCCCAGTCTCGGAGTTCGCCATGCTGACACCCTTCGTCTCTGGGACTTGGATTCGAGGAAGATCCTGAGCACCTTGACTATTCCTAACGTAAGGCAACACTTCCATACTTTGGCCCGATTTATACTAATTTTATCAGGGTGGTGGTATTCAAGACGTCAAGTTCATCCCCGGTCACCCCGAATCTGCCGCCATTGCTACCGCCGTGCACTTGGGCCAGCTCTGGATTATCTATCCTCTGCGCAAAGATGCGAATGGCAATCAAGGTGTTATCGAGGAACTCTACGATCTTGGTCCCAAGGCCCGCGATACCATCGCTATCTAGTAAGCTCTTCATGAATCTTCCATTAAACCAAGAACACGACAGCTGACATGACATTCAAGCTCTGACATCAGCCAAGACGGAAAATACTTCTATGCTACCCTGACCACTGCCAACCACATCGCCGCTCTCGATATCAGCGACTTGGATAACATCAAGCGTCTCGATGACCCCGATGAGGACCAGCCTACCGTTGGACCCCACTATGTCAAGATCACCCCCGACCAGAAACACCTCGTTGTTACCGACTACTTTGTCCAGACTGGTGATATCGGCATCATAAACACCCCGGCTGACTTCAAGGCTCTTTACATTGACCTCCAGGAGGATGGAAGCCTGTCCTTCAACCGAACCATCGACTTCAACAAGGAGTTTGCCAACCGCGGTGGAGCCAAGCCTCACTCCAGTGTTGTCTTCGATCTCACTGACCCGGAGAACCCTCTCTACTACTAGACTTTCTAGTAGTGCTTGGAGTGATATGAGCCAGCGATATTGGCTCTAAATTTTGAATAGTCTCTTTCTTGGTCTGACAGTGCCCTAGGGCGTGTATTTACAGTGGATGAAGTCCAAATATTTATTAATTTACACCGACGAGTGGACTGACTATTGTAAATTCATGGACGAGTCAGAATGTTGGTTTCGATATGTACCTACCTAGGTAGGTATTTCCAAGTTATTAGGCCTATCATCTAGTAGGTACCTAGTACCTAGGTAAGTACTAGGTAGACTTTCGCGCTTGGAGACCAGCCCAGAAAGCCCGGGCCCAACCCGGGCCCAGTGGGCTCTTCCGGGGGCCCATTGGGCCCCAAATATTTCAAACATGCCAATTCTTGGCATCTTCATAAATAATGCAGATCTTGATCGTGTTTTTGACTATTGATGCAAAAAAGCCTTAACTTATTCTAAGAGAAGCTTGTTCCAAGTTCATAGCGGTGATGGTGATGGCCTTGGAACAAAGAGGGAAAGAGATGGATTGAAATCGAGAAGCTCCAGACTTCCAAGGTTCAGTAGTGCCTCGGTGAGGTTCCGAGGCTCTCTGGCGAACAATTTTGAACAGTGTCGAGTATGTATATTTTCACCAATACTTTCCAAATTGTACAATATATTCAGTTCTAAGATTACAAGGTAGAACCGTCGTATATATATAGAAACCATGAACCTTGAATCAGCAGGTGTGTGAACGCCAGGACCGTCTTCCAAAGTTTATGCATAGAAGTGGGCTTCTCCGGGGGCCTAACGGACCCCCGGTACTGGGCCTGGGGCTGGATTGGGCCCCCGGCGGGACCTCAGGCCCAGCCCAGCCCAATGCCGAAGTCTAGGTAAGATAGCCCGTTCTATCTTAGTGAGGTATACGGACGTACCAAGTCATACTGTTAGCAATTCCCGTGAACTTCGTTGACCCTCGCGGTATGTGTGACTTTCGAACTTCCCCCGTCACGCTCGGTATCATCGTCGGGAAGAGTGGGAATCGCAGATGAGTTCGCCTTGGTGGCAGCGATGTCGTCTTCGATCACAGCACGGAACTGCTCACGCTTGGGCAGCAGATAGCGCACATCCACAAATCTAAGAATACTCGTCATGATGATGACAAGCACTAAGAGTGCCAGTGCAGACTGCCATCCGTACTTGTAATACGGGGCCTGCGATGCAGGCCAGACGAGCACTTGTGACCAGGCCGAGATGGAGTAGTACCCGGCAACAGCCACACCGACAGCGAGTGAACGTGCCTCGGGATCTTGGGGAATCAGATCCGACAACCATGCGAAGATGAGCGGTGCCGTTCCAAGGCAAATGTACGATATGAAATATGATGCATATGCAGCCGATAGGGCCACCGAAGCCGGGTTCGCGGTCCACGCGCTCATGATAATGCAGGGAATGATTCCAATCACCGCCTGAAGCACAATCAATGTCCATCGCGTCTCCAGCACGTCAGACAAAAGAGCCCAGATCCAGACGAACACCACGTTGATTGCCGATCCTCCGATCGGAATAGCGTTGACCTGAGTCACGCTCCAACGGGAGCTTCCATCAGGGTTCTTGAGCGACTTGAGGAACAGCGAGAAGTAAACGTATCCGTAGGTTCCAAGCACGGTTGCAATATAAAGAATGGAGATGAAGTACACCACCCATCCAGAGAATGTACGCTTAACACCGGCCCAAGTCATGCGCTTAGGTTCGGCGCGACCATTTCGAGCAAGTCGTTCCAGCGAAATCTCGCCATGCACCTTTTTAAACCAGAACGCGCGCGGGTTTGGTCTGTTGGGCAGATCGGGGATCATGAAGAATCCCGCGAATCCCCAGATGACCGTGATGATCGCATTGATCACAAAGAGCCAGCGCCACCCGGCGAGTCCAGCGTAACCGTTCAGCGTGTCGGAGATCGCTGCCTGCATGGCTCCAGACAGCATTTGCCCGACAGCTTGGCAGGAGTGATAGAAGCCCATTCGCTTGGCAAGCTCGGTGGGCGTGTACCAGTACACTGCGTATGTTAGGACCGTAGACGGTACCCGCGAATCAAGTGAACTCACTGAAAAGCGTCATCATTCCTGGCCATGCGCTACTTTCACATAGACCCAGGAAGACACGCAGTACGTAGACCTGTTTCGCGTTGCTGCACATGGCAATCAGGCCGGTCAAGACGCCCCATACTATCTCCAACCCGGGTAGCCAATAGCTTGGGCGCACGTATGTGAGGATGATTTGTGAAGGGATGAGCATGATACAGTATGCGACGTTGAAATATGTTGTGAATCTGACCATAAGCCCCTGTCTCTCTTTCCAAGATCGCGATACAACTCACAAATTTAGTTCGTTTCCATGCAGGTTCAAGTCCTCCATCATCCCGGAGACGTATGCATTATTGATATTTTGCTGGTCGAGGTACTTGATCACTAGACGGAGTCAGTTTTGACTTGCGCGCATCGCGGCGATCTGCAGCCCAACGCACCCTGTGAAAGACAGCCAAAGGTCATCAGAAAGATATCCAGGCGTCGGACCAAAGCCTTCTCATCTGGCGAACGGAAATCGCTGCTCGCGTCCGCAGACGGGCGAAACATCTTGAATGTCACCATGGCGAAGAGGTTTGAAGAGAAGACAAGTCCGACCAGTTACTCATAAGGCCCAAGCGGATACAGCCGTGACCTGTGACCCCCTCGCAGATAACACAGCTTTGCAGATCCGACGTCGGGCGGGGAAATGCGATGATAAGATTTGGGCCAATCGACATACCCGTGACCCCTTGGGGTAGCATCGCCAGAGAGCCGCGATAGAGACACAAGCTTGGCGTCCACTTCTACTTTTCAAGCTTCCAAGGTGAGCTTAGTCTCTCCGCTGTTGGTCTTGATTGGCGCGTGATAGTGAAGGAGTACTCCTTGACTCCACTGATATCCGCGATAGGGGAGTCTCCGAGGTCGTGGGGGTTTCCCCGCATGCCGGTGATTAACCGTCGACCGTCGCCGACACCGGCGAGTTAATAAACCTGCGCTGATCGGCTGGCAGAGGTTGGCTTGGAATCTGCAAAAGCATGGCGAGTCACGTCCAGTCCAGCAGAAGCCTGCCAAATCCGGCCCCTGGCTTGAGTTATTGGCAACGAACCACGCGGGGATTCCAGCATTTACATGAGAACAAAGATGCATCGCTCCCATCGAGTTCCCCGTATGTCATTGTTGGATCTGGAATCGCGGGTGGCTTGACGGCTTTCGAATTGATCGAAGGGGGCGTTAAGGCGGAGGAGATCGTTATTCTGGAAGCGCGGGAGGCAGCGAGCGGTGCTAGTTCACGGAACGCCGGACATGTGCGACCAGGTCGGTAGTGGACAGGATGGGAAATGTTATTGAAGGCAACTTACTGATTTCGCGATAGATGCATTCCGAGGCTTTAGTGCCTATGCTAAAGTACATGGTGGCGAGCAAGCTCTGAAGATCATCAACAACGAGCGGCTTGTCCTTGATCGAGTCGCGCAGTTTACCCAGAAGCACAATGTACAATGTGACTTTAACCTGGCAACCACCTTCGACGTTTGCATGACTCCAGAGTTCGCGGCATACGAAGCAGAAAGTCTCGAGGCATTCAAAAGCGCTGGCGGCGATACGTCGCACATCAAGTTCTACGAAGGAGCCGAAGCGGAAAGCAAGACCCGAGTCCCAGGCGCCGTAGCAGCATACGAGTGGCCAGCAGGATCCAGTCACCCGGCAAAGCTGGCGCAATTCCTTCTCCAGGCGGTCATCTCCAAGGGCACGAAGCTCTTCACATTCTGTCCTGCAATTGAAGTTAAACGCAATGACTCAGACCCAAGCCTGTGGGATGTGAAGACCTCTCGCGGAGTCATTACCGCCGAGAAGGTGGTTCATTGTACGAATGCACATGCTGCTCAGTTGCTGCCACACCTGGAGGCGTACATGCGACCAAATCGCGCTCAAGCCCAGTCCCTCGTGCCTGTGCCTGCTTTCTCGGGAGCAGGTATTCTTCAGAGTACGTATTCTTTGCGCTATAGTCTCCATCACTTCTACTCTTTGATTCAACGTCAAGGGGATGGCACTTTAGTGCTAGGTGTCTCACGGTCGAACCCGACACTCAGTCCTGAGACTATTGCCAGTCGATTAAGCACCGATGATTCAAAGTTCAACGACGAAATCGTTCAGGACGCATTACGAAGCTTTGGGACCCTGTTCCCGGAATATAATTATGATGCTACTATGCACGGTGAAGGGCTAGATCACGCTTGGACGGGAATTATTGGAATGACAACAGACTCGGTTCCGTTTGTCGGGGCGATTGAGTCTCTGCCTGGACAATATATCTGCGCGGGCTTTAACGGTCACGGTGAGTCGCCTAGTTGATCAATTGTGGGGCACCACTGACTTCTGACAGGCATGGCTCGGATCTTCACCTGCGCCCCGGGCCTCGTTAAGCTCATGCTTGGAGCCAATTGGAGTGAGACCGGTCTCCCAGAATGCTTCCAGTCAAGTGAGGAGCGGCTTTCGCGACTCTCGGAGGGAGATTTGCCGTCAATATGGTGATTTCTCCTCGATGTCCCGAGTGGTGATAGACTGCGACCGTCCAATGGCTTAGTCTTGTGATTTCATTTACATTTCCGCACTTATTTAGCCTTCTTCGGGCTTTGGTTACGATGATCCATAATTTCACCGATAGTCATACGTTAGAGCCCACCGGGCACCGGGCATGAGTACTATTATTCGAAGTCGCAGTGGTTGCCATCTCTTCCAGTATGCACATTGGCATATGAATTCTTGCCATTGGTGTAAATGAATTAATTCTGCCAGACTGTAATTGCCGAAGCATTAAGCCTGGAGGCCCCCGGGCTTGATATTTTCTCACTTGAAATAGGGGGGTGTGCAAGATTGGGATTTTTCATATTCTAGAATATTTCCCGTTGTGCATTCAACATTCTTGTAAGTACACATGGAATGAATCTGACAGCGAACAAGGATGTCAGATATGATTTGTTGCGGTGTGCGCATTAACGAGGCTTGCGGGATCGCAGGGGGGCGGCCCCAGAGTCCCAGACGCCCAATTACTCCTACATATTGGGTGGGTCAAGTCGGACATTACCTTTATAACGGGCTCCCCGCGCGAGATGAGCCCTTCAAAAAAATATGTTCGCTCTCTTCGTGGCCTCATTGCTGGCCGTTTCCGCCCAGGCTTCCACAGCCTGTCGGTGCTTCCCTGGAGACGCTTGCTGGCCGTCCGTGGATGTCTGGACTCAGTTCAACGAGACAATTGATGGCCGACTGATTAAAACAGTCCCTCTTGGCACACCATGCCATGCGCCCAACTACGACGCTGAGAAATGCACCACGTTGCGCGACGGATGGACAGTTCCCGAGGAACAGTGAGTTCTCACAATGTGGACTCCGCGTGTTGAATTACGAAGCTAAATGCACTCTAGTTATGGCTCTTCCTCATCTGTGATGGCTCCATTCTTCGCGAATGGCACCTGTGATCCCTTCCACCCGATTTCTAAACCTTGCACTTTGGGCAATTATGCCGTGTACGCCGTCAATGTCACTACCCCCGATCATATTTCCAAGGCTATCAAGTTTGCCACCAAGCACGATATTCGCGTTGTCGTGCGAAACACTGGCCATGATTACAGCGGAAGGTCGACCGGTGCAGGAGCTCTGGGTATTTGGACACATTACCTGAAGGACGTGGAGATCCACGACTACAAAGACAAGCATTATTCTGGCAAAGCTATCACCATGGGAGCTGGCGTCCAAGGCTTTGAGGCGTACGAGGCGGCCGAAAAGGCCAATGTCCAAGTCGTTGGCGGCGAATGTCCCACCGTCGGGCTGGCTGGAGGCTACAGCCAGGGTGGTGGGCATTCCGCCCTCGCTTCTCGTTACGGACTAGGCGCCGATCAGGTCCTGCAGTGGGAGGTTGTGGATGGGCAGGGCAACTTTGTCACCGTCACTCGCGACAATGAGTATTCTGATCTGTACTGGGCATTGAGTGGTGGCGGCGCCGGCACCTACGGTGTTGTCACATCCATGACTTCCAAGGCTCACCCTGGTACCCCAGTGTCGGGTCTCAACATGACCTTCACCAACGCTGAAATCTCTCAGGATACCTTCTACGAGGCGGTCGAACGATTCCACACTAGACTTCCCGCGCTGGTGGATGCCGGTGCTATGAGCATTTGGTTCTACACCAACACCAGCTTCGCAATCTCCCCACTGACTGGCCCTAATATTCCTGTGGCCAATCTGCTCGAGTTGATTCAGCCTTTCATCGATGACTTGAAGGAGCTGGGTATTACTCCCACGGTTTACTCGAAGCAATTCCCCAGCTACTTGAACCAGTTCAATGGCATGCAGCAGGAGATTGGCGTCGGGGAGGCCCAGTACGGTGGCTGGCTCATTCCACGGTCGGTCGTGCAGAACAACAACAAGGGTCTTACAGCTGCCTATCGAGAAATTACCGAAGATGGAGCTACCTTCATCGGCGTGGGTCTGAATGTTTCCCGCAAGGTGACTGGAGATGTGCACAACGCCGTTTTCCCCGGCTGGCGCGATGCCCTGATCGCGACCAGTATCACCACTCCCTGGAAATGGGACAACGACGAGGAAATGCTGGCCAATCAACGCAAGATGACCGACTCCTATATGGCTAAATTGACTGCGGTGGCCCCGAACTCGGGAGCATACATGAACGAGGTAAATATGCTTCTCGTCCTTGGCCAAAAGTACTAACTTGTCTCCAGGGTGATTTCCGCCAGCCAAATTTCCAAAAATACTTCTACGGCACGAATTACCCGGCCTTGCAGAAGATCAAGGCGAAATATGATTCCCAGGATATCTTCTATGGCAGGACCAACGTCGGATCCGAGGCTTGGGAAGAGCGAACAGATGGTCGACTCTGCCGCGTTGATCAGAGTTCTCCAAAGGCCGGACATGCCAGAGATCTTTAGAGTGTTCTCCACTAACAATTCTGTACAGTGTGGTGATTTGCCCATAGTGAGACATGATTAAATGTAGCCAAGGCCGACTAATTAAGTGAAATTGAAGGATTCTGATATCCGAACCCTACTGGTACACCTGTTTCAGACACAATGCCGGGATCGCTTTCATTTTGACACTGTACTAGTAGACTTTAAGTTCTGACTCTGAACGGAGCAGAGTAGCCCTGAGTTTTCTAGAAGTCGATCGGAGCTCATTCCTATTAGACCATGGTTAACACAATGAACATGTCAACGGCCCACTATTGAAAATTTGATCGGCGTCGGCCTTACCAGATGGGGTTATTGGTGGACCATTTGCCCGTTGAAATATCGACAAACTCCGATCGGCGCAGCCGCAGGATTCAACGTGGAGCAAGTCACATGAAAACAGAGGAAATGCCTAATTCGCCTATAGAAATGAAGCTGTGGATAGCAAGTTATACCCCTGGATCAGATTGCTAATATGCAATCTAAATCCTCCGAACGGAGAGCAAGTACAGTCCTTCAAACCGTGGAAGAGACCGTTAGAAGCATACTAGTAGACAGTGAACAATAAGACGATCTATGCAGAATTTGCATCCTTGGCCCCTCGTGGCCCTGGTCCCTGCAGGCTGCATCAATTGACCATATATTGGGTTCATCGAATCCTTCATATTAAACAATATGCAATGATCCCTCTATGCTCAGAACATCACGTTGGACACTCCCACGATGCCGTGGGTCCATAACCTGCAAGACCCTGACTCCCACGGCGGTGTTCGACGTGTCATTACCATATGCGTGGTGCTTCCGACGCTCGCGTTTCTCGCAGTATGTCTGCGTCTGGGAATCCGGATGAGTAGGAAGCGGACTCTGTGGGTGGATGATTATGCTGCACTTGTCAGTGTGCTGCTGACTTTGACCTATGCCGGGATTTCGATTGCGCGTCAGTCATCGGTGCTGCTTGGGATTCTGTTCGGAGGCTGACGAAGACAGAGACGCGATGGGGGCTCGGATTGAAGATGGATCACTTCCCGGAGGAGAATGTGGTCGCTTTCAGCAAGGTGTGCTTGATATTCCATCGCGGCGTAAGCCTGCAGGCTTGTTCAGACTCGTCTAATGTATCTTTCAGATCCAGTGGATGGGGGGTCCTGTGTACACGCTCAACTTGTTGGCGTTCAAGGTCTCGTTGCTTGCCTCCTACTATCGGATTGGAGGGTTTGTGGCACTCTATAGGACTGTCATTGTTATTGCAATGGCTGTCTGTGGTGTAGCTCAAATCATATACACATTCATTATATGTCTGGCTTGTCAACCTGTGGGTCATCCTCTCTCAACACTTGGACAATCCCGGGTTCTCATCACTGCTCGCTTGAGTGAGACTTACATGGCTATAGATAGCAAGACAGTGGGATATATCTGTCAAAGGCAGCTGTATTGATACTGTGTCCTTCTACTATGGTATGTGAATCCTGCTTCAGCCCATTTTCATTGCTAACGGTTGCTAGCAATCGCTGGTGAGATTTCCCCGACACCCTCCCCGAAAGGGTGATTTGCTAAATTCTGAAATCAAGGAACGAATCTCGCTTTCGACATTGCCATCTTCGTACTCCCGCTGCCCGTTCTGTGGAAACTTCAACTCCGACAAAAAGAAAAAATCGTTCTCACGGGCCTTTTTGCTCTCGGGTTTTTCGTCACCATAATCCAAATCGCGCGAATATTCCAGGTCAAGAACCTGGAGGTTATCACAGATAGTGAGAAGCTCATCATTTGGTCTCTCGTCGAGTTGAGTCTTGGGGTGCGCAAAGTCCATTCCTCCCGGTTCATACAGATACTCACATGCGATACCGCTCTCAGGCAATCATTACGTGCATTCCAACCTTCGGTCCTCTGTTCAAAAGCTTTGCGAGGAATGTCTCGTCAAATCGTCGCAACGGAACCGGTCCTTCTTATCCCCTCGATTCGATCACTGAGGGTGTTTCCCGGAGTAAGCGCTCTGGCGCCGAGTCATCAGCCATTTTCGGATCGAGAGTCGAGAATACTGGGGCGACAGTGGAGTCTGGGCGAGAGAGGATTGTCTCCTCTCACGAGACTGGAAGTCAGGAGCATATACTTGGAGGTGAAGACAGCACGAAGATATATAGAACAGTGGACTTCACCGTGGAGAAATACTAGCTGCTGGGCTCTTTCTACATGTGATGTATATTAAAACTTCAATATGACATGCCTTACGGAGTACGCGGACTAGAACTATATCGATCAATTTTACAACCAGAGCACAACTTTCCATGGCTGGAACAGAGCAGTCTCCTGGCCAACTAGTAGTTCCATATCTCCAGGAAGCTCTTGAAGAACAGAAATACAGTCCGGGATGCTTTTAATATTGAAATGGTTCGATTGAATATTTGGAAAACGATGAAAACGATCGAAACAATTCGCGTCCAAAAGGTGGAGCTCGGACCGTGCCGCGTCTCCACCCCTTTCACTCCTCACGATGGCCGCCAGGCACTCCAAGCGCACTCTCTTCTCGCTTTGGAAGAGATCCTTTCATCTCCCAAGCCCAACTCCTACTATTTCCAACCAGATCCGGATCGAAGAGGAAAAATGCCCCGGGTACAGTCCAAAATCCTACTATCCAGCAAAGCCTGGTGAGATCCTTGCGGAGACCTTTCAGCTAGTGGCCAAGATAGGCTGGGGAACAGGTTCAACAGTATGGCTGGCACGGGATGTGAATTGGTAAATATCCTTCGAGCTCTACGGTACCCAAGCTGACGGATGAGCTATTAGTCCACAGGGACATCCCCAGGAAGCAGTGGCGCTGAAGATCTTGAACGCGCGCGACTCTGAATCAGCCAAGCTTGATCTGGAAGAACGAATTGCGCAAAAAAATCAATCGCATAAAGGCTTTGGCACTGTCCGCGCTTGTATGGGACTTTTCGAATTCATCCACGATGACCAGAAGCATACTTGCCAAATTTATGAGCCTTTGCGGGAGAGTTTGGACACATTCACGAAACGGTTCCCGGATCGAAAGCTTCCTCTGCCGATCGCGAAGGCTTATATTCTTCTTCTGCTCCTTGGGTTGGAATACCTGCATACTGAATGTCGGGTTGTGCATACAGGTATTTGACTACTACGTTGTCGAAGGAATATAAAATACTGACCTAACTCTCCTCTCCAGATCTGAAATTGTCAAATATCATGATGACCTTTGAGAACGACAAAGTTCTTCCTCGCTTCCTGCATGAATATGTCCGCGACAATCCCATGGAATACAAAATCGACCCCGAGACCAACAGAGCGGTCTATCGGAGCCTCGACAGCCTGGGGGATCTGGAAGTCAAGGATATCGCTAATATGATACCCAAGATAGCTGATTTCGATGCCGCATTGCTCACCGAGCCGATCTCCGATTCCAAGGACGAATCTCAACCTCAAACCGTCTACACTTTCCCCATCCAATCAGACTACTACCGAGCCCCCGAGGTAGTCTGCGGGTATGGATGGGATATCAAGACAGATATATGGAATTTCGGCGTTCTGGTACGGGTCCCGTGAGAAGCACACAAATCAATAATTAACATTTACAGATGTGGAACATCATCGAAGGCACAGAGCTATTCACCCAGGTTCAAGATGCCGAACGCCGATACGATCCCAAATCCCATATCGCTGAAATGGTGGGATTCCTGGGTCCACCACCCGCGCCGATGCTGAAGAGGATGGACTCGTTGGCGGAAGCCTCGTTTGTGGATGGTGATCCTTTGAGCGTGAATGAAGGGCCCCTTTGCCGGACCCCGCGAGAGCTGTACGGGGGACCATATTTCGACAAAGAAGGTGAGTTTGGGCGATGTGTTTGATGATATCAACTAATCAACTAGGCCACTTTCTCTATGAGGACCTTGTACCCAAACGCAGACTTGAGGATACAATTCCCTCCCTTGAAGGCGAACAGAAAGAGTTGTTCCTCTCTTTCGCTAGGGAAATGCTGACTTGGGATCCCTCAGCGAGAAAAAGTGCTGCCGAGCTGTCACGGCATTCTTTCCTGAACTTCGGTGGTCATATCGTCAGGGATCATATTTAGTCATTGGTCACTAACTCAATCTCCACTCTGTGCTCTAGCCCTGGAGGCCAGGCTCGTGTACAATAACAATGAAAGACTCCCCTCGATTTCATGGTTTGTCCTTATCATAACAATCCCAACGCCAACCTCTTCCAAGGTTTCTCGGTTACAGTACTGTATCTATAACCAGGATTGAATCGGTATACGTAGGAAGAATCTTGGAACGACAATGATAGATTACAGTATGTGCTTGCTGTTTTATGTATGCTAATATACATTCAAAGATCGTGTTGTGAGAATACATCGAGGCGGAGTGGTGTCATTTTTCATACGCTTTGCCTCGAGCTTCGGGGCCGAGTGTGCCTGGAATTTCAAACGGCATCTTCAGCCTTCAGTTGAGCAAGTGCCAAACAGTCACAGCTCTTGTATGAAGCAATGTCGGAACTGACAACCTGTTGGCATCGTCGGTGATACTGAAGGCTGCAAAGTCGAGTCGGACACTATGTCCAGCTGAACGCCGGTTTGATGGATGGTGATATGTCACCGAAGTGCACAAAGTGCAAAGTGACTTTCAGTGGAGTGTAGGATTCGGACGTGGCCGAAATCTCAGGGCACGTATTCGTAACGGCGCCAATTCTCCTCAACCCACCATTTTGCGACGTGAGCCGCATCATTAACCCACTGCACGGCGTCCTCGTCGTGTTCCTGGAGAACAAGGTCCATCAGGTTGAGAAGGTTGAAGTCCTGTAGGGCCTTCAATTCATGGGGGTCGAGATCAACGTTCGAGAATCGCCATTCAACGTCCGAGATGAGAGGGATGATGAGACGGTATGGCTTGGCAGCGGATCGCAGGGCCAGCCACGTTCCTCCGGTGTTCATGACGGAGAATTGCCAGTCTTGTTTTCCGTCTTTCTCTGGGACGGTGGGACGGATCATGGATTGGCCCTCGTACAGAGGGAGGAGATCACTGATAGCTGCTTTGGATTTGTTGTCCAGGGATCCGGACTCGGAGAGAAGGTCAAGAATTGTTGGGAGGATTTGCATGGAGGTTACTCGGGAGTCGATCTCAATGGGCGGAATTTGAGGGTGAGCAAACACGATTGGAACATGGAAGCTTGCGACGTGGGGATTGTCGTACGGAGTGACACCGCTATTCTCTGGCAAGGAAATACCGCTTGGGCGGGTTAGGTTTGATCAGGATTCAGGGAAAAGGCACTTACTGGTCACCGGCCATGACGACCAAGGTCTCATCGGCAGCCCCTGTTTCTTCCAGGATGCTCAAAAGCTGCGCCAGCCACTCATCGGCCACACCAAGTGTGTTGAGGTAGCGATTCACCTTCTTGCCCTTGCCCCACCAGCCGTGGGACATCATTTCCTCGTAGGTGCCATCTGGGGTATCCCAGGGGTGATGGGTGATTCCAGTCAAGTGTGAGATGAATAAGCGTTCTTGATTCTTTTCGGCGTTGTTGATAGCGTCGCGGAAATAGTCTCCGAGTTCCCTTTCGGGATATCCCCAGAAGTTATATTTCTTGGGTCCTGTTTGGCCAGACTTTTTCCAGTTCTTTTCAAGGGTGACATCGGTGACTATGTCCCCGAAGCCTAGGGCAGGGGTCAGAAGGTCTTGGTTGTCGTAGTCGTCGGTGATAGATTGCATCCACGTAGATCGCCATGGCCAAGTTGTGTAATCGTCTGACTTGGTGTTGTTGGTGTTGCCCATACTCTCAGTTTGATTGCTGCTGGTGGTGTTGCTGTAGCTGACAGTCTGGTTGATCTGGCCATTGAGTGCGTTCAGGATGTGTGGCATGCAAGGCTGGTAGATGTGGTACAAGTACTCTTGGTTAAAATCCACAACCAGTGGAGCCACTCCGCATACAGTAGCCAGAATACTCTTGAGAGTAAAGGTGTCTGCGGTATACGCGTTGGTCGTGTGGAAACCTCCATAGGGGTTGGGGACGGTGTCATTTCCGTTGAAACCAGAAGCCATATTCATCAACCGCTCTGCGGTGGGTGTCAGACCTGCGAGTCGCTCCTCGACCTCAGCTGGAATTTTGTCATCGTACGACTTGCTGATCACGTCGCCAAAAAAGGACTCTTTGCGCAGAGGGAAGACATCTGCTCGAGTGCTCTCCAGCTTGAGAAGCAACACGTGTTTGATGTTAACTTTGCCTGTGTCCAGAGCCTTGCGCAGTGGTTCTAGCACATCGTTGTCGAGGTTAGAGATATGGATCGGGTCCTGCTTGGGATCATAGTGAACGGGCTTGGTGCCATTGGCATTCTCATACCAGTCGCTGAACCCGGGGATTTTCTGGGCGGGCAACCAGTCAAACTTGGGGGTAGCCGCCAGGGCCGTGTGATTGCCCAGCCAGGAGTAATCGCCGGTCAGCTCGGGCAAAATGACCGAAGACTTCTCGGTTTCGTGATTCCTATCAAACGGCGTGACAATGACTGTCTCCGACAAGAAGCTGTATGCAGTGTTTGCCGGGCGAAGGCACCACAAGAGAAGAACTGATGCCGCCAGGCCCCAGACCAAAATCCGCACTAGTAGCGATTGTCGCTGCTGTGGTGGCGCGGCTGGGTCTTGCAGCTCGAGACTGACATTCGATGCGCTCCGGTCGTCCCAATCCTCGGGGGCGACCTGCTCATAGCTTTTGAGGATCGGAGATCGTTTCCGACGACAGGCTGCGGGTAGCACTCGTTTAAACACCGCCACCACTCCTTTACACCAGGTGTACAAGTGCGGGGTGGTGAACCAGGCGGCCGCCGCGAAGGCAATTTCGACGATAAACAAACCAGTCAGGCCGGTGAGCAGGGTTTTGACGGCGGCCGCGTCGCCGTGGAAATTATGCGCCTGGCGCCAATGGATTTCGGCGCCAGTGGCTACGTAGAAGGAGATGTTGGCGGCGGAGAGGCCGGAGATTGCCAAACTAAGTGCGCAGATAGGTTAGCGCACGATCCTGTTGGGGGTTATTTTTTTTTGTTGTACCTCAGTGGGACCACCAATACGGCTGCCCCTATCCGGACCCATCGGCTCTGGAACTTGGCGCACAGCAGATGTGTCAATAGGACGACCACTGCATCCTGCAAAAAGAATGTTGGGCCCCAAAGGAGCAATTGCCCTAGTGGTAGGGAATTCAGATGTGAGTAAATGTGGAGACATTTGGCGCAGATCACGGAGATCAACAACAGGCCGAACCAGTACTTTCGCGAGGCCGGCCAGCAGTCGTCGAACCAGAAGGAGAGGGAGATGGTTTTTCGAAGTAAATCGCGACACCCTTTCGAATTCCACATGATTAAGGTTGTGTCATGGCACGGTAATGAGAGAAGAGCCAAAGCGAAGAGGAAATCAGGAAAGAGAAAAAAAGAGAAAAAGAAGCGAAGAAGCCGAAACAGAAGAATAAGAAGGGAAGAGAGAGAAAAGAAGCGAGATGGAAGTCTACTCCGCGTAAAGGGGGAAAAAAAGAAACCTAAGCTCATCAGGGTCCCGAAAGCTAAAACAGTAAGGGTCCGCGACTGTACAGTACTCCACCTGGGCACCGGGCATAATACGAGCTCAGCCTTGTTCGAGTCCGGGCACTCCGTACCACGGAAGTACTTCCACGGCACCGGAACTGCCTCTGGGTACCAATCAAGTACCCAGGTTAGGGACAAAAGACTCATACAGAGTACAGACCCTGATCTTCTGATCGGACTGGTCAAACACTAAGACTTGCACTAACGCTAGTTCTCACTGGGGCCAACTGCGGCTACGGTCTAGTCCCGTCTCTTTGCTTATGCTAGTATGGATATGGAGTAGTACTCCGTAGTCTGTACTCGTTCACGGGATACAGTGAAGGCTCCGAGAAAGCTTGTGAATCTTGCTACGCCAAGGGCCCAATCTGGGGTAATCGTCAATCTGTCTATAATTGTCCACGGAGTGCCCAGGTGGACACGGCGAGATCCTGTGATCTTCCATCAATCACGACATAAAGGATAGTCAGAATAAGCGGGGGCGGATTCCAAGATTCTTCCTGTGGTCAGATTCCGTCTCATCATTAAGGGAGAGCAAAACAAAGATGCCTGGAGGCAAATTTTCCCAGAGTGGGCCGAGGCTGTGAGATTGGGAAATTCTCGTATCCACTGCAGGCAGACGTGTTCACTTCATTGCCCTACTCATTTCAAGGAAAATTCTAAAACATCCGCTACTATACTCCAGGGTCCCGCACGAAACCTTCGACAATATGAGGCCCAAGCCCTCTCCCGAGAATATCCGCCAGTTTTACCGGAAAATGTAGAATAATGGGGTTCATTCAAACAAGTCGTAAAGCTATGTGATCAATGGTAAATAGTTCGTGATTGTACTTTTAGAGTCGTCACTCAGAAGTCGTTCTCCAACGAGGCGAACTGCTGCTGGAAATTCTTCCGCACAAACTCCATGTATGCCTTCCACTTGTGGAGATCGCCCGATGACTCCGCCCCGCCAAACGCCTTGCTGAGCTCCCGGGTGATCTTTAAAATGCCCAACGAAGCCTCCTGCGCCTTCTCCAGCTCTTGCTTGACGGCGTTATCTTTCGGTTTGAAAGAGAGAACGGCGGTGTAGTGCTCCGACAACGCGTCCAGACGACGCTCGGTATCTTCGGGGGCAATCTTGATTAGCTTGGAAGTCATGAGGTTACTGATCGCCCGAATGTCCTGCTCATCGTCGATACCGGCGAGGATGCGATCGAAGAGCTCGGTCATGTGAGTGCGGGAGAACGAGGTGTCGAGGGAAGCGTAAAGGGTCTCGTATGCGCTCTGCAGATGTACATGTTAGCATGACGTTGAGCCGGGACACGAGTCACGGCAGCTACTAACCTTGCGCAGATCGAGGCCGTCGTCTACCTTGTGCCGGAATGGACCCATCTGTACTTCGCGGATAAGCTCCGGCTTGATCTTGGTGTCACCCAGCACAGCCGGAAGCAGCTCGTCGAGATGGGGGAGCAGGAGCTCCATCTTGTTGTGAATTGCGGAGTTGAGAGTGGTCAAGGCAAGACGATGGTTGCCAAGATCGCTGTCGCCGAGCATGTTGGTCAACAGTGGGACCATCAAAGGACGAAGGACATCGTTGTAAGCGTCGCTTGAATCGGCCAGCGTGTAGCGGAATGCCGAGATAACCACACCACGGACGGCGGGGTCGGAGTTGGCCAGATACTCCTGCACGCAGCTAATTAGTATCGAGAGGCACTTAGAAGAATAAAGTCCTACTTACTTGGAAGTGAGGGATGTAAGCAACAGGGTCAAGAAGGGCGAGGCGTCCGACACATTCCGCGCCCACGGCGCGATTGTCTTCCTCTTCCGAGACGAGCAGAAGAGCATGCCACAGCTTGTGGGCCGACGGCGCAAGATCGGGACGGACAACCTCTGGGTGCTGCAACAGTTCCCGCACGGAGTGTAGCAGCAGATAACTCTGGGGGTTCGCCTTCTCCAACCCGTTGAGAATGATCGGAAGGTATGCTTTGACACTACCAGCGGCAGCATTTCCAAGAGCGGTAGCAGCAGCCAAGCGTACTGGGTCTGATTCGGAGTTGAAATGAGGGATGAAAAGGTCGGGAGACAGGGAGCACTCAGGGCCCATGCGTAAGCCAATCTCACCCAGAATAGCGAGGGCAAGGCATTTTCTGCTATCGTCCCGGGCAGTCTTCAGCTCGGTAGAGAAGTCATCCATGGTAACTCCGAGATTTGGCCCACCGTGAACAAGAAGGGTACCGACGGCTCGGCCGACCACGGAAGATTCACCGGTGATTCCAACGTCTCGCAACAGGTTTTGCATCAAGCTGGCACCGGCGCCCTCGTCGCCAATAACTTTAACCAACAGTAGCAAGGCTCTGAGGACGGTCCCCACCAATGGCTTTTTCACAATTGAACAGATAGAAGAAATCAGAGCATCGTTGACTAGTAGTTTTGAATTGCCGGGGACGAGCTTGGCAATGACAATGAGGGTCGGGGTCAGTGTGTGGAAATCAGCAGCAGCAAGAAGGGGCAGAACGGAGTTCTCAAGGACCACGATTGTCTCCGCAGTCAGATGAGATCGGACATGGGAGTTCATCGACAAGCTGCGAAGAGCCTCCAAGCATGCACCCCTCAAGGCGCGGTCTGATTTGCGCAGGTTCGAGCTGAGTTCGACGGCAACACTGTTGACCCACTCACTAGGGACATCCTGCTTGCGTTCGGCAAGGGCAACGACGTCGTCGACAGCACGGACCGCAGATAGACGGGTGGTCTCGTTCCTGACTCGGTCGACCAAAACAGCCAGGCCGTTGGATCTTCTTTCTGCGGAGAGGAATTCCAAGCCCCGTTCCCCAGATGTTCGGGCAAGGATGACACCGAAGACGTGGATTGCCCGTTGACGGACTTCGAGGTCAGCGCTTGTGTCGGTGATGCGTGAGTGAACAATGTCGTAGAGCTTCTGCAACTGCGAGTTGACATCGGAAGCATTGGCAGAGAATCGGGGAGGTGTCATGGCTTTGACAATCTGCTCCACAGACCCCAATGCCTCGTTGCTGACTTTGTAATTGCGATCGTTGACAGCTGCAATGACTCCGGGCACAAGAGCAATCAAGAATGGAAGCAAGGCATCGGACAGATGTGTCTCGGCAATTGCTGCGATGAGAGCTAAGGTTTCGATCTGCAGAGTGCCTGCACTAACGGCAGCTCCGGTGTGAGCCGGAGTGCTTCCTGAGAGGGAGGAGGTTTCCAATGCATCCACGATGAGGTCTTCGATTTGCTGGAGATGGTTGGAAAGACCTCCATAGCGAACCAAGGAAAGACTTTTGAGGAGGATGATTGCGGCCTGTTTGAGAGGGATCGAAGCTTGCTTCCACACCTTGACAAGGTTCTGAACAATCAAAGGAACGGAGCGAGCCAGATCGGCCTGGGGACCAGACTTGGGCGATGATGGAACGACCGGAGAGTCCACTGCCGATGAAGTCGCGCTTGGTTCGAAATCGATCATAGATGCGTCGCTGTCTTGACGTCTGCGTTTCCTAGAGTTCTTCGATCCCCCAATGGCCTCCATGAAGTCATTGGAAGTCACGATCATGGATCCCTCACCAGTCTTGCGAACCAGCGCAGTCAATGTGGACACCAATTCCAGCTTCACGCTCTCCTCTCGTTCCTTGCTGATCCGAGACACCAGAGCTGGAGCAATCTGTTGGAACAGAGCTGAGTTATCTGCGGCGCGGGCACGGCCGTAGGTGGAGATCACGGTGGAAAGGAGCTTGGCAGCACATCGACGCACTTTCCAACTCATGTCGTCAACGTCACTGTAGCCACCTTCCTCTTCAAAATCCTCGAATTCATCGTCCATGTCGGGGTCCTCCGTAGTGTCGTCTTCACTTCCATCGTCTTGGGTTCCGCCCATCTCTTCGTCGTCCTCGGTTTCAGCGACGTTAGGATCATATTTGAGGAATCGGAGGGCAGATCGGGTCGTATTCATCAAGTATGGTTGCATCTGTTGGTTGCAAGAGCTGATCAACGCCTCAAGCGTAACCAAGGCGGTCTCGCGGAGCTCATCCGCCTGGGGATCATGCTCCTCGTCGTCCGAGTAGGCGGACATCGTCGTAATTGCTGATTTTCAACGCTCAAATACCGAGATCGAGCTTCCTCGAGGCTTCTGTGCGCGTAACTTGGCGAGCTTGCGCGTGAGTTGTGGCAGATGGAACAGTCGGGGAAGCAAGCTGGAGCCCCGCGCTAGTTCCGATGTAGCGATTCGGTCACGTGCACGACTTCTACTGCAGAAAGTCCAGCAGGTCAAGGGAGGGCTGTGCTTGCTGCTTGGAAGCAAGAAGAGCCTGAAGACCACCCTGCTTGCGCGCTTTAGCTCTCTTCTTGCTGTTCTGGTTATCACCTGGCTTGGAATCGGCTGAGACTCGCGTTGTGTCTTTCGCCGCCCGTGCAGTTGTCTCTGAAGCGGATGAGGCTGCAAGCTTCGCCGCAGAAGACTGAGGGGCAAGAGGCTGTTTTGGTGGTAGCACTGTGCGCCGCTGACAGCGTAGGCACTTGTATACAGTGGCACCCTTAGCAGCAGCTGTAGCTAAATGTTTCCTTGGTTTCGGTTTGATCTCAGTCACTTTGGTCCACTCGGCTTTTCTAATGCTACCACAAGCTCCACAATATTCTCTTTGCTGTCTCACATTCAACGACTTGCGAGTATCGCGTAGAAGGTGGCAGTGCGTCAGGAGCAGATGGGATGATGTTGAGGAGCTCAATGGAACAGCTGAGGCAGCCTCAATCAGAAAGGGGTCAGGCATTATTGTCCAATAAACCTATTGAGAACTCAATTCAATTGAGAAACAATGTAGAAACAATAGGAACAATAGGAAGCGAGAAATTCGAGACTAAAGTGAATAGGAACAATGTCAATAGCAAACAAAATCGCAAAACCATCTGAACTTCAGAAATTTGCCCGGAGCTTAAATACCGCCTGCTCCACCCGCTTCTTTCCCATCTATTTATCTCTCTTTCTCACCTTCTCTTTTGCTCGCTCTTTACTCAACTGATCGAAACTTCATCATGGCGCCTATGCGCATTGCCCTTGAGGGCTGTGTACGTTTCCCCTCATTGGTCCCTTGTCGCATCAATTCCGCTTCGGGGTTGCTGACTTTCTCTATGTAGGGCCACGGAAGCCTCAACATCATTTACGACACCGTCAAGATGAAGGCCGATCACCGCGGTTGGGACTATGTGGATGTCGTGATTGTTGGTGGAGACTTCCAAGTATGTTCGATCTATGGCATACCTTGACTCCTGTACTGACTCATGACAGTCCCTGCGCAACTCCAATGATGCCACTGCTGTATCCATGCCAGCCAAGTATCGCCAGATTGGTGACTTCCATGAATACTACAGCGGCAAGCGTGCTGCGCCTTTCTTGACAATCTTCCTGGGTGGCAATCATGAAGCCTCCAACTACTTGTCTGAGCTGCAATACGGCGGCTGGGTTGCGCCCAACATCTATTACCTCGGCGCTGCCAACATTATTCGTCTTGGTCCTCTTCGGATCTCCGGTATCTCCGGTATCTGGAAGCCCTACGACTACGGCAAGCCTCACTTTGAGCGTCTTCCTTACAATGAAAGTGACGTGCAGTCCATCTATCACGTGCGTGAGCTGGATGTTCGCAAGCTACTTCAAGTTCGCACTCAAGTGGACATCGGCCTTTCTCATGACTGGCCCAAGGGTGTCGAGAAGCTTGGTGACTACATTACTCTGTTCAAGAAGAAGCGCGGATTCGAACAAGACTCTCAGCTCGGACGCCTTGGCAGTGAGCCCGCTCGCGAGATCCTTGATCACCTTCGTCCCGCTCTTTGGTTCTCCGCTCACCTGCATGTGAAGTACACTGCCTATGTACGCCATGAAATTTCAGATCATGAGAACCTTCCTCCCAAGCACGAGCCCGTGGCCAAAGATGCCGCCAAGCCTGTGACCAAGCCTGTGACGCCCCCTGTTGCCAAGGGCAAGTCGGTCGACCAAGGCAGCAAGGCTCTCCGTCAGAGTCCCCCCGAGGCTATTACTGCCGGTCAGCGCAAGCTGGGAGTCGCCACCGGAGATACGGCATCGCGCATTGCGGCTTGGCAAGGATTCAGTCAGGTGGCTCAGCAGCAGGAGATGGCTGATCAGGCCAACTTCATGGCTGCCTTCCAGCAGCGCCAGGCCTCTGGTGTTCGTCTCGGTAAGAACATGGTTTTCGAGGAGACGCTCAAGATCGGCAATGGTCCCATTCAGAAGTTTATTCGCGCCGACGGAAAGAGGGTCGAAAACATCGATGGCCCCAGCTCTGCTCAGAACGACGCTGAGTCCTTCGCAAATGCCGACAAGATCAGCCTTGGCAGCAGCCCTACCAGCTCCACTGGAGCACGTCTTGCATCTGAGATGGAGAAGTCCTCGAACGCCAAGCCTGCCATGGGTCGCGATGCAGGTGTTGCCAACAACGATCAGATCAGTCTGGGCTCGAGCTCCAGCCCCAAGAGTATGGCTAGCTCCGCTTCCGTCGAGACCTCCTCGCTCGCTTTCGCCCAGCTCGATGGGGCACCAGTTTCCAAGGAGACGGTGATCGAGAAGAAGCAGGCTGAGGTCAAGAAGGACAATCTCGTCGAGGATGACCTGATTGATTTGATTTCTGTGTCTCGGGATGACCTCCCCGCAAGCCTTGAGCGTTCGCCCTCTCCAGTTGCTGTCGACAAGGTCCTTCCTGCCCCTGAGGAGATTCGCAACAAGCTTACCAAGTTCATGACCTTGGACAAGCCATGCAACCATGATCCATTCATTGAGTTGATCGAGTTCGACCCCATCTCCGACGCCGAGGGCCCAATGGAGGGACCATATCGCCTCCAATACGACAAGGAGTGGCTGGCCATCACTCGTGCTTTCGCCGACGAGTTTGAGTTCGGTAACGTCGATGCCTCGGTCCCCCACCACAAGGGATACGAATACTACCAGCGTCGCATTGCTGAGGAGGAGACCTGGGTGCAGGAGAACATCGTCGATCGCGGTCTCCTGGATGTTCCTGATAACTTCGTCCGTACCGCGCCTGTTTACGACCCTTCTGTCGTCATCACCACCGAGGAACAGCCAATCGAGTACACCAACCCACAGACCGAGGTCTTCTGTCGTCTGGTGGGCATTGAGAACAAGCTCGACATGGCGGATGAGGACCGTCGCGCCCGTATGGCGGCTGGTCCACGCGCCTGTGATCCTCGCGCTCGCAAGATCCGGGGCCGTGGCGGACGTGGTGGCCGAGGTCGTGGCGGACGTGGTCGTGGTGGCCGTGGCCGTGGTCGTGGCAACGGTGGCCAGGGCAAGATCGGTGGCTGGGAGCAGGCCGCTTGGTGAATCGGTTCATGATCTGACGCGCGGAGTGGAGTGCAAAGTCCGATGAGGAGAGACAACAGGGTGCTTTGAGAATGGAAGAGAAGTTGTTACGAGATCAATGACCTGCCTTTAGTTTGTGATTTTCTCTGATATTTCTTTGAGTCTAAGGACTGCAGTGTAAAGTTCTTATCTTATGGAGTCCTTGGGTGTATTTGTCTGGCGCAGCAGGATAGGTGGGAATTTCCTAGTTTCATATTTCATGTTCATCGTGGAGGCCATATTCTTACTTTGTGCTTTAATAATTCAGTTCATCACAGTCGGAGATACCAGTCTGAAAAATAAAAAAACAATTCAGTCTTTGAGCATTGTCCTCGTCTTCGGTGCATGATACAACAAAATAATAAACAAACCCTTGGAAGTCTGGGACAATCACCAGCATTGGCTGTTGAACATTGACCATGACATTCAGACGACCTGAAAGAAAAGATCTCGGTGTCAGGGCCTTGGCAGGTATTGATATTCCTTCGCTGCAAACTGTCTCGCTCTCAATTCAACTTTCAAAAAAGAACAAAAACCCGAACTTTGAAGCATGATCCATGAAGGGAAAAAAAAAGACAGGAAGACAAAAAGATAGTGCATCATCCGTGAATCGAACACGGGCCTCGTCGATGGCAACGACGAATTCTACCACTAGACCAATGATGCAGAAGAAACCAGTGAATTTGAAAGCTCATTGGTTGTTAATGTTCGAGGCTCCTGAATTAACCTTATGATCGACCACGTTGCCCATCCATGGATGCATGCCGAGGTGTGTTGATCTGCACGATCCCAGGTTTCTACAAGGCTCTTTTCTTACTTCGGTACGGAGTATACTGGAGTATACTGTTTCAAATATATTTGATTTTGTAGCCATCTTATTTTACACTCGTTCATCTGCATGCTGCATGATTCACTCATCCAATTTTTGGGGGTATGTATGGACCCCTCGGTGATATTTACATCAAAATCCAAGTTCAGGATGCGTTCATTCAATCTCCTCGATGCGAGGCCGACTAGCCCCTCCCACGCCAGCCATCGGGTCAACTTGGAGACCTGAAATTCTGTCACCGAGGTCAAACCTCAGGTCCATAGCTCCTCGGCTTTCGCTGGCACCGATGCCCCACATCAACGACTTCTCCGTCCAGGCCTCTAAGCTCTCGACCAGATCACGAAGATCTTGACGGGTAAGACCGTCCTGTTCCCGACTCTCGACAAAGCAAAGCGTGCGCAGCATGGCGGGGATATTACCGATGGTGGACGACTCACGTGAGTAGCCCTGTGGTACTGCGAATGAATCGTTGTCTGAGAGAGAGAAGCCGAAGCCAACATCCTGTCCGAGTGTTTCGCGTGCCGTTTCGAGGGCCTTGAGGGTGTCGAGGATCAGGATCACACTTGCGCGGCGCATGATGGCCGTTTCAGTGGCGGTCTCGAGTGTCAAAATGGAAAGGGCCAGGTCAATGGCAGCTGCAACGGTTGTGGGACCGAGTCCGATGATGTTGGTGGTGATGGCGGTACCGAGGATCGAAATCGCTGATGCTCGTGCACGAAGATCGTCAGGTTTATCGTCGGCAGTCGTACCGGCTGCCCATGCCGCGACTACATTGGCGGCAAATGCTTTCTCTTCCTCGGTTTCGTCGTCGGAGTCATCGTCGTGAAGGTTGAGTTCAGACGCGGCTTTGGCAATCTCAGATGGGACTGACCAGCCCTCGGGTGTTTCAGTTCCCTTTTCTTCCTGACTAGCCTGACTGTGCTCATGGGCGGAGGCTGTGTCATTTTCTCGTTTCTGGTGTCGTAGTTTCTTGGGTTGGTCTTGGGTGCCGCGCCGTCCGGCAACAGCAATAAGTGTTTCTCCCAGAATCTTTGCCGTTTCGCCGGAGAGTCCGTTGCCTATATTTTGAATCGACTGGACAATCGCCTGGCCTAGCATAAGGCGCTGGTTTAAACTTCGCTTTTCCTGTCTATCGGCATAATCTTCAACCAATGTCTTGATCACTGTGCGTGGGTGGCGTGACGCTAGCTTTCCGATGACGGTGGTTGCAGCCTTGTGATTATATGTTTCGTCTGTTGCTGTTCCAGAAGTGTCTGTGACAACCAATATCATCCAGCCGAGGGCCACGCTTACATCAACAACTGGAGAAGCCGCCAGTATTAGCTCTTCCAGGAGGAAAAGACCTTCTGCCTTTACTGGTGGCATGTCTGAGCTAAGATTGGCCATTGCTTGGCGATATGTCTCAAGGTCTTTCGTGTGAGCCGATGTTGTTTGCGTCACAGGTTTATCTGGGGTGGCGACTTGAATCTCCAAAAGTAGTGAAGACGTAATTCCTGGTTTGGAAAGCGTCGATGGAAGAAGTGGAACAAGCTGATCCAGCTCTTTCTTTAGAGAGGAGAGGAGAGGAAGGATTTCTTCCGTAGGCGAAAACTCAGCGGAAGCAAGCAGGGTGGATAGAAGACTGAAGGCCGTCGAGAGGGACTCAGACGAATCGTTTGCTGAATCTTCCGTTGTACTGTCGTCCTGCTCGACAATATTGGACAGCGACGACAGAGAGACTTTTCCTTTCTGCCCGGCCTCTCGAGTTTGAAGTCTCTGCAATTCTCCGCCAACCACATGTTTGATGAGTTCGAGAACCCTCAATGGACGTCGGGTGAGTGCCTCCTTGAAATTATCCAGGAGCTTTTCTGCAACTTTGGCACTCACAAGCTTTTGGATTATGTTCTCCGTCTCATGAACAGGCCCGCCATGAAGCACGTTGCTGGACGATTGAGCAATTGGGGGTTTCACCAACCAATTCTCACTCACGTAGAGGAATATGTCACCAGTTCGCTCTTCACTGCTAGGGTCTGATCCCAGAAGACTAGCAAATAATTCTGCTCTTGTGTGCAGAGAATCCATCAATCGGATCAAATTGGAGTGGTCACCCGCCGGGGCGCTCCGTTTGGCCAATGCAACCCTGATTTCAGATTCCTCAATGTATGTCCACTTTAAACCTCCATCCCACAGAAGATGGTCGACTAGCTTTTTCAGTGGTGGAAACCCGACTGAAACACCGAAGAATGTTTGCAGCAACGGTAGCACACGTTCATGGAAGGGATGCAGGGACTGATGTTCTTTAGAAAAGCATACCAGTCCCCATAAAGGGAGAAGGATTGGCTGGATTAATCGCTTCACGAGGCTGGGGTTTGGGTGTTGCAATGTAAGGCATCTCAGTCGTTCCAGGGCCAGATCAATCATGGTGCTGTCCACAATGATATTTCGTGAAGAGTCGACATCATTTAACTCGGGTAAAGAGCCGTCGACGTCTGTAAATCGTGTCATCCATTGCCTGGACTTTTGATCGAGCTCCGCGGTGAGTGCATTGAATATTGGCTCAACGAATATAGAGTGTCCGATGGTTCCAACGGCCCCGTATGCACGTTTGCCCAGTATTCCGTTGGCAACAACATATGAAGCTGTCTTCCGAAAATCCGGATCACCTCCATCTATCAAAGCTAGCAGTTGCGGAGCGATCGTCTCAAAGTACGTATTTGGATCAACCCCCTGCGGCACAGATGATAGAAGACGGGATATTTGCATGATAGCTTGCACGGTCAACCGAGGACCAGTTGATTGATCCTGTGCTTCTTGGCCAAGCGATGGAGAGAACTGCGATGCAATAAACATTATGATTTGCACTACTCCGCCTCGTCGTAGTGGAACTTGTGAAAGATGACTTGATATCGTTGATTTAAACCATTGAGCAGTGTCTGACTGGAGAAAGCTGGATAGCGTGGGCAGTAAGACCGTGGTTGGGGTACTGTACTTGATTAGCACCATCGGAGAGCGCAATGGCAAGAACCACCTACTCTTCCACAATCTTTGCCAATGATGTCCTGAGGCCCATCCTATCAGCAGATTCCTCAAGGTTTGGGTTGAATGCAAGGTCTGAGATCCCGCTGATCACATCACTCAGGATACGACTTCGGATTAGGGGTTGGATGCTTGGGCGAGGGTTGCTAAGTATGACAAGTAAAACCCCAATTATGCGGCGAAGAAGAGGCTCGTTATGGGGTACACTGCTGGTAATCACTTGCGCCTTTTTGGCAATTATACCTGCTGGTAAAACCGATATGACCCGCTGTTGCAAAGGGATTCCAACGCCAGCTGATAGTGACGGATATATACCTTCCAAGGAAATCAGATCCAATAGGGCGTGCAGCATTCGTCGGCGCTTAGCATCTTCCATTGGGGAATCTGCAACCTCCGAGTAGGGCTGCTGAGCTACCTCCCGTGAGCCTGGCGGAGTGAAAGATTTATGGATACCGATCAATATATCCAAGGCCTTGTCGATGACCGCCGGTCGCTTGGCTTCATCATCATTGCCATCATAGCCTGAAGTCTGACTTAGAATCTGGATCAAACCAGTCCCCGGTGCCTTCTTGATCTCATCTAGGTGGGCGGTCAGCCCTCGCCCCCGATTTCTACGTGTGGATGAGTAGTTCGATAAGGTTGAGCATACCTCGATCCAGGACTGGTTTCAAGAAGTCGTTGGCAGTGCTAAAAGCATCGCGAATCTGCTGGTCCACTTCCATCATGAGATAGGTCCAGTTATCATCGTATTATCATCAGATCCATGGGAGAATATGGTGTTTGTCGACACCCCAATCGTGAAAAATGAATGAATAATCAAGAAGTAGTGAAGAGTCTTGGCATCCAGAATGCTCTGTCATTAGAAACCATCATGTGACTGCGTGCCTCCTGCCCGCGTTGGCGCGTCCAAACTCGCGCTGACCGCCCCGCTCCCCCATCGTCTGTTGACATCTCCTATCCATTCCCACCCACCTCGCACTATACGATACACATGCCACCTCGTCCAGTTTCTTGACTTACACAAACTCTGCTCACTCAGACGACATTATTGGACCCGTTAGCTCTTCACACGCGTCGAAGTTCTACCAATATTGCCAGATGGATGTGGATCCACTCAAGTCTCTTGCCTCTCGAGGCACATGTACAGACCAACCCTTCCCGATCTTCCTTGATTATCTACTGCTTTAAATGGCAAGCCGTTATGTATATTTCGGTGTAGATAATGTTGGAGACCAACCCCTAAGCTTACTTCGGAAAAATGTCCTCGCGACATAGTTTCACGGGTTGCGCGTGCCGGATTTTACGATTAGCTCAACCAGACTGTGATGGTCTGCCAAAGCGAAAGGGATTCGATCATGCCAGAGCCTTCGGGCATCAAAGACGGTCAACTATGCATCCCCCGAATGGGGTACGCGTCGGTTTTCCAATGCTGGATAACGCATGCCGGTCACAAATGAATGGTCGCTCTATGCTCGGAACTCAGCTCATCGAGGAGAGAAAGCAGGCGAAACATGTCGGGCACTTCAGTATTAGATTTTGCCTTGAGGTTCAGCAACGACGGCGCTTCGGGCGACAATTGGATGCAACAATCAAGGCTCGGATACCTTGGGGCATCAATTCATTCGGTTCAGAGATTTGGCGCCTGAACACAACATCTTCCTTACACATGATCATGTTGCCATCATATTGAATGGGTTCACTCGCCGGAATCAACTTTCTCCTCCCTGAATCTCGCCCAGGCGTTTTTTAAAGTTGAAGTTGTAGCGAAACTATTTCAATATGATAATCATGATTCTGGAATTTGCTCTTCGCAGACCAAATTGCAGATCCTGGAGTGTTGTCTCGTTCCGGGGGGCAAAGAATCTCCCCTAATGCATTGATGTTTTTCGGACTTGGTTGCCTGTGTTCATTTGTCCGTTCTGCTAGCATGAGCTGACTGTTCCTGTGCATGTTTCTCATCCCGAGGTCCCTGGGGACTTTGCACCTGCGTTCCAACTTCTCGAGTCCTGTTTTCCTTCAGCCCAATAGGCAGCTAGACGCCTCGAATCAAGTCAGCCGCCAACGATTCGACTTCACCAGAAGATTCTGACTACCCGTGTTAACCATCTCTTCACAAGGCAGCTTATGAATTGATTGATGGGCACCGGCTCCAACAATGACTTCGGTTGTTGTTCCTTCCTTTGGGAAGCAGGAAGCGGTTTTTTAGGATGTTCTTTGTCCGCTTCACCTGCCCTCCTGTGAGATCCTTGGGTCAATCAGGAGAGGAAACAAAAACTTGTCCCCGAGGGTTCTGTACCACGCACGAGAGACTTGGTTTCATGTTCACCTGGCGACATTGGCAAAACAACAACGACTTGAGGGAAATCGTGGAGATGATGTTCGTCGAGCGGTTTGATTGGGATTACTGAGACGCGGTCAGCAGTGGCTCGTTTGCGTGGGTATGTGGGCTTGTTGGCATATGTGGGCTTGAGGGCTATGATCATCGGTCTTGACCAAGCTGGAAACATTCCTCAACTCTTTTTGGTGTCTGCTCTTGGGGTGTGTCCTTCTATCTCTTGATTGACCCCGATTCTCCTGGACAGAAAAATACGCAGTTTCTCTACGTTACACGCTTGTGATATCAGTCCATTCCCAGCCGACTCCGAGTGATCACCTTGGCCAGTTCAACGCATTTGCATCATGAAGCGGTTGTTGTGGGACCTCTCCCGAGTGAGGATCAAAGCTTTGGCTTGTCTGCATCAACTCTTTATTGCTCCTGTGTCCTAGTCAAGGCTTGCTATGCTGTCTGTCTGGCGTGAACTGATAAGCGACAACACAGAAACGAGCTACTTTCTGCGCCGCTAAGGGATTATCGTGTGGGCTTTAAGATTAGGGCCCAATTCGAGACTGTCACTACGTTTCATGGAGCAGAATGTTTCAGGCTTGGTGAGGCCGATGACCGGCCATTCCTACTTGCTTCGGCTTGTAGGAGTGGCCCCCTTTTTTTATAAGTTTCCCCATCCTTTTTACTAACAAGACTACGCTAACTACTTCCCTCGCAGCCATAGTTTCGCTGTGATCGTTAGGCTTGGTGACCTGAGATGAGGCTTCCTTGGAATTCGCAGTCCGTGTTTCGTTTATTCAGTTAAGGCGCTGGGCGCAAGTCGCAAAATTTTACGAATCTTTTCGATTTTAATGGTTGCTAGTGAATAATACTTCTGAATATCCCACTCACGGACATACTCCGTACTTGATCGCATTAACGGCAACGCTACGAAGCAATGTCACATATAGCGGCCAAGTGGAATAATTACATAATCATCTTTTGTCAGCTGCCCCTCAGCCCCGCGCAGAACAAGAAGGAATGTTCCCGGGCCTCCGATATTTTTTTTGACGATAAGATTTTGTTGTCGCATTGAACGTCTAATCTTTCGAAACCACCCCGCGATTCCAAATTTGATACCTGCGACATAGACCCCGCGAATTTCGCATACTCCTGCACAATGGTCAGCAAAGCCGATAACGATGCGCTCGAGTCGCAATTTGAGTCGCAATTCCAAAAGCCTGGCGATCTGGTGGAACGTGATGATGACACAGGGCTCATGGAAGTCGAATCACTTTGCATGAGTGAGTATATCCTATATCGAGCTGCATTGTGTTTCGCTAACCGATAATCTACTAGACTGTCACGAGCAAGGGTTTGTCTCCATCGCTCAAAATCTTAATCGACCACAATACTAATGCTTGCTATCCTCAGAACCACCCGACTCCTTCTCCTCCGCGTCCCTTACTTCCGCGACATTATTTTGGAGAGCTTCGAGTGCCCCCACTGCCACTTCAAGGACAACTCAGTCAAGTCAGCTGGTCAAATTCAAGAGCGCGGCGCGAAATATACTCTGAAGGTGGAGAACGAGCAAGACCTGGCTCGGTATGAATATCTTAACCTTCCGCTGTGAATGCAGCCATGTGGCTGGAATTCAGGCTTATTGGATCAAAGCTTACACCTTCTCTAGCCAAGTTATCCGCAGTGATGTTTCGGTCTTCAAGCTCGAGGACCTCGGCATTGAGATGCCCCGCGGCGAATCGCAGCTTACCAACGTTGAAGGAGGTTGGTTGCGCCATGAGCTCCGCATTCTATACTTGATCAGCTAACCTCGAATTGCAGTTGTTCAACACATCCACGAGCACCTCTCGGGCGAGCAAGACCTGCGCAAAGAGCAAGCCCCCGAGCTCCACGATGCGCTCGTCCCCATCATTGCCAGTCTGAAGAAGATCCTCGACCGCGACGATGCTTTCCCCTTCACCATCTCTCTGGATGACGCCACCGGAAACTCCTGGATTGCACCCAACACCACCGACCGTGGCAGCAAGTACACACGCCGCGAATACCCCCGAACCCACGAGCAGAATGAGGAGCTTGGAATTGCGGCGGATACACAGGCTGTCGATGCCGAGAAGTCCCAGATGGACTTCGGTAACCCCGAGGATCTTGACATCGTCGATGGTCAGGTCTACACCATCCCCGCGGAATGCCCAGGATGCAGCAAGGCATGCAAGGGTAAGATATACTTCTGCAGCAGACTTCTTTTTCCTAGCGCAGTTTGCTAACCTATCTTCACACAATCAGTCAACATCAAGAAGCTGAACATCCCTTACTTCAAGGAAGTCTTCATTTGGGGCACTAACTGCGATGGTATTGATGAGGCCGAGTCTTTCGGTCAAGTTCCTCACGATGGCTGTGGCTACCGAAGCAGTGAAGTCCGCACCGGAGGTGCTGTCCCCGAGAAGGGAAAGACTATCACTCTTCGTGTCGAAAACTCAGTCGACATGTCCCGCGATATCCTGAAGTCTGACACATGTCAGCTTCTGAGTGATGATCTGGATCTCTCCGTCGAGCCAGGTACTCTGGGTGGAAGATTCACTACCGTTGAGGGATTGCTGGGTTAGTAAATCCCCTGATGTTTCATGGCCAGAACTACGACGCTAACCTCTAATCATATAGTCGAAATCCGCGACCAATTGAAGGGAACCATTTTCTCTGGTGTCGACGAGACTACTGGCGGTGACGGCATGGCTTCTTCCGACAAGGAGACTTGGGAACGCTTCTTCAACCGCCTTGATCAGGCCATTGATGGCCAGCTCAAGTTCAGCATCACCCTCAAGGACCCCATGGCCAACTCCTACGTGCAGGATCTTTGCACTCCCGAAGTCGACCCCCAGATTACCACCGAGGAGTACACCCGCACCGAGGAGGAAGAGGATGACCTGGGCTTCAAGGACATGAAGACCGAGGGCTACGAGCAGGACGCTGAGACTAAGAAGGAGTAAGGGGTCCACCCAAGCTTCGTTCTTTACTTTTTCACGATGGTCAACACCCATTGCATGATATGAGACTTTATGATTTTGTTGAGATTTCCGCATCACGGCGTCAGTTATATGTGTGGTTTTGTTATGTTCATTTAGATATCCGGTGATTAGATACATATGGATTGAACTCAAAAGTTGCTGTACTAGCTCGTTCATTACACTAGCCCACGCTGTGTACCCAGGTAGTACTCGTAGCCTGGTTCACTTTAAAAACATTTGTTACCTACCTAGGTAGGTACCAATCCATACGTATGTTTGCCCACGCAAGGGAACCGCGTCTACATAGGCTGTGCAGGATCTAGCGTTCCGCGGTGCGTTTAACGAGGAATTCGAGAGATGTGATGAAATATAGCTTGAGTATAGTTCGTGTGAAGCTCTAGATCTAGCTATGGCTTTTGATGACATTCATAGATAATGATTTCCGAACGCATCAACGCCCATATAGATTTTCCAACGCACTCTTCGCCAATCCCGTTGGGTCCATCAAGTTTCATTATCCAACGATGCTTGTGGCCATGAATGTTGCGGGAAATCTAGGTCATCTCGAAGAAGTGCCTGTTATGCTGTAGGCCTCAAGAAAGCATTGGGCGCTGTCCGCGGTATAAGACGTGATAGAGCTGCGTCTTGAAACAGCCTCCAAAGCCACATTGAGAGTTTTCCCAAGGCAGAAATTCCTGGAAGAGCTTGAGCCACTCCTCCCGGGATCACAGTATGGGCCCACTCCAAGGGCGTGGGATGGTGATATGGAAATGCACATGGTTTCGGTCTTTGGGTATCTTGAAGTTGAATGAAAATCGGCGCATGAACAAGCTCACTTCGCAAAAGGATTGGCATGGATTGTGACACGGTTGATCTTGAATGATTCGAAGTCATCGCCCTCCTTCGGTTGAGAGACCTTGCCCTTCTTGTCAACTTTGACATTTGCCTTCTCGAGCTTCGTCAAGATGTCACCGCCCTCGTCCTGAGCCGTCAAATTCAACACTTTTCCAAATACAGTGCTGGCGCCATCGAGATGCGGCGCGGGGACAAAGGAGATAAAGAATTGACTGCCGTTGATAGTCGCGCCAGTTGCGCCTTGCGATCCGGGCGCCGTCCGGTCCTTGACTGGGCGCGAGGCCATCGATAGAATACCTCGTGCATTGTGACGAAGAGAAGGCAGATGAATTTCTTGGTTCATTGCTGCAGGGTGGTAGATGGATGTGCCCCCTTTAGGGATCTCGAAATCAAGCATAGGTTTTGTGGATGTTTCTTTCGCGATGGGGCCGAGGGAAATATCTCCACCCTGGATCATGAACCCAGGAATGAGGCGATGGAAGGGGGTATCATTGTAGGCACCGGATGCACACAGTGCCAAAAAGTTCTCTGTGGTCTGCGGCACTGCTTCGCAAAAAAGCTCAACCTTGAGGTCGCCTTGGGTCGTATGCAACTGTTGGACAAATGTCAGGTAACCGAGGTGGCTTATGGCGGAGAAATTCACCTTTGAAGGTAAGTTTCATAGGTTCCAAGGTGCAGACTTACTGTAACAGACATGGTGGCAGTACTCAACGACGATTGATCAACATGCAGGAAGTCCACTGACTTGCGGCGTCTTCAGGTTTCCGCCGCGGAAGGTCGTTAGTCAGCTGCTCTTATCGGCGATGGCAGGCGCTGGTGTTTGTTGCCAGAGACACAAACCCCTTCAATTCACACTCCGTCGGAAATATCGAGCCCCAAGTGAATCACCCGTGCTCTTGGTATCCTAGTATCTCGCTCGAATTTGCAATTGGTCCTCGTGCAGCTTGACAAGGGCCTCATACCGTCCTCGCCCTTCGCAACGCCAGCACAATGAACAATCGACCAGTCGAGCAGGCGTTGGCCACATTAGTGCCAACGCATGCCGGTGATCTGCCGCAGGAACTCCTCAGCTACGCGATGTCTCTGGTTGCGCAGTCTCGGAGCTTCTCTGCTAGTCTGAAGCCCGAGGAGGAGATCGCGCGTCCGTATGCCTGCGCGGAGATTGCCTGTCGAAGGTAGGACAAACTTTCAAAGACCATATGCCCTGAAACATACTAATACCTTTGCTTTGCCCCATTAGAATGAGCCGCACTTTGAAGCTTCCTCCGCTACTAGGACGTGCGCCATGTCCCCCGCGCGTATACAAAAAGCTTTACTCATACCTCGATCGATCCCTAGCAGCAAGCTCAGTCGGGCTGAAACGATCAGCGAGTACATCCGTTGCTGGATCACCTTCTCGCGCTGGGTCTGCACAGACAACGCCTACGAAGGTCAGGAACACCCCTTCCAAGGCAGTAGCTCCCACGCCGCGGGGACTGCAAAACACACCATCGAAATCTACACCCCTCAAGCGGAGTATGAGTACGGCAAACCTTCTTGAGAGTCCTTCCAAATCAGCAAGAAAAGTTGCAACTCCTCGGCCGAAAGAGGTCACTGGCTCCACTGTCATCCCCGATGCGCCGGCTTGGGTGATGACTGCCATTCGGACGGTATGCAAGATACTTTCAACACCTGCACCGCGCACGAACACATGGTCTCGTCCTCCAATCTCAAGAACGCTTCCTCCCCACGTCTTCTCCGGTGTATCGTCTATTCTTTATCTTACTTCGAGTATGTCCAACGACGAAGAGGGATGGGATGAAGAGACCTTGGGATTCCTGGAGCCCATTGTTTCGATCAGCGGGTCGGGTAAAGACGATGACTTCAAAGAATTGGTATATGCCATGGCTGTGGCTGTGTACTTCCTTGTCCTTGCACGGCGGCGTAATCCCGGGCCGGAAGAAGAGGCAAATGTTGAAGCGCAAAAGATGGACAAGAAGACATTCATCGAAATGCGCCAGACGGCCTTGAACAGCCTTGGTCTCACTAATGATCGGCGGCACCGTGACGATGTGGACCAGTGGATTGCCCTAATCATGGAGCACGGCTGGGCCAATGGCCAGGAATGGTTTGAGAACATCCCCTATGCCGGACAACTATTTGGCGAGGATGAGGAAGGAAAGTCTTACCAGGACTTGGACCAGGAAGATGCCATCCTAAGAGGTGTCAGACCGCCCCAGCGCTCAACCGCAGCCGCCGGCGCCCGAGCTTCGCTGTTAGATCACCCCCCACGAGGCGGTCTTCTCCCTGGCTTGGGAACAATGATGCAGGATCGTGTTGACTGGTTGAGTGATGACCGCCGAGAAGAATACGTAGACTGGAAGGCGGATATCGTGGCTCGTATTCAAGGCGCGGCGGCATGAGTGTCAGGATAGACGACTGCGAGGATGCCATGGCAGGCTGTACGATTAATTGATACCCTAAGATACCGACCCAAATATTTTGAATGTATTTGTCACAACCATAACATTGATCTATCTCGCCACCCATGTCCAAGCGAAAGCCCATGCTGCAAACATCTAGACTGTATATCTATGCCTTTTTGCGCCCGAAACAACCATATTTTCATACCATGCACTGACTCCATGCGCCTTCGATGATGCCAAAGTCTTCTTTAATACCAAATGCTCCTTGTACGGTGGTGCGGAATCGACTCGTTGTGCTCCGCTTCAAGGCTCTTCATCGTGTCGTACAGGAAGAAATCAATAAGGATGGCATTGATGCCATATGTTCTGCTCGGTTTTTGGTCACTCCCCGTCTTCTCAAGTTCTTGGTTTGGATCCTCATTATCCTCATTTTCATTGGAGTTTGAGGCAGCTTTCGCGGCATGGGGTTTGCCATTCATCCTGACTTCGGGGTGTCGCCGCTCGATCTCTCGTTTGATCAGTTCCACGCACCAGATACTCGTGCCCCGAAGCTCAACCTCCCAATTGGAGCCTGGTTCAATAGGCTTCAAGTCACGGATGTGGCTTTCTAGTTTTGGGGCATAACGTATGCAGTTCAGCTGGTGTAGCATTTGGGGAATGCGGTAGTCTGGGGGTCTTTGTTAGCATGGCGTCCACTCGCTCCTGAGGGGCCTCAAAGAACAATGCTCATGCCGAAACGTACCTGCAAACATGGTAATCTTGTCGATATCGTGGAATTCACCAAAGTCCTCGCCGTTGAAGCATGCCCACAGATCAGCGACAAGAATCTGAGCCCGCTTATATAGTCGAATGCGTCTTCCGTTGAAGATTGTCTCATCACGGAAACACGAAAAGCTCTCTGTGACAAGATTTACTAGTCCAGCAGCTGATAGGTTTGCACTGTCAATGCAGTTGGCAAAGCTGCCACCGAATTCCTGTTTGCTTTAGCGAACTCCTCGGGGCCAGTGCGATCTGGAGATCTTACCTCACAAAGAACTTCGCCTGCCTCACGCAGACACTGCACTCGCTCTTTGAACATGGGGATCTCCTCATCCGTCGCGGATCTGAAGACATGCCGGAGGACTTCTTCTGTGCACTTTTCTTCATCCACCCAGAAATCAGGGGTTGTGATGGGAATGCCTGAATCCTCGGTTAGTGCATGTACGTTTCTGGCACATGTTGGCTCCCGACTAACCTTCTTCCAAAGCTCTTTGTAAAGCAGCAACCAGACTCCAATATCCAGTCCACAATGTGCCACGGTACTCGATACAGAAGCGCTTGGGTGCTTCTTCCTCTGCGGACCAGAAGCTGAAATTCAGCAAGTCCATCGTGAAGATGAAGTCCACGGTGCTTTCATCTTTGGCCTGAGGGTGTAACTCATGCTCCGACCAAGTCTGCGTGGAATACTCTTTCTTTTGCATGAGACGCCATATCGTCTCTGCGGCTTCTGTGGTAAATTCGCGGCTGACGGCAACATCGATAGCATTATCGAAGACGTATTGAGCACCCTCGAGCACCTTTGTCTCTGGGGGCACATCTTTTGCCTTTCCGCCCCCCAGGCCGAGATGCTGGCGAAGAAGCTCTACCAGTTCCGGGTCCGCTTCATCGTCGGAGTTTGCCTCGACCTGTTCATTTTTTCGAGCCGGAATTGGATCCAATGAAGGCATGATTGCCCACGGTATGTCTGCACTCAATGTGGATATATGAACCTTGGAAGGAACTTGGTGATCAGGGGTATCGCCTTTATCAGTCCTAGAGTCTGGCGGTGGGCAAACAACAAATATTCCCCGCGGAGTGCGAGTTTGTTTCGCGAGGTAATCAAAGCGATTGATCAGATCTTGGGAGGATATTCGATTCTCTCCTAAGGATCCCTCGCTCACTTCTTTTTCTTTTTCTTCTCGCTTTGCCACACCGAAAATTCGAGCCGACGCCCTTTTGATAGAGCGTTATGTAAGCAGGGGTAAACCCAGCGAATCTCGAGTTTCTCGGGTTGGAGATGCAGGCACTACTGGTATTTAGTTTTTTTATACGAAGTATAGTCTGTGAGACAAGTAAGCACACAGTCCGAGGGCGGATTAGAGAATAGTCATGTGTTTGGTACCAGTATGTACTCAACAACAGCGCAAGTCGCACAGGACTGCCCGAAATCACAAACATTACCATCTCGAGACATTTGGATGAACAGCTCACAGCACTAAGCCTAGGGTTGCATTCTACTTCAGGAACCGAATCCTCGTTCTGGTCTGTTAGTTGCCCACTGTATCAGACAAATCTAGATCCGTGGACTCAGTTGGTGAGTATAACCTTGGGATCTCCAAGGTTTCCAAGGTTGCTACGTACAATCCGTCACTTCACTCAGCCCTGGAGTGTTTGGGTTGTTCTGGCATCAGTATTTCACCTCACTATGCCATCAATTGATGCATCAGGCTTGATGACGGAGTGTAACATTCAGCCACTTTCGAACATTCAAAAAGATCAAGTAGATTTCATCGGAGCAGGAAACTCGGAAATTAATGAGGTCGACTCTCATATTTGAATGGAAGACACTGCCAATCACTCAGACTCGAGAAAGGTATGTATGTGGCTTGTCCCAAATTGTGTTTGTACCGGACGAGTGGCCAGGAGAGTCTATACTAAACGCCAACATAATGAGATCGCACGATTCGACCATGATTGCAGTGGAATGGCCCATGGAACGAGACAAGCTCGGGGAGGAATGCGAGCGAATGCTGGCATGCGTCTTATTGTGATAGCATGTGAGGCACAGAATCAAACGGGGACGGGGTAAACATGTTCAAGTCGAGCTATGCGAAAGGAGGGTGCACTTGAGGCTCAAACGGGTGCCGTCATCACCAACTTCCGTGCTTCCGCCTCTTTCACCTTCATTTGTTCTCCCCACAACCCCAGTCTCCTTCTCTTCACGCTACACATCTCTCCTGGGACCCCCCGAAGGTTGAACTCTACCCTATCGCGATCATTGACTCTGCCCGCCATGCGGGATAGCTCGCTCAAGCGCTCTGTAGGCGTGGACCTCACGCGATCCATCAAGGAGGTAGGTTTTCCATGGGCGCACAGCCGTAAATGGCTGCGCGAGCTTTTTGAATACCGCTAACACAGATCGTCGTATCTAGTCTCGTGTCCTCCTTGTTGGCGCAGGTGGGATCGGCTGTGAGCTCCTCAAAAACCTCGTCCTGACCGGGTTCGGCGAAATCCACATCATCGATCTCGATACAATCGATCTGAGCAATCTCAATCGCCAGTTCCTCTTCCGGCATGAACATATCAAGAAATCGAAGGCCTTGGTACGTTCATACGGCGATTCTCAGGCGCTTGCGCCGCTCCCTTTCGGACCCCCCCTCCTCCGCCCGACGTCGCGTAGTCGCGCGCCGACTTGTGGTTGGAACAACGGAACAACATGGAACGACGAGACACTCATACGGCTTTCTAGGTTGCAAAGGAAGTTGCGCAAAAATTCCGCCCAGATGCCAAACTTGAAGCCTACCACGCCAACATCATGGACCCCCAGTTCAACATCTCCTGGTTTGGGTCTTTTTCAGTCGTCTTCAATGCGCTTGACAACCTGGCCGCAAGACGTTATGTGAACAAGATGTGTCTTCGCGCAAACGTCCCACTAATTGAGAGTGGCACCATGGGCTTCAACGGCCAAGTCCAGGTCATTAAGAAGGTTCGTTGGATTGCAAGATCCAGACTCAATACCAGCGTCAGTTTGAATCCCTGCTAATGGCACCGGGATACAGTCGGAGACAGAGTGTTATGATTGCAATGCCAAAGAAACGCCAAAGTCCTTTCCCGTGTGCACAATCCGCAGCACTCCCAGCCAGTCTATCCATTGCATTGTGTGGGCAAAAAGCTTCCTCTTGCCGTAAGTTCAAAGGCCATTCTTCCTGATCAGCGCTAAGTCTCAAATAGAGAGCTTTTCGGTAACAGCGAAAACGAAGCGGAGGAGGTAGACACTTCAGAGAATGCAGAAAACGGTTGGTCCACATTATCTAAACAGGGATGACGAAACTGACAACTGGCCAGCAAACGAAATCGAGGAGCTACGCAAGGAAGCCTTAGAATTCAAGGCCTTGCGCGAGTCTATTGGGACCGAAGAAGGACCCCAAAAGGTATTTGATAAAGTCTTCAAAGCAGATATAGAGCGATTGCGCAGCATGGAAGACATGTGGAAGACCCGAAAGGCACCAGAACTTCTGGACTCAGTCCAGCTGCAAGAGCAATCTGCATCAATTGATAGCACGATCTCCAAAAAGGATCAAAGCGTATGGTCCTTGGCAGAGAACTTCGCTGTGTTCAAGGACAGGTACTTTGCCCCCTTTGTGCCGAAGATCAGTCTACTGACCTGATGTGTTCTAGTTTCAATCGTCTCAGCCAGCGCCTTAAGGCACTTCAAGCAAACACGACCTCAGACCAACCCTCTCCGATTTTAACCTTCGACAAGGATGACGAGGATACCCTAGACTTCGTTGCAGCCACGGCCAACCTTCGAGCCGCGATATTTCACATCGAACTGAACTCTAAATTTGAAATCAAGAGTAAGACTCTATATCCTGTACTAATCAGCCAACTGTTTCTGACCACTCTTCAGGAATGGCTGGTAACATCATCCCCGCTATTGCTACCACCAACGCTATGACGGCTGGGCTGTGTGTCCTCCAGTCATTCAAAGTATTCCAAAACGACTTGGCCCATACAAAAACGGTATGAATTTCCGTCTCTCGATGACACCCAAATCTAGGCTAACCTATCACTACCAAAACAGGTATTCTTGGAGAGATCAGGTGCGCGAGCTATCAACTCAGAATCATTGAACCCGCCAAACCCCAATTGTGCGACCTGCTCATTTGTGCAGGCTCGTGTAGAAATCGACCCTGAGTCGGCAACCTTTGGGCACCTCGTTGAGATTCTTGAGAATGAGCTGGGCTATAAGAAAGGAGTTTCGATATCCTTCGGCGACACCTTGATCATCGAGCCTGAATTGGATCCCGAAGATTCTGATTCCAGCTTAGAAGACAATTTAGGAAAGAAGCTTTCACGGTTTGAAATCGCGAACGAGAGCATTCTTACGGTGAAAGATGAGAATGATGAAGAAACGCGGGTTACCCTTGAGGTCTTGATTCTTCACAAGTAAGCCCCTCAAACCCACCGCAGCCGATATATCGTTTTACTGACGAATGCCTAGAACCGATCCCTCGTCTGCGGACTCCTGTCCTGCAAAGCTTTTGGAGGTGGTGGAAATTCCTTTGGAGCACAAGCAGCCAGTTCAACCTTCTCCCAGTATGGCTGAGGATTCTCTCGATCTTGCCACTGTGGACGGCGCGTCTGTTATTGGCAAACGAAAGCGTGAAGGGGAAGATGACGGCGGCGAACGCAGTCCAAGGGGCTCCGGTGAACACAGCGCCAAGCGCCCTGCCAGTAAACCTGCAATGGATACGGATACTAGTGAACCGATCGTGCTCGACGATGACGACGAAGAAGGCATCATCACCCTCGACGATTAAAGCTTACGATTAGACACTGCCTTCCGGCATCGACGTGTGATCTTGGGATTTTATCCCCAAGCTTTCCGGGCTCTAAGCTTGGCTTCTTTTGTTCGTTCTTCCTTGTCGTTACTTTGGGCTTTATGGCCACAATCTCTTTATTTTGTACGCATACGGCATACAGGCGAATTTGCTTTTAAGTGGAAAAGAAACTGGGGCCGAGGTTGATCATCCTTGGGAATTAAACGTTTTAATGCATTATGGATGAACATGTTCAGTTTTACTTTATAAAATCTTGGAAACGGTGCTTTCACCTAGGTAGATATCTTGGGGCATACTAGGTACCAAGGCACTTGGGCAAGCCAGTCCTTCTGGGGACTGTGACTCCAAAGGTGATTCCAAGGTTGTGGTTCCAGCTGGCATCTGCCTAAGGGTGGCCATGTCGTGTCGATCTCGGGACTGTCACGCCAACCTTGAAATGAGAGAGCGATTCCAGCTTTCTGGGCCTTGGTCTCATTTGAACATCAGGCCCTTGGATTTTGAGTGTTCGTCTAAACAGCGCTCAGCCCTCCGTCGAGATTCAACACGCAATTGTTGGCATATTCGTTTTGCGCCAAGAAAACAGCTGCATCTGCAATCTCGCGCGCATCTCCAAATCGATGAAGAGGGATGAGAGCTTTCAATCTGCTTGTTTCACCAGGGGTAAAGTCTGAGTCGAAAACCAGTCAGCACTAATACACAGACCAACAATGATCATGAACCATACCAGCAACCATGGGGGTTTCGATATATCCCGGCACAATGGCGTTCGATCGAATAACAATGTCCTTCATTGAGGCCGATGCTTCGGCGGCTATCGATCGAGTAAGACCCAGAAGCCCAGCTTTGGAAGCGGCATATGGGACTGCCCCAGTTCCGCCTTTAAGCGCAAGCAGAGAGGATACATTGATGATGCACTTTGATGGAACCCTTTGTCCCACGGCTGGGTCGCTTCGATTACGAATGCGGCTGCGAATTGCAGCCCGCATCAATGCTCGTGAAGTCAGCATTGCGCCCTCGAGGTTGGTGCGGAGGATTGTCGAGATGTCTTCTAGCTCTGATCTGGGCAGGATGTTTGATATCGAGATTCCAGCTGCGTTGACCAAAATATCAACGTTTGCCTATTCTCTTCAGTCAACGTTGAGGCTCATTGGAATCGACAGAGTGGCGTACCATTTCTTTTTCAAGTTCGCGCATCCATGATCCGGCATCGGAGACATCGCCGACAAGTAGACGGATGTTCCCTGGCGGACTGTGCGGAGCGTCCTCTTCTGGGGCACGAGTAGCAACAACGCCATCATTCTCTTCAGCTGGTACGTTTGTGAATGGTGCCAGTCTTGATGCCGCTTCTTCCAAGCGCTTGTGAGATCGGCCTACCAACACTATTGTCGATGCGCCTTCTTGCAGGAATCGCTCAGCAATGGCATATCCAATCCCTGATGTACCGCCTGTGATGAGACATTTTCGACCTGACAATCTTCTCCCGGGTTGAAATGCATTGTTAATGTCGGAGTTGTTTGCTTGAGATGACAATGAGCGGGTTATATATCTCGGACTTCGTAATGTCACCCGCGTCGCGATTTCCCCATGGCTCAAGGATGTCAACGTTTGAGAGAGGAAAACAGAATTCCTAGACACGCCCAGGCGACTCAATGCAGTCGAATGTGTCATGATTGTACGTAGGCGAAGAATCATGCGCCTTGGACTCCGGAGAGGTGCGTCACAGCTTGAGCACGGACCAGACACCGACCCTCAAAAGGCTCTTTTCGCTCCACATCACCAGTCTTCCTTCAACTACGCGTCTCAAACATGGCAGACTCAGTTTCTGAATATGTGACTCTAGTCTCACATGATGATTATGAATTCATCGTCTCACGCAGTGCAGCTTGCATTTCGGGCACCATTCGACGCATGCTGGACCCTTCGAGTACGTGGATACAAGATCCCGTGCTGCGTGGGCTGTACTAACCACCCACAGGCAAATTCTCTGAGGGTCTAACCGGCCGCTGTAAGCTGGATGACATGTCGTATGTACCTTGCCTCAATGAAATGGCATCGTCCCGGTTGCTAACAACCCCTTTCACCTTGCAGCGGCATCGTCCTCGAGAAAGTCTGCGAATATCTATGCTATAACGAGAAGAACAAGGATCAGACCAACGTCCCAGATATGGACATCCCACCTGAGCTGTGCTTGGAACTCTTGATGGCTGCCGATTACTTGGACACTTGATGGGTTCGGGGCGATCACAATGCTGGGTCTTGCCCCGACAAAGACCGTCTTCGTATCATGCCATCAGCCTATCACCTCCTAACCTTGGAACGATTAACGGCGCAACGAGATTACCTTTGATTCAATTACGATACCACATGGAGTTTAGGATGGCCACACAGGCCAGATCGAGACTCAGTGCCCTGCATTTGATTCTCTATCATGAATTGATTTTCAATGAGTCACCTTCGCTTCTACTGATCATGTATCCTACGAGTTTGCCCAACGATGCAAACCAACCTGACCCATCTGAGCATATGCAAACGGTTCTTTGCCCTATGGCCGAATTTGTCTAAAGATGATGGTAGATCAATCTCCAATGATTGCGCGCTTGTCTGGATATCACGGACTTGGGCTTTGGATCATAGGAAACATAAACTACCATATGAAATTCAATATATGAAATTTCTTTCAATATTGTCTTTGTTTTGTTAACAAATTGCCCAGCACATGTAGTACGCCCAGGGAGAGTACGGAGTAATTCCTGGGCTCATGCCTACTTATGGTAGTGGATGCAATTCGTCATGGCTCGTTGAAAGAGTTATTGAAGCCAGGGCCTCCCTTGTGAGATCAATTGCGCCTTGGGAATCATTTAGGCCCCTCATTTCCAGGTCAATTGGCGGTGCCCCCGGGCCCCGGGGCTCGGGGCCCCGGGGGCCTCGGCAGCTTACTCAGCTGGGATCGGGCCTGGGGAGATTGGAAGTGCCCGCTATCACTCCGCTCTTTCACCATCACCACCTCCACTTGCGGGATGCAGTTTTCAGGAGCGTTGCTCACTGTGTTCCATGCTACTGCGACAATTTCTCTTATCACTTGATTTGTGCTTATTGAAACCGCCCGTACCCATCGGTCCTTTGGGGACTGGCGGCGTGCCGCTTTGATTGTTGTCCCCCGGATTACTGATAAGGGCCTTTGACAGAAGACATCGGCTCATCATGTCTGGTCTCACGGAGCCTTCAACAATACAAAGCACTACCGCGTCTTTGTTACAACATGCGAATACGTCAGCACCGACCCCCGACAGTCCATCTTTATCATCTCTACCGCTCCGTCTCCTATCCTCCAGCATTCACGCCTTCAAACACGTCGACAATTTCGCCTTCCGAACAGTCCCGGCATCTGTCGGCAGAATGACGGGAATCTCCAGCCTTTTGGGCGGAGCCGGTCCAACATCCGAAGCCGGCGGTGCAGCTACACATGCGGTGGCGGACATGGCGGGAAGTGGATTGGGCGACACAGCGGCCCAGGAAGGAAGCTACTACTTCGCCGAGTTCCTGGCTGCCCTCAAGAAGTTGGGTGGGTTCTTCGGTTACTTGACAAGCATATGGTCATTCGCGTGTTTACTGGAGGTAATTGTTAGATCTTGAGTGTTCACAGTTGGAGACTAACAAGCCCAGGCGTTGATTTTGAATCGAATTACCATATACGCTTCCACGCGGCGACACCTGCGACTTGGATGGGAGCGGCGCATCGCTCTTCGCTTAATACCGATACTTTGCTTTGCCTACCAGATTGTCAACCTGCTTCGTGGGATACGATGCCAGACATCTCCTTCTTTCTCAACCATGCGCTATGGTCACCCTGGGAAACAACTCATCTTCGACTATTCCAGTGATGGGGGTGTTCTCTACGCACTGAGTTCGAGCTTACTAGGATGGGAATCCGAAGAGCAGTCCTGCAGTGCTGTGAAGATGACCCGCACAAGCAGCTCAGAGCTTCCATACGGGTCCTTCTCCCTGCTTTGGCCGACATTCATGATGCTCTGCTTGAGCCATTTCATCGAAACGCTCTCATGCGCATTGCAAGGCCGGCAGGTGAAGACGGAGACAGGAATGTCCATATTCGAGCATTCACTTGCTTTCGCAGAAGCCGAATCAATGATTGGCAAATCTATCGGATTGGGGATGTTCGGTCTTCCCAAACAAAATCCGCTCAGTACTATGACTCGGGAAATCAATGACGATTCAACTTCGGTTCTCCAATTACTCACAAGGTCGCAAGTGCTGGAACGAATGAATGTTACGCCGGAGTTGTTACTGATTGCTTTGATTTCGTGCTGTAACAGTACTTCTTCCCACATTCTCGATATTTTCGGGATGCAAAGCAGATACAGACTTTTCAACACTGCTCTCTGGGGTGCTTGCTTTATGGCTGCGATGTCATGGGGACTAGACGCCGGACCACCTGTCAGCCTTGAAACGGGCGTTCTCAGGTTTCCAACCGTGTGCATTGTGGGGTTCATTCCTCATATCATGGTATTGGGTGGAATCACAATATGCGGTGCGATTTACGCGCTGGCGCTCACCATCACTGCATTTTCTATGTCTACAGAAGATGCCCAACCCGTCTCCCTTCGCGATCGGTTCATGCTGGCCCATGAAAACATGCAAGGCTCAAACCAGGTTCGGAGCATTCGCATCAACAGACACGAGGACTTCTACACCACCCTACTTCGAATCGGCTATGTTGCTCTGACTGCCGCAAGTGAGGCTGTATTTTTGAACGAGGGTAAGGCCGTAATTGCACGGCGGATGACTTGGCTGGAGGAAGACCGGCTTGCCGAAATTGAAAGTCACCGACGACGATCCAGTGAATCTTACACCAGAACCCATGAAGCCGCGGCATTTGCAAATTTCGACGTGCCAGAACATTCTGGGTCATGGGAAACTGGTTACAACCGCGAAAGGAAGATCGACAAGCAGAGTGATGGACCTCGCGATGTTCGCGCTGATTCCATGCTAGGAGGAGTGGGAGCAGTACGTGTTTCTATTCGATTAATCCACGTGTTCGCCTTCTTCCGCGCGATCTGTCTGCTCGTGCTCAGATGGAGCGCATATGGATTCAGCACCGCTCTAGATCGACTGGGCATCACCGCCCGACCACTGTGGCTGAAACGCCTGATTGGTCACCGTCGGCAGCCGCCCGGTTCTGACAAAGAGCCCCTGAAACAGCCCTTAGACTTCTGGATTCTTTCAGACAACGGCAATCTCGAACTTCCCGAAAATGGCGAGTTCGATGTTGAAGCTGAGATGCGAAAGCGAGAGCGCTCGAATCGACCGAACTGGATGAGCCCCGATGAAAATTATCTGGATGACAGGCTCTATAGCTGGTGGAAGATCGGTGGCTCCTGGGGTAATCAGGACCAAACCTCAGATTACCACCCGCCCACTGATGACTTCGACACTACAAGTGTGATTTCAATGTCTACCAATGCATCAGGTTCGGAGTGGGAAGATTACCCATCTGACGACGGTCGGCGAACCCCTACCCAGGTCGATCCATATGCAGATAGGAGCTCTTCGCTCCAAGACCCATTACTGGACATGACCACGCTCGCGCGCCTTCTGGATCCCAGGGACCGTGAGAGCAGAGAAGAAGCTCGGATCCTGGCCGCTCATTTGAAGACAAACAACGAAGGCCCCCAAATCATGACACGCAGCCGCTACCAGAAAGAAGTTGAAAGGGAGAGATCTCGAATCTTGTTTTCCTCACGACTTCACCAATTGAGTACGACGCAATCGGGCTCCGAAGGGAGGCAAAAGCCCACAGCCGAGGAGGAGTCTGAGCTCCTAGAGAAGCTGATCCTTTCCCGTCGCTCAGAAGTGCCCTTCAACCCTGATACCCACACTTGGGAATCTGGCGCGGCTGGGCTGGGTCCTAATGGACCCCCTTGTGTTGTTTGTCAAACAAGCCCTCGAGCCATCATCACTTGGCCATGTCGCTGCCTGTGTATCTGCGAGGACTGTCGTGTCAGTCTTGCGATGAATAACTTTGGCAGCTGTGTGACTTGTCGTCAGGAGGTTGGGGGTTTCATGCGTCTATGGGTTCCATGAATGGCTGATCAGCCTATTTCCTATTCGAAATCTTCGACTTTCCACGTTATTCTAGGGTTATTCGGATTTAAAACATATGGATTGGCTTGTAATATATTGCATTTATACCACTATGATACTATATCGCTTCGCTTCGCTCCGCAATCAACTCTGAAATACTTCCAAGGTCAGATCTAGCCGGGCAATTGGAAACTGAAGCGTACAATTTATGACTCATAAATCTGCTTCTCTGGTGGTCAGTGGTGGTACATCGAACCATCAACTTGGAAGGCGAAGGCCCGGGGCACTACTCTGATACTAATTCCCACCAACCAGAGGCCTATAGCCAGCCTCCCACATCTGAGCCTGAATCCACTCCTGTAGCTCCGAATCACTGTCAGGAATTCCATCCTGTTGTGCGAGGCCCTCTTCTACCGCACAACGGATCACGGCGGCTGCAATCTTGACACTGATCTCGCGCACGTTTTCGACGTCGGGTAGTAGGGGTTTGTTGGAATCCTTCAACGCTGGTGACTCTGCCTTCAGTGCCTCCACAGCAGCGACGAGCATTTTCTTGGACATGAGTCGACATTGAGAGAGGACTGCTCCTAAGCCAATGCCCGGGAAGCATGTGGAGTTGTTGCACTCAGCTAGAATGTCATGTTAGCCACGGTAATGAGGAAGTCGCATATGATTTCCGCCTACCTATCTCATATTCAGTGCCATTGTAATTGACTGGTTGGAATGGACTGCCTGTGGCAACCAGTGCTTTCCCATAAGTCCATTTGTATAGGTCCTCTGGCTTTGCTTCGTGGAGTCGTGTGGGATTGCTCAGAGGGAAAACGATGGGTCTTTCCACATTACGTGCCATCTCACGGATTGCATCTTCGGTAAAAGCTCCAGGCTTCGTCGATGTACCAATGAGAACATGAGGCTGGACCTTCTTGATCACTGACTGTAAGTCTCGGTCGTTCTCTGACCAATCATGGTCATCTCGCGCAAAGGATTGCTGCCCATCAGTCAACTGTTGACCAAGAGACTTTACCAGCAGACCTGGTTTATCAATACACCTATTCAAGACAGCGTCAGTGGAGGACTGTGTTTGTTTCATTTCAGTGCATACCAGATTTGCTTCGATGCATCATCCTTCGACTTGTGTGTTTTGGTAGCGATAGTCTCGGCAATCTGATCTGCAATACCAATACCGGCAGTGCCCGAGCCGAAGATGACGACCCGTGTATCTTCCAATTGGACATTGCTCACTTCAAGTGCAGCGAGCATGGCGGCAAGGGTGACACATCCAGTTCCTTGGATATCATCATTAAAGCACGGGATCTGTGACTGATAGCGGTTGAGGATTCTTCGGGCATTCTTCAATCCAAAATCCTCGCTAACACAGTTAGTTGTCTTTCACAAGGTTGAAAAAGGGCCTGGCATACAAGTGTATGTAAGCCCTCGGGAATTGTCTGCGAGCTGCTTGGACAAATCTATCGACGAAATCATCGTATTTCTCTCCCCTCTCACGATGCTGTCGCAGCCCTAGGTACAGTTCATCAGCGAGGAGGTCCTCGTTCTGCAAGTATTAGCGAACATGATCATTCCGATATAAATCAGACCTACATCTGTCCCACAATCCAACACGACTGGTAGTTGGCGCGAGGGGTGAATTCCAGCACAAAGCGTGGTGATGACAAGTTTGGCGACCGAGATGAGAATGGCACCCACGCCCTGGTCCCCTATACCAAGGATCTATTGAATTGCGATCAGATCTCATGTGGAAATAAATCTTGGAAGGTATGACTTACCTCCTCCCCATCACTGACTACAATGTAGTCAACATCGTCTCCGGATCCAAATGACGAGAGGCTTTCTTCGATTCGGTCCGGGTCATTGATGTTCAGGAAGCACCCCTCAGGCTTTCTGAACAGTCGCGAATAATCCTGGATTGCATCACCTTCAGTGGGCGTGTAGATCACACTGAACATCTCCTTCAAATGCGTTTGAACAAGCTGATTACAAGTTAAAAAGGTGATAATTCGGGACCACGCTTCGGGTCTCACCTTATAGTAGAGCACTTCATTCTGCGCTTTCATGCTAGACAAGAAAGTGTTCTTTGCTAGATCATCAGATCTACTGCTGTATTGCTGGTAGGCGCGTTGGACCTGCTCGTCCAGGGTCTGGATGTTGGGTGGAAGAAGACCATGCAGTTTGAAGGCCGATCGCTCATCGGCTGGGAATGCAGACCCTTTGTTAAACTGCGATGACTGTAGCACAGAATTCCCCTGTGTATGTTAGAGAAATTGATCTTACCTAGCTGAGCACTTCTACTTACCTGGTGGGGACAGGTCAAAGGACCGGCTGCTGCGCGGGGTAAGTGGCTGAATTTCGACTTGGGGTCAGACATGCTGGGAGAATGCAAGGATGCAAGGAAGATGCAAGGGATCAACGCTGCAGAGATGGAACGGGGCATAAAACAAGCAACGACGGCCCCGGGGAAATGTTTGTCTTATCTGATGTCATCGGGTGTTTCAGCCCTGGAGTGGTCTCATCCTGTTTGTATATTGCCCGGGCTCCACTGTACATCAACTTAGTACCTGTGAGTGCCCAGTAGCCCAATTCGTACCTAGGTACTTTATACGGTCTTGTGTAGCGTGAATGTGACTTCGAAATAAGATATCCCGGAAGCTACAGAGTACATTTATGGACTTGGACTTGAGAAACCAATTGCTTCATTCAGATTATATCCATCTTGAACCAACACGTACATTGTATTAATTGGTGCGACTTTCAAAGGTAATAATCCAATGCCAGTCAGCACAGAAAACTGCCGATCAAGGACAGCAAGCTGCCCTCAACCCGAGCAGTATCACATTAGGTATAGATAAATTTACAGGACGTAAGCGGCGGCAGCGACAGCAGCAGCGACGCCGGCAAGGTTACCCTTGACATTGGCAGCAGCGCCAGTGTAGGCAGGGGAAGAAGCCGAGGCGGAGGCGGAGCCGGTCTTGGTGCCGAGAGGGGTGGAGGTAGCAGCACCGCTGGAGCCGACGGCGGTGGAGCCAACAGTAGTGGTCTCGGCGGAGGTGGACTCAGCAGCAGAGGACTCAGCCGCGCTGGAGCTCTCGCTGGCAGTGGCAGTGGGGGTGGCAGTGGCGGTAGCACTGGTCTCGGCGGGAGCGGAACTCGAGGAGCCGGCCCCGGTGGAGGTAGCGCTAGAAGCGCCGGTGGTCTCAACGGGAGGCACGGAGATGGGGTGACCAGCAGAGGAGCACTGAGCAACGACAGCGTTGGAGACGGCTGGCCTATGTTAGGTTGTGCATATGAGATTGAGGCGTAGAGAACTTACAGATCTGGTCAGGGACCTCACAGGCCTTCTTCACGCAAGGAGTGATGCTGCTGACCAGCTCGGTCTTCTGGCAGTGGCACTTGAAGTCGAGGAGCTCGGAGCAGCCATCGCTACTGAGGGCACTGACGAAGCATGACAGCTGGGGTGAGGTTAGTCTTGATGTTCTCTCATATCATGTTCGAGGTGAAACTGTACCGAGCACTCAGGGACATCAGGCAGCTGGGCCTGGGCCAGACCAGCAGCGACAAGGGCAACAAGAGTGGTGGAGAACTTCATCTTGACAAGATTGATGGACTGAATATGTGTGAATATTATAAACGGCTTGTCGGAAACGACAGTCAAATAATCAGTGAGTAAGGATGAGCTGTCGAGAAAGAAAATCCAGTGATGGGCATGGCCTTCTTATAAGCTTTGACGGTGCCTTTCATGGATGTCCCAGTTGCCCTGACAGGGTCGCACCAAAGGTTCACGGGAACATCACATGTCTCTGCATGTTTAATGCGCCTCGATAAACCAGCAGGGCACCGCGGTTGGCCTAAGCCTGTAATTACCACGGACTGCGACCCCAGTCCGTCCGCATGGCCAAGCCTGATGGCTGACGCCGGACCCTAATTTCAATGGTCGAATGAGGGTCGCATTGAAGAAGCCTGCCTTGATGGCGCGGGAGTCTCGTACGGCGTACGTATGCTCGCGAAACCCAGTCAGGATTAGACCGGGATGGGCAGCCATCAGAGGCTGGACCGGTGGCGATGACCGGTTGTGCAGCGGTTACCCCATTTGCAGCTAGTCTCACGGTCGAATGGGGGCGGCAATCTCCACAGAGGGAGCAGTACTTCCCATGTGCGAGTGGTCCACGCAACTCAAGTGGTGCAAGGTGTTGACTGTAAGGGTGTACATGAGCGGTGTACTCCGTACAGCAATGTGGGACACGCAACCTTGAGAACCCTGAGACGGCACAAAGACTGTGGCAAAGCGCATCGAGGAAAATCCGGGGAAAAGAGGGTAACATCAAACTATCCCCCTTTGGGCATTGGTCCGAATTAATATAATTCCTGCTCTGCTCGGTCCAAACTCAGGGGACCAAATAGATGTATGGAACCCATCGGTGGCGTTGGGCTTCGGGCCCTGAAAGTACACAAAGGGACTTGTTCATGGTACTTGACTCTTATGGTCCGAGTTCAAAAGAGCCTAGTGGGATTATCGGAGTGTTAATTTCGTCCGGAGAGTCGATCGTGATACTCCCGAGGTCTGTACCTGCATGAGCTGGAGCTGACCTTGACTGCTCATTCCTCCCAATCCTTTGAGTTCTCCAGGGCTTTGACATCTGCTGAGCAGGAAACTGTATCCGCTGCGCGGAAGTGGGTTGCCCCATGGCCCCAGAGTCCCCGGGCCCAACTGAGACATTAGAGGGGCACGAGCATGAGGGCCAGAAGCTTCGACTCGAACAATGAGCACAGGGTTTGCCAAGGCCCTAGCCCTGGAGGCGACCAAGAGGGAATCACACGGGGTTTGAAGCGCTGGGTTTTGCTAGCGAGACATAAGTACCTAAAGATAACAGGTATTGCCCAGCCATCTTCAATTGACTTTGGTATTTCGTACTCTAGAAAACCTCTGAAAATGGTGATTTCAACTTCTTGAATTAGCTGACACAGTTCAATAAAGCTATGATTCCATAATTAAAGCCAGCATTTCCCCTGGCACATAGGCAAATTCCCACGGCACTAATTTAGTCAAGTCAATTAATAAGTACATGAGCTTTGAAATATAACTTAATTAAATTAAAATACGGAAACAAGCAATCGAACCATTCCGAGATTGATATCGCGGGGGTCATCGAACAGAACTGTCGCGTAGATCGTACGGTTACAGCAGAGTGTAGCCGAAATGAGATTTCTGATGCTTTCCCTGCCCACCTGGACATGTTGCTAAAATACGTCCGAGGTCTGCACCAATCTTTGGCCTGGAAACATATTTCCAGCCATGGACTAGCCTCCCGAGGTCAGGAATGGCGGAGACCACTTCATCCTATCACCTGAACAGTCTAGTTTTTCCGTGAATACCCTTTTCTCTACACGGCATTCCTCAAGGTTGCCCCTTGCATGGGAGTAAGTTCAATTTGTCTGGAGCAGCAAAAAGTCTCTCGCTGCCTCGGCTGACCACATGGAAACTTGACACCTGGGCATCAGCAACGCAAACTCCCACATTGTGCAAAGAAGAGAACGGAAAATGTGAAACATTGAAAGTTTACAGTTCCCATAGATGATGGTTGGCCTAGGTATATACCGGTGGACGTGACCGAAGAATCCCACCGCCGGTCGAGCCCCCCGAAGAGGTCTCGCAAATCGTGATATCATTCCACCAACGCCATGCTAAAATCAAATTAAAAGAACTCATATCTTCATGAAAGCAGCTCGTCGACGTATGCTCGCTGTTTCGTATCCTTGCCTTTCAAGAGAACCGCAAGAACCTCAATGGGAGGGTTGAGATTCAGCTTGTTGGCGCGGCGCCAGCGCTTGACTCGGGCGATTCCAATGCAGGGCTGTAAATTCCGTTAGATATCTGGGACAATTATCCAGCATGTACATGGATCGCATACCCCATATTGACTTGAGAGATCAAAATGCCTGAGAATCTTCTCTTCCATGTCCAGGTCCTCTTGGTGTGCTTATTCAAAGTGAGCTTGGAGTCTCAGGTGCTTTCTTCGTGATTCACGTACCAGGAGGTGCCAGGCGATTCTCATCCTGTGCCCGCCAGTACCGCCAGATATCTTGCTTGTTCAGCTGCAGCGCCCTCTTGTCTTCTTCTGTGTGCGGTGCTTCAACCTCGGCTTTGGCCTGTTGGCGCACTACTAGTTCCGCAACATGGGGTTTGGAAGTTTCCGGTACGTCGGTGAGTTGGGGTTCCGGGGTTGCAGGGGACTTGGTTCGAGGCGAGTCGAGGGTGTTAGTCTTGGCCTGGGGTGCTGTCACTGGTTTGGTGACTCGGGCCTGAGAGCCGAACGACAGAGTCGACTGCCCTGTATTTGCTGCGCGACGACGAGGAGGCATTTTGAGTGAGGATTGGGGAGTCTAAGTGGTATTAAGCTCAGTGGAGATATGTGAAGAGGTGAGTGTCTCATGTGTGGAGTAAGGACGTCATGGTTGCACTAGCAACCATCGGAATTTCAATGGACAGCCAGTGACTGGACAGCACATAGGAGACTCCAGGGCAATGGACCTGGAGGTACGGAGTAGGTATGCTGCCGGATTTATTAAAAAGACCCATGTGTATTGCATCACACTGTGATCGACTCTAAGCGCCCCATGTGTGATGACGATGATGACATTGCAAATTGGCCCTGAGACACATCTATACAAAAGTCGGGAAGTAGAGTATTCTGTAGCCTGAAAAATCCCAAAGTCACACTCGTAGATACATCTCCAGGACACGTATGACTGAGAAGAGCAGAGGCTCAAAATCACGGAGTTGAGGGGGGCTCGGTTCACTTTTCCCCACCGTCAGGAGCTCAGCTTCCTAAGCACCAGGGCCTCTCACCGTCAACCTTACATTCAGCTCGACTTTCTCACTTCTCACCCTAACACCATCCAGCTAATTCAAGCTGGACCCTGATGAACCCCCCAGGGTTTCCCACTTCCCGTCCGCTCGCATTCCCTCCACGACCCGACCCTACCTCCGCATGTCCATGGTGCTACAGGCACACTTGATTCGAGATGGCCGCCTTCGTGCGCATTTCAGGCCCGGCAAATGGCAATTTCCTACTCGGATATCCAGGCATCTCGGCGACGATGGTGAGCACCCTCCCGGACAGCCATGCGACAAGGCAGTCCGGCCCCCTGGTCGAAGCCATTGATTGACACTCCTAAGCCACGCATCGAGGGTAAGGTGGAAATCCGCCCCTGCGCCGGTATCACAGCCCCCGTCAACGTCTCACTCGTCACCATCTCTCTCCTCCGTCGCGAAACCATCCATCCCTCGGCCGACTCCGTTGCAAAGAAACGCTTGGCACCGCCGCGCAAAGAGATCACGGACATCGTGGGCAAGGAGATGCTCCTGTTTCGATGCCCAGCGGGAAGGGAATACGAAGAGGTGATCTCCATGGACTTGCCTTTTGTCCTCTTCATCCCATTTGGCCGTGGGGGCCGCGATGCCTCCCGCCGTGTTCCTCCCGCCAGTGTGCAGCTTCAAAGTCGGACCGCTGAGACATACTACGAAATGGTGGTGATGGTACAGCAGGGCCAGCAAGAACAGCGCAAATACACCTTTCCCGTCCCCATTGCGCGGTACGACACACTATCCACTTTCGGCATGTACAATCGTCCCGAGTCCGCGGAACGGGTATCAGATCATTTAGTCACCTTGGCCATTTCGGTCCCACGGTGGTCTTACGGGCCCCTCGATCCCGTCAGTGTCTATGTGAAGCTATCCCCGAACGAGAGCTGGATGGGCAAGGCGCGAAAAGTCACCATTAGCAAAATCACCATCGGCATCGACGAGGAGATCATCTTCAACCACGAAGGCGACGAGCCCCAGCGCAAAGTGAAAGTCCTGGCCAAGAAGACAGAAATCATTGGCGTGAAACTTCCACAATCTGGCTATCTCACAAATCTTGGATTAGTATTCCCCGCCAAGGATCTGCGTGATGCCGAGGGCATCTTGCCTAGGAACCGAGCAGCATTCCCCACATACGGCGTGAGCGGCTTCACCACCACAGCCAGTCTATATAAAATCGAGTACTACCTTACGGTCCGAGTGAGTAACCCTCTCCTGCGCTATATGGAATACCGCAGGTGATCAGACTAACACCGAACAGGCCCACCTAACCTCCGCCAGAGACATCACTATACGTCAACCAATAGTGGTCTGTCCACTCGACCACGCCGGCTGCAAAGAAGAAATGGAGGCCATCGAACAAGCCGCCCGGGATGCTGCCCACATCAATCCCGACAACCCAATGCTACCTCTTCCCGCAATAGTGCGACCCAACGACCTCAACGCCCTGAGCCACCTGGGCTGTGCAATCGTCGGTAACCAGAAGAAACCGCTGATCGATTGAAGCGCCCCTGCCGCTCTTGGTCATGGGAAATCACAAAAAGAACCCTATTTAATCACAACCCACGTCGGCTCCGTTCTGACACGCCCCTGCATGGGCGATCCCGAACCTAGGAGCGACAGTGGTCATAATTTTCGGCGCCCCTGCAAGCGGCACGGAGGCAGAATCCCATCCCGTGTCCACACCATATCATGACATGTCTTATGATTGCATAGATCCTGGAGTTTGTTGCATGGCATTTTTTGAAAGCTGGTTATTCATTTGACGGGAACCCACGGGTGTCCGGGGTGTTGGTGCACTTCTCTTGTACGGGTCGGTTGCTACCCAGGTTGCCCTTTGGCTTTGATTAGGCTGTTCCTATCGCATTTGTGGCATTTGTGGCATGTTCTGCCGAACTTGCATTGGTGCATTTGAGCCCACCGAACACGAACTGTGCCCAGATGTCCACATGCAGGTGCAGATATATGTATCTTAACTAGATCTGTCTCTTTGATTCTACATACTTGGGTATCATCGCTTCAACACTGACCAATCGACGTGTATCGCTTGCAAAATGTCAAGGGTATCATCTTCCTATACAACTCTTTTTCCTGCCTGATCTCCCGAGGTCATTTCCCAATATCCAAGAATCCCAAAGCGATGCTGAGCATGTCTGCATCTACCACTTGGTCTTTGGCCCGATTTTGGCTGTCGCTCTCAATGTCCCGGAGGCATTCCTTCAGGATTTCCAATATTGCCTGGTATTGTGTTGAAGAGGGTCCAAATGTCTCAAGTGCGTTCTCAAGGCTATTTGAAATCTGCAGTTGTTAATTTAATGCATGAGGCCGCCTTGGCAACATCAGAGCACACACCTTGCGTAAATCTTCATTGTAGTTCACGATATTTTGGGCGCTGGGGTCCATGGGGAGCGATAGCACCGAGGTGCGAATACTTTCAACGTGGGGCTTTCAACGTTGAACAGGGGAAGATATATCCCACCGTGGACGGTCACCGCCCCTGAAACCCACTTGGGCAACTGCGGCATTCATCGATCACAGCGAATGCAGCAGTGTCTCCTCACGATTACGTGCATGGATGTCTAGAAAGCCTTTATGAAATTCCAATCTCCTCTAAAGTCCAAGGCTTTTCTCCAACCTCACCAACCCCCCTCTCACTAACCGGATTACCGAACTCAACCAAAAACCTCACCATCCACCCATCCATGCAGAAGCTCGTATCGACCGAGCGCCTACAAGCTCGATGAAAAGCCTGCAGGCGCTCCATGCAGACATCAAGAGTGGGCCATAGGCCACGCAATCGGGTAAGTATACAGAAGTTCCGCTCCAGTCTCCGTCTCGCCTGCGCGATACTCTCATCCACCCCGAAAAGCAAGGTGTGGATCTGGACCGTCGAGGCGATCACAAGAACATGCCCGACCATATTATACAGTACATCGCACCCCGGTACCTCCTCAGAACTGTAAATCATCTCGCACAGCCGGACGGCTTGCTCTTTGCATTTGTTTGCGTAGAAGTGCGTGCGCGGTGTGTGGTTGCGTAGGTCCTCGTGCAGGAATCTATAGAACAGCATTTGGCCGTAGTGGTAGTAGCCCAAGTATAGGGTTACGAAGAGTTGGCCTAGGCCGTCTGCTGCGAAGGAGAGGAGGTTGGCGCAGGTATCGTGCATGTGTGTTGGCAGCTCGGCGAGCCAGCGGTCGAGCTTTGCGGAGAGTGCGGAGATCCGGTCCATGATATAGGTTGGGGTTAAGGATTTTTCTGCGGCTTCAATGTTGAAGTCGTTGATTTCGCAGAGGATTCTGTTAAGGAGGACCATTTGTGCGAGAAGCGATGAGGCGCGATCAGATTCGACCTCTACGGCGAACCCTTGTGCACGATTCATTCGTAAGAATGTTGCCTCGTTCATTGGGAGAGGTGTATTCGGCTTTGGAGTCAGTAAGCGGGGCAGTCGAACTCCTGTTGAGGACCAAACGTCTATCATACATAGGGTCCACCATACTAAGGCATGTTAGCATTTGAATAAGACACAGGAAATTTGCTGCAAACCTCTGATGTATAGCTCTTGTTCTACCCGGTTCGCGGCCTGACAGTTCGGTAAATCGAGAAGCTGGGCAATGCGGCATGCAATTGCGTAGTAGATGGTTTCCGAGGCAGGTTTACCGTCCACTACGCCAATCGCACCCAACAAGACACAGGCTTGAATTGTTGTCACGGAGACGTCATTGAGGTCAAGTAGCTCTTCGCATCGTTTGGCGAATCCCCTTCCCCGTTCTCGAGGGTCTGTCTCGGCAAAGAATGGATGCGATGAAAAGCTGTAGAAATCAGTCTGGAGCCAGTCGGGCCGAACGATAGAGATCATACCGGGCCGATAGTGCTAACATGCCATACATCAAAATCTCGGGTGCTTGGCCTTTATGCATATCTTCCATCAGACTTGGCCGATGAAAGAGTGAATGAAACTTATCATGCACATAATTGAAGTAGAGCTGGACCAGGTCTCCGCAGAGCGGTTGGTCTGGTAGTGTGCATATTTCCGATTCCGAAAGGGCATCCCTCCGAGAAACAGGTGTTGACCCGTCCGATACAGACGGAGCCTTTACCGACTCTGCTCGCGTGCATGCCAAGTTCCGAGTGGAACAATACGTGCAAGGGAGGCCGGGCCTCCGAATGTCACATTTCCGGCGCCGTTCCCTGACATCGTATGAGCGCGGGGTGTGGGGGTGAGGGATAAACTGCTTACCGGCAGATTGAACATGCCTTTGCCAATCTCATTATGTCTTAGTTTGCGGCATTTGGGCCTATATACACGTCACTGGCGAGGGACTGGGGATGCAAGAGAAATGGAGAAATCAATTCCCCGGCGGAATTGAAGGCTCCCCAGCCAATGAGAGCGAGTCAAAGCCGCCCCGGAGTATCCCCGGGCCACTCCGCATTGGAGCCCCCGCAATTACTCCACGCCGGGCTTTTATATCGCTCAAAAGGCCTGCGATCGGCAGGGTGGAAGTTGCTAGGGTGAAAAGATTCTTGGGACAGGTCCACTGTTCTCTCTGTTGAGAAACCGGTCCCCGTGTTCTTGCACACATTGAGTTTGGTATTCTCCGAGCCGAGATCACTTCCCGTGGATGCAACCTTGAGGGAAACATATAAAGGTATCGTCGTTGCTTTCCGTCTGGATGTGAAGTCTGTAGGCTAAAATGGTTCGCTTCACAAGGAACACGGCGGTGGCCACCGGCCTGGTAGCATTGCTGGTGCAATCGCCTGTCATGGCACAGAACTCAAACACCAAGCGTGAGTGACCGTTTCCCATCTGAGCGGTACGTCAATATTGACTCTGGTTTCTGTAGCAATCGTGGCAGATGGCACTTCGTTCGCTCTCAATGGCGACAATGTGTCTTATCGCTTCCATGTGGACAACAGCACAGGTGATCTTCTAGGAGATCACTTTGGCGGCCCGGTCACAGGAAACATCCCATTGGAGACTGTCGGCGATGTAAATGGCTGGGTTGGTACTACCGGTCGTGTTCGCCGCGAATTCCCAGACCAGGGACGAGGAGACTTCCGCATCCCTGCAATTCGCATCCGTCAGTCGGCAGGATACACTGTGTCTGATCTGCAGTACAAATCGCACCGGATCGTTGCGGGAAAGCCCGCCCTGCCAGGATTGCCTGCCACAATGGGCAATGAAGAAGACGTCAGCACGTTGGTGGTCAGTCTCTACGACAAGTACAGCGACGTTGCGGCGGACCTGTCTTATTCGATCTTCCCCAAGTACGATGCGATTGTGCGCAGCGTCAATGTCACCAATCATGGACAGGGAAATATCACCATCGAATCCTTGGCTAGTTTGAGCGTGGATCTCCCATACGAGGATCTGGAAATGATCAGTCTCCGCGGAGATTGGGCGAGAGAAGCCCACAAGGAGCGAAGAAAGGTCGAGTATGGCATCCAAAGCTTTGGAAGTTCTACGGGCTACTCATCTCACCTCCACAACCCATTCTTGGCGTTGGTTGAGCCATCGGCCACCGAGTCTCATGGCGAGGCATGGGGCTTCTCCCTGGTGTATACCGGGTCGTTCTCAGTGGATGTTGAGAAGGGCTCTCAGGGTTTCACACGTGCCCTTCTTGGCTTCAACCCTGGCCAGCTTTCCTGGAAGCTGGCCCCCGGAGAGTCTCTCGCCTCTCCGGAGTGTGTCTCTGTCTACTCCAAGGACGGCATCGGCGGCATGTCACGCGCCTTGCATAGTCTGTACCGCAAGCATCTGATCAAGAGCAAGTTCGCGACCAGCGATCGCCCTGCCCTTCTCAACAGCTGGGAGGGACTTGGCTCCACCTTCAACCAAAGCAGCATCTACAACCTTGCAAAGGAATCCGCGGAGGTAGGCGCCAAGCTCTTCGTCTTGGATGACGGCTGGTTTGGTGATGAGTACCCTCGCATCTCCGACGAGGAGGGGCTGGGTGACTGGATACCCAACCCTGCACGTTTCCCCGACGGCCTCGAGCCAATTGTCAAGAAGATCACCGATCTCAAAGCCGCGAACACATCAACCAATCTGCGCTTCGGTATCTGGGTAGAGCCAGAGATGGTCAACCCCAATTCGACACTGTACCAAGAGCACCCAGATTGGGCCTTGCACGCTGGACCGTACCCACGAACCCAGCGACGAAACCAGCTCGTTCTTAACCTTGCTCTCCCCGAGGTACAAGAATTCATCATCAAGGCTGTTTCAGACATTCTCAACAGCGCAGACATCAGCTACGTCAAGTGGGACAACAACAGAGGTATCCACGAGATGCCTTCCCCTGCTACCAACCATGCTTACATGCTTGGCATGTACCGTGTCTTCGACGAACTGACTACGAAGTTCCCCGACGTTCTCTGGGAGGGATGTGCCTCTGGTGGAGGTCGCTTCGACCCCGGTGTTTTGCAGTACTTCCCTCAGATCTGGACATCCGATGACACGGACGCCGTGGAGCGCATTTCCATTCAGCTCGGTACCTCCCTTGCATACCCCCCTAGTGCAATGGGCGCTCACTTGTCCGCCGTGCCAAACCAGCAGACCGGGCGCACAGTCCCCGTTGTTTTCCGTGGCCATGTTGCTATGATGGGTGGTTCATTTGGGTTGGAGCTCGACCCAGCTGAGATGACTGCCGAGGACAAGGCTGCTCTTCCCGGTCTTATTGCTCTCTCGGAGAAGGTCAACCCCATCGTGCTGAACGGCGATTTGTGGCGTTTGAACTTGCCAGAGGACTCCAACTGGCCTGCTGCCTTGTTCATTGGCGAGGATGGCAAACAGGCTGTTCTTTTCGTCTTCCAGCTCGCGCCTAACATCGATCACTCCTGGCCGCGTATTAGGCTACAGGGTCTGGACGCGCAGGCTTCGTACAAGGTTGACGGGAATGCCACGTATACTGGCGCTACCCTGATGAATCTGGGCTTGCAATTCCCCTTCTCGTCTGATTATGGAAGCGAGGTTGTGATGCTAGAGAAGCAATAGACGGGGATAAATTCGAGGTAGAAAGAGTCCTTGATGATCCGAGGTTCATGTTGGTACTTATAATTTGGTAGCACAATTGCAATTCGTGTTTTGTGAAGTAAAGTCCTATTTTCTTGTTATAGGTTCAGAAATTCCGAACAGCGCGCAAGCAATGACCGCCAAGGTTGCTTCTGCGAGGCATTTGGGCACCCGTTCCTAGCATCGAAAGGCGGTAGATCACGGCAGATCTGGACCAGCTTATCGATAAGCGCATCTTTATCTTTTCTGACTCCACGATCCGCTCCGAGAAGTGACGGCCAGTCGCACGACGCGCGAATTTCGACATGGCAGACGCGGACGACGATGTGCTGAAAACCCCTGCAAATGCATCGGTGCAGCCAGAGGTCGACTTGTCCGACGAGACACAGGACTTTCGCTTTCTTAACAATCTGAATATGTAGGTAGCATGAACCCGCGCAGTTCGACAGCTAGCTAATTCTCTCGATTGCGCAGCTATGCAGATTCTGGGAGTCTTCCGCGTCGCGGGGAGAAGGACTTCGAACCTAATCCGACGGAACACCAAACCGGCGTCCTTTCCGAGTCACGAAAGGCAATGCACAATGCGCTCTCATTTCCTCGTCTACATGGATCAAAGTCCCATGTCATAGCTTTCTATGCCCCGAATGGATATTTCCCTCTGGCCGAAGTTTCTCCACCAAAAGCCCCGCAACAAACAGAAAAGAGTACAGAGTCACCCGAGAAGCCTGCAAGGCCCACGCCGAGGTCTGCCAACATCAACCCCGACGTATGTGTCTATGTGCCCAATCCGAAAGGCACTCTCTTCAAATCAGTGGGGCAAAGTGACCGCTGGAATCGTCTCTGGTTGCTACCCGAGGAAGCTTTATATCTTATCGAGAGAGGCAGTCTGGATATCAGATGGCCTAGTCCGACCGATCCTGCAGTTCCGAAGCAGGATGATCTCTCTATACCAATGAGTTTGCAGGCTGCGTATGCGTCCTTTGTAGGACATGGTGGTCTGACTCTCGAACGATATTCTGTTTATACTGGTCTCAAACGTTTGGGATACACACTTGCTCGAGCACCTGGATGGTGCGATGAGGCAGAACAGCAAGAGAATGAGCAGGAAACCTCTCCTAGCTCAAGTGTTCATGAGAATGTCAAACCAATGTTACGTGGAGCTGGCTTAGCAGGCATTCTAGGGTCATTTTTCAACTGGCTTCACGATCCTCATTCAACAGCTTCAACAACAACTGGCCCAATGATTGGCACTGGAATCCACCGTCACTACATGGATGTATACCGCAAGCTCGCAATAATTCCATGGTACGATCCCGTCACTGCACCTCCCTCAAACCCCTCCGATATCACAGCGCCGTTCCGCGTCGTTTTCCATGTCTGGAAGCCCTCAACCCCCTTCAAAAAATCAGCACCACCCACCCCCGAGTTCCGTGTTGCGGTACTCAGCACCCGTGATCAAACTAGTATGCCGACCATGACACAACTCGGCGCATTGCTCGAAAGTACCCCTCTTGATCCTCCATCCGGAGAGAAGATGGAGCGTATGATGTATATGAGACTGCGGCATGGATATCGCCACGTTATCTTGGCAGTCGTGGACCAGGGAGTTGTCAGTTACCTACGGGTTGCTGACTCGGCATTTGGCAAGGAGAAGCTGTATGAGAATCAGGGCGGGCCCCGGGGACCCAAGCGGGGAGGGCGTGGACAACAGAAGTCTAGAAAGCGTTAAATTTATTGTCATGAATGAATAAACATAAATCATTCAAGTACTCAGTTCAAGAAGACGGTTGCATAGAGACAGGTATCTTCATTCGATCAGGGACTCATTTTGCGTTTGCCATAAATTAAGGATGGCGTGAACATAATGTCATTTGTCTGAATATTCTCACAGCCTGTACATCTCAGTCCTGCTTCTGGCCCCATCAAAGACAGAAGTATTGTCAAGTGGGCCATATTGCCTAGTGAGCACCTTCAATGCCTCCTGAGCAACAAGTCCACCAGTCAGCGAAGAGACATTGTGCAGCTCACCACCTTGGGCACGACGCAACTCCTTGATCGCACGCCCGACTTGCTCCCGCGCTGCAGTATCCACGGCCACTCCGTCAACCCCAGTGAGCAAGGCAAGAATGCGCTCTGTGTGACTATGCCAAAGTGCACTATCGTCGATAGATCTCTCATTCTCTAGACCGCTGGATTGGATTTCATCGACAACCGAGTCGAGGATCTGGGTTGCAATGAATATGGAGATCAAAGAGTCCTCCGAGTTAAGCTCGCCTCGAATCTTCTTCAGCGTGGAGGCGTCACTATCGATACTGATCTGTGGGATGCTACGGCCCCGCACCACCTTGATATGCGCGGCATTCTTGCAAAAGACTTCGATCTCCCTGTCAAGAATGGCGGGTGAATCACGTCCGATTTGAGATTCGAGTTGGCGTACTGTTGCTGTCACTTCTTCGATATCCTGTCGTGCCTTGGTCTTGTAAATATTCTGTAGTGCAACGTAGTCCGCTGACTGGGCTTTCATGTCGGGCAGAGACCCAGGCAGAGGCAGGACACCATGTGAGGCATGGAAAGTCTTTATGGCGGATGCAATTATCCAGAAGTCCTGGGAAGCGGACGTCAGTTGCTGGCATTCTTCCATGTTGAAGATATCGCGGATCGAGCTACGCAGCTCAAACGGTGAGATTGTCTTCAGCACGGCGGAGACTGCCTCATCAAAGTTCTCTTCGCCTCCCTCGGGATTGGAAGTTCGTGCTTGGCCCCGCACAAACTCTCTGAACTCGGTCTTCTCCTTGTAATTCTTTGGCGCGCTTCCGTCGTGGGTTTGTTTCCATTGCTCGAGGAAGTGAAGAAGCAGAAGGATGTAGGGAACATGGCCATGCTGGTGGTCATCGAGTGTATCCAGGGCTTCCAATTTGGAAGCTGCAGCGACAAGCTCGGGCCAGGGGTTCAGCAGGCGCAGATCTTGAGTCGATTCTGGATCTGGATGCGTTTCAACAATAGGGAATTCGGCAGGAAGCTGGACTGAGAATGTGGAGAGGAATCCCACTGAGTGGAGGTATAACACAGGAATGCCTAGTTGCTTTGCTTGCCAGCACAGCGGAGCCAATGTTGAGCGTCTGATTGGACCCGAGATGATAATCAACTTGTGTCTGGGTAGGAAATCGGGATCGACGGTGAGATCCTCGATGCGCTGAATCATGAGTGAGCCAAATATGATCTTTGCTTAACATTCAAACTCTAAGGAGCTTACTTTGGAGTAATGGTATCCCTGCACGTCCGGGTTCAATTCTCTGAGCAGCCGACAAGTTTCTTCAGCGCGCGATTTGCCAAGAGATTCTTCCTCCAGGAAGAAGTTCACACCAAGGTCAGATTCCGTGACCGTCGCAGGGTCAACGATGGTGAAACCACCAATGCCAGGCAAGACTAGATTCTTGAGGGTCTCGACGCCCGCAACGCCGGAGACACCCGTGCTATGTTGACCAAGTGGGCCATCTGAGTTCACTAGTAAGACGCGTGAATCCTCAAGTGCTTGCTGGCCAGTTGCAGCCCACAGGCGGAGTTGGCGATCATACTTGCGCTCCTTTGAGGTTGGGCCTGTGAGGGTGGCGGGGAAAGCATCCGTCATTGTATCAAAAAGCGGGACGATGAGAGGTTGAGTTGCGCGAAGAGGGGAAGAAGTTGAACTTGAAAAATTTCCAGGTTCTCTCAAGTCCAAACTGATCTATGGCACTTTCTGACTCGCAACTTGTGAGGCTTGCGAGTCCAACTGTTGACTCAAGTGCTGTTGGAGGTGTTTTGACTAAGCGGTTCGGGCATCAAGGCATTATTGATGCCTGTCTATTCAGGTGTCAACCGCTCAACTGTTGTGGTGCACAGTTCACTACAGTCAACCTGTCCTGCTTGCCCAAGCATTTGAGATCAGAGAGGGTGTCCACGGGCAAAAACTGAATTCCTAGAGCTTGCTATTACGGAAGTTTGGAATCATTCTAGACGAAACGTCTCTACCAGGTCTCAAATTCAGATCTTCAGCTTTCATTTACTACCAAAACTAACCGGCACTTCAGACTTCCCTACCCCAGTGAATTTACCGGAAAACTTATCATCCCAAACCGGTGGTATCCGTATCGTGATCACAATCCATCACGCAGTCCGATCAATGATTTTGGACTTCTTCCAAGGAAAATGCCTCGGAGACTTGTCTCAGATGTCATCTAGTCGTCCAATGTCGGTCCTTGCATTGAGATAGGGATGCTCATCCAAAGTATTGCCTTAGCTTCTCACTGCGATATGATCTCCAGGAGCCGAGCTATAAGCAGCTTGAGCCGAATAAAGGATGCAGTTGGACTTCTTCTGGGGAGGTCCAAGGAACAAGGCCACTTTGCAGTTAGGGACCGCGGCACAAAGGTCGACACATGCGGGCAAATCAGCCGCCGTGTCAGCGGGCTTTTTGATGATTCCGGATCCGCCTCCTGGTGACACTGCGTTAGTTACTGCCCACACAGTGTAGGTAGATACCCAGATCAGGAGTGACTTACTCATGTTGCAGTTGACTGACCACTTGGAACCAGCTTGGTCAACATTGGACCAGCCCCCACTACCGGCCACATTCTTGCCTATGATGGCAGTTAGCTTATCTCATCTTGGTGACCTATGAGGATAGAAGGAACGTCTGCGACTTACAGTCATTGACTCGACCACCTCCAGTGCCAGGTCCTCCAGTGCCAGGTCCACCAGTGACAGGTCCACTTCCTCCCGAGTTCTGGGCCTGGCAGGTATCACGCTCTGTCTTGAATTGATCCCGCTGGGTCTGACAAGTGGCAAGCTGCGCCTTGCAGGTGTCTCGCTCCTGGCAGCATGCGCCACCACCAGAGCTCACGACCTTTTCAAAGAAAATGCCACCGTTCTGATTGGTTGGAGGACCGGAAGTTGCCACGGCACAGAGGCCATTTCTGATCCAGGTCACACCTACAGCTGCGGAGTTACTGGCAGCCAGTGCAGCACAGGTAGCTGGGTCATTGTGTCCAGGTGAGTTTGGAGTCACGTTGGTGAACCCGCGCTTGTTGCAATGATAGGTGTATTGCTCGCCATTCAGCGTGGTGGTGCCGGTTGTTTGGCCGCTTCCACAGAGGTTTGTGAATTCCTGCTGAGAAGTTGTCTGGCCGAAGGCCAGAAGTGGCAACGCGGAAACAATGAACTGAAACTTCATGGCGCGTTCTGAAGGCGACCTTGAATATTGTATATGAGAGAGACGGAAGCTGAGGTCCGAGCATATGCCCGGGACAGATCAAGATTTATATCCCTACTCGACTCTTTGAGTTCAATCAGGCCTGAGCGAGGAGGGTGCTAGAAGGGGCTGAGCATCTGAGCAGTGAGGTTACATCTGACCTCCAAAGCTAAGTTCTCTGCGCATCTGGCAGATTCGAGCGTCACACTGCATATTTGCCCCCCTGTATCCTATCCATTCCTTTGCATGAGGCTGGTCAGAGACAATCGATGATCAAACCATTATTACATAAACTCTCGGTGTGGAGCTGGGACTGCATGATGGTTTATGCAGTTTCGATGCATCGATCCTGGTATTACCGTACAAGGTGGTATTGAACCTTGGAAGCCGATGGTTTTTCTCTCATGCATACGGAGTACATGTTGCTTGAACTGCAGAGTGCTTCTTCAATTCCACGGGTGTTGGGCTGTGGGACTTCCCAACCTTGGAACCTTGGAAGGTTCTTGGCGCCAATACTACCTATGTAGACATAGAGCTATTGAATAGAGTTGCTTGTAGCTATTCATCTTGATTACCCGACGATGGGGACGCTTTACGCGCTGTGTCTTCGATCGAAATTTTCAATTGATAGTCCTTGGAAAATTCTCCCTATTCCTCTCACTTCAATGGCATCGATGCAATAAAAACCCGTTCGAAATAATTTTACACATGTAGCTATGCTCAATCAAATCGCAACGGGACCTAGACTGATTGTCCTCGTAAATCATCGTCTGGAAATACCCAAGTCCAAATATTCAGACCGATCTTTGTTCCATCTAGGACAGAAAGCCCTGCGTGCACTGTTTCTTCATATGGGCTTCCATCGGGTCCGACGTTCTCCCAAAACAAGGCATTGCCGGCTAATGGCTTGAAGACTGTTCCATTCTCCTTGGCATCGCAATCAAGGAAGGCACAGAGCGCTGGGTCTTCCCATCGAGAGATCATGGGGAAATGGGTGCCTCCCCCAGTGCAGTTGCCCTCTAGCCAGACATTGAATGTGGATTTGCGGTCAGGAATCGTCGACGCACCGATGGCGTCGAGGTGGTGGAGAAAATAGCCATCCCTCTGGTATCTTTGTACACTCAGCGGCTCAAGGGCCATGTTGGTCCATTGCTGTAGAGATTGCGCACGCTTTTCAATGCACTTGACAACTGGATCACGATGTAGCAGGGCGGTTTCGCTGCGTCGATATTCGCCATCGCTTGTCGCTTCATTGGTGGTAGGGTTGTACACCGAGGCCGGAGTGTAGTCTGGGTTGCTTGGTTGAGGGCGATGTTAATCAGATGTTGGCTCATCCTGGAATTGTCTGCAACGACGGACGTACCTATTCTCGATCACATGAAGCCTTTCCTCTTCGCTTAAAAATCCTTCGATATACAACATGCGCGGGCTCTCTCCGAGCAGGAATGCTTCGAACTCATGATCAGGGCACTCAATTGAACTATCGGGCTGTAAAAACTCCAGAAAGTTGGAGGGATGGTCTGGGGGAAGTGGAATCTGCGTCAATGGCTGCGATGATTCCGTAACTGACGGACCTGGGGAGTTATGCGCCAGAGAGAAAACTTGGCCATTGCTCCCAAGAGACAGCCCGTTGATAGTCAAGCCAGAGACATGAAGATACAAGGGCATAGTCGCCTGCACTTGAATTATAGACGACATTCTAGTCAATAGAGTTCGTAGATCGAGAGATGAAACAAGAAGTTGAAGAGAGCAGAGACCAGAAACAGCGAGACCTCAATGACCCCGAAACCCCCAGCTTGTGCAGTCGATAGCCCTTGGCTTTCACAACCAAAGCGATCTTACCCTGTACCATGCTTCGTACCATCTTTCTTGGTGTCTCCCAGTGAAACTAGCTTCTGATGTTGATTATGATACCCGCCTATGCACTTGGACTCAGCGACCCCTTGCATATCTCACGCGTCTTTGCTTTTTCCGGGGTGTGATCGATAAGCTTGCCGATTGCCGATGACTGTAGGCCTCTCAATGCACCGTAATGGTCCTGGCCCCTACATACAGAGTACTCTGTTCAACTTGAAGATCCTTTACATAGTGCATATGCCAGGTTCACAAAGCGAAACACCTCTCAGCTCACCCAAAGCTTGCGGGGCGCTAAATTCTAGGTTGCTCAACATCATGTTGCTTCAGAACCTGCATCATGCAAAGCTGCAATGCCGAAATGCGGGGCATGTTGCATGGGATATTAATTCTAGTCAACCAATAACACGTCTATGGATACCCCAGGGTGCATCAATTGATTACTGCATGGATGTGGCGACCTCAAGTGCTCAGCTTGACTAACTGAGTGGACCCTCCTCACGGCTTCTCTCGAGCTGGCTTGCGCATGTACCCCTCACCGCGGGTTTGTTTTAAGCTTTCCTTGAGCAATATGTGCGCTGTATGAGTCGTGCAACGTAACATACGTCCAAGCCCTGAGCTCAGGACCTCGGGAGGAGGCACCGATCAGTGACTGTATCTAGGTATGGTATTGGTATGTATTCTTTTAATCCCGTACTTCTTGTGTATGGTACATCTTCCCATTGGTATTTACGAGTTTTGGTCCTTTGAAACCATACTGGCCTTTGGAATATGCAGATTGGAAGAAATTCTCAAAGGTTCGGAGAGCAAAGAGGCTACGGTGGATGTTCTCTCAGAGCAATAGCGTGTAGGAAGAACTTGAGCGCGTCTCTTAGTCAAATGAATACTATAGTTCTGATGGCTTTCAATGCTAAAATGAATTACCCTTCGATACAAAGCTACTACGGGTCTTTAGCTGGGAATGATAGGGACAATAAGCAAATCATTTCATTCTCCTCCCTGGCCCTGAGCCCTCGATCACCTCGTAAACAAAATATGAACACAAAGAAAACATCGGACTAATCCCAAGCCTCAATTTCTCCCAAGCCGATAGCTAGTCCGAAAGAACTAGCACCAAAAAGAAGTGGTTGATCGCTCGTGACTGTAGTGGGACGCTCGACACCAATGACATATCTCAGTAGCACCCTTGGAACCCTCCATTCGAGTCAAACGCTGGATATGTGCCGGGGCCTAGAGCTGCACAGCTGGCAAAGTGTGGACTGTTCTGGTTGATTGCACAGGGAACACTTGGGGCTCCTCCTCCTCCTGTCTTGATAGGTCCGAGTGGAATCCATGGCATTCTGAAGAAGAAGGCAGAAGCCCCGGGAGAAAGAGCAACAACTGCCAATGATACAACGGTCAAGCGCATTTTGATTGATTGGAAAGGTCTCAGCGGGAGTCTAAGCAATTGGAGAAGGTGTTAGAGTGGGTGTTGATAATCAAATGAATCAGAGTCGATTGTACCTTTAGAGTACGAGTCTCGAGCTTTCTGAGGCGGAAGAGTACAC